GGACAGAGCAGTCACGCTCATACAGGTGGACAATGTTGCCGTGGTTGTCACCGAGCAGCTGGACCTCGATGTGTTTGGGCTTGTCGAGGAAGCGCTCTACGAAGACAGTGCCGTTGCCAAAGGCAGACTTGGCCTCGGAAGTTGCTCGCTCGAAGCTTTCCTTCAGGCTCTCGGGGTCGCGAACAACTCGCATACCACGGCCACCACCGCCATAAGCAGCCTTGATGATGATGGGGAAGCCATACTGATCAGTGAAAGCCTTAACCTCTTCATATTTCTCAACAGCTCCCTGGGTTCCAGGGACGACTGGGACACCGGCAGCAATGGCAAGCTTGCGGGCCGAGACCTTGTCGCCAAGAGCATCAATCACATCTGGAGTGGGGCCGACAAACTATGAGGCATGTCAGTGTCTGTTGAAGATAAGAAAAAAAAGCACTGGCTGCAGAAATTGGGTAGCAGCCGATGCAAGCCGAAAACTTACAATGAGACCGGCCTTCTCGACGTTGCGGGCAAATTCAGCGTTCTCAGACAAGAAACCGTAACCTAATGAAATTAATTGATAAATGAACGATGCTTGGGCAATACATGTATATAGACAAAGGATAGAGAAACCAACCAGGATGAACCAGTTGAGCGCCGTGCTCAACAGCGATCTTGATAATCTCGTCGCCGGCGAGATAAGCTCCGACAGGGGTGTACTGGCCTCGCTTGCCAATGACGTAGGCTTCGTCGGCCTCTGTGGGAGAGCAGTCAGCAAAAGCAGTCAGGCGGCGGGGTGCATATCAGGGTCGCAATATACTTTGGCGATGCATAGACAGTCGGTCCTCATAACTTGGAGAAAAAGTCAGCTACGTTGCGCAAAGGACATGTGAAAATTGGTTTTATCGGGGCGCTATTCACCTGAAGACAGCGATTGTGTGTAATGAAAGCTCGTGGGCCTGTAGGAGGGGTAAGTATGCGCCCGAAGTCGGCACTGACGGATGGAGGGACAACTGACTGTTCTGAAAATCTATTCGCGACGCGCAAACCAAGGTTAGCATCACTGTGCCGCTCAGAGAAATACATGGGTTAAATCGAGGCCGCTTTGCTTGTTCAACGTACTCTGATGGCTGGTATGTGTTAGCGAGCTCAAGCTGCGACAGGTGGATGGCGGGGTTGTCTCGACTTACGGATTTCACCACGGTTGGCAACTGTTTAGCGTAGCAGCCAAGAGTCAGTCAGACGCTCTCTTCTGCGACCTTTTCCACGCCAATTGGCTCCGGACGGATGCCTCAGACGTCGCAACTCACCAAGGATCTTCTTCAGATGCATAATGCTGGAATTGGCGCGGATGTGGTGGATGGTCTGCGCCTCCTTGGGCTCATCGACGTCGTCGTCGTCGAAGACATCGGTGAAGGTCAGCGCCTGCTGAGGGTGAGGGACTGGAGTGCCTGCCATGACGGGCAAGACGGGCTCGAGCACACAAACAAGACAGAATATAGGCTCGATTTAGGATATGAAAGAGACAAAAGGAGAGCAGCTCAGCACAGAAGAGAGCCCGAGGGAGACGGCCGGATGCGCTGCCTTTTAAGCAAAGCAGAAGCTCGGCCAAGATGGATGGATGGGGGGGCAGGAATTGACGGCGGGGCAGCTGTCGAAGGTGGGGGGTGGGGTGCTGCGTTTAGGGAGGTTAGCAGACACTAGAAGTTGCGTCTCCAGCGCCTGTGACAGTGCAGGCACTAGCTACAGGTACTGGCAACAGGCATGTAACAGTCAGGAATACTTGATGTGACCGACTTGACTGCGTCTAAACTGGCTATCTGGACTTATACTGTGTGCCTCTTGCGTCTGTTCGGCCCAGCAGCTATGACTAAGGGCCACCGCAGCACAAAGGGAGGTGCCAGCGAGAGAGACGGGAACTGGAAAGAAGAGAGCAAATCTTTTTTTTCCCCTTCTTTGTTCCGAATCCAGGACGACGGCAGGGAAAATCTCCGAAGTGAGCGCGAGGAGAAGCGAGGGTGGACCGAGCTATACGCTCAATCTTCTCTCTTGATGTACGTCTGTCCCCTTCTGCCGGTGACACACGCCCACTCTGGTGTGCCACATGGACACATGGCCCAAGGCCGATGCATCCTTACGTTATTCAGTGCATTGTGTGCTCTGCCCTGGAGCACCGGGATTGGCGGCGTGGCATATGGCGGCTACGGCGTTGAGGCAAAATGAACCAACATGTCGGCGCATAGTTTGAAACTAGGTTGATGATCTGCCCTCAGCATCTCTGGCCTCTTGTCAGCTGATACTCAGTCGGTGAGGCAGCAGACATAGACCCCCTCGTTAACGCTGGACGACTATATGCCTAGAACTAGTAGGTAGCAGCTAGGCAGGTAGTAGTTGGCACACTTCCTGTCTGGTGGAATGAGGTTTGGCTGCAATAAGCAAGAGGGGAAGCTCGCCGTATAAAAAAGACTCTGCGCCCCAGCCGGCCAACCAGAAAAGTTACTTTTACCGCAGCCAATTTGTCTGGGAAATTGATTATTTTTTTTTTTTTCTCATTTTTCTTTGTTGCTCTTTTTACTACGTACAAACAGTCACAACGCTTATCAAGTGCCAGCTAGCCCGCGTTGCCATCCAGAAAGTCATTCCATTACATACCAGATTTTACACCCGCTACTTGGGGGCTAAAGTCGATTGTTACCATGTATCACCATTAGCTTGATGATACCAGCTTAAACGGGCGGAGCCTTCTTTTTCTGCCAATCAGCGGCCCAGGATAACGCAGCCTCTTACAAGTTTGGCGCTGTTATATTAAGCTTCGTTCCCAGAGCGGGATGCCTTGGCTCTTTTCTGCTTCGCTGGCTCTTGGAATGGACTCCGTACTGCCACAGCGGGCTTCCAAGATCCGTACCCACCAGCAGCTTTTGAGGCATAATATCAGCCGCAGTTGTCGCCCGCTTGGAGGATGGACTGCCAATGCATTTTCCTCCGGGGCCAGAAATGCTTACCGCCAATTACTGCCTTAGGTATTCTAACACGATGTAGTCCGCAAAGCAGGCACCTAGCGAGATCTGAATCATGCCTTGCCTTGCATTACATGCACTCCATACCCCATACGCGCGCGAGATAGATGACGCTCGCCGCGTCTTACCAATCCCGCCATCGCCCTTGGTGCATGAGCAACCCCTCTCGTCTCTGCACTCAGAGAGAGGCCAGGGCTGGTGCCATAACCGAGGATCAGAGCATTTTGCCTGGCAGCTGCGCCTAGATGCGGCTGATGGCAGGGTGAAAACACCATGCAAGCAGGGCTCAATCGGAATATCTCGACACGGCTTCACTTCGTCGAGCCCGACTATTCTCGCCCTTCCACGTGCTGATCATCCGTTGCAGCACACCAGGACACATCGTGGGCCGCCCATGGCCGTGCTGATGGTGTCTCTCTCGGCTCGGAGGAAGGGCCCGTAACGTAATTGGTCTTCGTATCGCCGGCCCGAGGGTGTTGCTGGATCCGAAGACGGATCCGTCGCATCTCTGACCCCGTATTTCCCAGCTGGTTGCAAGGCCGATCTGGCAATGGCGGCACATCTTGCAGGTGGATGTACTCCGTGTGCGTGTGTTGCTCGAGATTGGGGAGCTAAGATCTGGAAGGGAAGGGCCCCCCAAACTTGGGTGCTGACGAATTGGACACCCCGCCAACAGGTAGTTCGAGCTCGGCGCGTCAAGCCGACTGGCACTATTACTCTATATCGCGCGCTCATCGCCATCTAGCGCTGGGCGCCCTGGATAGTGCATGGCGCCCTCAGTCGGCTTACTGGCTTCTGCTTGGATCTGGATGGGGTTGTGATGAGCCAGAGATCCGCCGCTCTAGCTGAGGAATTTTCTTCTTCTTCTTTCATGTCCGGCTCTCGCACGCCACTGACGGATAGTGTGCCTGACTATCTCGCTCAAGCCACTCTGATCGCCCCAGTCCAGCAAAATTGTAGTCATCCATCTGCCTCTTCTCCTTATTCCCATATTTTGTCCGGTCTCTTGTTATGTTACTCTTTTTTGGACGACTTGTCATTCGTCAACACTACTGCTGTAGACGAAAGCGAATTTTCTCCGACACCGGCCGTGGCAGGGGTCTTGATCTTGTAGACGCAGTGAGTCGGACCTTTGAAACCTTTGAAGCCTCAAACAATCCAATTCAGTGATTCTCCTCCGTTGCGTAACAGATATTCCTCGCTTAATTAGTATCACAATGTGTCAGCTATCCTCATCCTTGTTAAATATGCAATACTATACCATAGTTATCCTCGGTTGCGAGAGGGCATTGCCATCTCATGCCTCTTGTATATTACGCTAATACGCATAAATCCAGTGGTTTGTCAAGTTAACCCCGGCTACTAAAGGAAAACCTCGGCAGTCCACTAAACAACTGCCGTCAATTGCAAGGCGTCCCTGAATCGCATCTTCCCAATTTGCTATTTCCAAATTGATAAATATTGATATGACTTGGCCCACATGACGTAAAGCTCAGAGAGTCCCTGGTCTACTAAGTGCTGGCCTATCAGGAAGCAGATAGGGGCCGAGGCTCTGGCTTCAACAATCGCGTTGCCATTATGTTGATACCTCGTGTCTCCTGGATAAAGACTAATCTATCATTACTGCTACATTTGCATTGTGAATGGGCTGCTTACAGGCTGCAAAACTTCGTTTTCCCGACAAGAACATGATGAATCAGTGGTTAGGTGCAAATAAATCTCCAAGGCTATTATTATTTGTCCAAATACCTGAAGCTTCAGATCTCTTCTATGAACTGGCTCGGAGATGCAAGTGTGTGATACAGCAGCTACAGGCTTCAGCAGACGGGAAAGTCTCTGCAAGCCATCGAAATCCTCCAGTCTTGAAACTTGGCCTCCTGAGATGAACTTTCCCTTCGACGCTGATCTACCGCAGCGCTAACCTTCCCTCCTCCTTTCCTACGACTTTGCCCATGCTTTTTTAGCGTCTCAGTTCCATTGCGCACCAACTTTCTTCCAAGTTGATTATTTGCTAGGTGCTGTCTCCTTGCCAGCCTCGACACCCTTATCCAAAGCCATCTTCTCCTTTCCACCCCAGTGGTGGTATGACAGGTATCGGTAGCCCTGGGTGAGCTGGGCGCATGAGTTGACAACGTGGCATCCGAACAGGAGGTAGTTCTTGGGAGAGACAGCAAGAGCGTATCGCATAAAGGTCATAGAGTAGACAGTAAGGGCGGCGGTCATCTGTCCGGAGATCCTATATAGAGAAACAAAAAAAAGGTAAGCAGTTGGCCGGTATCGGCGGGGACGCAGCTCGGAGCTGAAGGAAAGCTTCTTACAGATCAGGGCTCTTCTGGGTATCCAGCACAGCAGCAATGGGAATGCCAAAGTTTGAAACAGGTCCCCAAAAGTCTGTTTTCGACAATTTATCAGCTTGTGGCTCCTATGGACAGGTATACAACAAGCGCGCCAGCTTCCGGCCAGAAAGGCCGCGCCTGGGCAAGGGAGCACAAGAATTCGGGCAAAGAGCGCAGTGAAACAAGGCAATAAGAGCTTGACGCGAGCAAAACCAGGACATAGTTCCCCTCAGTCGCGCTCAAGCGTCTTTCGTAGCTTCAGGGCGAGGATATTGGGTGGGCTAGTACTTACGAGTTGTGCAAACATAGCTCAACACCGGGTTGGACCTGATCTTGGCGTTGATAGCCTTTGCGAGCGCAGCCATTTTGAATAGTCGTCGGGAGATGCGTAAAGTCGTGGGAAGGCACGGATTGTCGCTGCGGCGCTTTTGAGGAGGCTGGAACGCAAAGAAACTCCGATCTCGTTCTTGTCAGCGGCGTTGATTTACCCTTGTCGGCCAAAATTTGGACACCGAAGTCGATTAACTGTGATGTCACGTGCCCCTGGCTCCAGTACGCAGCAACATGAGCTACAAGTTTGAAACTTTGCTTTTGGTCGTTTACAAAATATTTGATTTGCTTTGCGACATGAATTATACAAAAATTATTTTTAATTTTACACATCTTGGACGATCACGTCTACAGGAAGTGACAAAAAATGCGAAAAGAATTACAGCTATAACAATTATTTCAGATGGAGAAGTCCAGATCACAAATCCGGCCCACAGTACGAGATTGCTTCAATTCCAACATGAGTTATGACCAACCAGAAGCTATCTCTACTCTGAAAGTAAAATTGGGTACGCTATAGAACGAAAATATTATCAAGAAGATGGAAATAGTGCAATTTTATTCCCCAAACCCATATATTTTCTTGATGATAAAATGAGAAAAAGGAGATGTTACTGAGGCAAAATTGACGCCACAGATGGCATCGCAATAATCTTCACTATACTATTTTGCTTTCTCTCTAGCCAATTTCCTTATTCCGTCTGCCAACCATGATTAACCATGAGCTTGCCTTTATATCATAATCAAGCCTAACAAGTCCCTTCGCTAACCGATATCTACCAAAGAAATAATACATCAAGAGAACACTAACTACATCCCACACGGACAAGGAGAAGAAGAAAAAAAAAAAAATCTAAGAATTAAATCAAAGACAATCCATCAATTGACTTAGACTCCTGGAACAGAGAAGCCAGCGGCCTTGGGCCAGTTACCAATCTGCCCTGGGTCGCCGCCAACGCGGACATAGACGCCCACAGCCGGGATACCTCCGTCCAGGATAAAGAACATGTACCAGGTAGGAGGGGCAATGTACTGGCTGGGAGGAGCAGTAACGGTGCAAGTGGTGCCGGCGCAAGAGATGTCAAGGAAGAGAGTGCGCGCTCCCATGGAGTTGCCGTGGGTGCTGGTGACAGAGCCAAGCAGAGTGGCCTGAATGGCACCATTCTGAGCAGGGCCACCAAGGTTGACGGTGATACTTTGGCCGTAGCTCCAGTCCTTATTGGTGACGGTGAATGAGGGACGAGGCTTGCCGTTCTTGAGGTAGGGTGGAGTGAAGGATTCAATGCGGTACTCTTCGGGGTTGACGTTGTCCTGGGGATCTGAGCCGGAGACGAGAACGCGGCCGTCGAGAAGGGTGATGGCCTCGGAGTGGTACATGCGAGCCACGGTGGTATTGGCCATGACGGTGATACGGTGGCCGAGTGGCTTCTGGGGGTCGTAAAGGAGAGCATTCAGGTTAGGGCTATCGGCGAGGCCGAATCCAGCAACACCGTGGTGAGCACCGTTGAGAATGAGATAGGTGCCGTCGGGAAGAGGAGCCATGCAGGATATGACGCGCTGAGAAGGCATACGCTCAATTGCCCAGGTTGCGTTCTCGACATCGGGATAGGTGCTCACGCAGTTATCCAGAGCATAAGAGGCACCCTCGGAGGAGCCACCACAGATAAGGACACCAAGGGGCTCTGTGAAAGGGGCGTGCATGGGCAGCAGGACAGCAGATCCCTCAAGGGGGTACGTTCGTCCAGCCATGGGGTTGTTGACGGCGCCGGGAATGTTGGGTAGGACCTTGATGGTAGCAAAGGTGTTTTCATCCAGAATACGAGCCTCGTTCCAGTAGGCTACGAAGATGCCTTTGGAGGGCAGGACGCTACAGAAGGGATACAAGTTGTTCGGATCGGTACGTTCGAGCCAGTCCATGTAGAGAGGCGCAGTACCAGTGTAGGGAAGAATCTCGAGGGTGGGGATAGGAGCGCCGTTGGAGCCCTCTTCGCCTCCAACGACGAGAACGGAGCCGTTAGCCATGTTCATGGCAGTTGGGTACCAGCGGCCGTCTTGAAGCTTCAAAACATCGACATTCTCCTGCCAGTCGTTGGTGCCGTTGACGCCGGCGGAACCATCTGGCGTATATAAACGGACACCATAGGTAGAATCGCCAGACCATCCTCCTACATTGAGCTGTCGACCAGCCTTGTCAGGGAGAGTGACACCGCCAGAGCAGAAAATGTCAGTCTTAACGTGCATCTCTCTCCAGGCAAGCTTATACTGGTCGACGAGAGTCAGGTCGAGCTCATAGGCACCCGTGGAGTTAGGCTCGCCAGTACCCCATTTCTCAAGGAAGACGACCTTGCCGGTGACGGCTTGGGTCACCATCAAAGGCACGCAGACGCCACCCATGAGCTGCTCATAAGAACCAGCTGCGGCGGTGCCAGCTGCAGGGAAGCCCCAGGAGTAGAATGGGGTTCCGGTGTAGAAGTAAGTACTGAGGCGGGAACCGCCGCCACAGATGGCCGAGGCGTTGCCCGGGCAGGGAACATTGCACTCTGTTTCAGGCCTCTTCGTCGAACCAGCGGTCTTGATATTCTCCGGGTCACCACAATAGCACTCTTGGCCGTACTCCAAGCCGGCAGCCATGTAGCCGTACTCACCACATGCGTTAAGGCATTGCTCAGGGGTCATGGTGTTGGCGAAGATGTTCTGCCAGAAGAAGGTGTGCACCTGGTTGATGTTATCCTCATAGCAGCCTTGGTAGGTCCAGTTGCCCACTACCGGAACTGGTGCCGGGGGTGAGAGGACGGCTGGCGTGCCCTTAGAGATGATGGTCATTCTGTCGCCGCCACCACAGATCTCGGAAGAGTCGCCTGCGCAGGGAGTATTGCACTCGGTGGAAGAATTGGCCTTGACACCGCCGTTGACGATGTTGTTGCCGCAGAAGCACTGCTTGGAGTACTCAGCACCGGCGATGGTATAGTTTTGAGAAGCGCAGGAAGCGGCGCAAGACTCGAGGGTCAGGTTGGGGTCGTCGGGGTTCTGCTCATTAAGAATGCGGCCGTTGACGCCGTCCACATAGCAGCCATAGCTCTGCCATCCCTGTGGGAGTCCCGTTGGCTGCTGAGTGGCTGAAGTGGTGGTGCCTGATGGAGGAGACGATCCTGAGGAGCTACCCGAGCCCGGGGCGTTGAGCGAATAGACAGACAGACGATTCCCGGCACCGCAAAAGTCACAGTCGTTGCCAGCACAGGTCATGCTACAGTCTGATGACGTAGTGAGCTTGGAACCAGCACTAAAGGAGTTGCCGCAGTAGCATTCTCTGCTGTACTCGACGCCAAAGTACGTGTAAGCCGCACAGAAGGTAGCACAGCTCTCCAGAGTCATGCCATCATCCGCGTATGTCGTGGCCGCGAGAGCCCGAGCCGATGTGCCCTCAGTATAGCAGCCGTACCAGTTGTATTTGCCTACCAAGGCGGGCTGGGCAGGACAAGTACCTGTTTGCACGGGTTGGCCTGCAGTAGTTGTGGCAGTTCCAGAGCTGCACGATCCATGTTAGCATCCCTCCAATACGAGAGGATCAACTCCGCAGTCCTAGCTTCTTTCACCAGATTGTGCCTGTGCTTACCTGCTGGAGCCATAGGTGTAAAGGTTTAGTAAGCTTGGTCCTCCGCAGTACTCGGTACTATTGCCATTGCAGGTCATTGTGCAGCCACTTGCTGCTGGCTTGGCGCCATTGGACAGAGACTTGCCGCAGTCTGCATGCCGGGACAGATGCTCAACTGGTCAGCTAACTGGACGCGGAGAAAAGGAAATGAAACGAAACAAAGCAAAAGCCACACGCTGTCACTGCGTCTGTGTGATCCATTCCGGGAAGGATTGGGGGCCACTTACAGCATTCTCCGCCGTACTCGACGCCAGCAAAGGTATATCCCGCCGCCTTACATCCGGACGTACAAGCAGCCACCGTCATTTGCGCATTAGCAACGCTGCCGAGTTGATACGTCAAAGCACGGCCAGTGGTGCCCTCGCTGGCAGTCATATGTTAGCAAGGCTAGGCCAGCTACAAATCTTAGAATTGAGTATCTCGTATCGTGAACTTACGCATAGCACCCCTGGGACACCCATCCATTGGGGCCGGGATTGACTTCAGGGCCAGTGACTTTAGATGACTTATACAAGGTGAGACGATCGGGACCACCGCACGCCTGGGTCGAATTACCGCCACATGGAGTATTGCAGTCCGTGGCAGTGGTGTTTGTGCCGCCCGTTGCAAGAGTGGTACCGCAGAAGCATTGGGTATAGTACTCTGTTCCAGCGTAAGGGAAGTCCAATCCAAAGCAGTAACTCGTGCATTCTTCGTTAGTCATGGCAGCATCAGTGGTAGACGCTGCGCTAATCGTCCGCCCAACATCGCTATTGCTCTGATCAGCATATATGCAAGCTTAGAGTTTGCCAAGAGAAGTAGGAGGAGCGCCATACATGAAGCATCCCTGATACGTCCAGCCATTGTCAAACGAAGCTGGCGCGACGAGATCCCGCTTTTGGAGGATCTGTGCGTGACACGGTTTTAAGGAAAGTAGAGAGATCGACAGCAGCGAGGCTGCCGGGGAGGGCTTCATGGTTGCCGTCTTTGTGGCTCTCGCCAAGGGAAGGCAAGCAGCAACAAGAGATAGCAATCAGCGTATCAGGCCCACGCTCTCTCTAGACCGAATGAGAGCTGGCTGTTGGCTGATCAAAGAAAGCCGTGAGAAGGAAGAGGCAGAAAAACAAAGAAAACGGTCAATTGCCGCGGACAATGCCCAGCTTCTTGTACTCCGTGCATGGCCATCCTGCCTGATCGTGGCCCAGGAACAGATGAGCCTACCCAGCAAGGCTAATGGGGCCGGCGACTTGGCATAGCTTGCCATGCTCCCACCCACAGCAATAAACACCACGGCCGGGATCAAGACTGTGATGGTCAACGCGGGCCAGAGCTAGGCCTGGTCCCTCGTGGACTGTGGTTGTGGTGGTCCATGATGGGAGGCGCCACTCACACGGACAGAGATGCTGGATCCGACTAAGAGCAAGCGTTGCAGGGGATAGTTGGAGGGAATAGGATGGTGCTCGTGCACACCTCAGATGTTTGTACGTGCCATCTACCTATTACCTGTCTTTCAGTATCCAGACGCAGCGCACAGAATCCAGTAGGGCGCCTATGCAGGCAAGGGCCACGCCCCCCTCGTCTCGATCAAGGACAGGGTTGGTCAGCCGGATCCAGGCGCCGTCCAGAACTGGCATGCAGCCTCAGGCAAGGCACCAATATTGGGACGGTTTGTTTCAATGTTCTCACTTCTCTCCTCAGCCTGCTAATTGCTCAATTAGTCTGCAGCCGGCCGAAGGCAGAAAAATGAAACAGCAGCAGAAATAAACCTTCTACGCCCGTGCTAGTGCTCCAGCCAGGCTCTTTTGACAGCTCAAGCAGATGCTTTGCTTGCTCTATTTTCTGGTTCTTATCCACAGTCCCTGGCGAGCAAAGACAGCGAGTAACGCCGTCTCGATGAACTACACCCGTTGAGGCTGCGGGTAGTGGGGGAGCTGGTCAGAAATACGAGGCACGGCTCGGTACTCCGGCCATCCATCCCCATCCTCGACGTCCAGGCTTATTACTGGTCTAATCGTGCATCAAAGCGTTGGCGTAGCAGTATGCCTTTGATGGTGCCTAACAGTGTACCACCCACAATGGGAACAAGTTGTGCTAAAAAGGGCTATATTGTGTCGTAGCTGAAAGCTCGGTGGTACGACTATTTGATCATCCGGCCATTGATGGTTTATTACCAGGTACTCCATACTTACCGTGCCGATGGTTTGCATGGGGCATGTTCCCAAACGGAGATCCTGCAGCCAGGCAAGGAACTGTGGGTGAGTGATAAGCTCTTGATTTCGCGTGACATCTTATTTCCCCCTCGCCCTCTCTTTCTCCCTGCCGCCACGGCTTGATAATATTGGTCAGTCGGCTCAATAGTATTTGTTCACTCCATGGGGGCTGAAGCTGACGAACCGACCTGGAAACCTCAGGTGCTGAACGCCACCGTAATATCCACGCGCGAGAAATAGCAATTAGGACGAATCAAAGTTTAGGCTTAGATCCTAGCCTGGCCCTTGTCTGATCGCGGTGTGGAACGCCTGCCATGATCCCCGTGCCGCCGAGTGAGCCGATAGCCCGGCAGAGAGATTTGCTTGATCTTGCTGCGAAACCAAGCTCAGACCGTATTACCGTATTTACCCGCTACCATTGACGCTGGCATATGTTAAACTTTTCATATTTCTTTCACAAGACACACCGGATGAAATTTGGCTTTGGCTACCGGGACTTTTGGTGCGGCAATTTACCAACGCCGGTCAGTATCTCGTGAGGGCTGCGGCACACATACACGAACGATAAGACACTTCGCCGCTAGCTTGCGGTAGGGGCTTGGCCGAGCTGAGGTAGCTCAGGCACATTTGCCTGTTCAGGGTGAACTAATAAGTAAGAGCAAAGAAGAAGCCAGTGATGGAATGGCCGCTGGCTGCGCGGATGGAAGGCCGGGCTCGATACTGGTACATTGGCGTCGGCAGCTAAGTCGACACCACTTGCTAGCGTTAAAGCCGCACCAAAGCCAGACGGGAGGATGATGAAAGAGATTGGCTGCTCGCTCCTATACACGCAAAGCACGCAAGGTCGCAGCTGAGAAAGGACAACCAGCAGGGTTTGGTTCGTTGACAGGCGTCTAGAACGTGACATGTCGTCGGAAAATTCAACCCTTGGGATGTGACCAAACGTTGGCGACTTGCTGCAGCCATACGATGTATCGTAGCATTGGTCCAGCCTCCATGACATCTCCCGGATGCACTGAAGGGATGAGAGGAATCGTTTTTACAAGCCGAACGACCACCCCTCCACCAAACTAGGTGGACAGGGGGTGGCTGGCCAAAACCAAATAGACGCATGCCGTCCGCTGGTACGAAGGAATAATGCTACTGCTGCTGCTACTGCTAGCTGCTGATATCGCTCCATACAGCTTCGTACTCGGACGAGGCACCGCTACGGGCATTCACTGAGCAAGGAAGCATGGCATAAACCCATGCTGACCTAGATAGACTTTACACGGCTTGGGTCTCGTCTTGCGTCTTGCATCGTGCGGCAGCACAAGTACTACCAGCTAATGTGCCATGCAAATGCCAAGGGCGTTAGTACTTGTGCTTGACCCGATATCCAAATTAGAAGCCCTAGAATAGGCCGAGCCGAGAATGGAGCAAAGTGCGAGCTTCCAGCACTGATTTTTCGCCCAGGCCAAACCCCATGGGGACGCTCGCCTCTCAGTCTGCAGAAGCAAGTTGATAAACACCTGCCAAGTGCTTATTTGCGCAGAGCAGCTATCCCGCACACTCCGTCTTGGCAGCTTTGGCGGGAAAGGAGGTTTTGCTGATCCTCCTCGACTTACAAACTCTATATGCGAAATTGTAAGCACCGTTCCAGACTAATCCGTGCCCGGAGTGACCAAGGTGAGAATTTAAAAAAAAAAAAAAAAAAAAAAGAAAAGAAACAAGCATAATAGAAGAAAACAAAAGAAACGAAATGAAAAGACAAAGAGAAGAGAGCAGTCATATTCGACCGCTTACCCGTAGCACCTGCAGTGCTCTTCCAGGATCCCCCTTGGCGCCACAGTTCATGGCCTCTTTTTCATGCAAACCGACCCGCCACCAAGAGCACAGCGACGGTGGTGGTGCAGTTTGTTTGTTTTTTTCTCTCTTCTTTCTGCTTGTGCATGCGGTAGCGTATGCATCCTACATGTACGCAGGCCGGTCTAATAGGCATGTATCCACCATTCTCAGCGTCCTGGGATACGAACAAGCGGAGGAGAATTGCACGATAACTCATGCAGGGTCAGCTCAATGCTACGGTTGCTGCCCGTCGATATGAATCCGGGGCCAATCGTATTCAACTCTGGACAGCTCTTTTGGGCAGAGTGTCCCGAGACCACAAGGTGGAAGAGAAGGACAACCAAGCCATTGGCACGTGGAATGCAGGCTCAGGCGTGGACGGTGCCTGCGGGACCTTGCTTTGCTCCATCTGGCGATGCCAAGGGCGCAGCATACTGTGCGAGCAGCCTGCATCTCGCCAGGATGCCCTTCTCCTCCTCTCGCTCAGGCAGCATCGCTCATGCATGGTGTCCAGGTCGCATCTCGTATCGGCGAAGGCCAGCGGTGGTCGTACGCCAGCGAGACCACCATGAGCATCCCGGAAAGACCAATAGGCTACGCCATACCGCCAACAACTTGCCGTCAATCCCACCCTCGGAGGGTCCCAGCCGATCTCCTATCCACGCGGAATCACCTGCTAGCGTCTTCCATCGCGCCAGGGAAAAAAATCAGCCGCAACTACGGCGCAAATAATTCCCAGCACAGTCAACAACTTATCACTTATCAAGCGCCCTATACAGTCGAGGCATCCCTGCCAACGAGTGCTATCGCGCGCCAACCCCTGCCAACAACAAGGCATTATCGTTGGAGCCAGATGCAGGCAATATGTGCCTATTTATATATTTCTACGCATACGGAGTACTCGTACATATATCCTGAAACTGTATAGCTACAGTACTGCTTCATGCCGGAATTACGCCTCGGTTCTACATGAATGGCTGCTATAGGTTGACTCGTCTGATTCCGGTCGGTACCACATTCGGCTCAATATTGCCCGCTTTGGGACAGACCAGTGAAGTTTCGGATGCAAAAAGACGCCACCAGCCCAGCGGCCTCATTGGTGATAACAGTCAACATTTGTTGATACGTAAGAGCATAAACTAGCTAGCACTGCTACTCTAACTAGGAGTATTCCTGCGCTCGCTAATGCAGGGTGATGAATCTTCACAGCCGCTCCTCTGGCCCCCTTGTGCCTACCGTGCCGGAGTCAACGACTAACACTGCCGCCACCGCATGGCCTGCTCATGAGCAGCAGCAGTCTGCTTTGCCATAAATGTGAAGTGGCTTTTTTGAAAAGGTCACAAAGGGATGGCTGTGGCGTATCTACCGAGATGACACGGAGTCAAACTGAGCAACCGTCTACACTCAGCCGAATAAACTAACTTTGTCGATTTTGCATCAAGAAGAGCCCTGATCCTGGCGTACGCACCCCCTTACCAGCCCAGCGCCTTATCACAAGCAGAGAAACTGATAAATACTGTACTGTACAGTACAGTACAGTACATTGATTCTTCAAAACGTGGGGGAGGAATCAAGTGATCCTACCAAGCCCGTGCTGCATGCATAATTCCAGAGTGTGTGTTGCTTGACACTTTTTTCCCCTCGGGGAGCACCAGCGCGATTTGGATGTAGAGTCATTTTGCTTTTTTGCTTGTGAGATTTGTAAAATAATTAACCTCAGCTCAAGCCACATTAATATAAATCCATCAGGTGATGGTGACGGCGGTAGGACGAGATCACACCGCCAGAGGGGGGGATGTTCAGCCTCAGTTTGCTCCCCTGTGTCACCCCCCATGGGGATAGAAACCCCGCGAACTGGACATTTCTGGAGCAACTCTTTCGAGAAGTGGCTGGCTGGCGAAGCTTGGACTATGCCTGATTGCTACATACACATACACATACACACCGTAAAGATTACAATAGCATGCAGTAGGATAATCTTGAAAGGGTTACTAGATACCAGGTGCTGCGAAGATGCATATCGTGATGTCGATAAGGCGAGGCTCAAAACAGGGACTCTTGGTGACGGATTTTCTCATCTTCATTTGGCTAATGCGACAGGCAACTCATACTATGCCACAGTATTTGTCAATAAATACCTACTCAGACTAGCAGGACGAGATGACAGCCCCTACCAACTCTGCTGCTTGCGTAAATATATAGGCTTTAGGTGCTTTCAAGCCGCGTCGCTACTTGTTGACTATAAAACCTAGCTTAATACCTTACTACTGCGTTCTTGTCTACAGAGAATCTGTACTCCGCGCAAAGACACCAGGCATGAGGCCGCTGTCCAAAAGTAACCCAAAGTCTTATGTAAAAGCATGCCTTTATATGTGCCCACCAACTCGATCAACGCACCAGTCACATCAAACGAGGCAGGTATAGTATTATTGTACATGTTTTTTTGGTCCTTTTTAGTAGTAGTATCAATCAGGATATTGGAACCTCATTAGCTGTGTCCAATGTAAAGTGTCCCCTTCCCACTCATTCACGGAGCCTTATATCATGTGTACATGGAGGACGCTATATTGAACAACTCCCCCTTTTTCCTCTCTCTTCACCCACCTGGCCCTTCTCTTTTTTTTTTCTTGCTCCTTTACTCAAAATCTCACACACTTAATCTGTACGCTTCAAATCCAACAGCTAGCAAGTCTGCTGCTTAGTATACACGCTTGAAGGGAGGGACAGGCTTGCACTCATTCTCATCCAGAGTGGTGGAAATGACCTTGCGGTATGTCAGGTCCACCTTGCCGTGAGGCTGCTTCTGGAAGCTGAGGGTGTGCTTCATCCAGTTCTCGTCGTCACGATCAGGGAAGTCCTCGCGGGCGTGAGCACCACGGGACTCCTTTCGGGCGGCGGCGGCAGTGGCGGTTTGAACACTATGATATCCCATGATTAGTCACGTTTTCATTACATCGTTGTTGTGTCTGGATTCAATGTTCGGCACTTACGCGCAAGTCAACAAGTTTCGCAACTCAAGAGTCTCAACAAGATCAGAGTTCCAGATCATACTGCGGTCCTTGATACCAACTTGGGAGAAGGTCTGGTCGACCTCGTTCATCCTGCGGACACCCTCATCCAAGCTCTCCTGAGTTCGGAAAACGCTGACCTCGGTCTGCATGGTCTTCTGCATGGCCAGGCGGATCTCGGCGGTGCTCTTGGGGCCGTCAGAAGTTCGCACCTGGTCCAGGACCTCAATGTGCTCAGCACCGGCGTCGGCAGCGAGAGGCTTCAGCTTATCGCCAGGGTTGAAGTTGTCGCGGATAGTGTGGGCAACGGCGCGGCCGAAGACGACCAGATCCAGCAGAGAGTTGGCGCCCAGTCGGTTAGCACCGTGGACAGACACTGAAGCAGCCTCACCACAAGCAAACAGACCAGGAACGATCTTATCCTGACCATTCTCATCAATGGTAAGGACCTCGCCAGTGTATCGGGTAGGAATACCACCCATGTTGTAGTGGACGGTAGGCAGAACAGGGATGGGTTGCTTGGTGACATCGACACCGGCGAAGATACCAGCGGTCTCAGAGATACCGGGGAGTCGCTCGGCGAGAATTTCCGCAGGCAGATGGCTGAGCTGCAGGAAAATATGATCCTTCTCGGCACCGACACCACGACCCTCACGAATCTCCATGGTCATTGATCGGGAGACGACGTCTCGGGAGGCAAGATCCTTGGCAGTGGGGGCATATCGCTCCATGAAACGCTCACCCTCGCCGTTGAGCAGGTAACCACCCTCGCCACGAGCACCCTCGGTGATCAGGCAACCGGCACCATAGATACCAGTGGGGTGGAACTGAACGAACTCAAGATCCTGGTTAGGCAGACCTGCACGGGCAACCATAGCCATACCATCACCGGTACAGGTGTGGGCAGATGTGCAGCTGAAGTAAGCACGTCCGTAACCACCGGTGGCCAGAACAGTGTTGTTAGCCAGGAATCGGTGCAGAGTGCCGTCCTCCTGGTTGTAGGCGAGGACACCACGGCACTCGCCATCCTGCATGATCAGGTCAATGGCGAAGTACTCGATGAAGTAGTTGGCGTTGTATCGGAGAGACTGGCCGTAGAGGGTGTGCAGAAGAGCGTGTCCGGTTCGGTCAGCAGCAGCACAGCATCGGTAGGCCTGGCCACCCTTGCCGTACTTTTGGGATTGACCACCGAAAGCTCGCTGGTAGCTATAGAATAGAAATATCCACGTTTAGCAAATGCCGTGTTGAAAGCCAGAAGAAACACCCATTGCAAAAGAAACTCACATCTTTCCGTCCTCAGTTCGGGAAAAGGGGCAGCCATAGTGTTCAAGCTCAATGATGGAGGCAGGAGCTTCACGGGTCATGTAGTGGATAGCGTCTTGGTCACCCAGCCAGTCGGAACCCTTGACGGTGTCGTACATGTGCCATCTCCAGTCATCCTCGTGCATGTTTCCAAGGGCAGCGTTGATACCACCTTGGGCAGCTACCGTGTGAGATCGTGTGGGGAAGAGCTTAGAAATACAGGCAGTCTTGAAGCCAGCTTCGGCGAGACCCATTGTTGATCTCAAACCAGCTCCGCCAGCTCCCACAACAATTGCGTCGTACTCATGGTCCTAATAGTGGTAATGCATGGTCAATTGACAAGGTCTTTTGCCTCGGCCCGCTGGCCCGGAAGAGCTCTCAATCGGATGGGGGACGACATACAATAACGGGGTATTTGGAGCTGACAAAGGGAGAGGCCTCCTTTGCTCTCAGCGGTCCGTTTGCGATAACACGGGCTGTATTTGAAAAGGCCCATTAGCACATCCAATCCCATCTTCTCCGTTCGCCCTCAATGTTGGATTCCGGATTTGGTTCCGATCGTAAATTGCACATCGCGGGTCTGAAAATGGCCTGGACCTACCTGCTGGTCGAGTAGATGAGAAGGTCCTCAGCTGAGTCCGTGCCAGCCGGGAGAACTATAGCAATCCTAACATCAGCAAGCTGCATGAGACATAAAAAGAACAGGCCAAGAGAGTCACTGCTGCCGGACCAGGTAGCTGCAACCCCCCGGCAATCCGTTTTGCGCGCAGGGCAGTGCGGGTTTCGCAATTCCATCTTGCTGTCATTTTGACGTACCGAAGAGCCAGAGGCCAACTTCCTCAATGCCATAGAAGACGCCATTGTGAGCGAAGCAAGAGATCCGGGGTCACCAGGTTGCGTCCGCGCAAAAAAATTGAACAAAGCAATGGCTGCGAGCTCTAGCAGTAAGGCGATGCTTGGAGGCTCGGCAGCATATGTCACGTTTTCGTTAGATGGGGTCTTCGGAACGGCGTGTGTCGGTCCTCGGCTATCTGGACCAATAAGATGTTGTGTATTAGTAGTGGGCTCGGGATTAGTCAGGATGCTGGTGAACTGCTAAAGGACTCAGCTGTTACCTAGTAGTTCCACTAAAATGCCTGTGAAAATGCAAAATCATGGGCTTTTTTTGTATTTGCGTATACCTATATAAAAACTTTCATCATCAGGTTTAAGCTTTTTCAAAAAAAAAAAAAAAAAAAAAAAAAAAAAGAAGTTTTTTTGCTGGTTCTCTTTATATAGCAATAGCAGGTTAAGTACTAGGTAGTAGTAGTATGTATATAAAGTACAGGTTCAAATTATACCTACTATATAAAGATACGCCTTATTACACGCTTTTTATTTGAATGCGTAGTGTAGGTAGTCTTCTTTTTTTTTTGCATTAGGTGACCTTGTCTAAGCTTGCTTTTCTTTTTCTAACTTAATGTCCATTTTTGGAAGAGGGAGACAGAGGATTGCTTGCTCAGGAGGACTACATAATGCAGCACGATGTGTATAGTCTGGCAGTGTGTCTCTTGGAACTGGGCCTATGGGAAAGCTTTGTCTGCTGCGAAAGCGATACAGGAGCTCAAAGAGGCGATAAGAAGCGTCCATCGGCAAGTTTGAGACTTGAGCTGGACAGTTTCCAATCCCAGGAAGAGGGATCACTCAGGGGGGGGCCCAGCAGTCCTCCTTTTGTCCTCTCACAGTCCTCCCTCATACGCCTTCTATCTACAGTGTCGTCAGTATATTACCAGTGCCATATAAAAAGTCGTCGGTAAATACTCGAATACCTGCGAAGCAGCACGTAGACGCCGAGGAAGCTGCTTTTACACTAGCTGTCAATATCTATAGGCCAAAGAGACCCAAGTTGTCTACTACCTAGTGCTTATATAGCAGACGCTTCAACACTTCACAGGGTCTTGGTATATTGCTCTATAAGTCCACGAGGTCTATCCTTACTCAAATTTACGCAGTCTAATCAATCTAACGACTTGAGAGTATTGGCTTGGCAGTCTATATCGCTAACATTATATTTTCGCTCGTCACAGTGGCTGCAGTTGCTCGATTTGCCCTCTGCGGAATATCATGATCTATTTTAATATTCACCTCAGGCAGGGTTTCTCTCTATCACTGCAACTATTATGAAACAGTCGCCTCAGAACCACATCTCATACCACTGGGTGCGTATAAGAGAATCTCTGTTGCCTGGCCATTAAGTCTTAATTTGGCGGGTTTCTTCTATGCCCAAAACGTCGCATAACACTAAATGTCTATAATAAAAAAACTCGGCATTATCAACGCCTACAGGCCCGCGCCTCCTAGATTTGAGTCAAAATTATCACAACCATGGACAAAAGCTGGCTGCCGTTGCAGTATTAGGAAGGCTGACTCCATTGTGCTGGTACGATGACTCTTCCTAATTTTACTTTGAAGCGCCTGGATTGGCCAATTTCATCTTCTCCGCATTCCCAAGTTACGAAATTGAGCATGAGTGACTCATATTGCTAGTTGCAGGGCAAAATGAACGCCTTTGTCAGCAGCCTTTTTTGCGTGAGGCTTTGCCGCTTTGCCACACCAGCTGCGCGCCCCACTATAATTCGATGAAATTCAAAGATTCCATCCATCGAATATCAAGTCCGCGAGCGCAACATTTCTTGCTGCATCATCACAGCTCGCAGCTCTATTTTTTCTTGTTTGCTTTAATTCCGTTCTCTTTTCAGTCTGTCAGAGCTGCTTATACCCGTTGTTTTGTCGATAGCGCGATATTGCCCGGCTTGGATCCCCAGACTCTCATACATCTGCCCATTCAGCCTTATCAGCATTGCATGCACCAAAGCGATCAAATCGCAGATCGCGCCCAAAGAAGCTCCTGCCAGAGCTCAACCGCGGCCATGCCGGAAGGCGAAGCCTCGCAAACTCAGAACCCATCCCAGAATGCTTCCAGAGGAGCTCCTCGAGCTCGTAGAGGCAGAGGTCGTGGCGGCAGAGGACGAGGAGGACATCATCATGGCGATCAGACTCAAGCAGCTCAAGGGCAGCCTGCCCCGCAACAGGCCAGCTCAGCGAACTCATCTACTCCCATGCCCCAACAAGAACCTGCGGCTTCTGGAAATCCATCAAGATCGTCTCGCGGAGGAAGAGGCCGAAGAGGGCCGCGGCAGAGCGAACGAGGTGGCGCAAGACACAGTGCCCCTCGAGCTCCTCTGCCGGGCCCGTCACGGCGATTTGGCGGCCATCTCACAGTAGAAGTCGATGATGCAGACTCAGAAGCTCCCTCATTAAGTGCAGAGGCTCCTGAGTTTGTCCCGGGCCAGCCGGTGTTGCCAAGGGCGTAAGTAGCTTGATTTCAGTGTACTGTCTCATTTCCTGTAGCCATCCAGTTGCTGATAACCCTCTAGAATGCCAAGAAAATCTGAGGCATCTAAGCAGACCGAGGTTAGGCTTCCAAAATCTACGGCTGCAGACCTCGGAACCAGAATCCACGAGGATATCAGCAACGGCAACTATGAGTGCACCGTATGCACAGATGAGGTCCTTCGGAAATCTCACGTGTGGTCCTGTAACGTGTGTTGGACAGTAGTCCATCTCAAATGTGCTAAAAAATGGTATCAAAATCAAATGAAGCAAGCTGCTGAGAGGCCACAAACAGAGCCTCAAACGGAGAAGTCGTGGAGGTGTCCCGGCTGCAATTCCAAATTATCCGATGAACCAGGCTCCTACCACTGCTGGTGTGGAAAGGACGTCAGCCCAAGGCCCTCTAGTACCTCGCTTCCTCCACACTCTTGCGGACAGACATGCTCAAAACCCAGGGGAACATGTCCTCATCCTTGTGGTCTCCAATGCCACGCTGGGCCTTGTCCGCCGTGTACCCTTGTGGGACCTACGCAGTCTTGCTTTTGTGGAAAGAATACCTCCCAGAAATTATGCAGAGAGACCGATTATGAAAATGGCTGGAGCTGCCAAGAGATTTGCGGCGACCTTTTGCCCTGCGGAGAGCACTTTTGTCCGAACCCTTGTCACTCTGGACTCTGTGGAGATTGTGACCTGAAGGTAGACGCAAAGTGCTACTGCGGGCGTGTTGAGAAGAAGGTACCTTGCTTCGAGAGGCAAGAAATACAGTCATCTTATGATGTTAAAGACGGTTCATGGTTCGACGGCTCCTTCAGCTGCCAGACACCTTGCGACAGGAAGTTTGATTGCGGCACTCACAGCTGCTCTGAAACTTGCCATCCCCAAGATGAACAACCGGCTCATTGCCCATATTCCCCCGATGTGGTTACCTGTTGTCCGTGTGGCAAAACACCACTCGATGAACTCTTGCAGGATCCGAGGCAAACGTGCGAGGACCCCGTACCTCATTGCGAGAGAGTTTGCGACAAGCTTCTTCCTTGTGGTCATACGTGCAAAGCAAAATGCCATACCGGCGATTGTGGATTCTGTATGGAAGACATTGAGATTTCTTGTCGATGTGGGAGAACCTCATCTACATCTGTTTGCCACCAGGGAAATGTCCAACCACCATGGTGCATGAGAACATGCCAAGCCACTCTGAGCTGTGGCCGCCACAAGTGTGGTGAGCGCTGCTGCCCAGGAGAGAAGAAGGCTGCAGAGAGGCAAGCGGCATCCAAGAAGAAAAACCGACAGCCAGGTGATTCTGTCGTTGAGGCCGAGCACATCTGCATCAGGACATGCGGGCGACCGCTGAAATGCGGTAGCCACGACTGCCAGCAGATATGCCACAGAGGGTCATGCGCAAGCTGCCCTGAAGCCATATTCCATGAAATCAGCTGCAATTGTGGCCGGACGGTGCTTCAGCCACCGCAGCCATGCGGGACTCACGCCCCAGAATGTCGGTTTAACTGCCCAAGACGGCCAGCTTGTGGGCACCCGCCTGTTGAACACAATTGCCATATGGACGACATATCTTGCCCCAAGTGTCCGTTTTTGGTGGACAAGTGGTGTGCTTGCGGCAAAGAAAAACTGAAAAGCCAGCCTTGTCACCTCCAAGCGGCTCACTGTGGACGGCCTTGTGGAAAGACCCTTAAGTGCGGGTATGTGACATTTTTTACCCTTGGCTGTCTTCTCTGTGAACTGAAATTAATTGACGTATACTGACACGGTATTTCTAGGCTACACAAGTGCCGGAAGCTATGCCACAGACCAGGAGAGTGTGAAGACAGTGCAAGTTCCAGCCAGACTTGTAGCCAAGTGTGCGGCAAGACGAAGCTATTCTGCGATCATGCTTGCCAGAACACTTGCCACGGCCAGACCTGTAAGTCTAAGTTGAAATCGGAATGAAAACAGCTCCTAACAGAATCCTGCAGCTTGCAACGAATCATCTCCTTGTACGGCCAAGACCGTCATCACTTGTCCCTGCGGTCACCGCCAACAGGAAGTGAAATGTCTTACCAGCAGCTCTAATCCTACTCCATCTCGGCCTGACCTCAAGTGCGACGATGAATGTCTCCGCCTAGAGCGAAACAAGCGTCTTGCCGCGGCTCTCAACATTGATCCCACGTCTCATACAAACGACCACGTTCCGTATTCTGATACTACTCTTCGGCTCTTCAAGGAGAACTTGGCCTGGGCAGAGACCCAGGAGCGCGAATTTCGTGTATTCTCCAAGAGCCCCAACGAGGCACGGCTGAGATATAAACCGATGCCTAATCACCAACGACAGTTTCTACATGTATTGGCGGAGGACTACGGCCTGGAGAGCAAAAGCGAAGACATCGAGCCCTACCGTTACGTCGTCGTCTGGAAGGGCTCCAAGTTTGTCTCTGCACCAGCCAAGACTCTCGCGCAGTGTGTAAAAATCCGAGAGACTCAAGCGGCAGAAGCTGCTGCCACAGCGGCGGCTAATTCAAGAGCTCCTACTCCACCACCCGCCATCATCACCGAGCCGTTCAACGCTTTCCTTCTCACATCTCCTCGATTCGGACTCACCCTCGAGGACGTTGAATCCGCTCTCAAATCCGATCTGGCAAGCCAATCGTCAGCCTTCAATTTCACCACAACCTTCCTGCCTTCAGACGAGATCCTCATCCGCGCCACGGCGCACTACTCCTCCTTCCTGACGCCCACCGCTGTCGAGCAGGCCCTTCAGACGCTGAAGCCCCGTCTAGACGGCACCATCAAGCGCCTCGACGTTGCGGGCAACATCTTGCTCTGCCATGTCGACGCCAACGAGCAAATCTCCCGCAGGGAAGATATCAGCAGGAGCGACGTCTCTGGGTGGAGCGCTGTCGCCGGTCGCGCTGCGGCCAAGAGGGACGACGCGAAGACGGAGACGCCTGCTGCTTCTGCGAGCGGCAGTTCTGGAAAACGACTGCTGCTCGGGCTGAAGAAGAAGAAGGTGGAGGTTAAGAGGGAGAAGTCTTGGACGGAGCAGCTCGGTGGGGATGTGGAGTGTTGAAGCTGATTTGCTTTGACTCTGCTTTTATTTTTATTGTTGTGTTCGATTTGGAACAAGATATATATGTATATATATTAGATGGGATAATGAATCACCCATCATTATGAAAAAGCTGATGTAGTATCAGTATTGATGGTTCATCAGCTTATTGCTACAACAAATGGCATGTATCTTGCATGGAAATTATTATAGTATATATATAAAGGTACGAAAATCACTAGAGAAAAAAAAACGATTAAATAGAAAAAAAAAAAAATTATAATTATGTATTAACCTTCTCTCATACTCCGTATATCCCCATCTATAAATAAACACCTCTAATGGATATGCATCGCCATCTCCCACCATAGCTCGAGCCCCCCGTTCTATAATTTTTTTTTGTGTGGCCGTATCATACATGGAAATATGCTTTATATGCTACCTACCTACCTTGTTCGATGCAAGAGTAATAAAGAAAACGAGAGAAATAGAAAAAGAAGGGGGAAAAACAGACACTGAAAAAGAAGAGAAAAAAGGGAAGCCAAGGCAAAGCCACCCAATGAAAGAAATCGCTTGCAGCACGCGTTCATGTGAAAAAGCGTGGAAGAAGAGGGCGTGTCTATAGATGCGCCCGTCACTGGTGGAGCAATAAAACACACACGCACCACAAAAAACAACAGGCAAAAAAATTTTGTGTGCTGAGTAGCCGAAAGAGAAAAAAAAAAATTCGTTGCACATCGAATTATGTCCCCTCTCCTTCTTCTCGCCGGATGAAGGTGTTCGAAAAATATCAAAAATGCAGCACGTTCGGGGGCAGGGTATATGTATATCACGCGACGCATCTCCCTCCACACACACGCTCTCCAATATTATCGTCACATGGGCCACAGGAACCACCTACAATCCCACGCTTGGCCCGTCTTGCCTGAGGCCGCCCTCTTTTCTATCTAGTTAGCACCTCTCCATTCAATGAAATCTACGGCCCATCAATGGAGCCAGCATGCAAAATCAAATCAAACGCTCAAGGGCCCTGGTACAGAGCTCCCCTTGATGCAATATAAATCGCCACGCTCCACAAGGATATGCCTGCTCTGTGTCATGTCAACCCAGCGAGGCACAGTCTTATAACTGGCTTTTGGTTTCCGTGACGGGAGCATCATTTATGGAGTCGGCTATGAAATCTGAGATGGCTTCAAAGTAGCCCTCCTCTAGCACGCTCGAGTTGTGATCGCCACCCGGGAAGGTCTTCCACGTCTTGCTGAAGGAGGTGGAGACATTGTAAAGCTGGGTCATATGACTAGGTCTGCAGTTGTGTTCCTCTTTGGTTAGCTTTGATATCAGGTATATCAGAGATAAGAGGGAGTGTGAAGAAATATTGGTTGGTGTGGGATCGATCAGGGTTTGATAAAAAGAGTTTTTAATCAGGGCCACGAATGGCTCAGATTTTGTGGGTGATGCAATTTGTTCATCATTTTGATCCCGAAAAAGGTAGATGTGATGGACGTAGCTTGAGTATAACTTACGGAATAATCTCATCTTGCAAACCGCTAAGGAACAAGATGGGAATCTTTGTGATGGAAGGCAAGGTTGCCTCGCTGGGCCAGACCTGGTGGCAGAGCAGCGTGAAGTATTTGGCAGGTGGAAGAACGGAAGGGATCAGTTTGCGCATGGAGAGAAAAGTATTCTCCAAAATCAGACCCGCAATGTCGCCCCGTTCTTGGTTCTTGGCCACTAGCTTGATGCTGACGGCTCCACCAAGGCTCTGGCCGTAGACAACGAACCGGTGATGCCTCGTTTCCGCTCGCTCGCGCAGGTAGTTGAGTCCGGTCTGGGCATCGATCCCCAAGCCCGACTCGTCTGGTTCGCCGGTGGATGCGCCGTAGCCTCGATACTCCAGCATAAAGACGTTGCAACCAATCATGTTGATGAAGACGCGGGCGATGGGCAGGCGGTGACCGATATTGCCTGCATTGCCGTGGAACATGATGATTGTGATGTCCGAGTTCTTGCCGCCACGGGGGCCGCGAATGTAGTAGGCCGAGAGCTTCTCGCCATCGTCGGTGGGGATGACCAGCTCTTCAAAGTCTTTGATGCCGAACTGTGTAGGACGCGGGATGTCGGTTCGTGAGTTTGTCGGCATATGAGAAGGATAAATGAGCGCCCTGCCGTCAGTCGTGGTTAGCTCAGCTCAGGGCTTGGAAAGAAATGAGAGCGGCATGATAGGATCCAGCGCGGGCTGGCGGATTGGGGACTGCGTATTGGGGGCTGGAAATTTGGAACTCGTAAGCTGAACATGACGCACTTTTGTTTGAAGTAAAGGAGGGACGTGAGGATAGCCGCAATGCCCTGTGAGTCGAGGTTCGCGGTCAGTTTTCGCCAATGCAAAGTCGAGGCACTCCTCCTGCACCGTCGCGGGCTTGGCTTACTGTTGAGGCCAGAGCTGGCAGACGCATGTAGCCTGCAGCCGAGGTCAGGAAAGAGGCGGTCTGGCCAAAGTAGCCGTTCATCATGTTGTTGTCGCTGCGGTGGTGGTGATTATGATTGTTGTTCGTTGAGCCGGGAGGGGGTGTGTTTGAGTTTGAGGTCATCTTTCCATTCTTGGGAGAAGGTGTAGTCGAGCGGCGGATTGAATATCGCATGTGGTCCCATACCCAAGCCACAGCAATTCAGCCTGATGACACGACAACATGTAGTCGGGGAAAAAAAGAGGGTCCGCTGGTCTGCGCAACAAGCAAGGCGAATTATAACAGGTATTCGAAATCAAACAGGGAGAGGCGTTGATATTCGTGATTAATTGTGTTCCCTTTTGCGAGACGCCGTGGGTTCAGCGCCTGGATCCGTAATTCTTCCCTTGATCCCTGTTCTGATTGATCCGTTTGCGCGAAAGTTTGTGTCAGGGGTGTCGGATAGCCAACGTCGTCAAAAGATTGGAAAATGCAACAGGAAAACAAGACAAAAATTATATAATTAAACGACAGGTCAGCTTAGTCGACGTGGAGCTGCCGGCGGCCGCTGGATGCAAATGCAGATGCAATCGAATTGGATGCCAACTGTGCAGATGCAGATTGGGTGTGCCGCTGCCTGGAGCAAATGGTCGAATCGTGCGTCGTCCTAAGGCTGCATCGTGGTTCTCAGCGTCCCGTTGGTGGAAGAGAGAAGGTCGGTGGACTGAAGAAGAGAAGCAAATTGAAGCAACGAGGGAAAAAAGAAAAAAAGAAAAAAAAGGAGCGTAAGGGAGGGTGTGAGGATCCGAGGATTGGTCTGAGGATCAGAGAGAGAGAGAGAGGATGAAGAAGAGAAGGAGGACGACGACCAGGATAAGAGAAAGGAAAAGAACGAGAAAAATTCGACGCCAGATCCAATCTAATCCAGGGAGAGCAAAGGACGGGCCTCGGCGGGTATAACGTGCCCCGTAACAATCTTCCAATCTGATAGTCGTTAATGAATTGGGTTAAATGGAAATGAGCTGGCCGAAAATTGAGTGGAAACGCTCAATCTCCGCCAGGCGCGAGCTGGTGGCCGGGCTGCCCTGCCGTTGATGGGCGCGCCGAGCGATTTACCGTCATTTCATTACAGCGTTTATAAGGGCCATTGGTATTAATAGCAGCCACCAGCCTTATGAATATTGTTGTTATTATTGCTATCAGCCACTAGGTATCCATCGTGATGCCTTGCCGATCAGAGCAAGGAGAGAGAAGAGGCGCTATTGCCATGGAGGAAGCGTTTTGGAAGGCAGCGAAGACGACGTGAGGATCTCGCGGCCCGAAGAGCTAGAGAGCGCTAGATCTGGGGGACCCGGGGTTCTGGACTCACTAAAGCTTCTAGCAGCTGAGAGCTCAGCTACGAGAAGCAGCGCCATTATACTGGGTCTCAATGCCATTGTCGCGTGTCTGCCTGGTGCTAGCAAAACAATCTTCATCATCCAACCGGTCAATCAATCGATTGTGATAGGTGGCACACAGAATGACAGCTGTCTGCCGCACTGCATGCTGCATAGCCCTGCCGTATGTATGTATGTGCGTCCGAAGAAGGTAGACATGGATATGGGTCGCTGCGGATATGGGTATGGACACAGCCAGCTCTGGATATGGATATCGCCACAATTGATGATGGATATGGATACCTGTACGGCCGCAGCAGCACTAAAACGGGCCTGCAACCGGGCCTCAACAAAGAACTCTACAGGCGCATCAGATACCGGCGCTGCTGTGCGGTGCTGTCCTGTGCTGTGCTGCAATGCAGACGCTCTGCATCATGCACTTCGCGACCGGCTGCAGCCTCAGCCTAGCCTCACCTCAGACAAACAGCTGATTGCTTACGACGACCGGCGATGGATGGATGTGTCCATGGCCAGCAAGCATACTTCTGTGCATCGACCGCAGCAAGCGGTGTCAGCTTCCATCTTCGGCTCGAACCCAGCCATGACTCGGATGAAGCAAATCAGACTTACCCTACGCTGTTTTCTGCACGGGCAGTGGTAGCACTGCAGGGTTACTGCGCGAGGCGGTTTACATGACAACGCCACATCAAATCGTCGATTTCGCAATCTTGATCCAACATACGACGCACAGCATCCATCTGCCGTCTTCCAATCAAGTGCTACTGATCTATCATTTGCTGTCCATGGCCAATGGCTTATCTGGCACCGCTACATGTAGTATTTCATGTATGGCCAGTTTCAAGATGCCATCATCAGTCACATTCCAGAAGACGTTGGCAAAAGCGACGAGTGCTAGCGGTAATACCTAGCAGTAACAGCAGGAGCACCAGCCGAGGTGTAGACTAGCTGCGGCTGCATCTCCCGGCATCCCTCATCGATTCTGGGATTCTTTTTTTTCGCAACCGGCTTATGCCCTTGGACCTGCATAGCCGGAGGCAGCGGACAAAAGATTCCGTCCGTATCGAGGAGGTGGCAACCAAGAAGAGGAATTACAACTCAGCAGCAGGGGAAAAAAAAAAAGTGACGAAACTCAGAACAGGCACTGCAACGAGGTACACACTTGGTATTACCTAATCGTACAACACAGGAAGATAGAGAGAGACGTGATACATGGTAATATCAGTAAGACACCTTATCTACTGTTTTTACCGACAGCCCATACATATGCGATAGTAGGTATTACACTTCATTTTTCTAATCTTATACACGGGCCATTGACCTCATTCATCATCTTACATCGCCGAGCCAGGCTGAGGGATTCAGATTTGGGCCAATCCGCGCTGCTCTCGCCGGGGTCTGAGCTCTGAAACGTTGTGACAGCAGATCTGGGGCAGCGCCATTCCTGGCCTGGCAGTTCCAATGGCAAATGTCTCTCGCATCGAGCGGCAACACGAGAAAAGATGCAAAAATACTCTTGCTCTTACAGAGGTAGGTATGCAGATACGGCAACTCGGGTCCGTTAATCACGGCATACAAGTGTATAATTGCCATGTGTGTATGAGGCACGCACTCGTATCTAGTAGGTAGTTGATGATGGTGTTGGTGCAGCGCCACCACCGCGAGATGCCTGTAAACTGGCGATCTCATGGTTGTGAGTAGACACCATCCGGCCCTTGGTCCTGAGACACGCATGATGCAGCCATGCATTGCATGCCTCGTCCCCTCCCAGAGGGCCAGAAACAAGGCATGCGGTGCTTTGTTTTAGTCCAATGCTGCTGCTAGCATAGGCCGGAGCATCTCCATCCACCCACCCAACTGGCCATCTACGCATCTAGTCGCCACACGTGCCGCACATCTCATTTTAAATCCTACATATGACCTCTTTTTTTGCTACGGAATGTAGGTGGGCAGTCGGCAGTGGCGCGAGGAGCGCGTGAGGCGGGATAGCGAGAGAACCCGGCCCAGAGGGATGAATCAATGAATGAGCGCCATCGCGTGTTGCTGTTCCAGGCCAATATAGATGTCGATATCACGACTTGAGACATTCATTGATAAGCCCAAACATTGAACCCAGCTGCTAGTAGCATGATGGTTCTACTACTACTGATACTTAGTAGTCATACTAACAATACTACTACTGTAGTAAAGGCTGCGTACCTGTATTAGCACGAGTGGCATTATCCCGGCATTACGACCATTGCTGGTGCTGGTATCACCCACCAGACACAGCACGCGCCTTGTTTTTTTCGTCCCCTCCCGGAACACCATCCGCAGTCCCGCCCTCGCTGTGAAAGGATAAGGGAAGAATATGCATGCACTACTTTAGCAGCAAACCTGGCTGCATATTCCCTGGGCGCACGTAGCGCTGATCCGTGATGGGCCGGCAAATGGGGTCGTCGAGGCACAAGCTCCCAGAGCCTTGAAGGCCTCTCCCCCCTTCACGGCGCAATGCAAGATGGGAGACGCGCATCACATCCACGTCCTGGATTGGGCCGTCCCTGCGTCGACGCAGCAGCAACAAGTGGTGGATGGGGACATGGGCTGCGGTCTCGTCTTGTCTTGACTCGTTTCCCGGCGCTGACACGGAGCCGGTTGGGCGTCTCAAGTGGCCAGGCGGATGGGGGTCCGTTGGCTCTTTGGTTTGGGATGCTTCAGGTTTTGCTTTTTGCGCTGATGTTGGCGCTCGCAGCACAGGATGGGCCAGTTAGCGGCTGCAGCGACGCCGCCAATAAAGGGGGGAAGCATAAGGTTTGCGTTTAAAACCCAGAATCAAGGGGAATACGGGCCAGAGAGCGGTGACGACGGTGTGTTTTCTTCAAACAGCAGCTCGCAGCGCTGCGTGTAAGTATGCAATGCGCTCGACAACTGATGCGGCCCCCATGGCTCTCTCGCTGCTAGTTTCGCATAACAGGTTGGTGTTACAGCTGTGGCGGCACACACAAGCAAAGAGACCGCCTTTTTTCTCTCTCTTTTTCCTTGTCGAGCCTTGCCACGCTGTAACGGTCGTCGTCATCACCGTCGTTTTGGGCAGCTACAGAGCGGCAGTCTTGGTGTTGTTCGTTTTTCGGTGATGAAATCGCAAACCACGTCGGCGCACAGAGTCATTGTCGCCTTGGCTGTTCCCTGCCAACCGTTTGCTGCTTGGGCGGCCAGCAGAGCCCCAAAAGTCGCCTTCGCCGTCGGGCTGGCCCGTTACGACAACTCCCGGGGCGTGGCTTGCGCTGCTTAGCTCATGTGACCGCCAGGGAAATGAAGCTCTTACAGCCAATCGTCGCGCTGCCTCACCCGAGTTTCGACTGGCAGCGCCTCGGTTGCCGGGGCGTGTGCGTAGCAGCGAGATCTGGACTGGGGCATTTCTGCTTTTGCTTCTCGCCGTTCACCGCAGCAAGGCAGGTTTTTTTTTTTTTTTTTTTTTTTTTTTTTTTTTTCCACTTCTTCTTTGCTTTTGGCTTTGCAATTTTTTTTGCTCATCCCACGCTTGGGACGCAAGGCACCAATAGACAAGCCCTAAGGCACTGCCTGATGCCCAACAGGGATTGAGATGACCAGACAGGACGAAGACGTGGAACACGAAAGGAAGAGAAAGGAACAATGTTGCATGTGCAAGGTCTCTCGCCGACGTCGTCGTGCAGAGGCACAGGCAGGGAGAAGCAGAAAAATCGTAGTTGCAGCAGCTAGCCGCTTGCCTTGCCAGAGGATAAAAACAGACAGCAGACGCCGGATCCAAAGCTGGAGGGTAGCATCCACCATGGCATCCCGTGTCTTCCAACAGACTGAATAAAGCCCAGCAGCCGGCTGACTACCGTTTGCAGTCAAGTGCTCTTTTTTTCGCTTTCTCGCTTCTTTGTTGTTGCTACATCTCGCAGCGCTCTTCACTGCCGTTTGAGCTCGCGGCCCTTCCCAAGGTTTGACGCTTCCCCGGCGCTATCAACCGCTATCAACCGCCATCAGGCCCTGGCCGAGTCCCCCTCCACCCCTCTAAATCGCCCCTCCATTCCCCATTGCCCGCCCGCCATTCCCTCCTCCCGTTCGTCGAGGGGCCTATCAGGTAATTTTCTTCCTTCTTCTCTGCCAATTTTTTCCTTCCTCGCTCTTCGCACGCCCTCAAATTCTGAGACGCATTCCTCCAACAAAGCGCTCCCTTGCGTCTCCGCGAGCCTTTACGAGACGCCACGAAACACTACGAAGCCGTAGTGGGCTGCATTCTTTTTGATTCGCTTTGTGCGCTGCCTGTTGTTGCTTTGCCGGACAAAAAAGAAGAAAAATTCTTGCACGTCTCTCCACCACGACCCGCGCCAACAAGGCCTTGCAGCGCAAAAAAAAAAAAAAAACCAATCCAGCTGGAAACGCCCGTCTGCCTGCCTTGACGCTGCACCTCAGCGTCTCCATCCTCTCGTCGTCGAATCGCACCCCCGGCAAAAAAAAAAGCAAAACAAAATAAGAGGCCGCGGCCACTCACAATCCAGGAACCGGCCAACTCTATCGCCGTCCAATCAGTCGCGCCGCCAACATGGTTTCCTTCTCGTGCGAGGTACGCACTAGCGAACTTACATGCTTGTTTATGCCCTCCCGCCTTGTCTAGTCCCTTGTTGTTCTGTCATTCCCTTTTGTGGCGTTGCGCTGGCCCCCCGGTCATCTCTGCTTCCTCTGCTGTGCGCAGCATGAGATGGCCCTTGATAGCCTGACATCACCTTTGCTTTGCACACGCCACCCTCCTAGTCCCGCAGCTCTTCAGATGCCACCACCACCCTCTGCGCCGTACGAGCATTTCGCAACAAGGCGCCGCAACGCTATTTCGAGCTGCATCCCTCATGCCCCGTTCCGCTGATCCCCTCTGGTCCACTCGGCTGTCTCTCAAACTCCCCTCCCCCTCACCCCCTACCCTACGCTTCCTATATCCATCCACAGCTCGCATCACCTCGTCTGCATTGCACTAGTCTCCTTCTCAACTCCCGAATCCTCGACTTCTTCTCTGACTTTGTTTACATCTAGGCGTGTGGTGACGTCCTGACCAAGAAGAAACTTGATCCTCATCGCAGTCGTTGTCACGGCGCAACCTTTACCTGTATTGATTGCATGGTATACTTTCCCGGCACCCAGTACCGTTCGCATACTGTAAGTCTCCAGCTGTTTCCTTGACTCGGGGGGAGCTATCGCATCCTTGTCTGGCCATGCTATGCTGTTTGGCAAGCTAACATTCAGTCAGTCTTGCATGAGCGAAGAGCAGAAATATCAAGGCGCATTATACAAACCAAAGCAGAACAAGCAGCAGCAGCAGCAGCAGCAGAAGCAACAGCAACAGCAAAACCAACAACCCAACATGAACTCGCGCCGTTCAGACATGGCAAACACACTGGCCCTGCAGCCATTCGTGGAAGACATCGGCGAAGATAAGGAGTACGAGTCGTGGCACGAGTACGAAGTCCATGACAACCAGTCTCCTCCCCCAAGGGCCCCAAGCCCTCCAACTGCCTCCGGCGATGAACACGTCAACGTTTTCGATTTTCTGGACAACTCACAAACCCCAACCGCCTCCAACGTCAGCCGCCCTCGAGAGCGAAGAGCCCCCGATACGTCCGACGCTACCTCTCTTGTCCGCTACGAATCAAAGACTGGCGAGCTCCTGGAGCCTGCCGCTCTTATGGACCAAGATAAAGAACCTCTTGTACAATATGGAACCGGCCCTGTGCCTACCTCTTTCGCCACCCCTCACGCCAAGACTGAGCGACGAAAATCAAGGGAAGGCGATCTGAAGAAGGACAAGAAGCGGAAGCGCTTGCACGTTGACGTCGCTGGCGACCAGATCATGGCAGACGCACCTCCCGTTCTCCATTCCGGCCTTACTGGCGGACTCAAGAACATGATGCGACCCGACTTCCCACCTTCACCTGATTACTCTGGAGATAACATTGCCGAATCGCCAACAAGCCCGCTCAAGAAGACAAAGCACACCCGACACCACAAGAGCCACCACCACCACACAATGAACAACAGCATCTTTGGCATGATTTCTGGCTCTCCACCAAAGGTCAAGTCGAGCAAGCACAAGTCTTCCTCTAAGAAGCACTCTCATCATAAGCACGACAAGAAGGAGCCCAAGCTCATCGAGTACCGACCAAGCTCCAAGGAGGGCAAGCGGGAGAACCTTGACGGGCAGATGATTGTCTTCAAGCCCCGCGCCGACGTCTTTCTCAGCTTCGTTAACAAGGGACCAGAGAGCGAGCGCGGCTGCAGCATGAACAAGGCATTGAAGCGATTCCACCGAGAACGCCAGGCTGTTGGTGCTAGTACTCCCAAGATCAAGGACGAGAAGGAGTTGTGGCGATCACTGAGACTTCGACGCAATGACCGAGGCGAGATTGTTCTCTTTTCTATATAATTCAACAAACAAGAAGTAAAACAAAGAAAAGAACAAAAAAAAGGAAATCCAGAAAACCCAACAAATAAAGAAAAAAAATCCGGCTGATTCTACTCTATAGAATGGAATCTGCTAAATGTTACATGGATACAGGAGTTTTGCCGAATTATCTTGTTTTCTCTGACAGCGTTTTTACATGCTTGGTCGGAATGGAACTGTACCATTATGTCTTTCTATCTGTCATACTATTCTAAAGGGTTATGGATAGACGGGCAAATTTTTGGCCTTCCCCCTTGTACCAACATTATCATTATCATCATCATTATCATCGACATCATTTCCGCAATCTTCTAGCCGAGCTGGCGCCGTCGTGGAAGCAAAACGGTCCCGTTTTGCAGATGACGACTGGGCGACCAGCTGTGCTATGAAGCGGGAGCTTGTCATCCACCTAATCTTGTGGCATTTTACCTTTTATTATTATTATTATTATTATTATTATTATTATGGGATGGAAACTATGGGCATCTGGGAGCGGTAATGACGGAGGACTGAATGATACCATGAAAGAGGAGGCGCTGAAAGGAAAACTATATCTTCTTCTTTTCACCAAACTTTTTTTTGTCTTTTCACTTTTTTTCTCTTCATGTACGATGGCATATGAGGTGGACGATTTGGCTGAGAAGCCTAGCAAGGCATGGTTCTATTTTGTCATAGCTTTTGATGATTTATTTCCCTTTGTCTTATTCTATCCATTTTTACTGCTACTACTACTACTACTATGTACAGAGTATTACAAGTCTAGCATCCAAACATCATCTGATTTGTTTGTTAAAAAAAAAAGAAGTTGAAAAAAAAAAATTACGATTCGCTCACATCACGCGTAATGGGAGGATATGCTGCACCATGGCCTCTCTTCTACATAGAGGGCATTCGGGCTTTTCTCTGACCCAATCGCCGATACACTCCCAGCAAAAAACATGGCCGCATTGCGTAGCCGAAGGGTCCTTCATCTCCTCGAGACATAGGGTGCATTTCCGTTGCTGGCTTCCCTTGATGTATCCCATGTGCTTTTCGTTTTCGAGATTGAATCTCGGGACGCCGCTGCTCGTGGGGGTATTTGTGACTCTTGCGATATCCAACTTGCTCGCCTGGGGCCCATTGCTGCCCGCGCCGCTTAGGAGGAGGTCGTTGTTGCTCGCGGAATAGGTATTGTTGTGGCTCAGCGAGACTTCGACCTCGCCGGAGTGGAATCCGGCTCTCTCTCGCTGCGCGGCTGACGCCGTGGAGGAAAAGGTGTCGCGCACGTGGAGGAAGGCCTGCACGCCCATTTGGATGGCGAGGAGGATGCCCAGAAGCTCGTAGCCGCCGCGGTCGGGAGTATCAGGCACGGTGCGCGTGAAGACATATCGGAGGGAAAGGAGGCGCTTGGTAAGCTCGTAGTACGTGCCGTTGAAGTAGAAGAGCGCGAGGACGACGGCCTGGAACGGCGCGGCGGACGTTATGGACGAGAGATGCGCAGAGAGATACTCGCATACACGCGCCTGGCGGGACTTTGCCTTGCCCTGCTGGCGCAGCGTGGCCAGGCGGCGGTCGAGGAGGCGGCGCAGACGGGCGCGAAGGGCCGGGAGGATGCGGCCGGCGAGGTAAGGCAGGAGGACGGTGCCGGCGATGTAGGCGGCGCGGGTGCGCAGGCCGGGCAGGGCGAGCGACGAGGCGGCGTCGACCTGGACGAGGTCGCAGTATTCCTCGCCGAGGGTGCGGTTGCCGGGGAGGGTGGTGAGGGCGAAGTAGAGGAGGGCGGCGGAGGTGCGCAGCTCCGGGGCGAGGGAGTGGGCGGAGCGGGCGCCGAAGAGGCGGCGGTAGAGGTCGGTGAAGGAGTTTGCGAGGTGGCCGGTGAAGTAGGCGTCTTTTTGGTGGGAGCGGACGATGTCGGGGGCTGTGGCGAAGGGGTAGGGCGTTGTGGAGGATGCGGATGGGGGTAATGATGGTGATGGTGATGGTGATGCTGGTGTTGTTGTTGTTGTGGCCATGGCTGCTGGATTCTGAGGTGCTGCGAATTCAATGCTGATGTTTGGGTTTTTGGTATTGTTTAACGAGAGGAGATATTCGTCAGGGTAATAGCATATCGCAGTTTCAAAGCGCTGATGATGGAAGGCTGGCTGGATTGGTAATGTTGTTGGAGATGGAGGTTGGAAGTTGGAAGTTGGAAGATGTCTTGGGTAGCTTTCGGCTGTGCGGTAGCGCTGCAGCTGGACCTCGGGACGGGTTTTTTTGGAAGGACCCATGTGCTGTTGCGATCGGCTAGCCTAGAAAATATGCGCCGAAGGAGGTGTGCTAGTGACATGCAATACCTGCTATACTACAGCATCGATGGTATGAATTGCAGGGTAAACGTAGAGAAGACTGCTTTTTGGTCAGAAGAAGGGACAAAATTGATACCATAATTACAAAAGAAAAGGGAAGAAATTATGAAATTATGTAACTATATCAGTGTCTTATTATTGATATGAAGAGGCGCTTTGCTGATTGTGAAAGAAATATGTGCTTTGAGTAACTAACAAGTATAACGAAGGTACTACAGACCAAGAATCAACCACAATTGCTTTGATATATCTACAGATGGCAATTGAATAGACACTTACTAGTAGTAAATAGTTGGTACTGATATGATGCAAGATATGTTATTCCAAACCACTGCACAACCCCGTCGTTTCAATCCAACTCGTATTGACCTCTAAATAAGGTTATGGCACCCATCAACACATGTGTAGCTTGTAGTCTAGGCTGCCTAAATCTTTAGCACCAAAAACGGGGCACAGATTAGATTCACACCACTGCTGTACTGCAACACACTGCTGGTTGCGGCAGGGACCTTTTTCCGCACCTATCCACTGATTAGGGACAGCTTGGTCTTCGCAGCCTCAGACATCATCTCCTTGTTCGCATTGCGTCGACAATCAACCGGCCAGCAACGCTCAACGTGCGCAGGAAGAGCACCGTCGTTTATCCTCCCGCCTTTCAGGGCCTGTCACAGAGGCATCCTCCCTATGTCTATTCCTTTCATGGTCCTTTGCAGGTGCAATTGGTTTGACAAGACATTTCCACCATGGACGGCGATCCTGCCGTTGAGCCCCAGCTTGACGGCTTCAGTCTGACATTTCCTCTGCCATATCGTGTCGGCTTTATCGTCACTCTAGGTTGGTTTTCTCGTGTCCCTATTCGTTAAATCTCCCTTTTGTGTAATGCGCCCATATGCTGACAATCTGTGCTTCCGGCTGGTAGCTGTCTGGGGATGGGGCCTCAACCTCCATTGGCTGCATGCCTTTCGAATCGACGTTCCCTCCTTAATCCGATATCCCGGACGGAATTCGCCGCAACATATATCACACCACTTATCGACATACCGACTCGCCATAGTTCTGTCGGCTCTATTCTCGCTGTCCATCACGGTATTCTGGCTCTGCACCTGGCGCGTGCCGTCCAGGGTCATTGCCTTCGACTGGATGCCAATGACATACCTCGTAGCGATAATCGCATTTTTCTTCGTCCCTCTGCGTAATCTGCCTACTGGCGGACGAAAGCGCTTTCTAGCGACACTGCGACGGGTTAGCATTGGCGGGATTGCAGAGGCCAAGGATGGCAAATTTGGAGACATTCTGCTGGCGGATGTCTTGACATCGTATGCCAAAGTATTTGGCGATGTTTTTGTGACGCTGTGCATGTTTTTCAGCGCGGGAGGCTCCTCGACGGATCATCCGAATAGGAGCTGTGGGGGTACACTTATTATTCCCATGCTCATGGCTGTGCCCAGCATCATCCGATTCAGGCAATGCCTCATTGAGTACCTGAGAGTTCGGCGGGCCCCGTACAAGGAATCTACGGGCTGGGGTGGACAGCACCTGGCGAACGCTTTGAAATATTCTACCGCGTTTCCTGTCATCATCACCAGTGCCATGCAAAGGGGGGTCGGGCCGGACATTGATACGGCTTCCTTGCATCGAGCCTGGCTAGTGGCAGTGTTGGTGAACTCGCTCTACTCCTTCTACTGGGATGTTGCCAAAGATTGGGATCTGACGCTCTTTTCATCAAGAGAGCGGGTATCAAACCATCATCCGTGGGGGCTACGCGATCGGCTTGTCTTCCGCTCAGCTGGCCTATACTACGGTGTCATAGGCCTTGATCTGATGCTACGCTGCTCGTGGTCGATGAAATTGAGCCCGCATCTGGACAAGTTTAGCGACTATGAGAGCGGCATCTTTTTGATTGAGCTGCTGGAGGTGTTTCGGCGATGGATGTGGATTTTTTTCCGTGTTGAGACGGAGTGGATTAGGAATTCCTCTACCGGTCTCGGCGTTGACGATATTTTGTTGGGTGATTATCAGGGAAAGGACGACGATGACGATTAAGCGGTGCAAAAAAACAACTCAATGGAGTGATTAAAGGCTATTTTGGGAGACATCTCACTCTGTCCATGGCAATTGGCGCGCTGGGATGGAATCATTTTTGATAATATCTTTCTATTTATATAGACCTACCTTACATATTATACCTAGTTTTCGTACATATATTGCTCACTACTAGGTAATAGTTTGTACCTGGGGTCCAAAAGGAATTGGGGGCGGCGGACTGCTATGCAAGCTGCAGGCAAGGCTGGCTAATGAGCAGCTGGCCACGCCATCATAGGGATTAGAACGGACGACACGGCCTGGGTGATTGGGGAAATAGAAGACGTCGGCTAAGCGTTCATGGATCTGCCAATTTTATTTATTTTTTCTCCGACCAGGCTGTTGGCCATCGCCGGCTTCAACGGCTAGCTTGAAGCGGCTCTGCCGCTAAGACAATATATCGACACGACCAGGCACGGCAATGGACGGCCCACGCGGAGAAGAATAACGATTTCCGATACGAGCAAAGGAAATGAATCGAGTCCGCAGGCGCGCATTAATACTATGGCGCTCAATGTCCGTTAATCGTCAGCATGAAGAAGTGTAATTAGCTACGAAAATCATGGGCTTGAAAAAGGCACGAGCCTGCGGAGCTCGTTCTCTCAGGACTCCGCTTACAAGGATGGATTCATGGCTTGAGGATGATCCCACTCCCCAATCCACAAGCATATGCCTGCACTCCGTATGTCCGTGACTGCGCACCTGCATTCGCGTCTCAAGTGTGCTTCGCATCATGGACGGACACTTCGGGAGGCAGGACGGCTGTTTTAGAAGTTACAAGGATCATCTCTGTTCTCTCCCCACTCGCTCTTCTTTGGCCCCCTCTTCTGTCTACGCCAAAAAAAAAGCAGCACATCTTGAGAGCGAGCAGAATGAAACCCCCAAAAGAGCAGGACAAGATGCTCAGGCGACGTTGCAGCGTCCTCGTCGTAGAGGGGCGCAAAGGCCTTTGCCCTGCAGACCACGCCCCCGTTTAAGCCCTTGGCGTCAGCGTGGCAGGTTTCCGCTGTGCTCCATTCCGGTCCCTTGGGTTGGGCTAGTCTACTGACAGACGCTGGCAGTGCTGCCGAATAGTGCAAGGAGGCATGGCAGAGACAAGAGCTTGCATGGTAATGCAGGTAGTCGCGGCATGGATGTGCCCGTCGCAGCGGTGCGGGTCATGGGTACCATGTGCCGGACAGGGGCACCCCGAGCGACGTTGAAAGCGAGATTGCGGTCCAGGCCCAAGGAGCTCCAGGACTCGTATGCTGGGTTGAGCTCGGGGATTACCACCGTGCTGCATAAACGGGGGGAAATGCGGCGGAAGAGCACTTTTTACGCCGTGCAGAACAGTCGACCGAGGTACTCCATATCCGGTGAAGAAAGCAGGAAGAAACGAGGCTTAAGCAGGGTGGCGGCGATTGAGGTGCCGAAAGGATCAGACTGGAATGGTCATGACGCAGCGAATCTGCGTTTCGTGTGGGTGCCAGATGGGACGGAAGGCTGAGAGAAGCAAAGAAGCAACAGCAGTAGGAGGCAGACGATGTCACATGGGACGACACTAGGAAACGAAACGAAACCCCAATGACGCCGGCGCCGCGCATGGGCATCGCTAGGCAGCCTTATCCGGACCGCAGCCCCCCAAGGGTTGTGCAACTTGGCAAAGGATCATGGCTCCTGTCCAGCGGGCCACGGGCCGCCTGGGCTGTCAAGTGTCATTAGCATGGCGGTTTCTTGCCCGTTTTCTATTCCTGCCGCCGTCCTGTTTAGCCTTTTTGTCGTTGACAGGGCCGAGTGGCTGTGGTGTAAACGAGGCACCTCGCTTTGTCTGCGGGCTTTGCTCGTGATTCTCGGGTGCTTGTCAGTGGAGTTTACTATGTTCTCTGTCATGTTTTGTTTTACGCATATCATTTGTCCTTGCCAAGCTGCTATAGTCCAAATAGAAGAGTGGGCAAAGTGCTCCTCCTCCACCCGGCAGTGATGATCGGCCATGCCGGCTGAGACTGCTTATAGTATTCGTGTATCATCTTACTGCTGGCTTGGCTATCCACACCCTTCTATCCACGCCCTATATGAGCTTTTTTTTACGTGGTAGTATATTAGAGGTATTACGTACTCCTACTGCTGAGCCGTATGCCGGACGATATATGCACGCTGTATATGCAGTGGTGTAGATCAAAGTCCATGATTGCTGTAATACTCACGACATGCCTCTTTGGTATCACGTTGTGCACACCACCACAACGGATTACTGCATCTGACGTTCCTATACGCAACCACACGATTGCACGCACGGCCGCTGGATAGCCAGTTATTCTTCAGAGCATCAACTGCTGCCTGTGCATCTCGTCTCTCTCGCCCTCTTTTAGCTTGAGATCGAAGGGGTTGGTAATCCTTGTGGGGGTGGCTCCAAGCACGGGCTCCGTGGTGTGGTTTTTCTGCTCCATCGCTGTCACTGTCAATTTCATACCCCAGAGGCCGGAATACCCAGTTCCACGTGGATTCCTTTGGGTAGCCTGGCCCTGCTGCTGCGCATTGCTTGCGTTGGGGTCCGCCTGTCTTATTATACCAGGTGCGCCCGCTGTTTGGTTCCCGGATCTCTTCTTTCATTAACACTCTTCAACAGGCCAATCTTTGGTTTGAGCTGGAGACAACCTCACCCAACTGCTGGCTTTTGGTTCCTGAAAGTGTTATTCACAACCGAGAAGATGCTCCACACGCGGTCCGTCTCCGATCCGCCGCTCAGTCCAACGACGCTCAGTCCCATGGAGTCGTTCGCCTCGCTCAATCGGCCGACGACGCCTTCACCTGCGGCACCACACAATGCCCAGGCCTATGTGGCGAGGCCGCTTCCGCCTCTGCCTCCTCCAATGTTCAACCCGGGGGCTGTTCCACCGCCTCTGAATATCAGGAAGAGCAAACCACCTTCCCTTCCACTAGGACCGAGCGCGCCGTCTCGCCCGGTATCGAATGAAGCACCACCGCCACGTCGTGAAGCTCGAAGCGTCTCGCCTCTTCCCGCTCCCAGTACCCCCATTAAGGGCTCTAATCCTCTTCATCTTTCGACCATTTCCAGTAACAACTCTAGCCCTGTGCACACCCTCAAGCCGCGGAAATCCAAAAAGGTTCTGCAGCTTATGGGACACGACATTGACGTAATGAATCTTGTTGGCGTTGCTCCTCCGGAACCCAAAAGAGAACCTGTTCTGAGAAGCAGCCGAAGCCTTGAGGGTGCGCCAAACTTGAACGCTACAACTCTGCTGCATCTTCCGGAGGAAAGCTTGATACCGGTTTTGGAGGATGACGACGGCAGAGATAGCATGTCCAGCAAGAAGAGCTCTTGGGGACCGGGATCGCCGCATTCCGCCTCCAGACTACCTTTGGGCCCTAAACACTCTGTCCGACGCCGCCGCAGTGCTAGGATTTTCGATCAGGATGATACTGGGCATTTGGCTACTCAGGAAGAAACCATGATGTCCAACTTGGATCTGAACGACGATGAAGAATTATTAAGTGAAGAAGACATGACAATGGAAGAGTATCACAAGTTTGCTTCTGAGCTTGCCACCTCTTCTGTGAGCAAACCTAGCTACGAAGAGTCACGGCCTACCACAGCGACTCAGGGCAGGCGGTCGTCCATCTTGAGCTTCACACACTCTCGCCTCCGAAGGAAGCCAACCACTTCCGAGTCTCGCCATGGGAGACTGGGCAGCAGCAGCTCTGCCGAAAACCCACCGCAGGCACCAACAGTTCCTGCAGCACCTGAGGTCGAAGACGTCCCGAAGAGCGGATGGGATAGCGACTCAGACAGTGAGGATGATCGCACAAGCAGGAGCATATGGCCCAGAGGCCGCTCTTCCAACAAGGGGAGAGACTCGCCGGCCAGCATGACACGCCCGGATGATGACGCGCGCGGATCGCGGGGATGGGCGAAAGGAGGCCTGTTGAATGTTGGCAAGAGGCGAAAGGAGCAACAGCAACAGCATGCCCCGCGAGACTTTGGCAGCGTGGACGAGAGAAGCTTTGGATAGAGCAAGCGCGCACACATACACACTAAAAGTTTTATTTTTGGCTACATTTCTTTTCTTCTCTTTTTCTTCTCCTCTTTTTTATTTTTTTGATGAAATGAAGGCACGATCAACAAATGGGTATGAATCTATGGACAAGCATGGTGGATTATACTGGGGCTCTCTCTCTCTTTTTCTTTCCTTGTTTTTTTATACACTCTCCCTGTTGTCTGTGTTTCCTCTTTCTTTTGTTCCCCCCTCTTTTTTTTGGTGCATTCACGGAGTTAATGGTCTTGCACTTGGATATCCCCCCCCTTGGTTGGTTGGCAATTCGCCATTGAATTATTTTATACACGACTTTATATACTATATACCACGGGCTGCTATTTTGTATGTTATTGATAGAAAAGATTGGACACCAACGGCCCTTAATACCGAAACATAATACTATCTCATGAATGGAACTTGCTTGAAAAAAAAAAAAGAAAAAGAAAAAAAAAACTCTTTACTGAATCTGCTGTCAATAGTGTCTTGGCAAGCAATATGGAATACATAATAGTGTTCATCCATGTCCTCCTGTTTTAACTCCTGCAGTAGAGTAGACGCTAAGCTTTATGTCGCTAATAAGGCCTAAACAACTTAGCCAGGGGATCGCTCGCGACGGGCCGATAAGGGAAAAAAGAAAAAAAAAATAAGAAGAGGAAGAAGAAACTCCACTGGCCCCGCGGACCGCTGAAAGACGGGCGCCAAGAGGCATAGTCCTGCTATTTTGGTCAATAAGGTGTGGCACGAGCTGATCATTTACGGCAGTTGGTTTTTTGACCAAACGGGCATTTAACGCTGATCATATACAAGTTAGGCTGTAGAGAGAAGGTTGGTGGGTAAATTGATGGGTATGAAAGACACAGCGAGAAAAAAGCGTTGCTGGAGCAAAGAGTGTTGTGTCTTATCCTGCGCCTTAATATAGCATCACAAAAGCATCTGGTAGCATGTATGTTTTCTTTTATGTAACGTGACAGACGTAGACGGGAGTTTCTATTTTTGATATCGTCCTTGTGTTTTTTTTTTTTTCTTTTTCTTTGTTGGCTTGTGGAATGGGGAGAGACGGCGTGACTTGTGCAGGCATGCGGCGTAATGACGACGATGGAGTCGGGAACCAAGGGATGGGACAAGTTGGTATGTTGGTGTGTGCCTTGTATTCTCGTCTCTTTCAGCTTCCATTTTTCTAGTAGTAAATAAATGCCATGATAATTTACTTGTATTCTAAAGTTGGTGTAGGGAATACTACTGCGTCGTTGTATGTGAATCGAAAACCTAGTCCCTAGTAACAACTATGTAGCTCAGCAATCTAGATTGGCGCCATCTCTGGCCACAAGATGCCTTTTTGTCTTCTAGACGAACCAAGACGTTGCTTTGCCATCGGCCGATCAACCGAGCCGACGATGCGAAAATTTCTCTCGAGAAATCATTATTATTACCGTTCTCCCGGGTAACGGAAAACAACAGCACATTTCTCTCATCCATATGAGTTTTGTGTTTTGTCTCAGTATAGGCCAAGTCCCACGGGCGGCAGTGAGAATCCTCGCCTCATTTGTTGGAATGCCGTTGTAGCTAGTAATTTGGCTGGATCTCGATTCATTCTGAATGAGCTTATTCTGCGTATTCTATTAGATTATTCGTCTCCCTGGAAGAAGCTCTCTTTGAAATATATAAACGTTGAGATGTTCTGCCAAGAGGATGCGTTTTTGGAAGATTCATTCTCATCAGCATCGTCTTCACTTTGCATCCGCTCTCTTCAGTCACTCACTATAAGAACCATAATTAAATACCAATTACATAATATTATAGAACAAAAAAAATACCAACAAAATCCACCAAGATGCGTTCCGCCATCGTCTTCACGGCCTTCATCGCCACGGCTCTCGCCGACTGGAGCGCCACGAGCGCTTCGTGGCCCACGAAGACGGTAGCGCCGGCGTCGCAAGATGACTGCGCCAACAGCTGCCAGTACGATTACGACGAGTGCTGTGGCGCTCCTGGAGCCAACCTGTCGACATGCAGCTCTGAATATGCAGAGTGCTTGGGCTACAACTCCTTTGACGGCCAGCAGCACGACTACGAGGAAAAGCAAAAGACCACCACCGAGTGCTCCACAAAGCCCACTGCCACTGCCACTGCCACTTGGGCTTCTCACTTTACTCCTCCCCCTACACCGGCGCCGCCCCCTTATCCCAAGGTGGACTGCAAGCACGTCAAGGAGTGCACAGATGAGGTCGACAAGTGCAGAACCAAGCCGGAAGCCAACCAGGCTGAGTGCTCTGCCGACTACGCCAAGTGCCTCGGCTTCAACCCGTTCACAACTGATGGCGCGAACTTGCTCAAGAAGTGTGAAGAGGAGGGCTACAAGCCTGGCCGCAACGAGACTGGACCGCCTCACCCTAAGCCTCCTCCTGTCATTGTGTCTGGTGCCTCAAGCGTGAATGCATTGGGATTCGTTAGCTTACTTGCTGCTGCTGCTGCCGCTGCTCTTCTGTAAAGGAGTGAACTTGGGTGAACATTTATAGACTTGGAGTTTTGGTTGTTGGATGACAATTGTTCATGGACACCAGGGGTTAATAATAAACAGCTGCAGTCGCCCACCCATCCATACACCGGGAATGACCTTTAGAGCATAAATATTAATAAATTTCCTTTCCGTTCTCGTCTCGAATTTTCCTCTTAGTGTTTGTGTAATAATAACGAGTAGCTCTTTTTGGCCGAGTCTTGTGCTGTGTAAGAGAAGCACCGCGTCGTCGCATCGATCAGACCCAATCTCAGCAAGTACCGAATCGAATCGAATCGCATGCCCGGCGTCGGCCCGCTCCCTCGGCTGGCCTGTGTCACCCACCGGCTCCAAGGACCCCGCCCTCCGCCAAATTCCCAGATCTTGCATCCACTTTGCGATTTCTCCATTGACAAATACAGCACTTGTACACGCCCTTCCCGACGCAAAGCGTCTTGACAAGCTTCAAAGGCGAATTGGGCGGCAAAAGCGACCAGAGATATCGCCTTTTGCCCATTTCCCCAAGCGCGAGGGAAAAGGAACCAAAACATGACTGCTCAACAACACCAGCTGCAAGGCCAAGAAGAAGAACCAGATTCAGCATCTGCTGCCCGATCCGCGCCAAACCCAGAACCGGAGGTCGACCCCTCCGACACCGCGCTCTCCGAGGCCGAGGTTGCGCAGGTCAAGAGGCACATCGCCGAAGCGCTAGGCGTTGCCAGCCACTCTGCAGACGAACATACAGGCGCATCGCTCTATTATGATGCGTCGACCATGGCGCCGCTGAATTCTTTCTCTCTGGTCAGTTTCTGTTGCTTCTTCCGAGCTAGGGTGGCTGCTTGATGTTGCATCGCTTGCTTATACAAACGATAGGCCGCGCTCAACAGATTCCGTGCATACAAGCCGCCCTCGTTCCCGCTATGGGATAAGTTGCCGGCGCGCAAGCGAGCCGCCGTCCTGGTACTCCTGTTTGCGGACCGATGGGGTGATTTGCGAGTCGTCGTTACTATGCGCGCGGCCAGTCTGCGCAGCTTCTCGGGACATGCGGCGCTGCCGGGCGGCAAAGCAGACAGCAAAGAAGAGACGCCATGTATGCATTATATACACGCCACTTTCAAAGATGATATAAACTTGGTCGGCTAATTTGGGGATAACAGACCAGATTGCGCGGCGAGAGGCATATGAAGAGATAGGACTGCCCATGGACGATGAAAAGATACCCAAGCCGTTTCGCATCGAGCAGCTGTGTTACCTGCCACCGTCCTTGGCGCGGACGCACCTGGTGGTTACACCCTGTGTCGCATTCCTGCATGCCGATCAGACCTCTGCCGATTCACCGCCTGCGTTGGTTGAAGAATCCATGATCCCTCGACTGGATGCGCGAGAAGTCGCTGCCGTCTTTAGTGCTCCCTTCTACAACTTCCTCAAGGCCAACGACCTGCCGCCCCGGGAAGGCGAAACGCTACCCCCGGGGCACTGGTATGACGGCGCTTGGACAAACTGGAAAGGAGAACAGTGGCGAGTTCACAACTTTTACGTGCCTGTTAACAATCAGAAAGTATCAAGGCCGAGAAGAGGAAGTGCGGCTCAAATAGAGCTGGCAGACCAGCTGGAAGAGAGCCAAGATCACGAAGGCCGATTCAGAGTCTGGGGCATGACTGGTAGAGTGCTCGTCGACGCAGCGAGGATTGCATACAACGAAGAGCCCGAGATGATACACAACCTGGACTTTGGAGATCTCAATGTCATCAGGATCGCCGAGGAAGAGGGTGCATTAGACGAGAGCACCCTCCCGGAAAAGAAAGGCAAAGAAGAAGAGCAGAAGCCTGCCAAGATGTAATGAAACTGAAACTGTCATAAGATCAGGCAAGGCCGCCATGTTAACCTTGAGGCGACCCCGTTCTGTCTATTTTGTATACGCAATAGAGTAAGACGAAGGTTTCATCCACAACGCCATACAGATAGAGTAATTATTGTTGCATGTAAATCAAGCATTTCAATCATTTCGCTTTCTAATGCGCATTTGAAGCACATGAATCTGGGAGCAGCTGTAATAGACCGTATTCCTTAATGGCAAGCATTATCCTTTGTTGCGGACGTGGAATGGCCGAACAAGAGGTAGCCGAAAAACGCACCCAGCGAGACGGCTACCATAACCCAACCGTTATAAGTCATAAATACAAGCCTTGATATTGCGTGTGATGAGATTAGAAAGAGAACTAAGCCGCGAAAATCCCAGACGCCAGCAGGATAAATGGACTCACATGAGCATAAAGGCGTAAAAGTTCTGAAAGGAGTAGAGTAGGGCTTTGATGAGGTGGCCTCGCTTGCTGGCATCTTCGCGGTTTTGCCCTGAGCGGTTGAAATCGGGTGTCTCAGCAACATTATTTTCAACGTCATCATCATCATCATCATCATTATCGCGATAGCCATGCGCAGTCGAGTCTCATGGGTAAGTCAGACTTAGCATGCGCATGTTCATTCGCAGGAGATAGGCCAGTAGCTTTTTTTCACGTAGGGAGTAGAGGTTAAGAGGATGAGTTACTCACTTGGAACAGTTTCCAGTCGCTTCGCCAGAGATGCCTCATAGTTGCGAGACACGGAGCGCAGGGCCTCGTATCCCATGCCGATGAGAACGACTGCGATGAGGGACAAGACAAGCGAGGTGTTGGAGCGGATGTGCCACTGGCGGAAGACGATGCACAGATTGGTGGTATCCCAAGTGAAGAGCATCTAAAATCAAAGGCTTTTAAGCTTGCTGGACATGGAATAGATAGAATGGCGGATATGAGAAAGAAGGAGGAAGAGGGTATCCTTACGCTCATGCTGCACATGTCGTCCATGTCGCCGCCGCTGTGGCCTTCGTGGCCTTCCATGGGGTGCATGTGGTGGCTGTGGTCCATTGCGGGCTTGTTCCTGTGATCAAACAAGAAGAAAATGCAGTGCTGGCTGTAGTTGAAAGAAGTTGAAAGAGCTGAGAGCCGAGATGCGACGAGGTACGTGGTGATACCTGTTGACAGGTACCTGTTTGATACTGAAGGTGCGCCTTTTGTGGGCCTGAAACCAATCAGACACAGGAGGAGGCACAGCTCAGACTGTCCCGTACAGTGCGTACCGCGCAAGATTCGCCGGTATTTGCTGGTACCTGCACCTATGCTAGGGCGAGCCGAGGTACAGAAGCAGTACGGGTGCGCAAGTTATGTACCTGAGGGGCTTGGGTGCTTGCCAAATCTGCCACTAGGGCGGCAATCTCCCTGAGCGCCATGCTTTAGTGGAGTTTACAGCGGGAGCCTCCACTGAGACGATGCATGAGCGGGAGCGCAGCTCGGTGAGGGACCTGTGGAGGATGGCATCAGTCCATGTAATAATGCTTGTTCATCTTATCTGAGTAATGGAAAGGGCGTGTGTGGACAGTATCGATGCCATGCATGTTGATGGCAAGATGGCAAAAGAGTGATAGATATAGACAAGGATGAAAAGGATAGATGGAAAGAGAGCAGCCAGTCTTGCAGACATGTTTGCTGTCCCGTAAACTGCAGCTGAGACATGGCAGGTTTTTCTCTTTAGAGGCTGGGCTGATACTGCAAAACAAAGCAAATAGTAAACACTAGATGAATGGGTAGCCAAGCTGCAATCTAGCGAGGGAAAGGTCTCAGACTAAATAGTGCTGTGATTTTGATGTGTTACCGCCGCGAGAGGCACCGCGCTTCTCCCCTCAAGGCCGTTGTCTGCCTTCTGTATGGCTGGCTCCTATCAGGTCGGGCAGCACTCGAGTGACACCGCATAGAATCACCCAAGCCCAGCCTCAGTGTAGCTCAAAGCGGCCCCTTGCATAGAGCCTTTCTCTTGTGTGTTTCTTCTAGAGGATTCCAAGTGCAAGTTACACTCGGTTGCTCTCTTCTCAAAATTGATGTTTCAAGACAAGAAGAGGGGAGAAGGGTGTTTGGAAATAGGAATCTCATGTTTAATACTCCGTACACTCCATCGAGATAATCCGTCCACCATGAACCTTGTTGAGCAGGCGTTTTCCGACTCGCTAAATGATGGAGCCTCAGGTCGGAGTAGCTCGACCAGCAAAGGCCAAGAAAACGTTCGCCGGCCCATTCACGACGACCAAGAGCTATGCAACTACATCTTGAGCACGGTCAAGGCTCCTGATGGAGCTCTCATGATACGGGAGTCTACAATTCCTGGGTCTGGCTCGGGTCTATTTACAACAAGAGATGTTGCAGCGGGCGAGCTAATCTTTACATCGGTGCCTCTTGTGCTCTGTTCGGAGGTTGGTGAACAAATGGAAGCTTGCGACTTTTGCTTCCAGCAGAGGCGACGAGTCATCCACCCTGTTGAAGATCGTCTGCTTCATCCGGGAGAAGTAATGCCAGATGTATACAAATGTAAAGGTTGCAATCTGTATCAGTATTGTTCAGAGGTATAGTTGAAAGCCACACTTTCACGATTAACCTTTTATTCTCTTTTCGCATCTTCATCGTTATTCTCGTTAACATAACTTTGCAGTCTTGCTGGCAACGAGCCTGGGACACTGGTCATTTATACGAATGCGGGCTACTGGCCGACGCCTCACACGATCTCGACACCAGAATGCTATACCGTATCCTTATTTTACTACGCAAGAAAGTGCTGCTCCCGGAGCAAGTGCGAGCCCTCGCTAGGCTTGCACACGAACAAGATAAATACGAACAGATTAGCAACGATTGGCAAAAGGTGAAGGATATTGCCGCCGAGGCCAAGGAGCGGATGAAGAGCGAGCTTGATGGTGCCGATGTTTTGAGACTATATTGCCTTGTCAGTCCATGTTCAATACAAACAAATAAATTATGAGCTGCATATGCAAAGAAGATGCTAATGACATTCTCGTCTTTTTATTCATAGATCCGATGCAATGCTCTGCCAGTTGATCAAACCTCCCGAAATGCTCCTCTGGGTACTGCCATCGACTTGGGGGCAGCTATGCTGAATCACAATTGCGAGCCCAACATTGTGATTATATTCAACAGCACCCGAGTAGAAGTTCGGGCCGTCAACAATCTCAAGGCTGGTAAAGAGCTCTTACACTGCTACCGGGACATTGCATACGACTGCACATTTCGCAACCCGCGCATTGCAGCAAGATATCAGTTCAAATGCCAATGTATGTTTCACCCACTCTATGACTTGATTTCAACAAAGAAAAAAAAGAAGAAGAAGACCAAGTTAGGGCAGCTGATGTTTAACTTATGAAAATGTCTCAGGTGACAGATGCATCCGAGAGTCTGATCGCCACTATGAGGGAGTCAGCCCCGACATAGAAGACCCCATAATGCCCATCCTCGCCACGCAGGGAGACCTGTTTGCGATTGTCGAAAAAGCCAAACTACGAGCACTCTCGTTGTCCAACCCCTTCGACGTAACCCCATTCCTAGCAGAGATTGACGAGCTCTCCGAGGAAGGCTACGCAGGGCGTCGCTGGCCCGACGACCTCGAGCCATTGCCGACAGCGCTCAAGTCTCTAGCAGCGCTATGCGAGAGGCAGGGCGACATCATCAACACCATAAAGATCCGGGTCAAGGCTCTAGCCTTTGCCAAATGCCGAAACAACCTCCCCTACTCCGAGGACCTGGTTGACTTTGTGGTCTCGCTACGGTCCTTCACCATGTATCCGCACCGCAAAGTGCTGCTGGACGGCCCCCTGCCCAAGTTCAAGGAGTTTCAAGACTTCTGCGTCGGCCACATGTGCGCACTGCACGCACTGATGGCCAGGTTCTACGGCGAACAGGGCAGGGTGACTCGGATAGTCCGCGAAATCATGCATGAGGAGATGGACAAGTACCACGGGCCTCGGCCGCCGACGAGAGCGTTTAGGCGCAAGTTTAAAGCCTCGCATGAAACCATCCTCAAGTGGGCGGGGGTTGATGCGAAGTCTTGGATTGTGGAATTGAGCTGATCATGTCGTATATACAGCATGAAGTATTGTACTTGTTTGCTGAAAGATTGATGTCGGAGTTTGGAGAGCAAGCAGACACAGCTGCACGGTGCCATTTGCGTAGCCTTTGGCTGGATATTCACACTGTATTATATATCATTAGCTCGGAGTGCCGGAGGCAAATGTGGGATTGGTACATAGTCAACTACTAGCTAGCTTAGTATAGCTGGGATGGATGGATGTTGGATAGTTGATTGATAAAAGGGCTGGTTTCGGAGGAAACATTCGATTTCTCTACCTTTCTTCGTGACAAATCTGCGTTGTAGCTTTGTAAAGTGACGTTGCACCCCGCTCATATCATATAGCTGTAGTTTTCTTCCAGTGAGTTTCTTTTTGTCCTCTCTCCATTCACATCAACTAAGCTAGAATTTAGCTTTTTCTCTCTCTTTTGTTTGGCTTTCAGTTTAGCACAAGCAATACTGCTTGACAGCTATCTATCTATTACGTAGCTCGCTTTGCTGCCCACCTATCATCATCATAGCTTCGTAGCTTCAGAGTCATACCACCAGCTCCCAGCCTCACCCTCACAACACCTCGCAATTCCAAAATGCTCGGGCCGCCAGTCAACCTGCCCAAGTGGTAAGTTTCGCCATATATAACTACTTGATAACCAAAGTGAGTGCTGTAGCCAACATGTGTGTGCCCTCATCCTCCTAGGCTCGAGGAAAACTCTCACCTGCTCAAGCCGCCCATCGGCAACTACTGCGTCTACAACGATGATTTCACAGTCATGGCAAGTTTATATACATACACACATACATACATACATACATCTCTCTCTCAATCAACATCTTGAAAACCAGAAAACAGCTCAACTAACACGAAAAAATCAATAGATCGTCGGCGGCCCCAACGCCCGCACCGACTACCACATCAACCAAACCGCCGAGTGGTTCTACCAGTACCGCGGCGCCATGATGCTCAAAGTCGTCGACGGCTCAACCTTCCGCGACATCATCATCCGCGAGGGCGACATGTTCCTGCTGCCCGCCAACACGCCGCACAACCCCGTGCGCTTCGCAAACACCGTCGGCGTCGTGCTGGAGCAGCGCCGGCCGCCAGACTCCATCGACCGCATGCGCTGGTACTGCGCCGCGTGCAACGGCAGCCTCGCGCCGGGCGAGGAGGCCGTCGTCGTGCACGAGGCGGCCTTTCACTGCACGGACCTGGGCACGCAGATCAAGCAGGCTGTCGAGGACTTTCGCGCCGATGAGGAGAAGAGGACGTGTCGCAAGTGCGGGACTCTGGCCGACTGGGCGCCGCCGCGGGGGTCGATTGCTGATCCCAACTTGGTTGCGTGAAGGGGATGAAGGGTGGTGATATTGGTGTGTAACATGTATACGTACTACTGCTTTTATAAATACCAGCAGAATCATCAACAGACTGTACTCTTCTCTTGGATAAATGTGCAAGAAGCGATGTAGTAACAACAGCAGTAAATGCATAATAACTAGTCTTTCACAAAGTTTCCACAACCTGTCCTGTATCCAACACCCTTCATACATTTATTTCTATATACACCTAGGTACTTACATATATATACTCCCCCCTAAGTCTCCGAAAACTCATACGCCGATCCAGACAACTCAACCGGCACCTCAATCTTGCCCTCCTCAATCTCCCTCCCATCCACCCTCACGCCCGCCCTCATCACATCTCCCGGCACCACGGGCCCAACGCCCGCCGGCGTGCCCGTTAGCACCACGTCGCCCGGCATCAGCGTCATGACGCGCGAGATGTCGCTCATGATGCGCGGGATGCGGTAGATCATCAGGCCCGTCGAGCCCTTCTGCTTCGTCTGGCCATTGACCTCGAGGAACAGCTCCGCGTCGTGGGGGTCCGCGATGGCCGTCTTGGGGATGATGTTGCTCATGGGCAGGAATGTGTCGAAGCCCTTGGCGATGGACCAGGGGAGGCCCTTCTTCTTGGCCTCGTTTTGGACGTTGCGGGCTGTCATGTCGATGGCAATGGCGTAGGCTGTATTTTGTGGTAGTATTCCCGTCAGAAATGAACAATCAATCATACATATATTTCTCATGGCTATAGCTTGCAAGGCTCATCACTCACCCTTGATTGCTTCCAAAGCCCCCTTCTCATCTTCGGGGTGCAGATTCCGCACCATTGATCCAATGATAAGAGCCAGCTCAACCTCAAAGTGCATATCCACGCCCTTGGGCTGCAGACACGGTCCATCGCCAGGCAGGATGATGGATGAAGCCGGCTTAAGGAAGAAGAAGGGCTTCTTTGGCTTTGCGTTTTTCAGCTCTGCGATGTGATCCCTAAGCACAATTGTTAGCTTGCTTTCATCTTTCTTTTCTGTTAAAGTGTATAAAACAAATAGAAAATAAATACATTTCACTTACGCATAGTTGCGGCCAATGCAGACCACCTTGCCGGCCTGCTTCAACGAAGAGGCCTGCGAGGCCACAGTGGCCATAGTTCTCCTGAGACCAAACATGACGGCGAATGGTGCTCTTATCACTCTACAAGCCCTATAGGAATTTATAGGAAAGCTTGAGCAGGATTGGTAAAAGCTATTGCTAGACTGGCCCCGTGCGCCAGCTACTCTCTGGCAAATCAAGTCAGTTGATGAAGCTCAATGCGGGCAAAAAGATGAAGCTGTGCTCGGTTGCCGAACGGCGTAACGGCCGCTAGCCTCGGCACTCAAGCTCACCTCACCCGATTACAGCACTCGAGCTCCCCTAGAGCTCACCCAGGCTACAGCGCACTCCGACTTCGCAGCCTTTCTGTTCGTTATTTACTGCTTTTGTTTCATCATCTCTGATCTTGGCTTTTGTACGGTCAAAGTGACAGATGTGTGCATAAGAATATCCTATATTGTATTATTTATGTACTCCACTGTCTTCCCTAATATTTTCCTTGATGCTGCAAGCCATTGATGTCTTCTCTCCGCAAACAAATCTACAAAGCAGCCCATCTAGATGCATATCTGCTCCCGGGAATCTCATCTGCACACGACCTCATGCTATGCCATGCTACAGAAGCATGCCTTGCCTTCCTATGTACTATGTACTACTATGTAAAATGAATAGCTTAATCCACTTTTTTGCTCTAGACGCCATGCCGAATTTTGAAAGAAATGAAAAGAAGAAAAGCAACCATAGTCATAATTCGTCAGAATCAGCCCTTGCCCAAATTCCTATTTGTGAGATAGAATACCGTGGCCTCTTAATCAAGCCATGTAGCGGTACATCGACGGCGCTCCGTCTTCATCTGGGCGCTCGAGGTATTCTCGCACTATGAGATCCTCGATTCGCTTCTTGATGAGGGTTACCTCAGGCTTGAAGCGGCCTACCAGCTGAGACAAAACTTCGCTCACCAACTGCGAGTGGCTGAGTTCCTTACGGGCCCTGTTCAAAGGTATAAGTAGCTGGTACATCATTCGTCAAGATTTGGGATCAAAACTTACTTCATGATTCTTACAATCGCTGCATCCACTATATGGGCCCGAGTTTGGTTGTTCTTCTCTTCCGTCGACTTCCGCTCCTCCTTGTCCTCCACTTTGGAAATGGCATTGATGATGGGTGCTTTGATTCTGATCGTCTTGCTTTGGAAAGAGGTATTGAACGAAAATTTATCGCTAGGCTTGATATTCTTTGTCGGCGGATCTTTGGCCAGAACGCGAGATTTTGGCGCTACAGAGATTGCCATAAGTGCCCGTGTGAGGTCTGGCGTTGCAATGTTTGTTTTGGCTTGGATTTCCTCAAATGACAGACTCTCGCCGTCCTTCAAATCGTTAAATAGCATCAACACAATCATGCCAAAAGTAGGCACGTTGATCTCATAACGACGCTCTCGTGCCAATGGACCGGATTTCCCCTCAATGGCCGGGAACGTGCATTTGATATCAGCGCTGCCGGTGGTGCCAATCCATGTGAGCTTTCGGCCATTGCGATTTGTCAGATAGAACTGCTCAAAACTAGCTTGCAGCCGTTTGACTTCCTGCGGGTAGGTGCATTGCATCCTTGGTGCTTCATCAAGCTGGACGGAGCGTCCCATGACCTCTTGTGGCCAATAGTTGGTTGTGAGGACATTAACATTCAACTCAACCGTATGGCTCTCATCTCCCAGATTGCGTATGTGGTCGCGATAGGTTGATGTTAGCTCCGCGGACGTGACGAGATCTCTAAACATTCCTTCGAATTTGCTTGTGAATTGCTGTCCCATCTCCTGTTTCATGCGTGATATGATTTGCTTCTCAACATCATGGCTTTCCGACTTGCCATGGAGAAGCCTTCGCGCGAGATGGCGTTGATAGTAGGTTTGGAAGAGATCTTTATCTTGCAAGTAACGAATCAAGACGACTGCCTTTTCGAGAATGGCATCCACTTCATCTTCTGTTTTGCCCCTGATGCCCCTCTTGAGACTATCGTCAATGAAGAGAGAGACGTACTCCGAGCTCCGATTAAACATGTTGATGAAATCGGCGAAGCTCTTAGTCAGTGCAGTTTGAATCACAAGATCATTTTGGAAACAATTTGCCAGCATATGGTCGAACTTATCCTTCAACCGAAGCACGTCGTCGACCCATTTGATGGCTGCGGCAGTTTGTTGTGCGGCGGGATTAAGCGTCTTCACCTTGTCACCCTCTTCTTCGCCATCGGCTTGTGCCGTCGAAAAGTCGGTATTCTTCAAGACACTTTCAATCTCCAATCCTAGTTCCACAACTCGCTTTTGCAATATCTCGCGAAGGGCTGTCTTTTTATCGTCGACCCTCGAGATTAGTGAATACAAAATTTTGAGGTCATCTGTCCTGTCGTTATCAATCATCCACCGCAAGCCGCTGCCTTCCATGGCAAGGAAATCACCCAGGTGGCCCGATATAAGTTTCTGATCCACCACTTGTGATACCTTGGGAAGTGTCTCGAGCTCAATAGTGGTACCGCATCGATCTTCTTCCTCAATAAGCCGGTTTTGAGTGTGTCGCAACCATGTGCTAGCGTCAGATTCTCGTAGCAGTCGTTCGCATTCTCTCGAATAGAATGTTTCGCTATTGCTGAGGAATCGCGGCTCGAAGATGGTCAGATAGAGCTTGCTGCTCTCCGATTCATCTTCGGTTTCATACAGGCAGCTCAGCATGCGACTGCAGCTGCGGATGAGGGCTCGATCAATCACATCTCCGCGCCTCTCCATGTCGATCTGATCCAGCATGACGGAAATGAGAATATCCACAATCAAACTATCGGAATTCGCGTTAAGACAAGAACGTAATATGTGGTCTCGAAATAATGCAATGGTCGTAGCAAAGATGGGCACTCGACGTGGCTCTTGTTGCGTGTATCCTCGATCAAGATACATGAGGATATCTGCTGTCATATTCATGGACATGTTGTGGTCTTCCCACGTATCCCGTAGGCCTTTGAGAAACTTCTCACCCGTTTGTCTCCGCTCGTTGACAGAGGTCGACGACGAAATGTCCATACCGATATTGATTAGGCTTTTGGTAACCAAGACTTCGATCTTGGGAATAACATGCTCGGCAAACCATTGCTCCTCAAACTCCTTGACCTTATCGTACAAGACCTCGCCCTTCTTCTTAAGCACAATCTTGTAGGCCGCTCGGTATAGCTCTTCGAAAGAGAGGCGACCGCAGCTTTTGTTGTGGATATCGCGCAGCGCTTCCTTGATCATGTTCCAACATGCTTCAAAATCGGATCCCTCGCCAGGTGCGTTTTGCTGCAAACGACGACGATTAGCTGATCTGCGAGGTCGAGGCTTGAAGCGAAATGGGGGAGTGGGAGGCTCTGGAGCTTGAGGAGGCACCTCCGTGCTAGTGTTGGCACCCATCGTAGCATGCTAGCGAAGGGGGGAGAAGATAAAGAAGAGGGAAGAAAAAAGAGGCTGATGAAGACTCGAAGAGCAGCTTTGACAAGGTTCCAAAAACTAGCAGGGTGAGGTGCGCTCAAGGTGCGCCGAGCAACAGCACAGAGAAGAGGGCAGATGCGCCGTGAATTTGGCTTCAACTTACACGCACAATCCGACGAGGTGGGCGGATGCGACCCCGAGCCCCCGCTCCCCCTCGCCCAGAAATCATTGTTGGCTCAGTTCCTCGCAAGAATTCAGAAGAAACAGTCGAGAATGAAAAGGTTTCAACAAACGCTGACCAGCTGTCGTGGGAGCTCAGTCGCCGGACAGAGAAACAACCCCCCCAGGCGTCGCACAGATGGTGGGGGTATTGCAGAGCTAAGCAGCCGGCAGCGGGCAGACCTCTAGCTGGTTGGTTTGGCTGAGGCAGAAAATGATCGTCGAGCTGAGATTAAGAGTTCCTCAAAACGCCAGCCATGTGGCGCCGCCGGGCTCTGTGAATTCTCTGGGCGGATGGACGAAACGAGCGTCTACTAGACAAGATGAAGCAGCTCAGAAGCTGGCTGTGACAAACCACGTCGAATGGCAATAGTAACTCCGCGCCGAAAAAAGAATTGCCGGGGTTCCCTCATCGATAGCATTGTTATCGATAAACAAATTCTGGTGCTGTTTCAGTGGAGGTAAGGCAGCTGGCGTTAAAGTACGGGGTACAACAGCGTTAAGTCCGCGGCAGCTTACAAAGTGCCTGCAGCGCGGTAGATCGGTAAGTATGGAGTACCTGGGTAGCTGTAAGAGCTCCTGGGCGAGCGCTATGGGCGATGCGCGTTCACGTGATAGAATACCTTCGCAGTTTTGTTGCAGAGTCACGTGCTCAAACTAGTTCCTCCAGCTTAACGTAATCAAGGTCCAGCTAATGGTGGGTGTCTATTTTTCCGACCGACAATTGGAGGCATCCGCCAGCCTTGCAATATACAGCGTGTGACGAGGCAACGCGCGTGAGGAGGCACTTCGGAAACCCTTGAATCGATCCCACACCCGGCCAGAAAGGCCTCCGCCGTCATCATGAAGCTCGTCAGGTGAGTGATTGCTCCCAAGCTGCCATCGTTGGCATGGATTGTCGTATTATCTGCATCCACCAGCTTCTCCATGTCCTGCTAAGCCATGAGCTTCCACGGGCGCTAACATTGCTTGATATCCAGGTTTTTGATGAAATGCTCCAACGAAACGGTGACCATTGAGCTGAAAAATGGTACGGTACCAGACTTGTTATCCTTTCCAGCGCCACGCATCTTCAATCGCCGAGCAATCAATCACTAACTCACCCCGCGTCAGGCACCATCGTCCACGGCACCATCTCCTCAGTCTCTCCCCAGATGAACGTCGCCCTTCGCACGGTCAAGATGACCGCTCGCGGACAGGACCCTCTCGCCCTTGATACCATGAATATTCGAGGCTCAACAATCCGATACTTCATCCTCCCCGACTCCCTCCCTCTCGACACCCTGTTGATCGATGATGCACCCAAGCCTAAGAACAAGGCAAGAAAGGAGACGGACCGAGGAGGCCGCGGTGGCCGCGGTGGTCGTGGCAGAGGAGGTCGTGGTCGCGGCCGCGGCCGTGGACGTGGTTAAGGATTTTAATGGCGACGATAATAATACGACAATAACGGATAGAGAAACCGAGGCACTACTATTATCTTTTTTATTTCCCTTGCTTTAAAGCTGGCCGGGCCGGAGCTCCATATCGGTGGGACAAAGGATCTTTTGTGAACGATACAGAAAAACAAAGGAGAAAGATATTTTTTTGAGTTCAAAGGACTGTGGAGGCGATATCGCAAACTGCGATGGAAACGGCGTTTTTTTGGATGCATTTTACGCATATAAAACTTTGAAGAAAGAAACTTGCAACACATGTTTGGTGGAGGAGGGTGGAAGCGATAGCGAAGGTGGCCGCCATGATATGCAGACAAAAGAAAAATGATTGAAAAAATGACAAGATATCCAAGTATACAAAATGCTTGCCAGTCCATCGTTTTGCCGCCCCTTACTCCCGAAACTCAATCATACAAATCAATGCCCATGTGTATATATCTTCAAGGCGATATGTCTCTCCATATCCGTACAATCTGCAGCTTTTCCCATCCAGCCGTCTTCCCACTAGACCCAACCGTAACAGCTCTCCATTCAGATCCAAAAGTCTGTATCCGGGCTTTGACTTGTTCAGGCTTGTTCTGCGCGCACAGAAGAATGTAGGCGCACCCTCTTGGCGAGAGAATCTCTGGCAAAGCATCTATGAGCCTATCCGTGGTCTCCATGCCGTCTCTTCCTCCAGCATAAGATAAGGAAAGCAAATAAGAATCATCATCAAACGAAGTCTTGGACGGTAAATCTTCCGTAAACGTCTCCGGCCGAGAAGGCATCTCTGAAGTAGGCACATACGGCGGGTTGAACACCAGCACATCCACGGAATGATTCCTCAATGGAGCTGCCAGATCGCCCATCACAGAGCCCAGGTACAATCCGTGTGGCTTCTCATTGCCGCCTGCTTCGGCGACGGAGTCGGCCTGTGCCTTTTCTACAGTCTTGATGGTCGCGCGGCAGGCAAAGGCGTTCATATCGACCCCCGCGGTGAGAATCTGGTTTGTGCCAAAGAGAGTCTTTGCATGGGCGGTGATGAAGGCCAGGACGACGCCGGAGCCTGTCCCGAGCTCGACTACGAATGGGATGGCCTTTGGAGAAGGAGAAGAAGAAGAAGCATCAGGTGAGAAGGTCTCATGCAGGTATTGCGTCTCGGAAGCAGATGAGAGCGTGTCGAGGAGAAGGAATGAGTCTTCGGCGGGCTCGTAGACGCGCTCGTAGGGAACATGAGAGGTATCTGGCGTTGGAAGCATGTTGTTCTTGTACTTATTTTGAAGATGGAAATTTGAAGTTTTAAAGTGTTGTGAGACAAAGGCGTAATGAGAGCTTCATCGAGAATTTTTTTTTTTTTTTTTTTTTTTTTTTTTTTTTTTTGGCAAGTTCACTGATGCTGAATGGCACTTGGTGGGGCCACGTGATGTCATGAAAGACGAGATGAAAGATTGACGATATTTGAAATATTCTGTAATGAATATTGATTGTTGGATAGTTGGGCCATTTTCGATTGAATTTCCCAAATGATTTTGATCTCCTTCACTGTGATGTCCCGTTGCCTTGTTATACGAAGATGTAGCACAAACACACGCCACCGCGCCCAAACACCACCGAAATGAAAAACCACATGAGAATTTCCCAATGCTCAAAATCTCAAGCCGCCCTTTTTTTCAATGGAAAATTCAATATTTCACAAAATCACACATCCTCTCGCCTCTCCCATTCTCATCTCAATAGCCCAGTCTCCTCCCTCTGGATCCAAGCCCCAGTGAATTCCCCAGCCCATCCTCTCCACCATTCGCACCACCCGTCCATCATACATTCCGCCCAAATCACACTTTGGACACGCTCTACTTTTCGTCTTGTAAAATTTCGGCGTCTTCCTGATGCCGTTGCCGCTGCCGCCGCCGCAGAAGCTGGCGCATGTGGAAAAATCCATGTACGGGCCGCAGGGAGTTGCGATGACGGCCCAGATGTGGTTGCAGGTTTTTTGCTTGAAGAAAGTGACGTTGCACATTTTGTGGTACTTTTTTTGGGGGGTGTTTTTCTTAATAGTTACTGGGTCTAGTGTTTCCGATAAATGTTTAATCAGATTATGTTTGTTAAATCCCTGGCTCGGAGGCTTGGAACTGATGATCAACTTCAGAGGCGCTTGGTAATTACAAAAGCACAGTAGAAAGCGGCAAACGAGATCTCTCGAGGTTAAGCTATCCTCTTTTTAGGCTGTGGGAAAAATGAAAAACCAAGAAGACAAAAAACGGACCGCATGCAGCTGGCAGTGAATCAGTCCGAGCCGAAACTTGTATCCCTCACAGTTATCTCGAAATGACAAACGAATTACTGCAAAGAAGAACAAAAGCTCAAATGATTCATATCAACTATCTTCTGGTACGCCTATATTTCCTATCAACGCTCCGATATTCAATGCAAAAGAGAGAAAGAGAGAGAGAGAGAGAGAGAGAGAGAGAGAGAGAGATAGAGAGAGAGAAAAGAGAAGCCTCTAAATGCTCGTGCTGGCGTGGTTTCCAACCAGAGATCAAACATAAAACTCGCTTTTTAAATGCCCCAACAATTTCCAACACAATTTCATTTCCCTTCAAAAGTTTGTTTCCTGTCCTCTAAAAGACGAGTTCAGAATAGTGCCATCTCCCGCAGGCAGCGTGTCACTCTCGTCAACGTCACTCTGCGGCGTAACAAGCCTCGAGAGCATATCTTCCATCCGCGCCATGGCCTTCTCCATCGCCGCCAATCTACTCGCCATCTCTGCGTAATCTTCGCCAGTTTCCGTAAGCGAACTCCGTAGCTTCGGTGGAATCTCAAACATGGAGTCCCGGCGCGACGTTTTTTTCACGGTATTGTGGGATTCCTGCCGCTGGTACTGCCTCCGGATGAGATGATGCGTCAAGTCATCGTCCACAGCAATGTCGTCGTGCACATCATCCGGAGGCGGCACGTCGAACACGGCTCGGATGTACTGATAGGCTGAGAGCTGCCATTTTTGCCAAAACCATTTCCGGGCCAGTGAGCCGACACCCTCAAAGTCGTCTGTCGGCCAAAGAAGACGACGCTCAGCAACGGCGATGAACAGAAGCAAGGGCAGGTTGACCAGACGAACGGTGGCAACGTGGATTTTGTGAAACCATCGCGGGCTGACGACAAACTTTAGTGGCAGAAGAAGGAAAACGGCAACAAGGTTGAAGGGAGGTTGATAAGCAAAGACTGCGTCTGCTTTGACGCCTTCGAGAGTGAGAACGGCCTTTCGGAAGTGTATTTCGGCGGTCGCGTTACTCGAGATGTTGCTAAACGTGTTGGATAGCATGGAGACGAGAATAGTGAGGAAGAGTGTGTTGCCTAGAAAGGCAAATGAGATCATGACAATGGGTCCCAGTAACCAGTGGAATTCCACCTACAAATAGGCCATCATTGTGTCAGCGCACCATAGCCTCAAAAGGGGGTCTTTATTCACTGGGATAAACGCTTACCGATCGGTGAATGCCAGTACCGTCAAGCCCAAACCAGATATATATCATCCACTTCGAAATGGTACTAGACAAAGCAGATACGGCATCAGCAACAGGACTCGAGCAGAACGAAAAGGAGGAGAGCGGTCAGAAACTTACAGCAGAGGGTGAGCTCCCTCTCCCAGCCACAGCAAAGACAGCAAAAATCCAAAGAAGCACCACGCCGAAAGCGCCGTTAGCAAGAAGAAATCTGCCATCATAGACCTCAGCGATAAGAACACAAGATTGTCGGAGAGCCAGTTAAAGGCCAGGCGAGGGACCAGCACAGGCGCCGCCAGTGCCAAGACGTCAAAGGCCTGCTCAGTCGGCCCTGGTAAGCCGGTTCTCAATCCATGAATACGAAGAGAGCTGTAGATGACAAAGAGGAAGATGAAGGTGACATCGAGGAAGGACCATAGGTTTTGCGTATACACATTCCTATATTTAAACATGTCAGCTCCGTTGATGTAATAGCATTCGACGAAGAAGAAGAAGAAGAGGAAGAAGAAAACTAACCATCCATGTGCCAGAATCGTGGCAAACTGGTCCAAGCACCAACCAAAAGCGAATATCGAAAACGCCGCCTCCAGGATCGGAATCTCCCCATTCCTCCGCATAGTCATAACAGAAGCATACAGCGCCAGCAGGATGGTAAACTGGATCGCCTCCAGGTAGTTGCGCGTCCTCGGCACAATAAGGCGATACTGGTTCAACAGCGGTGATTCGCGCGGATCATACAGCGAAATGGGCTTCAGCTTGTAGTGATCCGGGATGATGTCCCACGACGTGGACGGCGTGTAGATGACACGGCCCTCGTATATGGCCGCCACGACCCTCTGGCACGTCGTCGAACTGAGGAAATGCCTGCTCTCCGTCAAGATGGCGACCTCCAGCGCCGGCAGCGTCCGGTGAGACGACCACCAGGCCTTGTCTTCGGCCTCTTCTCGCACATGGCCCGGCGCGTGCTGAAAGGGCTCGAAGCCGGCAACCAGGATGTGGGCGAGCAAGAGCAGCCCCTCTGCGCCGCCGTCGTGATCCTCGCCAAAGCGCCGCAGGATGCGAGTGGCAATGAGCTCGCATAGCGTGGCACGAGTCCAGTTGACGTTTTGCCGGTTGCTAGACCGGGATTCTTCGTCTAGAAACTGTGCTCTGTTGACCAGCAAGCAGTATACTGTAAAGAAAAAGCAATTGTCGGTCAGCCTCTTTTCCCATTTTCTCAGCCCCAGCAGTATCATCTGCATTACTCTTTTTTTTTTTTTTTGCAATTCACATAGAATAAAAACATCAGGCAATAGTTAAAAAGCTTGAGAACCCAAGTATAAATAAGCATATATATATATAGAGTGCCTTACCGATCGAAATATCCCCCAGCTCATAAAACTTATCCACGAGCGGCCGGATGACCGTCACATTAATCTTGACATCCCTCAGCTGCTCCAGCGTCAGATAGTCCTCCACCACGCTCACAATGTCGCGACGGATGCGGTGAATGTTGGTGTATACGGGCAGTTCGCTGTGAGGATCCGTCCGGCAGCTGAAGACGTGCTCGCCATTGTCCGCGCGCTCAGTGGAGAGCCTGTTGAGCAGCGGACGGCGCTCGTCAGGCTCGACGGGGATCCTGAGCCGCCGCCGCCGTTCTGTCATGAGATTGGCGGGTCTGTGGCTCTGGATAGGGAGCTTTGATGCGGCGGTTTGGAGATTGTTGTTGTGGTGGTGAAGGTGGTGATGATGACGATGGTGGCTGATGGCGTTGCAGCTGATGGCTCCTGTTTATTATATAAGGCAGTCTTGTGAGACAAGGGGATGGGGAATTCACTGCGCCGAGTGTGCTGTCATCCACTCCGGCTTTTCAACAGCAATGCCCAAGTCGGAAAATGAGAAAATGTGATTGAGTCGGGTAGGTATATCAAACAGCAGCAAGAAAGCAGCCAGAGTGCGAAAAGCAGTGAGACACACTATTCGCCCCTTTGGCGTCATTCCCGCCGCACCCAATTGTGGGCATTGACACGCGCCTGATTGGACGCGGACCCCCACGGCGATGGGTGTCTAAGCGTCTAAAAAAAGGGCCGGGGGGATGAGGCCGTCGATTCGACAGACGAAGAGTCGTGGATAGATCAGGTGCCCGGTTGCACAGCGCAGAGATGGATTCTGTCATGCAAGTTGGGCCCGGATTGGGTTTCTTGTTGCTTTGTCTGATTTGCGTGTTCCAATCGTGTGTCAGACTTGTGTTTGCTCGGTCATCCACTATCCCATCGGTATCCACGACTGCCCATTTGATGATGGCGTTACGTGGATGCCCACAACTACAAGTACATACCAACAACACCAGAAGATGCATGCAATACATCCATCCACGCTTCATCTCGTCTCATACAGAGTGTGTTTGATGAATCTGTTTCATCCTTTCTAATAGGTACGCAAGCACAGCTATTGCTTGCCTTGTAAATACCAATAATAATAAAAAACATAAAATAACTACTAAACAGAAACAGCACTCTTATAGCTTCGCCTCCGCCGGCGCAGAATCCCTCGCCTCCTCTGCCAACACCCACGCAAAGTCTGCCAACAGCCCTCTCGTGTCGGCATGCTGCTTTGCCTTTGCGCTGCTCGCCTGCCGCGCCGCATATCGCGCCGCGATGCCCTGGCACACGCCCGCCAGCTTGAAGATGTTAAACGCCGCGCCCCAGCTAAGCTCCGGCCGCGGGTCGTAGCCCGCAATCTCGGTGTACCACTGCAGGATCTGGTCCGGCTGCGGCAGGCCGGGCGTCTTGCCGGGCAGGAAGCCCGAGCTGTTGCTGGAGACGGACGTGCCGGGCGAGCGGGCGAGGTAGAACTGCGTGATGAAGTTGCACACGTCGGAGAGCGGGTGGCCTATCGTGGACATTTCCCAGCTATATAGATTGTCAGCTCAGCTCCATTACCTGCGTTACTGTGTGTTGGAAAGCACTCACTCCAAGATGCCAATCACCCGAGGCTCCGTCTTGTGAAAGACCAGATTGTCAATCTTAAAGTCCCCATGCACCAGCGTCGCCCTATCCTTGGGCTGCAGCTTCTCATTCTTGAAGAAGCCAACCAGCTCGTCAAAGTGCGGTAGCTGTCCCACAGGCTCCTTTGTCTCGACATCCACCGCCTTGGACTGACTGATGCAAATCGTCGCCCACGTCTGCGTCTGCCGGCCGTAAAACCCAGCTGCCTTGCCAAACTTGTCCAATCCAACCTTGCGTACGTCCACGGCGTGCAGCCGCGCCAGCGTCTGGATGGCCTCCTTCCACAGGGCCGTCCTCTCCGCCGCGCTGGTGACGTCGGGCATCAAGAAGTCCTCAAAGATGCGCCCGTCCAAGAACTCCATGATGTAGAAGGGCGTGCCGATGACCGAGTCGTCCTCGCAGAGGCAGTACGTCTTGGGTACGGCCACGTCGGTCGCTTGGAGGGCGTGCAGCGCACGGTATTCGCGCTCGACCTTGTGCGCCGTCTTGGAGATGAGCTTCCCCGGGGGCTTCTTGCGCATCACATAGCGTTTGCCGTCGGCATCGGTGATCTGGTATGTTGGGTTGGATTGGCCGAAGCCGAACTATAAGAGACAGGTCAGGTTAGCTTTGTCTTTTGTTTATTTTGTTTTGTTTTCAATTTCTAACTCCGCGTCATTTGGATGCTAGACTTGCCTGCTTCAGATCAATCGGCGTCTTGATTACTGGCACATTCTCCTGAAGGAACTTTTCAAACGCCTTCTCGTCGATAGGCTGCCGCACCGCGCCCGCCATATCTTAGTCGTGTATCGCGTGCACTCTTCTTTCGTCCACGCTAATGCAAGGTATTGGGAGAGAAGTATGAGACAAGGCCAGTAATGCTCTGAGGAAGTAGTTCCAATTGATGCAGATGGACTGAATCTAAAGCTTTAAAGTCCAACTCGTCTGCGAAAGTGGTGAAGGACGCAGCTTTTCATGTTGCATCCCGGAATGCAGTAACGAGGTAAGACGGATCCGGTAACCGTCTGACGTGCCGAGGCTCGGTGCTTTAGCACCCCCGACCCCAGATTTTTCAGCCACCCCGAAAGGACCTCCCCCCCCCCCCCTCTCACTCAGTTCCATTCCCTAGGTACTCCGTACAGTACCCAGATGGAAACAAGGCCGGGGGATGGATTTTCATTCTCCCATTGGACAGTGTGTAAGTCACTTCTACTGCTAGTTGGGTAGATGATCAGAGTTCGCCCAATCAAGTGTAACCTAACCTTGCAATACCGAGAAGATCAAAGCATTGTATGTACATACTTTGAACAATACAGCTTAATCCGTCACTTGTATCATGCAGTATTGGTTTCTCCCAACTCCAAGACCCATAAAACGCCAACTCTTCTGCTCGCAACAGCATCCACACATTGATTAGCAACATAGTAGCTTATCCCAACAACATTAACACGCATTTGCCATCGCAGTTCAATGCTCAAAATCGCCAAACGCTAGTGACATATAGGTTACATTGTTTATATATCAAAATGATACCTTCAATTGAAAAAGCTAGGAGAGCCCAAGTTATATCCGGTGACGGACAACACCCTCACCTCTATATCCGCAAGCTACAAGTTTCTTTTGTCCGTCTTTCGTCAAGTGTCCAGACACTTCTGCCTTTCTGTTGTTCAAACAAGCCAAATATCTATCTGTGTTCCACACACAGCCTAAATCCCGTTTCTTTTTTTTATGTAATTGCTTCTTTGTTTCCCAGATTCCATTCTTCTTTTTTTGTATGTTTTGTTTTTGTTTATTTCAAATGCTTTGTTGGTGATTTTGTACCAGGTGTCTCCAAAGGAAGATGAAAAGCAAGGAGAAAATAGGAGAAAAAAGGAGGAGAAAAGAGAAGGAGAAAAAAGAAGGAGAAAAAGAAGAACAGGGAAAAAAAGAAAAGAAAATGCCTCAGTGTCTCAATGCCTCAATGCCTTAATGCACCTCCATGGTAGCCAGACCAAATTCCTCCGATGCCTAAGCCCTTTCGACCCTTTCGTGGTGAGTAGAGAAAGTTATAACATATGAAAAAGTGTGTGGCGAGAAGAAAACAAAAAAAAAAGGGGTATCCATCGTGTCGAGTCATCCATGCATTCTGCCCGCCCAACCAGTTTGCCCCCTGTCAGTCGCCTAGCATCTCGGTTACTCATATTAAGAGCCAGCTCGTTGCCAGACCAAAAACACATCTACTTGAACACCGTTGGATTACCAGTTTCCAAACAATGTAGTAGAAAGTTTGCACAAGGTCACAGACATGCGCTGCTGAATTTCTCAAAATAGAAGAGTTTATGAGATTGTCCACCATTTGCCGGCCGTAAAATAATAAGAAAACTCCCAGTCCCATCCGATGTCTCCACTTGGAATGATAGCAAGACACATCGCCTTCAAAGTCACTGTCTTCATGACTTCATTATAGTAGAAAAAAATTTAGGAAAGATTGCCCAATCTGCACTGTTGAAAAAGAGTTATGAGTGGATACCCATAAAGAAAGTGAATGAGAAGCAGCAAAATCAAGATCAGTTATTAACTGTCGTTTTCCTGATTCCCTTCGACACTATCGGTTGCTGTCTTGGGCTTCTTGCTTGAAGTCGAAGGTCCAGATTCGGATTTACGCTTTGCGTTGGCAACCTCCAAGGGCTTCACCGGTGAGGCGTCATCGCTACCCTCGCCGTCGCCCTTTGTCGATTCCTTGGATTCCATGGCCGCCACCTCCTCCGCTGTCAAGAATCGACCGCCAGGTCCACGAGGTCGGCGCATTGCATGGTTATGCCTGGACTCGTGAAGATACGGCTTACGCCCCTTCGAGGTCAACCTCAATTGCTCTTCTAGGCGCTGACGAGCAACGCGTCGTTTGAGGATTCGATGAAACTGCTTCGCATTGACATATAAGGGCGATTCTTCGACAGCACCGGCAGGCATCTCGGGTGACTGTGGATGCTGCATGGCAGGGGCAGGAGGCATGGGCGGGGGGCGGGGTCCGCCGTGGTTCATCAAGCCCTGGGCGCTCGGCACTCCAGGGCTAGTAACTTGACTCATACGGCGCCCGGGGATCTGAGAAATGCTGTTCATCCGAGGAGATGGCCGGCCATCTTTCTTAGCATTGGGCAGTCGCGGGGAGGTATGAGGCATGCTCGGATCCGAGTGCATGTAGGTGTAGTTGGAGCCGGTTGCCGCAGCTGTGGCAGCCATTGCCGCGGCTTGGATCCCCCCGGGCATGCCATAGGGGACCGTCTGCATGCTCGGTTGAGGCACGCCGTACTGTGGTCCGTACATTGCGTGCGCTGGAGCCTGACCAGGCTGGTGTTGTTGCGATGTGATGATGGGGGAGGTTTGCACGGCGTGTTGGTTGATACCGTGGCTTGTGGGCGACGTGATGCTTGCACCTGCGGCAGAATTCGCGTAACCGGCGTGAGAACTGTGTTGCTGTTGTGGATATTGCGCGTATTCCATCATCCTACAGAAAGGACAAGGACCAAAATTGGTGTCGCGAAGATGTCGCGAGCCAGAATGTGGGGTGGCGCTATCGCGATTCGCCCTATCACAAGTTCAAGACTTGAAGCTAGGAAGACGGGGACGAATAATATCGACAGCGCAACGCTAGGCAAGCTGCTTACAGTGAGTATCGAGAGAGAAGACGCCAGCGACGAATAGCCGAAGCTCGATAAAAATAAAAATAAAAAGGGTATTATCGCTAGCACAATATTTCTTTTGCCTTAATTTTGTTTCTTGTGTTGAAGAGGTTTAAGTTGCGCAATTGCTTTGGGTATTGGGTTGGGCACGTGTAGTTGGGAACTGGCGATTCGATGCTTGGGTAATCGCAAAGAGAAGCGCGCGATGTTCAGGCACCCAAGTCTACCAGACACATGCGTTGGTGAGCTGGCAAGGTGGTGGGATGGTGCCAAGGTACGTGGCTAATGAAGCCGCAAGGCGCCTGCAGGCAGAGTTGTGCTCGCGGGGGCAGAGTGGAGGGTGGCTGAGTTGCCGGGCGCGAGAGAACCACGTGAAGGACGGCGCAAGAGAAAGAGCTGTCTTGTCCTGGGTCTTGTCCCAAGTCGTTGCGACAAGGTACGGGATGACGATAGATGGAGAGGCGCGGACGAAACAGAGCAGTCGCTTTTTCCACTTCCCCAGAGCAGCTCAATCGAGGATTAACAAAGATCTATCCAACCACAGGCGTTAGCTCGTTTGTATATAGGCGAGACGCTGCGAATAGTGAGACAGCGAGAGGTATCCAGGCAGGGATGGGACAGGGGTGTGAGCAGGCAGCGCCAGGGAGCCACACTTGTGATGCGCTGGCATAGTTGTAGCTCATGCATGACGGAATATGCAGCTAGGTCCACCGGGCCAGCAAGCCCACCAACAAAGCCCCCAACCGCTGCCGACACGTCGGCACGCCAGTGAACAAAGGCAAATGAGAGCCCAAGATGGGCGTGTGAAGGGGGAGGGCAACGAGACTGTGCCGATCCAGATAAGCGCCATGAGATTCGCATTAAGAGAGATGCGATGCAGCGCATACGCTTAAAGACGTCAAGAGCAGAATGATGCTTGTTTGCCTCGTCAAAGTCTCCACGACGTTGCCTCTCAGCCCAGTGAGTAGCTTGTCTCATCTGGACGGCAAAGCGGAGAGTTGGGCATAGAGACTAAGACACGCCATGAGGTGGGGGATGAAATCAGGCTGGTGGTGGGTGCTGGCCGTGTCCGGTCAGAGAAAACGACCATTTTGGCCGAGGATGGCAGTGATGTGTGGGAGGGACGGATGGGAGAGGCGAATGAGGCAATCGGGCAGGTAAACTCGAGCCTTGGGCCAACGAAATGGCCTTGTTGCGGAGCTTTGTTCAAGATTCAAGATGTGACGACAGGGCAGATTCTGGAAGTGGGTGCATAAAGAGAAGATGAACTCGCCCGGACGTACTCAGCCCAGTAAACGGGGAACGCTATAGTGGCAGTTGCTAGGGGTAGAAAATGCAAAGAGGCTATGAGGGCGAGGGCTGTGAGACCAGTAGGCGAACTGGGCCGGGCTGAGCGAGTGAAAAGAGTCGGTGTATATGCGTGAGCTGCAGGGCGTCTATATGCCTTTGTCTCTGTGTAGGTTGAAAAACAAATGATGTTGAAGGAAGGGCAGGTACTCATCAAAGCAAACGCGATAAAGACAAAGGGGGCCAGACGAAGAGAAAAACAAGGCAGTGTAGTGTAAAAAGCAAAGCAACAACGACTCGATCCCGGCAACAGGGCGATTCGTGCGCCCCAAAAGAGAAAGGATGCTGCCAAGTAAATAAATAGAAGAGCCGGGGGAGGTCTCTGCAGCTACAAGCAAAGATGACGAGGGTGGTGATGACGGCATCAAATGCAGAATAAAGAAGAAACGAAGCCGAAATTAGAACAAAAGAAAAATACTACGTACCGATTTGACGCAGCCACAGAGAGAGTGCGCGCCGACAAGGAATGGCGTGTCCCTGGATGTGATTTGCGGTGGCGGCTACAGGCTTGTTGGCAAGTATTCCCAGAAGCTGGAAATTGACAGCAACCATGCGACAGAGCGTTGCAGAGCTCTGATTGAATGCTCGGGCAATTGGGAAATGGGCACTGCAGATGCGCGCTGTCACCTGATGACGTGTTGCGCCAATGGAGAGGGCGAAGCTGAGGCTGGCGACGATGATAGGCCTCTGGCGTTGCGAGCTTGCAATGGATGATGAAGAGCCACGCGGGTTGCAGGAAGCTGATTTGCTGGCGGGGTGGACAGGCTGAATTTTTAGGTGAGCGGCGGGTTGCCTGTGCGAGCCTTGCTTCGGGCTGAATGTCGCAAAAACGTTGCTACCGATGCTGACGTCGCAGACCGAATCGCGAGGTGGGGAAGNTTTTTTTTTTTTTTTTTTTTTTTTTTTGGGCTGCGCTGCTGTTTTTGGAGCTGCGGGCTCTCTTTGCCGAAGCTGAGGGGCTCCGAGGATCCGGATGCAAGCGGAATGCAAAATGCAAAAACAAAAGAAGAATCAAGACGAAAAGCAATGATGACTTCGCCGTGCAGGTGATGGCGAGTGGCAGCAATGCTAATAAAATGCAAATGCAATGCCTGGGCAGCTAAAACAATAGCAAAGCTTGTCAAGCTTTTTTTTCCTCGACGTTGCAGCAAGCGTGCAAGGCGTGGTCTTGGGCCACCCACACAACACGAGGGGGTCCTGGAGAGCCGGCGATGGCGTGCGTTCACACGACAGGACGGCTTCGGAAGAGCCGCAGAAAAAAAAAAGGCAGCGACTAGGCCGGGTTGCTCAAGGTTTGACGCTGCGGCCTAGACGCTCAATGGACGGGCGTTGCGCGCGGCTTGCCAGCGGATCGGAACGAGATAGTCGAGACGCTGTGAATGGCCCAGCTGGTGTTTCGCTCGCTCCCTGGTGGACGAATCTGATTGCACGCGTGAGCGCGGGAAAGGGCCCTTTTTTTCGCCGTCTTGGACCTCGCAATTGCTGCTGGTTCGTCGGACAGGGCAGGGCGGGATTGATTGGTCGTGGAGTGGGAGGAGGCAAGGCTCGCGAAGAGGACGAGGGAAAATGCGAAGATGTGATTTGAGGGGCGGGGGGCCGGGAGTCTTTTAACACCTGTGACTGGCTGAATCAGCCCTAGAGCGGGGCCTGGATGGTGGCTGGCTTCGGGCACATGCGCTGCCATTGGCTGACAGGCCATGACACGACGCACGGGCCACTGTGGCGCTCGTTTTTTTTTCTCTCTTTATTTCCTCTTCGCCAGTTGCTCGTCCTTTGATGCTTGCTTAGCGCAGAGCGTCTTTGTTTAGGTATTATCCCTTGTCCACGGAGCCGCTCGTACTGGGAACTGTAGCCCGACCACTATGGAGTGTGTACGGAAGAAGCACGGGAGTAAGACTTTGCCACGACAATGCTGGACCCAAGAATATACACGAGGTACACGAGTACTACTAGTTCCTACCTCAGGTACTTGGGACCCTCAACAAAAAAGCTAGCCGAGCTTAGCAGACAAGCAGCGTGCTATGGCGCTTATAAAGTAAAACCTTGGGTTCCTGTGGACAAGTGAAGTGCAAACCTTGTACCCCATGCCTTTTGCCCTTGAGACCGCTTTCACATGTTTCTACGGGATGCTTCGTAGCAGTACACGTCTACATGCTCTTACGTTGCAGAAGCAGGTAGGTAATCTATGCCCATGTCAAGGAGGCATGCAGACGTATTCTCTCTATCCATACTCTATCTAGCATACAGCAGCACTACAAGGACAAAGTGCGAGGTGCATACGAGTGCAAGGACCTACTAAGCTAGAGTGAGTGTGATAGAGGCCCAGCGATTTAGTGCCTGGCACTGCATCCTACCCAGGTCCTCTGAACGTCTCCGTGCTCCCGCGCTTGGTACCCAATAGAGTGTGTACATGATGATGGCCATCGCTTACTGTACAGGCAAATGCAAAGGCTAAAGCTTGCTGCCCTGAGGCTGCCCGTCTCTACCCCTGGCCATTTTGAGTGACAGCTACGAGTACGAAGGTATGTTCGTTATTCCCCTGGCTATCTTGGCTTGAGATTAGGGAATAGTAGATAGTACGTAGTAGTAGTTACTTTCAAGCCATACCACATGCCCATCTCCACAGACAGTAGCAGCGGTGATGGTATGTATTTCCTAGTACGGGCTCCAGTCTCCCCGCCTCCGACAACATCGTCACGCTCGCCCTCGCGCCGTGTGAGTGAGCTGCCAACCCTTGGGCTCCCAGCCCTGTCCTGAGAAAAAGTCATGAATCAGACCCCCATGTCCCTCTCTCCGCTCAATAGTATACCTAATACTATGTAAGGATGCCTCGGACATTAGTGCGATGCCGTGGGAAAATGCATCTTGTGGTGGTGGTGGTGGTGGTGGTGGTGGTGGTGGTGGTAGCACTGCGTGGAGATGGCGATTGAAACCGGCGAGGCGAGTCTTGCCAGGGAAGAGGTACCTTAGTACCTACTAAGTGGCCCAAAGTACATGTACCCTGTGTTTGGACCCCACCTGCAGCCTGCCGTATTGATGCACTGAGCCACGGCAGTATCGAATACAAAAGTAATACGGATATGGCCACTGAGAATGAAAGAAGCGGTGACAGCAGGGGAGGGCAAACGGGCGCAAAATGCATCTCGCCTGTGCGGCTGAAGAAAGGAAGACATGGTCGATATAATGCTACTGTGCGTGCAGTCTCCAAGTAAGCCAAGCAGCCACCAGCTGCGAGGTTGCTGCATCAGGAACGGCTTTAGAACCCAATCAATACCCATGCAAGTTGGTTTCTTTATTTGTGGTCTTTGGTAGATAGATGGCTTGTCATTCGGTATGCCTTTTTGGCCAGGTACGCATTATGATGCTGTCTTAGCAGGAAGCCCAATCACGTCAAGACAGCCAAGATTAATGCTGGCATTCCTTTTTTTAGGCCATGCCTATGATACGCTATAGCCTTATAATGTGGCTGAGGCACTGAATGTACGAAAATACAAAAGCAGCTGTTGCAGTGCTGGACGCGCAGTCAGCGCATATACGCGCCACACGTGATGAGGTGAAGAAAACATGCCTCGTACAGTAAAAACAAGATTTCTGGCAAAAGTCGGTGTGCCCTGGCTTTGAAGTGCATGCGCGGAAATACATATCTACACACACAAAGCAAGGAGTGATGTACGGGTTACAATTACAGATACGCAAAGCACAGAGCTGGCCACGGCGCGGTTTCGTGGGCATTCCCGGGGGTGCAACGTCTGCAGCCTCGTCTCACTACATGGGAAATAAAGGTTGCTTGGGGATGCTGTAGCATTTCCGGGGCCATTCCTTCTTCTGCAAAGTACATGGCTAATAATATGACTTGTCCCGTTGAGCAAATCTCAGCATGTGGAAAGGAAAATCGTGGCGCTCGCCGCGATGTGACGACAGCCCACAAGTCTCGTACCAACCAATCTCGGAGTCACACAGGGTCTAAAACAGCTTGTCACAGGCGTTGATGGCCTCGAAGCTGTCCAAGACCCCCCGTTTTTTTCTTTTCTTTGATTTCGATCATTTGCCCTTCGGAGTAATAATGCTAATAATGCCAAAACCTATTCTTTAGCTTGTCCAGAGAGACTAGACGAGCTGGGCTGGGTGCTAGGTATATCCAGTACGAAGCACTAATGCTGCAAAGGTGGGCCGTCGTTTTGCCTCCGTTGGCTCTTGTTTTTTCTTCGTCTGCCATAGAGAAGAGCAGAGTACCTATTTGGCCTATATCGAGAGACTCTCTCTCTATCTCTCTCCTTCGTCCCTACCTTCTCGTCGAAACAAGCGGGGGGGGCTGGTCATGTAACGAAGCGGCAAATCACGAAAGGCGTCGTATGCTTCGGCACAGCTGAGTGGCTAAAAATCAAGGGCGGCATTTTTGGTCCGCTGTTGTGAGTGGACATCGGGGGCCGCAGGATTTCGGCCTATGTCCTGCTTTAGGCCGTCGGTGCCGGTGAGCCACGAGGTTTGGAGCAAGGCCTTGGGCTCCCATGTTTTCGTTGTCGAGGCCTGACCACCTACCGATTGGCTTTGCCACGCGGTGACTACACCGGATAGTATTGCAGGGGCTCTCTTACGATTCTGGTCTGTCTGGTGCTTGTACGGATTAAGTGTCAGTGGTTCGTACTCGTAGCAGGGCTGCAGTATGGCTTGGTGCTTAATCCTGGCAAAGCGAGAGAGAGAGACAATCTCGCAGCAACGCAACGCGGAGTGGCACCCAGCTTGCCAGCCAGGGTGGGTACCGACCTGCTTCTCGCCGTCTTGAAAGCCTCCAGCCGGCTTGACGAGCCTCAGGCCCCAAGGCAAATGCCAGAGTCCCATCACCATTGCCGATCCGGCTGACCAATAGGTCTGGGCAGCATCATTTCGCATAGACGAGCCCCGAAGGGCTGGACCTGGCGCGTTGCATCACCCTGACATGGGTCGTGCAGAACCGTCGAAATACCACTTCATGTTGCTGCTTTGGTCTCGGCATTGTGGCGTTACTATTACAACCAAAACATGCAGCTGTTTCGTAGCGAATGCATGTACGTACTAGTCTGGCAATGTCGATATGGAGCCGACCCGCTGGCAGTAAATACTATGCAGTACGTACTGTTGCTGGCAGTATGGCCCTCGTCCTTCCCGCTCCATTATCGTGCAGCGTCTAAGCGTTTATTGCAGGGTAGCTATGAGCATCAACCTCACATCTGCGAATAAAAAGGAAAAAAGTAATGCTATAACGCTACCGAGTTGAGACTTGTAGTAGAGAACGATTAGATAATGCAGTAATACAATACATTATAGCAAAAAAAAGAAGCAATCACTTGTCATGTTATCCTTCAACATATTCAGGTACTCGTATGACAACCACCATTTCCGGATGCTAACTTCATGCACAACATCCAACAATCTTCTCATGCGGCTCTACAGTAGCACTGCTCATACGCAATCTTCATCTCTATCGCCCCTGTACATCGACAGCCCAGTAAATTTTATCCCTTTGATTAGCACTTATCAGCCATATGCCACGTTCCACCCCTGCCGAGTCTATTGTCGCTGCAGTATGGAGCACGTCGTACGAAGATCATTGCACGAAGTAGATCATCCCACTTTCCACTTTCCAGGGTTCCCAGCTGCCAGTAAGTTCGCAGCGGAACTGACAGCAAGGGAGAAGAAAAAAAAAGAAACATGGAAACGAGAATAAAGACGTGATTTCGAGTTAAACAGCCTCTCCAATCCACCCTTTCTAATATCCCTGCTTATGGCTCCCAAGCTTCACACAAGATCGATCGAACGCCAAAGTTGGGAGTAAGGGGTATATCCTGGCCATCTGCTGCGAGATGAAAGAGCTCAGAATGCAGCACACAATCATCAGAGCTGAAGAATGGCTGAGCATTAGCTTAACAGAAGCAGAAATAAGGACAGCGTTATGAAGCATGCAAGTCAAGGAAAGATGGCCCTCACCTGAACAATGAGCAAACAAAATAAGGAAATGGTTCAAAGTGCACAATCTTTGCTGATTGCACGTTGCCATATCTAATCTTCCATTAGAAATACTTCTATAGAGGCTAGAAGAAGGGAGCATACACGTCTTCGCCGACCGTACTACACGAGTGCGAGTCGCCATCGAACCTATAAACGTCTCCTTGGTATCCCGGCAAGCTATACAACCACACCTACATCTCCCGAGTTAGCAGTGATAGACTTAAAAAGCTAGGGGAAAAAAACGTACATTTATGGCAGCTGCTGAGGAAGAAGCCATAGCATTAAGGCAAGACAGAACCGTAGACAAGTGCATATTTACAAGGACAGCGCAGAGTTGAGAAAGACAGACACCTGAAGATGTAAATACGTCCCGATTGCTAAATTTGACACTTGGAGCAGGGGGGAAGAAGTATTATAAAAGGACAAGGCTATATGGGTATACAAGGGCATGCAGTACGGATGCTCGTCTGAGGCATACCAAATGGTGTACCGTATCGATCCGTCCTACGTGTCTTACATCGCCCCATGACACCTAAAAGCAATGCTCCGGCTTCGAGTAACAAATTATATTCATTATGTAAATATATTAGAGCCTTTTAATTTCCACCCAATTCGATGGCTTTGTGTCACTCTACTGCAGTAAGGTTTGTAATAGTGTGTCTCGTCAAATTCCAAGACTAGATTCAGATTTGTGTAAGTGGTAGTACAATCACACCATGACTTTGCTCTTTTAGCGACGTGATAGTACCGAGAGATATAGTACTGACCGTTATAATAAGTCGCTAGAAAAATTACGGCCAAATAAAAAAAAAGAGAAAAGAAAACAGATATATCTCTGGTAAAAGATTGTGAGGCTTAATACAGGGGACGAACGCTGCTCACTTAGGTGCAGCGACAAAGAAGCAAATTTTATTCTCTACAATGCATAAATCTCACATAGGTTCCACCCCAAGGATTCCTCAAGCTTAGCTGGTAATCTGTCTTGACCTACGACGAAGCGATAAACGCACAGTTCACGTCGAATGAATTGCAAGGCACCATCTCGATATATACAGCCTTAAAAAAAGGGCATTCTCTGAGATTAATCGAAAAGCGGGTATAATAGAAGACAGTCACGCACACAAAAATAATAATTCAAGTTTAAGCACCATGGCATTCACTCTCACACTCACGCTCCCGGCAACTTTCGAGCTTTGTTCGAATAATTTGGCATAAGTGACCTGCTCTAGACTCTACATCTATCTAGTACACAGTATCTAGAGACACTATTTACATATAGTACTAGGCAAGACAAGAATCTAAATATAGCACATATATCCGTGTGGGTGGCCATGTAAGGGAACTACAAATTACATTTGACAGACGACTCGAAAACCTTCCACCACGACTGCGGTCACAAGACTAAGAAAGTTTGGCGGTGAGATGTGAAGCCGGGGAAAAAGTTTTGATTCCATTTATAACTTCTTTGATATATTTGAGATAACATCAATACGTTCTAGATACGAATGATTGCCAATTGCAGGGTTTTGAATTGTGTTTCAATTACCGCCCAAATAGTATTCACATGCCGCTGATATCGGCGGCAATGCTTGCTTGAGACTTTTATTTCCATTGCATGTGAAATCTACTAGTTATAAACAGACTAATCAATGTTTACAAGCTGGGCTCAACTACTGTGAATGGCAAGGATTTTTACTGTATACTGTCTGGATCCATAAATGGACAGTGCCTAGGCAGCTGCATACACTTCAAAGAGTCATCATGCCACAGCAAGTTCAGCTCATATATCGAATGGCGGTGTAAATATACGGAGTGTTCACTCTCATCTTCCAACTACCCTTCCAAAATGAAGAAAGAAAAAAAAAACGTCCTTCACATGCCCGTAAACAGGCGCTTATCCACCGTCATGAGTGTCTCGCCCCAACGCCATACCTGCGATGAAGGGGTGAGTATATCTGGGCCACTGAGCGTCTACGAAGGATGTCGTATGCTTGAGACTAGTGGGAATAAACAAGGCTCTACGCGAGCGTTAACGCCGAGCCTGTTCAATCAGGTTCGAGGCTGGCCATGGTCTGGAACGCCACGATCACCATTAGGGAATGGGAATGCTGATAGGAGCGCCCTGCTAGTAGGCGTTAAGGAACGGAAGGAAAGGTGTTCTCTGAAGCGTGGTATCTCTAATCTCTTCCGAGGAGAGCCAACAGCTTAATGACGAGGCTCCCCATACGTGGCATGCAGAGTGATGCTCCATAACGGGCCCGGTTTATATGCTTTTCCATCACTCTGACATGCAGCGTCGAATTCTCAATGGTTAGTTGCTTGCCAAAATAAAACAAAAATCAATCCGGGGGAAGTGATATTCAGATGAGGAGGTGTATGCAAAGTAAACAAACATCATGGACGCCCCGATTGTCCACAGCCAGTCTCGTTGGTACACACAATTCGTCTATATCGCTAGGTTGATGAATCCTTCCTCCTACAAGGGTCGAACACGGTGTAACTAACACGACTCATCTATGTCTAGCGTAGCTGTCACTAGCAGGGAGATTCAAGGTTGTGGCAAAAAGTTCGAAGTAGTGGGCTAGATCCATACTTCCCCAGAAGCCAGCTAGATTTGCACAGCTGGTCGTGTCTATGAGTTACCGGCTTTAGTGTTATGTTCGAATAACTAGACCACAGATGCTGGAAACAACTGAGAAAGGCGTGGGTTGAGTTTTTCTGCTCTTTGTTTTGCTTGTACTGATACGCCGACCTACGACGCCTCGTTTTCTCAAGGACTGATTGTCGTGTCTGGACCTTAGCTTGAAGGCCCTGGACCAACATCCTACAAGTATGTACGTAATTTTCTGTTAACGAGCCCGACGGACAAGGGGGGAAAGCATGAAGCTAAATGATGCAGATATGTTGCTAGAGAAGGCGTTCCCTCATTTCCGCGGGGTGCGTTACACAAGCCTAGGCACACCACCATTGCCTAGGCTAGGATTAATAGCTTTGCTATGATGTCGTGGCCCAACTAGAGAATAGAACGTAGCGGGAAGGAATGGGAGACGATGAGTAGGGAGCCTTGTGGAACGAATGGCGTCGGCGCCCACTCCCCTGAGATGGAGGAGAAAGATTGGCGGCTTGCATCTTCATTTTAGACAGACGACTGACCAAGTGTACGTACGGTCCTAAAGCCAAGACGAACAACGCAGCGATGCCCAAGTTGAAGCACGAAGGCCGAACGGATTTCAACGCTTGTATGCACGAGGGGAAAGAAGAGCCTCAAATTGCTTGGGGCACTGCATGTTATAGGCCTTCGAAGACCCACCCAAATTCAGCTTTTCTACATATGGCGACTCGGCGGAGCCGTTTATAATGCATGTTGGTTGAACATGCCATCGACCAACAGCACTTTTCAGGCCAGAGTCCAAAAGGATGCATCAGATTGGTGTTAGTAGTACCTGACTCAAGCAGAGACTACCTCGGCCATTTGTTAGGCAACACAATCCTGAGGAGGAGTAATGCATGCTAGTATATGCAGTATCTATGCGATGCGGACTCCATACCACTCGTACACCTCCCGAGGCATATTCGCTGCTTTCGATAATGCCCTCATGTCGTTGACTTTTGATGCGCTTATTTTCTTTAGCGGAAAATGCTGTTGAAGCGCCAGAAAGACCCCGAGGCCTTGCGTTTCTCTCTTCCTTTATGCAGGCGTAGAGCGGCGGCGCTTAGGCTGGGGTGTAGTGGTGGCAGCTTCAATATCTAGAAGCATAAGCGTCTGCTAATCCATTGGCGGGGACGTCAATTAGCCCGATTTCAATCCAGAGGGCATGTGCATTTAAGCCCGCGCTGACCGGCTGCAGAAGCGACTGTGGTCGCAGTAAATGGCCGCATTAGACAATGCAATGACAATGCAATATGAGGTCTAGAGGCCTGGATTGAAGGCTAACGGCGCTGTGTTGGCGCCGTAGAGAAGCGTGTTCATATATATGCAGCCTATCAAAAGAAGAAATAGGCTTGGGCCCTTTTGAAAGAGGTGAATGAATCAGAAAGAGGTGGGAAGAAGAGCTGGTGGCCCTGGTCTGGCCTGCTTCGTACGGTCATGCCGCCAGCGCTTGTTGCTACGGTTCCATCGCGAGTGCATATTTGACCAAGAGTGACTAAGCGCCGGCTATTGCCAAAGCTCGATCTGAGGGTTGGGTGAGGGAATGGCGCCGGGACGCACGAAACTGAAGTCGTCTGGAGACGGAGAATCCTTCTTCGAACCCAAGGCGTGAAGTAGTGATTCTCCATATAGCAGCCGATGCGCGCGCATCGATGCATCGAGAAGACGCTGCCAGATCGTGGGGGCTTGCCCGCAAGATGATTGGGAGTGGAGAGACGGCGAGAAGTGCTGCGAGACGCTGGGTCGGATTATTTGTTGTTTTGGTTGTATTAGGACGGGAGGCTGAGAGAAGGTTAATTGGAATCAACCCAGATCCTGTTACTCGAGTTGATCGTGGAGATACCGCCAGGGCGTCTCCCAGTAGCAACATGTATTGCGCCAACAGCTACACCTTGTACAATATGTTCGACCCCCCGGATCGTAATCCTCGCTCGAGATCCCCCAGCTGATTGACGATGGGTTCCAGTGACCGAGCTTTTCGAGCCACCCCCAGAAAATTGTAAAGACGAAATCGGTAGCGATACGCACAGACAATCCCATCCGTCATCCATAACAGCCCTCTATGCTTTGGCAGCTTCTTATTCTTGGCCTAATTTCAGCAGACCCAGTCCAAGTGCTCTCGCCGCATTTGCTCGCTCTCCATGCCCGCATTCTTTGTCCCCTGAACCCAGCGCCGAGCAACGCCCATATTTCGACCACCACACTCCGTATTGCTGCAGCTTTTGCTGCCTCGACTCCGCTCCTGATGCTCGTCTCTGAGCTGGCATCAACCTCTGGGACAGGCGACAAAAATCGCGTCATTCCCCGGTTTTTGGCCCCTCCCCTCCTTGGGCTCAGCAGCCACGCGAGCGGTACTGCCAGCCGAGAGAGAAGTTGAGCCAGAACTGGATTATCCATCGTGACCTGATTCCTGGGAGCTCGACGACGAGGCTAGTGACCTGAATCACCGACCGGGCCAAAGCTTAACAGGTCCCGACCCAACCAAATCCTTCATCACCTCCAGACCCAGCATCTCCAGCCCACTGCCAGCAACTTGCCAACGAGCTAGGGATGTCCGGCCTTCCCAAGCCTCTGGGACCAAGCCAGCAGTTCGCGCGATGCCGTCGGCAGAAAAAGTGTCATTTCGCTCGCTCTCGAGTCTGCCCTTAGCACCGAACCGCTGGCCCCTGGCCAATCAGCTGGACACAGCGGCGGCTCGCGCCCATTTGCTTCGTACTCGGCCGTCGAATCACAGTCGTTCCCGACGACCAAAGCGGCCTAGCAGAGGCGCCCGGAGATCTTCCCCTTGAACCACAAGACCTAGGGCAGGTTAGTCAGTCCAGTTAGCCGTGTCTGTACGGCGCACCCCTCAGCCGAGGACATTCCCAGCTGGCATCGTTTTCTCTGCCATTTTTCCTGTGTGCTTGTTGGGAGGAGGGGCTCTTTTATTGATTTTGCTTCTTTCTGCCCTCCCTTGCAGTGTGACAGCTGAGCAAAAGTCAAGCACGGCTCGGCACCCGTAGTGAGAGGGATGCCTCGGAAATTTGTCGAGGCCAGCTGTGATTGCCCTCTCAACTTCGTCGAGGGCCGGCAGTTTGGCTTCCATGCTGACGGTCTATTGTTGGCAACGCTCTTTCCATTACTGTACATACAGCAGTAGAGCCTCTCTTCTTAGTGCTCGGATAAGCCCTGTGGCTTCTCTGCCGTAGCGGTACATGGTAGAATGCCCTGTAAGGCATGCAGAACGCCTGGCTATGGGTACCATCCCAGTACCTCTCGGCATGCCCTTCAACCCGCCGTCGCCGGCCACGGACGCTGCGCCGCCAAGGTAGCGTCGAGGTATCCGTGCGCACGCCCCTCTGCTTCGTGCTGCTTTAACGGCCAACGCCCCTCTGGTTCCCCCCTTCCCTCAGTGCTGCCTGCGCTTTGAGCCTCTCATCACCATCACCAACGAGCAGGTGCTGCGCAGGCAGAGTCGGTCACTCTTTCCCAGGGAGATCCATGCGGCTCCTCCCTCCTCGACTTCTGCTCTGCCCAGGACTTTCCTCTCTCCTTCTCTCCTTTTCGTATTTTTCTCCTTCAACTTCAGCCTTTCATCATCCCCGACCTATTATTCGTCTATCTCGCTCTCTTCTGTTTGTTCGTTTTGTTTCGGCGGCAAAAGGCCCTTCGCAGCACGGCGCATAATTAATTCATCAATTCAGTCTGGGTCGCAGCCAATTTGCTGCTTGCGCGCTCCCTCTTCCACTCCATCCCCTGCTCCCACCCCCCTTGGGAAATCCTTTCTGTGTCGTCCAATCCGCTTGGCCATCGGTAACCTGCAACAGGCGTCCAGCGGCAGGGATCTTCCAACGCCTCCCACCCAGGCCACCGGCGCATATCCAAAACACAGCCCCTGTCCGAGCCTTACACTGCCTGCTGTGCGTTGACTGGCTCTTCTCAAACAGCCAAACCCAGTCTCGCCTTTGCCGCCAAACCCCTCGTCGGCCGGGGTGTTGCTGTCTCTGACGCTCTCATCTAAGCAACACGCCTCCCTAGAAACACGCCCCGTCCACTGCTTCTGCTCCTCTGGCCACGGCCAACGATCCAACACATTATAACCACCGCGGCCTGCCTTCTTTCGTCCCCCGCCAAACTTTTCTCTGGCTTCATCTCGTTGCTTTACAAATTCTCAACAGCCTTCGATTTAAGAGTACCACTGGCTGAAGCTCTGAAGCCTCAAGGCTTACAAGCTGCCGCGGCTGCTGCTCATCCTTTGTCTTACTCGACCTACATTGCTCAACTCTGGCTAGCACCTACTGCCACCTACCCACTACTACCGAATACAAGCAAAATATAAATCCATCTGCATCTGCGCATATACTTCGACTCGTATATTGCTGCCATCATCCCATTCGGCTCCCGCAGATATTTCAGCGACTACCACTCTCATCATGCCTGCAGTTACAACCAGGCCCAAGCTGGGCAAGCTCTCTACTCCAGTGACGAGCACATTTCCTCCCGACATCACCTCAGCAAACACAGCTACTCCTCGGTCTGCTCTGACTTTCGCCTGCAAGCCAGACCCCAGCTACATCAAAACACCGATCAGTCCACCATTGGCCTACACTGATTTTCTCTCCAAGGCTCTATCACTCAACTCGCCAGCTCTCGCACCGGGCGAGATTTCTCCAGAGTCTGCACCGACATCTGCTGCTAGCGACAAATCGGATAGCTCCTCGGTGGACGAACGTCCATCCCCAGCTTCTAGCGCTGCCAGCAGCAAACCCTCATCGCCGGCGTCAGCAACGGCAGTTCCCCCAACTCCATTCACGGCGCCGCTGCCTATGTCTGCACCGGCAACTGGAGCAAATTGCTTTCCTAGCCTGAAAGTGCCGCCTAGCCCTGCCATTTCTAATCTAGACTCTCCCATGAGTTCGCGACTCATAGGCTCTCCATTCAGCGCTCGGTCGATTCACCCTGTGTTTGATTGGGACGCCGCCCTTAAAGCCCGTCTTGGAGAAACGAAGAAGCAAAAATCCTCGCGCGTCAGTGTGCGACACATTCGTGAGGTAGTGACGAGAACTGTCACTTACACGCCAAAGATGGATCCCGCCCCCAGAGGCAAGCGACGGAAAGTAGAGTGATGAAAGAAAGCGGGAAGGCATGTTTCGACATTCAATTCCTTCACACAACACCTACCATACCTTGCTCCGACCCTGTCTCCTCATTTGCCAACCGCAACGACATCGATCTACGTATCTCTTTAACTACCACCGCACCAACTGTATACCAACCATGATTCGACAACACAAGGTGTTTTCATTTCTTGACTTGATGACTACGTCTCCCTGTGGGAGACAACAAAAGCATGATCAGAGAATTGGAAGGGCGAGCTGCTTCCAATTAATATTTTTTTACGAAACCTTCAGCACTAATACGCTGGCCGCAGCTGAAGTCGACGATGTGATGGTTAACCATTTAAACCTGGGCGAGTCCCAGCATGACACTATTACTGGCGTATCATGGACGAGTGGTGTGGGGAGTTTTCTTTTATTTCCTTTGTCACTATCACCATGCCGGATATCTCCTTTTTATTAACATACTCCTCCTTTTGTGTGAGGATTTGCGAGGGCGGAGGCTTTTTTTCCTTCATGCGAAAGTGTCAGGGATTTTCCTGGAGGAGTTTATGGGCGTTTTCCCACGGACACAGCGCACGACTAACGGGCGTTTCTGCTGCGCATGGACCGGCTCGATACTGAAGCCTGGACTGTGGATAATGGTCTGCTTAAGTCTGGGCGGGGGGCGGCAGAGGGTCAGGCGATTCTGCGTGTGTCACCGGAAGCGGGAACCAAGAGGGGCCGATGGAGGCAGCTTCATTCGTGAATAAGACGAGCAGCTAGCTGCGCATCGTAGATGCCTCCATGCTTGTAACACATATTATATATACACTATTTAGAGACACACCAAAAAAAAATTATTGAACAAAATAATTCACCGAGTGTTGCTTTGCAACCAATCATTCTTGTGAAGACTGCGTTGATTAGCTCGATAATCTCCGACTGTAACGCAAAGCCGAATATGGCAGATGCAGATTCTATTGGCAGCACCGATCTTTTCTTTTCTTTTCTTTTTTTTTCCAGCTAATTTAATGATCTGTCGTTAATAGGATTTACGGCTTCCCGTCTGTACACGTGTATTTGTGTGTGTAGCAATATGGAGCGGCAGCGTATGTGCCACGATGGAAATGTCGGTATAAGTCTGGCACTTGATTCGTGGCTTTCGTATCATGCTCTACTCTTTCTTGCCCTTTTCATCTTCTCCTCTCTTTTATTCACGCAGACGTGCAGATTCACTCTCGGAGAAGGTATATATGAGAAGGAATAGAGTGAAAAAAAAAAAATACAGAGGCCGGGGAGGATGGCCGCAGAGGCGGTCGCATAGAAGTGGGCGCCTATCCGTTACCCCATGTACGTTGCTTCTAGAGGGTATGCTCTGAGTGGTGAATCTGCAGAGATTATGGATCAATGGGATTGGTAAGGTTGCTATACAGGCAAGGCACCTGGCACTTTGCATGTAATATTATGGATGTGCTGGTTGAGTTGCGGTGACTGCTGCTGATACGAAAGGGAAAGATGATGTTCCGATGGTGTAATTGTTATGTTATATGCTGATGATGATTGTTTTGTTGTGCATTAGGGCTTGCATATATACTACTAGAAGAGAGAAGAGAGGAGAGAACTGTGACAGATGGAAGTTATTCACCATCTGTTTGAGTCACTTTTTTCTTCATCGGATATAAGACGTATGGATAGAAATCAGGATGAATGTATGCCTCCACTTCACGGCATCTAAGACAGCATGTCAGAGACATGACCCCCCTTTGAGAGGAGAATAAGAAGCATCACGACGAGTGCCTTTTGCCGCTTGTTTTTTTCCCATTTGATTGGGCGCGTGGTAGATTTATGCTGGACAGTGTTTGTGTGTGTGCGTGTGTGCGGTATGCGCGGTGGGTGTGTCTGGGCCGGATAATGGGCCGGACGGGAAGATGCTTCCCGCTAGGTCACGATGGATGCGGCCGTCTGCTACGTTATTCCTATCGTTTTGTTTGTTTTGTTTTTGTTCTGTTTTATCGAATCGTGGTGCGGTTATTGATTGATGTCAATTCGAGAGCTTAAACGCCGCCTGGCTTCATGTTTTGATACCCGCCAAGCGACTATGTCCACTCTGCATCAGCGGCGGCAGCAGTAGCATCTTACCAAGGGAAGTTGTGGCGTGTATGATGGGCTATCTGCGGCAGAAGAGCAGAATAGAAAGGCGTACTATCTACTCCTTACTGAAATGGCAGCGAGGTTGGAACGAATGAGATGAGACCGCTAGGTCTTGTCTGTGATGGTCAACGCCTTAGACATCTTGATCGAAATCTATCGTCAAGCCTTTCCTGCCGTGTGAGGGCCAAGCTCATCTTTCACACGCCCCTCACCTTTTAGCGGCCAAAGTCCGTTGACGGACATGCCGTCAAAGCAGCAAATGCTCGTACTGTTCTCTTGTTACGCCCGTATGACGCTTGCCATCTGCCATTGCTGTCGACACTCTTCCCTTACTCCGTCCTTGCTCTCTTCCTACCATCCATCTTCAGCGCTCACCCCATCCTTCGTCCTCCGGGCACATCCGCTGTGCTTTCGTGACGTTCGCCGACGTCACTGGCCACACACCCTCTTCTGTCACTCTTGGCCCCCCTGCCCCGGTCTCGTAGGACATCATGGACCTAAAAAAAACCGTACAACAATCTGGGAGCAGCTAAAAGCGGCGTCGTCCCAAGAGAAACGATCCAATTCCGCCCTAGTTCGTGCTAGTTGGTCTTCTAAGCGCCGTTGAGCTCCCCGAGCCGTGTCATTGGCTAGCGTGGATATGGCTGTCACCCACCCGTCAGGTCCAGTGTCTATGATTGGCCGGGATCTAAGCGCCCTGATATGTGGGCAACGCACTGCTCAGTTGCAAGACTAAGCCGTCGCTACAGTCGCGTTCAGGGTGCCTTTCTGCCTATGCTGTGCTGCGCCTACAACCGCACATATGTATGTACAAGGGCGGATATACTGTAGGCAGCATGTAAGGAGTAGCAGCAGTATGGACCCTTCTTGACGTGACATCGTCCAAGTCTGTAGCGAGAATTTCTGCAGCCGCGCTAATTTGCCCGCTTAGCAGAAGCATGGAGGGCAAGGAGGAAATTATGCGCGTTGGAGAGAGTAGAGTAGGTAGCGTCTGGCTCTCAGCTTCGTATCCAAGATTGGGGAACTCAATGAGCGAGTGTGGCTTCATGATTTCAGCTCAGGCGACCGAATATTCCTAGTCATCATTTTCAAGTATTGCTAGCGAGGTCAACTGCCGAGTCACCACACAGTGGTAAATTCTCTTACTCGTGAGGCGTGAGGCCTCTTATCCGTGAGACTAGCACTGGCTCACCGCTGAGTTAGAAACTCTGAGCTTCCATCTCTTTTCATCCCTGTCTATATTACTATTAGTCTGCTTCTCCTTGATCGTCTTCTCCAGCACTCGACTTACTCCTCGCACCACCAAAATATGCAGTACCACTACTCTAGTACAAGGAGCTGTGTTGTTAAGTAGGATTGTGACAGCTGGTCATGCGAGTCACGCTATCTCAATGCCGCCATGTGGTTTAATTGGTCCCAATTTTTCGTCAAACTAGCAAGATTTTCGACAAAATTCTATTGATATGCCATCCTGAAACGAGAGGGAAGCGGGGGGTCCTAGCCAGCATCACTCTGCTGAAACCGGGTTAAGCCGACATTGGAAGAAATATATTGGAGAAGTCGTCCGTTTTACCCAGATGGAATATTCTGAGACAGTTTCCATTGCTGCTAAATTTGGAAACACGCACGCACAATGTTGTGATGGAAGCAGATTCTTCCAATATCACACAGAGCACTGTGGGCCCCTTCCATCAGCATCGGGCAACCAATCCCACGGAGTTTTCATTTTCGAGACTAGCCGTTGCACATGGCAAATCAAGATCATCCCGCTGGGGCACTGATGGCAGGGCTCTTGGTGGAGGGGCGGTCTATACTTGTATGTGCACGCCTCCATCTCCACCATTCAGTTGAGTACCCTCCATCACGATTGGAATTTGCCTTTTCTTTTCTTTCATTCCCACTTCGAGGCATATACTGTACATACCCATAAGCGACTGGGTGGGCAAGGCTAGCCAATTTCTCTGATTTCCTTTGCGACGGCATTGCAAAGAGCAACTTTGACCCCGGCACCAGTGAGAACGTGGATCCACAGCCGCTGCGTGTCGCTTAGCCTGTCGTTTGCACTCTTCACCTCTACAAACATGGCCTCTCCTCTTGCCTTTCCTGGCTCGTCATTCTGAGCCTCTGCTCCGTTGCTTTCCGCCATTCTCCAGAGGATGAGGTCCGGGATGCCTCCACCTCGTTGCTTATATTCCTGTGCCATCACCTTGCACAAAGCGGCTAAAGCGCTACCTTCGAAGCAGCGTACTAGCTCTAGCAAGTCCTCCACTTCAAAATCCCAATTGAGCCCTATCACACTCGTTCGTCGCTCGTGCTCCCTTTCCCAGACCCCACGTAGCAGCCGTTCACCCTCACCATTGGCAATCTCAACGAGTCGATGGTTGATTTCCGAAATTCGAGCAGGGAAGAAGGCATCTGTATGCAAGTCCAAGGGGCAAGTTTGGAAAGCCGTCTGAAAAACGTTGGGGATATAAAGAAACAGAATGTCGTAGAACAAATAGGCAAACAGGGTGCGGATGATGCCCCCTTCAGCATGGTATCCCTTCCACCCCTGTGACTGGAAGTGGCTCAAGCACATCTCTTCCACGGTACATTCACCGCCAGAGTGCGATTCGTCCAGCCAAAGGGTTCTTGTGCTCAGAGCCTGGCCTCCCGACTTTGGTGGGGTATTTCGCTTCAATTGGATTCCCTCAACGGATAGCTCCAAGGGGTCAGCAAGCCGTACATGCCCAAAATCATGCTGAAGACGCTTAGGGACGCGGAGTTTCTTCTCTAGTTTGACTAGTCGTTTTTGTAAGTCGTAGTGGTGTATGAGGTGACAATCCGGATCTTGAAGGCCAGCCTCGCAAGTTGAGACTGCTATTGCTCGCCATCGCTTCTTTTGCTGCTCCAAGCCATGAGAAGTGGGATCTGGATCATGGCTAGGCATATAGTGCTCCTCTAAAAGAGCCTTACGTTGGTACCACGAGCCTCTTCGGGATAAGTGAAAAAGCCGTTGGTTTAAAAGTTCGGTCAACAATTCATGCTCCTTGAGGTAATTTTTGAGCCTGCCAAATACGAATGCGGCCTTCACGATAATTCGAGTATATGAATGGGCGGGATTGAATCGCCTGAGGTACGCACCCTCTCCCAATTCGTAAAACTGGCGCTCTTTCTCGGTTTCTTCTTTGACCAGGGCATCCCACCGGGGATATACCTTTTCAAAAATATCAAGTATATGATGTGAACCCTTTTCATCCAGTGGTCCGTTAGAATCAAGAACGCTGTCAACCTCCGCTTCCATGCGAATCGCGGCCTCGTATTCCAACAAACGAGCTCGAGAAGCAAATATCGTTGAAGATCGAGAGACAATATACTCGGGAAAATTTCGCCTCGCAATTTTTGCCAATATGATTGTCGTCAGTGACTTCTCCGTCCATTCTGTAGATCTGTAAAACACCAAGTGAACCCTTTCGAAGAGCTTGAAGGTCGCTGGAGATATTCGTATACAGGGGCCGACGACAGCAAGAATTTTAGCTAGAAAGTGCTGTTCACGATTGGAATCTTCTCTCTTTACTTTCGCAGCCGCCTCAACAGGACGGTCTGTTGTTCCAGAACCGCTCGAATGTGCACTATTTTGTCTACTGATGCCTAGAGCCATTAGCCCGGCTTGCTGCTGGCTCATCCGACATAAAGCCTTGATCATATCCATTTTACTTTTCCCCTGGACCTTGGCTTCTTTGGCTATCGCCTTGAGCTCATCAAGGTACAGAAGCGATGCGGCTTCTTCGATTGTGTCGATATAGTCTTCAGATGCATCAGCGAACGAAAAAGTATTGCTATCATCAAGTTTTTCCGGCCCAACACCTGATAGCTCAATTTTAACTGGTGAACTGCTTGTAACTTCCAACAATAGGGTTCGACGTTTTTGAAGTGTGTCAATAGCTGTGGCATGATCTGAGATGTCATTGAAATAAGCCAAGCGAGATGACCGATGCCAAGCTGCCGTCTTTCGGAGGAACAGACGAACATATCTGTCTCAATTATTGAGTAGAAGTAGGGCAAGCCGGCGAGGCTACTTACAAATACTGCGCCTCATAGTTGAGATTCTTCCACTGGTTGAAAATGTCGAGCTCTTTGCTACTAAAAAGGGACGATTCTTCTTCCAAGACGGTATCCAGTGTGAGATTGAATGCATCCACATATATCGAGCTCCTCCCTTTGATCCACAGAGGAGCTATTTTCTTGTTTGGAATTTCTTCTCCGGCATTGTTTTGGGAAGATTTGAGAGTCTCATACTCTTCAATAGCTTCTTGGCTGGCCTCAGTTGGCGGCAATGCGTTCTCAAAGTCAGTGACCTGCTCTTTAGCTCGATGCTGGTCTTTTTCATCCGGTAACGTCTCTGCTGATACAAGGTTACTCGACTCATACTTGACGGCAAGTTCAACTGGCTCTTCCGATTCTGATTCAGTGTCCTCATCCCTCTTTAGACGCTTGGTAGGTCTCTCCACTGCTGGCGACGCATTCCGTAGCGAGCGTCCGTTGCCCTGAGCCTCAGCATCTCCCCTTGGCAGCCGTTTCACGAAAGCATCCATAATAACATCATTCCAAAAAATATGAGCATCGCCTCTTTGCTGCAAGGACGATCGCCAAAGAGCTGGTTTTGTTCTGTAAAGGACAAGAGGCAGTTGACGCGGGAGACCCGTGAACCGTGAACGACTAAACGCGAAGTCAGCTGACCCCCTTTAAGTACCAGCTGTGTCCCCACCACAATAGCTTCCTGGAAGTGGCATGGGCAGCTTTCTCTATCCATCTCCAGCAGCTAGACAACCAATTGGCAGCGGCTGCACTCCGTAATCATGGCAGATGAGGATACCAAGACTACTCTAGATGTTCCACAGGTGTCCGTCTCCAACAATGAGGCGCCCCCAACGCAACAAAGCCAAGGGCACGATACCCCCCAGCGAGACGTCGTGATGGCTGATGTGCCAACGGATCAAGCAGTAAGACCGGCCCATATTCTTCTGCCTCATAAAATGGACAACTTTTTTTGTTACTCTTCAAGAGCCCTGTTGATTGGCTGACCGCCTCTAGCAGTCACCAGCACCCGCAACTTTTGCACCAAGCCCTGCTCCTGGTCGCACGGGAACACCAGCGCACGGCTCTAGAGCGGCTTCAGCGCATCCGGATCCTAGTTTTACGATGCCTTCAGAGGCATCCTTACATGGTGACTCGACCCGGCGATACTTGAATACAAAAGTCACTAGCGCTTTACTAGAAGGAATGAAATTGCTGGCTAAGGAAAAGTAGGTTATCCTAGGGACTATCATCTTGCCCAAGTCGACGACTTCCTAACATACGTATGTAGGCCAGAGGACCCTCTACGAGTTTTGGGCGAATATCTAATACAAAAGTCGAGAGAATTGGAAAGCACAGGATGATTTGGGTTTATTTCAAATAGCATATTTAGATCATGGGACGAGGCACGTTGAAGGCGTTGAGGATTTCGTATTACGGATCAGAGATATTAGGATACCCAGAGCACATCTATATCATGAGCAGTCCAATTGCTTTCGATTAGGAGCATTTGACTGCCAGCTTGGTCCTAAAGACCGGCGCAGAAGAATCATAGCTCTAAATGCAGCTTTTTCATATATGACCCAAACTCCATGACCCGAGAAACCTCCACGACCATGACCAAATAACCCGTCGTGTCTTTTAGATTTCGCTATTTAAGCGACGATGGTGCTGGCGGTGGCAGACTCGTACTTCCAGGTGGGGGGGAGGACACCGACGGTCTTGTAGTAACGAGCCAGACGGTGGATACGGGACTCGATCAGAATGAGGCGGAACTTGGAGTCCTTGTCCTTGCGGTTGCGCTCAAGGTGCTTGCGGACAGCGACAGCCTAGGGGTTGATTGATGGTTAGTTTTCGCGTTGCTCAGAGATGAGATCAAAAGTTTTCATGCAGCCGCAGTGGTCTCACCTTCTTGATCAGCATGTACAGGTCCTCAGGAAGATCAGGGGCGAGGCCTATAAAGATCACTCTGTCAGTCTAAACCGCACAGAGGCACATGAGATATCTCATGAAAAATGTATGCAAAGATAGATGCACGTTATGCACGTATGCGTCGTTCGAACATCACATTCTTCATGTCGTTCAGGGTTCCGTACCGTTGGACTTGAGGATACGCAGGATTCGGTTACCTGTAGTTCGCGGTTAGCCAAAGTTGCCCATTGAATCTTCTCAGCGGCTGCATCTCAAACGTACCAGTGACAACCTTGACCTGGGTGATTCCGTGAGAGTCACGGAGGACAACACCGATCTGAGAAGGAGTAGCACCCTTCTTGGCCAGCTTGCAGATCTGGTCAACGACCTGCTCGGGAGTGGTCTTCAACCATGAGGGAGCGGATCGAGAGTAGGGGATCGCGGAGGACGAAATGCCCTTGCCCTTGCTGTGAAGTCTACCCATCTTGTCGGATTTGGTGGTATTTGCTGACGATGCAAAAAGTTGTCGAGGAGCTGGTCGCGAAGTTGCTTCAACAGGGAACAATTAGGTCGTGTGGGGGGAGGTTGAAAAATTCGCTTAGTTAGGGCAAAAGAGCGGAATGCGCCGTGCGTGGCTCGTGGTTGGTGGCTAGTGACGCCGATGACCAAATTTGCACTGCACCACGTGATCTAATCGGCGGCTTCGCGATAGCTCAGCATTGCTTCTGAAATTTTGACCCGCAACGCTATCTTTCCTTTCAATCTTTTTTTTCTCTGCCGGCTCTTGCTTTATCTCGGCAGCAGCCACGCTTGATATTCCTGCTGTGAAAAATGCCTACACGATGATTTCAAGAAAGTCATCGTCCGGCAATCACGGCAGATAGTACTGAACTGGTAAGTTGATATCTTTTTTTTTTTAATACACACTACAACAGCACGACGCCTATGTGATGACGCGACACATTTGTTTACTTATTCTGGTACCTCTTATGTTAGTTTGAGGTGGCTTTATGCTATCTCATTCAATGAATGAAAAGGACTTCTGATTTCGGCGCTTTTCTTTTCATCTATTCTTGTCAAAGACCGTTTGATGAGAATAACGCTAATACAAATTATACAGACGATTATAGACTCAAAGTATTATAGCGATAGAACCATAGTAAAACTAATGAGACATGAGATTCCAAATTCGCTTACCATCTGAGATTTGATCCTTTATTCGTTCTTTGCAACCACAGCCAAGCAAAACACGCAAAACACAAACGCCATAGCCTTTTTTTCTTATTTCAAGCCCATGATTTTACGTTGGAACAAAATACGTGGGCGTATATCTGCAACGATTCGCCCTTTAACCAAAGTCCCCATAATAATCCCCATGGCTGCAGATGTGACTGTCACGAGCTATTAAACTACTTCGCCTAAATATTACACTGTTTTTACCAAGCGCCTACTTCGAAGTTTTCCTGCCGGCGGTTAGCGTTTGACCAACTTAAATAGCAGAGACCGGGAAATACTAACCTCTGGGAAATAAGTTGCCACAACGGTCCTGTCGGCAAATTTTCTGCCAGCAAGAGCAGTAAGAGCTTTGGTGGCTGACTCTTCGGAATCATACTTGACGTAGATCTTGCCTACGCCAGCAGATTGTCTGCTACCGCCAGATGGTCTAGGGACTTTAAGCTCCACGACTTTGCCAAATTTGACACACTCATCTTGGACATCTTCGCAAATTTCTGTTTTGCCTTGGATTAGAATGTTGATGGCAATAAACATGGCAAGCTTACTTACCTTCATAGTCGTCATTGTCTATCAGCTCTTCAGGAGTGACCATGTTCAGAAGCTGAATAACAGAGCTCCTCTCAATATCATTAGAGGTTTGAGAGGCGAGGCCACTAATAGCAGTGATGCCCACGTCGAAATTGGCGACCTGGGTAGGTCCAATGCTGGCTTTTGTCACCTTTAGCTTCTTGCCACCGACATCCATCCCGTTTAGGCTGTTCAGAGCAGGCTCATTTGCCGAGGAAGGCTCAAGATATTCGGTAAATGCGATTCCCTTGATTACGAGTTAGCTCATCAAACATTCACAAGACGTCTGCAAATCAAGCCTGTCTCACCCTGGATTCTTCAGTGCTTCGATCTTTCACCAAGACAAAAGCTTTAGGCTTGCCAAAGGAAGCGAGAAGCTCAATAACTCGTTCTTCAGTGAGGAATGAGGGAATGTTGGTAATACACAGTTTGTGCACGGTATCAGGGACGACATTTGATATGACCTCGGGGTCGAAGGGCATCTCGTCTGGTAGAGCAGGCATGACATAGTCTTTAGGTCGGCGAATAGTCAAGCCAGAGCTCACACCATCGGCTGCACCATTCATCGCATCGTCAGCCTCCATTGAAATGCCGTCCAAGGCAAGTGCAACAGTTGCGTCAGTCGCATTTCTGAACTCCAAAACTGCAAACGCTCGGTCTGAAGAAAACTGGCAAAGGACACAAGGATCGGAGCTTTCGATAACATTTAGGCCGTTCAGTTGCAGGTTGAAGAATGAAATCAAAGCATCTTCACCAACGCCACTGGGAACATTGGAAACAAGAAGACGCTTTGCTTGGCGAGAGTTGCTGGCTTTGAGACCTGCGCTGGTGACTTGGCCTCCAGGCTGGGTCATGAAGGCCTGCAGCTTTGTTGGGTCCATTGGCTGCTGGCGAGGAGCACCTGGAAGAGGAAACATTCCAGAAAGCTTGGCTTGCTCAGCCGTCACGAGGTCATAGCCAGGAGGCTTTATATCCCACTGCGTAAGGCGTCGCTTTCGCTCGAGGATAGGGACGACATCCGTCAAATCAGGGGTGGGCTCTCTTTTCTTGGGGGGTGATGGGCTGCGACGCGGCTGCTCTTGCTGTCTTGCAAATCCATCATCGCGCCTGTCTCGTCCTCCTCTTCGACGGTCATCGTAAGGATCTCGCTCTCGTCGGCTAGGTCTCTCGTCATCGTCACGGCGGGCGTCTCTGCGGTAAGAACCTCGGTCACGGTCCCAATCGCGGTCGCCCCGACGGTCGCGCGCCGATGAGTATCTGTCCTCACGTTCTCTATCACGGTGGCTGCGACTTGAAGAGTATGCGTCGACGTCTCCCTCTGTGCGGCGATGGCTGCGGTGATCTGGTGATCGAGAGCGTCGGCGATCACGGTCTCTATGTCGGTCACGACGATCGTCTCGTTCGCCTCGTTCACCCCGTTCGCCTCGTTCACCCCGTTCGCCTCGTTCACCCCGTTCGCCTCTGGAGCCCTGCATCGAAGAAATATTAGATATGGGGGGTAGAAGCGGCAATTGGTATACGAACTCCATAATCTCGGTTCCTTCGCCCCCCATCTTATCGACGCGACACTTGGTTAGCATAAGGACCAATTGAGGCACAGCTGAGAACGCGTGTCCTACCTCGAGACGAGTAACTATCGCCGTTCATGGCTGCGATATCTCTTCGCAAACGGTAGCGATTGAGCGGCTCTTTCAAATTGATGATGCTGAGTTATGTGGTGGAGCAGGAATGTCGATGAAGTCGCTGCAAGATATCTTGGCTAAAAGCTCTTTTATTAATACTTTTGCATCAAGGCGAGGCTGGAGCTTTTTTGCAAGATGTACGCTATGCCACTTCAGTGTTAGCAGGCTATGCGCACTGGAAGAGTCTGCCGGATTATCTGCGGCTAGTGTTGTAGGGACGCGTGAAAGTCCCCATAGCGGTGGCCACTATCAAAGACTCGGCGCTTTTACTGCAGCGCCACTGTTGCAGCACTGTATTCCACTCTGTAGATGCAGCGCTAGCAGAACAATGCTACTCATGCGGCCGCCCATTTATTAGTGCTAATCTATAGCATTTTAGTATTCATCTCATTTTCCATTAATACATAGTACGGGGTTGTTTGGAACCATCAAAGCTGTTATGGCGACGAAACGAGCTGTTGATTGGCGCAAGTTGCCGGTGAGCCTCACCGAACTCTGCATTGACACGACACTGCGATGCGGCCAGTCGTTTAGGTGGCGAAAGCTCAACGACGAATGGTTGGTACAGGCATCCTTCTCTCATTCATCATTAATTAACACGGTTAGGATTTGCACATTACACGGGAGGATATTGTCTTTGAAGCAAGATGCAACTCATTTACACTATAAAGTGACCTGGCCAGAATATCAGGGGCAACGTTCTTCGCCTGGCTCATCCTCCAAAGAGTTGCTACCCAGAAAGGACGATACAGAGGATCTTCTTCGCCATTATTTCAGCCTGGATATAGATCTTGCCTCTTTGTATCAACAGTGGTCGAGAGATGACCCAAACTTCCGAAAAAAGGCACCCAAGTTTACAGGAGTTCGCATTCTAAACCAAGACGCATGGGAGGCGCTGATATGCTTCATATGCAGCAGCAACAATAACATTTCTCGAATCTCCCAAATGGTTAGCCCACCAAGAATTTATTATGTTAAAGACGATTTGCGCTAACAAGCCTCTAGGTACATAAGCTTTGCAAGCACTATGGCACGTTTATTGGTCATATAGATGGGGAAGCCATGCATGACTTCCCTACTCCAGAGTCCCTAAATGAAAAGAAGGTTGAGGCTCATCTAAGAGAGCTCGGCTTTGGGTACCGTGCCAAGTATATCGCAGAGACGGCTCGCATTATTGCCCAAGAAAAACCTTTGGCATGGCTTGACTCGCTACGCAACCCGGATTTTCCTGCATTCAACGCCGTTGCAGTCGTGGATGGATCGCAATCTACCTACAAGGATGCCCAAGCTGCGCTACTCTCTCTCACCGGCGTAGGTCCAAAGGTGGCCGACTGTGTCTGCTTGATGGGCCTGGGGTGGGGAGAATCAGTTCCAGTGGACACACACGTCCTACAGATTGCCCAGCGAGATTATCGCTTTGGAAAAAAGGGGCCTAAAACTATAAACAAGGCCATGTATGATGCGATTGGCGATCACTTTAGAAGCATATGGGGCAAATATGCGGGCTGGGCTCATTCAGTCTTATTCACAGCCGATTTACGAGAATTTTCAGGTCGCATGAAAGAAAAAGTGGAAGAAACGTCGCTTAAAGAAGAAACTTTAGCTTCACCAGAAAACCCTAGAGGGAAGAGGAAAGCGACTGTTGAAATGGAGAAAAGGATACAGGTGAAGAAAGAGGATGATACGAAGGAGAATGTGATTTTAGAAATTGACACAACAATCAAAAGGCGACGCACTAGGGCTCGGCCGTAATAATCCATGGTAATTAATGCGAGGGGGTTTTTTTTTATCAATTTTATTTACAAGTTCAATTTTTGTCAGTTCAACATGAACCGCAAAGACCGGTGGAATAAAAGTTTGCACCTAATCCCAGGGTCAGTCAATAATAGTTGGTTTCCCAGGAGACAATAAAGTTATTCGCCAATAACTCCACAGAGAAGATTGGGTGACTATTTAGAGTCTAATTGAATAAAATCCGTTAGTATATCCATGTTGATTATCTATTGGAAAGAAAAACAAACAAACAAACAAACGAACGAACGAACAAACAAGCAATCGTGCTTTTCCTCTCCTACAAGCAAAGCCAGTTTCGTCTCTATACTTGCCGTATTTAGTGCTGAGGGCGCGTGGCGCGTCGGAAAAAAGTCGGACAAATATTTCCTGGCGGTAGACTTTTTGCCGCTTCAATTTCGAGCTTCGCTTGCAATCCCTATTCGAACCTCAGCCTTCTCAGCAGCACACCTCCATGCGCAGCGATCTCGTTGGGACCACTTCAAGCACGTTAGAACCGGGATGAAGCGAGAAGTTCGATGAGCCAAGATGTCTGATGCCGATTTCGAGACGATCAAGCGGCTCCAGCAGGAGCGCAACGCTGCGGCAGCTTCCACAAAAAGCTCCCGCGCGTTGGCAGCCTCGAATCAACGCAATGACTCGACGAAGCAGAGGCTCACCGACAGCGCCGATAATGACCTGTACGACCGACAAGAAGCCGATAAGTTTGCAGGATACCACACCTCTCTGCCCATGGGAGATGACGATGAGATGGAGGATGGAGACAATACGCGTAGACTCGTCGGTCAATACACAGCTTCCCGTGAAATCATTGACGAGTTTGCCCGCGGCGATGGCGTCGAGGAAGACGATATTCTGGCTGGCAAAGGCGAGAAGAGTAATCGTATCACTGACCGTGAGACCGATTATCAGAAGCGAAGGTTCAATCGCGTGCTCACGCCGACTCGAGCCGATCCTTTTGCCGAGAACAGGCAGGCTGGTGCCGCAGAGAATGGGACGAACTATCGAGAAATCATGGAGATCCGTGAGCTTGAACGTGAGGAGGAGCGTGTGAGGCGGGCTATCCAATCAAAGTCAGCTAATGGTGACGATGGCGATGAACCGAAACCGACACTCGTCGACCACGACAAGGAAAACGCAGAAGCGGGCTCTACGGAAGCTGTCACATCGGTGCGCAAGCGAAAGAAGAGATGGGACGTGTCTTCGACGCCTGCCGAAGAAGAAGAATCCAAGGAAGAGAATGAAACGGCGGCAAAACCTAAGCGGTCTCGATGGGATCAGACGCCGGCCGTTCCTGGCCCGGGTGCCATGGAAGCTCCCAAGAAACGCTCGCGATGGGATCAAGCGCCATCCGCAACGCCGATGGGCAACCAAGGACTCGCAACTCCTATGCACCAGCCCCAGACAGTTTCAATGCCTACAACCTTTGGCACGGACATTTCTGGACGGAATATGCCCCTGAGCGATGAAGAGCTTGATTTGCTCTTGCCTGGCGAGAATGAAGGCTACAAGATCCTAGAACCCCCTCCTGGGTATGAACCCGTCCGGGCTCCAACTCACAAACTGATGGCGACTCCTGCACCCCAGACTGGCTTCACGATGCAGGACCCTGACCAAGTTGCACTTGGTGGAAAACCAATGCCAGCAGAGATTCCGGGAGTCGGAGACCTACAGTTCTTCAAGCCCGAAGACATGGCATACTTTGGCAAGCTGACAGATGGCTCCGATGAAAACGCCCTGAGTGTAGATGAGCTGAAGGAGCGAAAGATTATGAGGCTACTTCTCAAAATCAAGAACGGAACCCCGCCTATGCGAAAGACGGCTCTTCGACAGATCACGGATAATGCAAGGCAGTTCGGCGCCGGTGCCCTCTTTGACCAGATTCTCCCTCTTCTGATGGAAAAGACCTTGGAGGATCAGGAACGCCATCTGCTTGTCAAGGTCATCGACAGAATCCTTTATAAGCTGGACGATTTGGTCCGCCCATATGTACACAAGATTCTCGTTGTTATCGAACCGTTGCTGATTGATCAAGACTACTACGCCCGAGTCGAAGGTCGAGAGATTATTTCCAATCTTAGCAAAGCTGCAGGTCTCGCCACCATGATTAGCACAATGCGGCCGGATATCGACCACGTTGACGAGTATGTTCGAAACACAACCGCCAGAGCATTTGCTGTTGTGGCATCTGCCCTCGGCATCCCCGCTTTACTCCCTTTCCTCAGAGCTGTCTGCCGTAGCAAGAAGTCATGGCAAGCCAGGCATACTGGTGTCAAGATTGTGCAGCAGATTCCCATCCTTATGGGATGTGCAGTTCTTCCCCACTTGAAAGGCCTAGTCGATTGTATCGCGCCCAATCTTAGCGATGACCAGACCAAGGTCAGAACAGTCACCAGTTTGGCCATTGCAGCTCTTGCTGAAGCCTCCAACCCGTACGGTATCGAGAGCTTCGACGATATCCTAAACCCGCTATGGACTGGTGCTCGCAAACAGCGAGGGAAAGGATTGGCTGGTTTTCTTAAAGCCGTGGGATACATCATTCCTCTCATGGACGAAGAGTACGCAAACTACTATACTAGTCAAATTATGGAGATTCTACTGCGAGAATTTTCCTCCCCTGATGAAGAGATGAAGAAAGTGGTCTTGAAGGTAGTGTCTCAATGCGCAGGCACAGAAGGAGTAACGGCCGGCTACCTCAAGGAGCATGTTTTGGACGAGTTTTTCAAGAGTTTCTGGGTACGACGAATGGCTCTAGACAAGAGAAACTACAGACAAGTGGTTGAGACCACTGTCGACATTGGCCAGAAGGTCGGCGTGAGCGAGATTATCGAGAGAATCGTCAACAATCTCAAGGATGAGAGCGAGGCCTACCGGAAGATGACAGTCGAGACTGTCGAAAAGATTGTGGCCAGTTTGGGCGCTGCAGATATTGGCGAGCGACTTGAAGAACGATTGATTGATGGAATTCTTCATGCGTTCCAAGAGCAAAGCGTTGAGGATATCGTGATGCTCAATGGCTTCGGTTCCGTCGTTAACGCTCTAGGAGCACGTTGTAAACCGTACCTACCACAAATCGTCAGCACAATCCTGTGGAGATTGAACAACAAATCAGCTACTGTTCGTCAGCAGGCAGCAGATCTTATTTCTCGAATCGCCATGGTGATGAAGCAGTGCGGAGAAGATGCTCTCATGGGCAAGCTGGGCATTGTGCTCTATGAGTACCTCGGAGAAGAATATCCTGAGGTTCTTGGTTCGATTCTAGGAGCCCTCCGGTCCATCGTCACGGTCGTGGGTATTTCTCAGATGCAGCCTCCCATCAAGGACTTGCTCCCTCGCTTGACCCCTATTCTACGAAACAGACACGAAAAGGTGCAGGAAAACACCATCGATCTGGTCGGACGTATCGCCGATCGCGGTCCTGAGAGTGTCAATGCTCGCGAGTGGATGAGAATTTGCTTTGAGCTTCTTGACATGCTCAAGGCTCACAAAAAGGGGATTCGAAGAGCGGCAAACAACACATTCGGTTTCATTGCCAAGGCCATTGGTCCCCAGGACGTCCTGGCTACGCTGCTAAACAACTTGAGGGTGCAAGAGCGACAGTCCCGTGTCAACACTGCTGTTGCTATTGGCATCGTCGCCGAAACTTGTGCCCCTTTCACCGTGCTTCCAGCCCTAATGAACGAATATCGTGTGCCAGAACTCAACGTCCAAAACGGTGTGCTCAAATCTCTATCCTTCCTGTTCGAGTATATTGGAGAAATGGCAAAGGATTATGTCTATGCCGTCACGCCTCTGCTCGAAGATGCCCTTACCGATCGAGATCAAGTTCATCGACAGACTGCCGCCTCGGTTGTCAAGCACATCGCTCTCGGAGTGGTTGGCCTTGGGTGCGAAGATGCCATGATCCACCTGCTCAACTTACTCTATCCCAACCTATTCGAGACAAGCCCTCACGTCATTGACCGCATCATCGAAGCTATCGAGGCCATTCGAGTTGCCGCAGGTCCTGGTCTAGTGATGAACTACGTCTGGGCTGGACTCTTTCATCCCGCGAGAAAAGTACGGACCCCTTACTGGAGACTATACAACGATGCCTACGTAGCAGCTGCCGATTCCATGGTCCCATACTATCCTAACTTGGATGATGAGACTTTGGACCGACCAGAACTGGCCATTATTCTGTAGTTTGACTACACTACGATATGAGCAATAGCTTGGATGGAATGAATAGGGGTTTCTCTTCTTTTTTTCTTTTTTTCTTCCTTGCTAAGGAAAAGATATGAGAAAGAGGATATACTATGATTTGCGTTTGTTTGAATTGTAATAATGTATAAGAGTGGATTACGGTGGTATGCGTTGGGCGTTCTTTTCATGCTAGATTACCCCCCAAAAAAATGACGAATGTGTTTATTGACTCATCCTATAGCAAGTTCATGCAAGTCGCCAGTATAGCAACAATGTTTTGGAGTGAAGTTTTGCATTTTGAATTTGTGATTTGCCGAGCTAGCCGGACCTTGAACTCGTTGCCTTGGACTATTTGCTCTTCCAGTGTTCTAGTCAGACATTCCCCCCTCTCTCTCTCTCTCTCTCTCTCTCTTTCTTTCTCTCTCTCTCTCTCTCTCTCTCTTTCTCTCTCTCTCTTCTTTCTCCGTCTGGCATCTGGCATCTGGCATCTGGCATGATGATTTATGCCGAAGCAACAAGATAAGTGGCGTTCATACACACATATTTCCATCCCTTTTTGACAAAAGAGTGCAAAAGGGGTCGTTTCAGGACGAGACATTTCAGCTACGCAAACGGGCAAAAACATGTTTTCTTCGGAATGAATGTAAAACTCGCTCACCTTGCGGCCCCCATCGGACTACATCATGAGACAAAAAGTTTTTGTCTTGCCTCATTTTGTCTCATCGGATATCCATATTTCGTGCATGCCGTTTATCGTCGTCATTTACATTTCAGAGTCGCTACAAGGACTTACCCTGAAACTCGGATGATGCATTCATTCCATCTAGTAAAAGAAGAAAGAGAGAGAGAGAGAGAGAGAGAGAGAGAGAGAGAGAGAGAGAGAGAGAGAGAGAAGAGAAGAGAAGACACTTGCATAGATCAGAAAATTTTATACGTGAGAGATGTAGAGTAAATGAAGCGAAGCAGTAAAAATAAGTACAGACACTTATATATCATGACATCTTCATATGATAGATATACTTTCTATTTTGCCTAGAGCTACCTTTTCGCAAGTGAGAATTTCACTAGTATAAGAGCAACACTAAGGAAAGACTGGTGTCAATTTCGGGCCGATAGAGGACCAAATCCAAAATGAAGACCAGAAAAAAAGAAAAAAAGCTTTACGTACAGAAATCCAAGTCGCTGTTAATGTACGCAAAAAAAGAAAGCTGCCCACTATCAGAGTCGAACTGATCACCTTGTCATGTCAAGTTGTTTACTAGTGACACGCTATACCGCTTAGCCAAGCGGGCTGAAGGCTTCTAAGTTGACGATCGGTGCCGCATAGCTAGCTCATAAACGTTTGCTGCTGCTGCAACAAGCATTCGTTTTTGCACCATCGCTCTGGCTACGGCTTCGTTCCGAAAACTTCAACAGCAGTCTTGCATCTATAAATCAAAGCAGACTGGGGAGTAAATGGTCGACGCTACTTCTCATTGCTCGTCTTTATCTCTCATGCCAATTGATTGAGTGTTCCACAATGCTCTGTATCATAGACGAACAGGCTGTCGCCATCTCGTCCGCCTAATCTGCTGTGCATCATCTAAGTCACTCTTGGCTCGCTCACCCAAAAGTGTCTCACTTACATGGTAAGTATGAGCAATTCTCATTCTCTCAGCCCTTGCGACTTCGCCTGCCAATAAACTAACAAAATACGAAATACGCCAGCGGAGTTGACAAAAGAAGAGGACAAACAAGCCAAGCCAAGACATGCATGCATGCATGCATGCATGCACATAAGCACACAATGTTACACACAAGACACCGCCAAGATAGAAAGACAAAAAGCCTATTGCCGCAAGATCGAAGAGTGATCTTTGCTCTCTCGCCATACGGGTCCTTCTTCGCTTTCTCGCCCTCACGCTCTCTTTGGCTCAATGACAACTAACCCACTCCTGCGCAGTGTGCATGCTGCGATGCATGCGTTAAAAGGTGATTCGTAGCCCCGTCGTGCAGTAGTGTGCGGCAGCCCCCCCGATAGAATAAGCAGTGCGTGCAGCTAGATATGCAGGTCTGAGTTCGCACCAAAGAAACCAAGCAGCCATTTCCCTTACACAATCGATTTCGTTGGCTGGATGCTATGTGGGATGATACTAGTATTAGTGCAAGCACTTCGTATATATGACCCCAGCAAAATCACAAGCTCAACCAAAGAAAAGACCAACAGAAAAGGCGGTCGGGTATCTTGAGCCGTGCAAGAACGGGTCTGAAATCTCAGGCAGTACACATGGCAAAGTCGTACTCATGGTATCCTGCGCACCCCATGTAGTTACCACTGCCAAGCACGTCTGCGGATAGTTCATGTAGGCTGTGCAAAAGTTCTAATGTTTCACTCTAATGTCGGAAAGGATATGATTTCTCCTTTCCTATACGGGCGCCGCAAAAAAAAAAAAAAAAAAAGGAATGACATGTGCTCCATAATCAAGCGACCAAAGAACCAACGGCATCTGGCATCTTTCTCGATAGCTGGAATGGCCAGCTTCTGGACGCAGGGATAAATGACATACTGCCCCTAGTCGAGCGAGTCTTGCTTGATATGATACTACCGAGCTCGTCCATGGGATCTGTGTTGTCTAGTACCGCGGCTCCTCACCCCCTAGGTTCTCCGAGCCCATGGCATTGGTTAGCAGGCCTGGATTTTTGGGGAGGGTCAAATTATCAGTAGCACAGCGTTGTCGTGGAAGCGGACGACCCAACGCCACGGCGGCGGAGCAAATGTTGTCAAAGAGTCTGGGAGGGATGAGCCTTTGCGCAACAGCAGCAAAGTCGCACAACAGCAATCATCCGCCTGCTGGAAGGCAAATCAACGACCAACCAAAAGGGGCTGCCATGTCTCGCCGTGGACCCGGGAGTAGGATAAGACAATGGTTTGCTCCGGCAACGCTGCCCTATATCGTCCGAATCGGAAGCAGAGTGGTAAACCCTGCGTACCACGCTTCGAAAAGTCCCGGTGTCTTTCAGCGATATTATCTTGACTCCTCTTTTGGGCTTCCTTTGCCGTGGCTTCGGACTGTACAAGCATACAGGTATACATGCGGTTGTGTTCGCATAGGTGAGGACCGCGTGCCATTCATGTATCCATATGGGCAGTGCCTATGCTGAACCGTATCTAACAGCTGACCTGTGTTAGCATCACTTATGGATTTAGAATCTGAAAAATGACCCCTTTGGTTAGCTAGAATGTAGGACAGCGAGATCACCTATATAATCCTGGGTATCTAAGTACTGTTGGGCTTGGGTCAGATCTGTGCACATTTCTCTCTGAAGCGCCATGTTTGCTTCAGAAACGAAGCTCGTCGGTTTGAGCTCACGGGATATTTATCTCAAAGTTCATTGTACACTCCATAGCAGATGCGTGGACAGATGCTATCCCTTGTAGGACTCTACTGATGCCACCAGTCACAGCCTTTACACATTCTCACACAACGGACTGTGCTGAGAGTACAGACACAGCACTGGCCTGGCGTTACCCTCAATACATACTGTGCATCGTGGGGCGGCTGCACAGTATGGGCAGCGGGTGAGAAGTGAGAGCGCAGCCAGGGAGCAGAATTGACGTCATACGCAGCAGCGGTCGGTCGTTGGCCGAGCATGCAGGCCGCACGAATGTAATCCCTGAACCAGGCGAGGGCAGGTCAGTGAGGGCGCAAGTTGCAAATCGCAGTGCTTTGCAAGCAAGTGTGACAGAAGACGAGGAAAACGAGATATAGGTAGAGCCGTTTTCGATTCAAGATCACGAGGAAACACAGCCCAAAGCCAGGACTTGCTGCATTGTCGCAACGAATCCCTGTACAAGTGTCAAAACCGTATCGCAGCCCAGCGATAAGGGACCGTTCTAGAACACCCGTCAAGGTAGATCTGACGTTGATCGTGGCCTCTTGGTTTCTTGGCCGGACACCAAGGGAAAAAGAACCTGAAGATCATAGCCACCGAACGAGTCTCCCACACGTGTTTGCAGGCTGATCTCTCTCCACCTTAGACTCAACTTTATTTGCACAACAGTAGAGGCTGAAAATTTGGTGCTGGTGCAATAACGGCGCTACATGCAGTTCTGTATTCGCTGGCTATCCCGACCTATGGTCAACGAGCCCGAACTGCGCAGTAAAAGTGGGCAGTCACTTTCTTGTAGTAAAAGCGAGATTAGCTATACCTATATTACATATTGTTGAGCTGCTTGACAGGATGATTTGTAAAGACTGTCCAGAGCGGTGTGAACTCACAGGCGTCTGAGTACGCATGCGAGCAGCAGGACCTCTGTATTTCCTACAGATCATACTGCAACGGAGCCAGCCGCCGGTCGCCAGCACTGCGTTGTACAGTAGCAGTACTCCTCCGCCGCTTCCGCCGCGTTTTTGCGTGTGCGTGTGCAAGAGGGGACATGAACACAGTGATTGCTGGGACACTGACCACTGTACCCCCAAAGCACCTTGTCCGTGCAGTGCCGGCAACAATGCCAGTCAATACACAAGGGAGAGGGAGCTTTTCTTAAGCGATATAGATACAAGTCCCGTCTTCCCCACCCTTGTAATGACGAAACCTTGTGAGGATTCTGTGTTGTTACTGTATTCCATATGAAGAGCTCCCACGCACTTGCAATGGAGAGGTGGTATAGCGTCTGCGTGCTTCAGCACCAAGACCCGAAATGAGGGGGACACGGCAAAAAGGGGGATAAGATAGAGCAGATATTGTGGATGGACTATGTGCTCCCCTACCTGTGCGGAGTATCACTCTAAACGGGCTGTATTCGCACACACACTCTTGGGCACACGCCATCTCTCTATTCAGTATGCAGCACGTCTGCGCTCTGGGGAGCGCACAGATTGTCAACAGCCTTGTTTGGTCGGCGACCTCGTGGTCCGCGTGCTCACCGGTCTGTTAATTAGGGTTCCGACTCTCTATCGCTCATTGGGGAGGGATACTAGCTCCGTCTCCAAAAGTAATTTCCCCCGGCCCTAGGGACTGAGAGTCGCTGTTGAATGGCTGCTGGAGATGCTCCAATTAGCAGCAGTACCCACTCGGTATGCAGGCATAGATAATCTGGTCGACAAGAAGAAAATACGAAGTTGCAGTACTAAAATCGTACATCATCAATTCCAAACATCCCTATGGCGCCTGCCCAGTGCTCTACAAACGATCCAGAGATTTCGATGATAGCGGCAAGTGGCCAAAACATGCCTAGGACGGTTTGGTTAGCTGGTGAAGAGGGTTAAAGATGCCACCATCGTATGCAGCGGGCGGAGTGGCATTAGCCGGCACCCGTTCATCTGCCGGTAATGGCGCGACGATCGTCGCCGCCAAATATATCGGGTATCTGGTAATCTCAAGCGCTTGCTCGCTCCATGTACTACTGTAAGGCAATATACAGTAAATTGCGTGTCACCGTCTTCGCATGCTTGTCTGCTGTAATTTGACCATCTTGCCTCGCCATGCAGACGCAAATAGATTCTGTTTATTGCTGATACAGCCTGTTTCTGCAAAGGGCCGACTCGTTCGGCGCAGTCACTCCCTGCTTAATCGACAACAAAGCACTGATTTGATTTGCAGCCAGCACCAACTTGAGGGCGATTGAATGTATCGGCTTCTCCAACAGGTACAAGATTTGCGCCTGGCTGCCGGCCGTTTAGGATTTTTCTTAGTCTCATCATTTGCTTGCATCACACGGTGAACACTAGTCCCTTGCTACTCGTGAACTGAGTCAACTTGGGGCCATTGAACTGAAGAGGCAACCCGACGTCGAGCGGCTCTCTGCTCTTCCGTCCTCGAGTCCGACTGGCATTCGCACACACCGATGGCACTGTGCTGTGAAGTGGAGCAAGGCCACCCTTTTGTAGAAAAAGCGAGAAAAGGGATCTCTAGCCAAAGTGGCGCGTTTCATATGTCCCAATCCGGCCTACCGCCTCCGCACCCAAATCCTCGGTTCATGGGAGTTGCATGGCGGGCCTCGTAAAATATGGACGTCGCCACTTTGTGTGTGACCCGGAGAGCCCATGGATCAAGACGCAGTGCCGTGCTCGGAGCGTATATCTGCCTACTGACGGTTTCAGACAGCACCCAGAGTCTCACTTTGACCGGCGGACACACCTTGAGGTCACATTAGCGACACGTTGAGGGAATGTTCAACACAGTGGCTGAGAGAGGAGGGAGGGAGAAGCTGAGAAAAGAGAGAGAGAGAGAGAAATACCACATCGTAGAGCTTTCTTGTGACTGGCAACTGGCAAGGGAGCACCTGCCACGCTTGCCTTCCATCTCCATCGGTGCTGGGGGGCAGGTGCCAAGGGCCGCTAAAGCGGTACTTCAGAATGGCATTTTTCTTTTTCGCCCACGGAAGTCCCAAAGCAGCTGGGGCCAGTGGGGTCTACTATATTTTTGCAGACAGCGGAAAGATTTTGAGATTCATGTCATTTCGATGGCGAACCTGATACACTGTACGAGCACGACGGTGTTCCTGGTCTAGCAGCCTAGGCGCAAGTTAATTAAAGATAGAATCAGACGGTGTTATTAGTATAACGGAAAAGCCGTAATAGCAGCAGTCTAAAAACGAACAGCGGAAGAATAGTAGGTACTAGTCTCCACAGGTAACGGACCTTTTTGGCTCTTTTTTCCCTTGCGCAGAATACAAATCACCTGGAGCGGTTTTTCCGAGTGTAAGTAAACGTAAACGCTTGCCTCGTCCACCTTACTCGTGCTGTTTGTGCGAGTGCGGAGTGCGATTATGCTTTTTGGGGGCGTCTTGGTAGTGGTATTAGCGGCCTCTGTTGAAATGAGATATATGAGAGAGTTTAAGCAGGGAGTGCTAGGCGAGTTTTTCCATTCGAGAATACAGGCTAGCCCAGAGGTTGGAGTATCTGGCGTAGGTAGGTAGAGACCAGTGCTCGTACATATGTGTACGGTAACCAATGATTCCTATGCCGATACATGTACCTGATAGAGCATCATAGGCATGTCACTCAAGGCGTACAAGGCAATATAGCCTTTTTTCTTCCCCTTTTCTTCCCTCATTTCTTTCTTTCAAGCAAAGCTTCTTGCCTCCCGTTTCTTTCTCTCTTGCTTCAACAGGTGCCTGCTGGTGTTTCTCTTGTGCAGCCAACCTTTTGAAGCAGTGCTCATGTGACACTATCACTAGATTACACTACTACCACTAAGCAAGTCTGTGGTTCAGCACCGGCTATTTGCGTATCCCTCCCTCGGCGCTTGTGAACAATGTAATCTTGAGCCGCAACATTAGTACCGACGTTTCCCAAGGCCCAAAAGTCAGCCACAACCAGGCTGGCGGACCATATGGGGCCCTGTTGGCTAGGATTATGTGTTAGCGAGTGCTTGGAGAAGGACAAGCAACATACTACAGGCGTAGTGGCCGGGGGAGCATCGAAATGATGGAGCTGCCGCAATGTGGGGACTCCTTTTTTTTCTTCCTTTCTGATGGGAGGCTAGCAGCTATGGAGTACTCGTAGTGTAGTGCTTGTAGCGGCGGGAACAGTTTTTTTTTTTTTTTGTGAATCCCTGGAGCGGTCATGTTAACACCGATTGCGGGAGAAGCGGCTGGTAAGGAGATGGCCAGCCAGTAGACATGGGATCCAGCACAGTATGTGCAAAGCTGCTGGTAGCTTAGAGAGCTTCCTCTCTCCTTTTCCTTTTTTCCATTTGCCTAGATTTTGCCCATGACTGGCCCCAGTCGAAAGCTGAATTGAGGACAAAAAAAGGGAAGGAAAGAAAGAAAAACGATCATCCCCATCTGGCCATTAAAATTTAGCTCCCTAGTATATTTTCCGTACGAGGTTTCAGCTGCCAGCATTCCTGCGTCGGCCTTCTCTGTTGGTCATAGCTAGATTTCATGCTACATAGTATCGTGTGTCAAAGCAGCTTGAGCTGGTAGGCGATTTTTATTCCCGGCGGCAGCCTGCAGCCCTGGGTCAGCGCCACTCCCAGCGCACTGTCCGTCAACCCTAAACAGGATGCAGGGAGGGAGAGGGTCTAAAGTGACGTATATGGGGACAGTGTGGAGTAGAGACACTGTGCTTCCATCTGGGCTTTTATTCGAGGGCATTTGCAACAGGGAGGCACATGTATGTAAGCGGCGAAATCGCTGTGTGGACGCACACGGAAATACATGCACTATTTTCATACTATCCTGATGCTATTGGATGCAACAGAAAACTTATGAGCGGCGAGGGCTTCCGTGCGAATAGGAGTTCAGATGCACATCCGCCTGGCAGGGATGCAATTTCATCAAATTGGCCACCACGAATCCCATAACCTAAATTTCATCTGGAACCGCTGGCACCAGCCCGTATGCTGGTAGTGGCAGGTAGTTTAATGATGGCAATGTCGAGATGCCGAGTAGCACATGAGCCGTCATAGATATTAGAGGCACCGAGGTATAGTATGGAGCACATGAGCCGTTTTGCAACGGGAGGGAGGGGCTTGATTCCGTTACATGCCTGCTTCGATAAGCATGCTATAATACAACACGGCCCAAAAAAAAAACAAGTACGCCTAGAGGGCGTTGTACAGCGCCTGGCTCATGTCGCCCTACCGTCGTCTAAACTCAGACAGGATAGGATAACATAGAAAGCACGAAACGATGAGGACAGACCTTTGGTAGTGCAGTGATGAGATCGGTGGTGGAGATATGCTTCGCGGCGCCGTTTGCTGTTACGGGCGTTGGGTTTCACATGTAGCGTGGTCGTGATGTATTTCTCGAGGCTGAAATATAAATAGGCGTGCCAAGGCGCAGCATAATGACGAAAGAAGAGGGCCAAAAACTTGCTTGGGGTGCTGCAAATGTGATGAGATGACGATGATGGGCCCCGCGTCCGTTCTGGGACGATGGGGAGGGAGAGAGAGGCGCTTCTATCTCCTTGGTTGGCCCTGTGTCTCATCAACACATGGGGGGGGGGGGAGGATGCTAAAGTCGTCGAGATTGGCGCGGGGAAGCATTCTGGCGGCGGCAGCACTTGTAGCACTAGGCAGAGCGTCAGCTAGCTAGCGGGCAGGCAAAAAGTAGAGGTGGTGTGGTGATGGTGGAGGTTATCGTGATGAGATCCACCCAAACGGTCATAGGCGTACGTCAGGGTTTGCTGTTAGTGTTGCCAGGCCGCTGTGTTTTCTCACCTCAGAATACCCGTTGATGCCTTGATTTCTGGTAGCACATGTAAGCTACTTTAGAGTCGAGATACATACAAATGCTTGCTCTGCAGGTTATGTGGTTGCCTACAGATGCGCGCGCCAGAGCTGAGCTGTGGCCATACTCGATCGTCGTTGCTGCACTCATTACAGGGTATGAGGTATGTACTACGGCCTCCACAGGCATATGCAGGCCAGTGTAGCTTCAAGCTTACCCTTGAACTGCCGATGAGGAGCTATACTTGGGATCTGCTCAGAAGATGGGCTGCAATAACACGAAACAATAGGTAGAACGACAAGAATAATAATGAGAAACTAAACCATACACTACATGACCTGCTCAGTGACTCGATTCCATCTACATACACTTCCTTGCCTCCCTCGCCAGCAGCAAACGTCCTGCCCTACCTGTGCTGCGTCCTTCGTTGTCTGCCGTACAGCACATCACGTACGCTCTAATCGCCGTCCAACCTTTTTGTTTCCCCTTCTCTTTCTTTTGGTCTCTGCCCCCACCCACCCCGGACGGCGTCGACGCCGCCGTGTTTCTCCCCCTGTATGCCGTGCTAGAGGGGGCCTTTACGTCAGGGCTGCACTGCATCGACACCCGGCCGTCCGCCGCCAAAAGCGTGTCCCCACCGGGCCGGGCTGGTCCCCTGTCGTCGCTCCGTGTTCCGCACGGGGTCCGTACGGAGTACTCCGCTGGTACTCCGTACGAGGAATTCTGGCAGCCAGCGCAGCGCTTGAAAAGTGCCATTCTTACCCTGGCGTGCGCCCTATCCGATACGGCCAGGCTAACTCGACTAGCCAGATTGCTGCTTGCAGTGTCGCATCCTCGAAAATCCTCAAACATGCCGCCAAAGTGCGCGTATACAAGTGTGCACGGTTATTGTCTCGGTATGCAGCACTTGGTACTTGCAAGTACTAGGCATAACACGACCGATACCCTGTACAGAGGAGGCGATATTCTTCCCTGTATTCTATAAACCTTCTTTGTCCCCTGTTTGTTTACCTTAGTACCTATTTATATTTCACGTACTAGTATGTATACATTTTTGTTTACTTTCCCTCTACTTGCTGGTTCTTAACTTCCAACGTTTAGAGCCATTCAAGTGCCAACTTTCATATCCATTCTGGTACTAGCGGAGAAGAATATGTCCTTTAAACACATCTCAATGCTGCCTAGCGCCCTGTACTAGCAAAGCAGCTCAAGGTAGCTACTCCCTGTCGGTACCTTGCCTCCATATGATTTCCATCAATGAGCTGTATTCCAAGGTGTGCAGCTCCCCAGCATGTACTTGATGTATTGAATCACGTATCTGATATTTTCACTGCTGGATATGCAGTTATACTCATCTCCTAAGAAGTACCGTGCGTAGGATAAATACACGTACACGCTCATACATAGCCCGCACATTTCGGCACAGCAGTCTTGCTCCTGCTCTGCGCGCGCTGTCCCCTGCATAAAATCTCCTTCGCAGTGCCGTCTCCTCCTCTCTCTCTCCGCAGTGGCGGCAAAAGCCCCCCAGCACCATCATCCACTCCCACTTGCACTTGTCGCTGTTGCAGGCCCCTGGTTAAACTGCCGTAGCCTTAACCAACAAGCATTTTTCGCTCTGTCGTTGGCTCCACCCGCAACTCTGAGCACAATCCCTGCTTTGGCTACCTACAAGCATGAGGCAGAAGTATACAGTGTGAGACAGTGCGGATGCCAGAACCTCAAAAGGTACACGAGGCACGCACATGCCAGCAGGGGATGCGCCGCGCCCTCGTACTCCGTGCTGCACGCGGCCGCCTTGCACCCACCGCCGCGTACGGAGTACATACGAGCGGTACACAGAACAGTACCGCTGGAAAGAGCAAGGCAACTTCTAACTTCTTTCCCTCCCAAATCCTCCACCCCCCACCACACCCCTCTGGTCGTGCCTTCCTAGTCCCACAGATTGCATCTCCACCCCCCTTTCAGATCCACGCTGGCTGGCTTGTCTCTCGCTGTCGACATCATGGCTCCTGCTGGGCTGGCCCGGGTACACACCAGGCCGATGTCCATACTTGTAAGTTGCTGCCACTTGTATCAGCTTTTTGCCTGCCACTTGCATTCGTCTTTTGCATCTTACTCGTGGCACATTTAATCTCCTCTTTTTTCCCCTTTGGTGCTGAATCGCCTTCATTCCTTTCATCATCATTGCAATTGCTGCTCCCTGAGCTAGATACCCGCTTGTACACGAACGAGTACAACCTCGAGGTACCTGTGGAAAACCCTCTGCACCAGGCCCTGCTGCCCTGTCTCAAACTTGCCACAGAGCACAAGTACAGCATCGGCTACCTATACATATACATAGAAGTGGCATTTCTCTTTTGCCTCCTCTTGTGTTTCCCGCCCTTCATTCACCTTCATCAGCGTCATCAACACTACCTACCTTTATTGCCTAGACAGTGAAAAAAAGAAACGAGAAAAAAAAGAAGAAAAAAGAAACAACAAGCACAAATCAATCACCTGGGGCCATACCCATACCTGGACATCTGACCCCATCGCCTCGATCAGAGACATTTAGCTGCCAGGGCAGCACAAACGCATTCGCATCTGCCCACTCCCAATCTCGTCCCCTGCCCGCCGTCGTCTGCAAACTTGTTTTTGTCCTTGTCGTGCCTCTTTGCTCCCCAAGCAGCGTCATCCCTATCACTCTGCCAGCAGCGTCTGCTGTCCTGTCTCCTCTTCGTCTTCTCCATACTCTCCACCGCGATTTGGCCATAGCACAGCTCCATAACGGAGTATTGGTGGTTCCCTGTGGGTTTCTCCCAAATGCTCGTCACTTAATTCAACTAGCCTGCAGCCCACCCCGGCCGGTTCTTCTTCCTAGGGCCAAAAGCATTACCCTACTTCATCGCAGCAACCCTGTCGCCTCGGGCTTTACGAAAGGGACATTGGCCTGCCGATCACTTTGGACCACACAGCCAGAGTCGTCACACCAGGCCAACCTGGGACCTCCTCTGGCATCCCGCTAAAACTGACGCACGTCAATTCACTGACCCGAGGACACACTTAAGACTTCGCTGATCCCACCTTGGTCCTCCCGACAAATCACTCCCAACTCCAGACGGGATCTTCTTGAATTTTAGACTGTGCTACCGACTTGGCATTCTTCTAGTCGGGATCCCGCATCTGATCAACAAACCTTCTTTTTGCTCTCCCACGCAAACACACCACACGCAACGCACATCACCCAGAGCTCTGTCTCTTGTCCTTGAACCTCGTGTTTATCACTTACACAAAGAGAAGAGAAGGAGAAATTCACAGCCACAACAGCTCAACACCGTCAAAATCACACATTGCACAACACTCCATCGATCAGCCCAGCACTACTCCTAGCATATCTTCACTACATACATCATGACCATGACGCTGGACACACCGCAGCAGCAGCGATTTGGGCCCGTTATGAACTTTGACTACCCTCCTCACGGCCAGCCACCGGCCTTTTCAAATCCGTGGTCCTCGTCACCCTCTGCCTCTCAGACCGCTGCGGTAGCAGGAAACAGCCTCTACGTTGGCGGACCGCAGCCACCCTCTCTCAGTCACAGTCTCGTGGGCAAGCCTCACACCGCGCGCGCTCCTATCACCAGCGCACCTCCTTTACCGTCCTATGGCTCATTGCCCGTCGCTACATCCGGAGCTGGTAGGTTTCTCACTCTCCTCGTTGAGCTCAGATATATATGTACATGTACAGCTGCTCATCTGTCTTATCACCAGATCTCCTCAGTATGAACCGCCTTCAGACGTCTTCTGCTGCCTATGCAGACGCCACCTACGCCACGACAGCCTCTCCCGTCCACGGCCACTTTGCACCCCCTTCAGCTTCTGCATACGACACCATGGGCTATGCACCGGCCCATGTACGACCTGCATTTGGTGCCATTGGCCACGAATCGGACGCCTCGCGCAGATTTTCTCAACAGTGAGCCAAGCCTTCCTTGCTACTGATGAAATTACGTGACTGACATTTTCTTCCCCAACAGCGTCCATGCTGATGACCGAAGAGGCTTTGCTGAAGCTCTTGATGCAAGCCACGGCATGCTGGCCATGAGCCAAGAGACACCCAGAAACATCTATGGCACCCGCGACCGAACTTCCGTAGACTCATACGGCTTCCCGTCTACTCATTCGACTAGCTCCTCCATCTCGTCGTCTGGCAATTTCAGCTCTTATTATGGAGATTCTGTCTCTGACTACTCTACTGCCGGCTCAGATATCGAATCTGTCGGCTCAAGGACACTGCCTCGACCTCAGGGCATGATGTCATCTTCAGTCCCTCCCGCGCCCCAATCCATGATGGGCCAATTCAGCTCAAAGGTCTCATCCAGCACCCAGAAGAAGCACAAGTGCAAGGTTTGTGACAAGCGGTTCACACGACCAAGCTCACTGCAGACTCACATGTACAGCCACACTGGCGAAAAGCGTAAGTATTTGAAAAAAAAAAAAAAAAGATTGTTCTGGATACACATTGGCTAATGAACATTATCAGCATTTGCCTGCGAAGTTGAGGGCTGTGGTCGCCACTTCTCGGTCGTCTCAAACCTTCGACGTCACCGAAAAGTCCACAGAGGCGACGCACGATCTGAGGCTGGTTCGGAAGATCACCACTCAGATTAAATCTGGCCTTTACCCTCCAGAACCGGATCTATTGATTGATTCCGGCTGTATTAATACTCTTTTATGACTGCGGCCTTTGTGAGGCCAAACCTTCAACAATTTTTTTCAAATCACCACCTCCCGCGCATGAACCATCTGTAGCAGCATAGAAGATGCATGAGATGTAGCTGCGGGAGCATGGGAGTTGAAAAATCGACTATCATTACTAAAGATTTAATTGGTACAATACTCAGACTACGACTTCATCTCACGACACCAAATTAGAGGATGCGGATCCAAAAGAATTCAGAGGTTAGGAAGGGGATTTTTTTCTTTTTTTCAAGAGATGGTACGGCTATGCACATGAATTTTCACACTTGTCAGGGATACCAGTGCGTTGCATTGCGGGATCACATCAAGGGGCCTCTTTGGCTGATGTGATGTTTTCAACTGTTTCGTTTCTTTTTCCTTTACTTATATTTTCCTTATCTCATTTCTTTTTTTTTTTTTCTGTCATTTTCGTTTTCATTTCAATTTTTTTCTACCTTGGTTGCTTGCTGGAATGGCGACTCTTTTTTTGGGCTACGAATCTCCTGGAACGATGGGATACACGAGTCTTTCCAGTCTGGCGTTTTGGCTGTGGGGCACTTTTACTCAAAGGGATTTTTTCTTTCTCAGCATGGAATTGGTGCTGCGTCCATCCTCGCCAGCCTTTCATTACCCATTGCGGATGGAAGTAACTTGGGGCTTGATATCATCGGCACAAGTAGGTGGGATGGAAAAGATGGCAACTGTGCGGCTTTTTCGCTCTTGTTTAGTATTGTATAAATAGGCCTCATTTCGCGGTGACGATATACCCATTCGATAGCACTGTGAGTCTATTGATGAATACATGAAATTCATTCTCACCCACGTTTTCTCTCCTGTTCCCCCTTGTTGTGAGCTATATGTCTTGAAGCTCTTTTGAGTAGGTATGTTTATCGACAGAACACAATAGTGCATGGTCCCTGCCGATCACTGGGCCAGCTACTTTCACACGACTCATGGTACAGCAAGAGTTGCGAAGAGTAGTAGTTAAGGAGAGGTGGAAACCGGTAACAGAGCACACCTGGGCTTCTTACGACGACGATCCCGGCGAGGATGTCCCAAACAGGCGGGTGAGGTTTGGCGGAGGCGCCGAATCATATGTGATCACGGGCTTCTCTTGCGATTTTTCGTATTGACAGCCGACGGGATCGACACATAACGTGCGGGAGAAGCATTCGTCCCTGGGGAACTGGCAGCTGCCTAGCTTCGCGCTTACATGTAAGCTCTCTCTCGTTCCTCTCTCTGTCTATGGTATGTTTGCAAGCTAGAGCTGAATTTACCCTACGCGGAGGAAAAAAGTGGAAAAAGGAGAACATGCATACGCGATATGTAAGTGGAATGGAGCATGGATGGCGATGGACTGATTTGAAATTTTCTCTCCTTTTTCTAGCTTCTCTCCTTTTAGCAATCACCTGATAGCTAGCTATCATGGAGATTGTGTAAGGGATATCAGTTGAAGCTAATACTACTAGCAGGACTTGTTGACCAATATATGAAATTACTTGAGTGTATAATGATTTTTGGATGCATTGAGAAGAGCACGAGTTGTTCAGAGGACGATCATTTCCTCAACCTGGAATAGAACGCGCGTTTCAGAACCGAATATCATTGCTGGTTATGGGATAGGAGGGACCCAAGCAAATGTTGTCAAGACCGGACAAGCTTTGTGGGGTTTGAGAAAGTTGTTACTTGGCTACATTCCGCCAAGCCAAAAAATTGGAGATTATATGCAAGGGTGATGGGAATAGCAAATGGGTTGTATGGATGGGATATTGGACAAGAAAAGAGGTCCGTTTTTGGGGGCGGCATGGGGTTATCTGGCGGCTGAAGCGAAGCGAGGGTGGCGGATTTCTTTTCCGGAAACCCGTTGATCGCCTCTTCCGTTTTTGATAATACTAGGAACTTTGGGTGTGGTGGGTATAGCGAATTTTGTTTTTGTCTTCTTTATAGTACCTGCAAGTGTGTTTGAAAGAAGGTGTGGTGATATCGAGATACGGCGGTTGGACGGTGCCACGAGGACGCTGCTCTTTTTGAACGTGACGAGGAGGAGTGAAGAGAGGGGAAAAAAGAAAGAAAGACGGGACCAGATTTGTAAAGGATCGACAATGGCGTTTTATACTCTGTTTATGGAACGGCAGATGCTGCTGTTTGCAGATGCGCTGATTGTCAAGATACCTGGGTTCTACGGCTAGAAATGGGGTATGATGACTATGTATATCTCCCGTCCTTTGGGTTGGGGAGGAGAAATGCCTTTTCGGGTGGTGATATGCAGAGGAGAAGGCCAGAATTGGATTTAGGCAATGCTGCCCTTGAGGGCTGATGTAGTACATGCTGCATAGTCTAAACGGATATCGGCCAGAGAGAGGCTTTGCTTTTGCTGAGCCGCGGTAGGAACAGCACACACACACACACACACACACACACAACATTGGGGGGGCATATGATACTGCTGTTTACAGTGAAGGTGGGAGGAGCTACTACTAGTATAACCCAGATTATGTATGATGACGGGCATGAGCAGATGATGGTCCTGCGGTGAGAGGGAGTTGGTTCACAACTATTCTGGATGAGGATCGCGATGCCCCGTCTATTTTGATTTCAGCCGGTGATGGGAAGAGTTGGGCTTTTCTTTCGAACGTGCGTGGCGTTACGACGTTATGATGCGCTTTTAACAAACGTTATACGTTTTTTTTGGTATTGTGACGCCGTCTTCTCACGATGATGTGAGGTTAGCTCAGCCTCGAGGGCCCTGTTCAACACTAATACTAGGTGGTCCAGAGTAAAACAAAAAAAAAAATGTGCTGGGTCGAACCAAAGTTCCAAACGTTACTAGAAAACGAAAGAGAAAACAATGATGCCGTCACCGTTTTGAAAATCCGGTTACTGCCCTTTGAAAAACCAGCCACCATGAAGGTGGCGTTTGATATATGCACTTTATTTTTTTGGCGTGGCGTTTAGAGAATTTTCTTTGGTAGCGGGAATGGCAAAACGGAATTTCCTTTTTGGGGACTGTTAAGCGACGAGTTTTCTTATAGTACATTATAGTAACTTCTTTCTCTTCGCTCTCGGTGTTAATTGAAAAAATAAATAATCGGAGAATATATATAACTTTTCCCTTTCAATGGAAGGGGCTTTTTTTTTCCTTTGTTTATTTTCTTCGGGTTGGGTATTCTGTACAGCGGCCGATTACAGCGTATTCTCTCCAAGGAAGCACGCATCGGCGCACAGATTTGTCACCCGCATGAGTGTACCATTATAATGAATTGATACAAGACATCCATCACGGGAAATGCTATCAAATAGTTACAACCAGGGGGGGGACAGCAAGCTACCTACACACTGCAAGGTGCGCAAAGCATACTGCACTGGAATCAAAAGACAGGGCAAGGAGTATACAGTGTTTCTCCCAAAGGTGGTTGGTGTGGGCTACAACCTTGTTGGAGAAGCAAGTGAGCAGGGATCAGGGGGCGTGCGATTAAAACAAGCTTTCGTCGGCGGCCTGCTACTGTATACGCTGCATGTATACCAGGCCGAAAAAGGGGGCTATTTTGCAGGTTCTCGCACCCTGGCCGCGAGGTGACGTCTGGTGATGCCAAGTGATGAAGAGGTCTTGACCAGGTATCTTTAATCTTATTATCTTCTCGGAGGACATATTGGAGGATTATGTATATAGATGGCTTGTAAGCGAACAGCCGTTTTGCGGGCTTTTCTCATATCGAATTAGTGGCGTTGCTGCAGCGAGAGAGAGCTAGAAGCCGCTAAGCACCATGGCTGGCCACAAAAATTGAGGGCTACCACAGGTCCTATACTCGTACGTATATCATACGAGTATTCGCACGGCTACGAGGTCTCACTTGGGGACTTTGATAATGAAAAAGCCTCGTACTCGAAATTACTACCTTCTGTAAAGTGCTAGAGATTATCGGCAATGGCGCTCTCAGCTGCAACGGCTGCTACCTTTTGCCCTACTTGAAGAGGAACGTAGTGCTAAGGAATACGATGAAAATTCTCCGCTGCATGCCCCGAAAGGAAGGCGAAAACTTCTTGTTGCGTCTCCGGCTGTGACGAAATGAATGTCACTGGAAGAGGAGAATGGGCGGCCGGCCAAGGGTGTCATGGCACAAGTAAGGTATAAAGTAAACAGTGGTAGGTATAGTAGGTTATTGTATGTATGTATGTACACATTACTTGGGCCAATCTACGGGTTACTAGCATCACCCTTGTCGAAAGGCTGAGAAAGAACTGGGTACGGCGAGATTTGAAGTAAAACGTTAAGAGAATCAAGCATTTAACGGAGTGTGGGCCTAAAAAGCTTCTTTCGTTGCCTCCCGCTTTGACCAGGACAGAAAAGACGCGGAAATGGTTGAATAGCTGATACAACCTTCCTGTCTGGGCGGTTTACGATGCTTGCACATATAGCGCTGATAATGATTACTTGTACATTAGTACTAATGTATGTAGATTAATACCTACTTAGGTAGGGAGGTTCCATGAGTAAGCATGTATCTATGTATAGAGAAGATGTACATACAAGTAAGTGCTAGCAGCGACTCTCTCCATCTTTTTTTTTTTTTTTTCCCTTTAGTGGATGATGGCCAATTATACACCGACAGTTTCCGTTTTCATTGTTTTTAGTGCTGCTTTTTTTTTTTTCTTTTCTCTTACCCAAGATTTTTTCTTAAAGCCGTGCTACCGCGAAAGGGGAAGTGGGAATTTTAAAAAAAAAAAAACGGGGGAAGCCAAATCAGGGGAGGGGGGCAAGGCGGTGGTTTTTTTTCCCTTTCCCTTTGTTCAGGGGATGAGCATAATAAGATGCATCGGATCGCATCGGATCGTCGTTATCCATCTGGGTTAATGCGGTTATTTGCTGTCTGGTTTGCTGCTGGCGGCCTGTTTGCGGTTAGTATTATATTAGAGGGGAGGGGGTGGAAGAAACGAGGAAATAGCTTAAATGGTTTAAAGAGAAAACAAAAACACGAGCTGGTTGATGCCGAGGCACGGTGGGCCTTTTTCTTTTTCTTTTTGATATCGTGTTTCTAGCAGGCATTTTAACCGCTGTACATGTACAATAACACCAACTACAGCAATATACTAATGCATTTCTCCGTCGTCTCTGTGGATGCCTCTTCTCAAATCCCTTTAACAAAAAGTAGCGTATACGTGGTACTTCTCCACAAGATAACGGGACACCACAAAGAAGCAAGGAGCAAATGAGAAAAACGGCTCTCCAAAAAATCAAAATAAAAAACCGGATTTTCATCCAGTTGGAAGTTGGGCATCTCCTCTAACCTTTTTTTTTTTTTTTTTTTGTTCCTTCTCTGGCCCTCACTAGCAGCCCAAAGCAGGACAGCATCCAAACACAGAAGGTGCGCCTTGTGGTGCTTCTTTCCCTGCCGAAAGGATGTGGATGGAGCAATTGACGTCAGCGGCTGCGGCACAAGGGTCTCTGCATGCGCGCTAAGGCGACCCCACATAGTATGGACCCCGAAACGTCATTCTATGGCGCCGTCATTGGGCGGTTTTCTTCATTGCAGGATTGCGCTTCGCTGGGGGACGCATCTCGCTGCGGGTCTCGGAAAGACTTTTGTGTGTGCTTGGTTGTGAGCGGCGCTGAGGATTGCGGTTTGTCTTGTTCTATGAGAAAAATAGGTACCAAGAATTTACAGCTACCACGATGCTATACAGTACATGCTTGAGGGCGTGGTGTGTATGGCATAGCACAGTGCTGTAAATCTGCAGGATGCATGAATCTCTACACTCCCCCCTCCCGTCCCAGCTCTCGGAACGCCCTTTCTTTTTCAATTAAGATACCTGCTAGCTTCCCCTTTATGCATTTCAGATCTGCCTGTCTTATGCGCTGGCCGATGCGGCTGCGAAACCGCCCCTCGTAGGATATTACAAAAATTAAACCCGTATATTAAATATGTGACAGCGCACATGCACTGTGTCCGCGCGCCGTCCAGCTAAGCAGATTCCCGAAAACGTGCCAACAAAGTATCGCAAGTACCTGCGGGGCCTGCGCACAGTGCGACCCTGAAGAAGCCCCAGATGGAGAGGTACATGCGCTACAAGCTGGAGTGCGGTACTTCCTAACTTTGCGAGTTGCGCAGCTCCACCAGAGCTCCAGCGCAGGCAGACAGGCACTGGCATGCGCTGTATTTTCCCAGTGCCACAGCGCCTGCTGGGCCCGCTAGCCAGCCGGCTCAGTCCCCCTAGCGAAGGCGTCTCGTCTGGATGGAGAAGTCGAAGCCAACGATATACTGTAGTTTGGCAGAGTCGCAGGTTTCTTTTAGCTCAAACGGCGCCTCTCCCATGTGCCAGGGCGTTGCCACTGACGCGTCCAGTCTTGGCGGGTTGTCACTACGCTTTCAGGCGTTTATGCTGGTTTAGTACGAGGCGGGTAGAAGCCACGCACTCAGTGGCTGTTCAAGCCATTTCGCTTCGTTCCTTGTTGCTACGGATTCAACTGGCTGTGCGTTTTTTTTTTTAACCTGGTAACCAATCAACCCACCCGATGATTGTGTGGCGCCGTTTCGAAGGTTTCGAAAACGTGCTCGAAGAAAAAAGAGGGCATTCTTGTAGTTTGTCCCTCTCATCCACAAGGGTAACGAACGACTCAGTACAATTGCTTTTGATATTGTGACGGTGGGTTGTGTATACAAAGAAAAAAAACGTTATTTTATTTTATTTTATTTATTTTATCTTTTTTATCTTAATTTTTTGTCTTCTTTCTTTTCGGCTGAATTTCCCGCTCCCTTGTCCCAAGCCGCCACCCATCATTTGCTCGTTTCATAATAAGACAAAGATGGAATCGGCGAGCGCTTTGATACACAAGCGCACACTGTATTGGACAGTATGTCGTATTTTTTCAACGACACAGTGCAGCATTCCAAAGAATATTCCAAAACATAGGACATCTTCTTGCTCTCTTCTGTTTTGGAACCTGCAGTGATTGATTATCCTCGGTTGTTTTGGTGCAGATACATGCACATACTACTCTGTAGATTGCGTGGCCCGTCCCTCGGTACCGTTTAATCTTCTCCATGGCGGCTAAAAATAAAATCTGTAACACGCCAAGCATGGGGACTGCTTGCCCGTATTTTTGCTATTTTCGCACCACTCGTCGCATGCGTAATTACATTTGGTTTGAAATAGCTCTGCTTTGTCAATTACCGTGTTAGAGTGCCGTCGTTGGTGCAATAATCTTCCTGGCAATGGTGTCTTAATTGTTTAGCCGTGCATTGTTGCTGCCTCCTTTATGGCAACTATTTACTTTTGGTGAAGACAAGAACTAGTCTATGCTTACTTTGTCTGATCAACCTCGCCCTCCTCCCCTTTTGACAGCATTGTTGAGACAAGAATAACCTGATTTTCCACAATCATCGTCCGAGCGAGTCTTACCAACAGGTCAGAGGTCTGTATCATCTCCATCTTTGCTTTGTGTCTCGTATCAGAAAAAGTGGGCATCGCAACGTTCCGCTATTAGCACCACTTCTCTTGTCACATTTTAGAAAGCCTACATGCATGCATGCTTCCATACACACACTTCTCTCGTGTAGATATCTATCTCTCTGGTCTCGTTTCTTACTAAGAATCGAAATTCCCAAGTTCCCGTCTACATTATAAGCGGAAATATACCCCATATTAACCAGTCAGTCCCGGACTCGGCGCGCCTCCCATGACCCCTGCTCTTTTTTCTTTCCTTTTTTTTTTTTTTTTTCCTTTCTAAAACTGCTTCGCCCCTTTCGGTAGGTCCGGGGCGCACCCGTATCTAGGAACCAAATTGGAAGATACAGGCCCAGACAAGGCACTCCCCTGGCTAGAGCAGAAAATAATATGTCGCTGTTTGATGACAGCCGGAGATATTCGCACAGGCGGCCGACGAGCGGCTTCAAATCTGCACTACTATCTAGCAAACACCCTAGCTGGCTGACACCGTTAGATCTCACCAGGGTTGATCCTTCTTCTTCTTCTTTTTTCATTCTTCATCACCTTGCAAAGTGCGGAACTAGGATTGAAGCATCATCCCTCCCCTGGCAAAAATAACATGGGTTGGAAAAAAGAAGACTTGAGGAGACCCGCCAGCATAAGCTTTCTAGAATTGAAGTAATCATATAATATCGTGGAGGTGTACTTGATGTATTGCCGTGGAGATAAATTACCAAGTATATTGCCGCAGCTACTACTATTGCCCAGAGAGGCAGATGGGCATCAAATCCCGGGCTTAGCCATCTTGTTTGAGATTACCATCCGCTTTTGGCTAATTGATTAATCTATATAGGTACTCCTCTCCAGTCTCTTCAAGTGTTTCCATACTTAGCCTCGATGTTAGTAGGTTGGCTAACGTAACGTCGTCTCAGGTGATGCACATGAAATGAAGATGCTTGGCGCCAGCGATAATGAAACCACAATGATATCTCAAGTGACACGTGAAGAAATTACTTGGAGAAAATACGATGGCTCTTGCAACGTAGTAACTGCCACAGGTGAACATAAGTCTTGGAGGCCTATTCAAATGGCGTCATTTCATCCCTTTCACTTCATCTCGGTCATTTTAACAACTGCCAAGCAATTTATCATTTTAGCGGTACAAACAGTAAATCAAGAATATACAAGTATGTCAGTTCTATTTCCGTAGTCAACTCGGAAAGATGTAGGGGTTTTCCTTGGCTTTGTGCCGGAAAATGATGCAAGCTACATACTTCTCTCACGCGTAGACTGGCATTGATACTCTACAAGGAGATCAAGATACTCTTTGAAATTACTATAGGAATAGTTGGGGCTATCTTGGTGTAGTTTCGTCAACAGAATGCGAGTTTAGACTGTTTGATGATGGTTTATAAGGAGGCGCCCGTAAAGCGAAACGAGAGTTGACATTACGCCGCCTTCTCCATTGAGTACTCGCATGCGTACAACTTCTGCAAACTTAGAGATAGTTGTGGTATTTCAAACTCTAGCCATGTCTTACTCCATATATATGTACTCCTAATAGCCTTATCATTTCGATCTAAGAACCCTTCAAAAAAGTTGCAATAAAAGTCCATGCCATCGCTACTTTTGCCGAATAGAAGAATGATGGAAATGGATGTAACAAGTCTACGGGTCAAATCGTATTATAAACTCGAGGATTCATTTCAAACATCCGAATAACATCGTTCTTTCAACACCTCTCGCGAGACGCATTATTATTTAATAATTCTATTCATTGTCAACCAAATCTCATCTTCGCTCACATTATGCGGCTCCTATTCTATCCCTCCCCGTGACAAAATCTCACAGATGGCCTGGTTGATGGGCCATCTTCCATCGTCCCCAATTTAACGATAACTACCCATCGCTTCCCTAAGTTGAGGGGAAAAAAAGATTCAACTTTCCTCGTAGCTCCATTCCAAGATAAGAGGAGTAAAACGCAAGATGACACGATATCAAACCGCAACAATCTTTGTGTCGAAGACTGTCTGAAATTTATTATACATAGAAAGAGTAAAATTTGTAAAAGAGAGTCAAGGAATATAATAACGTGGAAAGAATCCAGGTAATAAAGTCGGACGCAAGAAGCGCCTATGTGGGAGAAATGAAGGGGAAAAGCAGACGGGTTAAAAACAATTAACCAATGGTCATAACGTCGTAAATGTGAGAATAAAAGTTTTTCTTTATAAAGGCGTGAGAAATTAATGAGGGTCTTTTGCGTGAGGTAAACGTTGGCGGTAGATTATTTTATAGTAATCATATACCGTCAAGCGTTTTCTTCGCATTCAGAGAGCCATTAGGAGGTATGGCAGCCCTCTGAGTTGCCCTTTCTCCCTTCGTCCTTTTGGACATTCTCTTTCTTTTTATAAGTCCTTTTGACGTATTCTCAACTCCTATCCAAACGCCAGACACTGAATCAGGATTGTAGGCTGAAAAAAAAAAAAATTCGCTTCTGAGCAATTTTTGCCTTATACGTGCGGGGCTTCGCCAGGTCGGCTTCTCTCGAGTTGCTCGAGCAGTTCGCGCGGAGGCACCCGCTGAATGCCGCTTCCACGATCATACATGGATGTGGGTGCTGGCGTGTATCCTTCGCGCTTCTTGCGTATCCGATCAAGAATGATTCCTGAAGCGACTAGGATAAGAATGAGTGCTAGTGCGATGGCGAGGCCGATGAGAACGACGAAAACAAGCGCCAAGTGTTTAGCTGTTGAGTAAAGTATTAGCAAAGAACAATCAACTTTAAATTATGCCACATGTAAATGACAAGAGAAGAGAAAATGAACATACTGCTAGATGTAAAGAAGTTATCTTTTTGCGAAAATATCCTGGCAATGCTTCCAGCTCCAGTATCGGTGCTGGTTAGAGCAAAAGGAAGGTAGGCGGTGCCGTTGTAAATGACGGCCGAAGCCATTCCAACATTGGCAAAGGGTATAGAGCCAGTGAGCATCAAAACTTGCTTGTCGTCAAGAAGATTCGATGAAGCATGAGCTTTGGTTACTGTAAAAATCTGCAGACTTTGGATAACACTGCCCTGAGGAGGTGGCACTTCAGGGCTCTGCCATTGTTTGCCGTCATACTTCATGATAAAGGCGGACCCATTCGGCGAGTTGCCTGAGACCCAGATCTGGCTATTGTCGTTTGAGCCGGCTGTAATGGCATTGACAGGGCCGGGGATCTGAGTAGCGCCTGCAAAGTCCGTCCAGGACTGTTGATCGGCATCGTAAAGGGCAAGGAATCTTGTGTTGGTTCCGTTGGTACGAAGATCACCACCAGCAATCAACTGAGTTTTGCTGTGCCACAGAAAGCTGCTAACCCGCCCAGCCAAAGTGGTACCGGGCCTTGACCATTGAGCAGTGTTGGTATCATACGTACAAACACCAGGGCAGTCCAACGCACCCGCATTCTCAAACGAGCCGCCGGCGTAGACCTCTGCAGTACCAGGCCTAACGCTGACGACAGAGACTGTGTGGTTCCCGCCCAGCAGTGACGCAGGTTGTTGCTTGGAAAAAGACTTGGATTCAATATCGTAAGCGATGAGTCCACCAACACTGCTGCCGTCGACAGTACCGGTGATGTTGCCACCAGCGTAAAGGACGCTTCCAAGAAGAGCAACGGAGGTGAATACCGACTCAGAAGATATTCCGGATCCGAGTCCGCTAATGGTGCCATTGTTTGTGCCATCGATGAGCACTAGGTTATTAATGGTAGAGCCGTTGGGGGATCGAGCTGAGAAGTGGCCTGCGAGAACTGTAATGTTGCTGCTGTTTCCGGTATAGAACGTGCCTGTGAGAACACCTGATGTGGGTTCGGGAGAGAGATCACGTCGTCGCTTATTGCTCGACGATTGCACTCCAGGCTGAATGTTCACTGGGAACTGGCCAAGGCCCTCATCAGACAGGGTGACAGCGCCACTTGCTCCTAGTTGCGAAGACTCCATGGAGCCTGCAAAGAGAGAATTGCCGGTGGTAAGGTTCAGTTGAGAAGCTGTGAGCATGCCGCCAAAGTCGGGGTTCGCGCCTTGTAGATTCTGCAGCCAGTTCCCTTCGGATAACATCCACACCGCAAAGCCGTCAACAGGCACCGCCTCAAATCTGCCAAAAGCCTCACATTCAGAGAAGGAGCCCGTCAAGGCGATGGCATTTTCCGTAACGCTGCTAATATTGACTTGGAATGCCACAACCTGCTCGACTCTACCGTTCACGCCTGCACCCAGTGGGTTCCAAGCCTGGCTCTTGGTGTCATATATGGCCACATGGTTGAGGCCGCTCTTCCCCTTGGACCGCAAGTTCGTAAAGTCTCCTCCCACAAATAAATGCGTGTCTTGAAGGTACATGTCCAGCACTTGGCCATTGAGACCTCCATTGATATCCATAATTTTACCATTGGTATCGATGGCGACGAAATTCTGGTGCGCATCTGAAGTGAAGTTACCGCCGATATAGGTGACGTCTCCCGATGTTGCCAAGGAATTAACGCCGGTATTCTGATCGAAGCTTGCGCCAAGTTGGTTGAACGGAGAATCGTCCAGGCTGTCCGCACTAATCTTTGTTTTGCTCGGATCGAAGTCGAAGAGACCGTTGAGGTTCCCGGTCGAGTTAAGAAGGGTGAACCCAACCTTTTGAGCTACAAAGGTCATTTCGCTCAAATCTTGTCCGTCGAGGGGGGTAAGCGTGACTTTTGGCTTGAAGGTATCTGAGGTCTTTTCAATGTAACCGAAATAGATTTGATCATATTTGTCAAAGTTATTGGTTTGGAAGATTGAAGTAGTGAATTCTGATTGAATAGTGCCAGTCGACATGAGGCCGGTAATGTTAACACGACCTCTGGTCTGGCACGAGCCATCAGGTATGCAGCCAGGGGTATACATGTTGACGGAGTAGTTACCAGATTCGATAATGTTGGGCACGAAAACAACGGATGCAGATTTCGAGGTGATGGGGCTGGAAAGCTGTGCTGTCAGATATTTTGAATCACTTTGTAAAGAAGCTGACTGCGTCCAAGGGCCTGTAGCTGTGGCGCTGGAAGGGAAACTGGTGTTGCAGGACGGCTCGTTGAAAGAATTGATAGCGTAAGAGAAGATGTTATCTTCAAATAATTGGATGCTGTTGAGGCCGGCTCCTTTTCCGTACCACGCTGAAATATCAATCTGGAAAGAGTTCATGCCAATTCTATTAACAAAATGAAAGTCTTGAAATTTCACTTTGGGGTCGTTGCTTAGCGGGCACTGGCTTGTACAGCTGGAGTTTTTGCCCGTGGCAGGATCGATGTAGGTAAAGTTCATGATACCGTCGAGTGGTAAGGCGACGAAGCGGAATGTTTTCGTACCCCGTCCATCTTGATGCGTGTTCCAAAGCCGCAGCTTTGTGGGCTCAAAGCCAAAGTCGAAATTCGCCTGCCAAGTGCCAGGTGTCTCGTCTTGCAGCAACCAAGTCTTACCTGAGCCGCTAGACCCATCAGAACAGACAACACTCTTGGGGTTGTCGAAACCTTTGGTGGTTGCGGTATTCTCGGCCGAGATATTTGCAGTGGACAGGTTGATAGCCTGGCCATCAAGCTTGTTTGGCGCAGTGACATTGCCTAGACCAGTGAAGCTTCCGCCGAAAATAACATGACCATTGCTTGCTTTTGTAATGGAGCTCACGGGGGCATTGAAGCCGGCAAAGGGAAGATTCGTCCAGCCGCCGTCCACTTTCCACGCAATGGCATTTGTCGAATTCCCCCCTTTGAGATTTCCACCAATATACACAATTCCCTTGGAATCATCACACAAGAGAGCGTTGACTTCGCCTTCCAGTCCCACGAGTGGAGTAAAACTTGTTGTGTTCGCATTGTAGATGGCGATGGCCGTTGACTTGATGCCGTCCAAGCTCGTAAAATTACCACCAAGCACCACGCCCTCGGCGCCATCTTTGAGTGTTATTGAGCACATGGCCAGTATCGACGCGTCGGTTGCGGCGATGGGAGCGAGGACGCCATTTGGCGTTTGTGTGAGCAGGTATTCGCTGCCATTTGTGCTCAAGGGTTGTGCGATCTGCTCCTGGAACTGATAGAGTGAGATTCCGTTGAAGTCTCCAGCAATGCCTATGCTCCCCAGCTGTGAGAAATCGAGATTTGCGGCAGGAGCTGCAGTAATATTAAAGGCGGACGTGATTGAGGGAGCAAACATTGCCAGAGACGCAACAGCTGAGCTTATCAGCCGAGGGCGTCGCGCCGGTCGGCGTCGTTGTGATGATAATCGCATGTTGATCTACCGCGGCGCGCTAGGGGGAGAAACCGAATCGATAGAAGGACGAAGGGGGGGCGTAAAGTCGCAGGTTCCGGGCGACAGACGGCGCGAACGATGATCGAGACGTCGGTATCGATGGATTGCGAATGAGCATTTGGGGTGCAGAGAGGCTGGAGTGGATTGAGGCTATCGCATCACGACTTGTTCGATGTATCTATGCTCGACCGATTGTGGAATGAAGTAATGGATTGCGACGAAATCGACGAGGCTGAAGCCGAATTATACTATAGAAAAAAGATCGGGTATCGGAGGGAAAAAACGAGTATAACAATTAATTTCAAGCCGAATCAGCAGGGCCGGGTATCCTGTATAGTAAATGCTCTAGCAGTATCTCGTCGCCGGCGATGAGTGATGATGGACTGAATTTTTGATGGAGCGAAGGCGAAGAGGCTGGTTGGGCAGGCAGAGGCATGAAAAGCACCAAGAATGCGGGAAATTGCTGGCCGCCGCTGTTATGGAGCAGCTGGAAGGGGGTTTAGCCTTATAAGGTTAGTGGCATTGGGCGGCGACAATAAAGTGGCTTCAGGGCGGTTTTTAGCCTTTAGGTGCTATAAAATAGCACCAGGAACCGTCTCGTTTTTTCTGCCTTTCTGCTTTGGGCTGGACCTGAGGCTGCGCAGCGATTCTCTGCGATAACGCAGCAAAATCAATGAATGGATGAAAAAGTGACAAAAATGTCAATGTTGGGCGGTGTGGTGGGCCGGAAGCGAAGCGAGATTGTGCTCGACGAGATTGTCCTGGTCTGACTGAGTACAGCGTGAGCGAGGCTTAGTCTGCGGTGACCGCGTGTGCGAGATCGTAAAAGCTTCGAGTAATACTACGGCAAGGTACGGCGTGGTGCAACAGTCCGAATCTTCGCTGGTGAGTGAGATGCCGAGGCCAATCAGGCGCTCGCTTTGTGTGGCAGTGCGTCGTGCAGAGTATCACTGAAGTTGAGTGCTTCGTGATTGATGAAGCGAATGCAGGTACGAGCACTATCGTGAGATGAAAATGTGGGTATACGAAGTATTACAGGGGGAGCAAAAAAGGAATGGCAGAAGCTCTATCGGTGAGCTTCAAAACAAGCAATAAACAATCAAAAAGATGGACGATAGCCCTCAGCTTCGTGAACGGCAGCGCTTTTGTGTTGTTCCCTCGGAAGAGAGAGAGAGAGAGGCAAAAACCACAGGCGGAGAGATACCCCTGGCGGCATCTGTGATTGCGAGATGCATCGGAGCACGGTTCTGTCTACGGCTCGCTGTGCCGCCCTGCGTTCCTATTTGCGGGATGCTTCGTTCATATCATGCCAGGGGCACAAAGCGTCGGTCCACTCTTGCTTGGCCCCGGAATCCCCCCCAAAAAAAGACGAAACGCAGTTTACCAATGGGGGTTGATGTGAAGCTTTGTTTTATTTAGGCACTGCTGCTTAGCTGTTGAAACTAGCCGTAAAAACACACGATAGTTTGGCAGATAGACTACTAATTTTGAGCTGACACGGCACCATGAACATAAAGGAAGTTTCCTCCTTGGGGATGAGTAGTGGATAAACTGGTCTGCGGAAGACAGCCGAAAATAGTCGTAGCACTCGCCGGGATCGCCAGATGCCCTTGATAGAAAATGCTATGATTATAAGCGCACAGCTATCAAACTCATCACACCCGCCTTCGCTTCTGCGCCCTTGCTGTTGGCCAAAGCTCAGAAGCTATGGCTACCTCCATCGTGTGCCCATGTCACCGTTGGCTGTCCGTCCATATCTTGGCTTTTCTGTTTGCTGTTGCAAAGCCAAGTCTGTGCATGCCGCTGCGTTAGCACCCAGCCGTCCATCATACCATACGATGACAGCTCAGATCTGTTTATGCTCTGTGGATTAGTTTCGGTGCTGTCTCACATCGTCCTGCCTGATTGTCAATGGAGAGATTGCTTGGCTTTGAATTCCAGCCTCGGCGATTGGCATACAAGTGAAATGTATATCGTACCTATGAAAGCATCGTGGCTATAGGAAGTTCAAGCATGGGGTAGACCAAACACTCGAAACACCCGTTGCCGCAGACTCAATCTATAGATAGATGACCCAAAACAAACAAATGTGTGCTATGACAACCAACCAGTGAGACCTCAGTCATTTCTGCGGAATACAAAGTACTTACCATCGCAATGGCCTACGCTTTGCCTTGCTGCGACGCCCACCTTGTCTTGTACTCCCTCGGACTCTCATAGGTCTTTGGATCCCCCGCCCACATTCCCTTGCGTTTTCTCCTTGCCTTGGCCTCAGCCTTCTCATATCGCTGCTTTAGCCCCCCAAACTCGCCGCCGCTCTTTGCCTCGTATACGGTGGCCAGTCCACTCTTGATCATCTCGAGTCCGACATTCCTGCGGAACAGAAACCTGCGGACGTAGACAGTGGCAACGATCCGTTCGTATTGATCTGTCTTGTAGATGTATGCGCGCACATTTCGGTGCAAGATGTAGTTTCGGAGCCACTGCAGGGCTTCGTCCGAGTAGGGTTGGGCTGGCTTTCCAAAGTGCGCTCCCTCTGGCGCATCAACCGCGGCAATGCGGATCGGTATCTATATATATGCCTCTAAGTTAGCAAATGCCCAAACATATTTGGTGAGAGGAGGGAAGAGAGAGAATCCTTACAGTCCGCCCTTTGAGCTCTTTCCTTGACTCAGGAACCTTTCTTAGCCACCCCCAGCCCACAGCTTTCCCACCAGGCGTGTGGAACAGATGGAAGTTGTCGCCATCGCCAACACTCGTTACTTTGCCGTATAAGCTCCGATTCCGAAAGAAATTCGGCCGTACATAAGCTGCTCCTGGAATTCGCCGCAAGTAATTCGCATATAGCTGCAGCGCGGCGAGGCCTACGAGAGAAAATCCAACCATGGGTGCCCATGCTTTGGCGGCTTCTAGAGGCCCAACCTCACTGCTCCTCAAGGAATCTGGCCATGAAACAGGCCTCTTCTTAGACTGGTCCTCATGATCCGTGCCTTTGCTGGGTGCTGAGGCTCCAAATGGCCATACCATTGTATTTGCGACCCGTAGGTCGGCTTGGCATCGAGAGTGTTTGGTTTAGGGTCCAAGTTTAGAGACCGAGCTGGTAGCTTGGGAAAATCGCTTTATAGTGGCATGTTCACTGTTACTGTGGCGCCCCAGACTACTTGTACGCTCTGCGCAGTGACATTAGACTGCCTGCGAAACAGCGGTACCCTAGACCGATCAGATTGATACAGCACCCTTGGTAAATTCAAGCATAAGAATATAATAAATAGTAAAGAAACTCAGAAATATTTATTTTTTTACGGAAAATTCCAGGGTTATGGGCTATATGGCTCCTATCATCAAATTCATTGCCTACAATTATGAACCTCACCACTCGCCGCCTCATCCATGTCAGAGGCCGCATCCGCTCAACAGATGATGCCCAATTCTAATTTGGCTAGATAGAGAGAGAAAAGTCTATGGATTGCGAGAGTCTCTTCAGCTGCTTTGCACCTTGAATGTCCTGCCGCTAGCCGTCTTCCTCTCTCGTTCTTCGTTATCAGGACGCGCACGACGCAGCACTTTATACACGTTAGCAAATACTCCGTCACTGTAATGACATATTGTATCAAACTCACCTTGCAGGAAGTCTGCGGTTCGCTTCCTCATTCGAGAGTGGATGTATGCCTTGGAAGCTTTGATGTGGTAGTGGAAGTTGTCTCGGAACGTCTGGATATGGGAGATGACGGCTGCCATTCTCTGGGGAGTCAGGTGCCTTGGGAAGAGAACTTCGGGCAAGTTAGTACAGTGAGTCTAATCAAATCTAGGACCTTCTTACCGAAAGTAACGTATCCGATTTCACCGGAGCCGGTGTCTCGCACTCCAGGAACGCCCTGCAGCTCAAGTGGGGGATCGTTTCTGAACAGCACCTGGGGTGCATTCTGAATAGCTCGTCTTCGGGCATCGACAAACTCCTGAATAAAGACCTTTCCGTACACTCTATCGGTTTCCTCTCGGAAGATGGTGCTGAAAATGACAGTGACACGATCGTGGCTGGCCTTTACATAAATGGCCTCCTCCTCTCGGTAGTGGATGGCTTTGACCTCTCCTCCCTCCATCACACCCTTGGGGGCCTCCTCTGAGCTAAATTTAGATGCCTCCTCTTTCAGCTTGTAGTGCTCTTCGTATGCTTGCTCGAACGGCGCAGCCATGGCATGGCGCTTCAGTAAGGCGAATTGCATTGCCAACGCGTCGCGTTCCTCTATATTCCAAAGTGAGCTCTCTGGTTCCGGGGCATTGTCGCTGGAGATTAAATCGGCCTACCCTTGGACTCTGGTAGGTTCTCTAGGTCAATCAGCACCGAGAAGTCGTAGCCAACTTCAGCCGGAACAACGTATTGTCCATATTCGCGTTGGAGAACCTGCTCAGCGCCATATTTGGCCAAGTCCTTGAAGCATCGAATCTGGAGGGACAGTAGAATCTTCGTCTTCACTTCAGGAGTCGAGATGTGGAACGTGACGCCGTCGAAGTCGGATACGGTCTGGTCGATGTGTACGGGCGGGGCACTGTGCCGCAGTCAGCTCGGCTCGTCTTGAGAAATTGGAATTGGGCTTGTGCATACCCCGAGAACCGTTCGGTAAGCACCGACTGAATGAGGGCGTTCTGGTAGTCGAGAAGAAGCATCGTGGCGGCTGGTGTCGTGGAATCTGCTGTGTCCTCTCCGGATCGTCCTGGAGCTTGGTTGACGACTCCGACCCCCGTGGTGGGGCTAAGCTACGTTGCTGAAGACGTCAAGCTGGGGGGCAGCGCACCACGTGACGGAGCAAGCTAGAGCAGTAGCGCCACCCCAAGCCCATTATCGATAAGCTCTCGAAAAAAAATATCCCATCTGCGCAATTGGCTAGCAGCGGCATGTAAATGCAAGTTTCCTTGGTACGAGCAGAAGCCGGCATTGGAGGTTGAGAGACGGCAGCCATGGTCAAATCATACCTGTGAGTCGATTTTATTGACATGTGCGCGCCTAGATACACGTGTTTTGACCATTGAATAGCAAATACGAGTACGCCAAATCTTTTGGCACCATCCTCTCCGGCTCATCGAATCTCATCTGGACATCCAAAGATCGAACGGGGACTGGCGCAGGCCAAGCCATTACAGCCGCGAACGAGGAGGTTTTATGCTGGGATATCAAGAAGGGCGAGTTAATCAGCCGATGGAGGGATGAAAGGTGCTCTTATTCCGCCACTGCCATCGCGCAGAGCGGCGTGGATAAGGACATGTTTGCCGTGGGATACGAAGATGGAAGCATTCGTATCTGGGACAGCAAAATCGCCACTGTTATAGTCAATTTTAATGGTCATAAATCGGCAATCACACATCTTGCCTTTGACAAATCCGGAGTGCGACTTGCAAGCGGTTCGAAGGACACCGACATCATTGTTTGGGATCTCGTTGCAGAAGTCGGCCTGTACAAGCTTCGAGGACACAAGGATCAGATCACAGGAATCAAGTTTTTGGAGCCCGAGGCCAAGTTGCAAGATGAAGACGGAAACCAAGCCATGGTGCTCAACGACGAAGAGTTGTCAGATGGGTTCCTTTTGTCTACCGGAAAGGACTCCCTCTTGAAGCTCTGGGATTTGTCTTCGAAGCACTGCATAGAGACGCACATTTCACAGACAAACGGCGAGTGCTGGGCACTCGGTGTCTCCCCAGACTTGAGCGGCTGCATAACTGCAGGCAACGACGGAGAGCTGAAGGTGTGGTCCCTGGATGCGGATGGATTGAGCTCCTCTGCTCAACGAGTAGAAGTTGTCTCCTCTGCACAATTTTTGCAAGACCGAGGAACCCTTTTTCGACAAAACAAGGATCGAGCGACTGAGGTTATTTTCCATCCTCAAAAAGACTATTTTGCTGTCCACGGCTCTGACAAGAGTGTCGATGTATGGCGCATCAGATCAGAATCTGAAGTTCGAAAAGGCCTGGCCCGAAAGAGACGGCGAAGACGTGAGAAGCAGAAGGATGCCAAGCCTCAGGATGAAGAAATGGAAAATGGAGACGATACACTGGACGATGTATCAAAAGCCGATATCAGCGATGTCTTCGTCCAATATGTTATTCTGAGAACTGGTGGCAAAGTCCGTTCGATTGATTGGGCTCTGCCTGCTGGGCAAAAGCAAATCTATCTGGTAGTTGGAACTACTAACAACCAGCTGGAGTATTACAGTGTAAATCCTAAGGAGAAGAGCGATAAGAAGCAAAAGGACGACATCCCAGATTACACCAAGGCGTTTTCAGTCGAGATCCCGGGGCACAGAGCTGACATCCGTGCTCTGTCACTGAGCTCAGACGACAAGATGTTGGCATCAGCATCCAATGGCTTGCTAAAGGTTTGGAATATCAAGACTCAGACCTGCATCCGAACATTCGACTGTGGGTATGCGCTCTGCTGTGCCTTCCTTCCTGGAGACAAGGTCATCGTTGTGGGAACAAAAAATGGCGAACTGCAATTATTCGACGTTGCGTCTGCATCACTCCTGGACAGCGTCGAGGCACATGAGGGAGCTATCTGGGCGTTGCAAGTCCACCCTGATGGACGGTCTGTTGTTTCCGGAAGTGCTGATAAAAGCGCCAAATTCTGGGACTTCAAGATTGTCCAGGAGCAGGTTTTAGGAACGAGAAGGACAACACCCAAGCTTAAGCTCGTCCAGTCCAGAACGCTTAAAGTCTCCGATGACATTCTCAGTCTTCGATTTTCACCTGATTCCAAGTTGTTGGCGGTATCACTTCTGGATAGCACGGTGAAAGTGTTCTTCGTCGACTCTCTCAAATTATACCTCAACCTTTACGGACACAAGTTACCTGTGCTAAGTATGGATATTTCCTATGATAGCAAGCTTATTGTCACAAGTTCGGCGGATAAGAACATTAGAATATGGGGTCTCGACTTTGGTGACTGCCACAAGGCTTTGTTTGGCCACCAGGACAGTATTCTGCAGGTAGCATTTGTCCCTCACAACTCTGACGGCAACGGACATCACTTCTTCAGCAGCGGCAAAGACCGAACAATTCGATACTGGGATGGAGACAAATTCGAACAGATTCAGAGACTAGATGGTCACCACGGCGAGGTGTGGTCAATAGCCATGAGCCATAGTGGGAATTTCCTTGTTACTGCTAGTCATGACAAGAGTATTCGCGTATGGGATGAGACTGACGAGCAAATTTTCCTTGAGGAAGAACGAGAAAAGGAAATGGAAGAGCTGTACGAGAGCACTTTGACGGCCTCTTTGGAGAAAGACCAAGAGGGAGGCGACGAAAACGGCGAAATTGCCGCCGCAGGAAAGCAGACCACAGAGACATTGATGGCTGGTGAGAGGATAGCTGAAGCTTTGGAGATGGGTATGGCCGATTTGAACTTGTTGAAGGAGTACGAAGAGGCCAAGCTCACGAATCCTCACGCTATGCCTCCTCAGAGGAACCCCGTTTTCATTGCTCTCGGAAACATTACCGCAGAGGCCCACGTCATGTCTGTCCTTCAGCGTATCAAGGCTTCTGCTCTACACGATGCTCTTCTGGTACTTCCATTTGCCTCTGTCCCCATCCTTTTCACATTCATCAACATTTTCGCCATGCGGTCGATGAACATTCCCCTCACATGCCGAATTCTGTTCTTCATGTTGAAGACGCACCACAAGCAGATTGTTGCCAGCCGCACGATGAAGGTTATGATGGATAGCATCCGGGCCAACTTGCGAGCCACGCTAAAGAAGCAGAAGGACGAGATGGGAGTAAATATCGCCGCATTGAAGGTGGTGGGCATGCAGATCCGGGATAAGAGCGTCAAGGAGTATGTGGATGAGACTTGGGAGGAAGAGAGCCGGGAGAAGAGTGCCAAGAAGCGAGCCTTTGTACATGTCGCATAAGAGGAAGCGAGATCTGGCCTTTAAAGAGAGAGTAGTAGTTTTTGCATATATAGATTCACCGCGAAACTTGGGCTATGTTGCGGGGATACGAGGAGTCATTTTTCTTGGTTCAAATATTGATACAATAACAAGTTATTAATCTACGCCCCTCGTTCCAGATAATTGTGACGAATTAGTAGACGCATTGAAATTTTCGCTTTTTGGAGCAGAGACTTGAATGTTTCCAGGATTTCATGTTCAAGTTGCCAAGTGCTCTTACTTACCTGGTAGCGGAATTTGATGAGATGAGCAACAAGACTAAGAACGAAGAAATACTATTCCTTTTCGGTGTTTAAAGCAAGTGTCTTAAGCTAATCATTATTATTATTTATACCTTATGGCCCCAAATATGATACACACGACTCTCTGTCTACTCTGTATTCGAGTCTCTCACTAATGCTGCCTTGAAATATAGTATCACGTGACCATGCCAAAAACGCCGCCTTCACTAGAACTTGCTGTGTGGGACTTCTCACAATGAGCTGTGACGCTTTCACTCAGATAACGCCTTCGAAGATAAAACGGCAGCCCGAAATTCAGAATCCAAAAAGCGAAAGATAAGAGGATTCTCGTCTCCATTGCCATTGTTTGAGACGACACTGCTCATCTCTCAAACAACTTGCCGTCTATTCGAAACTCTTCAAAAAATATTGCCCCGCTGCCCAATCCCAGCTTGAGGACAGCTGATTATCTACCGCCATAATGCTTTTCTTTAGGTGAGCCTCTTGGAGCCGGATCCGGAGATCTGCCCCTGCTGCATGCCACGGGAATCATTACTCGAGGTCAATTACTGCCATATGGAGACAAACACTAATCTTGCTGGGGGAGGACAATAGCTTCTTCAAGACACTTATCGACCATGAGGTCACCGTGGAGCTCAAAAATGATATCCAGCTCAAGGGGATTCTGAAGAGCGTGGACCAGTACCTGAACATCAAGCTGGATGACATTCAAGTTGTAGAGGAGCTAAAATACCCTCACCTGGTATGGGAGTCCTGTTGCTCCCTCTTTATCCGCTGAAAATGCATGGCTAATCCCATTGTTTCCATATAGAGCTCTGTAAAGAACGTTTTCATTCGTGGATCTGTCGTTCGATATGTCCACCTGCCAGCGGCATCAGTCGATACCCAGCTGCTAGAGGATGCCACACGGAGAGGCAAGTATCTTGAAAAAAGCAGAGTTGATTTATCTAGAAGAGGGCTAACCACGTCCGCAGAAGCTGCTGCTCAGCAAGCCAAGGCAAAATAATAGATCTTGGTATAGGCGCGTATTTACCAGCTAAGCAAGAGATGGTTGGCGTTTGCATACGATAAATCATGTATTCTGGATCGGAGCATCGGAGAATGGTAATATTTACACACTTTATGGTGCAGGATCGCCGGGCTTGTTGCAAGTATAAAGCAGTCATTTGGCGTTCCTCATGACATGGGCATGGGCATGGGCCATCAGAATTTCTCCTGGCATCATTTTTGGACGTTTTAATAAAAATTTTATGATATCCAAGTCTCTAGGCTACCACCAGGCCCCGCCTCCCTCGCCAGCTTTTCCTTCCCAGAGCTGAGGGTTACTTTTCTGTTCATCATCTTCCCCCTCTACTAATGGTCTCACCAGCCCTCCTTTCCTCCTCTCTGCCATCCACCTATCTATCCAACCTTTCATTCTTTTTCTTGATTGATCGCTGCCTACATTGACAGTAGGAATTACTTTATCAATTCGCAGACTCATAACGAACATGGCTAGCTCACGAAAACTGCTGTGTTCAGAGTACGGAACACCAAAACACAAGGCTTCCTTCGTGCTACCTCTCTGAGCCACAAGATCCTTTGCCCCGAACCTTGTCCTCCAACCTTTACCGTGGAGAAGCTGTTGGCTAGATATGCTGCTTGGCGGAGTATTGGCTCCAATAACCTTGCCATTGCCTGGCCGAAAATTCCAGCCGCTTGGTCGAAAACCAATAATGCGACTGAAATGTGGCCTATAACTATCTAGATATTCCTGCAAAGTTTCTGCGCGGATCTCCATGAGCATTTGCATGTGGACTTGGGCTTCGATGGGATCAGAAGTCAGCAGCGCAGTTAGTTCTGGGTCATCGAGCTGCTTGCATATCTTTATCTTCGCCGCCGATGCAAAGATTTTGGAGCCAAGAGCTTTTGCTATAGCCACACAAATCCTCTCCTTTCCAATAGAGTAAGTACCGCATATTACTAGAAGACGCTGCTGTCGCTTGGATTTCGACTTTGACTGCGCACCATCGTCCAATGGCTTATCACTTTGGAAGTACTTGCTCACGGTGCCCGTTCCAGCGGATTTTTCTGACCTTTGCCAAACGTCGTCGGCACAATTTGGGTCAGGAGACATTGACGCGCAGAGGTCAGCACACGCTTGAATGACATCGCCTTGGGGAGGGAAAGAGTATCGTGGATTTAGGTATGTCGTATCAAGATAGCAAATGTCAATTCGCTGTTGCCTTGCTTTGCCCGATATTGAATCTATCACATCGGGCTTGAGTAGCGGATGCCGAACATGTTCGGGACAGGCCCGGAAATCACCACAGTGTAATATCCGCTTTGTTCGTTTGTTTGGTCCATTTCCAAACGATTTTTGGAAGAGAAATAATGAGCTCCCAGGACAGTGATTGGCAGGCATCATGGTAACCGTTGCACCTTCAGTTCCAGGAATATCATAAGATTTCTCAAATTCTAGCTCAACGACCCACTTGGCAGCAGTCCGGAGCTGTTGCTTGACCAAGCTCCCGGTGACCTTACTGCAGTAGATTGGACCGTGTCGCCAATTTGCTGTTAGGCCGACGTAGTGGTCACTGTGGAAGTGACTCAAGAAGTAGGCCTGGCATCCTTCAACAGCGCCGTAACGGAATGCATCGACACAAATTGCGAATCCAGGCATGATTTTGTAAAAGGGACAAGTCCGTTCGTATGCCGGCCGACCTCGAGACGCGGTCTCTGCGGCTGCCGCTGTAGCCCAGGCCGAATCTTCCGCATTGCCAGACATTAATTTAGAAAAGGCGCTCTTTGGCTTGTTCTCTGTATTCATCTCAAGAGGGTTCGCCTGACCCGGTCTGGGGACGGCAGCTCGAGCAAAGCGTTTGCCAAGCTCCACAGCCTCTACTTCAGGGATTTCGTTTGTTACGGTATTATCCTTCGTAGGCAGCGGAATAGGATTGCCATCGAGACATGAGTTGACATGCCGAGAAGCTTCGTCCGCAGATATGCCGAGTAAGCTGCCAGAACAGATTGGACAATTTTCTACCAAGGAATGATTATCCAAAAGATCATCCAAATCGTCACCAGGGATTCCGGCCTCTTCGGCTTCAAGGCGAGCTTGCTCCCGCATGAATCGCATCTCCCGCATCTCTTCACCTTCAAACTCGTCTAAGTCGAAATCGTCCATGTCAGCGAAATCCCCCAGTTGGTCAAATTGGGCATCAGCCGAGGTTTCTTGCTCCAGCGGCGGCGGTTCATACTTGTCATTGCTGTCTTCGGTCTGCGTAGTGTCACGAAGTGATTCTGGCTGGGCAGAGGGGGGTAACGGTGCGGCGTCTTTTGAGTGGTGGGATGGTACTTCTGGAGCGATGCTGTTGCTGTTGTTGTTATTGTTGTCGTTGGCATCTTCATCTTCGCTGTCAGAGTCTATGACGAACGGGGTCTTAATCCGAGGTCTAGGCTTCTTGGACTCGTTTCCATTTTCAGGCTTTATAGGTGACATCGTGTTATTGATGGTGGATGGTTTGTCTAATGTATCTGCCGTTTCCTTCTTTGTTGCTGATTCGATGGAAGCATTTTCGCTAATCCTCCTCTTTTTACTTGGAGCTTCAACTTCGTTGTATCGGGTTTCATCGTCACGTCCATATAGATCCTCCTTCTCAGCTGATTCCGCAGGTACCGCACCAACGAATAGTGAATCTTCAGGCTTTGCAGTTTTCTGGAAGAAGTTAAGGATACTGGTGTTTGGCTTCGCGGCAGGCTTCTTAGCGAAGCCAGAGCTTGCCGTTGATTTTCTCGGCGTATGAGACCGGTTAATTTTTGTAGAAGCGACCATAATGGCTGATACTGCGTCAAGGCTGAAGCACCATACTTTTCTGAACGTGCCGTCATACAAGGCGGGACACGTACATTCACGATTCGCGTTGGAGGGCTTGAATGACTTCGCGTGGTCACGTGCATACTAATTACTGTGGCGGGGTGTTGATCTACACACCTACACGCTCTATTAGTACTTGGCCGGGGCAGATGTCAAAGAGCTTGATACAGGAAATAGTTGGCTCATGAAAGTAGTAATTTGAAACTCAGTTTGATCAATGCATTCAGGAGAGGTTATGCATTCATTGTACTCCCAATGCAGTTCATCGTCAGCTTAATGGTGGGTACATGGCTGGCATGAGCGTATAGCACTCAATCACCTACATCACTCTCTACCGGCTGAAAATAGGCCCCGGTGTAAAAGATGTCCCGCCGCTGGAAATGCATAGTAGATATCCCGAATGTCTAGACACTGACGTTGATTAGTCAATTCTACGCAACTCTATTAATGCCGTGCTGTCCCAGAGTCCCATTCATAATTCGCCGTGATACGCCCCGTGATTCCATGTTTCAGCTGGTAGCGCCCGCCCAGGCCTCACACCTGGTTTGTTCCAGAGCAGGGAAATTAATTGCGCTGCCGTCTTTCTACAAGCACATATCACTGCGCCTCGCTACTCAACTTGACAACGGCGCCAGCGAATCGTTCTGCTGTTTTTGTCGGCATTGTTTGTGAAGCCATTCATTACAATCGACTCTTTATTGCCCAAGACATCTCATTGTCTTGTATCCATCATGTCTTGTGAGCTGCCCAAGCCAAGGTAGATCCAGCTCATAGGGCTAGTTGTGACTGACACATTTCACAGCGTGGCTCAATACCACCGCGACATTACAAAATGTAACAACTCTGCCTCCAGAGGTTTCACCTGCCAGAGCCCTGGAAATCATACAGAATCACAAAATTCACATGCAATGCGACCCTCACATGGTCAAGTTCGAGTCCATCCCTCAGCCATCAAAGGTTGTGACTCCCGCTGTTCCAACGGACCGAGGAATTGTCGCTGTAGCGGAGCCTGCGTATTACTCGGTGACAGACAAGGTGCACACGCTGCCTGCGGGCCTTTGGGATTCCAATGTTGAGAGTATAAATGAATTTGTGACCCTGGAAAAGGGTGTTTTTGTGAGGCTCTACAGCCCACTCAACGTGGTGATGGAGACGGTCTGGACTGTGAAAGAAAACGGTAATGGCGGGGTAGATCTGATCGAGGACGTGCTGATAAAAGCGTCCCGACTGCTGGTTGGCACGATAAAGAATATGTGCAATACTAACTGGAGAACCTTTCATGGCAAGATAGTGGATATGATGAAGGAGACGGCGTCATAATCCGGGGATAGACAAGGGGGTATATCACTTAGAAGAATAGATATTTGGCATCGACTGAGAGTAGCGGTAGAACTAGGTGATATGACTGTCTTTTCCCGCTTACTTACTTGGAGATGGATATACGTGGCAGTGAAGGCCATGATGCTGATAGTCGAGGCCATTCTTTGGACATTGTTTTTTCCCTTCTTTTCTTTTGTTTCAACCCCTTATAAGCTGGCCGTGTGGCATCTTCTCTCCCTCACTCTTCATTACGCACCTACTAACCTAACCACCAATTCAGCCACCCGAAGCCAGCCACCTGAAGCAAACACGGAGAGAGCGCCATCCGTGCTAAAACTGCTAAAATCGGTAGTCGCGTTCCGCCATGCGAAATGAATGGCTGTGGTTGCCCGCGGCTAAACCCCGCGTAAGAACTGCGCCTCACACCCGCTCCCTTGGGCTTATCGGGCATCTCTCGAGACTTGGACTTGTTTGCATCTCATCTCACTCGTGACGCCCCGGTCATCTTCATCTGCGGCATCTTCATCTGCGGCTGGGGGATCCGAACAAGGATGGCTGCAGCGCGCGCGGAATATCCCCTCGACGAGTGAGCACCGCGTGTGTCTGGACCTTTAGTGCGAGAGCCGTCCGTGCCCAGCCTCAAAAATACATACATGCCAAATCTTGCTCTTCCTGGAGATCGACATCCTCATCCAAGGCCCAAGTGGGCCTCGCCTGCAACATGTCCCTTCAAGTAAGATGGCCCGACGTGTCAGGCACCAAGCAGAAGGCTCTTGAAGATGCAAAGAAGATGCAAAATGCCGTCGTCGAGACCTGCAGTAAGGCCGGCAAGGAAGCCCCGCAGTATGAGCTTCAAGAGCTCGTGGGCAAGGGCAGTTTTGGACGGGTGTACAAGGCGACGGCCATCAAGACCGGCCAGCTGGTCGCCGTCAAGATCATAGACATTGAGGAGAGCGACACTGTAAATCCCAAGCTGGCCGACACCTACGCCGACCTGCTCAAGGAGATCAATGCCCTGCAATTGCTGAGCGACAGCGGGGCCAAGAATATCAACCATGTCATCGAGGCGTTGCCCGTCGGACAGTCCATGTGGATGGTCACAGAGTACTGCGCAGGTGGCAGCGTTGCGACTCTGATGAGGCCGACAGCTCCCGGCGGGCTGTTGGAAAAATGGATTATTCCTATTGTGCGCGAGGTTGCCGAGGCTATTCACTGGGTTCACGGCCAAGGCATCATCCATCGCGATCTCAAGTGTGCCAATGTTCTTATTACGGAGACGGGCGATGTTCAGCTGTGTGATTTTGGAGTTGCTGGCGTTATTGAAACAAAGTTCGACAAACGGTCGACATTTATTGGGACTCCGCATTGGATGGCGCCCGAGTTGTTTGATAAAGAGGCGTCTTACGGGACCGAGGTCGATATATGGGCGTTTGGCGCCATGGTATATGAAATTGCATCTGGCTTACCGCCCAACGTCACTGCCGGGATTGACTTTTCGAGGTTGGGCTCGCATCTAAAGCATCATACGCCTCGGCTAGAGGGCGACCAGTACTCGGCTGGATTGAGAGATTTGGTGGCCTACTGCCTTCAACACGACGTCGCAAAACGACCAACGATTGAGCAGGTGCAGCTCCATAGATATATCCGTAACACGGAAGAATCGCATCCAACGTCCTCTCTTGTCCATCTTGTCCGGGCCTTCAAACTTTGGGAAGCACAAGGAGGAGACCGCAGGTCGCTCTTCTCCGCTGGTGGTGCCCAAGGTCTGGCTGATCTCTCGGCTGCAGTCTCTAATGATGAGTGGAACTTCAGCACAACTGCAGCATTTGACCAGCACGTCTTGGACCAAGGAGATGCCCAGGACGTTTATGACGTGTACGGATCAAAGGTGGATTTCAGCCCTGAGGGGTATGATGAGACGTCGCGTCCGCAGAAACCCAAGTCACGGAGAAGGCCACCGCCACATCTTCCGTCGGTCAAAGCGCCCCTAGAAAAGATTTTTGATCCCAATACTATATCAACGTATGAAGAAAATTCCAGAGCATACTATAGTCAGCCATTTCAGGCTCCTATATCGGATCTCCCCCTCCGGGATGAGAGCTCGCAGCCTTCTGACGTACGAGAGTCATTGATTGATCTGGATGTATCGCTGCACGGCGGAGAGCTCTCGCAGTATGTCGACATGGACACCATCAAGCCTAGCGATTCGCAAGCATCATTTGACTATGACTTTGATGATATCAGCTTCTCTAGGGCGCCGATGAGCGACCCAATTGACCTCAAAAATAATAGGCGCACTCAGGATTGGAAATTCCCTTCAATGGCTCCTCCCGCAACAGTAAATCCGGAGGAATTCAAATTTCCGCTGCTCAGTAACACTCTCCCCCCACCTGATGATGGCCGGCCCTCACTTCTTCATCACACTACCGAACCGTATCAACATTCTTCTACTTTCAGTGAACTTGCACCAACCCCTTCAGTTGACCATCGTGCTTCAGTTGGGAGCTTGATAGATCTCGACATGAGCTTCGCCGATTCATCAACAGACTTAACCCGCCCCTCAACGTCCTATTCGGATGTCGGTTCCATCAGCGGTTCGGAGATTGGTGGTACAAATCCTTTTGAGTTGGAGAAACACGCCTCGCTCTACGTGATGAATGCTACAAATCGCGAGCCCTCTATTTATATTTCAGATGACTCTGAATATTCACACGTGCTCGCGAGCATCCCAGATCTCTCTCTGGATGAAGGATCAAAACACGACGAATCCCATATCAGCAAAGAGAGCAATGTGTCAGCATTCAGTGACAGCCGGCCATATTCTCTGAGCGACTTCGCTGATATGGATCCCGAACTGCCTCCAGAGCCAACTCCTGCTCCAAGCACACCGCAATATCCACCATCTTTGCGAGACTACTCTCCGCGCAGTCGATCTCCGCATAGCCAATCTCCTCCTGTACAGCGTCCCCGACCACCCCTGCGAAACCTCGATTCGTCTCTTCCCCCTCTTCCAGTAACCCCTTCGTCAAAAGTCATGCTTGGCCAAGCTTCGCCCGAGGAAATACGGAAAGAGTTACGTCGTATGGCTATGAGTCTTGGAGATCATTTGACTTACGTCAACTCGTACATTTCTACCCTACCGGTTCGAAGAAAGAGCATACACTATTCGCTAGATCCAGAGGGTGGTGCGATTTGAGACTTACAGTGTTTGGGAGTTGGAAATAGCGCTGATGCGATGCGATCAATCAATTTCTCCGAAAGAAGAAAGAGGAAAAGGTAACAGAAGGTAGTTATATGCTAGAGATATGATTTATCTACTCTTTTTTGAAAGAGATGTATATTAAACAGTACTTATTCGCTTTGCTACAAATGGATGAGTTTGAAGATATCGGAATAGATGTTCCATACTATAATTGCAACGAATATTGTTTTTTTCCAAATATATGGATTGGTGTAATTTGTTAATATATTATAATCATTACCTACTCTCATCGCATATTTGCGCCTCTTCATCAGAAACCAATCATATTGCCCAGTAATAGGGCCTGGTATTTCTCAATTGCCTCTCCGAGCTTAATGAGAACACCTGCTGACAGCATCTTGACCTCATTCTCCTCTCCGCCATCCTCGCCTCTTATCCTGTTAAACACAGCCGAAGCCCATTCTCGCGTCTCCACGACTTCTCGTCCCTGTGTTTCGCATAGCCTGCGCATATCGCCGTCGTTGACCTCCAGCAGCGATGCCATGGCTACGAGCCAGCCCTTCAAAGCGCCCATGTCATCTTGTGTATGGGTCCTCACGGCCAGGAGTAGATTCCACAGTTCGGACGTAAGCTGGGGGAGCGAGAGCGTTGAGGGGCCTGCCGCGTGTATTATTATACCTAACGTTTGGAGATAGAGTGCCAATAGGGCGGGATTTAGAATGAGGGGCTTGGAGGATCGAAGGGCCACCTGGAAGTGGGCAGTAAGAGGGTAGAAGAAGGAGTCGGCAATGAGTGCGGCAGTGGTGTTGGGGATTGAGCGAACTCGGGGCTTTGCCTTTGTTTTGGATTTGTAACGAGCTGTGAATGTTTGGAGTTTGAGGATATCTGGGCCGGTCGTTGCGTCGGCTGCCTTGGCGGCCAGTGGCTCCAAGAAGGAGGATGTGAGGGATTGCGTTATTGTATCTAGCGCTGTGGAAGGCAGCGCCTTTAGCTGGGATGGAGAATTGGCCTCGCTTCGTTTGGTTGAGTCTATGTATAGCTGTTCAATCTTCTCTGGTAGTCTCCTTGATGGGAAAGATGCACTAGACTGATATTCAGAAGTCTCAAATCCAGCGAGCTCTCTAGCTGACAGTCCGATGGCAACAAGCACTTGCGTTCGCTGGGACAAAGAGTAATCGCCTTCGAAGAAGGTCCGTGAGAACCAGGGGGCCATGGATTTTGGTTGAGCAACGATCAAGGCCATCATGCCCTGCAGTTTTAGATCATTGAATTCTTCAATATCGAATTTATCTTGGAGTCCGACGAATAAACCGGCGAGCTCATCTGCATGTGAGCTCACTTCCGTACCAAAATTCGCCTTTCTTCGAATTAAGAGAGGTGCACCCTGTAGAGCTAATTTCTGTTTATCGTATGACTCCGTGTCGCGAAGATATAAGATTAGATCGCGGATGTATACTGGAGCCTTTGGTTTGTTGCGTTGAACCAATGTGGCGTCGTCATCAGAATCTTCTGGATCAGAAGCTTTGGCATATGGAACAAGGTCTTCTTCACTATCGTCTGAAGAACCGATCTCTTCTATTATAGCTATGGGCTTAATAGTTGAAATACTGGGTTCGGACTTCGGCTTCGGTTTGATCTTGGGCTTTTGGGTTCGTTTTTGAGGTGGTCGATTCTCTTTCCGTACTGATAGTCCTGTAGCTTCTGTCTTGAGGATAGGCTCGATAGAACCGACCTCGTCGAAAACACTGGTAAGAGATTTTAACCATTTAGCCTCTTCGGTCTCTGTTTCGTCCATGTGGAAATCCAGCTTTTGTGTTTTATCGTCCATGAGAGTTGAGAGGGATTCTCCAACAACTAAGCCCAGAAAACGGGCTCTGGCTTGAGTTGAAGCTATCCGATTGGAGATCGCGGACAGGTATGAACCTGACCTTACAATAATTCTTAGTTTGATAGGAGATAGTCTGGAGATATATCCGGCACTGAGGAGCAACACTTCCGTATGAACTAAGAAGAGGTTAGCATGTTTCTGTAATCTTGGCTATTTGGAGTATTCATACCATTTTGTTGTAGTATGGCTGCGTGCTTGATATATAGCTGATCTCCAAACTGAGATAAGCTCTTTTCGAATACGGTTGTAATGCCGTCTTTATTTTGAGCCAAGAGTGCGAGAACAGCTCTCCTGATACCTACAGAATCACCCAGACCAGCGCCAGAAGATGAAGTGCACCAAGCAACGAGATGATTGTAAAGAGTCTCATTGCCCTTAATGAGTGTGCTGATGATGCCAGCAGCGGCAGAGATGATTGCTTTTGAAGACGGTTCGTCTAAGTCTAACCCATTGAGGTGCTGAGCAAGGTATTGTAGCAGTGTGTTGATAGATTTTTTGGCGCTATGGGGTTGGGAGAGGCAAACTTTGGCAAAGTTTTCTGGATCACTCCCTTTTTTAAGAAGGAGACCATCAATAACCGTCTTCACAAGAGTTTCTATGACAAGTAAGCAAGACGTAATGAGGTCGGCAGCCATGAAACATACCCGAATAGCCCAATGACATGCCTCGCTGGAAGAGGTCTGAACAGAAATGCAAGTCGCTTTCGCTTTTTGTGTGTTGAGCCCAGGCTATCAAATTATATGCTACCCATTGCGAAAATTTGGTTCCATCCGTTATCCATGTTGCGCTGGTGCGAATGTTTTCTGATCCAGTAATCTCAATCGCTTCAGCAGCTGTAGATATTATACGGCCACTTGTAAGCAAAGACAGGAGCGCCTGAGATTGCACTTTCTTCGAATTTCCGGAACTCGATCCTCCCGCTGAAGCTTCCCACAAAGTCCGGATAGCACCATTACCGTCCAAAGCTGATGCTAGCAAATCGAGAAATATTGTGATATGAAGCACTAGATCTGGCCGCTTAGATTCTTTGCTCGCTGATTTGTGCTCCTGAATGAGAGCTCTGAGGTGAGTAAGAACCGCGTTCAGTCCGGCAACACTTTGTAAGCATCTAATAAATAGCTGTGCGTCGTTATGAGAGCCCTCGGTGCCATCGTTATCCCCGCCTTCTTTTAATAACGTCCAGTAATTCGAAGCAATCTCAGTCACCAGCACGTGAATTATCGCCGCGCTTTTGGGGCCAGGCACGTGGACATGGAAACCGCCTGGCTGCTTCTCATCTTGAGTTAGGTATTTCAGAGCCTGAATAAGCGAATCGTAGTCCGGCTGGTTTCGAAGAAGCTCCAACGCCTCGTCAGGCGAGTCCACTTGCGAAGTCGGTAATTCTTCGACCACTTTCTTAGTCGAGCCACCCTCAGACAGCAGCGGTTTGGCGTCCTCCCGGGGCTTGAGGTAAGTGGTGCTGACTGGAGTCAGTAGCTCACCCGTGGCTGGTGCCGTCCTCTTGGTCGCTACCCTGCCCCCGTGAAAATATCGCAAACCGCCCTTCATGGCGACATCTGTAGAGCACGCAGATCCAGAGTACTGGTAAAAAGAAAATGTTGCGACCTCAAATGCAGGATAGGCAGAAAGACGCTGGCCGCTTAGAAAGACCCAGAGCTATGGCATGGTGGGAGCCTAAGAACCCCACCTTCACCTGACCTCACCGAGCCTCACCGAGTCGCAGCCAAGGCAGCTCCTCCCGCCGTGCCCAACAGCTACAGCTAGCTTGCCGTCATCCTGCACTCAGGCTTCTTCTTCCAAACCGCACGCCCGCTCCTTGTTGCCCGCCGTCTTTGCTTGCTCTCTAATCCCGCGTCCATCGCCATTTGCTTCAGCATGAGTGTCGAAACCCAGAGGGCGGCGCACCTTGTCGCTGACAGCGAGACGATGCGATGGTCAGTGCCCGAGACCCGGTGATGCGCCATGCGCCCAGCTGACAGGCACATGCAGGAAGTATCTCGACCAGATCAGACGCAACCCGGGCCCCTTGACGGATCCGATGGCGGTGGAAGAGGAGTTTCTGGCCCAGTTTGAGAAGTTCAAGATCTTGTATGTAGCTCAAAAGACGAAGCAGAGTGGAAGCAGACGTTTGGCTGACCTGACATAGGGTGATGTTTGTCCTACCTCGTGCGGATATTCCTTACCTCAGACTGACGGCAGCTACAGTGGTGCAGGTGGTCTGGGATGCGAGATTTTGAAGAATCTGGCCATGTCCAAGTTCAAGGATATCCATGTAATCGATATGGGTGAGGCGAATTGCTGCACGCGTCGTAACCGTCACTCGAGCTAACGTGGATTACGGCGGGCAAGACACCATCGACATCTCTAATTTGAACCGACAATTCCTCTTTCGAAAGTCAGACGTGGGCAAGTTCAAGGCGGAGGTAGCAGCGAGATTCGTCGAGCAAAGAGTAAAGGGCGTTAAAATCACCGCTCACAATAACCGCATTCAGGACTTTGACGACGAGTTTTACAAGCAGTTTCAGCTCGTCATCTGCGGCCTGGACAGCATCGAAGCTCGGCGGTGGATCAATGCTATGCTAGTCTCCATCGCTGAGGAGGCAGAGGATCCCGATGGAATCAAACCGTTGATCGACGGCGGCACTGAGGGCTTCAAGGGACAGGCGCGAGTTATCCTCCCCTCAATTACTTCGTGTATAGAGTGTCAGCTCGATATGCACGCTCCCAGAGCTGCTGTCCCTCTTTGCACTATTGCCTCTATTCCGAGACAGCCGGAGCATTGCGTCGAATGGGCCCATGTCATTGCCTGGGAAGAGGAGAAACCCTTTCCTAAGCTCGACAAGGACGACCCCGAGCACGTCACATGGATCTATCAGAAGGCCCTGAAGCGCGCAGAGGAGTTCAATATCCCAGGAATCACATACTCGCTTACTCAGGGAACGATCAAGAACATTATTCCTGCCATTGCTTCAACAAACGCCATCATTGCCGCTGCCTGTTGCAATGAGGCATTCAAGATTGCTACCAACTCGGCGCCATGCCTGGGTTTCGAGAACAACTACATGATGTATTCTGGCAACGACAGCATATATACCTACACGTTCAAGCATGAGAAAAAGGAAGACTGTCCAGTCTGCGGCCGAGAGGCTCGACCCTTGGAAGCTGATCCCAACATGACCCTCCAAGATTTATTGGATTCTCTGGCCCTTCGTCCCGAAGCTCAGCTGAAGAAACCATCCATACGTGCAGAGGGGAAGACTCTGTACATGCAAGTGCCGCAAAGCTTGGAGGAACAGACCAGACCGAATCTGAGCAAGTCTCTCAAGGACCTTGGGCTCGAGAATGGACAGGAAGTTGTGGTTACGGATCCTGCATTCCCTCTTGAATTCAACTTTTATTTCAGGTTCAAGGCGGCGGAGAGCTCTTAAGAACTTCATATCAAGATTTTTCTTTTTTTTTTTTTTCTTTTCTTTTTTTTTTTTCTCACTCAGTATTCTCTGACACATGAGGTGTTTTATTTACGGATTGGGGGGTTTTCTCTTGGGCATTTTCCTGGCGTTGGAGACATGACGGGCCATATCATTGCATCTTTGTACATGGGCGCAAAATCGAAACAAGACAAGACAAAGCAAATAGCAAATAGCAAATAAACAAATGGATCCTAAATCTTTTATTCTTTTCCCTTTTTTACTTCTTTATTTGCTCATGAGAGACAACACGCAAAAATATTATAAAAAAGCATGTGTCAAAACATATGTAGAATGCAGCTAATTACCATGCCCCCGATTTATATACAAAACGCCTTCAACCAAAATAAGACCAATCACTGAACCATGTTAATCACCTGCTGCTCCAACTTTTTGCACTTTAGCTTCAAATGCTTCACCGACTCGAGGAACAGCTCATCGCTATCCCACTGGCCCGTGCTCTCAATCGAAAAGATGAAGTGGTCTCTCCTCCGGCCGAGCTTGACCTTGCCCTCAAACTCGGCATGTCGCAGCGCCTCTCTGCTGACGGTGTCCTTCATCGAATCCTTGACCACGGCCTTGAGCTCGCCCAGGTGGCCCTCGTAGCCGCTGCCGGGCTTGCTGACGTCTTCCCTCGTGACCGTCTCGAGGCCGATGACGCCCTCGGGGAAGCACTTTTGGAATTTCTTGGCGTCGGCGCCGAGGATGGGGCGGGTGATGTGGATGAGCGGCAGGAGGCGGTAGGAGGCGGTGGCAACGGGCGAGAACTTGGAGTGGTCTGCGCCGATGCCCTTGTGCATGTGCATGGCCAGGTTGATGGTCTGCTTCGGCCGCAGCTTGGCGATGAGGATGTCTGGGTTCACCGGCCGGATGGCGTTCTCGCCGTCAAAGTGCTCGGCCTGCCTGCCCGTCGGCACGAAGACAATGTCCCTTGCGTAGACGTGCGCGTGGTTGTACGCCTTTAGCGGGTCGTTCTCGGTCGGCGCGGCGTCCGGGTTGACGGTGCATGTGATGTTGAGCTCCAGGCGCACCGTGTTCCAGTCGAAGCTGTTTGCGTACGGGTCCTCGCCGGCCTCGGGCTTCTTGTACCATTTGAGGAAGTTGTGGATGCCTTCGCGGCCGCCGTTGAAGGGGATGAGGCCCAGGCGGTGGGCGAGCACCTCGTCCTGGATGACCGAGGTGTTGTTCTCTATGAAGACGTCTTCGATGGCCAGGGTTGGGATCTCGGCGATGAGGATGCGCCGGAAGGCGTTTGCGAGAGAGGCGTCGATGCCGATGAGGGAGAAGGAGGCGTCGTTGGCCTCGTTTCGGTGGAACTGGATGGAGAAGGCGGATTGGAACTGCTCAATGGAGAAGGCGTGGTCTTCGCCCGGGAAGTGACCGGGGAAGTCTGTGGAAGAGACATTGGTGACTGTCTCTTTGTTGATGCCAACCGTCTAGACAAGGAAAAAAAGATTTCGTTCCATCAGCAACCCATCCATGAAGTAAAGCTAGCTGATTGTCATTGGACCAAAAAAAAAAAAAAAAACTTACATTTCGGCGTAGATGCTCCTCCGCACTGGGAGCAGCATGTCGTGAAGGCGCCATTTTCTGTCAGTCGGGCAATGGGGAGTTTGGAATCGCAAGAGGTGCTTGTTCCGCTGCTGCTGAGTGATCCAGGGAAATTTTTTGGATGCGATAACGAATTGGTGATAGATAGCAGAGAGCGAGCCCCGCCAAGGTGAGCCAAGGTGAATGAAGGAGCACCTGCCACTAAACCCTTTTTGCACTGGTGCGTTTTCATTACATCATCTTCGCAACGACTGAAGAGCTACAAGCAACTTGACTATGTTGTTGCTCTTGAGAATGGCATCAATCAAGAACACAAATCTCATGATGCCGCTGTTGTCTCTAATTCCGTCTATTTTGGCATAGACATAAAGCTACATATACTGCACCGAGGAAATTATATCATCAAGTTGTTGCAGCACTATAGAGCCTGATATACACTTAGTGAGATGGCAATCATGTTTATATGTGTAAAATTCATAACCCATAATACATTACTTTAGCTATACCAAAGTCAAGCTTCCATGTCGTGCTATTTAACCTGATAAACCGTTTGAATTAACCTAAATATCCACACTCCATATCAAGCGTCACTACTACATTGGTAGTGTGGCCATTTGCTCCAATTCCCTTTTTTTTCTTAATTTTTTTTCTACCTTTCTCTTTTCACTCAATATCTTCCATATTCCATACACTGACGCCTTTCTTCTGTACGCTTTCTTTCAATCTGGAGAGCACTGCTTGCCGCTTGGCTCTCTTGTCCATAAGATCTCCCTTTTCTTCCCTACTGAAACCGCTGACCTTCTTTCGTGGTGTATGCATCGAACTGGACACAGACATGACACTCCCGGATAGGCTTCCAGACAGGCTCTGGCGGAAATTGCGAGATGGGGTCGCGTCAGGAGCGAGCAAGATGCTTCTCCTTGCCTGCGACGTTCGGAAAGGAGATCCATCCCTACTAGGAGAGTCCAGTCGCATCCGTCGCAGCTGTGTTTCCAAAACATCGACATCTCCACTACGCTTCTCTACCATGCTCGTCATCTTGGTGATCGTCTTCATCACGGCTTCCACAGTGGGGACGTTTGTAGACCCCCTGCCGGAGGCGCTTGAGAGGGATGCCATGCGAGCCTTGAGAAGAGTCAATGCCTCCTCTGCTTCAGCGAGAAGTTTTGAAAAATTCGTGTACTCCCGCCTCAGTTCATTCTGCTGTGCTTGCTGCTCTGCACTAAGAGGAAGTGACCGCGCAGCGTCAGCCTGGTTTGGATCCACTCTCGCCATGATAATCCTCTTCAGATCCTCCTGCTTGGCTCGGAGCCGGTGCATATCCCTGGCTAGGTCTTGGCAGGCCTCGAGTTTGTCGCTCAGGTCCTGTACCCGACCATCGTCCAGGTCGCCAAAAAGCTCAATATCGAGAATCTCCCCAAGGTCACCAATTTCACATAGAACCCAATCATCGGGGTCTTCGAGATCGTCTGGGGTTCTTCCGTCTGGAATGCGGTTATCGGTATGGCCCTTTGTAAAGGCTCTTACAGACCGAGCATTGAGCCCAAGGGTATCAATCATTGAGTTAATATCTCGGTAAACAGCTTCGACCTGCGCAGGAATGCTTTCCTGGGCTGGTGGCGCAACATTTGAATGAGCGATAAATTCATCCAGGACCAATTTGCCTTCAATTTCAGACGCGAGGAGTCTTTGCACACTTTCATCCTCTTCGTCAATCAATACCCGACCCTCTTCGGCCTGTTGTCGCTCTCGTAACTTTCTTGACTGCGTTATGAATGCATCTTCAGCAGCAGCCTTATCTTTGCCTGCAGTAGTTGATGCAACGAGTTGTGATCGCTTAGGTCCCAGAGCCTGGGAAGCCACACTCGGTGCACTGGCAGATCTATTCGCATCCGACAAAAGGGCACGGTTCCCCACTCCGCCTCGCAAGGGGCTTGGTACCCGAGGGCTTGGGGTGCTTGGTTGGGGAATCGCGGATGCGCTCTGGCTGAGCTCCCCAAAAAGTGGTCGTGGTCGTTGCTGTTCCGGAGTGTGCGTAGGGCTGAGGTCTTCAGCTACATCAATTCCACTACCCTCAGATGCATTGTCATCTAATTCGCTCTCTTCTTCCTCTTCTTCTTCCCCTTCTTCCTCTTCTTCCTCCTCCTCCTCCTCCTCCTCCTCTCTCTCCTCATCTTCCTCTTCCTCTTCCTCTTCCTCATCTTCAGACTCTGGAATAGGGGCTCCGCTTAATTGGCTCTTGGATGAAGCTGTAGGGAGCGCGAAGCTCGACGGTGACGCCGAAGCTGCTGCTTTGGAGAAAATGCTTGCCTTAGTTGGGTCAGGAGGCAGAGGAGCGTCTTCGATTACTGTTGGTTTCTCCTCCGAAGGCTTGGGGATACCAGTCAAGAAAGGATTGGGTTTCGTTGTCGTAGTCTTTGATGTGGTAGTGGCGAATGGGTTGACCGTAGCTGCAGCAGTTTTATCTGAAGAGAAGAGGGTGCTCTGCTTAGAGGTTGTGCCGCTTCCAAAAAGGCTAGAAGCGGTAGATGTGGTGGATGAGTCTGAAGAATCACCGATTAGATAAGATGATTTGCTTGTTGTATCTGGAGGAAGAGGTGTCTCGAATATGTCCCCACCTTTGCTTGCAGGAGCCTCAGCAGGCTTTGAATTATTTCCAAAAGACGCAGACCCAAATGTTCCAGAATTAGCAGGTTTACTTGACTCAGTCTTAGTTCCAAATAAGCCACCACTTGCTGGTTTGGGTGTGGTGCCTCCTGATCCAAATAATCCAGTTCCTGTAGTTTGTGGAGCATCCGTTTTGGCACCAAAAAGTCCAGATGTAGCGTCAAGTTTGCTTGGTTGGCCGAAAACTGAAGCAGTGCCAGTGGTTGAGGATGGGGCACCGAATCTCGCCGGTGCGGGTGTTGCTGATGGGGTTGTAGATCCAGCTTTCGGAGACTCTTCGGAAGGTTCGCCAGTATCCATATCTTCATCAGGGACCTTGCTTTCGGCATCGTTGAGAGCTGATCCAAAAGCCGATCCAAACATTGACGATCCAGAGGGTGCAGGTGCTTTGTTATTATCTTCTTGAACGGATGGATCAGGCTTGAATGAGCTTTCTAGTTTGAATGGAGTGGACCCAAAAACACTACCGGCTGGCTTGTCTGGAGTGGAACCAAACGCACTTCCTGAAGCCTTTGATGAGAAGGCAGTGTCTGCTGAACCAGATCCGAATGCACCTCCAGTTCCAAATGCGCTTCCAGTTCCAGCCAGCTTACCACCGCTGCCAAAGACACTAGACCCGGTATTGTTAGTATTGCTACCAGCAAGAGAAGCAAATCCCCCTTGAGAGGCAAACCCGGCGAACCCTCCAGAAGAAGCGGGCGCAGAGGTTTGAGCAGTGCTTGCAGCGGTGCCTCCAAATGGGCTTTGAGAGGCTTTATTCGCAAAGCTAGCAAAGCCCGATTGTCCAAAGGCTGGAGTGGAAGCTGCTCCTGCTCCTGCTCCTGCTCCCATACTGGCGCCAGCAGAGGCCCAAGGACTAGCTCGCATACCTAGCTGGGACGATTGACCAAAGGCGCTTGGCTTTCCAAATGCGGCAGCTGGTGCCGCCGAGCCAAAGGTACTTGATCCAAAAGCTCCTCCACCACTTGGTGTAGCAGCAGCGGCTGCGCCCCCTGATCCCCATGGAGAAGCTTTCTGGCCTAGCTGTGCCGAAGATCCAAAAGCAGGAGCAGCTGAAGTAGGCGCGGAAAAGGGTGAAGGTGATGAGCTAGCAAAGGGCGAGGCTGAAGCTGCGGCTGGTGCTGGTGCTGACATTGGTACCGCATCACCTTGAACTGCTGTCAACCCCGGATAGGCAGTGCCTTTCTTAATAGAGTCAGTATAAATGACCCACCAGGAGCAGAGTACACCTTCGTGAGTCAGAACCCAGAATCCTGGTAAAGGCGTAGGCGATTCTTCAAGCTCTTCATCCGACGGAATAGGCTTATAGACTTTGTCCTTGCTAGATAGATCCAGGGCAATTCCGATGGTGGTCGAATCATCCATGGTTTCAGTCATTGGAAGGGTGGGTCGCTTAGAGTCATCGAGTAGTTCGGTAGTTGTAAAAACGCCTGTGATGGAGTCGGCAGGCTTATCGCTTGCAAGAGCGCTTTTGGATCGGGTCAACAGACCGATATCAGCTGTTGCCGTAGATGAAACAATAAGGAGATCCTGAAGATCGGGAGGGAAGTCCCTCAGTCTCAGTATGGTATGGTGGGGTATCTTTTCAGATCCAAATGGGTCAACAGGATCCGAAAGTTTTTGGTAGGTGAAGGTTGAGGGCAGTTGGCGTGTAATGATGTGATAAACCGAAGAAGGAGGGGAGTCGCTAGTTGTATGAATGGCAAGGAAGAGGTTATTCTCAAGCCATGTGAGTGATGATACTATTCAGTTGTTAGCATGAACAGGTACTTCTTTTCGTTTCTTCTTGAACTAATGATTTTACCGTGACAGTCGCCCAAGTTGGGAGGCTTAGGGATATCGGCTTTGCCTTCTCCCTCAGGAGTCATTTGGTGAATAGTTCCATCAGCCAATCCGGCACAAAGCTGTTTGCCTTTTGAGCTCCAGGAAATACAGCTAACTTGGCTCTTCAGCGCGTTGCTGATTTTCCGCTCCTGGAGATTTGCAATATGGAGATTGCCGCCATTGGTGACAATAGCACAGAGCTCTGGGGCCATGGGATTTGGCACCAGTGACCTCAACGCTTCCCCATTCGTAGATAGCTCAAACGCAGAATTGGAGGATCCCTGGAGAAGGCTCTGCACTTCGTACACGGCAAGGCCGCCGCCGGATTCCGCTGATAGCACCAGGTAATTCTCGTCGGCGGTGAACACTAGCTGCGATACCCGCATAGACATGGGGATCTTGAGCTGAGGCTCGAAGCTTCGAATATCCGAATCCCCATTTTTGGGTCCCTCGAAGGCTTTTCGAATCGACTCAGTTGTGGCGATGATGACTTGGTCAGGGCCGGCGGCAGCAACCAGGCCTCTCTTTGAGGCAACGCTCAGGAGCGAGGACGTAGGAGTAGGAAGCGACTCCCAGGGAGAAGTAAGGCGAACTTTGGCATCGCCAGCAATGGCCAGGAAGCCAAGGGCCTATACGTAAAAAGGTTTGCATGTCAATGGTCTGATCATCACTTTTGGTTGCCCATTCAACAGAAAGACAACAATAAAAAAAAATTGTTGCAACGAATCAAACAGCCAAGCAAGAAAAATATTGCTACTCACCTCGGTTTGAATAGTATCCAGGTCTGGGCCTGCATTGGCATTTCCCGCGCCCCCATTCATGGTGTTGTTCGAGGCGTTGAACCCAAAAGCCATTGTCGTCGCCTCAGAAGAGCTCCGAATCTCGTTTGCAATCCGACTCGTAGATGGACATGGGTCTGCGGCGCCGCGCTGAAAAGTCCCGTCGTCGCTGGAGCTCCCGCCGGCAGAAGCTGCGCCTGGTTCCGGTGCCCAATTCGGAGGCAGAGACCGCGAGAAGGGCGAGGGCGCGGCAAAGAATCGGTGAGGCGAGAAGACGCGTCGGTTGCTCTGCTGCAGCGGACTGTGCAAGAGTAGCGATTGGAGGTGCAACGGGAACTGCGCCGTCGGCACCATTCTCGCGACCCTTGCATGCGAAATCCAACTTTTTGGGAGCTCTCTGGGTGGAATCACGTGGGTTCACAGAGCTTGAGCCAATGGCGCGTGCAGTTGCGCTCCATCTTCTCACAGGCGAGGCTGCTGGCCAATCAGAAACGCTGTCAGCTGTACCAGGGGGGGCCTTTTATAGAGGGGAACAGCAGCACTACAGGCGGGAGCTTGTACCTTGTGCGCTGGATTTCAGTGCTCGGTGACTTAGCCCAGCCATAGTCGTTGGCAGCAAGGTGCCTAAAGGCAGAAGGCAGCTTTTAGCCTCGTCATCAGCTACCACTACTGGCACTACTATACTCAAACATCGATCATCTCCAGCCTGCGAGCTTCACTAAAACGAGAAACCACAAAGCATTGAAGCGCCACATATGATACAGCGAATGCTGATGCCCCACGGCTATTAGACTTGCAACCTGGTATACACGAGAAATAGACGAGACCAGCACGACTGGTCGTAAAAGCACCACAGCAGCCTCAAGATGCCGGGCTTCGACTTCTCCAACTACAACCGCAATGCGGCCCTGCACGCCCGTGGAGTGCCTCTGCCCAAGGCGACCAGCACAGGAACAACCATTGTCGGCTGTATCTTTGACGGCGGCGTTGTGGTGAGTGAGAAAATTCCTGGTCCTCCTGCTGCTGCTGCTCTTCTGCATGATTAATCACCCCTCCCCCCCCTCTCCCTGATATGAAGCAGAGAGCAAACATCCCAAACCCAGGACATCTGGCTTACGAAACCCAACAAAACAGATTGCTGCTGATACCCGAGCCACCTCCGGCCCCATTGTCGCCGACAAGAACTGCGAGAAGCTTCACTACATCTCCCCCCAGATCTGGTGTGCCGGTGCCGGTACCGCCGCCGACACCGAGTTCACCACCGCCCTCATCTCCTCCCAGCTCGAGCTGCACTCCCTCTCAACCGGCCGCAAGCCCCGCGTCGTCACCTGCATGACCCTCCTCAAGCAGCACCTCTTCCGCTACCAGGGCCACATTGGCGCGTACCTCGTCGTCGCCGGCTGCGACCCTACCGGCACCCACCTCTTCACCGTCCACGCCCACGGCAGCACAGACAAGCTCCCCTACGTCACCATGGGATCTGGTAGTCTTGCTGCTATGAGCGTCTTCGAGACGCAGTGGAAGGCGGACTTGTCGCGAGATGAGGCTGTCAAGCTGTGCAGCGATGCCATTCTGTCTGGTATCTGGAACGATCTGGGCTCTGGTTCCAACGTCGACGTTGCCGTCATCACCAAGGAGAAGACTACCCTGCTACGAAATTACATCAAGCCCAACGAGAAGAGCGCGAAGCTGCAGAGCTACCGCTTCGAGAAGGGCACCACTGCCGTCTTAAATGAAAAGGTCATCAACAAGAGCGATCTTAAACGATATGTCACAGTACACGACTTACCGGTTGAGGGCGAGAAGATGGATGTTGATACCTAAGATGAGAAGGAATAGCGGGCGGTTATGACGTGACTTTGTTTTATCCGCAAAATAGTTAACAGACTAGAAATCAAATAAAATTTCAAAGCTATGATAATGATACAATGTTTCGAACCCATTCAATGAGAGAAAACGAGATTGGAGAGATTTTTAGTCCTGAAATTATTGGATTATCTTTGCTATCACCCTATTTGTCCTAGATATGAGACGTTTCCCACGTCGTCTTTTTGGATATATGAACAGCCAAACGCCCGGCAAAAAAAAAAAAAAAAAAAAAAGGTAAACCAACCGCACTCTATGCGGGCTCGGTTTCAAGAAGAAGGAACAAAGGAAATGTAATATATGTACGCCACAGACAGTAAAGCAAAAATTCTTCTTACAAGAATCAAGAACCAAGGCTTCTCCAAGAAGCAAGCTTGGAGCAGAGTGTCCCAAGAAAAGGGGCTCATCGAGCCCCAGCGTGCTATCAAGAGCACATCAAGGCCAGAAAAAAAAGCAAAGAACAGAAAAGAAAGAAGTGAAGATGAAAAAAGAAAAGATATAAGCCCGCCTACTCAAATGCTTAGAGTAAAAACAAAGAAAGAAAATGAACCAAAAGGGGGGGGGGGGAGAGAAGAAGGAGAAGAAGAGAGCAAAAATGGGCGAAAAGGAGCAAAAGTGGGAGAGGGAGAAAAAAATAAAAACCCCAATATTGAAGCGAGACAACCGAATCCTAAAACTCCGTTATAGATGGATGGGACGAAGAGATTTCATCATCATTAGAGTGGCCCGTTTATGAAGCGGGTTTTTTACCAAACATTGCCCGTGAGCGCGATTTGCTGCGGGCTCGAGCCTTCTTCGGGATATCTGGGGCATCCTCGTCATCCATGTATTTTGCCTTATGGATCCTAAGAAACGATTAGAATTAGCCATGACCGATAAGTAACAAGCAAGAGAGAAGGGGAGAGATGGGCCATACCAGCTGTTTCCAACCATGCTCATGCCCTTAGCTTCAGCCATTCGGTAAAACTTGGCACTCTTCTTCAAGTTCTTCTTGCAGCCGATTCCCTGAGCGTAGCAGAAACCAGCTTCCGCCAAAGCATCGACATCACCCCATGCTATTTAAATGGTTAGCGGGACGAGAACTATAAAAAAAGTAAAACAGTTAGAAGTTTGCCAGTTTCAACTTACTGCCAGCGATTTCGAAGCAACGCAGCGCGAGGGCTTTGTCTTGCTCAATACCCCATCCGTTCATATGGCTTACGCCCAACTCGTAGATGCTCAAGGCAAATTGTGCCTTGTGGGTTTTATTTTCAGCAATGTTGATACGCTTTCCTTCCTTAGCCATCCCCTCATCCTCTGCAACCTCCCCACTTGCCATATCAGCTGCTTTCCGTAACCACTGCACGCCTTCTTTCTGATTGGCTTTCATGCCCCAACCATGGCGACAAGCAAGAGCATACAGAAGCATGGCTGTTGGGTGGTTGAGTCGAGCTGCATGACGGAGATGATAGGTTGATTCGTTTAGAGAGCCTTTCTCATGGCACTCTATTCCCTTTGCAAGGTGCTCTTCAGCTGTCATCTCCGCAGCAGTAGGTGCAGGCGCAGGCCCGGCGGTGCTCGTTGTTGATCGGACGGACATGGTCGGGCGTACCGTATTAGCAGAATCGCTCGTACCAATCGAGGCAGGTGTTCTACCCCTAGGTGCTTCTCCGGCGTGCATGGTGCGTGATCTGCCTCTAGGGGCATCTTCGGCCTGTCGCCTAGACTCATTCGAAGGTCTAGGCCCACGGCTAGAGCTCTCTGAGCTGAGCTTCTCTGCATCGCTCTGCTGTCTTGTCATCGCGCTGGAGATACTGGCAGCATCATCCGGGATAGTACGAGCAGAGCTAGACGGCCGAGTGGGAGGTGAGGGTGGTGCAGCCGCTTGAGGCCGGTTATCTGAAGACTCGGATCGCTGAATTGACTTTCCTCGAGGCAGAACAAACTTTGAGTAGACATATGTCCCGTTGTTGCCGTCTGCTGGCTGTTCCATAAAGGCTTCACTGTGCATGCTTATCGGAGTCTGGGCCGACTCATCAGCCAGTATAAATGATGGCTGGCTATCTGACGAAGCCTGCCGGATGGGAGGGTCAAAACTGGGGGTTCCAGATCTGCTCATGGGCCGAGAAAAGTTGAAGGCGGGTCGAGGAAGCGCGGAAGATTCAGAAGCAGCAGATGGAGATCGTTGGAAAGAAGGCATAACAGACGATGCCATATGGTGTGGGAGAGCCGCGCTACCAGAAGACAGTTTTCGAGAAGGCAGCGACTGAACCGAGCTGGACATGTTACCAAACGAGTCCTCTTCTGTCGGCACAGGAGAAGGCAAAGCACTTGGAAAGCGTCCTGGGAAGAGGCTTCTGGGTGGTGCCAGGCCGATTTCGTCAAGGGAGCTCTGTTTGAATCTCCGAGGAGAGGAATCCGAAAAAGCAGAAGAGAAAGACGAGGGCTGAGGACGGCCAGAAATAGGGGATTTTGTTGATTGGCGATCAAGTGGAGGAAGGATATCGTTTTCTAGAGGTGATGGGGATCGATCTTGCCGTGCCCCGAAGTAACTATTTGCATCATCGCGTTGTCCCAGTCGTCGGCCCCGAGCATATTCAGGAATATCTGGTACATCTGGTAGATCTTCTGGCACAGGAGGCGCGCCGTCATCGGGTGTGGCGGGAATTCGACTCATCCGCGGATGCATGGATCTTGGCCGTTCAACTTCACCTGAAAAGGCGTCTTCCACCAGCCCCAGTCCAGAGGAAGTCGGGGCAGGGGATTCATCACGCTCAGATGCCGAGTCCTGGGACATGGATCGGAAATACTCTGACCGGCCCTGGATGATCAGAGGGCTCTCAGCCGTCAGAGGGGGAAGTCGGCTAACGCGATTTCCATCTTTGTTGGTAGTTTCCTGGAGCTGTCGAGCCAGCAGTCGACTCTGCAAGGCGAAGGCATCCAAGGGAGAGAGTTCGGGAGGTGCTTCCCCGGCGACATGGAGGCGCGGTGATCGCAGAGGTCGGGAAGTAGTAGAAGCGGCAGAGTTGGCGGAGTGGGATCGCAAGTCCAGCAAGGACGGGCGATTGGTCACGGCGTCTTTCATATTGGTCAAAGCCCAGGTCCAGCGGGTTGTGTGTTGAAGGGATAGCAGCGAATGCGCAAGCGCCAAGGGTGCTAAACAGGATAGATAAATAAAACAAGCAGACTCGGAAATGGGATCATCAAAGCCTGGGCGGGGACGCGCAGAATCCCAAAGATAAAGACCAAGAAGCAAATGGCACCGCGGACTGGTTGGGCGTAGGCGATTCGCGTCGCTGGTGCTGGTGCTGCGCAAAAGCACGGGTGCAGGTGCAAGGTGTTGTGGCGGTGCGGCGATGTTCTGATGACCAGGCCAGCGAGGATCAATGACGATTCGATGGTCGTGTCAGCGTCGGCGTCGGTGACGGGCGGCACGAAAGATCCGGGTCAAGCAGCAAAAAGAATGGAAAGGACAAAAGAGAGTCAAATACGAAGAGAAGGCGAGAAGGATAGACTGGGGTGAGTTTGAAAAGGACGAATGGAAGAGAAGCTGCTGCGCGATATCAAAGGCTCGCAGAGGCTCCCCGAACAAAGAGGTTGAAAGGTGCTGGCCCCGGGCAAGGTGGTGTATGAAGTAGAAAATACGGAGCACTTGTGTGGGATACGGAGTAACGGGGAAGATTCGTGGTCGCCAACGTGCGTTTCTTGTCACACGAGGGGCCCAAAGCAGACGCAGCAAGGGCAGAAGAAGAGAAGCGAAGAGAGAAGCGAAGCGATCACGACACAGGAAACGAGGCGCTCAAAGCACAGAAGCAAACCCGCACAAGACGCACGGCAATGAGGCTCGCTCTGGTGGACGCCTCCCTTGGTCGGCTGCCTGTCTCGGCGGTCTGAGAGGCGAGCGTCTGGTCTGAGGAAAGGAGGAGGAATACCTGCGAGCGAGCTTGGAGGTGGATGGATACGAAGCAAAAGGAGGTTAGGAGGCCAGTGGCGGCCCCCGTAGCTGCGGCCGGCGCCAGGTACTCTGTACGAGCTCGCGCAGCCAGTTGCCGCCGGCGGACCAAGTACTGCGCTACCGGCACGGCTAGTGGCAGAGCGCACGAGGACTAACCCGAGATGGTGGCTTGCCCTTTAGACTTCAAGGTACCGAAGCGTAAATGCTGAAGGTTCAGGATCCTCTTTTCTTCCTCTCTCTGTGCCGTTCCCCTTGGTGTTTGATGGGGGGCAACGCTAAAATAATGGGTAGCTACCCAGGTAGGACCTAGTAGGATTCGTGGGAGCTATTACCTACAACTACTACCTAGTAGACTATACGGAGCAGTAGTGGTGCTGTAGACGGGTGAATGATGGATGAGTGTGAGTGAGTGAGGGAGGGAGTGCACGGCTGGCTGGTGGCGCTTCCTAGCACCGGCGGAAGTGCCTGTTAGGCCTGGCTGGTGTATGCAGGCATGCAGCACAGCACAGGTACCGGGCTGCAGCTTGATATTTCCACTCGAGGTAGGGTCGAGATGGAGATTGTATGGTGGGAATCTGCTACTTGGCACTATCGCTTCGTATTGGTAGGTATACTTTGTCGCTAGCAGATAAGCGCAATGTATGCGCACGGCTATCTGGGTTGATTGAGCCATTGCCCACAGTCCATGTGCCCAGAAACTCACGGCCGCTGCACCCACAAGCTCGTATAATGGGTAGAGATCTGTTGTTGTGCCACTAGTACTGCTACTTGGACGCTGTAGGTTCATGTATGTATGTATGCACCACCGTCGCCCTTTCAAGACATCCATGAATACCGCAGCGTTGTCCCCCCGGCTCTCGTGGCTTGATGTTCCTGGCCGGTGGCTAGCACCACCTGGGTAATCTCGGGCAATCTCCCCAGCGTGTGTCTGGCCCCAAAGAAAAGGGCCTGCAAGCCATCAGACTTTCGCTACGATGCGACTTCACCCCCAACAGTTTGCAGTATACCTGCGTAGGACTTGGTATCAAGACGTCAACTGATCTGGTCTGGCCGGAAAGATGTCGTCACACTGCTCTCAATTAAAGCCACACCAAACACCTGCATGCGTGCCCTTGTCTCCCTGCCGTACTCGCAAAAGGCCAGCCACGAGGCGGCTATACGCGCAAGTGCCAATATGCCTTCTCCCCCCCCCAGAGCCGCTCCAAGTACTGCTACAGGGACTGCTACAGTTCAGGCCACCGGCCACTTTGGGCGAGGCTCAGGGACCCTTGGCATATAATTGGGCGCACCGGCGACAGCCATCGTCTGGGGTGCATTGGGCTCAATAAATTGGGAGCAGCCACGGCCCTTTTTTTTCTGGGGACTCGGCCAGTGAGCGTCGGCGCTTTCATCATTTTAAAACATGCACGACGAGGCTAAATTGGCCCATCCTTATTTCCTGCATGCAGACTAGCAAAGTGCACGGAGTACCTCGGCGCGCATCCATCTCGACAAGCTTTTACAGCACCAAAGAAGGATTTCTCGCATTGCCAATCGTAGTAGGTAGTGCCTATCAAAGTGATGGCTGCGATGGGCGATGGATACCGCGCACTGATGCTGCGTTTTTGCTTGCATGCCCACTATCGAATCGATGCCCCTCAGTGGCAACAGCAATAACGCATAAATCTTACGCAAGCAGCTCAGCTGCGCCGTCGTCGTCGTGGCAAACATTTGCTTCACGCAAGCTATCTGTGCTATAAATAACAGCCAGCTAAGTAGTAGCTACCTTGCTTTGAACAACACCATCGTCTGCTCGCCTTCAAGCTCCGTAATATGTGCTCCTCCGGCCCATCTGCTGCGGTCAGACTTGGCTCTTTGTTCGCGTTCTTAGTGCCATGTTGATGACAGTGCCGAGTCATTTCACCTTTGTCCATGATCCATCGTGAGGATCGCTTAGCAAGGGGCGGCACAAAGGGAACATTGATTGCGCAGATTGCAAGGCCCAACTTGGACCTCCCACCAATAGCACAAAATATCATGCGATTCCCTTGCTGTAATACATACGTATCTGCCATCACTTGGCCCATGCGTCTTCGCTGCTGCATATGCACGCGATGCGCTGCTGCTGCTGCTGCTAATATTAACGTCGGGCTCTTTGACGTGTGCCTCTGTCATCTTCGTCGCACGTCGCTTCACCCACTGATATCGGCAGTGCATGCACGATGAGGTCAATCACGGTACACCGCTTCGCCATGCATGCTCCTCATCTCTCATCAATTCCAAAGCCGCGGAGCTTGGATTCCATCTGAACCGCTGTCGAAAACAAAACAAAGAGCCGTTTCTAGCGTCGCAAGCTGTCACATGCGGGCTCCGCCACAGCAACGGATGAAACAGCGGTGGTGCAAATGCCAAAACACAGGGCGCCGCATATGATTCTGAGACCGATGCAGGGCGGCTGGGTCTCAAGAGACGCCTGAGCTTGATGCAGCTCTCCCGATGCTGGCAGCAGCTCGTAAAAGACACGACACTGCCGCTTTTGCTGTCTATTACTACCGACTGCTACAGCACGGTAGTCTCTTGGACCTGGCAAGCTCTCTTGATGGTCACGAGGCCACAGCCGAGTTCCGGGATTTGCTGCCGCTAGCGGTGCCTCTTAGTTTGGCGCAAGAATCCACCCTTGATCTATTTATATCATTTTGGATTTCCGGATGGAATATGTTTGTATTTCCAGCACGGCAGTCTTTTTCCCCCATGCTGATAAAGCTGTGCATTAGCCATTGCCAGCTCATACCAATAGCATCTATACTTGGAGTAATAGGATCAACCTAATTCAAGGCTGTGACACAGACGCACGCTCCGTACTCCCGTGCGGAATGTTTTGGGCGCTGTATAGCCGAATGGATACTGGTGCCTTCCATTCGCGGGACAAAACTGGTAATATGTACAGAATACTAACAACACAAACTGCAATAACACCTTAGGTGTATCCAAACACGCGGCTGACAAAACATCAATGACGGTAGAGCTGCAAACATATTTGGAAATGCTAATCACTGCGGCCAAGGTCAAATTGGCTCGTCCTTAATCATCATAGATCGATCTATATACTTTCAATGATCCCCTTTTCAAAACAAGAATAGAAAAAAAAAAGATATTCCATCCAGAACGCCAATGGTCCATACGCCTCAAGAGGCCCTGAGAAGCAATCTACAACGGGACGTCTTTGACCATGCTCTCTCACATATCCTTAGATCGAAGCTTCTTCAGCCTAGTGGCACCCTCGAACAAGCCACGGTCGATAGCAGCAGCAACCGTCAGGGTACCGCCGACAATCGCACAAAGTCCAGATAGAAAACCAAGGAAGGTCTTGGCCCGCTCTTCTCGGTTAATAACTTTCATAGGGGAAATGTCCTAGGTGCACAATGTTAGCTTTCAAAATTACACGACAGGGTATCCATCTAGCGATATCACAGGTGCTTACATATGAGAAGAACACGCCGGGAATACCACCCTTGGAGTGCAGCCTTTCAGCGTGACCCTCCTTGGCATCATCACCTCCCATCAGACTTCGTTTGTGGCTTGTAACGGAATACTGGTGTGTCTCGACACTGCCATCAGAAGCGTAGGCGGACTTCTGCTCCCAGCCAAGTGGAAGATACGAGGTGGGGACAATCTTGACAAAGTACATGTAGTTAAAGTTGGGATCGCTGGTTTCCTGGTGGATTCCGTCCAGAGGATTGAGGTGGTGGTTGGTCCACGCAACCCTGCGGCCCATTCTCGCAATAACTTCTGGTGGCAGCTGTGGTCCAAATCGCAGAGAGTGGATGATATGAGTGAAATCGTGCGGCTTCATGCCATTGGGGAGGTCCCAGTAGTTCTTGAGATCGTGGACGTGCATGTTACCATTGCTGAAGCTTCGGCCGGGAGCAAGATGGAAGTTTCCAACGACCTTGTTGACCTGCAACAAGCCCTCAATACGGCAACCCTCTTCCCTTTGCTGGTCCAATCGCTCCGAGTAATGCTCCCTCTCGCACTGCTCCACACCCTCGCCTCGGCCAAAGGCCCACGACGCCTGCGCATAAGCTTCTCGAACCTCGTCACAGGTATTGCAGCAGCCAGGCTTCTCAGCGTTGGCCGGCGCAGTAGCTCCGTAACAGCCACCACAGTAGTCGGGATTCAGGTGCTCGGCCTTCTCATGCAGCTGGGCCAGCGAGTTGCTCTCAATCACGCCACCGCCCCGTGAGGGGGGCTGCAGACGAATCTTGGTAATACCATGAGCGACACCATGCTGCTGCTCACCAGAAACGTCCATGACGTCCAGAGTCAGCAGCTCGCAGGGCATGTTGGGAAAGGTCATGTTAAGATGAATGTCCATTCGCTCGCCTTTGTAGTCGTATTAGTCCGGCATCCCAATGGCACCAATGCGCAGCTAGGGTTCCTTCACATACCTCTGCCTTTGTCCACAACCAGCTCTGGGTGGACCACGATGCGCCGATACGAAGACCATTCTCCCCAAGACAGGAACAGCACAACCAGCAACGACACAATTGTTACGATTCCGCCGCTCGTGGTGCGGATCCGCGCCTCATCCACCGTCTTCGTAAAGGCGTCGAGCCTTGTAAATCGCGACTTGGGAGCCATTGCGAATGTGCAGCCGGAAACGAGGTTGACGAGGTACCAGCCAACAGGTTTGCCTGTGCGAATAGCGCAGCGGAACTATCCCGTCAAAGCGCAGTCCCTAGGGAGAGCTCGCAGAAACAAGAAGCAAGCGGATGGATCTCTCTCTCTGCAATTGCATCGATAGCGAGAGACCATGAAGGAGGACGGCGGCGCAGAAGCGGGTGGCAGAAGCGTCGAAATGTCTTGAGGCCACCTGTCGCAACTACACCTGAAGCTGACTACTAACCAATCCCACTTGTACCTGCTGCATAGCACCTAACCCGGGGCACAGGCGTCTAGACTCGCCGCAAGGCCCTGGGCTAATGCGGGCTATAGTGGCCAGGGGGTGCCGCCGGCGAAACCTCGGCTGGCAGCTGCCGCAGTGCTCCATTGCCTATTCTGGCGCAGTGAAGGCTCGCAGAGCATAGACTTTCAAGAAAACGCGAAGCTCTCTCGACCATCTCACAGCCTCGTCATTGTCTGCTCCCGCCAACCGCAAATACCCATTCGCGCTCCCTCTGGTTCCTCCCAACTCATTCGAATTAAGCTATCGAAAGCTCATATACGACGAGATACATATTGTTGGGAAAAAAAAACAACAGAGCACTTGCCATTCGGAATCGCGATAGCATCATACGTACCGAATCATCAGAACGCTGCCTGAAGGCTATCCCAAATCTTCATCTGAAGCTCTCAGACCGCCAATATGTCGACTAGACCTCCTTCAAGGGTCGTCTTTGTGGGAAACATCCCGTACGGTCAGTCATGGACGGGCCAATGGGCTCAACTGATGCGCCCATCCAACTCGAGCCTATGGCTAACAGCGGCACTCTAGGCCTCTCTGAGGAGCAAATCACAGATATTTTCAGCAGCGCTGGAAAGGTAGAGCGCTTTCGCCTCGTCTACGACTCGGAAACTGGGCGGCCAAAAGGGTTCGGATTTGCAGACTATCCCGATACCGGTTCGATATGCCCCGATCCAACATACTCGCCAACAGGCCAGGCATGGCTTAGCTGACCATATTCTCTCGTAGACTCTGCTTCCTCGGCTGTCCGCAACCTAAACGAATATGAAATCATGGGCCGAAAGCTTCGAGTCGACTTTTCGAACGAGCAGAAGAGCACCGATGATGATAGCCAAGTATGTTTCTGCCCAACCTCTGCAGGAGCCAACCTTTGCTAACTAAATAGACACCTGGACAGAATACTGGTGCCTCAAATGGCGGCGCTGCTTCGGGATACAACACTCAGTCAACACCCCTTCCCCCACTCCCAGCTGGAAAAGAGATACCACCAGGCTTGACTTGCACCGATGCCATTTCAAGAACACTCAATACCTTGCCGCCACCCCAGCTATTAGATATCCTAAGTCAGATGAAGACTTTGGCCACATCAGAACCCCAGCGAGCGACAGAACTTCTTCAACAGGCCCCTCAGCTAGCCTATGCCGTCTTCCAGTCACTACTTTTGATGGGTCTTGTGTCTCCCGAGGCTATCCAGTCTGTAGTAGACCCGAACGCGCCACCTCCACCCGCCGCCAATTACCCATCGGGACCCATTGCTGGATATCCTGGCATCCCTGTCGCGAATCACACACCACCGGTCACCGCCATGCCGTATGCACCTCCTCCGGCAAATAATACGGGTTATGTTCCTCCAGCGGCGGCACCACCTGCAGCAGCTCCTCCAGCTATGGGCCAAGATCCAGATGCTCTGATGCGAGCAGTCATGGAGCTTCCCCAGGCTCAGATTGACATGCTTCCAGAGGCTGATAGGCAGCAAATTATGGCTCTCAGGGCTACGTTTGCTGGCCAGCGACGCTAATCGTACCAAATATCAACGACGCACTTTTGTTGAATATGCATCGATTGCCTCGGGCACGAAGCACATATACGCCGAACCAAAACGTAATCGCTGATGATGAATGCATTGATTACACCGAAATATCCGAAAGTTTGGGACGCCTTATAGACTTGCAACCTCTGCATGTAACAATAGCTCCCACAAACGACATCTGCTGAGGCGACATTGCGTCTCTATAAAAAGATACCATGCGCATTTAGCCCTTTTAGAAGGCTTATGGCTTTGACATAACAACTAAATCAGGAAGACGGAGAAGAAAAAGAATATTCATGAGAGGGTGGATGGGGCTTCACATAGTAGCGGCTACAAGACCAGCTTCGCAAGATATAAGAGGGAAAAGACATATCTATGGAATGTGACTAGATACAGATTGCTTTTTCGTAGCCTTCAAGGGATAGGGTTACAGGATATACTAATTACATGTTGCGAGGAGGAGGGTGTTGAGAAAGGGTCTTTACTATATCTCTGAAATGAAATCGAATAAAACAGAGGCAGCTACAATACAATAGAACCATTCAATCATGTTACGACGGTCGGTCGAAATTACGTAGTTAGGTATGTATAATATGAGCATGGTTGCGTAGACACCTCATCCAGCTACAGCTACCCTGGATGTCTTTACACTTTTTCCAGATATTTACTGCTAATATACTTGGAAACAACGAATATGAAACAAGTGTAAACACTATTTCAATTTTTTTTTTCTATCTATCTTTTTTGCGTGAAATTAAAACAAGGTGCTGCAGTTGACAATGAAAAGAATTGAACGTTTTCCTACTCGTGATGTTTAGACATAGCACCCACCCCCCATATTCATGCCAAGTTTTGTCACATAATTTGCTACAAGAAAGATAAGACGCTTCTTTTTAAGTAACGACTAATACTAATGCTAACTAAAGTAATACTGCGATAAAAATACCTACTCAAAAAATAGTTTACTCCATAATATGTAAATGCAAGCGCGTGCACGGGTAATAGGGGCGATTTCATATATACGCCTTCGCACCCCCTCCCATATTCTGATCCATGGTTTCCATTCTGATCCAACTGTATGCCATGAGACAAGTAAAAAAAAAAAAAAAAAAAAAAAAAAAAAAAAAAAAAAGCACGCCCGTAACGCCTTCCTTCCTTAGTCAGGTTTGTTCCTATGAAGGGATCCCTCAAACAATGTTATACACCCTCTTCGCAATCCAATAGCACGCCAGCCCGAAAACAAGCAAGCCGGCGGTGATGCATATAAACCAAGTTAGGTCACCTTCAATGTCTTGCCCGGGTACCCAGACATTCATTCCCCAGAGACCGGTGATGATGTTCATGGGAAGAACAATGGTTCCCAGGACTGTGAGCTTGCCGAGCACGTCGGCGGTCTGCTCTTGTCGCTCATTCATACGAATATTGATCTGTGCGAGGTAATTACCGTGAGATCGAGCCAGTATCCTAGAGAAAAAGAAGTATGTTAGCTGGCTCAATAATGCCAGGAAAGACACAAAAAAAAAAAAGAGGCGGGATTTTGCATACTTTTCATAGTGACTAAGATTGGAGGTCATAGTCACAATATGATCCTGAATATCGCCAAGATATAAGCCAATTTCTGACCTTGGAGCAACCTCCCATCGCTCGTTACAGCGCTTTGCGAATCCCTTGATGACATCCGCCTTGTTGCCCAGTAACCGGTATAGACTCATGACCCGTTTTCGACAATCTCCAACACGTCGAAGCATGTCACCGCTCGAATCTGCAATGGTCGTACTGTCGTCGAGTTTTGTAGATTTTTCATCCTGCAGTCGCTTATCTGACGATGTGTGCAGCTGCAAAATAGCCTCGTCGATTTCGTCAACCTCATCCTCGATATTCTGAATGAGAGGCTGGAAGACGTCGGTAATATCGTCAATAATAGCATATGAGATCCAATCGGAGGAAAGGATCAGATAGTCCCTCAGTTGCCGTATTCGCCGACGGACATTGGCCGGATGTGGAGTGGGCGAAAAATGAAAGCTCAAAACTCCCTCGCGGAAGACGATGACGTACATGTTGACGGGCTCCAGAAAGTTTTCGCTGTGGATGTCCTGGTCAAAAGTGCGGTAATTGACAAAGTAATAATGTCGAAACAGCTCGACCTTTTCACGAGCCTCTTGTAGCATGACATCTTCCGCCGTTAGGGGATGGATGCCAAAGGCTTTTGCTAGGACCTTCATCTCGTCCTCAGTCGGGCAGAGTATGTCAAGCCACCACACCGGTCTCTCCCCATATCTAACCGGCTTTTCAGAAACTTTCGGCACTTCTGTGTTACTAGTCTTTGGCGCAAGATGATTATCGGGGGATTTGTTTCCACCACGAAGGGAGGCGGACCTTGAACTAGTATTGGTTTCACCTCGAGCAAGCGGTGACATAAAGTCATCTCTCCTATTGTCAAAAGAGGCTTGCCGCGTAGAAGGCTTTGTATCGCCTTCGAAGCCTTCTGCGGAATATCGCGCTTTGGATGGCTGGGAGACGATGTCCTCCGATTCACTCTCCTCGTCAGACGACAATACGCGCGGCTCGGGAATGAATAATTCCTGGAAATCGCTGCCTTGCTGAACGAGCTCTGAGATGGTCTGGCTGTGGACTGTGCTCTGGAATTCTTCGTTGAAATAGGTAAATCTGTAAGGCGCTTCTTCATCGGTCTGAAACCAGCCTTTTCGAACCGGCCGCAGACGACCGTTGATGAGCTGTGGTTCAGTGATTTTCTTGACTCGCCGCTCATCGCTGCGATCTTCCTTTTCGTAGCGCATCCAGTCTTCTAACACAGACAGGTCTGGCCACCGACCACGGCGACGACGTGTTCTGTACCGCTGAGTCTCATATCTGATCTCATCATCGCCCATATCGGACATGCCGGGCCCAGGGAAGCAAACGTCGCCGGAAGCTTCAGGTGGTAGCCTCATTTCCATATCAGGTCGATGTTCACGACCCTGCCCGGCTTCCGAGAGCGCCTCGTCGCCGCTCTCCATGGCGAGCTCATCTCTTATCATGACATCGCCAAAGTTCAAGTCCATCCCATCCGTCGGACCAAAAGTCGGGGAGCCAGGAATAGAGGGTGGGTGGTTGACATCGTACTTGTCTTTTGTGCTGAAAGCTGTCTTGAGCCTTGCCCTCGAAGATGCACTAGAGGTCCTGCGACTTCGATTTCGGTTCAGGCGTGAATCGCTTGCGCCGTAGCTGGAGACGCCCTGCTGCGATCCCGGGCGCCTTGCTGCCTCTGCTAATAGCGGAGAACTCTCGTCCCATCGACCGGCAGGGCTTTCGTCGCCGCTTTGGGCCGTCTGCATCGACCGAAGGCGACTGGCGCTGATCGACGAGAAGGGGTTCTGAAAGGACCCAGGCCCTACGATCGTTGACGACCGCCGCACACGCATCGGATGCTGTTCCCTAGAGAGGAGAAAGGACAAAAGAGGTTACATGGTGGTCTACACAGCAGAAAGGGGATGTAGTCAAGGTGATCACAAGGGTGTCGCTTACCTGTGGTCCAGTAGCGCTTCGCTGTCTATGCTCGTGCCGCTGAGGTTGGCCTGCGCCACCTTGTAGAATCCATTTCCCGACGACTCGCCCAGTTCATCGTGGCTGTCATCATGAAGTATCGCGAAGCTCTTCCGCCTCGATCGCTTCTTCTTGCCGCCGCGATGGCCCTTTCTCTTCTTCGGCGGGCGTTGCGGCAGGCTGGCGGGCTGCGACGTCGGCCCAGGTGACGATGCAGCTCTGGCAGCGGCTGAGGGAGCCGCCCTGCCCTGTGGATCAAAGGGATTGCTGCTGGACATTTTCAGCAGCTTCTTCAAGACGTGGGAAACACCATCATCCACTGCTGCGTCGCTGCGCGATGTTCAGTCGTGACGGCAATGGTAATAATAGGGGGCCGTCTTGTCCGTATTTCTTTTTTGGCATGGAGATTGTTTGTCCAGGGTTGCTGGCCCTGGCGAGGTTTGAAAAGCGAATGCCTTGGATAGTGATGTCAGCTAGACCAGGAGCGAGGTTAGGGAACTCGCCCAGCGGGGGTTGTTAGCGCACAGCCGCTGAATGGCGCATGTTTGCTTGCTGTGGCGGGTTCCGGCGGCAAATAGCGGACAAAAGAGACGAGACAGCGGAAGAACCAGACATGTCTCTGCACAGCCGCGAGTGCCTGGTTGTAAGGGTCAGGGGACATACCTTAAGTATAGGTAGTTATGGATTAGAAGAAGATGAAATACGATAACTAAACAAGTATATGTGAGCATAATTCGAAGATACAATCATACAGAAGCAGAGTTTCGTCTCGGGGCTTGACATTCTGATCCATGCTTCCAAGGCTGCTGCTCTGCTTATTTTGTCGCCTCCCAACCGGCTGCCGTCACCATGAGCTTTTCCGATAAGCTTTTACGTACTAAATCTGCCGTCTCCACAAACAGCTCACCAACGGGCACTGGAATCTCCTCGGAGCAGGTGCTCCAGTGGCTTCTGATCGACGATCTGTGCCAAGGTAGGTTGGTAGGTAAATTTCCTGCTTCTGCTACCTACCTAGTAATGTACGTACGTATAAGCCAGCTATCGTCTCTAGAACACAGGTTGCCTAGACGTGGATGAAAACGAGAAGCAATTTGGTATATACGGAATAGTACTACTAGCAGTAATTAATCTTGAAAACCTCTAATGCTGTCGGATCCTCCTCTTTTCTAGCCCGCGGGCCAATGATTATTCTCCGATTCCATATGCGTAGGTCGAGTGACAACTGTGCTGGTCACCATGCATGTGCTACTGCACATTTATGCTGGTCTCTTTATGCAGCCGCAACACCATTCGCTGCCCCTCCAAAGTCCCACAGCTTCACCAACAGGCTGTCTGGGTTGGTGGCAGGCTCGTCTTGGGGCAAGAAAACCCTCTTGGGGATATGGAATTCCACCACTGGGGCTTTCTTGATATCCTTCGCAATCTCTGCATCGAGCAACTGCATAAAACGCGTTAGTGGGAAAGTCCAAAAGACAGACTGATTTAGCACGGATACTTACACTGGCATAAGAGTGATCGAGGAAATCTTCCATGTTATATGACTGCTTGGTGAACTGCTCGGAGATGATCTTTGCAATGGTTGCGACATTTGGATGATAGTGCGACTGTAGCTGAACAAGCTCCCAAAGGCAACTGTCAATTGCGCCGGTCTCGATGGGATCCGTCTCCTTGGGGTTGAAGGGGTCATCGGCGCCATTGTCTTGGATGTGTTTCTTCAGTTCCGGGTCTTGCACAACTCGATGGATCATGAATGTGCAGGTCGGGTGACGTTTCAAGAGGTTGTAAATCCAAGGGATGACAGTCGCAATGGCGCTTGGGGGTGCATTTAATGAGAGTCGAGTAAGTCTCTTGACAAAGCTGGCAACAAGAGCAGCGGGAAGATGAGTCGAGCCAAGGAAAGTATCCAAGAGACGGAAAAAGCGAGAGCGATGCTTGGAGTGAAGGATATCCTTGTCGAGGAGTGAGTAGAGTTTGGGATAAAATGATGGGTAGTCTAGATTCCGCTCTTGAATGAGATAAAAGACACCGGACAGAGCTAATAGGGACATGGAGCCGCCTGCGTTGTAACAGCTGGTGAGGAAGTCGGATAGAAGTTCGGGTCTGGTAAACCACGGGGCGATGTTTGTGGATATGACGCTGAGGATGCGTTTCCGTTCATCTTTGCTTTGGACAATACTCAGTATGGCTAACCAGGCGTCTTGCCCCTGTCGCTTGTGTTGGATTACCGATCTCAGATTGTGAGATTTCTTTTGAGGACGTGGGATGTAAAAGTCCTCAAGCTCCTCGGCGGACTGGGGGACGCCATCCAGAGCCGATAGCAAAGCAAAGGCCCGGTCGAATAAGCTGTCTGGAATATCATCCTTATCTAATCGCTCCAGAATTGTCCTGTATTAAGGTAAGTATCGTAATTGTGAAATCAAGTTGCCACTGCAGGCACTCACTTTACTGATTTGAATGTGTAGTATCGAATATCGTCGTACTCTTCCACGTATGACTCGAGAAACGCCTTTCTCGCCTCATCGCTATCCGACGTAATCAAAACAGCAACAATGCCCTCCAAGAAAGCTTGAGGAAATGTGTATTCTTCCTTATTGTGAAGATGCTCTCCCTCTGCCTTCAGGGTTCTCATGGAGAGAGTGAGTGCAGTCACTGCAAGATCTTCATCTTTTAGCATATCTTGCAGGAGCGCCTTGTACTGGGAATATTGGTCTTTCAACCAGCCGAAGACGACAGATTCTTTCTCTGATAGGTTTTTCTTGGCGACGAGAGAGCCTTGGGCCAGCAATCTCAGGAAAATCCGACATAAAGCCACCGCGGCCAGTGTTGACTCTTCCTCTGCATCTTCGTAGCGGCTGGCGATGCTGAGAAGTTTGGCAATGTCATTATAGTTTTTCTTGGATTCCAGGATGCCCTGCTCCATGAGGAGAATCTTTGCGCCTGGGTCTTCGGCCTCCTCATTTGATGAACGTCGTCTCTTGGCGACTTTGGTGGCCTTGTCGCCTGTGGAAGCCCTTTTGCGCTTTGCGCTGTCCTGAGAGCCTGCAGGCATGATGGGCTGAAAAAATGTTTCTTTTATGAGCAGAATAAAGAGAGCTGTATTGTCAAAATATTTAATTATTAATCCTTTATTGTGCTTTGAACAGAATGTAGTATTGGGCACGTCAAAAGTTCTTTGCCAGCTGAGATTTGGTATGAGAAGCACCCAGAAATTCTTATCGCAGAAAAGATAACATGAAATTTCACTGAGCCTTGAATCTGTAGCCAATGAACAGCCTGTTCCTTTTTCGTGCCAAGACCGACTTCAATTCGGAGCAAGCTCGGCTAAAAAAATCGCAGCCCAGCAATTTCATTGTTCCCCAGGCCAAAGCAGCTTCCGCATCACGTGACTCCAACGTGTAACCGAACTAGCGCGATAAAACCTCAAACCTCATTCCCAGCTTCCGATCGATTTATATGACAAGGCCGAGATACCCCGTCCGAAATCACCTCACAATGGCGTCTCGCTTGGTACGAAGCGCTGTCGGTATGTGTCGCAGTTACGGAAACCCGCTGACGCCAGGTCCATTGGTGCGCCGAGGCTGACCAAGTGCGCAATAAAACGCAATAAAAATATACAGGCGCTCCCCTCCTCCGATCCTCCATCTCCCGCCGAGCGGCCCCTGCGATCTCTGCTGCCGCTGTGCGATACTCCAGCAACGTCCCCGCCGAGGAGCCCAAGAAGAAGGCCCAGAGCATCATCGATGCCCTTCCCGGCAGCAACCTGATCAGCAAGACCGCCTTCCTCAGCGGTGCTGCCGGTCTCAGCGTCTACGCCCTCAGCAATGAGTACTACGTCATGAACGAGGAGACTGTCGTGGCTGTCTGCTTGTTGGCTGTCTGGACTGGTCTGCTCAAGTACGGTGGCCCTGCCTACAAGGAGTGGGCTGAGGCTCAGAACGAGAAGATCAAGAACATCCTCAACAGCGCCCGCGCTGACCACACCGAGGCCGTCAAGACCCGCATTGAGGACGTCAAGCAGATGAGCGGCGTTGTTGACATCACCAAGGCCCTCTTCGAGGTCTCCAAGGTAAAGAATTGAGAGCCTGGCTAGCGTCATTGTTGCGACAAATGTTAATACGTTTGCGTGTGTAGGAGACTGCCAAGCTTGAGGCTGAGGCTTTCGAGCTCGAGCAGAAGACTGCTCTGGCTGCCGAGGCCAAGGCTGTCCTCGACTCCTGGGTCCGCTACGAGGGCCAGGTTAAGCAGCGACAGCAGAAGGAGCTGGCTGCTTCTATCATCGCCAAGGTCCAGAAGGAGCTCGAGAACCCCAAGGTCCTGCAGCAGATTCTGCAGCAGAGCGTCGCTGACGTTGAGAGTATGTGGACACTATACCCAGCGAATGATTCCAAACTACTTGATACATCTTTTACTAATACCTCTGAACAGAGATCGTTTCTTCTGCCAAATAGATGACAGAAAAAAAAAAATTACTAGAGTCTAGATTCAAGGTCCTCGCAATTTTTTTTTCTTTTGTCACGAAATAAACACCCCTGTGCATATAATAGCACCTGTGCAATTAGCCAATCAATCAAGACACTAGTCGATATATATTCGTCTTCAAAAAATTAATTTGACTGAGATGATGAGTGCATGCCGTCCTAGTTACTAGTCTGAATGATGGAGAGGGAGGATTGCGAGTGCGAAATATATATAGGTACTCTTGTATTTTTATGGTTGGCGGGTGGAGTTGGCAATAAAACGATTTTTCTTCCACATGCACACAAAGAACTCTTTTGGACGAGATCGATGCAAATCTTGTCGATCAATGTTAAAAAGTAGGATAGTGTCTAGATTGAAATGGAGCTGCTGTTATTGTTGGAAGCTATTCAAATTGATACTACTGATATCTACCTAGGTACCCTACCCAATCCAACACTAAGTAAAAACATACACACATTATAAACACAAGTTGGCGATAGATAATAAATACAGCGGTTGGACGAAAAACCGATAATTGACCCTTCCCGAAAAAAATAATAATAATACCAGTTCCCTGAACATACAACCTAGCCAAGCAAAAGCAAAACACCTCACCACTCAATACTAATAAATTGGCCTTCCTTCTGTCCACTTCTTGCTCTCCACCGCTGTGGCCGGTGAGTCAGCAGCCAGATCTCGCGTCCATCTACCACTCATCCGCCTTCTGCGGGCTCCCTCGCCGTTAATAGGGCCAATCCATTCCCAGGCTCGGCCAACCTCGCCACTCCTGCCTTCTCGTTGGCCGGTACGAACATTGCTGTTCTGCTCAACGACTTTCTTAACTCTTTGCCAAATTCTTTCTCTCTCAGCCACCTTATGAACGGAGCGAAGCACATCATCTCTCAGATTGGGCAAAAACAACCAGGGATCATCTATCTCTTCGGCGCCCAGCTCCTTCTGATTAGCCAGTCGGTCCAAGACCAAGTCGACCAAAGCCGGAACTTGCGCCGAATACAGCAAGTGTTGGCGGTATCGAGCCCGCAGGTAGAAAACGGCCAGCACGACGGACATTAAAAGTCCAATTGGGAGTCGATATCTTGCCAACCCGAGGCGGACGGAGCGCTTGAGCGCACAGGTGATCGGAAGGCGAGCGAGAGAGCTGGACGATAGCTTGCGGTTTGAAAGGCCTGAGGGACCGGACGATCTGTTGGGTCAATCGTGGATCTGATTAGCTGTTGTGTCAGAAAAAAGAAGAGATTAGAAGAAAAAGGAAGATATGTAGAACTTACGTAGTCGTTGCGATCTCCACAATCACTTCTTCGCGAGTGGTGATTTCACCAATGGCAGCCACCCAAAGATCTTCGAATTCGTCACTGTTCAGCCTCTTGCTGCGCTTCCTGCTCACGGTCGACTTGAGCTCTTCTTCAGCAATGGCTGGAGAGCCAACTTGGGCGCCAGACTCATCGACCAACTCGCCACATTCATATTTGGCGCGGCGCTCGCGAAGCTCTTCAATGGCCTTATCAGCAACTGCCTGGACTCGGCGGGCCTTCTCGCCATCCGGCTCGCAGGTGGGAGGAAGTGGGACAAGCCCGCCAAAAGACAGAGGGTGGGGCTTAAGGACGAAGTCGCTGTGGCAGCGAACGGAAAAGTCCTCGTAGCAGTAGGCGTGCGAAGGGCATGGCTCGCACTGAGGCTCCACGAATGGAATTATAAAATCGGGCACTGGAAGATCGGGGGGAATGATCTCTGTCGCTGGTCGACCGAGCCCGCAGTAGCCAACGGCAATCTTTTCCTGTCGATACCAGGCTAAGTAGACACCGAGCAGAGAGATAAAGAGGACGAAGAAGGGTGTCCTCAGGTTTGTCTTGCGGGCAGGCTTAGAGTGCCTCCTGGGCACAATCTCGGCCTCTCCCCTCCTGGCTGCCTCCTCGAGCTCCAGCTGCGCATCAGGCGTAAATTCCTCGCCGGGATCCATTGACCAATCTGGCGTTCTGTGTCTCAACTTAGAAGAAGACAGTCCCTGAGATCTCGCAGTGGTGGACGGCCGTTCGATGGATAAAGGCTCGATGAACTCATCCTGACGTCTTCGGGAGCCAGGCTTTTCGCTTCTAAGGATCTCCTCGAAACCCGGTCGTCTCCGGCTCGGTGTCTTGATGGCGGGAGAGCCCCTCTGGAATGGATTATCATCACTAAAGACGCTCTCTTCTTCTTCCTCGTAGGGAGCAGCAGAAACAGTAGAAATAGTAGATGGCGGCGCAGCAGATTTCAGCGCACTGTAATAGGGCGTAGGGGCGTAGGGCGTCGCAGCGACCGGAGTGGAAGTGTAATGGGATGAGATGGGCGTGTCTTCCTCTACTTCCGGCTCGTCCTTGATTTTCGGTGTTGCAGATCTCTGAGACTGAGAGCGGCGCGTTGACCTGGGCGCTTCATACTGGGGCGCCTCGTCCTCTTCATAGTGCGATGACTGTCGGCTCACTGAGCGGCTGGCAGTTCGCGAACTGCGCTTCGGCTGGCTTTTGACGGGCGTCTGCGCTGGCTCATCCTCTTCGCGCTTGATCTTGTTCGAGGCCTTTCGAGGCGATGCTGATCGACGCGGCTTGGACGGCGTAGGCTTCAAGTCGTGGTCGTCCCATGCGCCGTTGTCCTCGGCACTGCCCGCATTCACGATGCCCATGCTGGACCGCTTGGCGCGGGCGCGTTGAGCGCGCAGCTTCGGGATCTGCGGCAGAACATGCTCCTCAACGAGCTCGACTAGCTGGGGCTTTTTCGCAGTGGCGGGATACTCGACGTTGTGCGTAACGAGGATCGAGCGCAGTCGCGGAACGGTAACGCTGCGCGGGTCGAAGCCCTCTTGGAGATAGTCGTCTGCGTCGGCCATGCTTGCTTGGTTTCCTGGCCAGCAATTTGTTGGGGGGGGGGGGTTCAAAAAGACAAATATCTCAGTTTATATGGTGGAGAAGAGAACAAATATGCGATAGAAAAGTGCAATTCGCAAACGGAGCGCCGTGGATACTTCCGCCACTTTGTCTCGAACTTGACAGCTAGCTGGCAATAAAACAGCAGCGCCGCAGCTTTTCAAAACAGTGACGGTGCCCCAGATAAAAAAGCCGGGGGTCTCCAAATGTGAAACTAGTTTCCGGTCTCAACTCCTAGTCGCGAAATTAAAAGGCAAGGCGTTTTATTTTCCCAGACGACGTGCGGCAAGCGAGAATCCGGCTGCATGGGTTGATGAAGTGAAGAAACAAAAGAAGTGCGATATTCTATTGCTGGTGGCCGAAATGTATGTGTGAATTGCTTTCTCGCTTTCTCGCCGCACATACGTAGCGCCGTTGTCTGTGGCAACAACTGGAGCCTTGACGAGAAAAAAAAAGCCAGGCCCACACCAAGCTATTTTCTGTGTTGGGGCAGATGCCACATGGCCGAGATCTGGACTACTGTAGGCTGCGAAGCTCTGCCTGCTGGCCGAGTGGCGTGTGCACCGCCACCTCAGAGGTTGCGCCACACCCCGCCACAGCGAGTTCCGTCATGCGATGTGGGATGGAAATGCAAGCTTCATGCATGATCCGGAGACGCTTTTGTGTCGCATCAGCCATTGACGGCCGACATTCGCAGCTGCACTTCCACAATGGCGTCCAGCCGAGCTCTGATGGCCAGTCCGCGCTTTGTTTGCCGCAGTTGCTCCCGCCAAGCGCGCAATTCGAATCCTTACCGACGATCCTATGCCACAGCCTCTTCGCAGCCCTCTTCGCAAGACATATACGATGTGGTCTGCATTGGAGGCGGCCCAGCTGGACTGAGTCTTCTCACTGCGCTTCGTAAGAGAGACCATAGCTTGGTACTGAGATTCGAAGAAAAATAAACGTACTAATGGCTTTTATCTAATATTCTAGGCGCCAACCCTACAACCTCTCGTCTTCGTGTCGCCCTTGTTGAAGCGCAAGACCTCTCCAAAACCGCTTCCCTATCTCTACCACCAACCCAATTCTCCAATCGATGCAGCTCTGTTACGCCTACGACAGCCCAGTACCTAAATACCATCGGAGCATGGCGACACATGCAGCGCAATCGCATTCAAGAGTTTCACGAGATGCAGGTCTGGGATGGCGTAACGGATGCGCGCATAGAGTTTGACTTGCAGCCCGGGTTCTCTGCTAGCACAGGAAATGTTATTGCGTACATGACTGAGAATCTAAACATGACATCTGGTCTTCTGAAGCGAATCAATGAGCTCGGAGGGGTTGACGTGTTTGACGCTTCAAGGGTTGAAAAGATTACTCTTGGAGAAGAATCCGAAGAGATGGATCTCAGAGAGTGGCCTATCGTGCATTTGCAGAGCGGCAAGTCTCTAGCAGCACGACTTCTCGTGGGAGCTGACGGCGCCAATAGCCCCGTGCGATCTTTTGCTCGCATTGAGAGTCGAGGATGGGACTATAACAGACATGGACTTGTCGCAACACTCGAGCTAGAAGGGGATGGATGGGGAGGCGAATATCACAAGACCGCATACCAGAGATTCCTTCCGACTGGCCCTGTTGCCATGCTTCCGCTACCTGGAAAATACGCAACTTTAGTCTGGTCAACGACGCCCGAGAATGCCGTCCTGTTGAAAAAGCTACCTGCCAAGGACTTCATTGCTCTGGTTAATGCAGCGTTTCGACTCAGTCCCGTTGACTTGGCTTACATGCACACTCAGGCCACGGGTCAAGAAGAAGAGCTTGCATGGCGAACGCAGCACACACCTTTTGACTCCAGATCAATCCCCCAGCTTGCGGTTGGTGTTCAAGAGGGCAGCATTGCATCATTCCCTTTGAAGTTGCGACATGCAGACACTTACATTGGTGAACGTATTGCTCTTGTTGGAGATGCAGCGCATACTGTCCATCCCCTCGCAGGACAGGGCCTGAACCAGGGACAAGGAGATATTCAGAGTTTGGTCAAGGCGATTGAGTATGCCGTTGCCCACGGCCAGGATTTGGGAACGCAAATGTCTCTCGAGTCATACAACAGCGAGAGATATGCTGCAAACCACGTCTTGATGGGAGTGTGTGATAAGATTCATAAGCTGTATTCCGTGGGAAGTGGGCCTTTGATTCCCCTGCGGTCGCTTGGCTTAAAGGCTGCCAACGCTCTGGGGCCATTGAAGAATTTCTTCATGGAACAGGCTTCTGGTCGGGGACTGAAGGTTTGATTGTCTGCAGCTCTGCCTGTATAGAAATTGTCTTTCCCGACCCACCTAGATTTCTACCCTTCACCCCTATGAGTAGCTAAATAACCCACCTGTATCAATATAATATGAATAGAGTATTCAGAAATCGCGCATTCACCACTTTTAAGAAAATGACTTGAGGGGCCACCGGACATGAACTTAACGAAATTCTGGAGAGTATTTACGAAGTTCTCCCAGTCAGCTATGGCTACAGACAAAGAAAACGTAATTCTAATATTTTTGCCTTCCACCCCATTCCTTTTACCTGTCAACCTCACCTGTACATCCAAGTTAGTAGATTTCTCAATATAAAGTTCTGTTTCATGCTGATGATACGTACCAAACACAAGATCCATAGTACCAATTACAGCGACCGCATCAGCCAACAAGTGACCCTTGGCGACGTGGTCGAAACCACCCAAGTGAGCAAAGCCAGGAGCGCGGATGTGGCATCTGTAAGGGCGCTCACTGCCGTCGCTGACCACGTAGACTCCCATCTCACCCTTGGGGGCCTCGATAGCAGAGTAAGTCTCTCCAGGAGGCACGGCGTATCCCTTGGTGTAAAGCAGGAAGTGGTGGATCAGAGCCTCCATGTTCTCCTTCATGGCAGATCGGGGAGGAGGTGAAATCTTGTAGTCCTCGACACGGACGGGGCCGGCGGGCATCTGGTTCAGGCACTGGTGGATGATGCGCAGTGACTGTCTGAACTCCTCCATTCTGCACAGGTATCGGTCGTAGCAGTCACCGTTGGTGCCAACAGGGACATCGAACTCGACCTTGTCGTAGGCGTCATATGGCTGGTTCTTTCGAACATCAAAAGGAATGCCAGAGCCACGGAGCATGACACCAGTAAAAGAAAGGTTCAGAGCATCAGCAGCAGAGACAACACCAACGCCCCTCAGACGCTCAATCCAGATACGGTTATCAGTAAGCATCTCCTCAGTCTCGTCAATGCGGTCTCCGAACTGGGTAGCCCACTGGTAGATATCATCCAGCAGTCCAATGGGGATATCCTGGTGAACACCTCCAGGACGAACGTAGGCGGCGTGAAGACGAGCACCAGAGACACGCTCATAGAATTCCTATCCAAAGTCAATTAGCCATACCACCCAATTTACGATTTTCTGCTATCAAATTGAGCTAATCGCATACCATGAGCTTTTCTCGCTCCTCGAAACCCCACAGGAAAGGTGTCAAAGCACCAACGTCCATGGCGTGTGATAGGACGGACATCAGGTGGTTCAAGACACGGGTGATTTCGCCAAAGAGAGTTCGGATGTACTTGGCACGGTCGGGGATCTCAATGTTCAGAAGCTTCTCGACGGCAAGGGCAAAGCATTGTTCGTTTGTCATCATGGAGACATAGTCCAAACGGTCGAAGTATGGCAGAGCTTGAAGATAGGTCTTGTACTCGATCAACTTTTCCGTTCCTCGGTGCAGCAGACCGACGTGAGGATCGGCCCGAATGATTTCTTCACCGCTGAGCTCGAGAATCAATCGCAACACACCGTGGGCGGCAGGATGCTGGGGTCCGAAGTTGACAGTGTAGTGTCTGACTTTGCGATCCTCCACGCTGTTTTCGCGCGGCTTTTGGGCGGCGGCGCTCTCGGACTTGGAAGGGAAGCCGTAGGGGTCGCCGGTCAGGTTGAAATGCTCGTCCGTGGGAATAATTCGCGTGCCAGTCTGCTCTTGGCTCGAATACCGTCGGAAAGCAGATGCTGTGAAGGGTCGAGTGGCAAGAGATGTTGTCGCAGGCCGCAGGCATAATCGCCTGGCGCCGGTGCCAACGAGTCTGTGGAGGGATGAGGCCATTGCGGAGGAGCGGCGAGGGCCGGTCGGAAGAGCTTCAAATGCCCAGTAGAGCCTCTAGCCCGAGATCAATGGCTGGTTAGACTGACGATGCTCGCTTTCGGAGTCGTGGCCGTCATGCCTCTCGGAACTGAAGAAACGGGGAAGCTCGCAGGTTCCGTGATGGTGGGGCGCCGGGATATCATTTTTGCGCCATAGCTGGAGCGATTTTGCCAATTGCGGGCTGCTGATTGGACTGCGCGCTGGCGCATCTCATTTATTTACACAAGTACCTGTCAATGAAGCATCAAAGGGACTGAATTGAATGCATTATGGAAACTGTGCAGCGAGGCTTGATGAGAATTTCGAATTTCTTTAGCATTCTGACGTTTCTGCTAGAGAGGCGGATTTGGCATTGTACCATCATTGCATACATGTTTCGCAGCCCAATCACCCTACCAAATCTGTGGTTTATAAGTGCATGTACCTGCATGTAGCTACAACTGCCGGCGCCATGAATAGCTTTCACAGATCACCTTGTTTCTGAGGAAAAACCTATTTTAAGGGTAAGGGACCATAGTAGTGATTCCTTTGTGTATCAGCGGTAGAAGAAAGCGTTCAACCTTCTCGTTATTTGTAGTTGGCATGTGAATTGTACATGTACGTTACAGAAAAGTTGGGGATACATTTGGAACCTTGCAGATTCTGTCACACCTTGGTCACAAGACAACTCATCTTGGTGAAACACAACTTTGAATTGAGTTGTTTGTTGATCTATTAATATCCTTATAAATTCATTGGATATCATTAAACTATCATTAAGGCTGCTCATAAACTCACCGGTTTCCGAGACGCTCACTTGAACGTAAGATGGTCGAGAGACGAGAACTGTTCAACTCAATATGCATTAAGCCAATATTTGAATCGATAAAGATTATTTTTTAAAATAATTGTAAACTCTTCTCAGAAAGAAAGCACTTATTAAACTAATTGCAGTGGAAAAGTTGAGTCACGCACTACTTCGCTACTAGTCGGAATCGGCGATACTATGCGCGTGTATGTAAGTGAGTCACATCCATGGAGCCTTCAAATTATAAATAACCACTTGTCACCAATCTTTTGAATATTGGCATGACAAGTAAAAATTTTCGACTATTATATCCATCTAAACTGGCTACCAAGGATCAGCCTCTTGGAAGTTGTCACAATGCCGAGAAAAGAAGTAAATCGAATCCTCTCATCGTCATGCCCGCCGAGCAGCGATCCAGGAACCGTATTGGTCGAAACTGAAAGACTCATTATACGGCGATACCTATTATCAGATGCTCCAGCTCTGGCAATGGCTGCAAACCACGAAGAAGTTGCAACTTACATGAGCGATCGCTTCGCCAGCCCGTATACCGTTGCCGACGCTGAGAATTTCATTCAACAAACCTTTCATGATGATGATACAGCAGCATACCCACACTCATCAGCCATCGTCTTGAAGCCAGGATTTCCAGGCAACCCCTCCGCTACTGAACCACTTATCATTGGCGGCATTGGAACACACCATTTAACCGACATATTCTACCGAACGTGGGATCTGGGTTACTACCTTTCTCCGACAGTGTGGCGCCAAGGCTACGGAACTGAAGCGCTAAACGCATTCACAAGATGGGTGTTTGTCACCTGGCCATTATTGAACCGCATACAGGCTCGTACATATGAGAACAACATAGCAAGCCAAAAGTTGTTACAGAAATGCGGTTTCGTGATAGAGGGAAGGGGGAGAGGGGTTGTTGAAAAGAATGGAAAGCTCATGGGCGATGTTGCGTTTGGTCTCGTAAGAGATGATTTAAAGTGAGAAGTGCTCCTAAAGTCTCATAGTTTTGTTTTGGAATTACAAATGTCTGCGATTCTTTTATTATTACCTTGGGTGTCAGCTGTCTAATAAAATCCATCAAATGCCTTCGCGTCTCTATCGTGGAATAGTAGACCAACCCATTGAATATCGCCCTCTTCTATTTCCTAGATCCTTTATACAATACAAATATCCGTCAAATCGAGTGTTCCCAGCTACTTTCCCCCTGATATGTATCTATATCCTTGTTTAGCGCTATATCACCACTGGACGCAAACAAATCCGCCCAGAAAGGGTCGTTGAAATCGAATCCTGCGTGCTGTACACCTGAAGTTTGTGTTAAATCTTCAGCCCGTAATCGAGACAGTTGATTGGCATGTTCTTCCTTGTCACAGTGTTCTTGGTCAATCGAAACAGGCAGCGGCGGTCCATAAATATATTGCGGCAAAGCAGCTGGAGGATAGTCGAAATGAAGAACCTTATCGATCTCGAATGGGGCGTTTGGTACTTCTAGATTGAAGTCTGATACTGCAGGCACCTGCAGGCCTTGTGCTGTCATAAATTTGTCTTCCACGCTGCCACCCCGTTTGTCACCACGTGTTGCTTCCCGGGTTTGGTAGAGAGCTGAATTGAAGATGTTCAAACGACCATCAATAATTCCCTCTAAAAAGGGCCACTGTATCAAATCAGCTGCCTCTGCTATATTCGACAAGCTATTTGTTGTCCCATATTGGCGACAGTTGACAGTAGCGGAATTCTTCTGAAGGCCCATAGTCCGCTGCTTGCTGTTATTTCCTTGAGAAAGCTCATAGTCGTTTTTCAACCTCATCTTTGTCCTTCGAAACAACAAGTAGTCGCCTTTGCTTTGTGCCCACCATGTTGGATATTCCTTAGCACTCTCAGCCCACAGCTGCATAGTTGAAAAAGCCAAATCTATTGCAATCCAAGAGCATTTGCTACATGTCCTGTATCTGCATCTTTGTCTTCTCAGAACACTTGGTACTGAGCAGCCACAAGCAGTGGTGTTCCAGTTCAGGCTCCAAACAGCGCCATCAAAAGCTTGAATTGTTGCAGAGTTGGTGTTAGTGAATGCATCACATGGTTCAACAATATACCATCCAACGGGTTGAATGCAATGGCTTTGGCAGCAATAAATCTCTTTCGCACCGCACATCTGAGTTCCAGAAGGAATTACGGTTTCGAGAAGGCAAAGGCAGTGATGTCGGAGAGATCCTTTCTTTTGTGCAAATGTTGCTTCAAACGTTCCTTTTGAGTGACTTAATAAATGTATTTCTTCATTGGCAGGCCCAGTAAGTCTAGTTTTTGGAATTGAGCGAACCATTGTTTCTATGTAAACATGACAATAAGGTACTAAATGCTTTTATGTCAAATGTGGTATTGCCGCTTTCTGCATTAAAAAACGAATTGCAGAAAAGTGAGTAGGAAAACAAACAGAGCGAACAAAAGAATTTTTTTTTATGCGATTCAGAGAAGCGGTCTGGAGTCGGTCAATACACTTCAATTATATGCGCTACGTTCTTGAATGGGATCAACCTGCTTTTTGTGCGACAGTGATTCATGCCATGTTGGGATTCACTCTTCTCGCAATAATTTCCACAAAGCCTATCGAATATAAACGCAATACGCGCTACGGCAAGTTTTCTTGTATTTATATCAATTCCGAATCCAATATGTCATTGTCTATTGTAGTATTCAAGTCTCCATTGTGAGGCTGGGATAAATAATCTAACCCCCTTAGATTTGCATAAACATCTTTCCGCTGCTTCAATTAAAGCGAGGTGAGAAAATTTAGGAAAGAGTTTCCTGCATGACCATTATGGAACCTCATCAGTCACCAACTTCCCCATTCTGATCACTCGCTGAATCGATCGACGTTATCGGAACTGTGGTCTCTTGTATCGGCCACTTTTTATCGTTTCCCATTGATTGAGAGCCTTTCTCTACATCTAAATTTTCTTCTGGCTTTTTATCAGAGTTTTTCGAGGGCCTATTGACCTGTAAGCACGGATCAGGAAAGGAGACACACGGGAAGTAACATTGAGAGGAGTTCTTACGCTTGCCAAACCACCCCAGATTTCTCATGACGTGCTGGGCCAAAGGCTGGAAACTCTCCTTTGATGAATGCAAACATAATGCCAGAGTCTAAACCATTAATTATCTGAACAGGAGTTAAAAATAAGAGCAGAGTAGCAAGCAGCCACACGCCTGCGAGGAGACTGGGAATGGTTACAAGCACTTTCATCGACAGTGCTGAGGCATTGGGACTCCAGACAACGAAATCACCAGTGCCGATTAAGCCTTCGACCCAATTTGCCAATTTATCATCAGAATTGGGCGGATATAGTGTTGTATCAGTCAGCACATTGGAGGTAGCAATGAATGCAGCTTGAATAAGACGTGTTAAGTCATTTTGTATGCTGCTGGCGCCGGCATCAAAGGACTGGCCGACGGCGGTGGTTGTAGATAGTAGCGCTGATGGCCCAAGGTGTGTGGCTACATTTAAGATCATTGGTTGGGCGAGGTGAGCTGAAAAGATAAGTTGCACGCCCAGCGAAAGATCAAGACCAGGAAGTGAACTGTTATTGAGTCCCAAGACCGTGCTGGTTTGGCCTTTATATGACCACACATTGTCTTCCCAACAGGATAATACAGGCCTCGCACTGCGTACTACATAGGCAGTATCAATAGTTGGGTTTGGAACCGGATCGGTGAGATACCATGGATCGGTACCCACGGTAAAGCTACTTCTTTGGGTAGAAGATATGAGCGCGACCCATGTGGCGTTGCTGGTCTCGAGGGTGCCTTTGATTGAGCTGTTGCCTGGAAAGAAAGAAGCAACGGGTTCCCGACCATCATAAAGTGAAGCCGACTGGTTTGTATTGAAAATAGTGTACCAGTCAACATTATAGGAATCATCGACAGTCGTCTCCACGAAAAGTCGATAATCAGTAATGCAAGAGCCGTTGACACTCAACCTCAGCTCTGGGTATCTTTGCAGCCCAAAATCTGCTCCGGTAACATGATAACCGTAACTCATGCTGATGATGGACTCGCCGTCGCGAGTTTCACCCAGTGTCTCCGGAGGAGTTATCATCACTCTCTGACCAATTATTTCCTTGGAAGAGCCGGTACTACCAACCGCTCGCAGGGCTGACGGGACTTCCAAGACATATTTTGCTGCGGTTGAAGGATTGCCATCTAGTTTTTTTGGAACATACACCGCATTCGGGTTGACTGGGGCTGTGTTGTTGAGAATAATTAGGGGAGGGACGATGATGGATAATGTAGTCTGCCCGATCCATGCTATGAGGACCAGGAAGAGGATACCAATCATCCAAAGGCGAATTTTGTCTGAGTCTGCTCTGGTGTACTTGAAAGTTTCCATGAAAGAGCCAACAAGTCCGCCTCTGTTGTTCCATAAAATCGGTACGAGCGGATGGAACGAATTGCTTTCTCCATTCTTCTTTCTCCGCCATTTTAAGAGATAGTATAAGAAAAGAGCAATGATGATGGTCCAAACTTGGGCCATAAGAATCGTCAACATGACAGAATAGGCGGAGGTGAGCTGCTTGGCGACCCGAGCCGGGACGGCGAAGGCACTAATGGGTCCATGCTCGCCTGGAAAGCTGAATCGTTTCCAGAGCAGATACGTGTCCCGAGGCTGAGGAACTGTAGTAATGACCATGTTCAAACACTATTAATGAGTATTTTCAAATCTGAGTTGAAGCAAAGAAACAATGACTGGGGTGAAGCCAGAGAATGAACGGTTTGACCTTCTCCACCGATAGAGAGGCACTCTCTTCCTTAAGTTTACTGCCAGGTGTGGCCCGATATTTAATGCTCTAATCTACGAAAATTAGTATTACACATACTATATTTTGGTTGGTTCGCACCGATAACCGTATGAGCCTGAATGATTTAGGGTGTGGTAAAAATATGATGCATAGAAGCTGGCCGTGCTGTTCAACTACAGCCGCAGCCACTAACGCTGCAATGTGTTGAGGAGCTATTGGCCAAGGCCCGGGATATATATGCAGCTACTTCCATTTGATACTGATGTGGACGCCTAATGGAACCAGGATAGGGCCTGCAATGCTATTGACATCAATCAAAGTCTTTCCATTGGCCGCAATATGAAGAGGTACGCGGCCGATGCCCATGATTGTGTTCAATCCTACATGATTGTGCAATACTTGTAGCCCTGAAAAGATACTTGGAAGTGATTATCAACATACTGCATACGAGACGGCTACTTTGTTTTCAGGGTTATTAGAGGGCCATGTTGTTTGACGGGCTATAAAGAGTACTGCCAATTTGTATAAAAGCCTGGGATCTCAACTACACAGCTCTCGTTCCTCAAACATCTTCTCTTCATTCTTTCAGCTTTACTCATCTGTTGTCAATTCCAGCAGCTCTGCATACTCCATGCGCCAACATTTACAAATTCAATAGCTTTATTGTTATAGCGACCTTATTGCAAGATGCGTGGGCAATCTTTAGCGGCTCTCCTTCTAGGCTTGAGCACTTCGGTCTTCGCCGAGCCTCTCATAGATGTGCTTGTTGCATCTGGTGCCGCCAATTTTGCAACCTTCATCCAGTCAGATCCAGATGTTTTAGCCAAGTATCTCTCTGGCCAGATCAAAACCGTATTTGCGCCATCGGATTTGGTCCCGCCACCTGCAAGTCTAGCAAGACGTGCTCCTTCGCCAGCTGATGTTGCTAAAGCGGAGATCCAAGGCTCAAAAGAACTTGCTGACTTGAAAACTGCCAGCGGCTCTAAGCCAGGCTCCGTCATCCCAACTGGTACCGACTCCCCTGGGCTAGGTGGCCAGCCTCAAGTTGTTACCTCTGATACCAGACCTGAAAACGTGACCAACCCGACCAGACGTTGGACGTCTTCGTCTAACCTCACTGGGCCATCCTTGCTGAGGATTTCATCCGGGTTGGGGAATATTGCCAACATCATCCACGCGGACATCCCATTCGATGGTGGGGTAGTTCACATCACTGACAAGTAGGTCATGACTTTGCATAACTCGTGCCATGTAATCATGAGTGTGGAATTTAACATTTGCCATGTGACAGCTACTTCACCCTGCCCGTCTCAATCTCTTCTACAGCTCAAGCGCTTGGGCAGACGACGTTCTCCAACTTAATCAGTGGCAGCAACTTGACCAAGTCACTCGAGAGCACGCAATTCGCCACCGTCTTCCTACCCTCCAATGCTGCCTTTGCTGCGGCCAGTGTTGGCCCATCCATCAGCTCATCCACTGCCTCGCTAATTTCCAACCACGTTGTGGGAGGCTTTGCTGGCTATCTGCCTGTACTGAAGGATGGCGCTGCATTAACAACGCAGAAGGGACAAACCTTGATCATTAGCATCCGTAATGGTATATACTATGTCAACGAAGCCAAGATTATACAGGCGAACATCATAACGGAGAACGGCGTGGTGCATATCATTGATAAGGTAAGGCCCTGCAGATTGCAGCGCCATCCATGTATAGTACATATTTACTAACATATTTTCCTTTTCCTGTCTAGGTGTTGTCACCTCTATCACCACCTCCCCTTTCTTCAAGTGGTATGCTGTCTAAGACAGTCAGCTTTATGTGTGTGATAGGAGCTGTTGCTGGGGCTCTGATGTCTCCGTTTTGATCTGTGATTATGATTTCAGAACCTTAGCGGAGATTGGAAGACACCGAATTAGACAGCGGGAGTAGTAATATCGAGAGGCATCTTGGTAATTGATTTAGCTTTGAGGCACTATCAATATAAGATCAGCTTAACAATACAAGTACACGTATACTTAGATGCTTGCTTGTAAATGTAGTGATTTTCTGACACTGTGTAGGACAAACAGCACATACTACCCCATTTGTCAACGATAGTGGATGGCATATATGCAAGCAAGTCTCAGAAGAGCGTTTAAGCTAGTTGCCTTGCAGGGCAGATCCATGACTATCATTTGCACTGCTGGACGGAACATCATGATTGGGTCATCATTTTCGAGATGTTAGAATCCGTCACATTTCAGCTTCCAACTAGACCGTGGCTAGTCTGAGCGGCCCAAGCCTTTGAACCGCGTTAACTTCCTTGAGGATAGTATTGTGCTCTAAAAACGGGCTGGCCCGGCTGCATTAGTGTATGTGATATCCGCCCAATACACCCTCTTGGGGCTATAAATTATCTTCGTGTTATAGTCAGATTAGGAGTGAAATGCATGTCTCAAATTCTTGATTCCCCTCGTAACTGCTAGACCTAGTTGCCAAGAGCACTACTGGCAGGCCATTACTCCTCCCAGATGCCGCTGTATGCAAGGCAAAAATGCGGTTATGTGATTATACAAACTTAGCCCCCAGTAGCATAGTACACATGTGTCGAATACCACGAAGGTTCGAATTTTGTTGACTCGATAATCCAGCATCTCATCCAACAGCTGCAAGTTGACGATGCAAATGCCGCTGGGTCTTATTGTAGTACCTACACATACTCCCGTAGGTGTATGGCATTAAGAGAGTACTTGCGTAGAGGCATGTATCAAGCATATTATGCCACTCATATTGGAATTACGACTCTGCCCTAAAATGATAGCTCATTTGATATCACTCTTCTCGCCACTGCCTTTTACTATTATCACGACATCGCATTACAGTCTTGCATGCGAAATCTGGATTCCCAGTCCACCTATTATTACGTAGTCTAACACTAAAACTGAACGGAGACTGCTCCGCAGCTTCAAATAGTCATGGACATGCAGCGAAGTTAGCGCAGTGATGCCTGGATAAGCCTACAAAAGTTTAATTGGCAGAGACAGCGTCGTATCTACATAGATATTGATGCACATATGATGTGTGGACAGACATGTGAGAGGTTGGTAGGCTCTGAGAATAGAGACCCTTTTATAAATGTACTAGGTAACAACATAGTTGTTTGTTTGAATGTGTCTTGGTATTTGATATATCACATCGAGCTGAAAACTCCTCTGCTACCAAGCAAAATAAGTTGAGAGGAGGCATCCAATGACTGTTTGCGACGTGTAGAGTTGACGCCCAACGACCAGATGTCTTAGTTGTACAGGCAGCAAGGATGGTTATTGTTACTGAGCCTCATCAGGGGTCTTGTTTGGCGTGCCGAAGCTGAATACAAGGTCTTCGGCCAGCAGGTGGGGGCTGAATCCATTCCCCCGGCACACTTGTAAGCACGCTGCTTGTATGCCATTGGGCCATCGTTACACAGACGCCGAATGTGTATCTTCGACCAATCAACATGTATCACGTAGACAAGGAGCCTCATCTGAGAGGTAGGAGTAATCGCTTTGTCCTACCACATGCTCTCGCCACAATCCTACTTAGTTTCAGCTACTCCGCCCTGTCACCGAACAATGTATCGGCCTATCAGATGAATAGCTAGGACTACCCCTCTATAATATGACATCAATTAGCTATATTTATAGGGTATGATATGTGTTTGTATTGTTTGCCCCTCTTCGAATTCCAGCCATTGTGAGAGGGTGTTGGATCGTTGCGGCCCGAAGCTTGGCTGTGTTCACCGCCCGCTATTACACCAAATCTTTGAAGCTATAGTAGACAAGGGGATATATTTCCATTAAAACATACTTTCCCTAGAATGTCTAGTTGTATTAAAGAATTTTAAGGAAAAAGAAAAGAGGGGGGGCAACCTAGCCCTCATGAACTCTATGCGAAGAAAGACTACTACTGTGGATAACGCGAGTGGAGGAGATAATCTGCTGGAAAAGTGTGAAAAGTGTCGTGTTACGTCTATTTTATGAGTTATCTTATTTAAATGGGATATACATAAGTTATAAAAATAGAATTTCTTTTTCGCTCTTGTTTTCCGTTGCTGTAAACCACAATGTTGGTGAAATATATGTTTGGTACAATATTTATGACACAAAGAAATAGAGCTTACGGTAGAGCCATATATCTCATATAATCGTAAGAATTATTGAAAACAATCGATTCTCATCTTTTGATCTCCTCAATTGCATTTTTCTTTGTGACATAGGAACCCTTGTATCCCTAGCCAAAGTCATACATTCGACCTTTTGAAACTCGACGGATATTAGGAGAAACCAGATATGCGAGCCCACAATTGGCGATAAATTCATCTATTCCACGCTTCAATCTACTTCAACACCCATGCCTGTCACCTATGGACAATCTGGAATATTTATAATCCATAGAGGCGCTTATTAGTCAGAAGAGAGACTCTAGGCTCGATTTCTAAAGACATTTTTGTATGAGGAATTACGAATAATTAAATTGTAAAACCACAAAAACATAGAGGAGTCAAAGAAAGCCCCTACCATGTCTAATGTTGATGTTTTTAATAATATGGCTAGGGGGATTTTACTCTTGCCTTTGTGAAGCGATCAATCCATTGGACACACTACTCATTCCACCATGTTATCAATATGGTTTTCTCAAAAACAGGATTCCATCTCGCACAGTTAGCAGCAGTTGATGAAGCTCTCTCATTTTATTTAGTGCCTAGATTCTATTGAATAACCACTGGGTCTCTTAAATCTCTCAAATTCTCATCTGCAGACTTCTTTTGCGCCATAGATGTGACGTCTACTGAAGACCACCTCTAAAATCAGTTCATTCTTATTTGATACCTGAGTGTTATTTTATCTTCCATCACCGCGTTCATGATTGTTACAAATGACTGCCCAAGGAAGCCAGACCATACTTTCTCTAGGTCTTGACAATCCGCATGTAGATCTGTGGTAAAGATAACAATTCCCATATGTTCCTCTAATCCGACTATGCTTTCCTTTGTCATTAAATTTTCATTCAATGAAACCGCGCTTCGATTCTCTCTGACTACGCCAGACAGTAATCGTCGGATTCTTGAGGTAAAAGTCTTCATGGAGAATAATTTCGCGAAGGAATATAGGACTCATATAACATCACGACCTCCTGGCTGTATACCCATTCAGCTCCGGTTGTTCCCCAGATTATTCTCATGTGCCTAGATTTATTACGTATCTCAATTAATAACATGCATCTGTAATTGCACCTTTAGCACACATGCGCCCATATTACGGCCAGACGATAAAAGTGCCTAATACCAGGATTCTAGCTTTTTGTTTACATGCACAGCGTTTAAGTATATATATATACAACCATCGAGTTATTAATGAAGCTTTTTATTTGGTAAAAATTTGCCCAACTTAGGGTAAATTGGATTCTTAGAATATTGTCCCTCAATTCTCTCCACTGCAGCATCCTCTTTAGGTAGGTAGTCGCTGACCAGTATTCCAGTTTCTTACTGAAGGAGTTTTCAATCAGTGCCCTGGTTAAATGCATTGCAGCACGCGAATTTTATTTCCATACGGATATTTCTCTCTCCCGTTCTAAGTGACACCTCATCATCCCACTATGCTTTTCCGGCAATGGTGGAAAGGGTGGTGGTCCAATGTCACCCAAGAGTTCGATTGCTAAATCAGGCAGCTCCAATCTTTGCTGTTAAGCGTCTGAACGCAAGAGTTGCACATCGCATAAAAAAGAGAGTAGAGTCATATTCTGGTCTCACAACACGTTCAAAATGCTTGAAGTCCGCCATCAAAAACGCCTGACACGCCTTCAAATATTCTGATACGGTGGATGGAGATGCATGGGGGACGCTCGTAGATTGATAGGATCAACAACAGTCATGACAAGACTAAGGCCATAAATGGTAAAATATATGCTGGGTAAGAATACTAAAAGGGGGATTTTAAATTAGTGAACGATATCCTAGTACTAGCATCAAGTGCAATGGATTTGTGTATAGAAAGTTGCGCCGCCGTATGCTTTTCGGTCCCCACTCTCCATCAAAACTGGAAGCTCGTTATCTTTACCATGCTAACATACGGCGAGAAAGTAGGATGAGGCGATCCCAAATTGGCAGGCACTAATACAACGTAAGGGTTTATCGATTGAGGTATAAAGAATGGATGGCTCGCGAGACAAATACGTCCGCCCTTCCACCGATTTTCTCAACAGAAGACGAATCGGTCCTGGGCCAATTGTTTGATATCAAATGGTGTCCTACCTCCATTTACTGCCCTTTTTGGGTGTATTGTTTGCAAGTAGTGTTCACGCGAAGCCATCAAGTGTTGGTGATGGGAACAACACTGTGGGAAACTGGGATTATGTTCCTGGGGCATACATTATTGAGTATGAACAAGGCCATGTAAGTTGATGCATTACATCTACGCCGAAGTTGAAATAGAGACAAACAAAAATGCGGTTAGTTGTGAGCTCAGTCTAAATTATGATACAACAAGAAGATGAGGCATCACTATTTAACACCCTTCATACAAATGGACTTCCAGCTTCTAAGCGAATGAGCTTGTCCTATTCGCTTTTCAAGGAGCCTCAGTACAATTGGACTCTGTTAGTCTAGATCCTCAGACCTTATCGACTAAGATCGCATCGCTTGCTCCTGTGAAGAACGTATGGCCCGTTATGCGCTATCAGAATCTCAACATGCGCAAATTTGCGTCCTCAAAGGGTATTAAACACAACCTCGGTGGCCACTCACAGCATGCGTCCAGAACAGCAGCAGGCAGCGACACCGGATATGCGCCACATATATTAACCCAGGTCGATAAGCTACACACAGAAGGATACACAGGCAAAGGTATCCGTATCGGCATTGTAGACTCTGGTGTTGATTACAAGCATCCCGTTCTAGGCGGCTGCTTTGGCGAAGGCTGCGTTGTTGCCTACGGCATGGACTTGATTGGTCCTGATTTCAACGGTACAAACACACCTGTGCCTGGTCCATATCCATATCCCGACTGTCTCGGCCACGGAACGCATGTCTCTGGAATTATTGCGGCTCAAGAGAACCCTTTGGGTTTTATTGGTGCCGCTTACGGCGCAACTCTGGGCATGTATAAAGCATTAGACTGCGGAGGTGGCTCTTCCAATGATGTACTTATGGCAGCATTCAACCAAGCGTATGAGGATGGGTCAGATGTCATCTCAATCTCTATCGGAATATATTCTGGGTGGACAGAAGACCCCCTCGCCGTCACGGTGTCGCGAATCGTCGACGCTGGTGTCCCGGTGGTTATCGCCAACGGCAACCAAGGTCCTGCTGTTTTTAGTTCGGCTTCTCCCGGCGATGGTATGGGTGTCATGAATGTGGCGTCTATTGATAACACAGAGACGCCTTTTCTAGGTACTGAGGCTTTTACGAGCCTTCATAGTCCCTCTGGTAACCTGACTTCTTTCGCTTGGTTACCCGGAACGCCCGCGTTCCCAAATATCACTCTGCCATTATGGGCTGTTACTCCTAATGCTACCACGGATGGAAGCTCAAGCGCTTGTAGTCCGCTCAGTAGCAGCGCGCCTACCGATCTCAGCGATAAAATCGTTCTCGTGGAGTTAGCGGGCTGCGATGATCCCACCATTGCGGAAAATCTTGCGAAGAACAACGTTAAGTACATTATGTACTATAGCAGTGATGATGATCTTGATGAGTAGGTATTTAACATCCCTTTTGATCATCATTGTTTTATGCTAACCGCATTGTTTGTACGCATCAGCGTGTATAGCGTTAGTACCGCACCCAGCACTCTTGGTGCCGGGATGGTGCCTCTACAGCAAGCCGCGATATGGCTAGATCTCTTGGGTAAGGGCACAGATTTGTACGCAAAAATGGTTGATCCTCAGTCTGCCAAACCTGCAGCGACATACTTCCCAAACAATTCCACCGGCGGTTATCTAAGTTATTTCTCAAGCTGGGGTCCAACATGGGAGGTAGATGTAAACCCACACATTGCTACCCCAGGAGGCTCAATTCTTTCTACGTACCCTTTGGATATGGGTGGATACTACGTTGACTCTGGTACATCCATGGCCACACCGCTTATGGCTTCGATATATGCCTTAATCATGCAAGCACGATCCATCAAGGATCCCAAAACGCTCCTGAGCATGATATCATCAACAGCAAAGCAAACCAAATACTATGATTTATATCAATCCATATTTTACAACGATCCGGCTCCTGTGGCGCAGCAAGGAGCTGGATTGGCGCAGGCCTATGATGCCATTCATGCAACAACCACCCTTAGCGTTTCAAGCATCTCTCTCAACGATACGGACCATTTTGTGAATAGAACAGATTTTACAATCAAGAATGGGGCCAAACAAGCCGTGACTTATTCAATTGGTCATCTCCCCTCTAGGTCTAGAGACACTTTTAAAGCTGGTGTGTCAACGCCATCACAGAACTCCAATTCGAGCTCCGCGGCCGCAACATTAACTTTCTCGGCTACAAAAGTCACGATTCTAGCAGGCGGCTCTGCTAAGATTACCATCAAAGTAGCTCTTCCGCAAGGACTTACTCAAGCAAATCTTCCTGTGTACAGCGGATACATTTCGCTAAATGGCACCAATGGCGAGAAATTGGTTATTCCTTACTTGGGAGTAATTGGAAGCTTGGGCAGCCTTCAGGGTATAGATGCGGGCAATAGCTACATTTATCATTCAACAGGCCATTCCTGGCAACCGGCTCCTAACAACGATACTTGGACCATCCCTTACCCTTCAGTTGGTAGCCAGCCTCCAGCTTCAGCAGCTATTGACTGCCCTGCGCTATATATTTTGGCTAACACTGGTGTGCCTCTCATAAGGGCAGATATCATCCCCCTTGGTGATACACCAGCCAATACCACGAAAATTTTGGGTCTTGACACAGCTGGAAGCTTCCCCGGATATCCTATACAATGGGTCGACGCGAACATTTACCAAACTCCATTTAACGGCGTAACTCAAGAAGGCGTTATATTGCCAGAGGGCAGCTATGCTGTACTTCTGAGAGGGTTGAAGATATTTGGAAGCGCGAGCAATGCTGATGACTATTACATTGTGCAGACACAGTCATTTAACATCAAATATAACTCCACAGCGACTTAAGCAAATATCGGATGGGCCCATACAAAGTATATAAATACTATTTGTATATAGAAATATTATTTGATAGAAATTTTTATCCCTTTAGAGATGATCGGCATGCTCGCCACTTCTGCCACCTTCGCCGTTGGTGCTATCGCATTATATCTCTCCAAATATACGTGCAGATTTGCAAATTCTTTCAATATTGTAGCATGTACATTCAAATGCAAGACCCATATTTTGTGAAGCATACAATTGTTCGAAGCTGGGAGGAACTTTGGCAGGCACATGCTCCGATTAGAAGAGGACAATGGTGTTATTTTAAATCGCATCAGCAACGCCCCAACACACATGTTCGGATATTTTACGTGCAAGCTAAGTTGCAATTTGCAATATAAAAAAAGTAGTGTCGAAGGAACGGCTTTTGCGAAATAGTCTAACGTCGCTATTGGCAACCTTGATTTAGCGAGTATTGCATAGGTAGGTAACATAATAAATCATACTTATCTGTGCTGCTCGAGCATTTCAGTCGTTGGCGTTGCCTAAAGTTATACGTAGGATGCATCCAACTTGTCATATGTTAGATGAAAAACAGTCCCCGCTCTCATCCCCCGAGCTTGTTATCCTTGTAAAGGATGCCTAATCTGACATGATATGAAATGAAAACCAATATCCATGGAGCGAATATCTGAAAAGTTTTAGCTATATGGCCCTAGGAAGCCACTAGAAAATGCGTAAATATTCATCATTTTGCACAGAGTTAATGCTCGTCGACTAGCATTATTATTGAATTAAGAAGTGACTTATACGTATGATGTCCGAGATTGTAAAAGCTTGATAATAGAATGATTACCTATAATAGTAGCCCACGATAACGGCGTCTGGCCTTCGTTATCTGCTGAGTCAATGTTTGCGTTGTTATCGAGGAGTAATTTAACAACATTTTCAAACCCATAACGAGCAGCCAACGATAACGGCGTCTGGCAATCAAAATCTGCCGCCTCAATATTCGCGTTGTTATCAAGGAGTAATTTGACAACGTTTTCATGTCCATAACGAGCAGCCAATGATAACGGTGTCCGGTCATCAAAATCTGCCGCCTCAATGTTTGCGTTGCTGTCTAGGAGTAATTTGACAACATTATCATGACCATAACGAGCGGTCAACAATAACGGCGTCTGGCCATAAAAATCCGCCACCTCAATATTTGCGTTGTTTTCAAGGAGTAATTTGACAACGTTTTCATTACCGTTACAAGCAGCCCACGATAACGGCGTCCAGTAATTGTTATCTTTAACGTTTACATCAATACTCTCATGAGCAAGCAAAACCTTGATTGTGGCAGTATAGCCAGTCTCAGCGGCGTATGATAGCGGTGTCCGGTTAAAGCTATCCCTCAGGTTTACGTCTACCTTTTGAGAAATTAGGTATGCAATGAGGAATATTTCATGAAATTTGACGAGATTGTAGATAATGCCCCGTTTTCGCGAGAAAATATAGTATCGTCCAACACTGGGTTTGCTGGGTTTATTTTGGCAGTAGAGTTTATATAAATCGTGAAATGTGGATTCTTCGGGTACAATTTCCGATTGAGCGTCCAAAAATGCTTTCACCACTTCGCGACTATTGTTAACCAGCGCCGCAAAAATCGGTGTGCCATAACGCTCATCTCCAACGCCGAAATAATCCTCATCCGAATGAACATTAATGAGGTCTAGCAAATTATTTTCTGCAAGAATATAAAGTAACCTTGCCGATTCTGTATAACGTCGAGTATCGTATTTTTCGACCGCGTTGTTGAAGAATATCCATCGCTGGAGAGGAGCATTTTTGAGAAATTCTCTCTGTTGCATATCATTCCTTTGCGCAATATTGGCGTGGTGAAAGAGATTGCGAATTGCGTACCCTAGAAATGGAAACTTCGAATCAATCGAGCTCCTCAACTCAATTGCCTGGGAAACTTTTGGTAAAGATTTTGGCATATCAATATCTTTACTCATCACTTGAGCTAAGCAACATTCCTTAAGAAACTCGTGGCCATGCCCAGCTAAATTGCCGGACTCTTTAGACCATTTGCTGTAATTTTCTAACAAGAAACCTCGAACGGACTCATGGATAAATTGAACTTCAGAAGCTCGATTTCGTGTGACTTCAGCTAGACCCTTAGATGAACTCCTCACGAAAGCCGTCATCTCATCTGGTTCTATATCTTCTCTGTCCCAAAGACCCGAACATTCTTTATCGAACTTGAGCTGGACAGCAAAATAGAGCTCCGGGGGTTTGAGTGGGCGAGACGCGAAGAGGATCCATTTGAGACAAGCTTCTGTCAGATCAAGGTTCTCACCATCTCGTGTAAGAATCATCTGAAACAGGTCGTTTAATCTCGGTGGGATTTCTTTAAGACGATCGCGCATCTTTTTGATAGGCATCTTGCTTTTAGAATATTCACGGTTAAGAATATCAAGAACTAAGACAGCCCAAAGAAATATTCCAGAAGACTTCGCGAGAATTTCGTTTCGAAGGGATTCGGCTTGTTTCGACTTGCCTATCCTGAGCTTTGACTTGATGTAGTGTTCAATATCGTCTGTGTGTCCACGTTCGTGCTCTAAAATAATTTCGATTCCCTGTTGGATGGTCACAGTCGAGTAATGCCGGCTAGAGAAGCAGACTCGCAGCCAAAAGGACTTCTCTCTTGCGCTGTCGCATAGTTCCTCAAAGAAAGAAACCATATATGCAACTTGATCTTGGTTACACTCATCAAGCGCGTCGACGAATATTGTTAGCGACCTGCTGCCAAGTTTCTGAACTGCGTGTGCTAATGTTTGCTTCAAAGATTCCTCTTGCCATCTATTCCTCTGGACGGTCTTGGCACCATCAGCGGTCATCCATTCTAAACTGTCCTTTGTCTCTGGAATCTGCTGAAAGAGCTGATGAAGGAGAGAGCGATATAGCCCTATCGTTGACTTCTCGTCGTCGGTACCTCGCGCAAGAAAGAAAAAAGATAGAAGGATTTGTGATGGATGCCCTTTTGCGCCAAGCTTGGCTTCCTCGAAAAGGAATTTCATTAATGTCGACTTTCCCGTACCAGGATTACCTTTAATCCATAGTAGACCGCCGTGATCTGGTTGTTGTGCCATGTTATGCCAGGATATGTATTCGGGCTTAAAGAGGAACCAGCGACAGGTTCCCCTCTGGGCAGCTGTTAGGTGTGTTAGACGCTCGTCAATTTTGTCGAAATAGAGCTGATCTATTAATGACTGTCTCGTATCAGCGTGGATAATATGACTCTTCTTTGTAGCTGACGTGGGCATCTCCTCGATGACGGCGCCAGGCTCTGCTGACTCCTCATTCACTTCCAAAGGGCTAATCTCATTATATTGGTCCGGGGTGCCTTCCAAGATATTGGTTGTTGCCCTCCTGTGGTTATGGTATGTAGATACTAGGAGCTTTGGAACCGTATTCTCGGGAGAGTGCTCGCCGCAATTATGGCGTTTCCTGCGTCTATCCAAAATAGACCGTGAATCCTCTTCATCTAGTCCGCGCTTACGCCCGTCGCTCATAATTATCTGTTGTGGCACTATCCCACGAAATTAGACTGGATAGGATGTAGTGAGTTATCTGGCAGTATACGAACTTACCAAAATCGGGCGGTATTTCAGCCAAAACAGCTTTGGCGTAGGCAGCAGCCATTGCCGCAGCGTATGGCTGCCAGTCTTTATTTTTATGTTCGTCTCCATAATCACAAACTCCTCGGATGACGCCGACGGGAATGCAATCCATAGTTCCAGCTGCTTCCATCTCAAGACCAATCAGATTGTACTTATCCCTCAACTTGTCGCGTTCCCGAGCATTCTTCATTAACTTTTCTCCTGACCCTATTGATCCGTACCACACTCGAACTCGTTTGTCATCTGGCCTTTGATCTCGTTGGACCAAGCGTTCAATCCCGTCTCTATCAAATTGATAGAGCATATCAATATCCTGTCCAGGATCATGAAACGTACCGTAAGAGTGCTCTTTGTTTTGTATGCTTTTGTAATATGGTAAAAACAGGTTCGTATCCTTCGGCTCTTTAAGCTTGATACTACCAATGGCTGATCTGACGATAGTTTCTGTGTTGGCCAATGCATAGCCATGATTTAGAAGTTCAAACCCATCTTTGCCCGTCTCTTTCCCCAAATCGTAAGCTATAAGTCCAGCGCTATTACCCGCGGCCAAGCCAACAAGGATATCGCCGAGACGGATATCGAGCGGCGGATTTCGTGAGAGATTCGGAAGACCTGCTGCGACACCAACAAGCAAACCGAACCAAAGGTTTGGGAAGAAATTCTTGACCTGGCTCGCGAGAGCGGCGGCTGATCCAGTACCATATTTTTGACCAGCGGGGAAAGTTGCAATAATAACATTATGCCCACATACGTCGCCGGCTTGGAAGACGTAGTCATTCCCGGGGGCCATGCGGAAACTGCCATTATGCCTGTTGTCCAAGAGGTGGAGCGCCGCCCGGGCCTCGATCTCCAGTGGAGCAAACCACGCGACAGTGTACGCTGCAGGATCCAATATATTCCTCGAAGAAGTCATGGAAATCAAAGAAATATTAGGATCGTAGTCGGCGCGTCGAGAGGTGTGCGCTGGATTCGCGTTCTTGGGGCGCTGCGTAGCGCTGTCACGCCGAGATTTCGTCGATTAGATAGATGTAGATAATTTTTCTGATTCGTTATCAAATATTCGCTTGCAGGTAAATAGAACAAGGAAAAGGATTGTAAATTGCAAGAGAAAGGGCAATAACCCAATGAAAATGCTATTCGATTTCAATCTTTCTCAGAAGTATATTAGGGACTGAGCGCCTGATAAAAACAAAAAAAAAAAAAGCGTCAAGGCTGATCGAAAATATGCCTTGCAGAGAGGATACAAACACCACCCCTCGCAGCCCAAACTTCCGAAGCAGCCCAACCGCGACGAAGTAGATTTGTTTTGATTGGCCCATCTAATTCTGATCTCATTAGTGCAGCGAAAATCTCGTTACTGTATCGCAAATAACTAAGTGCAATCTGTTAATGAGCAATAAAACCTCGACGCAATTTCCACTGTTAAGCAACTTTTATATCACATTCATTGCACCTAGTCAATCAACCGCATTAAATTGAAAGTATTACTCTAGGCAATATCTTTTTGCTATCCAGGCAATTGAGAGAGCATTTGCTAAAAAGTCTATAAAATAATTCTTTTATAGTAGCCTTTATTAAACCTGAGCGTTCGCACAAATTTTTAGTCTCCTTCTACTTTCTCACCACATCCACGTCGGTATGTAAGAGGCTACCACTCAATCCTACTTTGAGGGATGCCCGCCATCCTGGCTCCTTGGTCGGTTCTGTAATTTCTCTGTCTATAGGCTCCTCCTTGTACAATCGTTTCCAGACAGCACATGGTTTGTTATAGAAGTCAATGCCAATACATGTGATACCTACATCATATAAATTTAGCGTGTGGGGAAGCTTTGCGAAATATCTCTATGCAAGGATCCATCGTTGCTTTGAGAGGAAAGGAGGAGCAAGTAAAGTTGATGTTATATGGAGTGACCTGGTCCGAGTGGGCCGCGCTATAGTTGATACGGCTCGGGCCGTCAACCTGCTGCTATGGTAGAAAATTTGGAGCAAAAATGTAGTTCTTCCGAGCCATTCTAATGAGCGGAAATTGATTAGTTGTAGCTTGCGTAGTCTCCCATATCAACACTGCCAATCAAACGTATGTCCTTTACTACTGCCATGGGCGACTTGACGGGCCACTAGGCTACATAAAATTTGCCTGGTGTAATAGAGCAGGGCTTAAGGCTTCAACGCGGCGTATTGCTGTCCAATCAAACACACTATGCCAAAGTTTGGAGCTATCCACTCCATAAAAAGGGCTGCAGCCAAGGCTGTGAGAAATGTTGCTTAATCTCTTCCTGTAGTGTATCTCTCTGAAAACGACCGCCCCTCCTATTGTCAAAGTCCACCTATTCAATTCTTTCCTGTTTTTCGCTTTGCCAACGCTCAGTCGGTGTAATTTTAATTTTCAGTGTTTTTAGGATAGAAAACTGAAACTCGTGTAGAGAAATGCTTCATCATTTTAAGTTGGATATCTACAATAGGCTCTATTTTGTTGTGCATTATGCCATATAATCCTCCAGATTAGGCGTATACCCCATACTTTATCTTCAATGCGCAAATCTAAAGTCTAGCCTCTTACTGCCTTGGATAGTCTTATTAGCGGCATATTCCTTTTTCGCTTCTTCACTTAATGCGTTCCAAGCCTTGTCGCGCTGCTTGTTTCGGAAAATGTAATAAACCTTTGCAAGAAGGAAGAGTACAATGCCGAGTATATTAATAATGAAGAGATTGAAGTTACCGCGGTGATAGAGCGGGGCGTCACTTTGTACGTATATATATGCAGATATGATGCTCCCAACTTGAACACACATCTGACAAGATAAACAAGTTAGCAATGGAAAAGCTGATAAAATACAATTCTGAGCTTGGCCATCAAGCATGTCTTACATTGTATATCGCAGCTGATACTGAGCGTGTGCCAACATTATTAGAATTTTTTGATGTCCAGCCAACCAAAATTGCATCTACGGGAATGGAGAGTTAGCAGCATACGTGAAAAGGGAAATTGCGCTTCTGGGACATACGGCAATACGGGTATGATGTCAACACCGTAACGAGAGCGTATGTGCCCCATTGATCAACCATAACACCAGGCCACCAACGCAAAGCAATGACGCACGGAAGTGTCCATAGAACTTGTATCATAGACACTAAGGCGCGTTCGTTTAGCCATTCCGACAGTCGAGTGATTAAAATAAGATTGATAATGTGGAAGACATTCTAAAACACAGTCAGTTGAGTTACAACATCATATTGAGAGCCGTCTGCCACAAAACAAAGCGCTAGGTAACACCCACGTATGGAATTATCAACAAGTTAGTGGTGAACGGATCAAATCCTATTTTCCTCAATGTAAGGGTGATGTATGTCGCAGGTGGACTCGGAGGTATAAAAACAACTACGCCAAGGATATAAATCGGCCAGAGATCGAAATCCTTTAGCGTCTCCCACAGTCGCCTTGGTGTAATGGCTTCGCGGTTATGCATATCCCCCTTGGACGGATCGTCCCTCAGAACTCTGTTGACGACGATAGAGACCTCTCGGTCTGTAAACCAGCCTTTGGGGCGGAACCATGTCTTAGTCTGTACGGCAGAAGCTGGCATTAGGAAGAAGGAAGCAAGCCCGACAACAAGGGTGATGAGTCCTTCAACAAGGAACAGCCACCGCCAGCCAGCCCAGCCGTGAACACCACGGAGGTGTAGCAGAGCAAAAGCAAGTAGAGAAGTGGCAATTCCAGTAACGGATAGAGAAGTCCAAAAGTAACTGAGGCGGACTGGAAGCTCACGAGACGTATAAAAGTAAGATAGCCAAAGAACAATGTCAGGAATAAATCCTCCCTAGTATTATTGGTCAGCTTGAGGACTGAAATTTTGATGCGGCAAATACGGGAATAGCGAACCTCCAAAAATCCTAGAAGACTCCGTGTACAAAGAAAGCTTGCACGGCCAGTCAAAGCACACTGAGAAATGGCAACAACAGACCATAAAACCATCTGTACAGGAATCCACCGGTCTGGGCCAACCATCTTCGATACGAGCTGCGAGGGAAGTTCAGCACAGAGGAAAGAAATTCTAAATACGCTATTGCCGTAGTTGTAATCTTCATTCTGTTAGCGGCAGGCTCATCCTAGGCATAGCGATGCCAGAGGTGCATATTTACCGTTCGTAGTCAGTCCCAAGTCATCTAGCATATTATCCGACACAGCCTGTGCAAGGTTTCCACGGTCGACTTGGAGGCCGAAGAACATGACACACTATACACCTCATGAAAATGCATGTTAGTAACCTCTCCAGTAGCCTTTCATGGCATATGATGTTACACGCACGGCCCAGAGGCAAATCCGCCAATCCAACTTCCTCACGAGGCGACGCTCCTCTTCTTCCGACCAAGATAGCGTCGGGTCAAACACATGCCGGCACTCATAATTTGACTTTTCATATACTTCTCTCCAGTGTTGGGCAACAGCTGGGTCCCTGAATGGATTTTTCTCCTCATCATATCCGCTTTCCTCGGATGCCGGAACATCGCGTAATAGTTGGGCTTCGCTGGGACTGGTGGACTCGATGATACTAGAAGTCACTTCTTCTGTGCTGGTGTAAATTTTGATGTCCTTTCCGTCCACCGCCATTGTAGAATGGAGTCGATGGCGTGAAAGCTCAGCTCAAAGTAGGCTTTCCGACTGAATCTAATGCTACGCAGATCTGGCGATGGCTTTTCCCGTGCTATAGTAGCGACCAAGAGAGAATTGATATGCCATCCAAGGAGAGACTACCAACATATAATGATAAGCCCGCTCATGACTTTATAATTCTACATTCTTGGCATCTTTAATTATGCGCTATGATTGCGTGCTAGAATTACCGGGTTAATGGCACTTTGTATTCAGCAGCACATTTAGAGCTGCCTCTCCCCGCAATGTGCCGCGTGCGAAGATGAATTGCGCCATCAGCCCAAGAAGATCCTCGATTGCGCTATTCGGTACAACAAATGCGAGTGGCGGGGAATCCCATAGGTGTCTCTGCAGAGGAAGTCAACTTAGTAGTATTCAAAACAGCGGTTGGAGACGTTATCAGCAATATAGAGAGGAAGCGGTCGGCCTTTTGCGAGGACATGGGGATCTGGCTAAGCATCATAGCCGCCAAGCCTAAGGGTTGTGGGGTGCCTTTGAAGTAAGACATGAGCGACAATGGTGATTCACCATCATACACTAGTTATCCAGTACACTAGAATTGTGTAAATTATATGCAAAATTTCCGAAAGGTAAATTGATATTGATGTTTATTTAAACTTAAAATCCGCCTCAAAGTAATTATCTGCGGAGCTGTAAACCTCCACGTCTATGGAATGCTGCAGCAATGTTGGATTGTCAAGAATAGGCGCTTAATGGCTACCAGATGATATCAGGTTAGTTATTACAATGCCAATCGCGAGGTGGCAGATTTGGACAAAATATTTGTGTTAAAACTTTAAGTAAAACTGCGCTTCCCGCGGAGATGCTTATCTTTCGCTCTTTATAAGATTGGTTGTTGTCAGCTGGTCTTGGTAGTCGCTTCCATTCGAATGTCGTGATATGGCGACATACACACCTGGAAAAGTGTCACGATCATAGGCCTCGGCCTTATTGCTGAATTTGCTAGCAACGTGACTAAGCAATAACAACGCCCGCCCAGTAATGGGGAATAGTTCCCTCTCTCTGAAAAAGGTGAGACAAACTGCGCTGGCCCTTGATAGATTTTAGAAAGTCGACAACGCGCATCGTGTATCAAATACGAGCGATCCGCTATATAAGACGCGATGCAACTGGAAGATATTTTAAGGTTGTAGGGCAGTGGTAAGACTTAGGGTCTGCTGAAGCATTTTTGTCATTCCTAACCGGGTATATTTTCTCTCTCGTTCCATCTACCCATAGTGAAAGTACCATCATCGTCTATGAACAAGTGAACGTGTGCAGTTTGCAGCTTACTAGAATATGATTAATGTCCAGAAGTTACGCTAGCCGCGGCGTGGTGGAGCTTAATGTGTTTATATGTAACCGAATGGTGTTATGCATAAATTGACGGGCTTGGTCCTCGCTCTTCCAATATGGAGAAATTGCTACCCAGCAAAGCTGCCGCTGAGTACCAAGTAATGGACTATTTACATGTAAAAACTGCCTCTACTCAACACAGCCCGCGGCTACTTCTTGGTACCTACATGCCTTACATGGCAACCCCGTTTAGCAGAATTCCAAGGAGCCAAGAATTTTCAATCTCATCAGCTCGAGCTTTAAGCTCATCAACATCCCAGTTGACCCAGACAAACTTGCCCTTGAGAAATTTAGCCTCCGGTGACGCAACCCATAGCGTGAATTGACCAGCAAGTTCAGCTGCGATGCATAACCTTAGTCAAGTGTATAGATCCCCTCAATGTGGATGAGAACTTCAATCATTACCACGATATGGAATATATGCACAGAACATCTATTACAGAGGAGATACAAAAGGCACTCCCGGAAGCGATCGTTTTCAAGATATTCAATACTATTCCAGAAACACTCCTTGATGTCTCTAAATGGACATCGGGTCACGTCCCACCGGTTCTATTGGCTGGTGGAAGCTCAAACTCTGTGGACATAGCTCGGAAATTGATTAAAGATGCTGGATTCGTACCAAAGTATGCAGGGTACAACCTGGGAGATTCCGGTTTGTTGGAACGTCTGGGCGTCTTGCCACACCGTCTGGCAGAGAATGAGGTTCATGGCGATGCGAATATCGCTTTTGACGTCTTTCAGAGGAAAGCCTAAGCACTTCGTAACGAACGACGCTGTCTTACATTCATGAATATAACTAGCTAATGCTCTTAGCTGGGACAATAGAAGATGAAATAGATAATACAAGGATTGAAAAGGAAAAAGAATTGTCACTTATGTATTATTCTATCCTATTCTAAAATATTTTATGTTAGTCTCAATATACTGTAACTGCAACTGCCGAATTAAGTCCCGCGTCGACCATCTCTTGGATGTGGCACCGCCTTTTGATGGAACATAAGTTTTTCTTGCAATAATTATTAATTCTGAATGTTCTAATCCCGAAATTTTAGCCATGCGAGAATACATATATGATAAATTAATTCAGGCAATATACTTGCCTAACTGATGCGGGACACAATACGCTGTTGACACTTTACATGACGATCTCTAGTGATCGATAGCATTGGCTTGGCCATAGTGCTCACTTCGGAAAGTAACATGATTCTTGGTTGACATACTTTGACCTTTCCAAATTAGTCTATCCCTTTACAAACCATATATCCCAATGCAACAATCCTGCCAAGAAGATAATATAGCAGTAGCAAGTAGTGCTATAAGTCAGCTCGTGGGCTCGCAGCTGTCGAATGTCAGCAAATAGCCACCTACTCTTGAGACGGGGGCCTAAATATTAATACGAGAGATATCGATGACTTTTATCCTTTAACTACCCAATGTTGATATCATATAATTATCAGAGTGTGATAGCATCAATGTTTTGCGATGGGCGGTAGCTAGCGGCGCCATGTCTCCTTCACCACTGTCGGTGCCCCGAATATCAATGTCAGCACTGCACTGCGTGCGATCCTCTCCCGCTCAATGGATGCTTAAGTTTATACCGAGGATTATAATCTTGAAATTGCTGCAGGTCGCATTTTAATCGATTCTCATTCATTTGATATAGAAGATTATCAAATTTCTTTGACGCAATATTGAATGCGAGCACCGTATAGATTCTAGCTTGGATGGAGCACCAACTGTATAAAGCAATTTACCTACATACATATCTTGGCAGTTAAGGTCATTCGTAGAATTATGAATTTAAGAATCAAAGTACGATGAAAAGAGACTATTTTGTAAATTAATAACAGATGACACAAATTTTGTAGCCTCAAGAGCCCCTTTCAATTTTGTTTAGCTATACCTCAGGCACTAAATCGTTGACAGCGGCGTCGAATCAGATCCGAGCATGGCCTGTTGGTGGTGACGTAACGCTGTAGGAGGCCGCGCCACCTCGCTATTGAAGCCTAAACATGGAGCTTTTGATCCAACTTTGTTAAGGCATCCGCATCAAGCTTCCTATCACTTCACAAACACTCAAGCTTTCCAGAATGGCGAGAGTCGATACCCCAGACGTCTCTGACGACGATTTTGCCATGATCAATTCGGCCACCTCTGATGGCCCTGCAGCCGCTTACCAGACCCCCGAACTTATAAGCCGCTTCCCGCGAAGTCCAAAACCAGCACCATCAAGATTAAATTCGGATGATGATGCCGCTGCCGAGCAATCTCAAGGCTATTTCCTTGACGGATCCATCCCCTCATTCTTTAACCCACAGGGAAAAGACGGCAACCTCTCGAGCTACTTTGGAGATGTCCCGGGCCTGAAATACGGAAAATCGCTATACAAGAAGCTGAGTAACAAGGATGATGTTTTGATCGCCGTGATGGGGTAAATATATATTCTACACACCAGCTAAATCCCAGTTAGAGTGAATGCTTACTATTTTATACAGCATGACTGGGTCAGGAAAGACAACATTCATTGCAAATGCGACCGGGCGAAAAGATCTAAAGATCGGCCATGATCTTACTTCATGTACGGCTCTTTTTAGTATTCCAAGCATCAGCACTGCTTTGCTAACGAAACGATTCATCAGGCACTCAAGAGATACAGATTGTCGAGACCATCATTGACGGCCATACGGTCCGTTTCGTTGATACCCCGGGTTTCTCAGATACATATCTCTCAGATACCGAAGTCCTCGAAATGATCGCAGATTATCTAGCTGCTGGATACTCCAAAGACCTGCGTTTGTCGGGCATCATATACCTCCACCCAATCTCAGATAACCGTGTCACTCATCATGCCACAAAGAATCTCGACATGTTCCGCAAACTAACTGGGGAGAAAAATCTCAAGAATGTAGTCCTGACAACCAGCATGTGGGATAAAGTCGTCCCGGAAGAGGGTCAGAAGCGCGAACAGGAACTCAAAGGCAAATTTTGGAATGTTTTGATGGCTTTTGGCGCGGTATACTCCCGACATAATGGATCCGCTGAGTCGGCCAAGGAAATAGCGTCCATGTTTGTAGACAACAAACCGTTTTACCTACAGCTGCAAGAAGAGATGGGAAAAGACAACAAAGCACTCAAAGACACTGCTGCAGGAAAGGAGATTATGGCCGAGCTCACTCGGATGAAGGAACAGCACCAGAAAGAGCTTACTGAGATGAAAGAAATGCTTTTGCGGACATCGGCTGAAGAGAATAAAGCTGCTGTAGCGGCTCTTGAAGAGCATTATAAGAAGATGCTAAAGGACATGGAGAAGACGCTTTCAGATGAGAGGAGGATGAATGAAGAGGCTGTTAAGTCGCTGACAGAGAGGATCAGCGCTCTCGAGAAGAAGGGAATCTGTTCTGTCATGTAAATAGAGATACCGTATTTTTGTCTACTCATTCAAAATGCAACTAATATAGCATCAACCATGGTCACTGCCTGCCGTGATAGGCAGTACAAAGCTTCACAGTGAATGTTTACATCACTCGAGCGGTAAATTCATGACAATCCAATACTTCATCAGAGTCTCTCTGTTTCCAGCAGCTTTTACCACATGTCTCATATTCTTTAATTATCAGTAATGCTCCTTGCATTGCTCAGGGCTCTAATATTTATTGCCAGCAGGACCCCCTATTCTCCAGCCATGTCTCACTATCGTGGGGTACGATGTTGTAGCTACTAATGTTGCCTCGTGGTACTTGCTGAGCCAATCGGCTGGAGGTACATGCATATGACATCCCCGCCTACAAACCTCCAAGGAAATTCCAGATCTCATTTCAACTTGATTGCTCTTTTAGATGGTCACATCACCATAACCATCGCTCAAATTAGGATATCAATGTTATATATCACAATCAAATGGAGGTCGACGGCTTCGCCAAGTATCTCGCCGCTACCGGCCTTTCAGCGCGCGAGGCTGAGATTCGGGCATATGTAGCACAGGGCGCCGAAGATGTACGCGCCATTATGAATTCTTCGCTCTCGTCCGATGACTTGCGACAGATTGCAGCTCGCGAAGTTCACGCTGCCATTCGTGGACGCCAAGTCGCTGGCATCATCTGGTATCTCACATCGCTAGCAGTTGAACGCAACCAGTCTTTTCAATCTGGTGCCTTTCTCTGCCTTGATCCCGCTGGTCGACTTTCTGCTTTCTTTTTGGCTATTGGAAGCCCACGAACCAGCAGTCATCTCAGGCGCCACAGCGCGCCAGGCTGTACTGGAGGAGTTGATCTCGTTACAGATGGCGCTTTACCGCCGCTCGCTAACAATCACCGGCATGTACTTTTTATTACTATCAAAAACGATAAATATCGTGGAAATTGTTTATTTGTTAAGCCTGAGCCTTACGGCATCTCAGGATTCCGAGACTTTGGCCACCACACTGATCGCTACGTACGCTCGCTCACGCGTCGGCTCCGATTTGGCGGCAACGATCGTGATGGGATGCGAAAGGAACGTATTCCAGATCGTTATGTCAAAGCTTTTTCAGAAGCAGTGGTTCGTCTTCCGGATGGCGTGAGTGCCATTGCAGATGTTGGTAAAAAAGGAGCAGGCGAAGGTATTGCTGGAATGCATGCCTATCTTACCACAAAGACCAGTGATTCAAGTCTCTCCAGGCCTGCTCTGGTGGCATTGCTACACCAGCTTGAAACAGAATACGATTTTGTTAGCTTGCGGTTTGGCAACGAAGTATGCCTTGATCTCGGGGCGGAGATCTGTAGGATATTGCCTAGAGCGCCAGGAATTGTCGGCCCATCACCGTCGCTTTCGTGGCTGCAGACAAAGGAACAAGAGTCTCTGATATCTGTAATCACTACAGAGTTTCAGGAGCCCGCCAGAGGCGTTTAGTCTTGAATGGGGTTATAGCGACTTATGGTCCATGTTGATGCAAACTGCAGAGGCGTTAATATTCGCAAACACTGCCAATGTGTCATATGCCTACCTAAGTAATCATCGTGGCTGAGAACCTATATTCTATTGAGTTATTGAAGTTTTAAAAAGGGTCAAAAATACTGAGACAATATAGAGTAATATACGATAGTCATTTTTTTAAAGAAGAATATAAGAATTATAAATATATAAATCAGTATGTAATTTTCGCCAGTTATCATATGAAATGTGCGGATATACAAATGCATGTAGTAGTTATGACAATCATGTATAGTATATATAATTATATATATGCATGCATATACTTTTCTCTTATAGGTCTTGGGTGATTCAGTAGATTCACCAGAAGACAGTGGCATTGGATCAAGCATTACGTCGACAACTAATGCAGACTGCGTTGAGTCGAGCTATGCCGTATCTTCGCCAAGCTCCCGCGGAATAATATCTATACTCCAGAAAGCCAGTTAAATAATTCTATAGATACCGATAATTCTACTTAAGAAGGCAGATACAGGATGTGGTGTCTTGTGCTCACGAAAAGACGAAGTTCTAAATAGTGGTATGTTACACGGATAATGAGAAACATTTTATGAATTGTGGTTGATGTATTACCAATGCTATAGCTCGAAACTGTGCTTCATGCTATTCGCCATGTTAACGGATGGATAATGTGCCAAATGTTTATCCATACTATTTTCGGTAAAGAAAGGCGAGGTTCTTTGCCCAGAGCACTATTGTTTCAACAGTTTCAACAGTTGACGACTAACAAAAGCCGTTTATCTTGCTTTTCTGACATTACATGCCAGTAGTTGATCATGTTTTCCAAAACGAAACTATACTAAATGACGTATTCAAAAATGAAATTTGGGTTTTCGAATCTGTATTGTAGTATAGCATCCGCGTCTTTTTGGTCAACTGTATACATGTACATATCTATGGCTTTGGCGCCAGATATTTAGCAGTGATTGTAGTGTGAAATCTCTTCAATAAATAACACTTAATCTTGTTACATTTTCCACAGCGGAAGAAAGGTTTCGTAACCTCGTATTGTTCTCAAACACTGGAGTCTATAAATATTCCGAGTCTCTCCGCAAAGATCCTAGCTCAATTGGTGTGTCGTAACGAGCTGGAGATGCCCATTTTGGTGGTTTGGACCGAGTTGCCAGAGATGGAGCTATGCAACTGCTTTTTTGGGAACTCTTTCGCTTTCATTATCTAATAATAGAATTGCTTTAATGGATATAAGAATTCCGCTACTAGGTAGTTGTTTATATCTGTCATAGTGCAGAGATTGTATGTTGCTATTGCTCCACTTCTCGATCGCGGTACAGATACTTGCCGATTACGGAGCGGAGACACCTGCAGTGAAGAGCACGCAATGCTACTGCGTATTACTATACCGTTATTAATGCCAACAAAATGTGTTTTATACTTGGAAGAAAGTTTCAATCATCAATCACAGTTGGACATAAAGGCTGGTTTACCTTTGACTAGGAGAGCTGTGCTTACGCTGCCTGCTCATAAAACGGCCTAATCAACCGCAAGAAGGATGGCGCCAACGACAGAGCCAATATACATTACGTACCTTAATGGCCTGGATGTTGCGGAGCTTAAACTCACTGATGAAGAGATACTTGGGGCCATTGAGACGGCTCTTGATGCTCAGGGTCGCAAGGAGACAGTGATCGAGCCCCGGGTCCATCTCGTTCCGCGCGATTCAGCCAAAGGCCATTTCAACGTTTTGCGCGGAGTTGTTCACCCTCTGAATGCGGCAGGTGTCAAGGTGGTTGGCGATTTCGTTGATAACTACAAGCATGGTTTACCGTCAGAGTTTGGAATCCTGAACTTGTTTGACCCAGAAACTGGTGTGCCCCGAGCAGTTATAGATGCAACATCTATTACAGACATGCGCACTGGTGCAGTTACAGCACTAGGCGCGAAATATTTGGCACCCAGTAAGCCCAAAATCTTAGGACATATTGGCGCGAGAGGCAGTTCTTACTGGAACATCCGTCTGTTGGCTAGCCTCTTCCAATTTGACGAAATCCGGATCCATTCCAAGCGCAAGGAGAGTCGTGAAGCACTGGGCGCACGCCTAGAGAAAGAGCTAGGAAGACCGATACGCGTGCTGGACAACTGGGAAGAAACCATTGTAGAAGCAGACATTGTCGTTGAGGCGTCACGGTTGGCAGCACCAGAACCGCTGCTAAAGACGAGCTGGATCAAAAAGGGCGCGCTGGTGATGCCTTACGGCACAATGAGTGCCCTAGAGCTCTCGCTGACGGACATCATGGACAAGATGGTTGTGGACGACTGGGGTCAGTGCCGGAAAGGCCTGCCGCTGGGTGCCTTGCGACAGCACGTGGATAACGACAAACTAACAGAAGAGAATCTCTATGCTGAGATGGGCCAGATTGTGGCCGGGGTGAAGAAGGGCAGAGAAAGTGATGATGAGACAATACTGTTCTGGCATCGAGGTCTAAGTCTCAGCGACATTGCGCTTGGGACGGCTATCCTGGACAAGGCAGCAAAGTTGGACATCGGGCAACGCCTAAGATATGCTTAGGCTTAAAACAAGTGTATATATGGAGTGGTTATAATGCCTATAAATTAATGGCCGATATTTTCCAATGCAATGGCTTTTTCTGTCAAGTTCGTGCTTTCTCCAATGTGTCGTATACATTGCTTGTTAGTAGAAACACCTACTCTTACCGTCCGTTATCTGGCCTGTAAACGTAGCATTTATACATAAACTATTTAAAATTTGGAGCTACATAATCATCCAAATCCATCTCATTCACGGTTTTCTGCAGATACTCAACCTGCGCCTGCACCCACTCCTTCGTTAGTCGATGAGTCTCTGCAGCCGGTCTTCCCTCAGCCTGCAACATCTCACGTATCTTGGCCAGGCGCTGTGCTACAACGTCAAAACGATAGTCTGCCCATTGCCGGAACAGCTCGTCATTGTTGCTGATGGGCTTGACAGTACGCAACGTGCTCGTGTCCGGCAGCAGCGGATCGCGCGGACGCATTGAGACAACAAAGGTAATGCGCTCGCCGCTACCAAGAGTGCGCAACGCAGCGTGTGAGACCATGCTGCCTTGCATCATCACGGCATATCCCATACCGGGTTGCCTCATCTTCAAGATACCGCCATCGCCTTTGCGCAAGGCTGTCTCGCCTCCTGACATACCGATCGGATCAGAGAGCATGAGCACACATACCCAGGGGTATGAGTCGCGATGCCACGCAGAAACAAGATCTTTGAGATCTGCACCCTCTTCTTCTGGTTCAATATCATTGTCACTTGCTTTTGGCGGATCTGGCGGAGGTAGGTTATCCGTAATGGCATTGCTTTTATCCACATGCTTTGGCAATTGTACGTTGAGTTGTCCAATCTCATAATCCATGATGACATCCAAGTCTACACCAGCCGCATCTGAACAGGCCTTCAGCACCTCAGGACTTCGCCACATGGAGTAAGCAAATGGTGCAGCTTGCCCGTAACCACGAATGCGGTAAACACCAGGATATTTCCACGAGCCATAGTTGCCAACAATCTCGGGGCGAAAGATATCGGCACGCAGCTCACGAACACCGGCGGGAGTTAGAAGCGGAAATGGTGCAGTGATGGCCGTTTGTGAACTGGCTTGCGGGAAGTCGAGGCCCAGATCGTCAAGACTGATTGTTGATGTGGGTTGATTGTAGCACAGATGCTGGAGAGGGTCGAAAAGGACTGCCTCTTTTTGTGATGCCACTTCTATCGGCTCGCCTAGTAGCTCACTTGATGCGGGCTGAAGAGGTCTCGCAACACCAGCTGCCGCCATAGTTAACAACTTGTATGGTTGTTTTGTATGGTTGTTTTTCGCTTGAGATTTGGCTGTGAAGACTCGTGATACCAACGAAGTGATAGCCTCACTTTGCCATATTTGAACACACTTGCACTAGTTCCCACATATCCACTTGCTGCCACCGATAACGGTCAAAAAGACGACTTTAATCTTCATTTGAAGATCACAAAGCAATCACGCCACCGCATGCTGCAAGCACACGATCAACGCGCTTACACAATCTCACATTAGCGTCGTGAGTAATTCAGCCTATGACTAAACATTGAAGTCGGCTCAAGACAGTCAACCTGCGCCTTGAATATGTAGCAGAGTTGTAGGATCTTGGTTGTTATTTGTTATTTGTTAAAGTTATTTGTTCGATATTATTAGGTATTTAGATGATAGGGTTATGTGGTTTAGAAAAGAGTGTGATAGAGCAGTATCTCTACAAAATTTGATACAGTCTAGTAAACAATAGCCCAAGAATGCGAATTTGTTACGATAAAAAACTGAGATAGTGACCAAGCAGTATATACTATTCATTTTACTAACATGATACGTGAGTTGCTGTTTCATCTTCTAGCGATCGATCTGTAACTTCCATTTGCTCGCTCATAGTTTGATCCTGGATAAATGCAAGCAATATCTATAATGCTGCTCTTCGGATGGCAGATACTGTTCAATTCAATCGTAGAGCAATCTATTATTATTAGATTTTAGCTGCGATGGTAGATAACAGCTGAGGCATTGAGGTTAAAACTGTAGCCACTGAGAGAAGTATGCCATAATATACTCTTTTTTATAAGCTAATGAGTAATTGGTTGGATCAGCTTTCCTAATATCCTTTGGTTCTATCCACTTTGTTTGTGAGTTCCTTCCCTTCACTCATTCGGACGAGGTTGTACTTGAGCACCTCAAATACTCTTCGAGCGTAAGTAATGGAGTTTCCACTAACATGTGGCGAAATGAAGAGATTTTTTGTGCTCCATAAGGGGTGACCATCTGGCAAAGGCTCGGGATCTGTCACGTCGAGTGCAGCTCCGCGGATAATACCATTCTCAAGTGCATGAATCAGGTCATCCGTAATGATGACTTCTCCTCGTCCGATGTTTGAAACGAACGTCTTCTGTTCAGCAAGCAAAGCTAGTTCTGTCCGTGAGATGATACCACGGGTCCTTTCTGTAAGTGGAATGGTGATGACGAGTAGATCAAGGCCAGAGCTAAGGAACTCGTGCAATCCCTCTGTATCTTCGGCCGAGAACCATTTGCTAGGGAAGATACCTTTCGGGTCACCAAGACCTGCCGGTGTATATGTTTCATCCTTACGCGACTCGGGTGTAGCTCGCAGATGTAAGTTGCATGCATAGATATCCATACCCAGTGCTTTCAGAACACGAGCAATCTGACGACCTACAGCGCCGTAACCAAGAATACCACTATAATAGAATCAGAGTCATTGTTCTGTGCATATTGATGGTAATAGTTAGGCTTGTCTCACACTCGTCGTCCCACTGCATCATATACTGGATCGTCCAACTTATGCCACGTCTTCTGGCGCTGGAAATCAATATATTGGGGAACTGTGAAACCGAGTTAGAAGTTTACCAAGTTACAAATCTGTTGAAGCGGGTTTGACTTTGATGTTGGAAAGCTAAAAATGTAGTCACTACCCATTCAGCTATCTGTGGTCTTGACAACGGGTTAGCACTCAGTGATTTAAGTCAATTCGTGAGGAACTGTACCCATGCACGCCGCTAGCTGTACAAAGAGCAATATCTGTATCGCTGAAGAGGGGATTTTGGAGGATATGGTTTGCTCCGGCGCTTTGTATCTGCACATACTCCAATTTAGGAGCAATATGTGCCGCAGGTAAAGCACTTCCAGTAACAAGGATCGTAACGTCTTTCCACTCTCTCTCTGGGAATTTCTGGTCGAATGCTGGCGTATTCCATATACAGCCCTCAACAGTGACTATTTCAAGGCCTGAAAACAGTTCTTTGAGTTCTGCAATCCACTCAGGCTGGAATATAGTTCCGAGGAGTATCTTTGGTGGCCCTGTCACTCCGAGCAGCACAAGCAATTTGTGGCCATCGAGGGCTTTATTTGCGGTTGGGGGCATAATTAGTTATTTTGACTTAAACTATGAAGTGCCTGTGCTGGTTACAGATCAACGTGGCAGTATAGTATGAGATGGCAGAGTGTTTCTTGACTGTACTGCTATTTAAAGATCAAGGTTGGGCGAGAGGGACTGAGAATATTAACAGAATAGGCTCCCTCGGTAACTCGGCGTGCTAAATCCACTACCGGGAAAGCGAAGGCGTATGTCTGTTTGTTCACATTATGTCAGCAGTGCTGCAAGGTTTTTATCTCGCGATATTAGCTTGCTATGGTCAAAGTAAAAGTGGACATGTTATTTTACTCCATGGCATTCAGACCTTGGAAAGTAACAAATGGAGCAGTCTGAACAGTTGCGATGGAGTCAGATTTCCATTTACATGAATAGAGTTGGAATACTCTTCAACCGCTAAATGGAACTACAACCAATTCCACACTTTTCCTTCCAGAGACTTGAAGCCAATGGAATTTACCAACTTTATCAGACGAAATATATACGCTAAGATACAGACATCGAAGGAGGAAATCATTCGATGAATCGATCATAAAGTGCGGACATTCATCTAATTATACCTGCCACATAATATTATCCAATTGGATTATTGCTCGTTGCAGCTAAAAGAAAAATAATACCAGTTATTTTGGGTAGCTAAATACATGTATTTAGGACCCTAGACTATAGATTGATCCTAGGCCTAGTAGCAAGACATTATAGAAATCGCATAGCAACATCCAATATGGGCTTATATCGAATTTACTCGCGCTCTTTCAGTCTCATGTCCTTCATCGCAAACATTGCGAAAAATGGCACCGACAATACTGCCAACGCTACAATGAGAAGGACATGCATAACTTCTGTGTAGCTCTTATCAATAGCAGTCCTTTCTGGACTTCCGGGAGAATATGATGAGGCCACTACGAAAGAATTTTTTATTTCGATCGCTGCTGGCTGTGCTGAATCAGGAAGATTAATGCGTAGCTGTGGGAGGAGGAGAGCTGTCCAGATGATACCTGATAAAGCGTTACCAATCGCCCCCCCAATAGCTCCGGAAACCTCGTATAAGGTTGTTACTGATGCCACATCTGTACCAGAAAGCTTATTGTTTAGCTATTAATGTATTTTCGGTATTAAATTGGGAGAGTCTTCATACCTTGATGCTCTGTTACTGCTTGAACAGCAGTTTGTGCGATAATAGAGATCATCCCTGTCCCGGCCCCTGATATTAGCTGGCCAAATAATATCTGAACGATGCTTGCATTCATGCTAGAGTATCTGAGCATCAGCCCCGCGCCGATTAACTTTAATATCATTCCGAGCAGAATAGCCCATTTATAAACACCTGTTAGCTTGATAATGAAGGCCACAAGCAATCCAATGACGGCCGTCGCAACTGCTTGAGAGGCAGTGATATTTGTTGCCGCCTTCGCCGATTGATTGTTGACAATAACAATAAATGAGAAGAAGTAGGGCGCCCAGATATAATAACTCAAATAAAGGGCAAATTGTATTATGCAACCCGCTGCAATAGTCCGATCTTTTGCCAATTTGAACGGAACAATGGGATGAGATGAGATCTGAATCTCATACATCGTAAAAGCAATAAAGCAACATCCTCCAATAATAACCATAGTTAGCTTGGCTGGCGAAGTCCATGACTGGAAAGGCGATGTCGAAAGTGTCATCGGAAGTAGAACAAGTGTTAGACTGGCTGTGAGAAGTATATGTCCAACGACATCAAGGCGCGACCATAACACAGAAATACTTTTCATTTCACTGCTCGAAGCAGTCGTCTTAGATTCATTACCACGTCGTAAATATTGCCAAAGTGAGAGCAATAGTGGCATTGATACAACCGGAAATATAATTGCCCTATATGTGCATTAGCTCCTCACCTTCTCACCAAGCAATTTAATTATTGGGTCAGACCACATGCCGTATCCCCTTTAACATGTTAGCAAGCCCTCGATCCGGGGTTATTTAGGAAGAATTCTTACCACCTCCATTTCTCAGGCACCATTGCACTTACGATCGGCGCTCCAATCCAAGATGTAAATATTGTAGGGCATAAAACAAGGCTCCCGAGTATGGAGCGATTCTCCAACGTAGTAATGTCAGCTATCAATATTTGTTGCAAAAATTGTATGCCAACTTGGCCAATTGTATAGAAGATTTGACCTGCTGTCAGACTTCCCAGATTCTGGGAAGCTGCATTAATGGCAAACCCAATCAAAATTGCGATGATTGATATGCTGAATGCTTCAAGAAGTCCCCATATATTGGCCGTTCTTGCCAGGGCTGGCTTAACAATTGCATATCTAACCCGTAAGCTTTTGCGTCACCTGTGAACACAATATTCATACGTACAAAATATACTGAACGGTACCGATGACGGATAGCATCGAATGAGCATTAAACTCGGAAAGGGCATATGGCTGGTAAGACACAATGGTCTGCCCCGCGAGGCTCACGGCAATTGCTAGCAGGAATAGACCGACCCAAATGAAAGAAAAAATAGCTGGAAAGGAATTGTCTTGAGTATTTGTATTCGAGTTTTCCAGATTATCGCAGTTCTTAATATTGGAATATTCTTTTTGTGGTAGTTTGGCCACATCTTGGCATGATGCTTGATTTTCAGAAATCTCGGTCTTGTCCATTGCTTGTCCGTAAATACAAGATATCGATTAGAAATAGGACGCGGAATTTTCTCAGTATATTATAAATTGCCGATATACTCTAGGATATAATGGGTACCGGACAATCTCAGTTGTAGTGGATGCAGAATTCGTTCTCTATGAAGGGATAAAGGGCGACTTTATAGTGTCCGAGTTGCGGAGGGTCCAGAATCTTTAATAATAACAATAAGAAGGAGCTAGTAGACAAATTTATCCGAAGTGGGTAATTGAAATAAGCCAGAAAGTATTTGAAGATATACTCATATTGATATAGCTATAATTTCTCAACGGAAGCCTCGCCTTCTCTCTAATGACACTCCACAGCCTTTTGCCATTTCAAATCCGTGATGTTTTCTACACAAATAGAGTGAATGTATTTACAAAGAAAATACAATTAATTCCTAGTTGAAGCCTCGCAATTGAAAGTGGTCATAAAAGAAGAAAGAAGAAAAGGTTGCTTCATAATGTGACATGTTCCTTTGCGCTCAATTCCCACGATCTGATAAGCACGAAGTATGTCCGGTGCTAAAACCTGCTAGATTCGGAGATAATTGAATAGCATTTTTCGGCTTCCACTGTGCTAAGAGCCACTTTTGATCGTTGACATATCTTATCTGATGATCAAAGGCGTGATGCCCCACTGCTCTGCTTCTAGATTGGATCTACTCCGAAGCTCTATATTCATTAGTAAACCATGACTCGGCGTACACAGATTAATAGTAGAAATAAACATACCTATTTAAGCAATTGTATGATATTGACTGAAAGGAACCTTTCCAGATAAAAATCTTCACCATAGACCGATCTATATTGGATAGACTCAGCGCTGGCGACCTTTTCTAAGTACCCCATCCGCAACATTGCTTCGATTAAGCTGCTTGGAGTCTTGAATCTGAAAAATAAGGACGGCGAACGCTCTCTCAGCTGGTAAGTTTCTAGGTTGAATAGAACTATCCAATGAGAGAATGAAGTCTTTTAATTAACTAGCTTGGTAATCGTAATTCAAGGAATTCATAGAGCTAGATTCAGAGCATTAATCGTTTCGCAGAGCTCTTCAAGTATGCGTTTCACCCTCCCTTCTTCACAAACTTGCCTGTTAGCGGCAACGGTAACATGTAAGTAAGGTCCGTCCAGTTCAGCCTCTCCTGATATCACTAGATCGTGCAAAGGTACTTCCTTTGTAGCATCGATATCTCGCGATAAAACTCCTATCTGAACCCGTTGTTCGTTCATTTGACTATCAGGATGGTAGTCAAAGTTCTGGTAGGCGATGCAACAGCTGTAGTTTGTAATTTCTGCTGACCAGTTTGTGCAATTTTTCTTAATTTCATCGAACCCTAGAGTCTCGAAATACAAGCTATCGAGATATTGGTCTTGCATCTTGCGAAGCAATATTCTCTTGTCTGTATCCCAATCAATACAGGCGCGCACTGGCACTTCATTAGTACAGGGACCAATGATATTTTGGCAAGATACAGGCAAGCCTTGTCGTCCGGATACGATTCGACCGAAGACCACATCACTTGAGTCGGCCTCTTTCGCTAGTACTAAAGCACAGGCAGTGGTAAAAACCGTTGCAGGTGTGATGCTGCTGTCTGCATTAGCCTGAAAAGGAACGCTGATGACCTTTGACGCGTGATAAGTCCCGGCAGAAGCGACTTCTTCTTGGTGAGAACTGTCATTGGTATCTTTAATGACAGTCATTGACGAATTTTGAAGAACAGAGCGCCAGAAATCATAACCGTCTTTACGACTCTCAGCTATATGCTGTATATACCGAGCGAACTGGGGCGGTGTTGGAAGGGTGCCGCCGCTGTACAGAATATGAAGAGAGCGTACAATGTGCTCCAAGCTTAACCCGTCATATAAGGCATGAGACATTCGAAGTATTATTCGTAGTGGTGATGTTTGCGCCTTGAAAATGGCAATGCGTATTAGCGGTTGTCCTAGGCGGATAGGCTGTCGTAAATCCATATCCAGAAATGCACGGGTTGCACTGTTGATATTTTCCTCTGTTTCGATTATCTCGATGGCCAAATCAAGATGCTTCAGAACAATTTGATATAGGTCGCCCGCCACTTCCAAGAATACCGTTCTGAAAATATCGATATGCTCGACTAGAGATTTACAAGCCGCCGCCAGACTTGCACAGTTAGAATTAGATGGGAAGTCCACGAAAAAAGGCGTTGGGGTTCGTGGTTGGCCCGTTGTGGGATTGAAGAGGAAGAGTCGCTGCATTTGCGTAGCAGGATAGACGTCTTGGATTGTATCGTGAGAATACTCAAGCTGGGGTGAAATCTCACTTTGGATGAATGTTAGCGGATCCTCCATAGGGAGTAGCTCGAATGAAGTGTTGTTAACCGCCTGTACACCGTTGGCCACTTCGTAGTTCCCTGGCTGAGTAAGCTCAATCTTTGCCGCGAGATGGACGGGAACTGGGTGATCGAAGATATCTTTGACTGATACACGCGCCTCTAGTCGGCGGCTGATACGAGAAGCGAGCTTTGTAGCCATCAGAGAATGTCCACCAAGGTCAAAAAAGTGATCAGTAATGCCAATATCGATGCCGAGCACATAAGAAAATTCCTCACACAGCACGGTTTCTATTTCGTTACGGGGGGGCACTTGTGCAGATACCATCTGCTTCTCATGCCCACTGTACGACGGTATGGACAGAGAGCTGTGTATATTTAATTCTCGGCGTATGGTAGCTGCGAGATCAGCAATCACGGGCTGGTCGAAGATATCCTTCACTGACACGCGGGTATTCAGCCGACGGCCGATACGTGCAGTAAGCTTTGTTGCCAAGAGAGAGTGCCCACCAAGTTTAAAGAAGTTGTCGTTGATTCCGACCTGGATGCTGAACACCTCCGCAAACTCCTCACACAACACCACCTCTATTTCGTTGAGTGGAAGCACCTGTTCAGGCCTTTCCTGGAATTTCTGAACTGCAGCTTGGGCTCTTCGCGTAAGCTCTTTTCTATCAACTTTGCCATTAGCATTGAGAGGCATCTCGTCTATCACCACAATGCGAGATGGGATCATGTACGATGGGAGCAGCGACCGCAGCTTCTCGCGGATCTGTGATACGAGCCGACGACTCTGTAGCCGCTGTAGAGGTCGGTTTGTAAGATTGGCCAATCCTCGAGCGTGGTTATCATTCGGGAAGCGGATTGGAGCACGGTTCCCCTTTTGGGTACATAAATCATAGCGGTGGAAGACAGCGTCAAGTGCGCCACTTTGAGACCATTGCCGTGCTGCGCTGACCTCAACACGGAAGCCGGCCTCTTCTCCAAGCTGCACAAGGTCAGTTACGGAAAGAGATGAGCAGCTTTCGGTATCAGTGCGGACGGCTGAGATCCAGGCCGCACCGTCCAGCAGGTTTGGGGCATCTTTATTTCCACTTTCTTTATCGAGAGAGTCAATTATATGTCTCTCAAAAATGGTTTTGCTATACGGGATATTGCTAATGGCGATGGTCAGGGCAGCTGTCGAGTCCCTCAGAAGTCCGAGAAGATCTTGATAGTCCATCCGTGATTCTTCAAAGTTGATCCATTCGTTCATGTTGATCTGATACACGGGTTGGTCTTGCTCCTCGGGGCCGCGTATGTGTATCATTGCCGCATAGCGGTACGCGCTAAGCTCGTTTGTCGCCTGCATTTTCTTCGGAAGGATCTCGATGTGCTTGATATGATTGGGATACCTCTTTTCAAGCATCGTAAAGAAGGTCGGGTCAACAAGCAGCTCCTCTTCACGTTCTTCCATTTCCATCATTCTCTGACGTACAGCACCTCTAGTTGACTTGTCACCCAACTCGTGTAACGCTCGAGCAGCGAGAAATTGTTTATTCGTTGCGTGCGATCGTATATCACCAAAGAAAAGGCGTTTAACGCCCGGCATCCGAACCAGAGTGTCTACAACCTGCTCCAAGTACTCAGACGAAGGGAAATACTGAACTACCGAGTTGAGTACTACCAATTCTGGATAGAGTTCACTCAGTTGACCCACGTCTGTCGCTGAACCAACATGTACGTTGGCCTTTCCTTTAAGAGCTGGTATGGACTTAATTGCCTTGGTAACAAATGTAACCGCTGACTTAGATGGTTCAAGACCTACGTAGCTTTGTAGTCCCGTACCAAGATTGAACAAGATCATGCCACTGCCAGTACCTATCTCGAGTACGTGACCTGGTGTCTGACCATCAAGAAGCGTGCGTATGGTGTCGTCAAGCCACTCCTGCATCTCAGTCTTGTCAATCTCATTCCCGTCGTACATAGACGTCCAGCCCTTAAAATCGTTGCCAACAGCAGATTGCCCGATGGTGTCAATATCGGCATAAGTGTTGCTTTCGAAAAACTCTTTCCATCCTTCGACTTGGCTACCAGCTTCCTCCTGCTCGGCGGAGTGGTCGTCGCCTTGGGTCGCAACAAAACCAACCATTTCCGGCTCTTGACCCTCTTGATCCCGGATGACTATGACAGCATCTCGGACTGAGTCCTGGCTAAGAATGGCACGCTCTACTTCGGCTGGCTCAATGCGGTGGCCTCGAATCTTGAATTGTTGGTCTATACGGCCAAAGAACTCAATTTGGCCGTCCCCTACACGGCATCGCGCTCGATCACCAGTTCGATATGCCCTCATGACTTCGCCACCAATAGTAACTTGAACAAAGCGGTCTGAATCTAGGTTTGAGTCGGTATATCCTCGTGCGAGCCCATCTCCAGTGACAACAAGCTCTCCTATTACACCGATAGGGACTATCTGCTGACAACTGTCCATGATATAGGCCCCGGAGTTGCTGATGGCTCTGCCAATGGGAACTCCATTAATGAATGAGTCACTCTTGACGACGTTATAAACAGTACTTATCACTCCATTCTCCGTTGGACCATACGCATTAAAGACACAAACCCGTACAAGTGCTTGCGCTGCGATTGCATCCTGGCCATCGAGCCTATCACCACCTATAACAAGGACCTCTAGCCCATTTAGTGTGGAAGGAATATTGGCTAGACACTGCTTAAGCAACGCCGGTGTAATCAAAGCCGTATTGACTTGTTCTTGAGCAAATACAGCCTCGAGTTCTTTGCTGTCTAAAGTGGTCATATAATCAATGCACACTAGCGTTCCACCATTCAAGAGTGCCGCAAAGATCTCCCAGGTAGCGGCGTCAAAGGCGATGCTGGATAGATGAGCCACTCTCACCGCTAATGGGAACTTGGATATTATTCTTGTCTCCTTGACAAGTCTTATAACGCTACGATGCTCAATCATAACGCCTTTAGGCTTTCCAGTTGACCCGGATGTAAAGATCACATATGCAAGGCTTGTCGCTGATGGACCTGGTGAAAATGTGTCTGCATGACCACCCATATCATCTACATCGCGACGTTCTATCAATGTGTCGCTGATTTTTGCCAGCTCCACACCAGGTACCTGAACCTCCGGAGCAGTGACCTCAGAACCGAGTAAGACTAACTTATGCTGCGGCAATGCAGATAGTATCCCGTTTAGGCGGGCGACAGGAGAATTCACGTCGAGAGGTAGATATGCAAGATTTGCTTTCAGAATGCCGAGAATGGCAATGACTGTCTCGCATGACCGTGGCGCTAACACTCCAACCAAAGTCTCAGCTGCCATGTTACGCTGGCAGAGCCAAATCGCGACCTTGTCAGATTGATGGTCCAACTCAGCGTAGGTGAGGCGAGATGACGAGTCGACAACGGCAAAAGCGTGGGGGCTAGCAGCCACTTGGGTGCGGAAGACATCAGCTATGCTTGCATTACGGAGATATCTAGTCTTCTCGATCTCAAGTAGGCCCATATTGCGCAGCTCCATAACACTATCGGCAAATGAGATAACTGCGACTGGGGTTTGGGGCTGAGAGAGACCTTGACGCAGTATTTCGAAGAATACACTGGTCACATTGCGGATATTCTCAAGTTTGAATAGATCTGCCGCGAAAACCAAATTTCCGCTTAAGCTGTCCGTCTCTTGGAATAGGTGAAACTCTATGTCGAACCTGGTATATACCTGATTCAATAGGGGTTCCGCTTCAAGGCCTTCCAACTCGAACCTTCCAAAGTCCTTTTGAGAATGAACCGCAAACATAATCTGGGCCAGCGGGTTCCGAGACAAGTCTCTTGAGCCAGGTAGTAGTGCTGAAACCACGCGGTCAAAGGGGACATCTTGGTGCTCAAACGCTGCTGTCGCCGTCAACCGGACCTGTCGTACCAGTGTTTCAAACGTATCATCACTGTCAACAGTGATTCGCATACATTGAGTGTTAACAAAGAAACCGATAATGTTTTCCAGCTCCCGCCGATTTCGATTAGCAATGGGTGTGCCAATGACGGCGTCTTCAGTCCCGGTAAGGCGATAATGAGCTGCTCGGAACGCCGCTAGCAGCACGGTAAAGGCAGTCATTTGGTGTACTTTGCAGAATTCTCGGAGCTTCATATACAGATCGCCATCGATAGTGACTGGCACGTAGCCTGCCTTGCCAGACAGTATAGTCGGCCGGGGGAAATCAATCAAGAATTCGGCCGGAGAGCTATTTAAAAGCTGGTTGGTCCAGTATTCCAGCTGTTTCTGCTGTTCGACCACCTGCTCATCCTGCTTTTGCCATATAGAAAAGTCGCGATAGTTGATTGGGAGAGAGCTCACCATTGACAGGGGGTCACGGCCCTGGAGAGCGGCAGCATAGAATTGGCCCAGTTCTTGGCGTAAAATGTCAGTAGACCAACCGTCGGAGATTATATGATGCATGACAATTGAAAGTACATGGTCGTTTTCTCCAAGCCGCATGAGTGATACCCTCCATCCTGCCTCGGATGCCAGATTAAATGGAGTGGTCTGCTCTTGTTGTAGCAGCTGCAGATAACTATCATTTTGGTCGTCTGACAAATCGGTCACCTTCAGCTCCCGAAAGATATTCGCATGAACAACTTGAACTCCTACACCGTTCTGCTCCTCAAATGTCGTCCGCAGAGTTTCATGTCGTTGTTCTAGGGCTACTAGAGCAACTCTCAGCGTATCAATTTGCAGCGGCCCACGCATGCGAACAGCGTATGGTAAGAGATACCACGAAGCGCCGAGCTCCAGCTGGTCTAAGAACCACAGGCGGCCTTGAGCAAAAGACTGTTCAACAGGTCCGCCATAGTTTGTAATTGGGATTGACGTGTATGGTGTAGAGTCTCGTCCGATTACATCTAAAAGATCGGCAAGCGTAGGATTTTGGAATATATCGGATACTTTTAGCGAGATGCCGGCCAACCTGGCCATGTTTACCATCTTAATCGCAGCAATAGAATCTCCACCTAGCTCAAAGAAACTTGCTCCGTCCATTTTAGAAGTGGGATCAAGATTTAAACCTTGGTACCAAAACTCTCTTAATTTGATTTCTGTAGTAGTTGCTGGTGATCCAAACTTTTCGCTTCGCAGAGATATGGTATTTTGAGCCAGTTCAGTTAATAGTTTGCTAGCAATAGACCGAAGGGTTTTTCTATCTGCTTTCCCCGTGGCTGTACGAGGCAGAGTCTTCATAACAATATAGTATGATGGGATTGAATACTGGGGAAGGGCTAGTTGCAGTGTCGCGTTTATCTCCTTGGTTGCACTGTGGTCAAGGATGTGAGCATCTATCGTGGGTACAATGAAGGCACTGTTCTCTTCGCCTTGCGACGCCCCTATCAAGAATGCAATCAAAGTCTTGCCACTGGAAAGCTCCGAAGTTTTGACAGCTTCAGCCACAGGCGTGATATGACCGGGTAGTTGCTGTCGTAGGCGGGCTTCCACTTCGCTGATTTCCACGCGCTGCCCTCGGATTTTAACCTGCGAATCTTTGCGTCCAAGGCAGACAACAGTACCATCAGATCTGTAACGGACGAGATCTCCAGTCTTATAGAACTTAAAACAGCCAGAGAGTTGTCTGGTAGGGTACCAAGCTGGGGCCGTCACGAAAAAAGGCGACTTATCCGGCGGCAGAGCAACAATATACTCACGAGCAATTCCTGGACTTTCAATTACCAGCTCGCCAACACAACCAATTGGAGCAAGGTTATTAGGCTCGTTCGGGTCGACAATCCAGGAGTGGGCGCCTACAGTGCGACCGATATTGTTTGGCTCAAGAGTTGATGGAGTTACTCTTGTAACGCTACATATCGTTGAGCTCTCACTCTGGCCATAGGCGTGTAGGAGCTGAACTCGAGAGGCCCAAATATCTCTAATCGATGCTGATATCGGTTCTCCAACCAACACCAATGTTTGTAGTCCTGAGACATTGTCAGGCTGAAGTGTACCGATATACGAAGGAGTCAGTATCACCCAGTTGATATTGCTCTTTCCGATGAAATCCGGGACACTATTCATACGATCCTCATCAGAAGGAATACAGACGCAACCACCATGCATCAGAACCGTCACGATTTCTACCAAGCAGGCACCAAATGCATACGACGCAAACTGAAGAGCACGGGTATGGTCATTGATTCCTAATGCGGGGCCAAACTTGATAGCACAGGACACAAATCCACCATGCTCAATCATAATTCCTTTTGGTTCCCCTGTGCTACCAGACGTGAAAATGACATAGGCCAAGTCGTGAGGCTTCACCGTTGGTTTCAGCTGGTCTTTATCAAGGGGCAGTGACCGAAGAAAAGAATCGCTGATTACAATACAGCGGTCAATGACAGTGCATATAGTGTTGCTGTGAAGCTTGGAGGTGAGAGCGACAGTAGCACCAGTTTGTCGACAGACCTGGGCCATTCTAGCCGGTGGATCGCATGGGTCGATGAGTGTAAATGTCCGACCAGCTTTAAGAACAGCAAGCATGCTAGCTATGACCCATTTTGACTTCTCAAAGCAGAGTGGCAATATTGTCTGTCCTTGGCCCAGATCAAGGGATTGGATGTATGCGGCCAGACGGGATGATACACTGTCCAGTTCGGCGTAAGTCCACTCCCCATCCCAAGCAGAGACTGCCATGTTATCTGGAGCGTCAGCAGCTTTCTTAGATATTACATCGTGTATCAAGGCATCCTGTGCCTCTAAGCGTCCCGAGTTCCAGCCCTCGATCTCCACGCGGTCCTCTTGCGTTATGACGTCTAGGTGTCCCACAAGAGGAAGATGCTCCACATGATTTTGAAATTGCTGGATTAAGAATCCCAACTGTCTCAGGAAACGAGCCATCTGAGAATGATCAATCACACTCTGATCATAACGTGCCCCCAGTAATGCCGAGTCGCCACCCATCTGGCAGCTGAGTAGAAGGGCACGATTGGTGCATGGCAAGAATATATTTGATTCTTCTATATTTTGGAGAATCTCGCAACTGGGCGCTTGTGGAGCATCACTATCAGTTACCAGAAGCACCGTTTGGAACTCACAAGCAGCAGACCCGTCGTCTCCAATGCGGCGGATGTTACAAAGTCCGACTTGTTCAATCTCGTACATGGCATGATCATGGTCAGTGATCGTCTGTATAACTTCTGGTACAGATTGATGAGGGTCGCAAAGCACACGCATGGGTACTATTGTTTGTGTCGGGCCATCAACTTGCTCTTCTAATTTGTGAGACCGCCTCATCACAACACCAAAAAGTGCCTCCGGAGAGTGGGTGAAGCGAGATATAAGAACTGCAAGCGCGGCTCGGCAGACAACTGTGTTGGACCACTTTTGTTGGGCTGGACCAAGGTATGAGATGCGATGCTCTACATACGTATTAGGATGGGGCGTAGACAGATGGGACGGCAGAGGAGGAAACACAGAGGCATCCAAGCCGTCAAGGTGTTGCCGCCAAAGCTGAGCCGCGCGTTCCACATTCCCGGCCTGAGGGTTCAGCAACGCTTTAGACCAGTTAGAGTATTGAATTTCTCCGCCCTCGTAGGCCGTGAGAACCCGTTGAAGGATTCGTTGTTGTAGGCTTGTATCCACTAAGGCATGGCTGAATGTCCAGAGAAGCAGTCTTTGCTTTGTGTCGAGGTCTTCGAGAATGACGTATCGATTGCAACGCGGTCCTATCATAGCAACAGCTTGCTCGTCATGTATGATTGCTTCTTTCATATTGATGCATGTAGAACGCATCCACGAGAAGTAACTCTCTGCTAGCACAACTTGAAAAGAATCTCCAACTTCTGATTTAAATATACAGGTCCTCAAGGCTGGAGTCTGGCGAATAACCTCCTTCCAAGCTGCGGAGAGGCGCTGGGTGTCAACGCTTCTTGGAATCTCATAAACAACATGACCAATAGCGTGTTTCCCGTCTGAAACAGCACAATCCATCACATCAATTTGAAAAGGTGTGCATGGCAAAATATTCTCAATTTTACCTCGATCCAAGCCGAAACGCTCAGTTGCTTGCTCGTAAGCACCGTCACAAGGCTTGCCAGCATCATCAAACACCAGGAGTGGTGCAGCTTTCAGATTTTGTTGCCCAACATCCATATTGTTGAGGGATGTTATGTCGGTAACCTATACGAAGATAGATATGTGTTGCTAATAGGCTATTCCCTGCTTGATAATCGCAATGGCTTTCCGTAAATGAATATAGCTGAGCCCCAAAAACGGCAGTGCATCAACAAGCCTTCAAATGTCTTATTCGAACAATAAATAAGGATGTTTGATTGTAATAAACGAAGTGCTCAAGGAATAATTCAAGTTTTGCCTCGAACGAGGATTTTCAAGTAAGTTTCAGTTCCAGTTTACGTTCTCGTTCTAGCGTATTATGAAGGGGTAATAATTTTGCGTTGTATTGTTGAATGACTATCCCCTCTTAGGATTTCTAACGGTTGTATGTTGCTGCCTTAATATACTGTCACCTTTATCCACAATCCTCAAAAGCCCCGAGGTATGTGTCATACGGCAATCATCATAAGCTGCTGTAAGAGGCAGTGTAATTTTGAGCTGCTAGCACTGACCAATCTTTTGGTTTACCTGCTGTTGACAATCTTTCTATACTATTATAGTCTTCTATGAATTATTATTTAGGCATTATCTACAGAACATATGAGCCCATACATAACGGATAAAGAAACTGGTCAAACAATAGTTTAGCGTGAAGCAATAAGCGTATTTTACTATGGGCATATACACGTTTATTGGTATTAAGAAAAAAATACTGTTATACTTAAAGATTGAGCATTATGAATATGCTAACAATATCCTCATATATAACGTAAATATTACCCAACTTGGGCTAGGCGCGAACATAGAAACGATGAGATTTATAAATCGCTCGCTCCACACCTCCCACTTCACCCAGGGACGGGCCGTTGGCTGACAGCTGGCAGTTGAATTAGAGCTCAACGAAGGGCTGACAGCAGTGGCGGGGTAAAAATGCCTGCTCAGCTTGCTACTAACGTCTTAAGTGTTGCATTTAGGTCGATTCAGCTACCAAGTGGCTAGCTGAATATTTTAGCAATACAACAGGGATAGTCCGTGGGTGTAGTGCCCCAATCCTTCACCAAAGATGTGTGCGGAAACTATTAGCTGTCATATCCCGTATCGAACACAGCCTTCCCAGGCTATAAGCCATACCCTATACGCCACTCCGGGGGTGATGTTAGTGGTGCAGAAATATCTTGACAACCCTTTTAGCTGGCTTAACGAATGAACTTTAATCTTATCTTGACCATTGGTAGGTATGTATACTTGCTGTATCTGCCCTGATCAAGATTTGCGAGCTCCCTTCCCACTCGGACTGGCTAGTGGACGATTGTCAATTTGGCGGATATTAAACACAAGTCAACTTATCACTTGGTGCTGCCATCAGGCAGTCTCTGTCTAATACTCTCCGATTGAACGTATTTGGCAAATTTGAGAGTGGCAGTTACCATGGGCTCGCTCACACCTCGACGAGGTGAAGAACATCATAAAGTTGTTTGTCTAGATGCCTACACCTGTCCGGTCCCCAAATTTGACTTCACGCACGAGTACGTGGAGTATCAGAATACTATTGGTGAAGATCTGATCATCGAGCGTGTTCGCGACGCTACTATCATCATCACATCGCGTGTGCCCATTTCAGCTCGCATTATTGCCGCTTGCTTGCGCCTGGAGCTGGTCGCCTTCATGACTACTGGCACTGATATCGCTGATAAGAAAGCATGCCGGGCACGCGGTATCACCGTGTGCAATGCGCCTGGTGCCAATGCTGAGTCCGTCGCCGAGCATGCCTTCGCCTTATATATGGCTGCCAAGCGCCAGGTTGTTGACCTGCACCGCGTTACACTCGAGGCTGAGGCTTGGCCTCGAGAGAAGAATGTGTTCCACTTGTATCCGCAACTTCCACGGGTTTTGAGGCATGAAATATTGGGAATTATCGGGTATGGAGCTATAGGTAAGTGCTTCAAAGTAAAATATTGCAAATAAAAGCGATGGTATACTAACCAAGATTGAGGTAAATACGCCGAGGCTATAGGAAAGGCACTAGGGATGTCGGTATTGATCGCTGAGAGAAAGTCTGCAGCGGCTGGTAGAATAAGATCCGGAAGGTTGCCGTTCGAGGAAGTAATGAAAACTTGTACGGTGCTGTTACTCGCGTGCCCGCTCGACGAAGAGTCGAGTAATATGATTTCAGAACCCGAACTCAGAACCATGAGACCAGATAGCATTGTAGTTAACGTGGCACGAGGAGGTGTCATGAATGAGGCGGCGCTTCTCAAAGCATTGAAGGAAAAATGGATATACGCTGCCGCCACAGATGTCTTTGTAAACGAGCCAGCGACTAAGGAGGACTGCCAGCTCATTCGAGAGTGCCCTAGCAACTTGACGCTCTCACCACATGTTGCATGGTATGGAGGTACGTGCTTGGAAAACCTACAACTGAGTATCAAGGAGACGCTCGAGAGTTTTGTGGCAGGAAAGATCATCAACTCTGTTCTTTAAATTTCATCATCGAAACGATAATAGTTAATACATATATAATGCCCATTTTATTTCTTATTTCGCTCATTACTTTTTCGATCATTTATTTTGATATTCTGAAGCTTACTACGATTGCACAATGTATAGACGGCATATGTAAGACGTCAAAGAGCGAGAATGTCGCCAATTTGTTATCTAGGAAAGGAAATAATCTATTTCTGATACATATACAGGCTTTCCCTATTATGGCACTCTACATTTGGAATAGCTTATGTAAAAGACCTGTGGAATGCTTATTGTTGATGACGGATCTAGGTCATAGGGTGTGAGATTGGAGATGAAGATGTGTGGTGATGAAAATCATACTCGAACTAGTGCCGGCGCGTAGTGTGCATATGCATATGCATGCTCTACTATTATTGGACCTGTAGTATCACGTCTCTTACCCATGTTTCAGCCCCTAATTTCTATGACTCCAAGCTACAAACAGGATTTAAAGCCTCACGGCATCTACGGCATTGACGGCATCTACGGGATTATGCCATTATGGCATTATGGCCAACCCCATTACTCACCTTCACCGCCCCCACAATGAGGCAGACTCGAAAATAATCCTTGGTCTATCGCTCAGCCCGCCACAAACCAAGCACACAACTCCTTCATAGACCAATGAAGAAAGGAGCAGTAGTATTATCATAGCTGAAAGAACGAACACGAAGATATTGCAGTTACCAGTAAGAGGGGTAAGCACCAATAACACTCTTATATCCTCAAACGAAAGAAGAAAGAGGTTGTCAAGAGCCAGCTTTGTGCTGCAGGAGGAAGAGACCTTGCCTGGATGAGGAAAAGAATAGGTTTGTTGTACAGCTGAACAAAAAAGGGAAATATGTCAACAAGTGCTTGTAACAGGCCGCGGGATTAACATGCTGAGAGCTGAGAAAAGGATCATATCTCAGATTTTACAACAATTTTCCTCCAACTTGTACACTAACAGACTCATCGATTTACTTCTTGACATTTATTTCAACATAGTCTCATATTTGCTTAATATTTCAAAGAAATATGACACGTGTAGTAAATCATATCCCGTTCCAGAGTAGTGTAATAATAAGAATGAGTAATAAAAGATAAATTGTATACGCTGCTATCTTGAACTGAACAATAATGTATTTTTTAATTCAGTTCTATTCTTTTTAATATTATTGCGTAATTATCATTACTTCGTGGTGTGGTATGCTTGCACTGCCACTTATGACAGGTTATAGACCTTGCCAATGAGGAACACAAGTGTACACTTTCTAACAGAGTACATCTAACCTCAGTGTTGATAACAACATAAGCTTATGTTTGAATGAAAAGCAACCTATATAATAAGGATCCCGTCTCCGAAGCAAGCTCTATTTCTTTTGCACATTCCAACAATAACCATAAGCCCAAACTACAAACTCTTTTCCTGTTCTTCTTTATAAATATCCCAACCTACATTAGCTATAATTCCAATGGCTCCCAGCGCTCAAGAAATTAGAAACCTCCTCGAGGCTCACATCGCGCAAGACCTTGCTGAGAAAGCAGGCAACTCAGGAAAGCTTCAGCAGCCTGGACACATAACTAACCACTTCCACGACAACGTTGAATTCCACATCAACGGCCATGAGTTCCAGCACGCAACTCAGTTGAAAGGTGCTGAAACAATCAAGACAGAGATTGTTGATGGAGGCCTTTCTGATATCCCCAACGTTATTGATTACTCTAAGCCTCACAATTGCCAAATCCTACAAGTGATCGGGGGTGGCCCGGATAGTGACTGGGCTGCTGCTGTGGTAAAGGCTACTGCGACGACTATCACAGGTGCGTTACTCCATGAGCACTAATCAAGACTCGAAGTGCTAAGACTTCGTTAGGCAAGCCGTTCAACCACGAATCTGTGATGACTTTCCAGTTCGACAACAACGGCAAGATCATCCACCTGAAGAATTATGCCGACACCCTTCACGTTCACAATATCCTTCAAGACATCTGATTTCTCTGATGTGTTAGAAAGAAGGCTTGCGTGAGAGATCAATCTTTATGCCAGATAAAAGATTCCGTATGTTCCGGCGGTTTATGTGGAAATTACCCTTCTGGTTCCCCTCATTGCAACCCACTCTCTTCATTTCAAAGATTTTGCAGCAGACTTATCTTATGTAAATGGCTCAAATGCTGAATGGCATTATGGCCCATCAACTCAGCTACCTCTCCATTCGTTAGGTTATCTTAGCCAATCAAGGTCATTATATGAAACATTACTACACAAACCGTTACCATTTATGTAGATTGATTAATTCTTGATATGGAGAGCGACCCAGGTGTAAATCACAAATCTTTAAAGTCATATATTGTAAAATTATGGCTGAATCTACGTACAAGGCACAGCTGAATGCAAAACTAATCGTGTATGATGTATGTTTACTAGCTTCCAAGTAATCTTTAATCGTATGCCAGACTCTTTAATCACTACATGTTGTTTCCGTATTGGCAGTAATCCATAGGTCCTTGATGGAGATGGTGATTTTATTGAAGGATGTACGTTCATCTGCTAAGCAGCTGAACAAGGAGCTCAACTCGTTTATTACTCGACGTTTAATCTTTTTTTCGTTCTCCCTCTTTTCTTCGGCTTTACTCTATTACTTTATAATCAATAACTATTTCAAGCCTCACAATGAGAAATCTTTATCAGTACTCCGTCTAATCATGGGAGCTTACCCGGGAACGTTTGTTGAGCGACATCCGGCTACCACCCAATCTACGGTTTCTGTTGATAGAAGACTAAGCGGCCCCTAGGAGGAGACTCTCAACTATTTAGCACATCGTATTTGATTTCTCCCTCGAAGATGGCGCAGATATCATCATCGTCCCTACTTGCTGGATGCTAGACGAATCTCACGCCTATGGCCTAAAACTAAACCTTAACTATGAAAGTCTAGTTTTAAACACAATTATAACATGGCGTTGCTTTGAAAATGCGTGTGCCGTTGTGTTTGCACATGATGGGGGACCATCAGGCACGTTTGTTGGACTCTTTGACATTTTTGAGCCCTGTCAATGGGATTTGGAACAGTTCGAGAGTTACTTCATTGTTGAGATCGATGTGGAAAATTGGAAGCGAGCGGGGCTTAACAAGGTGCGAGAGGATCTGGCGGAAAAGGATTGGCAGTATTGAGAATATAAAATTTTAAATAGGCAACCGGTATTGTTTACTTCTCAAGTACTGTACAGAAAATAATCCCCAAATATAAAACAAGATCTCCAAATTTCCAAATGCGATCACTACTTAGATTATGAGTACGTATCTTCCATTTAACGTAATACAGCAGCGAAAATCTGTAGGGCAGTATCAGCCCTTATCATCGTATTAGTCGCTGCCGCAATAAAGAAGATAAACCCGGGTTTAACAGCAAGCTCCTTTCCATCGCCTAGAACGACACCCTCCCCAGAAATCGCAATGGCTACAGTCGGGCCTTTGTGATTCCAAATTAATTCATCTTTTCCAGCCGGCATGTCGATGCGAATCAAATCAAACTCGCCAATGGGCGGTTGATACACCATTGTATACCCACTGGCACCATCCTTACTTGGCTTTGCCGGTAACTTCAGATTATCTGCTTGTGTACTTGAATCAATTTTTAGGGTCTCGGAGAAGAGATCAACATTATCGCGGTCGGCAACTGGGCAAAGGCCACCACTGAGCATGTTGTTAGAACGAGCCATGCACTCCACAATGTCTCCCGACAAATAGCAATGAACACCATCAGTTGGGATGAAAATTGCTTCACCAGGCTCCAATACAAAGAAATTCATGCATAAAATTGCAATCAACAACCCTGGGTCTGTAGCAGAGTATTGCGATTGCAAGCGCTGAATCAATTCAAAAGTCGAGCTTGGATAGCCAAGTTTTTGAATATCTTCTAGGGATTGTTGCCTCAGATCCTTTTCGATATTTTGAATGGTCTGTTCATCTGCCTTCAATATTCCGCGGACAACATTTCGGAGGGTTTTCTCATTCCAAGTGTTCGACTCTTCAGGCAAGAAGCGCCGCAGACTTGGTATATTGAACATAGGAGATATTTGGCTCAATTCTCTCCAGCCAGCAAACAGTTCAAATCGCGACAGAGCCACCGCAATCTCTGGCTTGTGATTAGAATCTGAGAATTTTTCTGGGTCTTTCTCATGAAGTTTAGCCGCAAGTGATTTATTTGGATGAATCTGTAACGGCAAAGCTTTGGCTATTGAAAGGATCTGATGCATAGATTAGGCTATTGCTCTTGTTTGAACACATATCTGGCTTACCTTTGGTAGAAATGGAAGATTGTTTCCAAATTTCTCCACTGCATATGAACCAAGCAATTTTTCCTCGTTGGATTTTAAGAGTTCTGCAAGTGTTTGTCCCGTTTCCAAGTCTCTCGCTGGAAAGTCTGGATAGTCACCAAACCACAACTCGGAATAGTACTCATCATCATTTATAGCGAAGTCGGTTCCAGGTGTCTTTTTGCAGAGTTGGGCTGCGAGTGACTGGTGCCCTCTCTTTCCCCAAGGATAATTGTTGCAAGTTCCGCTTAATTGAAACAGCCTTGATACACTTGTCATGACGATTCTATTTTGGTCTCTTTTTTTTTTACGCTTTCGGCAGGTATATGCATAAATATATATATATCGTGCTTAGGATAATGGTTAATAAATCAGTTTAGAAAAGGAGCGATAAAATTTCATGAATAAATATTCAGTTCCCTTATGACTAGCTTTGAAGATTCGGTGGAAACAGAAGCGTCGTTGACAGGATCTATGCAAGATCACATATCATGATGACCTCACCACTGGGTCCTTGCCACAGCTACCAGTGGAGACGGAACCGCTATATAGCTACAGTAAGCAGCAGCAACTTTCTGGACAAATAATAGCTACTCAGTTTGCAATTCATCGTAATATAGATGTTTTGTAAGCAATCGGAATGGTCTTTACAATTTGTTGGGTGACGTCAGCATTATTCTCGCCGTCATTGATTAGAGCTTGGTTTGCCCATTTTCTCAGGATAGCGAGGACATTGTCAAAGATTACGATAGTCGATCTAGCTTCGGGTACAAATATTTGCAAATTATGTTAAGAATAAGACGTTAAGAAATAATATCAGACTACTGTATATGGCTCTGAATTGCTTGTTAGTTTTATATTGATAGATGTGACTCGCTCAAACATGTTCGAAGAGTCCTACCAGACACAATACTGCCAGGTTTTAGACCATCTCCAATTGTTCATAATCGCTGTGTGTTTTAATAATTTGAACTTAGTGTCAACAACCTCTAAACTCGACCTGTCATGGAATTGCAAATTGCTATTAAGTCAAAAAATCCCCTCTTCTCACAGCTTTCTACAGCTTTCTTGGGTAGACTGACGACCCAGATCTCAATGATTATCAAATCAGTGATAATTCGGCCAGCGTGCGAGGGAAATAAAACAGGATTTTCCCTTTAAGGCGACGAACAGCAGAGGTCAATGTTTAGATTTAAGCCGAACCTCCCCCCTAAACTGGTAATGTTTCCTGTTCAGCCATTCACCACAACTCCTCCGTTGCAGTGCAAGGTCTGTCCGCTGACACAAGAGCTGTCCATTGAAGCGAGAAAGACGACGCAGCTCGCGATTTCAGAGGGCTGGGCTGGTCGGCCCATAGGGCTGGTGAATTCTTTTTGTGCCTTTTCATTCATCGTTGCAGGAATCAATGGAGTCCACACTATGGTTATCGTCAGCATGTCTCAAAGAGCTCTCGGCACATGTCCTTACCTGGCCCTGGTGCGACAGCGTTAACTCTGATCCCTTTTGAGATGTACTGATTACTCAGCCCTCTTGTGAAGGAAATTATCCCTCCTTTAGTAGAGGTGTAATCTAGTAAGTCTGGCCGGCCGATGTATGCATTTATAGAAGCGTTGTTGATAATAACATCCCCGCGCTTCATGTGCTTGAGAGAATATTTTGCCATGAAAAAATACGAGTGCATGTTGATGTTGAAAGTATGAATCCACTGTTCGTCTGGCAGATCGAGTATATCCTCAACCATCATTTGATCTAGAAGGGGGAGTCAGCGCTTGCTCCATAATTCATCAACAATGTAAGAGCTTACATGCCGCATTATTGAAGAGAATATCAATTCCACCCATTTTCTTCATGGAGAAATTAACTGCGTCTTGGCAATTCTCTTTTTTGACAAGATCTGTGGCGAATAAATAACAGGTTCCCCCAAGAGCCTCAACCTGTTTCTTAGTATCTTGCGCATCTGGCTCTTCTTCAGGCAGATAAACAATCGTTGATATGGCGCCTTCCTTCGCAAATAACACTGCAGTAGCTGCTCCTATGCCGCTATCACCGCCAGTTATGAGCGCTCTTTTGCCTTGGAGCTTATTTGCTGCCTTGTAAGTTGTGCTTGTTCCACCGGCATCGGGCAGCTCCTCGCGAACGGGTGTAGGTTCGGGCATATCTTTGTCCTTGCCCGGAAATTCCTGCTTAGAAACAGGAATATTTTTCTCTTTTCACATGCTGTTGTTAGAGAGCTGTGCTGAACGTGTTGGGAGAAAATCATACCATCTTTGAATTGCGATGTCATGGTGGTTGAATGTGATAATCCCAGGTAACAGAATCCACCTGGAGCGACGAAAATACCAAGTGGTAATATAGTAGAATGGCTGCGATATAGCACGATTTCATGCTATACCGAAATTATAAGGCGAACTCCTAATCTCTCCGACAGCCTAATCGTGACATATCATAATATACTGGAATGATGCGTGCGTTTCGTCATGGTGGATCCAATTCTGAATGAGATCAACCCTACAGTTTGAAGTAGCTAAAGGCAATCTATGACATGTGCACTTCGATGTCCTATAGCTTGGCGATGACGCGACCTGCTACTTTCAGATCTGCCCGTTGTCTTTTACGTCGCGAAGTATGTGCACAATAGCCCATGCTGTTAGTGCGTATCACTCGGTGTGTGGCGCCAATTAACTCACTTTACGTATACATATACTATTGAGGTTTGTATGACAAGCGAGCGTCTTACAGGTTATCGGCTATTTGTCTTTACATACAAATCTACACCTTGGTCTGAATAATGGAATTTAATCGGGTGTGTCAAATACGCATATCAACTGCTGTGCATGTCGTCTAAGCTGGCTTCCACTCAAAATGGTGCGGTCCTTTCGCTACCGGACCAGGGTCCTCGCCTAGCACGCCAGGCTTATTGTATGAGTGAGCTCCAAAGTAATCCATTTGCGCCTCCATAAACTTTGTGGGAAGCATTTTTCCTGTGGTATACTTGACGTATTCAAGTGTGGCAGAGAGTGCGGGCAAATAATGGTCGGCTACAATCCCTCGAGAGACAATTTCTTTCAGTGCTGTGTAGCTGCACTGCAACTCCCGCCCGACGGAGCTGTAGAGCTTCATGTTTGTCAATGAGTTATTCTCTTTCAAAAGTGGCTCAAGTAGGTCGGCGATGAATTCTGATTGAATTATGCATCCTGCGCGCCATATTCGAATGCACTCAGACAAATTGATATTCCAACCTTCATCAATGGACGCCCGCGCAATCAGTTCCAATCCTTGGTAGTAGGAGGCCAAGAAGGCACAGTAGACGGCCTTACGGAGGTCCTCAATCATCTGGCCAGTATCCTCGATATCCTGAATAGGCTTCGGTTTGGGGATAGAGAACTTGTCAGCGATCTTTAGACGTTCTTCGCGATTTCCCGAGGTCACTCGAAGGTAAAATCCCGCTGCAATGGTTGGGCAAGATATATGTCTCATTGCCGATTCCATGATTGACCATGAGGGCGTTCCTTCAGTGCCATCGTCATCCTGTACAACCTTGTCGAGGACATCATCAAGAACGTGGCCGCCCTCATGTTGCGCTGTTTTGCCGTCTATAGTTTTTCTTGTCTTGCAAATATCCGACGCAATTTTGATCAGGTAATTTGTATGTAATTCGCCATTGTCGTTCCACGCTGCAAATATTTCGCCAATGTGATCGTAGTCAAGCCCCATTCCACTATGCAGGAAACCCCAAGCCTCGCAGAGAGCAGAGAGCATACCAACCTCAATGCCATTATGGACCATCTTAACGAAGTGTCCTGAGCCGCCTGGTCCGATATTCGATACGCATGGAACACTATATTTAGGATCTTTCGCGGCATATAGTTCCAGTAGCGGCATAACCTCCTTCAATGCCGCAGCATTTCCTCCAGGGGACAAACTAGGCCCATGTCGAGCAGACTGATATCCGCCAGACACTCCTATTCCAATCCAATCAACACCAATATTCTGACACTCCCTTTGTCTTCTCTCGGTATTCCTGTAATGCTCGTTGCCACCGTCCAAAATTATATCGCCTTTGCGCAGCTCTGGCTTAATTTTCTTCAAAACTTCATCAGCAGGCGTGCCATGTGTAATGGAAAATAGGAACACTTTTCGGTCACCATGCTGTCCCAAGCTAGCAGAAAAACTTGATACATCATAAAAGCCAGTAATATTACCAGTCAAACTGCTAGCCTGATCAACCTGCTTCATAAAATCGTCGACATTCGCGCTCTTAGCATCCCAAATAGACACGTCGAGGCCGAGCTCGGAAAAGGCGAATCCCATCATAGAACCCATATTCCCTGCACCAACAATACCGATTTGCTTGAATTTCATGATTATACCCGATTGAATACCTGTGGTGGTTGCTTGTTTGAAGATACGTAAGGCTTAAGGCGAACAAAAAAAAAAAGGCACGTTGGCAGAACTATCTTCAAACACCAGAGAACAATATGATGTGATTACCGGAAGACGCATCAATTTAACTCTCATTTGCATCAGAATTGCCACTTCAAAGCTACTTCAATAACGGCTGAGCTGTGCTAATTGAATGACGCAATTGTTGTGACAACACTGCAAACATCAGCATGACGTTATATCTCTTGCGAACAACACCGTCTTAAGTATTTCAAGTTGTTCTATGAAAGTGGTTTCTTTTATCAGAGTGTGAGATTCTTTATTCAAGGGAAAATTCGTATTGTCGCGATGGGCATCGAATACCAAGGTCAAAGCATTCCTACTTCTTTCGCGTCTTGCAGTATCCCTCCTTACTTTGACGCGAAACTTCCTCAAAAGTTAGAGGCCATTCGCAATGCCGGGTTTGATGGAATAGAAATATCTATGCCCGACATACTAGCATATGGCTGCGATATAGAGGGGAAAGAACTAGAAGAAGATGACTATGATACCCTTTCGGACGTAGCTGGGAAGATACGAATTCTAACCGATCAACTTGGTCTTGTTATTCTAATGCTGCAACCCTTTTCAAGATTTGAGGGGTGGAATAAAGATACACACGCACAAGAGAGAAGAGAAGCATTTACACGCGCCACAGGATGGATAAGGATTATGGAGCGTTTAGGCACCGACATGCTACAGGTAAGCGCATCCCAGAGCCAAGTGGTCCGAATACATTGATACCTAACTATTTATAGGTCGGATCATCAGATGCCCAAGATATATCATCTTCCTTGGACGACCACGCTTCAGATTTGCAGGAGTTGGCGGACCTGCTGGCGGAGAAAGGCTTCCGACTTGCGTATGAGAACTGGTGTTGGGCAACATATGCCTCAACATGGAAAGACGTTTGGGAGATATCGCGCAAGGCTAATCGCAGAAATATTGGCCTTTGCCTAGATACTTTCCAATCAGCTGGTGGAGAATATGGGGATCCTTCTACAGAGTCGGGTTATATTGAAGATTTCAGCCCAGCTAAGCTCGACAGCCGTTGGCAACAAAGTCTGGCCGAGTTGGAACAGACTGTTCCTGGAGATAAAATCTTCTTGCTTCAGATTTCAGATGCGTACAAGATGAAACCTCCTCTACGCAACACCAAGGAGAGAGCAAGATCGATATGGAGTCATGATTATCGCCCACTGCCCTTTAACGGAGGGTATCTGCCGATTCAGGACTTTCTGAATTCTGTGCTTCGGACAGACTTCAAGGGCTGGCTTTCTGTTGAAGTATTTGACTCGAAGCCCAAAGAGAAATTGTCTATGGAAGAGTATGTGGAAGCCGCCATGCATTCATTGACTCGCCTACTAGTTGCCACTATGCAGTGAATAAATTGACCTAGGAACATTCAAATAGAATACGTTAGGGAAACTCTTTATAAATTACAGTGCACTTCAGGAGTGTTGATCATGTAGATTCGCACTATCAGCTACACTCCACTAAAAATGGCTGCTCTTAGAATTTACCGCTACAGAAGACGGCGAACACTCCCAGTTAGCTACAGATACCATCGTATGAATTGCAAAGGCCTGCCTGCTTTGGTGCAATCCACCAGAATTCTATATACTGGGTGCAGGTAGAAATTGTTATGGTGGTGTTACGGTTTCAATAGCATTCCCGATGTACGCCGCCACTGATGAATGCAAGAGTCTACCACGAGACGACCAAAGCCACTCCTTCGACCAATTATTCGATAATTCACCAAAGAGGTCTCTTAACACGTAAATCATTTCGAAATAAAACAACGAGCTTCTGATAGTTTGGCCTTGTCATGGTCTTTCTTCAGCATAGCTTGAAATTGAATTGTGCATGTATGCAATGACGTCAACTTGCCTTTAGCCGAACCTCTACTAAAATATGTATGTAACCTTGTTATTTTCTTTCGAGCTACTCCAAAGATGACCTACCCAAGTGCGCTGTGAAGACATAGTTCGCGCATGGCCGGTGATATGTTATCCATACGCAGCAATTAGTACACTAAAGATGCGAACCCGAACTCACAACATTTGTACTGCTGTTGCTCGTGCCGTGGGTGACGTTGCAGATGATGCTGAGCCTCTAGAAGATGGCACATCGAAAACAGGTCGGGTTGTCCAGTGTTTGGCTAACCTCTTCTTCTGTTTAGCCAGCATTTTCCCCCCCATATTCGACTTCGAATATTCACGCTACTGTTCTTCTGTTTTCCTCACAATGCGGCATGAAGTCTGGATGATTGAAGAACGTGATTATTTGGCATCATTTTGCCAAGCTATATCAGATGCCTCATGGTCACGACACAGACGAAATTGGGAGGCGGAACTTATTCCGGTTGGAGATCTTGGGTATAGCGGCTCCACGTTTCTTATGACCAGCAACGGAAAGTACATCGTTAAATCGCTAGATCGCCGGTTTGAATACCGCTTCTTTATGCACGAAATATTTCGACCTTATGTGAACCATATGACGACTCATCCTGGCAGCCTTCTTGTCCGCATCACGGACATGCTATATGTTCCAGGAATAAATGTGAGCAGGCTCCTAGGTCTCTCAGCAACTCGGCTCGTTGTCATGGAGAATTTGTTACACGGAAAGGAGAATGAGAAGAATGAGAATGCTAGGCTTCAGTGGAGTACCTATGATCTAAAACCAGATAATTATTTCTTCCCGGAGCGCGATATTGCAGGCGGCAGCCTGACATCCAAAAATGTGAAAAACAAACTGGTTGATGAAATGCCCAGCCGGCTACGAGTCTCGGCACAAATGGCAGATCAGATTTTCGACATTTTGAACGCAGATACAGAATTCCTTGCGAACTCAAATGTGGTTGATTATTCTCTGTTCCTTGTCAAGTTTCCTGGTCCTGGTCAACATATAAAGTCGCAGTCTACTACGGAGTTTGCTGCAAGCGATGATACTCTACCAGCTGCTAGGAGATATGATAAAGAGACTTGGAGAAATGGGGTAACATCAATTGACGGCAAATGGACATATCGTATCATTATCATAGATTTCTTCTGGGCCCGACACAAGCTGCAGCCGAAGATACTGTCTGGACTTGTTAAAACATTCAACGTCTATGCCAAAAAAGGCCCAATGAGTATTACAACGGATCCGATTGAGTACAGGAGGCGTTTTATGAATATGGCTCATAAATTGATATCAGGAATCAATAATTAGAGAAATCTGCAATTGACGGATAAACTTTAGCTTTGATTTGCACTTGACCATGCAATATTAAGTACAAGAATGCCAAGTTGTTTGACACATCTGCTAGTGGCTGTATTATTGGGAATGGCCGCATCATTGTAATAACTAAACGATCGACATCTCTCCGGATTCAATGATTCGGTGCGATTGTTGTGGCTCCATGAACAAGAGTAAGCTTATCGCCTTCGCGCTAGATCGATCTACTAACTAGTGTGCCCCAGATAAATTCTTAGCCGGCATAGTTAATGTTTCATCCACTAGCAATTTCCCTTCTGTTCGTCAGAAGCGAGAGACGACACAGCAAGTACAGCGTCTGGCACCCGTGGATACTTGGCCCGCGGTTAAGGAAACATGCCCAAAGTGTGGTGCGAAGGAAGTTCGATACACAACCCTTCAATTGAGAAGCGCTGATGAAGGAACAACTTTGTTCTATTAATATCCGGACTGCTCAGAAAGGTAAGTACATGAACTCCATACAGCCTTGACTTGGATTGCAGCCACTTACAAGAGTAAAGATGGAACGAAGGCAACTAAGCAATACGTAAGCTAATATGCGCCGTGACCGTCGAAGACTACATCATGAAAGCTGGTTAGATATCAGATGGAGTCCGTGAGGCCGCATTGATGTGACCATTGCTGGTAGAGAGCTGGTACAGGGTGGAATTGCTTGCAATAGAGAGTGTATTCAAAACAGTGGTGCATCTTTGGAAAGTGATCCGTTATTAACCGGCTATGCATTCCTATAGGGAACAATAAATCCCCGACCAAGCATCAAAACTACGCGGTTGGAAAATGAGCGGCAAAATATTAGAAGTCCTAGGGGAGCACATTTACTTGTATTGTCTGTTATAAAAAAAAACTCTCTGATTATCCGAGATAAACTCAAATATTGTCCATCTAAGCATGATCTTGAGATAATAACTCGCTTACATACTCAACAATTACAAGCATCTTCTCTTCAGTATAACTCCTTCCGACAATCTGTAAGCCAACATGCGCCCTATCATATAATTATATTTTTACTTTAATTTTAATTTCTTTTATATTTTTATTAATATATAATAATTTAATTAATTCTTTTAATTTATTTATTTATATAAAAATAATATATTATATTAGCCTTATGGTTTATTTTTAATTTAGCTATAAGTTTTTTTTAAAACTTAAAAATAATATTTTTTAATTGGCGGCGTAGTCTACACTTGCGACTTTCTCGCCGAAGATTGCGGGCAGATGACCGTTAGTTCCTGGCAGACGACTTTCATGACGTGCAAGGATTTGTCAAATGGTAAGTCGCAGAGGACGGTTTTCTGGATTACATCAGATGGATGGTATAACATCAACGCTGATGGGCAGCATGCATTTTGTTGCGGGGTGAAGTCATCTGGTAGAGATGACTTCAATGCTCTATTTCTCAGTAGATGTCATACGGAACGTGAGTGCGCTCAACCCCGGAATGGCCGCTACGTGAACAATCAATAATATATATTCTGGGTTTTGATATAGGGTAGTGCTGGCTCTTCATCCAGCTGGGAGCGTACCACTACGTCCATCAGCACATCAGCAAACGAGTTAACGCGTTTCACAGTACCCTGCTATTGGGCCCCTGGATTGTCAATAAGTCCGCTACAAGGTTCCATTGGCACCAGGGGTGACCCCGGTGTGTTTCATTTGGAAAGACTTTTTTCCGATTGTGTGGGCTTGCTCATTGGTGTATAAATTAGAACTTGCCGGAGGCTTTTCGGTGGTCAGCGAACCTCCCTCCTCGCCCCCGCGTAAGCGTGGAACGTCGTAGGGGGGGAAGGCTGGAATCAATTCTACAAGCTCAATCCATTGCTACTATAAGTGTATAAAGGTTAATGCTGCCTTCGTGAAAGAGCGGTATCTATCTCATCAAACCAACTTTTGCTCGGTCTAACCTTCGTTCCACTGTCATAATGCTCATCCCGAAGTCTAATATGGCCATTGTTGCCATTACCCTTTTTTTCTCAGCTGCTTCCGCCTTAAACGCATCCTGTGCTCCCGGTGGCAATTTTGACCTCAGCAAATTCGTTCTTCAGTTGCCAAGCGGCAGCACCAACAATCCAGATCAAATCCCTGCCTCACGCCTCGAGGGTTGCGGTGGCTACCAAGATCCTGGCCACCATTACTTCTTCACCGAGTCTGGCGATGGTGCCATGGTCATGAAGGCTCCTGGAGGAGGAAATTGTGCTACCTTCCCAGGTGCACCGCGCTGCCGCTCCGAATTTGGCGAGACTAATCCATGGAGCTCTAGTGCTGCAACCAACCGCCTGACGGCTGACCTCCTCGTCACCAGTGGTAGCAGCATCTGCATTGGCCAGGTGTTCCAGTCAAACTCCAACAACAAGCCTCTTGTAAGTCGTGTGAAAAAACCACTATGCATCAATCATCAATTATGTTGCTAACAAATCCAGGCTGAGGTTTACTATAACGGCAATGGCCAAATCACCGTCGGTGTTGAGTTTGTTGCAACTGGGGGTCAGGGCCAGGACTTGAACAAGATTGGCACTGTCTCTCCTGGCAGCCGATTTAATTATGAGATGCGCTTTGAGAGTGGTACGCTCCAATTCTCTCTTAACGGTGGAGCATTCAAGACCCTGAAGCAATACTTCACTACAGACAAGGCCTTTTTCAAGATGGGCAACTATAATCAAGGTGGCGACGACTCTGATATTCATGTCTTCGGCCTTGCTGTTCAGCACTAGATATTTCCCGTTCAATAAAAGAACTAGAGCTCAACTGGGTGCAAACACAGTACTCAGCTGTTAAAGAATTACATAGAGCATGCTGTTACGAACCAACAGCCCATCAGTGCCTTTTTGTATTAATTTATACTTTTTCTAAAAGTAGTATAAATATAAACTTATATATCACGATTTGTAATGCCACTAGATGATAATTTAGCAGCTTCCGTCCAGCTAGGAAAAGTAGGTAGAGATGACCAATATGTTTAATCATGAATTTTGCGCATCCTCAATTAAAGAGAAACAATCCAATAGACAATGCATGCCTATAAAATACATGTTTCAAAAAATCGAGCTTGTTCCCGCCCCTTCCCAATCGTTATGGTTTGAAAGAAGGGAAACAAGAGCAATAAGAGTAGTAACGAGAGATGGTTCATTGTCAGCTATGAGTGATTGCATCCGGATAGCGGCATAAGCTGGCATTTGGAGTTCTGTAGTTTATCGAAGACAGTCTACATAGCACCAATTTTAAGTTAATGAAAAATATAAACCCATCGAATTATTTACACAAGATTAGGATTTGATATTGATTAAGAGAAAACAGCGCCTATCTTGGCCGAAGACTTCAGTTACTTGTACAAATTGAGGTACACGATTTAATACATCAAGACAGCATGTATGTGCTCAAGGAGCAGCTGATCGAGAACGCCAATCTCCGTGTTACAAGTGAGCCGGAAAGGCGCTGCTACTGTCAGCCACATATTGATGTATGCCTAAGGTAGAAAGCCATCCAAATCGCGGGCAAAAACATACAATTGAGGCTCATATGCAAAAATAAATCGGCACATTCCAACTAGAAGCCTCGAGCTCAGTTTGGTGATCATTGATTGGCTATTTGTCACGTGATTTGCCCGGCTAGCTCAATCGGTAGAGCGTGAGACTCTTATGAGGTACACGTTCTGTATTACAATCTCAAGGTTGCGGGTTCGACCCCCGCGTTGGGCTTTTCCTATAACATCACCAACACTGAGTTGGCTTCACTTTTTGCTGTTTAATAATCCATGAATGATCCAAGCATTTTTTTTTTTTTTCTTTACAGAAGAGAGCACGGCGAGTCCGCTACAGACATTTTAATTACTACGCCTGTTTGTCTATCCAGTGTGACACTAGATACGAGTATCATCTTCTTCATGAGGACTAAATGCCAAATTACCCTAAATAACAACTATATGAATATGGAGCGCGGATGGGCCCAATGAGTGCCATAACCAACCTCTAGTACTAGCGCATGCATATAGATTCGATGAGCATAAAGTTCAGCTAGATCTAGTCATCTATAGTAGAGCAACTAGTTAATAGTGCAGCTCTTTCCATCAGCATCAATAGTCGAACTCTGTAGGGACATTTCATATCGTGATACTATTTGTTTTCCTATACGAAAATCAGAATCATGAAACTTTCCCAGCACTATCATTTCCAATTTTTACTTTGGTAACAGTCTCGCCCTGTACGGAACCCCTACCGAGTGTGGTGAAACCTACATAGGATTCCCCAGTCCTTCTGCTTAGGTACGTCTATAGTAATCACATGTATGTCAGGCTGCTCACCAGTTTCAAAATGGTCTTATGTTGAACACCTGTTGAGGTAGCGCCGCTTGAACTACGTGCTTCGTATAATCCTTTAGGTCCGAATAGTTGAAATGGCGGGGAAGCTCTCAAATGCCGCGAAGGAACCTTGGTCGCATTAACATCTCACCCCGCGTTGCACCTACTAACACTTTCAATTCGACCAGAGGCATCATCTACGTTTAATCATCACCACTGTTGCCATGTCGATCCGAGAGGTCCAGGAGGATAATGAGCGAATAGCTCGCGAGATGAGGCTTCTATGGCTTCAGCGTCAACAGGAGGCACGGCGTACTGTTAATCCACGCTTCGGCCCTGCTGTTGACGGCGTGCTTTGGAGCCGAATCCACCCAGACGAAAGCCCAGCAGTACCGATCCTCAGTATCCTCGAGTTCCATTTAAAGTCTGGGATCGACATCTTGGATAACTCCAAGCCACCTCGTAAGCTATGGGACTCGGTACTGCAATACATCAGCTCCATCTCTGGTTGCTGTGCTGTCAAATGGGGATCAATACTGGATGAGCCTCCGGCCACATTGCTATGCATGATTCACTGGGATAGTGCCGTCGCCTGGCGAAAGTTCCAGTATTCTCTAGGCTTCAGCCCTCTTATTGGGTTGCTTAAATCCGAGGTTTCAAATCGTTGCGCTAAACTAAACTTATCGGGCGTATTATGGCTTGACGGAGCTACCATTGTTGATGTTGTGTCAGTCACTTTTGATGCTCGAGCTACGTCATCGCTGAACCTTCGTGCAGCGTTTGAAGAGAGTTGGAATACACATGCTGCTTCAATGACCAGGGAGTTCAAAGGCCTTCAACATTCTCATACTGCATGGCTCGAGAACAATGCGTCGACGTTCTTCGATCCAACGCCAGCTGAAGCTGCCGCCGCGATCACTCTGACCACTTTCATCGCGTTTCTTGCCTGGGATGGAGAACAATACGATAGTAACTGCACTGAGCGTCTATGCGATGGCTTTCAATCTTCACTCTCATATTCTAGTGGCAATGAGCCAACGATCTCGATAAAAACGGTCCAACTCATCAACCAATTTCAAGATAAAGACCATGATCCGCCGCGACAGCCAGCTATACAGTCCCCCAGCTTAGCTTATATTCTCCAAGCGAACAGCCCGCATCGTTGTAGTGCTGATCTTGTCAATATCAGAAAGCAAGCACATATGGCCCTTACCCGCAGTATAAGCGATGCAAGAGCGAGGACACGGCTCTTCCCAGCTCCCCAGGGTTCATTCATACCCCAAGGTGAAGTATACGAGGGAAACATGCCAATGACCTGGAGATGGCAGCCAAGATGGGAGCCCATTCATGGCTATCACTTTGTGGATGTCGCTTGGATGTACTTGAAACCCAATGCCTTGCGAACTCGGGGTCCTCAAATATATAACCAGCTCAATAACGAGATTGGAGCATTGGCGGGTTTTGTTAAAGCCTTTTGGGCTCGTGATGTAGAAAATAAAAGGAAAATTGCCGTGCTCACAGGTCAGAAATTAACCAATGATTGTGATTGTATTTCCCTTTGGCTAACTCATCTTATATATAGTCTGGAATGACGAACATGCACGAGAAGCTGCTTTACACGAGTATCGTTAGATATTGGATACCTTTGCCGTATCATCCACACATCTAGCAGCGTTAATAACACACAAGGCTTTCCCCATGGCTCGCAGTCCCGTTGGTGTGTGGCTCGATCCAAGACGTTATATCGAATTGACCACCTTCTACATCCCACAAGGCGCGTATGAACGCGAGCTCTTCGAACAAGCGTATGCCGCTTTTGACCGGTTCGTTACCTGAATATCTATTAAATCACTTACACGTATTTATCACACTGAGCATTTCAACTAACTATACACCTCTTGGTCTTGGTAAAAAGTATGACTGTACCTTCTCAAGTAGGAGGAGTCCCCAGAGCGTGCTCTGTTAGCGATGCAGGGGGCTGGCAGCCTGCCGAAACCACTGAGAATCTGGACTACCAGCTTTTCATGGGAGTAATGATTTGGGAGAGCCCGGCCGCAAGAATAGAGTGGTATGAGGAGCTATTTAGGCTCTCCTGTGAGTCATATGAATTGTTCGGCCATAAGCTCGATGCTCTGAAACTTTTGGCTTCGGGAGGAGCTAAGTCGCGATTCCTAGCGCTACAAAGTCAGTAATTGTAATGCTATCAATTTGAGTAGTATGGTCTTGGTCTCTAGCATTGGGTATAATCACAGCATCCATCTTGCGGATCATCATTAATGTTATAGTGCTCCGGAATGTCTTTACAGTCTATATCATTATCTAATTGGGGGGGGGGGGGGGGGGGGACATCGTATTGGTAAATCACTCGTTCTCTAAGATCTAATGTGTCGATCAAGCCCTTTTTAACACGAGCTAGGCCGTTCATTAATGGCAACTTCTTATTCCTTAGGAAAAGCGGTCGAGTGAATCTTTTCACTGATATACCAAAGCTTGATTGTTATAACATTATGATTTTTTATTATTCTCATAGTCAGGCAAAGCCATTCTTGGAAAATATGCCTCCTGGCCAAAACCATGTAACCCAGAATGATTCAATACTTGCAAGCTTTGAACAAGTAGTACATAGCCTGCGCTGGAATGTGTGTTGCCGCCCAAGTCCCAACGCCAATAGTTCCCATAATTAAATAATTATTCATGTCACTTCCCTTACTTCTAGGAATAGGAAAAAAAAAAAAAAAAACTTCTCTTGAAGTTTTCAGCTCTTCATCTCGTTGTCACCCCCTCCCAGCAGCGATACGCACAATACCGATGCTATCGCAGCCACGGTACCTAGAATCATCATCTGTAATCCTTCCCACAGGCAGCGCATCCAACTGGAAGACGCGCCTCCGCTTCGCAGCAGCCAGCTCTTGCCTGCGCCAAAAGACATCAGAGCCACCAGGCACGCCGCGATACTCCATCGAAGACCAAGGCCGACCGTCGCAGCGAAAAAGTACGGAAGCAGAGGAATGGCACCGCCAATGATGTAGCCTAGAGAGATGGAGATACCGGAAACGATTGGCGAAATAGGCAGCTGTCCACTGTTATACGAGTTTTCACCGACAGAGAGTTCAGATCGTGCGAACTGTAGCTGGCGGGCTGCATCGTATAAGCCCTGGCGCTCTTTGACAGTCGACATGATATCCGCAACCATCCAGCTTGGCAGAGCGAGAGGCTCCAAGTGCCGTCTCACAAGTGCTTCTTGGGCATCCTTATTCTTCTCATCCAAGGCGTCACTCCCAGCATCGTGACGCAGCATGCCCTTAAGCTCTTCCTCGTCGCCATCCTGATCTTTGGCCTGCTCCGAGGGCAACTCGTCTTTCGCAGAAAGGTAGCCACCAATGCCCATGCTGATACTTCCCGCGCAGAGTTCCGCCAGGCCGGCGTAGATGACGGTGTCGGTGCGACCAAGGGAGCTGAGGCCCGCGGTGAGGGCGAAGGGCACTGTTAAGCCATCTGAGAAGCCGAGGGTGAAGTCTGAGAGAAATCTGATGAGGAGAGGGCTTCTTGATTTTGACATGATGGTCGTTCTGGGTTATCGAGATAGGTGGAGAGGCGATTGAGAGAGACGAGCTCTGGGATAGCTGCTTAGTGGACAAGGGGACGAAAAAGCGAGACGGAGGGCAGAGAACAGGTATGGGAGGTGAACCAGCTTATCGGCTAAGAGGCTATCGAGAGCTGTCTGAGACAAAATAGTGTTATAATCGAGCAATCGGTTCTTCGGCAGAGTTTCTTGGAGACCTTCTTCTTAATTTCGGAAGTGTTAGTAGCACGAGCTATAGGATAGTCACTCAGCCGGCGCACAAGATCTCCAACTCTGGATCAGTTGAGCATGCAGTGCTACACAAGAGTCCCTCAGTACACCCCCTTGCGTCTCCACGCATGTTACATCGCGTAGACAAATAGCATCTGCATCCCCGGGGCAAACATTCCAGCTGCGCAGCCCACTCATCATGCCCATCTTTACGTCTATTCTACTCGCCGCCAATCCAAGTCAGGACACCGACGGGTCTCGCAAGAAGGGCTATTGACACCTCAAAGGGGGCATCTAATGTCTCTTTAACAAAAAAAAAAAAAGCCCCCTTCGGCAGCTTTCCTGCCGACCAGCCGCAAAAGCTGATCCAGGCACGCTGACGGGTGGCTGCTCCAAGCAGAGGCTCGGTTCCGACCCACGTGCGCCTAAAGATCCCTGTGCTTAAAAACACATGAACGCTGATTTGGAGGGAGCGCGGAGAAAGAAGGCAGACAGGCGCACAAGACTGGGGCAAGGGCCTTTTTGAGAAGCAGGGATTCTTGGCTGACGTGGGGTGGCGCCGCTTGAGCGGGGATACCGATGGATAGGTTGATGCACTCTTTTTTTCTCTCTCTCTCTCTCTCTGTCGACTCCTGTTTAGACGTTCGTTTCTGCAATTTAAGAGATGGTCTATTTATCATCCTCACGGTTGATCCTCACATATTAATTGTTGTACAGTTGCTCAGCAACGTGCACTTTTCAATCGAAAGAGACAGAGGAAAAAAAGAAGGAAAAAAAAAAAATCTATGAAGAGCCGAGTATGATAGTAAGTACCAATAGGAGAAAAGAGGGGAACCCGGCACGATGGATACAACGATGGATGATAGATAAGTTGTTTTTCCTTCTGTTGGGTGACTAGAAAATTGGAGAGTTGCCCGACTAGGAAGCTGGGACTTTTGATGTGCCGGAGGTGGCGCCGTGCACGAGCCGGTGTAAGTCGAGTCTAAACCCGGACAAGGAAACAGGCCGCTATTACCGCTGTTTGCTGAAAATTTTCCCCTCGGCGGACGACGTTGATCGTTTTAGTGTGAAGAGCAGTGTTCGCAGATTGTGCAGACATCATAGAGCAAGATAGGCAGATGATTGCCAATTGGCGTGTCAAATATTTCTTTTTTGTTTGGTGTTGCTAGCGTTCAAGCTATCAAGTCAAGTACAACGAACGTCATGATTTACTCTTCCTTCCCAACTATGCCCCCCCTTGCAAAACAAACACAAAGTTAACTAAATAATATATATACTACTTCAAAAAGCACAGTAGAAAAGCAACGTTTAGTCGCTAGTAGAAACGGGAGCGTAGCCCTTGGGGGGATGAAGGCCGTCAGGGAGCTCAATGGTGTCGGCGTAGTAGGAGCCAAGCTTGCTGTGCTCCCAAGTCTTCTTAATAGCGGGCAAGATGGTGCGCCCAGAGAAGCTGTGGTCGAGCTTCAAGTTAGGAGCAGGGTATTGCTTGTTACCGCCGTCCTCGTTGAAGACGCCGGCGTAAGAGACATTCCAGTAGTAGCTGTCCAGCTCCTTTGTGGACGACCACTTGCGAAGACGGTCACCAGTCTTCTGGGCGACCCAGTCGAAGACGTTGGCACCAACATCCCAGCGACCCAGAGTGTGGAGGTTCCAGTTGGCCTCGACAGTAGCAATCTCAGAGTAGTGAGTGTAAAAGTTGTTGTCAGTAGTGCCAATAAGGTGCTTGGGAATTGCGTCTCCTAGCAAAATGCCGAGAATGCGGTTGCGATCGGTGTAAGTCTCGCTCTCGTCCCAAGTAAGAAGCACCATGGTGTTTTGCATGAAATTTTTGTCATCAAGGAGAGGCTCGAGGAAAGTGCGGCACCATTGGCCAGCGACGCCAACATTGCTATCATGTCCATCAGAGGTCATGTTGGGGGTGATGAACATCCACTGGGGTAGCTTGTTCTCCTTTAGGTCCTTGTGGAACATGGACCTGCCAGTGTCAATGAGAGACAGGTTCTTGATCTGAGACAGGCGCTGCTCATAGTGTGCCACGCTGTTGGCGAGGATGGCGGGGTTGTGCTTGCGAACGTAGTCATTGGCACCGTTCTTGTGGTTGATGTAGTTGAAGCCCTCGTAACCAGAGTAGGGCATGTCTTCTTCGTAATGGCCCCACGAGATGCCACGGTCCTCAAGAAGGTCGACGACGGTCGACACATTGAAGTCGGTGGCCCACAGGTCATCGTTATCCATACCCAAGTAGTCACCAACTATGGAAGAGAGGTAGTTGGGCTGCGAAGGGTGAGTGACAGAGAACAGGTTTGACAACGTGATACCCTTCTTCGCGAAAAAGCTGAAGTTGGCTACGACTCTGTTAGTATCAACACAGACATGCTCTCCAACATGATTCGACTTACGGTCGCCAGCAGACTTGCCATAGTCCTGGTTCTCAAAGTAGATGACGACGTATCGGTCAAAAGCCTTGCCCTTGACATGGCTGGTCGGGCTGCTGGTCTTGGCCGTGGCAGCAGCAGCGGCAACGGCAGCAGTGCCGGTGGCGGTATAAACCGTCTCCCAGGCAGTGGTGGTTTTCACGGGCTTGGAAGGCGCGCAAGGCTCCTTGGCGACGCCAGCAGAGGCCAGGCCAGCAGCAGCCAGCAGAGAAACAGCCTTGGACAGCATATTGAAGTCTCTTCCTCAGTCCTGATCCTGACGAACGTTGCTAGGGAGGATGGAGAAAGGAAGAGAAGAGCCCGCTGCAGGAGGGTCGCCGGGTTTAATAGAGCCTCGCTCCGAGACAGTTGATGCAATGCTACACAGATTATCGACCTTCTCTCGCTCCCTTCCCAGTCCCGCTGTCTGCTCAACGCTACTTTGTGACAGCCGTGCGAAGGCCCGCCTCCTCCATAACCCTGTCGACATGCGCACCGGGTTCGGTCCAGGCTAGGCTCTGCTTGGTAAACGGCATCCGCCCATTCGTTGACCGAGGCGACAGCCAGTCGTTGCGGTCCTTTCAGCCCAGCAAGAATTGGAAATGACGCGTCGTCAAAAGAACCCTGCTGGCATGGCTTGAGCGCCGCGGACTGTGTTAGCAGATGATGATGAACAGTGGCTTGACAGACTTAGACGCGCTGGCGCTGTACAGTGCTCCATCCCCGCATGTCTGTCTGGACGAGTGCGGAAGCCAAGCAGCCCGGAACCCACATCGCTAAGAAGCATCCAACTTAGTCGTGGCTGGCTAGCTTGCCTATGCTACCCAGGCAGGTAGGAGATATGGAGAAGTGGCAACGCCAACGTCGGCATCTTGCGCTGCAGGTCCACCGCAAACCTCCTCTCGACAATCCGCTGTCCCGACACGTGGGGGATACAAAGCCGTCGAGAGGCGCATCGCATCTCGAGCAGACCATCGTCGTCGATTCGATTGAGCTTCTACAGCCTCGTGTCCGCTAGGGCTTCCACTCTGTCTGTGCTCGGTATCCGGACCGGCAAAATTCGTCGCTGAGAAGTTGTTCAGCCAGAAGCTAGCCTCAGCCGGCTCAAAGGTTCTTACAGCAGCGCCTGGCGCAGAGGCTCTGGGCTGGAAGCTGTCGATCGGACCCGGCCGCCACCCAATCGCTGCAACGCCCGCTGACACGCCTCTCCCGAACGCCCAAACGTTGTTCCCTCCGCCGTACTTCTCACATGCATTTCGACTAACACCATCGTCTGGCCGCGTTCCATGCTAGCCTGATCAACTTCACTGCATATTTCAGCTACGCCATTTTCGACACCGGAGCTGTCGTCAACCGCTCTTCTATTCCCGGGAGTGGTCCGTCATCAGCCCGGGCCCTGCTCTAGCTGCTCGGCCTGAGATCCGGCAGGGTCGTTGCGCTTCTCGGCACACCATTGGTCTGGATTGTTTACTGCAGCATTGTCTATAGCTGTGTTTTCCTGCCTTCTGATAGGACAATTATGCCGGGCTAAAGAGCTATGAACTCGGTCCGTGTCCATCTTGGCGAAGGCAACAGCGATAGCATCGAAAGGGCCCGAGTTCGGAGCCTGTCGTACCATGACAATATCGACTCTGCCAGCCCGCAGCCCTCGAGAGTGTCCATGGTTAGCTCAATGGACACTCCTGGAGCGCCTTATGCTGCCGGCGGAGAAGCTCATCAGGAGCTTGGTGAGCAGCAGCCGTTTATTCAGCACTCGCAGAGCTCGTCGCCTTTCCGTCCTTCTCGATCACGGAAGCTGTCTTTATGGAAGCTAAGCCTCTTCTTTTTTATTGCCACCATCTCTATCCTAGCACTCTCCATTGTCCCCTTCAGCCTTCAGGCGCTTTCCAAGAATCCACTCTCAGATTCCCATGAGTTGGAAGAGTCTCCCACCGGAGACGAGACTGATCACCATGAGGCTGATTCCGAACATGCGGCCGAGGAAGCAGATGAAGAAAATATTGGGTTGACCATCATTCATTACGATGAAGAGATGTCGAGAATCCCAAGACTAAGAGATACTTCACAGTACATCTTATCACCTTCTTGGGATTTTGACGCCGATCCTGTTATCAGAGAGTACAATTGGACCATCGTAGACGGACGCCTAAACCCCGATGGCGTCTTTCGGCCAATGATTCTTATCAATAACCAGTTTCCGGGACCGCTGGTTGAGTGTAACGACGGTGACACTATTCGTGTCAATGTTGACAATAAGGCTATCAATGCTACGTCAATACATTTCCACGGCCTCTTTCAAAATGGCACGAATTCCCTGGATGGTGCTGTTGGCATTACCCAATGCCCTATTGCCCCCAATTCAAGCTTCACCTACGAATTCCAGGTCCAGAATCAGTCAGGCACATACTGGTACCATGCTCACCATAGTGCCCAGGCCTCTGATGGCCTGGTTGGACCTGTTGTTATTCACTCCAAAGACGAGAGAACCACTCTCCAGAAGCTGGAATATGCTTCTGACAGGGTTATAATGATTCAAGATCATTATCATAACCTTACTTCGGAGATATTGATGGATTACCTCAAACCAGACATGGAGAATAATGAGCCTGTCCCTGACAACGGCCTCATCAATGGTCGTGGTATGCGTGATTGCAAGGACTTTGAAGGTTGGGACTGTGACGCCAGCAATGCCACAGCTCCCATTTTTGATCTTGCTCCCGGCCAACGACACCGTCTACGCATTATCAACGTTGGAGCTTTTGCCGAGTTTCAAGTCCAATGGGACGAACATCCCTTTTACATTACCGAAGTCGACGGCACCGATGTATTTCCCGAACCGTTTCATCGTCTCAACATCCTCCCAGCTCAGCGTTATAGCATTGTTCTGGAAACTAATGTCACCACCGCCGATGCTTTCTGGATGAGGGCCCGCATGGTAACTCACTGCTTCACCACCAAAAATCATCGCCTGCAACCCGAGATCCGAGCTGTGATCCGCTACACCTCTTCCGAAACTAAAGCACTAAACAAATATCCAAATAGCAAAGATTGGCCCGAAGTCATTGAAGTTACTTGTCGTGATTTGAACGTTTCTGCTCTACACCCTGTTATTTCGATGAATCCACCGCCCGCAGACAAATACATGCGTTTTGACGCCAGCTTTATGATTGGGGACTGGCGTCTATCACGTGGGTTTTTTAACCAATCTACTTGGCATCCCAATATCACCCATCCCTCACTCCACCGCTTCCTCGACGCACCTGCAAATGTCACAACCCTTGGCTCACCCATCGCCGTCAATAATCTCGCCTACGACTACAAAAGGGAACTTGTTATCCAGACCGAGGGCATTCGAACCATTGACTTTGCCATCAACAATTTCGACGACGGTAATCACCCGTTCCATCTCCACGGGCACAAATTCTTTGTCCTCTTCCAAGGCCGCGGCGGTTATCCCCCTTCTGAAGCCGATCTTCCGGCATTTCTCCAGCAGCACGACCTGGAGAATAATCCTCTCCGACGCGATACCGTTACAGTAGAGGGATATAGCTGGGCCGTTATACGCATCGTCCTCGATAATCCTGGCATGTGGGCCTTCCATTGCCACAACATGTGGCACGCTGAATCGGGCATGTTAATGCAGCTGCTGGTGAGGAGTGACGTCGTCAGAGGATGGTCTGTCAAGGAGCAAGAGAGGGCTATATGTGGCTTAGAGGGCGTCGATACAGGAATGAGACCAGACGATAGCATCTGGTTTGGCAGCTTTGGTAAGAAATGATGAATATCCAATGTCATCACACTCTAGTTGGAGAAAATTTATATAAATTTAGAGGAAGGAGAAAGGAGGTGTTTAAAGGTTGAAAGAACACGAGAGTTGTTAATGGAATACACTGAAACGAGATGAGAACGATATATATATGTGTGTGTATGTATAATGAACCAAGTCTATATGTATGCCTACCTAATAATTCCAAATTACTATATTAAACACTAAGAAAATAAAACAAAGGAAAATGCATGTGACAAAAAAAAAAAAAAAGACACTTTGAAAGGAAATTTCTTACTCGCTGATGATTGGAGCAGTATTCTTGTTTTTTTCAATTTGAAATCAGAAAGCTTCTGATGCAGCCTATATATGGATAGGACCGCCCATTCTATTAAGCCTACCCCTCCCCCACCCATAATCCATTTCCAGGGCCATTTTACTCAAAAAACGAACCCTTCCCTTCTAATTTGGACAAAAAAGAAAATGTCTATCTTCGTTCATTCTTCAACTTTGCTCTCCTCGTCTTAGCCGCCCAGCTAAAAAGCTGCTCACTGAGGGATCAAACGGTCGACGCAAGTCATATAATATCTTTCCTCTCGCTGGTCGAGAGATTTTCCCCCTGCTCTTTCTGTTTATCGCTAGCCCTGCTCCATTTCGTATTTCCAATGGGAATAGATGAATAGAGGGGTGACAAAGAGAGCAATATGTAACAACGAGGGGGACATCAGAGTATGGCGGTATTTGAATTGCCATGACAATGCCCACGCTGTATAGTGTAACTTTGGAACAAATGAGCCGCCAACAAAGGAAATTAATGCAACAAAAAAAATGGTAGCGAGCAGAGAATGCCTACCTCCTTTCCTTCCCGGTGTCCAAACGCCGTGAAAAGATTAAAAGGTGATGAATTTTAAACAGAGAGAAAAAAAAAAAAAAAAGAAATACTTTTTATAGTAAAGTCTGTAGTCCTGCCTTAATTTGATGTAAGAAACTCCGATATTCGCTAGAGCTCTCCAACCAATGCAGTAAAACACCTTTGCGCCGATATGCTGATACTGATGCGGGCTAAAGAAGCATCCAAACACAAAACAAAATTGGCTGATAGAAGTGCTCTCTGAGAGTCGGGCGCAAGATATGATGTCGGGCAATTTGGTCTGTTTTTGATGTAGAGGGCACTATACTCTTCGTGCGACGTTGACTCCAGGGTTGACAAATGCTCTCGAGGCGATGTCGCTAAATCGACGTACGACGTTGGTAGTCCCACCAGTGACCTGTGATTCATCGAGGATGAATTTGGACGCGACAGCTAATCTGTTCTTTGGGTCCGATTCATCCAGGTGCTGCGGAATGGTTGTAGCATATCCGGCATCAAAGTCCGGAGCGAGCTCGCGAACGACAGCTATGGAATAGAGTACGTCGCGGTTCTCACGGCCGTCCAAAAGGTGACGCATACGGCTAAGGATGTCCTCTCTTATCTTGACGACCGCAGGCGCGCCAGGATTGTCTCTCTTGCGCACAAACTCGGCTAGACTGTACCAAAAGTCAAATTGGCGAACGCGATGGTGGTCAGCATCTGCAACCGGTGGAGAGAGGGGGTTGTTTAGCAGCTCATCGCCGCAGAGTAAGGCCTCGACCACCTGAAGACGATTTCTAGCTTCGGTGGCATCGTTGTCGGGCGGCAGGTTGAGACGCATGGCATTATTCCCCCTCTCCGGTATTTGGTATGCTGTACACGCCAACTCCCAGACGATTCTGGTTTCTAACACCCCCGAATACGCCATCTGGGTATGGTCATTGGCCCTAACACCCTCGAGGATCTTTAAGAAAGTAGCCATATGCTCGATGAGATTGGCATCTTTGGGGAACGACATCTTGCCGTTCTCAGTGAAATAGTACCAGCTTGTTTCGAAAAAAGCACTGAGCCCGCTCGCATACATCTCATGATAGACCTTTGTGATTTCATTGAAGGTCTCCTCAGTATGGCTTATCTGCTGGGCAGGTGCGGGAGGGCCTAACAGATCGATTATTTCGTCGATCTTCATTTTTTTGGCTATACAACAACAAGCAGATTAGCAACCCGGGTCAGCTTTCACTCTTTTTTCTTTTTTTTTTTTCCCAAAGCTATGAAAAGCAGCACGGGGTAAAGCCAGTCTCACCTCGTAAGTAGCTATTATCGGAGGCCGATAGGGACAACTGATTCATCGGCATGGAGGTGGTAGACCGTGCGGCGTGGTCAATATTGGAAGAATAGTTATAACCAAGATCAGGCTTCAAAGATAAAGCTGGTGCCGAGGTGGGTGTAGACAAAGGATTGTAGGTACTTGGTGTGATCGATGGAGTAGAAGGATTGGAGCCTGTGGCATAGACGTTTGGCAGCATCGGTGATTGGCTGCCGTACGTGTTGACCAAACGCTGGACAGGAGATTGTCCAACCGCAGATCCTGGCTGCGCAGATGCAGTGGCAGAAGATTCTGTGGGCTGTGACAGGTTGTTCGACACTGGCTGCGCGCTGGTGCCGGTGGGTGTTCCGGCCTGCTGTCGAAAGATGGGATCGTATCCTAGGCACTCGCGCTTCGATTTCCTGCAGTTGTTGCAGGTGGGATGCGTCTCGTCGCACTACAAGAAGAGATAGATGTCAGCACAAGTTTCCAGGCAGAGCGCATAGAGAAGGGACGGCAAAAGGCTAGCTAACAGAAATGACGACGATGTAGAGGGCAGGAAAAAAAAGAGTAAATCAGAAGCCACTGGCGGCGGGACTATAGGGCGGACAGAATGCGCTGAGGCAGTCGATGGCTGGCGAGTGGAATAGAGAAGAGGTTTGCAGTGGTGCGATTGTTGCTGAGTCTCACGCATGGGCGGGTTTATAGGCGCGCCACGAGTTTCAAAGTTTCTCAGCTCCCTCGGTCGGCAGCTTCAGCTCGGATAGGAGGGGCCGCTTTTTTTTTCTCCTTCCTCACACCACCACCTAAGCCGCAGCCGCCGCTTCAAGCACAGATTGTCGCAAAACAAGGGTGGGAAAATAAACAGGAAAATTGTAAAAACAAAAGTAGTAACAAGTAAAAGGGAAAATGAGCAAGAAATTGCAGAATCGAATTGAATTGGCTCTGGGGAAGGGATGTTGCGGATATGCATCTTCGCACCTTTATACGTCGCTTGCGGCACGTCAGACAGCCTGTCTTTGTTCGTCGCTTAATTTCCTATGTGCCACCGTATCAGCTCCAGTTCAGATGGATAACAGCTCAATTGCACTCCCCCAGGCCCAATTGGATGGGGATTGTCCTCTTTCCTTGTGAAACGTACTTTCTTGGGGCCTCGGTGGTTCATCAGTCGAGCATCGTGCGGAAGAGGATATCGAGAGAGGCTATCTTGAGAGAAGCCGTAGTTGGAGGGTAAAGGGGTCGAGTGGCTTGCGAAGTACGGAGGGGCCGCCGAGACGGTAGTAAGGGGCATGCTCATGGCCATAGACATGGAATGGTGAGAGATTGGAGGCACAGATTGCTGCGACATGGCGTCGATGGTCCGCATGCTAGGCAATGACATCTGAGGAGTGCTCACGGGGCTCACGCGGTATGCGTCAGGCTGGGCTGCGGCCGTGGCTGCGGGATATGAGGCGTATTGAGTGGTGGGAAGTCCTGCAGTATGGGAAGCATAGATAGGCGACGAGGCCGAGCTCGTGGGATAGCCAGCGTGCAGGCTATGGAGAGCCGCTGGCCGATGGCTCGCCATGTCGGACTCGGACTCGGGGGTCGCGGTGGTGTTTGTGGTGTTGGTCTCGGACTCCCGGCTCGTGCCGTTCTGTTGAGAAAGCGGCGGTTGTGACGGAGGCTCGTGATGCTGCTGCGGTGGTTGCTGTTCGCCCAGCTGTGGCGGTTCTTGTCGTTGCTGCTGCTGCTGCTGCTGCTCCTTCTGCTCTTCTTTCTGCTCTTCTAGGGGGGGTGTAGGGGCGACAGCGGCAGTGGGAGTCGGCTCTGAGGAGGCAGACACTGTGATCTGTAGCTCGGCAGAGACCCCTCTTGTGGGAGAAGCAGGTTGAGATTGAGGATGAGGAGCAATGTTCGCAGCGGTAGCGGTGGCCGAGTCGTCGCCTTCGCGACCTTCTCCGGAGAGAACCATTTTCTTCTAGGTCTGTTTTAATTTAGAAATTTATGGAGCGGCGACATGGGACTGGTGAACAGGGGAACACGACCCCGGGCCGGTAGAGAAGCGACAGGAGAGAAGGGAGGGCTGGAGGGTTGGCGGGCTGAAAGCTCTAACCGTGGAGAAGAGATGGTTGTTTGTGATATGCAGCGCGCGGCGCAAAAAAAGCCAGCCGCCAAGTGAGGCAAAGCGAAGTCTAGAGCGGTACTGCAGCAGACAAGGTACCCTTCTGGTAAGCTCCCGCAGAGGGAAGCAGAGCTGTGCATTTGGTTGTACCGGTACATGCGGGTCTCGCCCAAGTGCTCCGTCGGCTCTGCTCAGACGGGCTGTGATTTAGCGGTCGGCCCCAGCCAGGACCAGGGGGCTTATTACTCGGCTACTGCTAGTGCCAGCTCCTTGCCAGCTCCCGGAGCTGCCTCCTACAGGTGCGTGTTCAAGGCACAGAATGATCTTTAAGAGAGGGCAAATGTTTTATCCTCAGCAATTGAGCGGTGCCTTGACAATAGAAATCAATCAATTGGAAGGGCGGAGATGATGACAGCCCGAGATAAGGGAGGCCCTTGACGTAGCGTGCCGGCACCCCTCTCCGGAAGATGCTAGCTGAAATGAAGGCAGACCCCGAAGATTGCAACAGCTCGACGGTACTGGCTATATGTTTGGTATAATAGCGAGGTTATACGAAGCAGATAATACATGTAAGATGCAGCAGAGTACGTGCTGCTGCATCAATGTATCAAGGTTAGCAGTACCTACACGCGTACCGGCAACTGCTTCAAGCAAAAGGCTGCCTCATTGGTGATATGCACTGCACGGATGCAGCATACCTACGCAGACGCAGACGCAGACGCAGATGCAGATGCAGAAGCAGCCAACACAATCACAATACCAGCTAGGTAGCTTCTATACCAGACTGCCTAGTACCTACATACTACGATACTACTATTGCAGCCACTGCTACCAATGGTAGCAGTAGTAGTAGTATTATCCTGGTATATCTACTAGTACTCGTAGATAGACACGCATACTCTGTACCTGCTCGCAATGTACCTACCACACTGCTTTGCAGTAGTCGTAGCACTAAAATACTGTAGTAGATAGTCGCGGAGCCCAACGCCCCGTACAAGGAGGCAGCTTTTGGGACCGTACTAGTAAGCGAGCCGCCCGTACGGACAGCTGCCGGTTCGCTGAGAGCTGAATTAGCTGCTCTGCACCCCGTGTCAGGACAGCTGCACAGTAAGTACCACCTATGCTTGTTGGTGATGGAGGGCTGGGGGGATGCATGGCCCGGTAAGGCGGCCGGATTGCCGCTGGACCCGGTCCAATCGAGTCTCAAGCTGCACGAGCAACCCTGGAGATCTATTGAATTCGACCTCACTACGGCATATTATTAGTGCATTCAAAGTAGTACGACCATCTCATACCAAATCACATCCTACGTCGCCGCATATTGGTAGCAGCACTAGCAGCCGCAGCGTCTTAATCATCTAAAAGTGCGTATGGAGGCGTGGCATTGGATGGCTCTCATTTAAATGAGTGTTCAAATTACTCGTCATAGTAGGTATCAGGTACCTTGGCGCAGCACGTACTGGGGCACCAAGGCACCGAGCAGCATTACTCATAAAAATGGCAAGATTTCATTTCCAAGACTAATGGCTGCTGCCTCAGGGGCGCGAGAGAAAAATACATATGCTGCTACACATGTATGCGCAATACACAAAGTGCCTACGTAGAAGCAGATAAGACACGTGCCGGGTTGGTGGCAGAGATAACGACACCGCATGGCTGTTCTCGGTGAAACTGCCTGGCACAGCTTGATCTATTTCTCAATATCTACCCCATACTTGCACATAGTTGCCAACAGAGCCATTGATTCCAAGTTCCATACAGCTACGGTGTGCCCAATGCTCTCGGCTGCGCGAGATGGAGTACGCTTTGCCAAGAAGCACCGATGCACTTGGCATTGATGCTGGACACTGCCGGCGAGGTAGGCTTCTTCTTGGCCGCTCGCCTTCGCAAACCACAAACAACATTCACGAACAGCAGCCCAGTTGTCGGCTAATTGCTGCTCTTGGCTACAGGTCCAAATACGCAATGCGGTCCACTAACCTCTAACACTCGTGGAGCCTCTTACACAGTCCAGTGCCCGCATTCTCGCCATAAGCAAGCGGCACCAAGAGACGCCGCGATAACGCCTTTCTGTAGATGAGATCGATGGAGATGCAGATTGGCGAGCGAGAGGCAGAGTAGAAGAAGGCGTTCATACTTATACTGTGCTCGTGCGGCTGCTCAAGATACCGTGCGGGCAACCCACTGTTTACTTTGTGTCGCTTTTGCATGCGCACCAACTGCCACAGCATCATGAACAAGCAGGTCTCTCGTCCGCCGGCAGTCTTCAACGCAACCATATTTATGCATAGGCCACACAAGGAGGCTTTGTATACTGGGTTCGTACATGCCTCTTTGGACCAGATGTTTTTGCTGCTTCTCAGAATCCAGGCTTACTTATGCTAGCATTATATCATCACATCTGCGCGCTGCAAATAGAACAGAGGGTGGCTCCCACTAGTGCTACAGCAAGGTGGCAGTACTGGTACTCACTCTTGCCAGGCGCAGCTAATCACGGCACCACTACAAACCCTAGCTTCAAATTCCGGCTCGACGGAAGGTAGCGTGGTGACAGGGGGGATCGACTCATGACGGTGAGAGCTGCATGCGAGTACTGGCTTTGTGCTTGCATTCTGCAAATACTGTTTGTACATGCACACTGCACTGCAGTCTCGGGGAGCTTCGCCGTGCCCAGTCAGTCGAAGAGGGACGAGCTGCTATCAAGATCATCGATACAGTGTAATGAAGCGTCTGGGCTCGAATATCCCCGAGACAATGCCAACAGCGGTATCTTGGGGAGCCAATCGAAGTCTTCGCTACCAAGAACCCAGCTACCACCGCCAAACCCGCACTTCATCCGAGTGACAGATATGGAGTGGCCCTCTTCCTAGGACTAGCAGTCTCCATAAACAGGCGAAACAATTGAGCCGCTTCTTCGCGAGAAGCGAGAAAAGGAGCTCACCGAACCTTCTAGGTTCCAAAAAACCTTGCTGTCTCCTCCATGTCTGAGCCCATATGCGACATGGACCCGCGAATACCACTGGGTGCGTACAGAGCAGTTATAGTGTAGATCCTCGAATCTGGCTCGGCCTCCCATGACTATGGTTTGCTACAATTACATGTAAGTCCCAGTACTAATTCATCGTTATGGAATCCCCTGCGATTCCGGTTTTACACCTCCGTACCAGCGCCTGGAAGCCAGCCGCTGATATGAAGGGCAATAACATGAGAAGCACCACCACTTGACATCGACTAATGTTTCCTAGTAGATGACTTCATTACATTCTGATAGGCTGGCGCCGAGCACTGAAATAACCAAGGGAAAACCGGGACCCAAAGCTGAACAACCTGGCCCTGGACCGCGCAATTTCATTTGTGGGCTAGCAGCCAGCCATCAGCTTGAGATTGTTCTTTTCACATGTACGAGATTGACTGGATATGAATGCTCGAGAGGGGTGGAGGTAACAAGATGCTGGGAAGAAAATAAAAAGCACAAATAAAGTAAAGATGTAGTCCATGTGCTGACAACTGCGGTAGTCATCCTATCCCGTTGTGGAGTGCGTCGAGTAAGGGTACAAAAGGAACGGCTGCTACTGCGGCTGCTACCTCGACAAGGCGACAGGCGAAAGGCGAACTGCAGTATCGGCCACATGGAGAGTCGGAGCCACTATGTTGCAAAACCCCAAGGCGCTACTTGCTATTGCCTATTAGAGTCCCGGAGAACGAGCAGGATTCTTTCGCACCACGGCTGATGCTGGTAGCTTCATACAAATATTACCACCAATGCCGCGAATAGCATTAGCAGTAGCATGTTCGGCACCGCATCATCGCCGTGTATCTTGGTCCATGCGTCGCCAAGCTACGGCTAAAGGGTTGGCCTGGCTCTCAGCGAGAGCCTTGGCAAGCCATCAGAAGGGACGACAGCCGTACATGCTAGCATCTAGAAGTAGTGCTGCCATTCTGTTTGGTTGATGAACCCGGCAGCACTTCCCCATGGGTGCCCCAAAAGCGCTGCGGCGTCTGCATCATCGAGCTCAGGTGCCACTACTCCATACATAGCACACCCGACTTCGATGATGCAGACCGCATCATTCATCCCCGAGTATTTGCCCCGGAACACTCTTCCGTTACCGCTTCAGGGATCCAGGTGGCTGGGAGGGTGACATTGCGGCACATCGCCAGCATCCGCGGTCAAGATAGATTTGTACGCTGCTAGCACGAGTATGTCGCTGCCTCTTGTTGGCTGTTCTGGCCTACTACACGACGCCAGTTGAGAAGACACTATCGACGCTTCATGCCAGCCCACCATGCAAGGAGGATCTAGCCGCATGAGTTAACTTACCAGCTCTGCGAGTTGAGGGCAGCTCCACAAGGCGAAACGTCTCTTCTAAAAGCGACGGCCCATTTGAACTTGTGCCTGGTGCCATCGGCTGTTGTTAGAGGGCGTCAGTCGCACTGCAAGCTCCGTATAAATCAATCGGAATATTAGCTGTACATTCAGATAAGCGAACAGCAAAGTTCTGGGTAAGATTCTTAGTCGTGAAAACTCCCACGGAGTTGTTCTACCACTGCTGTCCTTACTCATACTGTACGGATCCCAAGAGTCATCCAAATCACATGAAAGCAAAAATGAGGTGATGAAGAGCAACAACTGGTACAAGAAGCTGACCATTAAGCGTCACATTGCCAACCGGAGCTGAAGACGGCCTGGCTCTGGCCCACTTTTCGAAGCCTGTCTGGCCCCCTATTATCACCATATTGCAGAGCACAGATACGGACTGCAAGTGCCTGTACAAGTATAGCTTCGTACGGCGGGGTGCGCAAGCAAGGAGGACTTAGTGCGGCAGAGGTGACAAGACAGAGTCGCAACAGATACCATCACGAGACAAGGCTGCATCTTCACCGTTGTTCGGGCTTGAGGCGTTGAGACGGTCTCCATGTTGGCAGAAACATGCATCTTCCAGTAGCGGCGGTGCTGCTACTACTACTACCACCACCACCACAACACACCAGCATGCATCCTATAAACTTCTAAATCATTATGGACACCAACTCCGCGTCATGCATGCTGTTTGTACCCCCTACACCCTCCTGCACTGTTGGTCTGATCTTTCTAGGTCCGGGTATGCAGGCCGCCCGAGCCACCGAAAAATACGGAGCCATTCCATGTCCTTGCTAGGCTCGACTCCTTTCTCTAGCAAAGAGCAAAAACACAAGCTACTAGTTAGGGCTGCTACTCCATACTTCCCTTTTTTGCTCCTCTGGCCTCCTTAATCGCGTGCCAGGCTCGCTGCCAGCCTAAATTGCGGCGGTAGATAGCCCCTAGTCATCATGTGCGGAGAATGCTACAGGTTACCTGCAGGCATGCATTCTGTGTGCCCGTGCTGAACATGGCCACGCAGTAGTATCATATCACATGCAGGCAGTTTTTCGATATACTGCAGTACCTATACGAAGCAGTTTCACTACGGCAAACCCTCCGTAGCCCTACCACGAGCAAAGGTAAACTAGTGCCACAAAGTACGTATCTCTGTGCACAAGTACAGCCGTGTTATTACAGAGATGTATTGTATGGATGATGTCTCATAATCTGTCCTATAGGATCGTATCCCGTTGGGAGACGTTCATCCGTCTGCAGGAAGCCAAGGCCCCAAGGCCATACGGTAGCCGACTTACATGGATTCTCGACCGCATTGTTGCAGCAGGGGCTCCACCGCCTGCCAATCGAGCCCTGACTCTCTCGTCTCTGCGCTGTTGTCTCCAATAACCATCCAAGGACTGGCACGGCATTCCCGTGTCTCTCTATCATAAGTCCACGCCAGGCAACTCTTCCTATTCCGGCACTTGAGGCGGCACGCGTCTGCCGATACGATCTCCGTTGCTTCGTCGCCCATCGGCCCCACGTAGTCCCGCATCTGACGTGCCGGCTCGCTGCCAGCTTTCTGAAGTGAAGTGTTGGCAAACAGCTCCCACAGCTCACCCCAGACCACGGGCTGCTTCCTCTTGGAGAGTACATGGCCGATGTTTTCCATGGACCCTGGCTTGCGGAGACCATGGAGGGATACCAGGGGCGAACAGAGGCGGTCTCCCAGGACTCGGGCCATCTCGGGGGGCTCACCGTTGAAATAGTGGCTATACCGCTCGTCGACATATATCCCCAGTTTGATCAGCGTCAACCCTACCAGTCGGTCACCCCATGTCTCGTCGAGCGAGTTGATATATGACTGGGCGACAATGTCGGGGCGATCGAATAATCGCCGAACTGCGTCTCCTGAGAGCAAGATGCCAGACCCTCCATGTGCAAATCGAGTTTTGTAGTCGCCTACCGCATTGCCTATGTACCATGGCCTGGCAGGATCCAAGTGGCTTAGCAGAAGATACAGTGAAGGCCCAATCAAGAAGGTATCGTCGTCTAGAATAATGTACCATTTCTTGTTGGGCATCTTTCTGTAAGCCAACTCCATGCTTGTTATGAACTTGACCGCTTAGATGTTAGCAGTAGTATAACGAATAGAGGGGGAGGGTGAGGTTTTCCACCCATAAACTACCTTCAAGGCGTCCAACTCCCACCCAAAACTTTGTCCAAGCTCATTCGCCTTATCCTCTTCGGAGGAGTCTATGGCTTCTTGTAGAGAGCGGTACTTCCCGAAGCGGGGATGGTCTCGTAATGAGTGGCCAACTTTGGTCTCCATCATCAAATTCACAACATTGTGCACGCTAGGTGACCCATCAAGCGTCTTGTTTGCCGCAGTCCAATCGCCAGCCACAATAAAGTTGCTATTTTCTTCGCCTAGAATGTCACCGCTGCGGGAGAAAGCGTTGATGAGTGCAGGTACCCGGTGTCGTGTGCCATAGCCGGTTTTGATGATATAGCCGACATCCTCGCGTAGGCTTAATGGGTAAGGCTCAGGACGCTGGTCCAGCCATGCGTCTCGGTTCGTAGTGGACGCACGGAGCGAATTCAAAATTCGAGAAGCATTGAAGTTGACAGCCAGCTTGATTGGAGAGCTGGGGGGCAGCAGGAGGTAATTGGCACTGAGGGTGATGAAGAGACTAGTGAACAAGAGAATAAACCGTCGGCGGGCATATCGTGGCATAAGGATCATGGCGACCCGGTAATCTGACCGAAACAACACACAGGTGGAAGCTTTTTTTTAGTGTTTCCGAGATGATGTTGACTCATAGGACAACTGATTTTCCACCACAACACAAAGCCAGTAAGCAATAATTGCTTCGAGAAACAGATGAAAAGACGAAAAGCTTCAATGGATCATCATTAACAGAACAGTGGAAATGAGTAGCATCATTATACCAGCTCCTCTAGATCTAAGGTGGCTATATCCAACGCTATAACATTCATAGCTTTCAGGGGCTTTCTTTTTTTATTCCACTCTCCATCCTCATTGCTGCTCTGAAAGTGGCAATTGTATTCCAAGATCTGCATCGAAAGCTAGGGTCAGCAGCTACTGTACATTCATGCCCTGCCTTTAAAGCCGCATCATGCCCACTCTCACCAATTCTCCATATTCCTTGCGCAGATCAGGGAACGTATGGTCCTATTATTACATCAAACAGTAGAGACGTCTCCGCGGCTCGTTTTCCTTCTGTTATCGTCCTATTCTCACAGGCAGTTACCGTTACTCTATCCACTGTGCAACGCAAGTGTGAAACTCCCGCAAAGGGGGCTAAATGCCGTGTCAGTTTACTAGCGGAATGATCGACGATGAGTGACGCGCGTTTGTGGCTGTAAATTTCAAGCACACCGTCCATGGAACCATTTATTTTTATGTACATAGTATACAGCACATCTACTGCAGTAAGAGCCCAAAGCTTTGGTAACCGAATTTAGAACAAATTAGTGTAATCATATGAGAGCTTACAAGCAAAGACCATTCTTATCCAACTTGTCGCTGAATGGATCTACCAAAGTAGACATGGCAAAAAAGGGCAATTGCAGGCAATTGCAGGCAATTCATGGCGAAGCAAGACCAATTAGCCTGAAAAAGGAAACTTTGCTGACTCACAAAATGGGGGTTAAAGAGTTAACTGGGATACTTCTTGCAATTAAGCTTAATTAGTCGTACATAAATGGTAGACGAGCTATCGGACATCCGCGAAATGAAGAATGACAAAAGACATTTCTATATAAAGACTTTAGCTATCTCAAAAATCACGTTTCTAAAAAAAGACATTCTCTTATTATTAGATCCATATTTAAATTACACCTGCTTTCTTCTAGAATGATGGGGAACAGGCTAGCCACATTTCGTCTGTCGTCTCCTCGGGGAAATTATGTCGTCTGTCATGGGCAATCTCATCTAATTAAGTGGCACAGACCAACATTAAAATACCCAAATCTACAACAATATACTGCAAGCAACGCTTTTTTTTTAGATGCTACTTATCATACAAGTACCTGTACTTTCTTACAATGCTCTTCTTTCATGTGAATATCCACCCCCCTTTCATTCGATTATTTCCCAAGTAATAATACTCCCCCTTCTCCCATTCTCTCCTTCCTCTATTCATATGTTCAACATAAGTTCCTCGGCCGGGCAAGCCCAGCAAGTTCTAGTCCCAATATGTTCTTTTTTTGGTCTCCTTTTACGACTTTCTACAGTAGTGCAAACCCCCGAAATTGGAAGAAAAACGCCGGAAAATGCATAAAAGCAAATAGAATGAAAGAAAAGGGGCAAGATTCCTGCTAAAATCACGAATGATCCTTTGACATACGCAGTCAAAATTGCATGTGACAGTTGCATGTGATAGCATGCTGTAATCATGTTCAGTTCATTGGGAAACAATCGTTCCTCATTGCTCAGTGTCCAGCTCGTAGAAGAGCAGATAGACTTCTTTCTGCATGCCCAAGACTTCGCTTGTCTTTGCCTCGCGCACTTTTTCATCGCTGACTCGCCACCACTTTTCCGCAAGCTTTCGCTTCTTAGGTCGAGGTTGAGACTTGGCCACGCCAGGGGATGAAGCTCCATTAAGGCTTGACCTAGGAGGCGCGAGCTTAGACAGCGCTGACTTGGTAGATGCGGCTACAGATCGAAGGCTGCTGGTCTCGCCGTCTCTATCTTTGCCGTTCATCATGGGTTTCGGGAGATCGACAGGAACGCTCCGCGGAGGAGGCCCAGTAGATTCTAACGATGGCGTGGATGAGGTAGTGTCTGAGGATGGCGACAGCAAATCTGGAGTTGAGATAGAAGGGCTATCGGCTTGACGGGCTGAAATCTGCGGTGTTGAAAGGGGCGTCGGCGTCTTGCTATAGATTTCAGATTTTTGAAACGTATTGATGTTCGCAAAAGGAGATGGCGTATTTTGCCGCCGAAATGCTTCGTAGTGGCCACTGTTATGGCCTCCCCTATGTGTCACGACGCCGAGTAGCTTATACTTGTGCTGCTCTGCAACACTCCCTAGAGGTAATCGCTCAGGAAACGACACCTTGGCCGAATTTTTCTGCGTGATCTGACCAACACCATAAATTGATCGAGATAGGTGAACGGCTAAGATTCTGGGAAATGTAGACATGCGTGTCGTCTTGGCAATCTTTCTCTTCGGCGCATACCGAATATCGCCGAGTTCCACGTCTTCGGGCGGTCGTTCGGGGTCGGTCTCTATAGCCATCTGAAGCCTTTCGATATTTTCTTGAGCTAGGGCTCTGAAGCTCTCGGACGTCGATTTGGCCATTTCGTGTTCGAGGTTGGTCTTAGTCTGTACTAGACGGCACATTTCGCATTTAAAATCGTCGATATACTCCGTCTTGAATATACCGTCAAAGCAAGCGCTCAATGAGGTTGACGAGACTTGCGGAACTGCCAGTGTCAGAGTACAAAAAGTCTCTTCTCTTGGTTTGGTGGTGTAGCCGCAAGTCTGGCACTGAATATGCGACTCATATTTTCCTTCCAAGGGAAATCCTTCCTCGAGCTCCGGCTGGACGCGAATCTCGCGAACTGCCCTCTGCACTTCTGCCAAGTCGATATTGATTGCTACTCCGGTAGTGCTGTCGGCAGCATCCTCCGACCTGTCGGTATCGTTGCCATCCTTGGAGTTCGAATCGGCTGCTGCCATGATGCCCAAGTTGCGGGCATGCAACCGCGCGCGCTCGCCGGCATGATATTCGTCCTTGAGTCGTTCTGCTACAATCTGCAAAAACTCTTGCGCATCCTGCTGCTGTCTGCTGATGCGCTGCTTGAAAGCTATCTCCAGCACCTTGACAAACGGGAAGGGCGAGATGGCCTTTTTTGAAATGGGCCGCTCATTAAGCGCATCCAGCATCTCCTTTAGCCCATGTGTTACCAGTCCATCCTGAAGACCCTGCAGCTTCCACTGCGCAAGCTGTGTCCCATCCAGGGGCTGCACCAAGTTGGCGTACACGGCCGGGTCTTCGATGCGGCGGCGATGTGTCTCGCGGATCAGATAGACCCGCAGCTCGCCCAGGCCGGCCAAGGCTTGCAGCACCGAGTTGATGAAGCAGTCATTCGCCTGGTTGCGCAGGCCGACAATGGTTTTCTTGCGCGAGCTGGTGGTGTCGTGGTCGATGGTGAAGGTTGGACCGAAGACGTAGATGAGGGCGGCTGCGGCGAGGGACGCTCCGGCGGCGTATGAAACAACCGACGTCGTTTTATCGGGCATGGCTGAGGCTTGATGAGGATCTCGCTGGCAGCGAAGCGGAAGCCTCGGGTCGACGGGCACGAAGGTGCGGAGTCGCGGATATCCGAGATCGAGAGGGAGACGGCAGAGTCCGCCAAGAAAAGGGAACAAAAAACAGACTGCCGGCTCGGCCGCACAGGGCAGACTGAGATTCGGGCTCGGCGTGCGTTCGAGCGTCAGACGGCTGTGGCAGACGTGGCTGGTGGTGACGGCATTGCAGGACGGTTTCTGGGCGTGAAGAAGAGCAAAATAAGCGGCACGTCACACAAGGCCGGCGAATCCAGCGTCAGATTCTGTCTGGAGACAGATTGGCTGCGTCGACTAGGCCCAGTACGAGATACTTGTGCGAGACGGTCCGCAATATTATGTGGCACGCCCAGAAGGCCGACTCCGCTATCTGCAATGCGCGATCGCGAACGAACCGGAGGCTGACGGCGGGGGAGCCCCAGGATCTTAGCGTTGCCTGGCAGATGTCAAGGAGCCTTTCGTGCCGTCTGTCACGCACGCATTGTGGCTGTCGGCCGTGGAGCGGACGAGGTTGAGTCTCTCTGCTCTCTGTTCGCGTGTTCGGGTTCGGCAAGCAGTGCTTCGTATCAGCTCCAGATCCTGGCCAGAAGGCAGTGGATATTTCCAGATCCAGCAGCAACGGGGCCCTCCTGGCTCTCTTCGTCTTCGTCGCCCCCGAAACTTCTGGGTCCCGATTTTCGGGACCGGCAGGCTGGTTTGCGTTTGTGCCTGGGCTAAAGAGCGAAGCGCCGATTAGGCTATGAGGCGTGCGACGTTAGCCGGACTTTTAGGCCCCCCAACGCCGAGCCGTGGTTGAGCCGAAGTCTGGGGGCGAAGATGCGTGTACAAGTAGTTACCCTAGAAGACATCATATGGAGGATATGCGGAATTATACATACAATGATAGTTCAAAAGATGTGCAGCCTTATTCTTGATTTGACTAGACTCCGTTTCAGTAGCGAATACCTTAGGCAAGATTCATAACACACGTGTGTACGTAGCTACTTTATGTAAGTTAAACTAAGAGATATTGGACGTCTCTATTACGAATATCTCTGAAAAATAGGCATTGTTACCATCTGTTGTCCGTCATTACCGGAACAATAGATTTTATATAGCCAAATGATGCAATTGTTGCAATTTCCCCCTAAATTCTTCACTAAATGCATTCAATTATCGCAAAAGAGGAGACTTTGAGAATGGCTGTAAGGAAAAGATGCTCCAGCATTTCTTTGCATACGTGTTCATGAGAATACTTGCAATAGACGTATTGTTCGAATAATACACGGTTTACAATGCTAAAGACAATTGCTTGAGATAACAATGATGTTTCGCTGGGCTATATTTGATATATAATAGACGGCGCTTGGCCTTATGGTCGTAGTTATAAGCTCTTTGTAAATGACCATCTATCCATTGCTTAACAAGTTGTTGCGTCTCCAAGTCCAAGATCGTTAGCTGCCAACAAAAACTCCATGAAGCCAGCACTGGTTGCACGGAGGTTGGAGTTATACTGAGAGACTGATGGGTAGAATGGGCAAGATGCGGCGTTGTTGGGGAAGCCAAACTCCACTGTGAATGAGTGAACAAGACTCTTGGTAGGGTCGGAAAAGTGTCGCGAATAAGCATAATCGTCACTGGCGCCCGACGTGGGATACAGATTGGCTGACTGGAAGGCATCATAACTGCGACCACCGCCGCCGGTCAATCCAGAAGCAATGCGGTTAGCTGCAGTGATTTTATCGTTGAGTTCAGCCTGAGGAACATATTCGCCGTAGCCCCTGCCAGGACTGGGAGTGTCTGTGAGAATGCCTCGGACGCTGCTGTAGGAGCTGTTGAGGAAGTTCATGTACGAATACTGGGACTGGTTTTCGTCGCTACCCCAGTTCCATAGCACGTCACCTGCATAAGAATGAAGGTCGACAAACCAACGGATCTTGGAGAATGTGTCAAACACCCACTTGATGTTCTTGGTCTCGGCTTCAGAGAAAGCACTGGTTCCGTGGTAAGTCTCAGAGCTAGGAGACGTTGAGGCGACGCTTGACTGCACTGAAGAGGAGAACAGGCGGGTGAAGTCCCAAAGGAAATCGAAGTTTCGGTTCAGATCGACTCCTCCTGAGTTGGAGTTGCGGTTCTTTCGCCAGCAGCTGTTGGTTGACTGGTCATAGGCCACTCCATCCGGATTGCTAAGTGGAATGATGACTAGTCCTGTGGACAGGGCGGTTTTCACCTGGGCGTTGGTATACGACTTGGATCCGTATGTAAGACCAACGTTATTCTTATTTGCGTACAGCAGGTCGGCAGCGAAGTAGAGTACGCTATCCATAGACCCGCGCTCTCGAGCATGGATGTTGCCGTTAATGAATGTGCGATAGGCGTTGGAACAAGTACCGTTCCCGCCAATTTGGGCCCCAATAACGGTGGCTCCCTGGGCTGTCTTGTATGGGGTATTGAATGTTTGGATCCCGTAAGTATTTACGAGGCCTTGTAGGCCACTCTTGATCTCATTGACGTTGAGGAGGGTGCTAAAAGAAGTGGATGACGACTGAGTGCCTAGCCCTCTTGGTGCAGTTGAGCCGCCATCAAATCTGTCGCCCTTTCCAATCGGAGTTCCGTTGCTGCCCTGGCGGCGGACGATTGGCTTCATCTCAGTTTCGTCACGCTCATGAGGGAGAAGACATGCCGATGTCACTTGGGTGAGCGCGAGAAGCGCCCAAGGAAGAACCGTCTTCATTTTCTTTTATGCGTTGTTGCTTTCTGTAAGAAGAATGAATAAAGAAACAGAGGTGTTTCCGGATTCTGATAGAGAAATTCCCTTTCTTTATAGAACTCAAGGATATGATGCGATTCCGGATCGCCGCACGTTATTGGGGAATAATAGCAGTGTTACATCGAAACTATGCGGCAATCCGCCCACATCCGGAAGCTGGAGATAGTCGAGGGGAAAGTCTTAGTTGAGCTGCCCAAAGAAGATAGCCTTTTTATTCTGGGGATTGAGAATAAATAGTAATTAGAGTTGCATTCGAGGCGGTCGCTTGGCTCTCGCCGTTATAAGAGAGACAAAAGTGCCAAGTGCCCCACGTCGGGCATTTGCACTCATAATGCCGACTACAAAGAAGAGACAGTGTACAAAAGCATAGTGGGTTAGGGTGATGCGAATATCCGAAGGACAATCTGATGAAATGAAAATCTGACGATGACAAGACCGGTTATCTAGGCGGCAATGTTTACTATCTACTGTATTACTACCTTCACAAAATTTCTAGCCCTACAGCACGATTGATTCCCATCTGCTGTATAACGGTGCGTGTATTGCGTACCTACGTAGATCTGCGTACTTATGCAATTATGATTGCGATATTGGTGGTCGGTCTGTGTACTAGGTGAATCAACTGCAAGGAATTTTTGTGCATGAGACAGATAACGGATTATCCCTACCAGATTAAGAAGGTCATTAGACAACAGTCTCACGGCAGTGTATGTAGTGTCTCAATCCTGGCAGAGCCGGAGAGCTCGTCTACTGGATTAAATCTGCATTCCACACAGATAACAGGAACATCTCCTACGTAGACACGGAGTAATTGCAGAAGAGCTTGGTCTCTTCGCCTGTTTCGTAAGATGCTCCGATCTTTTGTCTCAAGAGGGGCAAATGGAGTGGTGTGTTAGTACTACGTGTACCTACGTGCACCGTAGCCCGTTACCAAGTGCCTCGAGTTGTTAGCTACATGCACCTAGCGCGGGGTTTGTTACTCTGAGAAGAGGAATTATGATTATAACTCTAAATTTAATCTTTAGAGCAAATATGCCATCAATTGATCCTGCCTGTACTCCGTAGAGATGGCTCAGCTTCCTATTGCAGCAATAGCGCCCCGGCAGAGAAAGGACTGGACGTACTTAAGCGGCATGTACCTACATGTACCGTTCGCGCATATAATATGCATATACAGCACTCTTTAGCTTCATCACAGTGCTTTTACGCTACATCATAGCGCTCTCTTAACCCATCTGGACATCTATGGACTATAAATGTCTCATGCGTTCCAATCGCAGTGGCCTTTCTCTTTAAACAAATAGATAAAATCATATAATATGGCAAACGCCGTGAATGAAAATGTTTTCATACTCAATCATCTATCTCTTCTATATATCGATTCAACAAACTCTTCTAAGTTGTCTCCCTTGGGTCGGGCAATCATTGTATTTTTGCAGAGGGCACTTCATTATAATGAGCTACGCGAGATCTCCATGATATAGATCGTAGACAAGTAGCTGGACCCTACAGAGTACATAGGTACATGCAGCAATGCAATGCGGTATTACATCGTCGCCTTTACACTATGTGTCTTCCTTGTGGGCTATTTTGACTGCAGAAAATAGGCGTTTACGAAGGATCGAAAAGTATGAGCGACAATTTAGTTTCAATTGTCCGTCTAAAAATGCTGATCGCTGTGCACCCAACAAGCTGTCTCTGAACTTTGGTCGAGTTCGAGCTTGAGCTCGAGGCGCTTTTCTCACCAACTTATCACGTGATGGCTTTCTGGACGGCAGAGCTCACTCTAGTGGCTCTGAGTAACTTTTTGGCTGCATTCAGATTTTTCCCATGTCCGTAGCTGAGATTCAAGCAAATCAAGCTTACATCCTGCGAAAGTGAATATATGCAATTGGAGAGCCAGTTGCACAGCATATTCTTTTGCGGCGCTTGATTTTCATCTCAACTTCATTATAAAATTTCGAAAAAATGGCCGACCAGCAACAGTCACCATGCCGCATCCTGGTTATGGCCTCTGGCTTTGGCTCAAACTTCCAGGCTCTCATTGACGCTGTTGCCGCGGGACGGATCCGAAATAGCAAGATTATTCGTCTTGTCGTGAATAGGAGAAATGTGCAATCAATTAAGCGAGCAGAAAGCGCAGGTAGGACAATTTTTTAGAACTGGCATTGATGCATTCTAACTCAATATTAGGCATTCCTTGGGAGTATTTCAACTTAATCAGCAACGGATTTATAGCCAAGGGAGAAAAGGACGAGCAGAAAGTTGCTGAAGCTCGGTATAGATATGATGCTGCACTGGCCGAGAGGGTATTATCAGCAGAAGAGAAGCCAGAGCTAATTGTCCTCGCTGGGTGGATGCATGTATTCTCAGGTGGCTTCCTGGAGCCTATGGAAAAAGCAGGTGTGAAAGTTATCAATTTACATCCGGCCTTGCCTGGTAGGTTATATTCCGAGAGCCGGTGCTGAGACTAAGCTTGTCTAACTATAGCCTTGACAGGGGAGTTTGATGGAGCTGGTGCAATCGAGAGAGCTTTTGCAGAGCTCAAAGCTGGCCGAATAACACGCACTGGTATCATGGCTCACTATGTTATCCAAGAGGTGGATAGAGGTACTCCTATTATGGTTCAAGAGATTGAGTGGAACGGAGAGGAGCTTCACGAGCTCGAGGACAAGATTCATTCGCGGGAGCATGAGCTGATTGTGAAGGCTACGGCGAAAGTGGTTGATGAGATATTGGAAAAGCGGGCAAAGCAAGTCTAAAGCATATTCAGACCCCTCATGTTGTAATCAATCAACAGCGTTTGTTGCGCATGCACAGTCTCCAACTCAGCGGCGTAGCCTGTGTTAGCAACTTCGCGTGCCAGGCGACGTAACAATGCCTCCAACATATCACGACTTCGAAATGCACACCAAGAAGCATCTCTGAACGTTATAGTGGACGGCAGGCAAGCATAGGTCTTCTGGCTACTATACAGCTGACAAAAGCATCTTGCGACTGTTTAACCCTAGCTATGAAAACTATGGATACTTAAAGCGATCTTTTAAGCTTTCTTTATAGGTGGCCGATTATTGGATGGAAGTCAAAACGCCTTCGCTGATGCCCACCGGTTCTATGCTTGACTCAGCCGAGCCATTAGATAGTCGCAGAAGCCGCTCACAATCCTTTCAGTCATCCATGAGAAATACATATATGGAAGCTTACAGAACCTAAATCTTTGATGACGGAGCAGCAGAGTTTTTCGATGCTCCTTTTGAGAAAATTCGCCTCATTGTATGGCTCGAGGATGAGTCACTGCTGGTAGAAAGAAGAGCAGTCCAGGGACTACGGCTCAATTTTTGTTGGAAAATCAAGAATAAGAAAAGAAAAGAGAAGAGAAGAAGAAGAGAAAAGGTGATGCATTTCGATTACAGCGCAAGAACTTGACGAGACAATTGGCTACCTACCTAGATACGTTCGACATATTCTGCACTATGACATACAATGTCATGCTCAATAACAAAAGAGCGTATCCAAAATTTCATATTAGGTGTTCAATTGTGGTCACCCGACTATTAAACGTCATCTCACTCCCGTTTAGATCATGGGGGCAGTGTGCTTTTTGCATGAACTAAACAGCCTAGAACTTTGGAATCTGGAGCATCTCCGCCTAACGCGGCTGTCAGGCCCCCATGCGTACCCGATATTTTAAGTGAGAGCCAATATTATTTAATTTCTAGCTGCATACTATAAACAGCACGCTATTATTATAATCTTACAACTCAGAGATAATATAGGGATATAGTACATGAATAGAATAATGACTGCTATGTATTACCTATTTAATCTTTGAGCAAAAGGTATATGTCTTGTGCTCTCAATGTAGAGGGAGATATACTTATATCACTCATGGACCTTTTTCTATAGATACTTATAATGTTACTATAGTCTCTTTTGCAGACAATCAATTCCGACAAATTTTATTGATAGAGTTATAAATAATTCAATTTGCGTGTCTAAATGTGAATGCAGATATTTTCTGTGAATTGACAAGCTTGATTTCCAACTTTCTTTATCGATCCGACGTCAAAAATATATTGGCTGTCGGAGCATGAAGTAGACCTGCCATTGCATACATGGGTGAAGATTAGGTTTTGTTGCTTATGATGGATAATAGCTGGAGCAGCCAGTTGGGCATCATACCTAGTTGGAAGCCGGACAAAGGGAAGAAACCGAATCCGTTACTAGAACTGCTCCGTTGAATCGGCGAGAAGGCGCATACTTACGCATACTTATTCGAAGAATAAATTGCTCAGGGTAATTGTATTGATTTGAAAATGTAGCGACCATCAGTATTTCGAGGCTGAGATGACGCTCGGTTTGTGACATTTAGATTAGCAAACACGTAGGCAGACTGAGGACTGTAACTCTAGATTTGTAGCAAGCTCAGAAATTGAACTTGAATGGATTGATGTACCTTATAAGGTTATCTGTAGCCCTGTACCAAAAACTCTTTATGGAAAAGACGGATGTGTACAATATCAAAATCACATTGGGCCTTGCTCTACTGAGCCTCATTGCTGAGAGAAGTATTATAAATCACTAATTATGGCTGGTTGTCAGTAATAACGGTGTAAACCATGCTCTGATACCAAGATATATGACGTATTTTGAATGCATAGCCGAATGCCCACATGCATGGTATGTTTGCAGTCTATTACTTGTTGTGGCGGACGGCCAAGATAGCCTCTATTCCACACTCACATGTCGTGGCAACATGATACAGGGATTTTATTAAGAAATCATGCATGCATTTGGAGCCCAAAACTCAATTCACTTTATTTTAAACCATTTTTATACCGTCATGCTCTCTCGTACATGGCTTGAACTTTTTCACTATGTTGACATCTTTTCAAATATCATAAGAATGAGTGCCCTATACCTGCGGCAGGCATGCAGCCACTAAGAAATGCAATCATGCCACGTCGTGAGGCTCTGTTATTTGCAGGGATTGGGCCCCGCAAATTGCTTCTGCGCTTGAGAGTTGGGCAGCTGTATTATTGGGTTAATGCATGCACATGCATATGCAAACGGTGCTGTTCGATGCTACAACACGTCACAGTACTGCGTCTAGCGAACTAAAAGCATATCTCAGTAGCTTTGATTAACAGCTCAAGTCTCTAGATACGTGACAGTGAGAAGATAATGTACAACTGGCAGAATTGGGTTGGAGTGCATTTCTGGACTCTGCAGAGCCGCAGCCTGATCGAACTCCCATCCATCCCTATTCCTCAATAATGGCCTATATCTTTTATAACTCGACATGAATAGTTCTAAGATATTCTATGATTCTCACAAGGATAACAATTTTTTTTTTCCTCTTTCAGTCGTTGCCTTTCATTTCAAGCAAACGCTTCTTGCAGCCAGAGAAAGAAATACCTACTTTAGTCACCATGTCCAAAGCAATCTCTATCCCACATAGTCGCGATGACTATACTGTTGGGTGGGTATGTGCGCTGCCAACAGAGCTTACAGCTGCGATATACATGCTCGATGAGAGACACTCAGACCTCAAACAGCCAAGGGGTGACTCCAATGCTTATATTCTTGGAAAGATGGGTGAACACAATGTTGTCATTGCGGGCCTGCCAAAGGGAGTAACCGGCAATACTAGTTCTGCAACAGTGGCGGCCAGGATGATATCTAGCTTTCCAAACATCAGAGTAGGGCTAATGGTGGGCATTGGTAGTGGTGTCCCCCAGAAGGTCCGGCTTGGAGATGTGGTCATCAGCGCTCCTGTTGAAGATCGACCTGGGGTGATCCAATGGGATATGGGCAGAGCAGAAGACAAGGGTTTCATTCAGACGGGATTCTTGAATCCTCCTGCAAAGCTACTCTTAAGCGCCCTGGCCAAGTTTGAGGCCGAACAGATAAAGGTCCATGCCAGTATGATGGAATATTTAGTCAAGCAAGTGCCCAAAGATTACTTCAAGTCACCACAGCCGAAGGATATTGCCTATGAATCAACATATCAGCATGTAGGCGGAAATGACTGCTGCCAATGCGACGACAATATGGCAATGAAGAGAGATTCGGGAGAGCGCCATGGGTTACATTATGGGCTTGTGGCATCAGGCAATCAAGTGATTAAGAGTGCTGAGCAGCGTGATAAGCTCTATCGCCAATTTGACGAAAATATCCTGTGCATTGAGACAGAAGCAGCCGGACTTATGAACGACTTTCCTTGCATCGTTATTCGAGGCATCAGCGATTATGCAGACTCACATACAAATGTGGCATGGCAAGAATACGCTGCCGCCGCGGCAGCAGCTTGCGCAAAGACATTCCTCGATGTCGTACCTGTGAGCGAGGTTGATAAATTGGAAGCTGTGAAAAGTAAATATATGTTTGGTATAATACACAAAAGTCTACACGGCTAACAGCTTGCTCTCTGCTAGGTCTTATTCCTCCCGGGATGATTGAAAGGACAGTGAACTCTTGGCTCTCATACTGGTTTTCTAAACCTCAGGATACTTCTCCTGGATCTGGTGAGTTGTTATTCTACTCGCTGTCTCTTTAACATAAGAAGTACTAATGGCCTGCGCTTCTTACGCGATAGCTGGCCCTAAAACAGCCAAAGAGACGAGTGTCAGCAAGGAACAGAGTGTAAGCAGCTCTCCGACGCTAGTTGATGAAGATATAAAGCTTTCAGCCGGTGGTCATGATTCTCAGCAAGAACATTTAAACAGTAGCGACGGAGTTCTGATTTCGACAACTCATCTGCCTTTGGAGCTACAACAATCGCATACATCTGGGCATCCAGACGCCAACACTGGGTTTAAACTTGGAGTCCAAGGCCCCAAACCCTTTTCCGAGCCATTTCTCCAAGAAACAGGAGTAAATGATGTGGGCGATATGGGGGATTTGAATAGTGATCCAAGTACTCCTCCTCCTCAATATGACGAGCAATTCGCCACCAGCAATGGAGCAATGGATTGGACCAATCAAGGAAACGTCACTCACAACTCTAGGCTTGGAGGGAACTATAACTTTCGAATATCGCTACTACAGAGTCCCCAGTACAGAAGCAGTCCAGCTTCGATGCCTTACTCTCTCAAGGCACCTCTCAGGGGAGAAGATAGGCCTATATGGAGCAATGGGTATAGTAGTAGCTACAACGGACATAATCAAGGAAAAGTTCCTATGGACAACGCCCGCCACCACCTTGGTATTTTGGCCGCCGCAAAAGTAACACATCGTCAGGCCCTAGGCCAAATCGCAGCAATTGGCTCGCTGTACGACGCACGCAAAGACCAAATCCTCTCTCAATCGGTATTTTTTGAGCCACTATCTAAAGATGCCGTCTGCAGAGATAGAGTGTTGTCCAAACAGTGTGAGATCAGGAGGTCTGGCTCACTAATGGAAACATTTGAGCAACTGGGTCTCTCTCCTGAACTGGGCCTTAGTTATCTCACTGGAACCGGCCCATACACAGCCAAAGGTAGCGCGGGCCACCTTGCTCAAAAAAGAACAAGTGATGCTGCGCAAGAAGTTTCTGTCGTTTGTAATGAGGTTACTATACACGACACACTTGGCTTCGGCACTGAAGAACTGCAAGAAATCGTGGACGAAGAAGTTCTACAAACAGAAGAGGCCACTCATGTCGTCACGGGAATCTGGTGGGGCACCAGAACTGCCATAACGTCTATCGCCTCTCCGGTTTGTTCCATCCCTGATGCCAAAGCGAAAGAAGCGCAGTTGGACTCGCAGGAACGTGTCGTCGAATATTTAGGCCAGCTTCTAACTGGAAAGGTCACTACGGCGTATACTGCTTTCAAAGAAATCTCCAAAAGCTTGACTTTTAGGGTGAACGCCGATATTGATCCAAGTAAACAGTCTGCTCGAATATCAGATTTTGATAGCGTCTGTGACTTTATTGGAGATATTCCTGGTACTTTGAAAAGGGCTAGGGCAGGAAGTGGTGTCCGGATAATGTACGATTTGGTTCCAATCAAAGACTTTACCCAGATGATGAATCGAGAGCTTGAAAGAGAGGTTCAGATTGTTCAACCAACTGACCACGAGTATCAAAAGCGGGTATTATTCCTCTTTGAGAAGCTCTATGCGACAAGGGCCAATCTCAATAGCTATTTAAACGCCTTATCACAGCATGAGCTGTCGGTTCCAAAACAGCATATAGAGACTGCAAATACGAATAGCTTCCGACTGAATGACCTCGAAGACAGACTAAAGAGCGAGCTTTGTCAAGATCTTCCTCGCGCGCGAGATCCTAGCTTCAAAGGAAGGCTGAAGCTCATTAATCCGGAGTGGGAAGCTGATATCCGAGAATTCGAGTCTTTGACTTCACAATATGTAGCCAAAATGACTTTTGAAAGCCAGATTACGGCACTAGGAATCAAGTACATGTATCCTAAGGATACTGAGACAGCTTACTCTGAGCATGAGAGTGACATCTACACCCTCTACTACAGCGATGCTGCTATGGTTGCTCCAAGCTGGAAAGAGCATTACACTAAGTTCATGGAGCTCGCTCGCGCTAAAAACTCTGGGCATTTGGTCTATGTTGTCGACTGCGATTTCGAAGCTGGTCAAGAGCTGAGAGTCCCACGCATAGAGCTCCGAGAGAATGGTCAAATCATGACCAAAGATTTTGTGAAAGAACAACAAAGCTTCGCCGGGAAGTGTTTCGTCCGTGCTGCCACTCCAAGAGATATGGAAAAGCTGCCTGCTAAATTGCTCGACTCAATACGGAGAAGTGTCAAAATTCGCTGTCCTTGTGCAGCCGCAACAACAGGCGATTGTTTCTGTCGAATTTGCAAGAGAGCCATTTTCTATTTGAAAGATGATGATTATCTCTATTGCAATTGTGGTAGATATAAGCCCGCTAATGCAGCTTTTAAGTGTTTGGATCCGGCTCATGGGATCAGTTACCTCAAATATGAAGATTCTGAAATGCTTCTAGAGGCTTATGACTATCAAGAATTTGAGCAGCATAACATCTTAATATTGGGAGAGACGGGAGTCGGAAAGTCCACATTTATTAACGGATTCATGAATTACATGCTGTTCGAGACTCTAGACGAAGCATTAGAGGCTCCTGACTTGCACTGGGCCATTCCCTCTTCTTTCAAATACACTGAAATGAACAATAAGAAACTGAATACTTTTACTGTCACAGTTGGTGAAGAGACTAAAGCTCAGAAATATTCATTAGATGGAGAGTCAGCTACCCGAAGCTGCGTGATCTACGTTCTTCACATGAATGGCTTGACTCTCCGTCTAATCGACACTCCTGGTATTGGGGATACTCGGGGCCTCCAGCAGGACAAAGAAAATGTTAAAGGCATTCTACAAACGCTTAAATCAGTTGAAAAAATTAGCACAGTCCTGTTCCTCATTAAGCCCAACCTCTCTCGCCTTGGACAAGTATTTAACTTCTGCATGACAGAATTGCTTTCTCATCTCCACAAAGAGACGAATCAAAATATTGTATTTGGATTTACAAATTCTCGAAGCACAAATTATTCCCTGGGAGATACTGGAATTCCTCTTCAAAAATTGTTAACAGATAAAAAGACCGATATCACTGTTGGTTACGACAACACTTTCTTCTTTGATTCGGAAGGCTTTCGATACTTGGCAGCATACAAGACTATAAACAAAGAAATGAAGGAAAGAATTAATTTTGAAAAGAGTTTCCGGAATTCTGCTGAGGAGGCCCGGCGCCTCGTTAATAAGACAATACGAATGGTAGCTCACGAAGTCCGTAAAACATTGAGCTTGAGTGATACACGGCTATATATTGAGGGGCTTAAAACACCAATGATCTTGATCAACAAAATCGCCGATGAAGACCAAGAAGAAATTGAAAAGCACAAAAGCCATATTACAGAGTTTGGAATGTCAAATAGCGCGCTCGAAGACAAGCTAAAGATGACAATCCGAAAACCTGTCAAGAAGATGCTTCCAAGCCCGCGCACCGTCTGTACAGACGATGAATGCAGAACTGTAAACAGGGACGCGGCTGGCAAAGAACACGTCGTGTACAGGCAGATATGCCACGATCATTGTTATATCAAGACGACCAATGAGCTAATTGGGGCCCCGGAAATCTCTACCTGCGAGGCCTTTGACTACTCTTCCAAACCATGCAGAGAATGCGGTCACGAATGGGACAAGCACCAACACATCTCGTACAACCTCACAGTTGAAGAAGTAAAGGTTGACGACCCAAACATCTTGGAAATTTATAATAGTAACAAATCAAAGCTTGAAAAGGCCGAAGCGGCTATCGAATCTCTGTCACGAAAAAAGGAATTATTAGGAGAGCGCAAAGAGTTTATCAACCACTCGCTGGCCAGCTTTGGAGCTTATCTTGGCAGCACCGCCATGGTTAAGTACAATGATGCGACAATCACTTACCTCGACTATCTCATCGACAACGCCAAGAAGGAGGGCAGCGTTGATAGCCAGCGACAACTTGAAGAGCAGCGCCGGATATACAAAGAGCAGTATGATGAAATCACAAAGGGCAACCCGAAACTAGATCTGCCACCCAAGGTACCAAGTTATGCCGAAATCATGGACATCATACTCCAGCTCGACGAAATAGAGGTGAATGGTAGCCGGATCAAAGATCTGGTGGAAGAGAAGATGGATAATCCACCGCTTTATTGCAACACAGTCACGCTTTCACTTGAAACGGCGAGTAAGGAAGTTGATTCATTTGCGTGGATCGAACAACCGCCTCCTCGGAGCTCCTGTGCGCATTCGTCCACCCGAGAAAAGAAACAAAGAAAGAAGACCCGCTCTTTGAGTCAAACCCCTAGGACAGAGATGGCCAAAGTAGAGTCAACGCCCAAAGATGAGGGTTTTTTGAGTTAAATGGGAAGAACCTGAACGGAACTCCATGCATTTCAACAGCATCATGTCGCTGTACACTAGGGCTACGCGCTCTTTTTATTTTATTTTCACTCTTGTCCCCGTCTATTTATCACTCTTTTTGTCTGTGTCTACATTCATTTGCTTCCTTTTGTCTCTTCCCATTTGTTTGAGTCATTCGCCTCTCTTTTTCCCCCTTCCACCTCCTTTCTTTTCCCGTCGGGCACAAGTTGACGGAGCTGCTGCGCCTCCGACGTTTTGGACGGCTAGCCCAAGGCGGTACGGCTATGCTCTCTACGAAATGAAGGTGACCACACCGCTCTGGGTCTCTCATCATAGCTATCGAATCAAATCTCTTTAATTATAAATGCCGTTGTCATTTTTTCAGCCACGAAAAGATGCCACTCCGCCACCAACAACTCACTCTGCTTGTCTAAGGCATAATAATGGCAGGGCGTCAAGGAATAGCGCCGGAGGCGGCGGCCCACTAAAGATTTGCGCTTAGACTCCAATTAGCGGCTTTACTTTCACCGAAACTGGAAACTTGTAAAGAGGAAATGACAGCGAAAGAAATTAATACTTGTGAATGAATGCAGCTACCATTGCGAATGTGACATGAGAGAAAGCGTTTTTATTTTAATCTTTAACAAGACTATACGCTTGTTGACACCATCCTTGGAGCAATTTATAGAGGATATGGAGGAGAATATTTGGAGTAAAGTCGGACTTGGAGCCACCAGGTCTCAGTGAAATTGAGCCGAACAGTTCATGCCACTATTGGTTCAGCATGAGACTCTCTTAGCTGAAGCTTAGGTACATGCAGTGAGATTGAATCTAGAGGAGTAACCACCTACACACAGTCATCAATATGTGCGCGTGGATATCATAGCGCCGCTACATAGATGTAGGCATACAAAACGTGTCGAACAAACCACCATCTCCGACCAGGCTCACTGCTATCCGTAATATACACCGCCAGTTCTTCATCATCTTAACACGGGGCTACGGATAATTGACTTCCTACAAGGCTGATGGAGCTTCATTTAGGCAAAGCCAATCGAGTTGGGTATTTTCGTTGCTGGGAAAAGTCATATCTGACCCTGTTCTGGGCTTGAACGGCGGGAGTTGGGCATAGCCGTTCAACTCGACGGTTCACCGCCAAATTGTCTTCAAGGCGACTGGATACCAGGCAGCATCTCCAGTCAACGTGGCCAAGCCGCACAATTAAATATTAATGCATAGCGGATAGAGACTGCCTTGCCATTTCAATTCAATAGATTGTGATTACGGATATCGCTTTTGCGCAGTTGCGCAGTTGCGCAAGCCTTGGACCCACTCCTCATAGCAGGGCTGCAACTGCGCAACTGCGCAAATGCGCAAATGCGCAAATGCGCAACTGGAGCAAGATAAATGAGCCGCAAAATATCGTTGGCATTCTTAATCTTTCAGCGTATCAGAATTTTACACCCTCAGATCAAATTTTCCAATTGGAGTCTTGTTATTGCGTCAATTTTGCCTCGTAACCTCGTTGAGGAAGCACTCTTCTCGTCTTAGCAGAGCAAATCTCCAATGCAGCGATACCTGGCTCAGACTCCTCAAGATGATGCGGGAACGTATGCTCGGCTGGTGCGAGTTCGGGAGTATCCATTCGAGGATAGAGGTTACGCATCTATCATTATTCACTGCATCCTGGCCCAAGAAAAAATTGCGCAGCTTGAAAAGCCTCTGATAGAAGAAGCCAATGCTTCTCTCGATTGTCCTCAGCTCACTACCTGTTGCCCCTTTATTGCTTCTAGCAAATTATCTTGGGCATACCATATTCATTTCGGCCATCTCAAGTTGGAATTCCATCCGCACCATATCAAGTCGTCTGAGACTCTATATGCAAATGAAAAATGGCAACATCAAAAGAGCATATCTTGTTCGGCCCCAGGATGCTCTATGACATTCTTTGGAGTTGATGCGCTATATCAATGGCTGGATCATATTAGCGTACACATGGAGCAGCTTGCCACTCCTCGCGATCCGCAGGCCACATCTAAGGCTGCGAAAGGCAGCGTTAAGCCCCTTCAATTGCCAAACGATTCCGATACTAGAATCACCCACGAATACGAGCCCAATGGGCAGCTCATCTTGCAGGAATCCCTTTGCGAGCTGCTGCAGCGCTCTAGTCTTGAGGACGATCCTACGAGCACTGATCAGCCAGAAAGTCGCCGAACTTTCTCCCCCACGTCCCCAACAGCCATCTCGGACTACGCACAAACCGCTGAAGGAAACCTCATAGTCAATTCCGGAATGAACAATCATTATTCGAATCAGAATTATTTAGAAAGCCAGCTACTGCCTCGCCGTTTGGCTCGAGATGTAGCTTATTCCTTCAACAATCATCCACAAATGGAACAACAAGAACAAGAACATCATTCAAATATTTCAGATTACTCATCTATATCTTCATTTTCGTCTTTCGAAGAGATATTTTCGCTCAAAAACTCATCTAACAATGATACCAATTCGGTCTCAATCCTCATTAGGGGGGATGATGAAGAAGCAGTTTTATATAACGCCGAGGCGGAACAAGTTTCCCGCTCAGATTTGGTTAATGAGTTTGCACGGTTTACTATGTCATGGTTTATAGCCTGGACTGCAAATCGGCGAAACAATATGGACTCCAATTCACACGATCAAGAGATTCAAGCTTATGAAAGACAGAAAAGCGGCCGATGCGAATGTGGAAATAGGCGGAAACGTACTAGAGAAAATGGCCATGGCGGAAGGAACAAAAAACAACAAAAAAGAGATGACAGCGATGAAGAAGATGATCATGACGATAACAAACGCAATATTCCCTCTATTGCAAAGAGTATACCCAACAAAGACCCAAAAGACTTGGCCTGCCCATTTTTCCAGAGGGACCAATCAAGTTTTGGGCATGGCAGATGGAAACTATGCGCCCATGGCTCATGGAAAAACTATCATAGAGTCAGGTCGGTGCATATCTGCCATGAGAAGTAAAAGAGAAGAAAGAGATATTAACAAATGACTTTTCTAGAGAACATGTATATCGTAAGCACATACTTCCAGAGTATCACTGCGACAGATGCTTCGAAGATCTCAGAGATGCTCAGACTTTACTACAGCATCAAAGTCCATTACAGTGCGAACAAACAGCGCTTCTATATGCAACGGCAGATCGAATCTCTCAGCTAAAGATGCCAATGAAACGGGGAATTGAAGAATGTGAAAAATGGGAAAATATGTATCGCATATTGTTTCCTAGAGATACTCATATCCCTAGCCCATGTGTGTGTTATTATCTCCCTGGCTATAGCTGGTTTGCTAACTAACCAATGACCCTAATAGTTAAAGAGCAGCCATTTTACATCACTGAAGAAATGAGAGTCTTGGCCGCAGAAATTGAACGGATTTGCAACTCTTCGTTTTCGGATCCTCGCGCACAAATGGAGCAAATCAGGGGTATCGCTGAACAGACAATACGGAACAATGCAACCAGTACAGACATTGGGGCACCTGGATATGTTGGGACACCAAATGTTCCATCTACTCATGAATCAATCATGGAGTACAGGGGGCTATCTGGATTAGTCATGGGCGATTTACTTGCTGAAGATCTAATTCCAGCACTTGGCGGCCAAGATAACCCCGCATCTCATACATTGGAGTCACCTAATAATATGGATACTTATTTTTTGGGAAATTATTTCCAAGTGGGCGATGCACCTTACGCTGAACAATTATTTTTTGCAAGAGATACTTCAGACGATCAAGATATATCTCAAACAGGAGGCACGCCTAATGGTACCGATGAACCATCATTGTGGAGATGACGGATGTTCATTTCGGTACCGGTATAGCCAGAAATAGTTTGCAAAACAGATCATTTGGATGGGGTTCATATTCGACCATATTATTGGCCATATGTCATAGGGCGAACTCTTATGGCATGCCCCTTCCTGTTTACTAGGCGCTAACGCTAGGTATCGTTTACGATGTGACGAATTCTATAAAATTGTTATATTGAGGATACGGAGATATTTGAGATTACGGTAGAGGTATCTGTGGTAAAAAAAAAAAAATGATCCTTATCTGGGAAGTTAGATTGTTTCATAATATACTAGTCGAAGAATACATGCATCAAAGGTTTTAATACACACTTAAAGATATAAAGGCTCTATTTGCATCATACTGTCAAATTTGTTGACGACTATATTTAAATTAAATATCAACTTCACGTTAATCTTCTACCTTGGAATAACATAGTCTATTTCCTGACTATCTTATAATCCCCTAGGGCTCGCCAACTTACACATGAAATATCATTATCACCTCTCCGGGTACGGCAGAGACATGGCTGCGTAGGCTGAGTAGTTTAATGGTCGCTACATCCGACTTGGTTTTCGCGGATACACTTAGAGCTTTGACTGCTATGATTAGCCATCCTACCATGCCAGATAGCGCTACATATATATCTATTATCAGATGGCTATAATGATGAGCAAATACACCTCAATAATACCAATTTAGACACGGACACCCCGCATAGCAGAGAATAACGCGCTTCCTTAACTAGCTCCCGAGCCGTAGCACAGCCCCACCTTCCGAAATAGGCAATGGAAACTTCCAGCCATTTCTACAAGCAGCGATTCAATCCATCACCACTTCTAGAACGTAGTGGTCGGTTCTCATTACATCTTTGAACAATGGAGACATGCTGCACTACGAACGAACCCTCAAGTATAAAGAAGTTGATTGAACCCTTCTTGCCTCCAATATTCTCATCTTCAGTCAACACACACAAACAGTCACGAGAAAAGGCAACGCTTCAATCCACTATATTAATACCTGCCCCGAGAATTATAAACTATCTCATTAAATAATCCAAAATGGTCTTCTTCCAGCGCAACCTTTACACTCCCGAGAGCTCTTTCACTCCTCTCTTCCGTCTGCTTGACGATTTTGACAATTACTCCCGTCAAGGCAGTGGCGCACAACATGCTAGTCATCGCGCAGTCGCACACTGGCAGCCCAAATTTGATGTCCGCGAAACGGGAGAGGCTTACGAGCTACACGGCGAACTCCCTGGCTTGAACAAGCAAGACGTTCACATCGAATTCACCGATCCTCAAACCCTACACATCAGAGGAAAAGTTGAGCGCACTTACACAGCTGGTACTCCTCCTACCGATGCTATAGAGGATGCTTCAATGAGTGGCGCAATTACCGAGTCTGCAGAGCAAGAACGCCCCAAGTCTCCTCATCAAGCCACCGTCGAAGATGAGCTAGAAGATGGAGCGACTACGAATACCACCACTGCTGCCTCCGAAATTGAGGTTGCCAAGGCTGCGCCAACCAAGCAGAAACCTACCGACACTGCCAAATACTGGCTCAGTGAGCGCAGTGTTGGGGAATTTTCTCGCACCTTCAATTTCCCTACTCGACTCAACCAGGACGGTGTGACAGCCAGCTTCAAAGACGGCATCCTTAACGTTGTCGTCCCTAAGGCGGCTAAGCACGAACCTCGTCGCATCGCAGTGTTCTAAATAAACTTCTCAGAAAACCATGTTTGTTTAATTTCTTCTCATCTCTTTTTTTTTTCTATCCCTACCCAAATTCAAGCATATTTTGGGCTATTTCACTCTTTCTCTCTTTGTTTTATGAAAGAACGACAATCGCATGCACGGGGCGTTTGGAATTGAGTTTGTGGAGCAGATACATATACCTTTCTTCACTATCAGGGTAGCAGATATAATGGCAAATCGGGCATTAGCGGTGTTGATGAGATAGAAAATTTTATTGTTCTATATTCATAACCTTATATTTAATAAAAAGACAATAATTTAAAAAAAAAAATATTATCATTATAATGGCGTGTCTACTTAGTATCGATCGGCTCCAGATATGAATACGTAATTAATAGATCGCATCCAGGTGACCATATGAAGAACTCTCAGAATTGTAGTGTCGCACCTTGGCCGTTCTCTATGATGTTGAGGAGAAAGCAGCAGAAGTTAGGGGTCGATGTTAGTACTGTAAATGATATGGACAAGACACTACTTATTCTGGCCGCCCATCTCAGAGACTATTACTTGAGCACGGGGCAGACGCTACAATATGTAACGAACTTGGTCAAACTGCAGAAGATTGGTCACATATTGGCGGGCATCTCGAGATAGCAAACTTGGTTAGCGAACAGACAGCATGCACAAGTCCGGAATCTGTAAACGGATATGAGAGGGCCAGTGGGAAATAGATATATATAAATCCACTGGATATTAATTAATATTCTTCGCTGATTCACCTTGCTCATCCATCACATCTTCTACTACCACTCTGTATTTACTTGTTTTCTCCGACCACCACATCTTCCGGGTCCACTCTCTTCCCACCCAACTTCCATATGCTCCCATCCAGCGCTGACCTTCTTGCCCACTGTGTCACTACCTCAAGTGGCGAGTCGTCCACGTAAAAGGATAATGGCACCTCGAATGCTTCCACCGTCATCTTTTCTTCCGGATCAATCTCCTGCCACTTCTCCGTTCTCACTGTGCCAAGTTCATAAGCCAAATCCATGAGTACAATCTTGATATCCCTCTTCAACCTCACATCTTCTGGTGGCAGCTTGTGAAAATATTCATCCTTGATATTTACTGCATCCAGGTGAACTGGCCGTGCCAAGACCACATGCTCCAATTTCGGCAGCGTAGCAATGTCCCACCAAAGCCAGTGGCTATCAACAGGAGCACCGAATAACACCATGCGTTTGAGCTCTGGCCACAGCCGCCACACATCCGTATGCGAGTTTGAAACACTGAGCATGGGGTACTCCTCCAGGCATGTAAACTCTTCCAGCTTGTGGAGTTTCTCAAATCCATCTCTCAGCGTCTGCCGCACGCTCAAGTGATCTTCCATTGGATCCAGGCTCGCAAACGGCATCTGCACCACCAGCCGCCGCAGCGTCTCAGACACCTCGCAGAACAATTCTCGCACCCATTGCGCCGTCGGTAGATCATCCAGCGTATCCCTAAATGGAGCTATGTACAGCTCTGAGATGTGCTGCAACGAAAGGACAGGCGGCAGGCTTGGCACCAGGCGCGGCATGCAGAGCAGGATATTTGCTAGCCGCCGGCTCGAGTCAATGAACATGCACCGTTGTCGCAGCAGCCGCGTCGCTTGCGCATGTGTCGCCCGCGATACCTTCGTCAACGCCAGCAGCGTCCGAGTCGTGGTGTTTGATGCGGGGAAGAGCAGATGCGGGTTTGGCGGCATAACAGCCTCAACAATGAGGAGAAGCAGCTCGGGTGGTAGAGTAGGCGATGACATCATGTTCGTTGATCTCAGCGTGTAAGTTGATTTCTTTGGATGCTGATTTGGGCTGGCAGAGCAGAGTTGACAAGGCAACAGCTCCATCGGGTGCAAATTGAGAGTTGCATTTTTTAGTAGAAAGCTGGGCGGACGATCCAAAGAAATAGAAAATCCCAATGTTTTCAGCTCTTCGCTCGTGACCGAGTTGTGTGACGGCGCAGCTCCGCATGAACTCTCGTTGGTCCCAACATGGTAGCTGAACTTTAAGTTGCTTCCAGGCACGGAGTATCTACGGAGTAAGGAGTACTTATCAAAGTAGCCAGGGTCATCAAAGAAGGGAGACTGTGTAATAATAGTATTACTACTACTTCAAGCCATAAACGCCGAAATATAAGCCTAAAGGGGCATTTTCCAAATAATAGTGCTCTATCTATACACTATTTGTCAATAGTCATTTAGTTAGTATATCTCTCTATATATATCTGGTAAACTATCCCGGGTCAACCATTGCCAGTAATAGTATAAGTGTAATACGGGGCTAAATAAGCACTAGTAGTATATATTGCACCAACAGTTCTATATTACTATCATTTTGTACACGTGCCACATTTGTATCTGTTTAAAACAGGGTGGTATTAAAGGCTATATTACCAAAACAATATATTAATATAATATATTACAGCTTATATAACCGCTTATTTTACATAGCATACTCCAAATTGTTGCTATTTAAGCTATTTGCTTTTATAATTTAGGTAAAAAAAAAAAAGAAAAAACTAAAAAAAACTTAAATACTATAGTTTAAAATAAAAATATAATTACTTGTACAAAAGAAAAAGCTACAGGCAATATTTAAGTTACTTTTTATTACTTATATACTAATAATAAAGTAGAAATTAATATAATACTTATTTTCCTTGGGTTAATTATACTCCAACTATATATCCTAATAGTATAGACCTAATTGGGGCTTTTATATTCCTTGAGCTCGGAATAGCCTAATGCTTATCCACGCGTAGCCCGGATCTATAATCGGTAATTTAGGATTCAATCCTGCCGAGACTAGTAAAAGCTATTGTCAGCGCTAATATATATATATTTCAGCTGCTCTTAGAACAGCCGTTAGTTTAACTGCCAGGGTAACTTGATTGCCTATTGTGGATCTAACAGTATACACAGAAGCGTTGTATTACAGTCTAACCTTCCATAATAAGTGTAGTCTTTCTATGAGCTAATAGGCTTTGCATAGAAGATCCTATACTTGTAATCATTATCTAAATTATTTTCATATTATAGGATAACTTTGTATTAGGTCTTTGTATATAATATATAATACTCCATGTAAAGAATATTCACAGGGATTTTACTGTCAATGTCCTCTCCTTCAACAATGCCGTGGCTTTAATGGCGTCAAATACGGCGTTGATGCCAGTCACGAAAACACGGAATAAAACTCACTCTAAAAAATCCCAAAAAGACGTGCATCCTCATCAAATATCCGGCTCTCAGACTCTCCTTTGTCGGAGAATGGGGTATCGCTATATGCTACCCACCCTTCAGTCTGCTTTCCGCTGTCCGGCTTTTGTCTCTTGCCTCTTTTCATTTCTTCAGCAGTCCCCATGTTAATTGTTTCTCGGAATCCCCGTATCGTGGCGGCGGTCCATCCAGCGGTCCATCGGAAGGTATCTACGATCTTGCCATTATAGAAAAGTCATTTCTTTCAGTCAGGCTTCTTGGATTTCTCAACTCACACATCTGGTGATATTTTCGTCTTCATTTTCTAAGACGCAAGGATCAACGCAATATCCTACATACCTTACTCCCTTCTTCAAGGATATCTCAATTGTTTACTACGCTCAATTTTGGAGTGTAGACTAATGACGGTGTAGGGCTGACTTTAAGGTTTTTGCTTTATTTGATCGTCTCTTTCTCACAGATCTCCAAATCCATTTTGATAAGCGCCCAATCAAGAATTACAGAGGAATTCATTTCCGCAACACTTTGACCAGAGGTATGCGTGCATATACCGATATTCCAGAGTTCTTTTTTTAGCGTATCCAATATCCGACGGAGTTTTTATTTGGGTTTTATCGCGCCGTTTTAGAATCTCTTGCTGTTTTATATTTTTATTGAGCAGTTTATTGTAATTTGTCATATTTTAGAATTTTCTTGGCCTAGGAGTAATGATTTCGTTTTCGGTCCATATCTTGTCGGGTCCGGATCTACAAGCAACATTAGCACATACTTCCTCTTTTACTTACGTTTCTTTCATTAACTTACGCGGTTTCTCGTCCTCAACATTGAAATTTCTCATGTGGTTGTTATTTAAGCCACTTAGTACTTTCCACACTCCCCTACTTATAATGGTAGTAAAATCCCATGTCGGTGATACCCAATAGAGATAACTCACCACTGTATCTGTTGACTTGTCCGTTATCTCCAAATTCTCTCTAAGCATTCCATATCCCTTGTTTTGGAAACCTCTAATGTTGCAATTCCGCCCGAGGGCGTAGGGTAGAGATGCATGGTCAGTAGCATCGCTATTATCCAGATGGGTAAAAGACGCCCATTTGAGCTTTGAGTTAGTTTTAAATTCTTCGAGAATCTTTAGATGTAGGGCTTTTATTGGAGTAGTCAGATATTTGTTTACCACCGGTAAATGCTATATGGCATGAGACATGGGTCCATAAATCCAGTGTAGATTGCTTACATCCTCTCATTTTGTCTATTCTTTCCTTCGTTTGCGCAATTTCCTAAACTACAAACCACTTGGTAGATACTACTCTTTATACGATATTGTGTAAACCATTTTGTAAATTTGTTTTACAACGTCTCGGCTACTGCATATGGCTTATATATACTGCTCTATTACTCAATACCTGGGTTATGTACTGTATATATTATAATAAATTATAGGTAGCTGGTTTAATATGTAATAGAGCATAATATAAAGTATTAAAGTATTACTCATATTATATAACTATTTTTTGTATATTATATATATAATTAAAATTTAAATATTATTTAGTAAATATATATATATATTATAATTCTTTAAGAATGCTTTATATATATATTTTTATTATAATTAAATACAAAATACCTTTGTTTATATATATATATATATATAATATTTAATATAGTATAAATTATTACTTGAAATTATTTATTTAATATTAATATATTTATAATTAATGTTTCTTTCATAAAGTAATTGTTCTAATGCTCTAAGGTTAATATATAAATCTATAAGTTAGAGCATTAATTTTTTTTTTAATTATACCTACATTCTTGACCGCTAAGCAAACAATATTAATATTAATTTTCCGATTTGTAAGCTAGCTTATCTGTAGGATCTCACTAAGATCCTTTTAATTTGTTATAAATATTACTAGTGCATTAGTAGATATATAATATCTCACGCTAATATATACAATCCTTGCGGTTACGGAGAAAACCTAAGGCTCTAGCATTCCATCGCCTATCTATTCAGGGGCTTAGTCGATGTCTAAACACCGATTTACTTCCTATTCATCAGAAATAGCGGCCGCACGCGGGGAATGGTTCCCTAAATGTTAGTCTATTCTTCCGCTGCCAGTTCGTCCTTCAAAGCGGCCCCCAGAGGTCTATTAACAGGAAGTGGAACTGACTGCCAAGGAGGGCTATGATCTGACCAAGAAGCCTTGGAGGATTTTTGCTAGGTATATAATATCAATGTGATAAAAATAAAGTAAGGAAGCGATATCCGCACTAACTCACAAATAACATTCCTTGAACCCGGCTGTTAGTGCTAAGGGAAAAAAGCCGGCTTAAACTCGCAGAGAACAGCATTTCACTGCTTCATGGGGACATGATGTAACAGTACCGACCCCTGCTGCTGCGACAAAATCGTAAGCTCCGTGCATTGTTTACCAGCAAGTCAATCAATTCCCAGGGACCTTGAAACATCAAGAAGCCGATGAATGCTACGGTTACATCCATCCGCGTATTTGCTGGCATATTTGAGAATAGTAAAACGGGTCAGCTTAATTGATAAACATTGTCCAAAATTGGGATAAAATTGAGAAAAAAAAAAAAAAAGAGCGAACGAAATATTATTGATATTAAAGTATCATAACGCAATCACGGCGCTGCCACAGATATCACCAATCAACTCAGTTTTTTATCCGGCACGCTGTCTAGTATAGTTTAAAAAAAGAAAAAAAAAGAGAATAAACCTTGCCCCAAAATCCAAGCTGTTCCACGATGAAGATCTGCAACAGTAATACCTATTACCTAACGCCAATAAACAGATTTGACCAAATGGTACGCCCCAAAATGTAATTTAGTTAAAAAAAGATAATGGCGCGGGTACCTAGCTGATACCGCATGACCGCCGTTCACAAAGCTTTCCTTCTAGCGCCATCGTGTAAATTCCACCGTTTCCCACAATCGTCACTTCCATAGCTGAATGACTCTAATGCAAGTCGCCATCACTCATCATCTCCTCCTAGGCGTGCTCTCATAACTGTAGTCCATGCTCCATAGCTGGTCCCACAAAATTGAGCTCTTCAGGGGGCTCGCGACAGTTGAACTCCTCCGTCGGCCGTTCCTGTGAAGCTGTGGCTGTGGCTGTCACGAACCGATCAGTGACTCAGGGCCCAAGTAGAGAATCAACGGCTCGTACCTCGGGGGCCTTTCCCGACTTATCCTGCACCGATGACTCACCACCTCGCTGTCCCGCATCGGTATTGGTAGTGCTAAGAATGCTGCCTTGTACCGGGCTTGTGGCAGTTGGTGTGTCAGGCGGAGCAGCACGGAGGGAGTTGGTCTCGCTCGCCAGCGCGCTATTTTTCAACAGAGCTGTTCCGCCGCTGATATGGAATGGCAAGGCTTTCTTAGACGCCGAGCTACTTCGGCGGCTTTCCAAGCTCTTAGAGAGAGTCTTGTTGATTCCTTCGATGCTCGCTATGCTGTCCCGACTCTTTCCTTTCCCTTTGGCTGCATGGGATTGAATATTAGCCGTGGCCTCGACATTATTGGCGGCAACGGTTGATTTACCCATCCCAGGCGTTGCAGGCGCCCCTGCTTTGTCTTCTTGAGCATCGATAAGATACCATCGCAAGCCATCTGACAGCTGGAAGGGGTTATCATTCTCCTCATCATTCGAGTCAGTTTCGTTGTTCGTCTGGAGACTCTTGGAAAGATCTACAACACGCTCCTGGATCTTAGAGATTCGCGCAACGAGCCACTCCCGATGTCGTAGTCGATGAGCATCTTGCTCACGGAGGAAATAGTGCGGGAATCCCACATTAAAGGCAGCCCAAGCTCCCGCTTGCTGATTCCGTGTTGGCAAGAAAAGTGCCAAGTCACCCTCCTTGAAATTCCTAAACGCAATCTTGTTATGAGAGTCTTTCTGTAAGCTATGCGCCCGGTCCCGGTATGATCGAGCCTCTCGTTGCCATTTCCGAGCCTTGTGCTCTGCTTCCTTGACTCTGTGATATATGGTGTCGGAAAACAAGTCGGCGTCGAAGGCGCCAAGCTTCTCGATGAAGGCTTGATATTTCTCATCTTCGACCGACAGGTCCGTGCTGTTGACCCAGTAGAGAAGCTCTAAATCGGCACTATCAGTCATGGCCCGACCACCTAAGCTAAGTGACCGGCGGATGGAAGATCCAGGATCCGAAGAATCGTTTGGATTTGCGGGTGCCTTATCAGATCGAGAAACCCTTGTAATTACCATTTGCCCGGCGTCACGGCTGATAGAGTATCCTACACGTTCAAGCAGTCTGGTTAGGCGGTCGTTCTGAGAGTAAAGCCTCTGAGTTAGGTCCTTGGTTCGCCCGTCGCGCGCTTCGTACTTTGCATTAAGCGCAGATAGCTTCGATTGGACATCTTCAAATCTCTGCTTGAACAGACGAGACTCTTCTTCGAGGCTGCCAGCCTGAGATTGTCGCCACGCGACTTCTTCTGAAAGCTCTGCAACTTTCTTCTCCTCTTTTTCCAGTCTCTTGCGCAACATCTCAGATCCAGTCTCGCCGTCAGACAGCTGGCCGCGAAGTTGATTCAATTCTTCTCTGCTCTCCGTTACTTCACGTTCTAAAGCGGTTACCTTGGCCTTCTCCTCGGCAAGATTTTCTCGAACATGCATAGCGGACATCTCTTGCGACGAGATCTTCTCTTCCATTTGTATCAGCTCTGACCGAAGGTCTTTGACTGAAGTAGTAGCCTTGTCAAGCTCAGATCGCAAAATCGAGGCATTGCTTCCGGAATTTCGTAATTTCTCGACAAGATCAGCAGCACTAGATAGGAGAGCTTCTGCCAAATCAGCCTCGTCAGTTGGCATGGAGGTGTCCGATGATAGCTCAGCATATAGCTTCTTCAGCCACTCTAGTCGAGACTCGGCGCTCTCTTCTGCGGCATCGAGCTTCTTCGATGTAGCCCGGGCTTCCTCACGAACAGATCGTAGCCTTCGTTCGGAAGCGTCAAGCTGATCCCGTTGCATTTGAGTCTCTTTGCGTAAGAATTCGACTTGACCCTGAGCTTTAAGTGCATCGTCCTTCCGCTCCTTGTTGAGTTGCTCAATCTCTGCCTCAAGCGCCTGAATTCGCTCGTCAAAAGTAGCCTTCTCATTCTCCCGAGATTCTCCAAAATGATCCATCTCCTCTTCCGTATCCTCTAGGCGAGCTTTGAGCGCTTTGATTTCGCCCTCCAACGAAATCCTCTCATCCAAGAACTCTCGCTTCAGTGCTTCCATATTCTCAAGGAGGTCCTTTTTCGTCGAGTTGACTTCTTCGATCCTATCCTTCATGTCATCTCGCTCTGTGACACGACTGTCAAGCTCTTTCTGGATATCTGCCGAACGCTTCTTTTCCGCGCGAAGTTCGTTTTCCAGCTGTGCTATCCGTTGCGACAACTGTTCTGCTCCTTCTGATAATGGCTGGCGGTCTTCAATACGAGTCGACTTGATTGACGAAATGGAATTATGTCTCGAATGACCATTCTGCTGCCCCGGCAGCGGGAACAGGTTCCCGGGACGCGAGGCTTGGCTCTGCCGATGGAGAAGATCTTCGAGGCGGCGCACTCTGCTGTCGGCAGTTTTGAGTTTGTTTTCCAGCCTGGTCTTTTCGTCCTGCAGAGTGGTAATAAGATCATCGTCACCACGAATTAGAAGCCCACTTCTCCCTAATGCTGCCTCATGCACACTTCCGTTCTTGAATGCTTTGAGCCGCTTCGCTTGCTGCTTAGTAGGGGTGGTGAGCTCTTGAAGGAGTTTTGCAACGTCATCAACAAGCTCTGGATCCGCATTTCGCTCCTGCAATACCTGGAGAAACTCCTCTAGCTCGTTCTTCCCAACAGTAGGCCAGGGGATATCCTCGCCTCGCAAGTTAACTTCAAGTCCCATGACATTGGTGTCAAGGCCAGGTCCGTAGGTACTTCCGACCATCTTTTGCCACTTTTTACGTCTCTTCGACTCTTCGTCCTGGAACAACGCCATTTCGTTGGCAAGAGTCGAGGAATCGGCTTTCACTTTGTCGATCCACTCCCGTCGCCGGATTGCCTCTACCATAAAGGAGGCATACATATATGGCAGCTGCTGGATGAGCCGCAGGTAGTCAAACGTTGTCATATCATCTTCGGACTGGTTTAAAACATTGATCTGATTCCTAACGCTGCTGTGCAGAGAAGTGATCTCAGTAATGCTCCGCATAAAGCTAACAGAATCTGCAGCAATGCTATTTCGCGATCGCGTTGCGTATTGAACCATCTCATCCATCTCTTTTGCTCGCTTTTTAAGAGTGGGCATGAGTCTTTCGGTGTGGATAGAGGCAGTTTTCGAAGCCTGGGCTAGATCCCGTTGCGAATTGCCATAGCTCAGCGCCGTGTGGTAATCTGAATCGATCTGTCTGGCCACCACCTCGATATCCTCCATGAGTTGCGGAGTATCGTTGTTGTGGCTCAAAAGAGACCGATTCATCAATTGATCAAACTCGGCAGAGAGAGTTCCCAGCGCTTGATACATTTGGTTGGCCGCATTGTCGAGTTCGGTGGCTTTCTGGGTGAACCTTCGTTGGGCTGTAGGAGCTAGTTTAACGGCCTTGTTGACGGTTTCGAGTTCGATCAAGTCCTGTAGCGTCGAATCGGCCTTGTTTACTTGTCCACGAGTCATAAATCTGACCAAGCCTGGTGATATGGGAATGCTTCTAGCTAGATCCAGGTAATGCTCCCAAGACGAAACAAGCTGCTCATACTCCGCCAAGGCTGGCGTAACCCATTTCTTAAGTTCGTTATACTTTGGCTCGATCTGCCTAACGCTTATTTCAACGTTGGTGACGGCGGCGTCTAAGCATCTGATCATAACGTCTATCTCGTCATATCGGGCCTGCGCGTAAGCATTCAATTGGCCGCAGTCCTCCATGATTCGCGCCGCCCAATTCCGGCGGTCATTGCATAGTTCCTGCCATGATGTGATTGCCTGGATATTCTCGATCGAGTTCGGTGCGTTGGGGATGGATTGACGCCGAAGGGGTAACGCCTCGGAGATGAGCGATGACGCACTACCAGGAGAGGTTGGGTGCGTGACACGAATATCGTAAATGTATATCTCTTTCTGGGAGGAAGCGTTAGTTGTGATCTTTTGCGCATCTATCAAACGGTCGTTGCATACCTCCGCGTGAAGACTCGCAAACTTGACGCTGCGGCCCTGGGGTGTCAAGGCAATGATATGCTGTGGCGAGATGGGGCTATTCCGGGCCACCCACGTCTTCAGGTCGTCAAGACTATAGCAATCGTTAAGCTCACGCGCCAAGCACAGTATCTAAGGGAGCAAAGATTACCTGGAAAACTGCGCTGTATCGACCTCCAGCCGCTGGCCCGTATGGGCAATCAACACCTGTGTAGCCATCCCAAGACATCTCCCGTCAAGCACAAGGCGGCGCTGGGCGGCTGATGAGCATACAGAGCGGTATCTGAGAGAGCTGGATAACGAGCTGGCAGGGGAGTCGTGGCTCGCAAGAGCGCAGGAGAGACAAGCGACTGCAATGTGCCAGTACGGAGGGATTTCGATGACACAGGTTGCGAACCCAAAAAGTCAAAGCAATGGTTGAGATGCTCAACCTTATCGGGGCCCTACGGCCGGCATTACGTTAGGTAGTGTGACAGGTGCCTTGTGACTTTTGGTAGCGCTGAGTCCGCCCTGCATTACAGGGGGAGCTATGTACCGGCGTTAGATAAGCAGAGCTTGTGGCTGATGCTGCTAGGCGTTGAGCTGCGGCACGCGCCACAGGCAGCAGCAGCCACGACATGGGTTTTGCTGTTGATGAGGACTCAGTCAGTTGAACGAATCAGCGCCATTCACTAGGTCTAAGCAGGCTGCAATATGAGTGAGGTCGACGAGCCCATGACCGGTGTAGACGGCGGTGAATCCCGTCTGCCCCTTTCCGAGGATGAGACGAGAGTGCTGGAGCTGTACGACAAGCTCCAAGAGCTGAGGCTTGAAATCGCCATACTCAACGCGCAGCAAGCCGGTAAGGCCATCCGATAAGACGCGCCGTTGGGGGGCATATTTCATTACTCACACGAAACTCTCTTTTTTCTAGGTAGAAATTATGATGAGAGCAATATCACGGAAGCCCAAGATGCGCTTCTCACAGCAAGAGCTAGATATAGGCTACGAAACGACGCAATTGAGTCGGTAATGATGGCCAACCCGATCCTTAAGGCAGTCCACAACGGCACACAAGCATCACCAATAGAGCGGCACGTATTACTACCACCACTACCCTCACGGACCCAGCGCCCACGTTAAAAGCATGGGGGAAAAGAGAAAAGAAAAGGCCCTCCCTTTGCTGACCCAACTACAGGGACCTCTTCCCATATGTGCAGGAGAGAGACGAGACGTCCATATCCGTAGCCCAGCATGCAGAGAGCGTGACAAAGCTCCGCGATGACCTGACCAAAGTCCAGGTGCAAAGCTTACGCGTATGTCGCGAGAACATGGAGCTTGCAAGCGAACTATTCGCGCTGGCAGAGCAGGCCAAGCAGAAGAAGGCCGTCCGCGTCGACGACCCCCGGGTCCAGCAAGAGATTGAGAAGCTGACTAGAGAAGTCAAGACCAGCAGGCAGCGGTGGAGGGTTATGAAGGGCGTAGCCAGCGGTGTCGTTGCTGGAAGCGGCGTCGATTGGGCAAAGGATGAAGATCTGCGCAACATTGTCCTGGATCCTGAAGATGAGGACTAAGATGGTAATTGGTTTATGAAGATACCCCAGGCGCAATCAATAGTACTCTACAGACGCCTTTCTAGCAGTAGCAGCAGCAGCAGCAGCGACTTATGCTTATGTAGACGTCAAGCTCATTGTCCTAGCCTCTCATACTTTTCAGCTATCAAGGGTCACTAGAGCTCTGCGATGATGCCTGCTGCTCTGTCTTATCCTTCACCACCCAGGTCGTCTGAGACTGTTGCAGCATAGGCACCTGGGCCATCACGCATCAGACCAACTCTGGCAAGTCTACACTACAAAGCAAATCCCGAAAATACGACTTCACAATTCCAGAAAGGGCATATTGCTACAAGCATTGCAGTGCTGTATGCTATCCCCATAAAAAGGGGCAGAGACGACGTTCATCAAGACGCGCCTCTCCCAGCGCGAGGGGCAGAATATTAAAGGAAGCAGGTCAGAGAAGACGCTATGTACCTTATATACGCATGACTAATCAGCCGTCGCTGTGCAAGATCAGAGCATCTGACAAGTCCAGGGGCAAAAAAAAAAAGAGCGAAAAAAAAAAAAAAAAACAAGCCTTTCAAAGTATGGGGCCGATTAAATGGACCCCAAGAAAAGCAAAGCCCTGGAGTGATTTTCTAGAGTGGGCAGCACGGCGGTGCCTTGCTTGCGGCGGGCTGTAGAGGGAGCTATGACCACCACCATTTTGCTGCTGGGAGCCACGTGATGGCGCCTGGCAGCTTGTCATTGGGCGTTTTCAAGATAAAGCTGAAATTGATTAGAGCTCGCACCGTCCTCGTCGTCTGATCCCTTTATTAGTATTTTGGCACGCAAGCGCGCTGTTGGATCAGCCACAGGAGCCCATCACTCAAATCGCTGCCTTTGTTTACCTCGCGAAAGGGGGTGGAGCGTCGAACTGTCCTGCTCCATAAGAGTATGCTAGCAGCAGCAGTAGCATGTGCTAGGCATGTACATATTGATGATTACAGGCATACTCCGTAGTTTCTCTTTCCTTTTTTTCTTCTCTCCGCTTCCAGTCCCTTTTTTCCCTGCGCAGAGGCGTGCGCGGGGAGTGTGAGAAGGGGGAAGAGGCAGAGGCTTCCCCATTTGGCTGGAAGTGCGACAGGGTCGAGGCATGTACTGCACAGTACAATTTGCCGGAGAGTCACTTACGCCTGCGTGACAAACATCCGAGCTCCCACTGGAAAATATTGGGGTGTGGGTGCGTGTGTGGTGTCGCGTACCTTAGTAGTAGTGCGCCTGCTCTTATGGAGTAGCAGTATCGTGCCTAGCATTTTGTACCGGCCACTGCGCCAAAGTTCCCTTCTCCGGCTGAGACCAAGTTTTATTAGCCGCACTACTCTTTGCCCACAGAGCTCTCTACCATGCTCGTCTCAGTTGCACATATTTGCCAGCTACATATCTTGGTCTCAGTCTCAATACGCAGTACGGTACTCGCTAGGAAATACTACCTGACCAGTAATTCCGCGCCGGAATGCTGCAGGCATTAGAGGGGCTGGTCTTTGCTGTACGCGTCTCTGTACTCCGCGCGATATGTGTGCAGCCGCTGGAGGAATGCGCCATCAAAGACAAGCTCAGTACAGTATCTATTGTGAAAGCGGTGCTCCATACATGTGCGTGTACCAGCAAAGTTGAGCAAGACGAAATAGCTGAGGCATATTCTGCGTGGATATATGAAGGCATCTCAGCTCCAGAGACGCACCAGTTGGTCTTGAGTATCTGCTGCGAGCTATGAGAAGGGCAATACAGCTTACTACGTGGATATACAGTATCATAAAGTCGAACTCGCGGCATGTTATTGATCCGCAAAGAGTAGCCCGAAAGTGCCATCGCAATACCGTACGGACAGGTAGGGACGCGCTGCAGCAAACAATATATACCTTGCAAGCCAAAGCTACACCGTATGATGAAGCGCCCCCAACACTTGGTGCTGCCTAATGCATCGAGCACCTGTGGCTTTCCTCATGTAGGGATCGATCATCGATACGAGTCTGGTTGATGCCGGTTGTTGTTGCAAAGCACTATCCGTTATCAACGCTGCGCCTACGCTCCTCCATCACACCAGCACGAAGCAGTAGCGGTAAACTCTGCTGCTGGTTGTGCCTTATCTGACGGAGGGGGAATCAGAAAAGGTACCAAGGGCAAAGTACCAGTACCTGCAAAAGTCGTATGACGGTACAACGCGTCATGCACCACTACAAGTACCCCCTTCTATGGGCAGTTCTAGCCTGCGGTGGCACCGCTTCCGAGTGCTCCGCTGCTCCACGCCAGTTTGTAGCAATCAATTCTCTGCCCGCTAGCGAGCTCTTCTCCCGTGGCTCCTCGTATGGATTTTCTAATGCATGCTGTGACGTTGCGAAAAGAGAAGCGTGTGGCCCTTGATGTGTTTACTGGAGCCGTCTTTGCCCTTACCACCGAGATGTCCCCTAGCAATGCTGGCCGAGGTACCGTAGCACAACGGGTCTTTGTCCCTCTCTGGGGGCTCATACCCAGCCATACCAACCCGGTCTGGTCAAATATTAGTAGTGCTACTGCTACTAGCAGCATTGGCAAAAGTCTATGCCGAGTATGGAGTACAAGCACGAAGTAGGTGGTAGTAATACTACCGCGTAGCTCTAGACAGCGGTAGCACCCACGGCGCGGCCGAGGGAGCAATCAGCAGCAAGAGGCTAGTACCTAGTAGTAGCTGTATGGTACAGTAAAGTTGAAGTAGTACGGAGCCTGAGTACTGCAGCTAGCAGCCAGCTCCCCGGCTCGTTTCAATAATGCTTCGAGAAGGCCGAAGCACCGTAGAGTACGACAATGCGTAGTAGTACCGTCCAACTGCTCAGGTAGCAGCCCTTTCCGCCAGGCTGTGCTGCGTGCTGCGTGCTGAGTCCCTGGTCTTTTGGAAACTGCCAGCGGGTACAGAGAACCCCCGTCACTGAGTTTGGTCGAGTTACCGAGAGAAGCACCGCTGGGCCGTGGCAGAGAGAAAGGCCAGAGCCCCAGTTTAGGTGTGAGACCAATATGAGGGGGAAAGGTAAAGAGGAGCTCCGCGCTAAAGTATGAGAATATTGGACGGTGGCAGCAGTCGGCGTAACTTTCTGGCACGCTGGCACGCCAATGCGTGTGTTGCAGTGAGGAGTGCGATGGATTGCCTACGAAGCAGGGCTACATATCCATAATAATTTCCCACGGCTGCTTTGAGAAGGGCCATGTTACTGCGTACCTGTCATAATGTCACGAAGCAATAATACTTCTGGAAGCCGTGGCGGCCATCTCAATTTCCGCAAGTCAACGACGGCCATGCCAACTGCTCCAGGCCCGTCCCCTGCCCTGCTCCATGGCCGTGTTCAGCTGGTTTGAGACTTGTAGAGCCAAATGCAATGCTGCTCGCGATAGCGGCCATGCAAGCACAGCCAGATGCAGGCTTCGCAGAGCGCACACAAGCGCTGGCAATACCGGGAAGCACGTGTAAGGATTCAGCGCGAAACACGCAGGTTCATCCTAGGCATTTGCTCTTCAGCCGACATCCAAACCACGCAATACGACGGAGTGGTGGTAGTACTTCGTATTGGCTGGCATTAACAAGGGAGGCCGTGTACATGCAACTGAAGCCTCGCGCACTCATGCCGTACTCCGCACCGTCCTGCTCTCATGCTCGCGCCGGAATTGGGCCTTCCTCTGAGTGCTGTCGCTGCGCATCCGGCGAAAAGGCATGGGTGCCGGTGCAGGCACTGAGGTGTGGCACCGCCAAAGTGATAAGGAGGGTGCCAGTAGTAGCACGGAAAAGCAGTAGCATCAGTAATATGGAGCGAGAGAGGAGAAAAGAAGAGGCAAAAAAGCGCAGGAGGGAGGCGCGATACCAAGAACTTCTTACGGCAAAGTCCAGGGAGGCAACACGGAGCTAATACTCAATGCTAATACCGCTACCGCCTGGAGTACAAGTACAGCCACTCCAAGGATGAGGGAGGTATGGGCTGTCGCAAGTACACAGTGCGAACCTGCAGACGGACGATGAGATACAAAGGGCGTGTACTGTCTGTGGGAGGGGAAGGCTAAGGAGGGCATGTACCTGTACAGTATTGCGCAATCAACAGGCCGAGCAGCACTTTGCCTGTGACCACCACCAGCCGACTGGTTAACGCTCATATGACGACAGCCTGTAGCTGAGCTGGGAGAAGATGGACGGTGGCTGGTGGTACGTACGATGCTGCTTCCGCGAGAGCACTGGCCACGGATGAAATGCGCCTTTTTGCAATCAAGTACAGTACCTACAGCACGAGGAAACGCTTGAATCAGGTCGTACATGCAAAGCTGCTAACAAGAGGCAACAGCAAACGTTGGCCCCCAGTGGTGGCTCGCCTGTGTAAGTCACTATGATGCCCGCCAGCCAGCTTCGCGGTGGAGAAGGACGCAAATAAACTCCTTTGCTGCAAGGAAGCAGGCAAGCAAGTAGGTACTCCTAGTGCCGTAGTATGTAGTAGGTAGTAGTTGTTGTAGCATTTACCACACGATGCCATGATGCTGCCTGCAATAAATGCCAACAGCAAACATCCATGGAGCGGCTGGTTGACCAAGCCGCATCCCTACAGTTGCTTGGCTCTGGGAACATATATCCACGTAGCACCGTGAACAGCAGCAGGATGAACAACATTCATCCATGCTGCTCGGTAAAAACATCAGTAATGGCAGCAATACTCGCACTTGACTCGCAGGACAGCGGTCAGAAAGCGCGAGAAAAGAAAAGAAGCGATCCGTACCAATATCATACCGCTCGCCTCGCAAATTTGATAGGCAAAGGCGCGAGGCCAGTAAGAGCTGCCGCGCGCGATGCAAAGCCAAGTACAGTACTCGGCAGCAGGCAAATAAGGAAGCAGGTACAAGTACCTTGCGGGCGGGAAAGCACCCCATGCCCAGTGTGTGCTGCCCAGTGTGCGTTGCCCAGTGTGCGCCGCCTGTAGCGGTGCTCCGTCGCAGCTAGCACCCAGCAGCAAGTACTCCGTGCCCCATACGCCAGCCGTAGCAGTACCTGACTCCCAGCTCGCAGCTCCTACGGCCAGCGCCAGCACCAGCGCCAGCGCCCAGAGAGGGCACATTCGATACTAGCGGTAGGCACCCAGCAGCAGCACCCCCCTCACCCAGGCCCAGAAACCGTCACCCCTCTAGGCGGAGGGTACAGAGCAGCGAGAAAAAAAAAAAGTGAGTGCGAGAGTGTGGGTGGTAGCTTTTTAGGCCGTTCGGCGCGTGCGCGCGTTCTCTCCGCAGCCCGCACTCCCAATCACTCGCCCATAGTAAAAAGGCTGCTTGGCCCTCCCCCCATACAGACTCGCTCCCCTTCTCCCTCTCCCATACAAATTCTCCCATACAAAAATCCTCCCATACAAACCGCACCCGCGTCCTCGTCGCAACACAACGCGCCTATCTTGTGAGTACCTCGCCTTCGCCGTGCATCCCAGCCAAACACCAGGTCACCAGCATCACGCATTTTCCCCTGCGCGCATTGGCTTTACTTTGCCGCTGCATCTTGTTTTTGCCTTTTTTGCTGCTTCAATTTTTGCCCTCGCAGCTTTGCATCCCGAGAGACAGCCTCTGCATCTCTGGTCTCGCATCTCTGCTTCCTCTCATTAGCACGCTCTTCGCTTCTGCTATTGCGCTTTGAATAGCTCAGCAGCGCACGCTGACTCAAGGAGCTCGCATTGGAGGGAACGAAAAAAATCTCAACGTCGCGGCCACGTTTGTCTTTGCGAAAATTTAGCCAAAGTACGAAGATGGTTTTGACTTTGTCATTTTCGAGCTTCAAACCCCCCTCGAGCAGCACATGCGGTCTCAATTGCGTTTTGACAGCGCGCTTGCTACCTCATGCCGAGCTCCATCTACCTTGCCACTACACCGCAGAGCTACCCCTCTACGAGGCCCACGTTCAATCATTCTTATTGCGTTTTGGCTTTGGCGAACGAGCTTAGCGGCTTGACGTGCCATGAGAGCGCTCAACGCCATTTCTCACTTCACTTCAATTTTTTTTTTTAACCAACACCAGTCCATCACATTTGACTTGCAGAGCAATTGGGACTAACTCATCTCCAGAAATCAAAAAAACAACACATCAGACACAATGCCTAAGGCTGCATCTGGAAAGCGTGGTGCCAAGGACACCAAGAAGCGCGCCAAGAAGGGTATGTGATCTCTTCAACCAGACGGAGACCAAGATTTGCTGGCTAACTCAGACCAGATCCCAACGCTCCCAAGCGTGGTCTCTCTGCTTACATGTTCTTCGCCAACGAGCAGCGTGAGAACGTCCGTGAGGAGAACCCCGGCATCTCATTCGGTCAGGTCGGCAAGCTGCTCGGTGAGCGGTGGAAGGCCCTGAACGACAAGCAGCGTGCCCCTTATGAGGCCAAGGCCGCTGCCGACAAGAAGCGATATGAGGATGAGAAGCAGGCCTACAACGTACGCATATTGCTCCCTTGAGTTGCTAATGAGGTCCTGTACTGACATTCTCTTTTGACAGGCTGACCAGGAGGACGAGTCATCGTAGACTGGTGCTGGTCGCGAGGTGGGATGCTGAATCATGCTTATGGTGATTCTTTCTGCAATGATTCACGAAGCATTGGGCCAGGATAATGGCAAAGAGGCCGCGTGCCTTGCTAAAACCAAACATAAAGGCCCATGCTGGTGATGTCGATTTCTTTGTATTATGGGCAGGACGGTGTTGTACGAATGCACGGAATGGGTTGCGTACTATTTGCTTTCAGGTGCCGGAAATTCAACGGAAACAGGGTCTCGCATGCTTGTAATTGTGAACGGGATAGTGGCCGGCAGAGCTACAATGCGATATCGAATACTTTTTGCGTGAGCTTCATTCAACGTAATAACAATGGAGCCATTTGGCCATGAATTGACAAGATTTAAATGCAATGCTGCTTCATTCCTTCTGAAAACGTGACTACAGCCTTGGAATCAAGCGATGCGTAATATCGGTTTCCCTTTCAATAGTGCAACGAAGTCAGAATAACCCTAATCTTAAGCTGCTAGCTGCCCATGATCTTGCAGTGTGGCTTCAATTAGGAGCTTCTTCCAGCTTTCGCTTGTGGCTGGTGATGCCATTTGGGTGGCGATGGTGGCGTGTGATCTCGGCATTCTCCAGGCCGGAACCCGGGATGGAACCTCCGCCCGCTCAATCTAATCTACTGATCCAAGCACAAAACTACTGGTGACAGCTAAGAAGAAAAAAAAAGGGCGCGGCGAGAAAATAGCAGCTGGAGAGGAAAAGGGGGCGAGGCCCGGTTGACGGAGGCCCGGCCCGCCCATCGCTGGCTCTCTCTCCACACTTCTGCCATTTCCTCAGCCTCAAAGGCGGCTCTGCGACCTTGCCAGAAGGAAGCGGCTGAGGCTGGTGAGCCGAACCTCGCGAAGAACCCCCGTCGTCCAGCCACATCCACCTCGAAGAACCCACGCAGCGACTAAGGCAATTCGTGTGCTCGCCCACCGCTCAATCAGATGCCGGGCTGCTATCTGCTGGCCACCGTCGTGCCTCCACCGCAAGCGAGCCAATGGTCCGTGGGAGGTCGGCCGCGATTCGCTGCTTGGGCGTTGGTGCTGGCCGACTCATGTATGTACGAACATGCTTTGCTGCATTCGGGCCATGCAAGTGCCGGCCCAATGCACCGCAAACCAGCGTCGGGTCGACACACGCTTGCTTTCGTGGCAGGCTGTGAGCTGCTGGTGCTGCTGCGAGCCTCCTCCGGCTCGAACCCACCGCCCGCAAATGGGGTGACCGGCTCTCCCTCTGCTGGTGGGCTCTCGCGATGCTCCCGCTGGTCATCCGATGGTCTGCTCTGGGGCCAAAACTCCATGAGCCTGGAAGGAAGCTGGGCATCTCGGGGGCTTTCTGACGTAAAAAGCAAAAAGCAGGTTGTGCACAACTTTATGCCGGACACGTTGGCAGGTGTCCATTCTGCTTGTGGCGCATGTCTCTCAACCCAATGCTGTTGGTGTTGCGACTGACACCTCGCCCTTTTCTTTTCTTTTTTTGCCCTTTGATGCATTGGGCTGCCACCAGCTTTCTGTACTACTGCTACTACTGCTGCTGCAAGCAAGCGTGGGAAAAGATCCCCCTCCACGCTCCCGGATTTGAAGTTGCATGCTCTCATTGACTGCCCCCCGCCCGCCCCGACTTTTAACTACCGGTCCACCCTGCCACTCCGACATTTCGATTTGATCTAATATTAATCCGACCCAATCTTCCGGATCCTGTCTCGCTTCTCTTCGTCTCGCTGGCTCACTGCAGTGACAAGGAACATAGGCTTCTCCCTTCTCCTCCGCGATTGACCGATAGGTGCACAGGATTGTATATCGTATAGAGTTAGCCGGTGATATCCAATCCACTTCTACCGGCGCCGGGAAGCGAAGCAGCAGGCCATCTCATTGTGAGAGCCCGATAGAGTAGGCGCCGAGTGACTGGTTAATACTTCATTCACGCCAACTCGTCCCGAATATCAATCCATCTTAACTGGTCATGCTTGGATAGGCCATTACGATCCGCTAGAATTTCTCGGCCTTGTTCCATTTTGTTACAATTACTTTTCTTTTTATCTTCTCATTTCTCACAATCCTACCATGGAGGTAGCCTCACCAATCGAGGATGCGGGGGCCATGGTTGATGCCCATCTTCTAAAGGGATGCTGCTTGGAGGCGGAGAGATCAGACAGTGTCTGGCTGCGGCTCGAAGGCCTGTTTCTTGCTCTGCCAGAGGCCAATCGTCGGCAGCTGCGATCGCTTATTGACGAGATCAGGACCACTAGCTTGATTTTGCGAGAGCTGGCTGACCTGTCCCAAGTTCACCAAGACCGCGTGCCACTGGTGCTGGATCCTCTGAATACCGTTTTGCCGTGCCTGTCACGATCTCTAAGAGACATTGTAACGCATTATGAGAACCGGAAATTGACCAAAGTAAACCGCTGGCGGACAATGTTTCACGAAATGACCAATGAAGCCGGCGGTCTACAGCTTCCTCAGCGATTCGTCGTGTATAATCACTATCTTACCGCTATCCGCAACTTATTATCCAGGTAATATCTTGCTTCCAATTGTTTCTTTCGAAATATGCTAATCCATATATCAAGATCACCTGATTTTGATCTCAACATGATGGAAGCCTTCCGTCTGCAAATTCTGAATTTGCGAGAGGCAAGAGGAATTCGTATGCATCATTATCAGTACCAGGAATTGGCCTTTGCGCTAACAGGAGAATAGCTCCGCCTCCAATACAGGCTGGTCCTTTAGTCCGTTACGGGACTATACCTCCCGTGGAAAAAGATAATGTAAGACAGCCTCATCCTCCTTGGTTAGCATGTCGCTTACATGTGTTGATACAGTCCGTACATTGGGCCGAGCAAATCTTTTCTCTACCTCTACCTTCTCGGTCACCTCTGAAGGGCGGGCTCCCGTAAGTAATTGTGACCTAACGCTATGGTTTTAAGAATCACTCACTCATTGACCAAATGGCAGATCCGAATCATTTGGACCACATCGACCGTGGGGTCACTTGACTATTCCTGCCAACTCAAAAGTTTTGTTTCGACGGTAGGTAATTGACACAAGCATACTCTCATGCTTGCTATTCCAATAAATACGATAATGTAGCTAAATACAATCCAGGCCCGTCGACGATGACAAAATCTCCCTCATCGCCTACTCTGATGGGCGTGATGGCTCCCCTTACCTCCTGCTTCGGACCTTTTACATGGGCGGGCCGTGGTTCTCACTGCGCGGCGTTCATGAGCTGTGCATCCATCGGGAGAATGATTCCATACAATTCAAAAGATGGAGCCATTCCGAAAACTGCTCCAAGCTCTGGGCAACGTTGCGCTTCCAGACCTGGGAAGGTATGTTGATTTCTGTTCAACGCCCTGGAGTGCTACTCATTCACGGGATACTCATCGCAGAGTGGTGACGTAGATATTATTACTAACACATCCTCTTACAGAGCTGATCCTCATGTACTGTACGTTCTTGGCTCTCAAGTCTCGCAACGCTTTGACAGTGCAGCTGGCGACCAAAGAATACGCTCTCAAGGGCGAACACAAACTCTTTCAAGCGTGAGAACAAACTTTAACCCCCTTTATAGATCTTTCCTGACATTTCTGGCAGAACCATTCTAGATGACGGTTTTAAGCATTCACTCATTGTTTACGAAGACCGATACACGGGGGGTCGGCGCATCCACGTCGCCGTGTGGGAGGGAGAGCTGCGCCAATGTCCCGTCTGGACAGCCTTTGGTTAGTTGCATGTATCATGGCGAGGAGGACAAGGCTAATAGGACTTACAGTAACCCATCAATCCACGTCTCCCACCTGGCTCAAACGAGTCAGCCGCAAGAGAATCCGCTTGGCCGACATTCAGTTGTACGTTTTCAGCCAGCAGTACAGGCAACAAACACAGCGAAAGGGCACTGGGGGGTCATTTGAACTTCAGTTTTATAGCGAAGAAGGCAAGTTTTTTTTTTTTTTTATCTTCTTCTCCTTCTTCTTCTCTCCCACACAGTTCTTAATGCTAACCTCCTTCAAGCTGCTCAAAGCTTTAAAGATTTGTTTTATGTCCCAATCAAATCCAACACCTCCCGACCCATCACACCCCGGCCGATTACACCGAGAATTGCGTCTCGGCCGACCACTCCAAGGGCTTAAAATCGAGGGGACTCAATCTCATCTATTATTTTCTCCTTTGTTGATTTGGCTTTTATCTTTTTTTTTTATCTTTTTTTTTTTTCAAAGTTTTAGCGACTCAAAAAAGGTGCAATCCCAGGCAACCCTTCACCACAACGCTTCATTTTCTTTTCTTCTACTATTTTACACCTATACCCGCTAAACATTTAGCGACGAGTTAACGATGACATGACTGATAATCCGGCGAATGGCCAACAATTTCTATTCTTATTCTCATTTGTCTTGAAGTATGGTGTTGAGAAAATAATTCATTCCCTCACCAAAAAGTCTGTATAGGAAGATCATCCAAGCTAATTTTTTTAAACACCTATGATCTGTCTGTTTCATGTTTTTTTTTTCTTCTGTAAAGCCACTGAATTTGGTATTATACTGGGTCTAGCAGTCGTTTGGCTACGCTATTGAAAAGTGAAATGATGTTTTTAGAATTCTGCTTTTAATACAACTATTGCCGGGCATGATTCATACGTCTTTTGTTTTTTTAAACCATTCCGCCCCATTCAAACACTATGCTTCGATTAAAAAAAAATAATAGTAATAAACAGTATCCTTATGTGCACACCATATGCTTAGGTCTTGACATCGGGCTCATCACGGCCAATATGCTCCTTGAACTTGAGCAGCTCTGTAGCAAACTTGACTTCATCCTTGAGGAAATCTTGGGCGTCAAGATCATACTTGGATGGGTCGCTGGTGTGCTGCTCAATGTACAGACGGATAGTGGCGCCAGAGGAGCCAGTACCAGAGAGACGGACGACAATGCGGCTGCCAGAAGAGAAGCCAGCATAGAGACCCTGGTTAGAAGAGACTGAGCCATCGAGGTCAGTGTATGAAAAGTTGCCGGCCTTGGTGACGGTGCGCTCGCCAATCTTGCTGCCCACAAAGTTGGGGTCAGCAACCAAAGCCTCCAGCTCGCCAACAACCTTGTTGGCGCCCTCAGAGTCGACATCCTCGTAGTCGTATCTGGTGAAGAATGTTCGTCCATACTGAGTCCAAAAGTCCTTTTGGATCTGCTTGATTGAAGGGGTGACACCAGGGTTCTGGACACCAAGGGCAGCAATGATGTTCAACCAGGCGACAATGGCCCACAGACCGTCCTTCTCACGGATGTGGTCGCTGCCAGTGCCGAAACTCTCCTCGCCGCAGATGGACAGCTTCTGGGCGTCAAAGAGCGCGCAGAAGAACTTCCAGCCTGTGGGGACCTCGTAGCTGGTGAGGCCCTGTGCCTTGGCAACCAGGTCGACGGCACCGCTCGTGGGCATGGATCGAGCAAGGCCGTTGACGCCGTTCTTCTGGAAGTAGGGGATGAGCTTGGCGTGGTGGGCAATAATGGCGAGAGAGTCTCCGGGGGAGACAAAGGCGTTGGCGCCGTAAATCATGTTTCGGTCGCCATCACCATCAGAGGCAGCACCAAAGGGAATTTCGTTCTTGTCAACAACCTCCACCAGAGAGTGGGCGTAGGTGAGGTTGGGGTCGGGGTGTCCGCCGTTGAAGTCGGGGCTGGGCACGCAGTTCTGAGTGGCGCCAATCAGTCCAAGCTCCTTCTCGAAGATGGCGGTTCCGTAGGGCCCAGTGACGCCGTGGAGACCGTCAAAGAGGACCTTGAAGTCGGGGTGAGAGGAGAAGAACTTCTTGATGGTGTCAAAGTCAAAGATGTCCTTGAGCATAGCGACGTAGTCAGCAGTGCTGTCAATGATCTCAACTTCCAGCGAGCCATAGGTCTTGGTGCCAACGGTGGAGATGTCAATGTCGGGGATCGAGGCGAGCTTGTATGATGTCAAGGTCTTGGAGGTCTCGAAGATTTTGTTGGTGACGGATTCGGGAGCAGGGCCACCGTTGGCCAGGTTGTACTTGATACCGAAATCGTTCTTGGGGCCTAGTTTTAGGAGCACGGCATCGTCAGCGTCTTGTCTCTCTTCAGCTTGGTAGATTGAGATGCGGGACTTACCACCGGGGTTGTGGCTGGCAGTGAGCAGAATGCCTCCAGTAGCCTTGCGGATGCGGATGACATGGCTGGCTGCGGGCGTGGAAAGAATTCCATTCTGGCCGATCACAAGCTTCTTGACACCATAGGCAGCACCGATCTTGGCAATCAGCTGGATGACCTCGGGGTTCCAGAACCGGCCATCGCCACCAATGACGAGGGAAGCGCCTAAACAGGTGGAAGCAGAATCATTAGCCTTTAGCTCAAAGCTTTCTCTTCATAGCAAAGTGTAGCTCATACCCTCAGCGCCCTCGGGAATGGACAGGAGAATGCTGGCAACGAACGACTCGCTGTAGTGCGGCTTCTGGAAAACGACGACCTTCTTTCGGAGACCAGAACTGGTGTTGCGGAGTCTGTGTCAGCAGATGCAATGATTGTCTTCTGGGGAGTGGCGACAGCTGTGACGTACGTTCCGGGCTTCTGGTCCTGGAAGGGAGTAAACTCGACAGTCTTGACGTCCATGGCAGCAGCTCAAACTCGGTGGGATCAGCGTGTGGGTTGAGGATTAGGAATATCAAGAGAGAGGGAGAGGGAGAAGGAAGCAGAGCTGTAGGTATTTATCGCTAATGATCCCCAGGCCCAGCGGGATAAATAGGGGATGTCGCGAGAGCTTTAGGGGGTGAGGAGGGGAAGCTCCAAGGAGCTGGTGGGGAGGTTGGGCATTCTCGCCAAACGATGGAGGGGCAGCCCAGTGCTGGCGGTGGCCCAATTGGCACTGTGATTCTGAATGCATTTTGCGTGTGTTCCAGCAGTGCGAAGTAGCCCAATTTCAATGGAGCTGCAGCTGGGTGGTCAAATTCGTTGCCTGGCCGTCCAACGAGACCCGAGCTTTGGGCCATCAATGACATCAAATCAGCGCGATTGGTGCTTTGGGCAGAGGCAAATTGTGAACCGGTTTTCTGTATTTCTTTTTTGCCATTGGCATCGCCTTGTGCTTGGACGCACGAGAGGTGCAGCTGTATATGCAAGAAATGCGCGAGTGGGCAGATGGAGCAAGTAAATTGGGCTGCTGATGACGTCGAGCGTCGCATTCTATATATTGCTGAAGAAGCTATTCCAATGCACTTTGCACGCGATATTTTTGCGCCAGATTCATCTTCAATGCCCAATGGCTGCCGTCCGTCATCATCTACGGCCAAAGATGGCCTCCTTGTAATATCTCGCCTCCTCAATGCTCTCCAAGATGTCATCCCTAGCCTTATGGCTCCCCTTCTTAGCCGGCGCCCGCGAAAGAACCTGTGGCGGGCTCCACCGCCGAGCAGCCTCCTTTATGGCACTAACGTCCAGGATGCGGTAGTGCAGATGCTCCATAACTTTGCCGTATGGATCTTTTCGCAGAAAGGCCCTGTCGGCGTGCACGCTGTTGCCGGCCAGCAGCGCCGTTCGAGACCTGGGGATGAACTTCGTGATGTACTGATAGAGGCCCTCGGCAGCCTGCTCCGGGGTTGTCTCTGATGCTATCACGGCAGCTGTGAGTCCTGACTTGCCGTGGGTGTTTGTGCACCACTCGTCCATCTGGTCCAGGCGAGAGGCCGGCCAGTGGATGACGGCGTGGTAACCGTCGGCGTCGATGATGTCGAGGTTTGCCGTCGTGAGAATGCAGTAGATTTCGAGAATCTCCTCGGTATCGGGATTCAAGCCGGTCATCTATCGATATGTCATGCAACTTTAGCAAAGCTCAGCTCAGCTCGCACAGCTGAAAGCCATGCGAAGTAAAGTCAGTATAGCAGTAAGACGGCACTTCGCACCTCACAATCGATCCAGACCAGGGCATCGTCCAGACCCGAGACCACGCTTGACTCGGAAACCGGCATCGTTAATGACCGGATGTAACCACACAATGTCAATTAGCGATCAAATGCCGAGTCGAGACTAAGCAAATGGCGGAGCAATGACAAGGAAAGAAAAAGCATCTCCCCAGGAATTGGCATTTTCGATTTAGCTGGTCCGATCCAGGAGCCCTAGGAACGAATGTTCTTTAGGCCCTGTAGGCAATACCCCGTAACGCAGTGGAGGCCCCCTAAAATCTCGGCCGGGACTACACCGTAAGTGCTGTAAACCTTCAGCTTCACCCTCTCCCCCACCTAAGGCTTGCTGTTAATCTTGCCCCATATGGTCGATAAGCAGCGCCATCATCTGATCCAGTTGACGGCTGTCCCCCTCATTTTACTAGCGGTAATAGCACTGGAACGTTGCAAGGCACCCCGTCCAATGCCTGGGCCGCCGTTAAGCCACTGTCTTTTATCGGCTCGCAGCTGATTGGGCGGCGGGTTGGGCTCGACAGCTGGAATCCCTGGCTAGAACGTGCCTTATCATGGGGATTGGCATCTCTATATATGTGCCTGCCAAGCCTGCGTGACAACATACCCGGCGACTGTCTCGTCTCACGGACAGCAACCCATTTATTATCACTTACAGAGGCTCTTCTCTTCTCAGGCGTAGTGTTGGGACTGGCAAAGATCTCACAAGCACATCGCCATCATGGCCTCGCTCAAGGTCTCAGACGCCGCTGGCGATCCCCATGTGAAGCCTCTTCCGCGGCCCGAGATGTCAGAGGATCCTCCCCGCTTCATCATCATTGGTGCTGGTGCCCGGGGAATTGGCTATGCAAGAGGCATTGACATTGCCAGCAACGGCGTTGTGGCCGCCGTGGCAGATCCGGACAAATACCGACGAGAGACGCTCGGCAAGCATCACATCTGGGGCAGCAATGGCCCCAGTCAAGGCCAGATGTTCTCAGACTGGCGAGACTTTGTCGAGTATGAGCAGAATCGGCGCCAGAGAGCAGCCAACGGCGAGAAGGACGTCCCCAAGGGCGTTGACGGAGCTTTTGTCTGTGTCCAGGACCAGATGCACCGAGAGGTCGTTGTTGGCCTGTCACCGCTGGGCATTCACATCATGTGCGAGAAGCCGCTGGCGCCATCGTTGGAAGACTGTCTCGACATCTACAAGTCTCTCAAGCCGCAACTCAAGTCCAACATCTTCTCAATCGGCCATGTGCTGAGATATAGCCCGCACAACATGATGCTGCGGAAGCTGCTGGTTGAAGACCAAATCATCGGCGACATCAACAGCGTCGTGCACACGGAGCCAGTTGGCTGGTGGCACTTCACGCACTCGTATGTGCGAGGCAACTGGAGAAACTCAAAGACGTCGGCGCCATCGCTGCTAGCAAAGTGCTGCCACGACATCGATCTGATCTTGTGGCTGCTCTGTTCGCCGGAGAGGGCCGGAGAGGGCGAGCCTCATCTCCCCGACTTTGTGTCATCGACTGGCGGATTGCAATTCTTCAAAAAGAGCCGCAAACCGGCCGCTGCGGGATCTGCTACAAACTGCATGGCTTGTCCTCTCGGCGACTCCGGCTGCAAGTATTCTGCCAAGAACGTATATCTCAGTGCCAACTGCGAGGGAGTTGGCACCGGCAACGTAGACTGGCCGATGACCACCGTCGTGCACGACATCGAAGACTATAAGACCCTCGACGAGCGCAAACAGGCCGTCATCAAGGTTCTTGAACAAGACTATGACGAGTCAACCCCGAAAGAGGTGGTCAGCTCGCGCAACTGGTTCGGTCGATGCGTCTTTGAGTCAGACAACAACGTGTGTGACGACCAGTTTGTGACCATTACATGGCCCGAGTCCGTCAAGCCCGCCAAGAGAGTCACCATCCAGATGGTGGCCCAGACCAAGAAGCAATGCGACCGCTTCTCCTATTTCTATGGCGAACACGGCGAAATCTACACAGATTCCGAGAAGATCATTGTGCAAGACTTCAACACCAAGGAAACAAAGGTCTACACGCCGCACGCGGAACACAAGGGCCACGGCGGCGGCGATTTGGGCCTCACGAGACAATTCGTCTTGGCGTGCGACCGGGTGAAGAATCATGGATGGGAGGCCGAAAAGGCCCAGAATGAGTTTGTGGGGTGCACTCTCGAGGAGGTGATTCGCAGCCACGCAATGGTGTTTGCTGCGGAAGAGGCTCGCGTCAATAACATTGTTGTCAACTGGCCCCAGTGGTGGGATAAAGTCACCAAGGAGTAAGCTAGAAACTGGTGGTTGAACTTGTAATACTTGTTTTCTTAAGTAGCCATTCCAGAAAGTATTGAATTTGCAAATGCGGTATAGATGACGTTCTACTTCCAGTTGATTTAATAAATACCTATAATATATATATATATATATCCTCAGTCAAGAGAGCAGTACGCTTCATTACACTTCGATCCAGCAATTATTTCCATCGCAATATTGTTTATCCAAGAGCTTTGAAAGAGATCGACTTTGGCTTTGCAGTTCCTCCTCATACCAAAGAAATAAGAAAAGAAAAGAAAAAAGAAAAAAGAAAAAAGAAGCCGCCCTTATATCCGGCATATCATGGTCCCATGAATCATTTATACATCTCATCTAATTACCACCACCCAGCTCGGCTCTGTTCGTCTCTGCTCCAAGGGGGCTTGTCGTGGGCAGCTCGCTGGCAGACGTCTCGCCTTCCTTGAAAACACCCGGAGAGGGAGTCGTGTGCACCGGAGACGTGCTCGCCGTTTGCACCGGGTAATTGTAATTGTACTGCTGCTGGGGAGGATACTGTCCCTGAAACTGCTGTGGATAATAGCCCTGTTGCATTGGCACCGGTGCATAACCGGCCTGGTATCCAACCGGCACACCCGAAGGGTAAACAGCTCCACCAGCAGCAGCATCATTCTGTCCTTGAGGAGGATGACCAGCAGGAGGAGCGTTGTTACGACCATTGCGGTGGCGGTAGAAGAGGAAAGCGGTCAGGCCAACGAGGCCAAGGGCTGCAACGCCTCCAACTGTGCCTCCCGCAATGGCGCCCACGGGAGTGCTGCTTTTCCCGCCGCCTGAATCGGGCGTCGATGTCGGCGAAGTACTCGAGGGCTCGGTCGATGTGGTTGTGGCTGTCGTCGTCGTCGTCGTGGAACCGAAGCTGTGCGTTGCCAGCCAGCCCGGATCGACAGTCAGGAGAGTTCCTCTGCCGGGCTGCAAGGAGCATCCGAGGATGGTGTATAGTTCAACGGACTTGTCGGTTGAGGCAGACGTGGAAATGACCCAAGTATAACAAGCCGGGAGAGTTGAAGTGGCGCTGGGAGAGAAAGAAGCAGGAGAGTGTGAGCGGATATTCAGAAGAGAGACAGAGGGCGAGAGATGGGGGAGTAGAGGAGCTCACCAGCAGAGTGTGTGAAAGTCGGACGGGAGGTTGCAGGCACCGGTTGCCGAGGCTTGGTAGTCGATGCACGTCGTCTTGATCTGGCTACAGGAGCTGTTTGGCTGACAACATCCAACGAAGCCTCCCTGGGGCGTGCAAGTATATCCAGACGAGACACAAGTAAAAGAGTCTAGCTGAAGTCAGCCTCACAAGCTCCCCGTCATTGATTTCCCGTAAAGTAGAATGTGTGAACAGTGACTTACTGCCATCATTCCCAGGCACAAATCCACACGTTTCTGGCCCCAGCGTATAACCATCCGCTCGCGGCATCATCATCCTGCCCAGCAACGGCTTGGGTGGCTGCGTCGGCTTAGGAGACCATCCCAAGGCAACCTGCTGCTCGACCTCATGGCCCGAGGTGACGGTCTCTTTGGCGGGTGAGGCCCATGATTGTTGGAAGCCCGATTTGGGGACTGGCTGGTTATTGTTGTCGGCTGTGACGGTAGAAACAACAGCCCCAAGGGCGAGGAGGAGGGTCGCCGCTGGGCCGTGACGCATTGGAGCGGTAGGGATTCTGCGTGTAAGTCGAGCTTTGTGCCGGCGGATATTCTAGCCAATTAATATGGCGTCAATGGAATCCAAGATGTCGAGTATGTTTTCTGTTAGTCGCTTTTCCTATTTATGTCTTATATCATATCCGTAGACGTGGAAGAATAGAGGAACGGGGCAGCAGCGTCTAAACAAGTGTGAAGCGAGCGCGCTCTAACATCGACTCAGTTCTATAAACAACCAAGGAGACACCCAAGAGCAGAAGCGCCAGATCTTCTTCAGTAACAATCGCTATAAAAGGGAGTGAGGAAAAGAAAATAAAAGGAAATGAAACAAGCAGAAGAAATCCTTCCTACCGCTTCCTCTCCCAATGCGGCTCTTCCAGCCCAAGCCAGCTCCGATCCAGTCCAGTCCAGTCCATGGCGACAGCAATTAGTAGCAGCACCTCCAAACAAGAGCCCAATCAGTGCCTCGCAGACCGAGAGCAGCAAACCGACAAGGCAAAACCCCGACCATCCAGGCCCTCCCGGGCTGTTAGACCGTCCAGCTCCAGGTTCTAGTCCAATCAGCCCCATCCAAGTGCAGCTTAGCCCGCCAGCCCATGGGGAATAGAGGCAAAACGAAACTATGCTTAAATGCTACTAGTGGAGTGTTCAGCCCCGGATGATGGGCGAGTCTTATTCGCGGCGGTGGATCCTGTGATTCGACGAGCTGAAGCGGGAGGATGCGGCGCGGCAGTGAGTTGAGTAGAAAGAGGAGAAGGGAGCTCCAAGTAGATACTAGGTGTATACCTTCATACGGTTTTTTGATATTGCCCACCTGTTGTACATTTCATGTAGTATAATCTGCAGCTAGTGACCTTGTCATGTATGCACATGTCCTTCATAACCGCGAGGCTTGTCTGACGTGGTCGGGAATCTCGTCCTTTCAACCCAGCCAGTCTTACACCACAACTCCATGTGTCTCAACTCTTCCAAGTATAGTATATCGCAATCTTTGCCTCTCTTTTTTTTTCCTTCTATCAAATCAATAGTCAAAGAAACTAGACAAACACTCACACACTCAACCAACCCCTCTAAAAACCAAACCAGACCAAAACCCCTGTCAAGCCATCACCTGCGGCTGGACGCAGTGCGACAAACACTCGCACACCCAACCCCTCCTCTGGATCCTAATGCCGCCTTGGAGGATCAGAGAGAGAGGAAAAAAAGAGGCAAGGCGCAAAATCGGCAGCAAGGGGGGATTTCAGCCCGTGATTACTTTGTACTAGGCTATTTTCTTTTTTTTTTTTTTTTTTTTTTTTTTTTTTTTTTTTTTCTTCTTCTTTTTTTTCCCTCCTTATCTTCTAGCACAACGTAATTCAGGGTTTTGCTCCAGCTTTCTATGAGCAAGAGCGTAATCTATAAATAAACAACCAAGACAACACAAACTCTTGATTGTACTGTCATCACCAACCTTATACTACAGCGTTTGGTTCCTCCATTCCATCTACTTCATCCCTCAGGCCGTATCTTTCACTCTACCCTCTTCTCTTTCGGTTTCACCATCTAGCAGCAGTAATGGCACAATAGACACCAAACCAAAGAACAAAAGAAATCTGCCCCCGCGCACGAGGCACTCTTCAATTTCATTTCATGCACTAATAAAACGAAAGAAAGAAAGAAATCAGCCCCGGGCAAAGAGTCTCAAATTGCTCCCCATTCCGCGCGAGACACGCAGCAAAAAGTGGCAATTTTCTAGCTCTGCATTAGCAGACAGCTCTAGCTCGACGTGCTATACTTGACTTGCAGCGTGCAGCTGACTATGTTGATTTCGCTAGTTCCCTGCCTATCGTCTATGAAGGCTCTCTGTTCTTTTCCTCTTTTCTCTTCCAGATAGCCGCTCGTAAAAGAAGAAAGGAGAAAAAAGAGAAACAGAGACTATTAATTACTAGCCGGTCATCGTCGATAAACATGGCGTTATCTCTTGTGGCGCCCCCAATCGCGGGAAAATGTGCCTTGGCTTAAAGCTATTATTAGCCACTCGCCCACAAATGATCGCCATCCAACTCCTCCTTCTTCTTAATGTCTCATCTAGCATCTTCTCTCTTCAGGTTAGATAATAAGAAGGAGAATGCAAAATACCCATTACTGCTATGGTCGTCTCCTAAGCGATATCTGCGTCGTTGACCCACAAACCATGGGGATGTAATCGTATGCGTCCCACTCGAGTCAAAAAATTCCCGAGTGTCCACAATTGGTCTCCATACAAAGTATATGCAACAAATGGCGAGACAACATATACTTGGCAATATATTCTCTCTGGTCGCTTAACCAGCAATGTATGTGCAGTCATAGTTAAACCAGAGCCTTTGAGAAACTGTCCATTTAGATGCACATCGTGCCATATTGGGCATAAACAACGTCGTGACTCTAAATTTAAAGAGTGCTCCTTATGCTGCGTGTTTCATTTGTATCATCACTTACCCTGTATGCCTCCTCTCCCAAAGCTTTTATTACTCTGCTTCAAAGTAGTCTTAAGAGTTACGTTCTAAATCACTGCTCTAATACGAAAAGCAGAGCTCCCCTTGCATTTAGAAACTGACATTTTGAACGGCTATCGAGCACCCAGATGCCGGCATCCGACGACAATGAACATTTGCATTAAGTTACATAATTGTACTCGGAAATATGTACCTATGAGCACCAACAATCTAAGAGATGTCACAATCTTACAATTTCCACCTGCCCAGCGCCGTCTCCGGCCCCAAAAAGTCTAGTCTATCATCCAAATAGATTCACTCAATTCGAAGTGGGAGGCTCCTGTGAAGGCCGCGTCTCAGTAATCCAAAATTCACATCATCATCATCCCTAACCACACCCTTTCGAAGTAAAAAGTCCAGCATAACAAGCCCACAGTTCGGCTTCCACTCAGCGTTCTTCAAATCACGCTTCACCTCTTCCACTGGCTTCAGCACAAATCCGTCAATCGACTCCGGTTCCTCTGGATATGGGATGAAACCAGGGCTAACTTCCAAATCAAAAGTGTACCGGATACCAGGCTCAATGTGTCCCTCCTCACTGCCGGCAATATGGTCTTTCTGATCATAGAATGAGATCAGAGACTCGCTAGTGACTCTGCCGACATAGACGCCCCTCCAAGTAACCATTTTCGTATGAATGTCGACCAAGAGCCCTGCTTCCTCCATAGCTTCACGTTTCAAAGTCACCAGAGGGTCCATGTTGTCTTCCGGATCCATGGCTCCAGCAACAAGCTGGTCAAGCTTTCTGGCATATGTGACATTTTGAGAGCGTCTCGAAACCCACACATAAATCCCACCTCCCCTTATGGTGAACATGTTCATGTGGACGCCCGTCGTCACGATACCAAATATTCCTCTGGCAGCTGAAGGAATGACCAAGCCGGCCAACTTAGCATCAAGTCCGCGGATAGGATGGAAATCCGAGCTCTTCTTGAGCCACTTCTGAAAGCAACCATTGAGATTATCGGCATTCTTTTGGCACAGTTGTATAAATTCGCGTCGGCATATGTCAACAATGTCGTCGCCTGGTTTGATGACAGGATTCAGATGAATCTTGAGCTTGGCTCTGGAAACTTTAAAGCTCGTATTGTCCCACTTCATCTCGGCGACGTGCTGAGGGAGCATATATCCAACAGGAGTTGAATTGTCTAGAATGGCAAATTCCCACATTCCTGAACCTTGCCTCTCTTCGAACTTATTACACCGACGGATAACATCGTACAAAGAACCCGTGCTGCTTGGAGTAACGGGGGTGATTGTCCACCTATGGATAGGACCAGGGTTTTCTGATAGCATTGTTGAGGATGTTCGAGGGCTGGCAAGAGACGCCATGTTGGACTTGCTTTCCGCCGGAGGCGGAGGAGTCCTTCTGATATGTGCAAAGCTAGACAGTGATCAAACGAGGCCTATAGTCTGAAATTTCTCTGCCATAGAGTGAATAATGCTGGATGTAGGGGATATAGTGATACCAATAAGTTCATAGGTGAATCCGCGAGACGAAAAGAGTGGAATAGAATGGAAGAAGCGAAATGATAGTGTGAAGGCCAGCCGGCCAGACACTCAACACACAGACACAATATGCAGCATGAGACCGAGCATATACTTCTGATCTATGAATAGAAGAGCCAAAGGGATAGGGCAGCGCTAGGATATAATGTTCAGGAAGCAAGAACATGCACCGATTCACCTCATCCGAGGATAGAAACCTGAATATATGTGACACATCACTGATGGTTACGGAGCTTCGACCCCAATGTGTGTTACCCATGCAGGAACAATTTAGCAAGCATGCTTCCGACAAAGGGAGACACGGCAAGGTGCAGTGGTCGAGAGCACTACACGTTTTGGTAACATGGGAAGTCCTACCGACGGCCTGGGATTGGTAGAGCTTCCTGCCTGGGGTGCCGTCGGGCTCTGCAGCCGCCCGAGCATCTCTGAAGGCGACATCTGTCAAAGCGTAGGTAGTAGCTCTGATTTGAGGACTGCATAGAAGCTATATCACGGCCTCAGCCGCTTCTCCCATCCATGCCTGTATCCACATCTACATCTGTCCCATGGGCCGTACCGTGCCCTTAGCTCTCCTTAGCGCTCCAGCAAACGAGTACGAGTATGTCCTTACCCATTGACCGCAGTGTTGAGTCAGAGACAAGCTGAGATGGCATACGCGGATAGGCAACCAGATAGTAGTAGCAATGCCCAAGGCCGGGTCATTATCAGCAAACCCGACAATATGGTTTGCTATTCAACGGTTTGCGTCCTTGCAGCGCCGTGTAACCAGGACATGAGACATTCCCTTGTCCATGAGCCCGGGATGCGCCCTCACTGCTTGCGCGAGGCGCTTGAGTCTTCCTGTTGAGCTATCACATCGATCAGCAGTAGCGCGGCAGATGGTGGTGCTAGCATCCCGTAGTCTCGAAGCAAGCGAACCAAAGCCAACATCAGGATTCGCAAATCTCATAGACGACAAGCCACCGTGCAGGGAAACTGCATGTTACCCCAGCAAAGGACGCCACAAGGCAAATGAACCTAACGCATGCTGTCTGAAGCAGCCTATGGCATCTCCTGGGACTCTCACCGAGGTGGAACTCGTCCAGGGCATCCCCCACATCGAACACTTCTTGCAGCGTATTATATGCATACGTGCCTGCACAAGGGGCATATCGCAGCTTCTTTGGATGCTCTCGAGAGGCATGTTTTGTTGGCATGAAGTCGCCGAGGCTAGTCGAGGCACCTTTGATTTTGAATATTCGGCCCTCTTTCTTCCTTTTTGCAGCAGGTCATCCGCCGTTAGCGAGCAGTATCGACCGGAGGTGGTGAGGCGATGCGGATATGCTTGCGAGCGAGGTCGGATCATTGCTGGACTCGAAGTCTGTAAATGTGGCGGCAAGATTCTGTTTCATTTTGTGCTAGTCGTGGTTGTGCAAGTTTTAAGAATCTCTCGAGTTCACGGTGTCTCCCCTATCACCTCACGCGACTAGGTACATGTACCTAAAAGCACCTGATCTGGCTTGGGCTTTACGTGCTTGTGCGCTGAAGTTCAAAGTGCTATCAGCACTCAACCCAGGAATTACGTACTTGCGTAGGTAGGTACACGGTGCTTGCTCAGATACTTGGGTATATTTCGTTCCAGCAGAATGAGAAGAAAAGGGGGAATAGCATCTAGTAACAGCCATGTTATCTGATTTGGAAAACAAGTCAGCATGTACTCGCTACCGATTCGCATAAGAGCAATTGTTGGAACTGAAGTTACACAACCATTGCCTGAGCCATACTACTTTCTGGGATTCGCCGATGTCTTCCCGATTATCCCTATTGCCGGCAACAGGTTGTTGTGATGTTGGTGACATGGTAGTATTTGATGCATCCATACTTGGCTTCAAGACAGGGGTTCGAACGAGTGCCGCATACGCCGTTGGGCTTATTATGCAGCTAGCGTCATGGCCGAGATAAAAGCACAGAAAGGAGCGGTACTCCTGCAATGCGACTTGTATGTAGGGTATACTCGCCTTGTCGGAAGTCTGCATGGGAGGCTAGAGAATTTGAAAGTAAGGGGAAAAGACTCCCGACATTAGCTGAGGCTCTTGACTTCGCTGCTTGGTAGCATGGCAGCACAGTAGGAGTACTCCATCCACAGCTCCAAGATACTGCCGGAATGCACAGCGTATAAGCGTATAAACGCTTAGCTGTCCGGCTAATCATATTCAAGCATAGAAAGAATCGTCATTTTGCTTCCCACCCACCTGCTTCGATTAGGTAGCAATCGCATTTCGGGCAACGTCCATATCGCCAATTACGATGCGACCCATGGAGAAACTGGTCTGCGGTTTGGTGGACGGTCCGACAAGACACCACACTGTTGATATCTGGGCGAGATGGTTGGACAAATTGTCTCTCTAGCGCTGTCCTTCATGCGGTCACAGTGCAGCTTCACATATCCAGCCTGGGCGTCCTGGTTGCCAGCTCGTCATATGATTTTGTGCCAGTCGTGCAGGATGTGCTGCTTCTCAAGCCCAACGAGGTGCGATGGACGAAATAGCAGCAGGAAAATGGCTCACAAAAGCTGCGAGACGATCAATTGGTTGCCCAAAACAAACTATAGAGTAGTACAATGAGGAGAAGATGTGAATCATGGCCTGATTCTACGCTGAGTGGCCTTGCAAAAATGAGAAATGCTTACCTCGAGGCTGTCACACAGCCTTGGGTTGATGAAGGGGAGCTGGAGCTCTAAAATGGCCGACACAACAGCTGCCTCGCTGTGATTGGCCCAACCTGGATTATGTCATCAGCAACCCGCCTTCCGGCGACGACTTCATTTGGTTCAATCTCGATGCCCGCATCAACCTTGCGACGACCATCTCCAATTGACCACCAGCGCCGCCACAATGTTCGCCGCACGACAGAGGGCAGTTTGCGCGGCCCGCCAGCTGCAGCGGACATGCCGAACCTATGCGTCCGAGGCCCACGGCCACCACTCGTCTGCGCCCGTTAACGAGTCCTTCGGGGTACGGCCAAAGCCCACATCTTGCTCTTTCGACGCGGGGAGACTGCTTTAGATGCTGACTGGAGGGTTGTAGAAAGGATCCGTGATTACTCTCGGCGCGCTTCTGGGCACTGTCCTCGTCTTCCAGTTCCGCCCACAGGAGAGCGAGACCTGGAACGGCGTGCTCGCCAAGTACCGATCAAAGGCTGAGGACTGGGAGGCCATCAATTCTCTGCACACCAAGGCGATGGAGCAGGCTGGTTACGACAGGAACCTGTTTGAAAATGCATCAACCAAGCGCGCATATGTCGACATCTCATACCCCGAGTACGTGAACTCGTCCTTATCGCTCATAACGCAGAGCTAGGTGCAATGGCTAACGTTATGAACCACTACAACACAGGGCTTTCACATCTCACGCTCAACGAAACATCCAGGCTGGTCACCTCCCCAACATTGACCACGTTGTAGAACATTACCGACAGCAGCACTTGAAGGTGGAGGAGAAGAAGGCGGCCAAGCTTGCCGCCGCGAAGAAGGATGAGTAGGGGTGGCAGCGCTGAGTTATATCCAATTCATAGAAAAAAAAATTCTGCAATCAACCAATGAGCCTGTTGGATGTGTGATACCCGTGCGCTCAGCTTTTTGTGACCATAGTAAGGCCTGCTGAAGCCACATCGTGCCTGCTGAATCAGGAACAGGACATTGGCGTCTTGGTATAACACATTTCGCGAGTTGTAATAGTAAGATATCTGCTCTTTTCATAGACCCATCTGCAATAATACGATTGTCTCTCGAATTCACCAAACATTGGCCAATTCGGCTCAAAAATGAGACAGTCTTGACCAAATGTCTTTCCGCGATGCACTTCTCAATCATGTATCAGCCACGACCAGCTCACTTCATCGTGCTGAAGATAGAAAGAGCGTTGGAAAGGCGGCAAGCACGGCAACTTCAACAATGTCGCGGGTAAGTCGGCAGCCCTTTTTTCGCTTAAACAGCTTTTGTAGTATTTCTCTTCTCCTCTTGCAATACTGTCAGGTTTTCTTAACAAGCACTCTTTTTGACGACTTGGTTTTCTTTATCAGTAGTTCCTTTACACTCGTTTCCATCACGACTTCAGCATTGCTGGCACAGTATCGTTTTTTACGATTAATCTATCCATCGATCGGAAGACTGCTTACATGCCGTCAAGCTGAGCCTAACAGGGGTTGTGCAACACTCGTCCTCGAATCGATATACACAAGTTGAATTCAGCGTAAGACAGCCCCATCAGCCAAAAGGGCTATGAGACATGTGAGATTGAAAATGTAGGGCTAACATATGGTGTTTCTATTTGGTCTTAGTGGAGTGTTGTGGTGAACATCTGCCCGACATGCCTCACTTCGATCCAGATCAACTCAGCCCCCTTTTTGAAAATGAACAAGTAGAGCAACAGAGCACAAATGGTGAGAACTGTAAGCAACCACATTCTCTTTCTGTCTATTTCCCTTGTCACTGTCCCATCATTTCTACTTCCTATCCTTTCTCTTTTCGGCACGAATACCAATGGCAGCTTCCATTTCCAAAGGCGAGTCCATTAATGTGCGTGTTTACATCTTAGACCAGGAGGCAAACATTTTCAAGACTCCTGACAGGCCAACAATCATTCTAGTTAATTCGCAAAGGGGGAGACCCGAATCAACTACGTTTAAAACTGCCACGCCGGCTCGAGCTGCATGCTTTCCTCCTCCCAACCATGTTAACAATTGTGATGGTGTCAGCGTCAGAGAGACGTTTACCCGGCGTGGTCGCGGTGTGTTTGCAGACAGGAACTTTGAAAAGGGTGAAAATATCATCACTGAGCGTCCAGTATTCTCGTGCGGTCGTAAGAAAACATCAGCTAAGGACAACTGGCCAATTGCGGAAGAATGGTGCAGGCTACCACTGGAGCACCAGCTGAAGCTTCAGAACCATTTTCGCAAACTGCGATCGGTACCAATAGGGAAAGACAAGCTTGGGTGGTACAGGGAAAGAATGATGAAGAAATTCTTTCTCGAGTACGCATTCTGCAATCCCCAGAGGACAGAAGCCCACGTCTATGCCTTGGGATCCCACATGAACCATGCGTGCAGGCACTGCGCCAACGCCGAGCAATGGACGGAATCTGATTCCCCGAACCGCATTCTCGTCAAGGTCGTCAGGCCCCTGAAGGCAGGTGACGAAGTCCTCATTAACTACAATAAACAGCGAGGGGCTTGGTTTGGTTGTGCCATATGCAGTCCTCCTGGCCTGAGGGACCGGCTCGGGGATATTCGTAGTAGCATTTCTCGGTTGATTTCTCGACTTAAAAACCCAGAGGACCCTGTCTTTATGTAATGGGGACATACAAACGATGCAGTCAATTTCAAGGCATCAGGCTGCTGACCGACTGCTTGGTCGCGAGACCACGAAATTTCGGAATTAGCGACAAACTGGGCCCTGGAAGCGTTGGTAGAGGTATCACTTGTGCATTTGAAAGGCGCATTATGGTTGGAGCGAAGCGGGAAATGGTTTTTATGTATCAACAGCGCCTACTGGCTGGCTGTTTTATGAAAGCGAAGACAATCCTTCTCATTGTACTATCATAGAATTCATTGTCATCAACAACTTCAGTAGCGGCTTTCCTCCGTCTACTAAAACCAGTCCTTTTCGCCCAAAAACGTCCGTGAATGCAGAAACCACCCAAGACCACAACCTCTTATTTGAGGGGAATGAAACGAGAAGAGTGAGTGGCACCGATACCAGGTCGACCGTGCTTGACAGGCTTGCTGTTGAAGGGGTCAGTAAAAGTATCAACCAATAGTGGAGAAAAGCCCTCCACGAAAAGAATCCAGAAAGAGACGTACTATGAGATAGAGAATTCACCCAGGTAGTGGCCAACCATCTCAGGCTTGATCTCAACCTGGTTGAACTCCTTGCCGGAGTAGATACCAATGACGCTTCCAATCATCTCGGGGACGACAATCATGTCTCGGAGGTGAGTCTTGACGAGGTCGGGCTTCTCGTTGGGCTTAGCCTCCTGCTTGGCCTTTCGGAGCTTCTTGATGAGGCCCATGGGGCGGCGCTTCAGACCGCGGTTGATCCTTCTGCGGGCACGGGCGTGGACGACATCTCGGAGCTGGTCAGAGGAGAGGTCGAGGAGGCTGTGTGTCGAGAAAAATACAATGTCAGCGCCATTGTTCCCATTAAGTGTTGATGAAGAACGTGTTCCCCTCGCTTCCAAACAGTTGAAAAGAAAAAATGGTGGCGGATCTAGTTCGTCATCGCACAGGATGGAAAGCAACGTACTTGTCAAGGTCGATTCCTCGGTAAGAGAACTTGCGGAAGGCTCTTCTCTTCTTGAGCTCGGCGGCCTCCTCGGCGTTCTATATCATCACAAACACATTTCGTCAGCGCCCTCGATTCGACACTTTCCAAAAGGAAAAAAAAAAAAATAAAGGTTCCCAATCGTCCTATCGCAGCATCGGCGCCCATGTCATCTCCTCTTTCTCTTCTCCGGGACCTATATGCCTGCCATAATACGAAGGAAGGGGGCAGATAGAACGTACGTATTCGTCAGCCATGATCGCGGTTGTGTGTTGATTGAAGGAATTCGCTTATCGACGCGCAAGTATCGACGAGCGAATGTAATAGCCGTGATGAGTCGGATTGCGAGGGTTAGCGGGAGTTGGCGGGCACTACTAATTTCAGCGTAGGGTTTCTTGCCCCGCCACGTGACTTTACTTTTTTTTTTTTTTTTCAAATGGGCGGTGCAAGTGTTGTGGCTGGTGCTTCGGTCGTCGTGCGCCTCGACCCTAGTCCCGGAGAATTGCCGGATAGGGAGATTAGAACTCGGCCCGCCGTTCTTGTATACGTACCTTTGCTCCGTGTTGCGGAGCCGACTCGGGGGCCCGCGGAGGTGTCCCAAAAGTTCGTCGCACCTACAGCTCGTGTGGAATCTCGCCTCGTCTCCGTGTCACTTGGACGGCGCGCCCCAAGATGTGTGGAATTCAGCTTGGCAAATTGGATGCTTTCTCACATATTCCACCATTATAGGCAGCTGTTGGCGAAGCAGTGTAGCAAGACTGACGCAATTTTGAGGCTCGAGGCTTCAGCCAAGATTCTCGTGTTCGCATTGGCCACATCAGCTTATAAAATGCGACGCGATGCGTAACTTCACGGCAGGTATACATGAGATTCATGGCAAGGCGCGGCTTGCAAGCAGCATACGAGTACATAGTAGGTAGTAGTAGGTAATAGGTAATAGCGTAAGAGTCAGGCTCGTGTAGAATACTGTACCCGATCGGACAGTAGAGAGAGAATAGGTTTTGAGAATGAGAAAACCTGGGAGAATGAGTGGGCCTTGCGGACAACGCCAAGAATGCATCCATGAATTAAGGTCACGGACCTCAACAGGAGCTAGGACAATTCGCTGGACATAACTGTAGATCCCATTACTTTTCATATGTCCAGCGCTAATCGTGAGCTATTAGCCCGCCAAGAGGCTTTGCCCTCATCCTCCAAGAGCCTAAGGGAGACCCCCGGTTGATTCACATCGCTTGAGATGCCCTCCCTCGGCAAGTTTCCATGTGTTCTCCATTATCCTCTTTGCAGCATGGCCCTTCTCCTGCTGGACTACCTGAATTAAGCTCTCCGTCTTGTGCTGCAATTCGTTCGCCGCGTCTTTTGCTTTTCCTTATTTTTGCTCCACCCCAGACCCGTTGCGGGTGCCTCTCGTCCATCTGCCTTCATTTCTCATCCACAGCTAACTGCCGCTTTTTGTCTTGGCATTGATACCATCAATACGACATTGAGCGTGCAGCTGACAGCACGCCGCTCTTTTTTTTCCTTTTCCTTTTTTTTTCTGGGCCGCAGCCGGGTGACTAACATCTGGGCGTGAGTTCCAGACTCTGCCGAGAAACTGCCAGATGAAGCCGTTCATTTGTGGTGGCCCAACCCGAGCCTGTGTTTGGGCCTGTTCTCCCAAGTAAGCAACGCCGCCGAGACCTGCACCGCTGGATGTAGGCTTGGCAAAGTCTCGGCACCAGTTTCGCCAACGCCATCCATTACGAAGGCGATTTAGTAGCCTTCAGAAGTCTCGCTCCCTATGTTTCCCCATACAAAAACCCGGGGCTTGGAAGGCCGCGTTGACGACTGTTGGTGCAACCTCCATCCTTCCTCTCATCGCTCCCGCCCAATGGTGATGGAGTCTTGGAAGCCTCACGCCGAGCGGTCCAAGCAAAGCTGAGACAACTGGGCATTCTATTTGCTTCGCAGGGGGGCGCATAATTGGAGCCTCCTCGCACCTCGGCGGGACGCTCACGATCCAAAAACCTTCGCGTCTCCGGCTGGCTTTGACTTTTCGATTTATAGAAAGGCCTCGGACCCCCCTGTAGATTGCACAGCCTTCGCCAGCTCTTACCGTCTGTACGTCTCGTTCTGTTGGTGCATTTAACGCGCCACTCTGCTTCCAGAACTGGCCAGGCTGGGATTCAAGGCCGGTTGGTAATTGAGATAAAGTTATACGAGCTTTCCCACCGGACGCAGACACAGACCCCCAAATATCGACGTCTACCCCGTAGTCATCAATCTAATCGAGGGGACGAGCTACCAGTTTCTCACCAACATCACACATCTCCTTGCCGATCACAGCGCCGTCCCGTATCTCTATTCGGTGGAGGCTAGTGTCTCGGGGGCACTATGTCTCTCACGGTGTCGGCACCAGCTACGTCCTCGACCATCTCCATAAGCCCGGGCTCTTCATGGACAATCCCTCCGCCAACAACACTCTCTACGGTTGCCACTAGCACATCTGATGGCAGCCCTCTCATCACAGCCGGGCCCTTTCCCCCTATGACAACTCATTGGAATCGACCTTTGAGCTGCACATGGACGTACGTTGTCGATACCGACCTGCCGCCCGGTGTTTCAGATCCTATTGCCTATCTGGATTTGGAACCTCTTCCAGGGGCTTCTACTCTGTCATGTTATCCAGACGGCATGTTCTTTGATGGACGCACCGGAGTATTTAGCCCAGCGACATGCCCCTATGGATGGACTACTGTCTCTGTCTCCGTCAACACCGAGCGGATGAAGACTGAGGATGAGGACGAGGTAACCACGACAGCACTGTGCTGTTCATCGTATGTTGAGGAAAAGATGTGACTGTATAGTTTCTTTGAGCTGACTATTGACAGCGAATACTCCTGGGCGGGCGGGCACTGCAAACGTCAAGTCCCTACGGTTCTGGCTGTACCCATCATATATAACCGCACCGCAGCCACATACGAAGTTTTGACCAATTCAACTACCACATTATATAGTGCCACTATCGCCGTAAACACCATCCGTGCGCTCTTCAGAGAGAAGGACAAGCCACTCCTCGGCCTAACAGACGAGGATGATATCGACGACCATAAAAATGACGACCAGGGACTATCACTAAGTGCCAAGATAGGCATTGGGGTTGGCGTGGCACTCGGCAGTTTGTTTGCCATTGGGGCAGCTATATTTATCTTCATGTGGAAGCGAGAGCGAAGAAAAAAAGGTTCCACAGGTCGACCGTCGCACGAGCTCAGAGCCGTGCAGAGAGCACAAGGGCGAATGTACTCCAGCTCACACACACAGGTTCGTGCCCGCGATTCTGAACCACCGCCCGCCTACGCTTCCGAGTCCGAAATCAACAACGCCGCTGATAACGATAGTGGGAGTACCGCAGTGACCCGAGGCGGTGAGATTCGAGTTCTAATAGCCCAAAAGGCTGCTATCCAACGACGTATTGAAGAGCTGGAGAGAGATTCAGGGGAGGAAAGTCGAGATGGCCCCTACGAGAGATGAGACGTTGTGTTTTTTATTTTTGGCCTATTGTTTTAAACTCCTTTTAATTTTTTTTAGACAGGATTTGTTTATGATACCATCAATCTTACGGGACGAAGCAAACAGCAGGCCAATCAGTCAACTCTGCATTGACCAGATTGGCGACATCATATGATGAGGGAATGAATTGTGAATAGCACCAGGATAACTTGGGCACTTGGTCACGAACATTGAAACTAACTAGCTAGCTTGCTCGTATAGACGGAAAGATTATTAAGTCAGATAAAATGACAGCAGCTATACAAAGGAGGCGAAAAGATGCCAGGCTCGGGTGCTGATATTATTAGTTGTATTACCTACATGCAGTAGACACTTAGGCAGCATCATAACCCCTGACAACTACTTATCATTAATAAACGTTCGAGCTTGGAGTGATATTTGCGGATAGGGCGAAATGCATCGCTCAGCACTCTATTGCGAACCTTGCACACCGCAAATAGGGACCGAGATTGAGCACCTACTAAACACACTATACATATCTGACTAAACATGCATGCAGGCGTGAACATGCTTGTCTCCCTGCCTAGGCAACGATCATAGCATCGGTTCCATCCAGCCGGTACCGCGAGACCAGCCGAGGTCCTGCTTCCAGAATAGCTCGCCATCTTGCCCTGCCGCTGTAACCCCTACTGCGTTTCTGGCTCTCTGCTTGTACTGATCGATCCGTTTAGGCCGATACAAACGAGTGGTGGTACGAACGAAGACTCTCGTCAAACACAACGGGCCGCAGTGGATAGCGTCGGAACGAAAGACCCACCTCCATCTTTGAAATCGCATCGGGGCCGTGTTATGTAGTTACCTAGAGCCAGGCAGTAGCAAAAGCGTCTTGAAATGTAGGTGCCTGCAATCTCAGTCATGGATTGGCTGGGTGAAGCACGGCCTTGGGTTCCAACTATTCGTGATCGCAAATCGGAAGCAGCCTAGGGCGCCACCTACAGCGTTCCTTGGGCCATCGCTAAGAGCTCTGCATCTCCAAGCAACGCACTCCATAGGGCAGCAATCAGTGCCATGCGTTCCGAGCTTCTCCAGTGCGCTATTTTAGCGCCTTGTGCTTTGCCCATGGGTGGGCTATCGCAGAACGGGCTGGACTTTGTCCATCAGCGCCAAACGGTTAGGCATGCAGGTACCTCTTGTCAATCCCCGCCAAAAAAAAAAATACCTATCCCACCAAACTACTTTATAAAAACTCCACCGAGGGAACCATCGCCGGATCTCTCTACTCAAGGCTGAACTACCTCTCGTCTTGCCTGTTGCGCTATATAACCGATATACTCTGCGCATATTCTACGATAGCTCTTTGCAGATTCACACCTACTAGAAGCATCACTGAACGTTATTCCACAATGAGGGGCGAGGTCAGTCATTTTTTTTTTCCCATGGCCTGTCGCTTTTCCTTGGGTAGTGCTATGATATCATCCCACTTCTGCGAAATGCGCTCGCGAGGCGACATGACCAGCCGTCAACTTTCTACACTAGCAACGCCATGCGCTCTCTTTCCCACACACGTCGCTGACTTGAATCTTTAGATTTTGCACCTTCATGTTGGCCAAGCCGGTGTCCAGCTCGGCAACGCAGCTTGGGAACTGTACGTGAGCCCCTCTATATGCGTCGGGCGAGGATTTATAAGCGCTTGGCGTGTGATGCTAATGTTCTCTCGTCGCATAGCTACTGTCTGGAGCACGGTCTCGGCCGCGACGGTCGCGTAGATCCCAATGCCAGCGAAGACACAGATTACGGCTCGTGGGACACCTTCTTCACCGAGACCAGCGGAGGCAAGCACGTGCCTCGTTCAATATTCGTCGACCTCGATCCGTCGCCTATCGATGAGATTCGAACGGGCGATTACCGCCAGCTCTTCCACCCTGAGCAGCTGATCAGCGGAAAGGAAGATGCGGCCAACAACTATGCCCGCGGTCATTATACCGTTGGCAAGGAGATGATCGATACCGTCATGGATCGGATCCGCCGTGTTACTGGTGAGTGCTTGCTGCAGTGTGGTGGTTTTACGACCACGTTTTGTTCGACATGACACGCTAATATGCCTCGCTGTAGACAACTGCCACTCTCTCCAAGGTTTCCTCGTTTTCCACTCATTTGGAGGCGGTACTGGATCTGGCTTTGGCGCTCTTCTGCTGGAGCGTCTTGCTACTGACTATGGCAAGAAGTCCAAGCTCGAGTTCACCGTGTACCCTGCTCCTCGTACTTCCTCTGCTGTTGTCGAGCCCTACAACGCAGTCCTGTCAACTCATAGCACCATCGAGCACTCCGACTGCACCTTCTTGGTGGATAACGAGGCCGTCTATGAAGTCTGCCGAAGAAATCTCGACATTGCCCGCCCCTCCTTTAACCACCTCAACAACCTGATCGCCCAAGTGGTCAGCTCCATCACTTCGTCCTTGCGATTTGACGGCGCTCTCAACGTCGACCTGAACGAATTCCAGACCAACCTGGTTCCTTTCCCGCGCATTCACTACCCTCTGGTCAGCTATGCTCCTGTTGTTTCTGCCAAGAAGAGCTCCCACGAGAGCTTCAAGATCCAAGAGCTCACCCTGCAGTGTAAGAACTCCTCTCCCACTGTTCTACTAAGAAAGATTCAGTCCAAGTTGACACTCTTTTTCCAGGTTTCGAGCCTCAAAACCAAATGGTCGTGTGCAACCCCCAGAATGGCAAGTACATGGCCGTTGCTCTGCTGTACCGTGGTGACGTCGTGACCCGTGACTGTAATGCTGCAGTCGCTACAATCAAGCAAAAGTCTACTTTCCACATGGTTGACTGGTGCCCTACCGGATTCAAGGTTGGAATCACTTATCAGAGGCCAACCGCCGTCCCCGTTTCTGCTCAAGAGGGCGGTCTCGCTGCTGTCGACCGCTCCGTGTCCATGCTCTCCAACACTACCGCCATTGCCGAGGCTTGGTCGCGACTTGACTACAAATTCGACCTTATGCACAACAAGCGTGCCTTTGTGCACTGGTACGTGGGAGAGGGTATGGAAGAGGGCGAGTTCTCCGAGGCTCGAGAGGACCTTGCCGCTCTTGAGAGGGACTACGAAGAGGTCGCTTCCGACTCTACTGAGTTTGAACCCGCTGAGTACTAGAGCGGTCTCTTATGAGCCGACAAGGACAACGAAAACCTGCGCCAGTTATGAACAAAATGAAAGATTGCTTACTGTTTCAATGGAACATTTTGATTTGAGGCTTCTTAAAGGGGAAAAAAAAAACAAATATTGATCGTATTGGAGTTGGATTAGATGAGACGGTCCACCATATCCTCTCTTTTCCCGTTTCTTTTCCCTCTTTTTTTTTTTCTTATTTTCCGGTCCTTTGTTTTTTGGTCCTTTATTAATCACTAAATTGTATACGTTTGGGAGCAAGCAGAGCGAAAAACTTGATACCTATATCCCCCCCCCCCCATTTCCAAAAATTTCTTTCGTTGTATATAATATTTAGTCTTTAATTATGCGGCCTCTGGGGAATGGCTACACCCGTAGTCAGTATTTTTCAAGAAAATGAATAAACGGAGATGGAGGCAACCTTTGATTTCATGTTTCTTGTTGCATCTGTGCATGGTTCAGTTATTATGCACGGGGTGCTGACCGACGGTTTGATAATTCTGCTGTTATTGGACGGGATGCTTTCGCTGGTACTGCGCCTCTGTGACGTGGCATTGGAATACCTGTTATTTTGAAGTGGCAACGCAGTACAGGTTATATCAGAGGATGACAACAAATTTGTGCCACCAAGCACGTAGTCTTGAACATAAAGAACCATTCATACAATACGAATGACTATCTCACAAAAGCGACAAACAACCTAAACTCTTACAATTTTCTTTATGACATTCACAGATTGGCGAAATCACACTTTAGTTGCAGTGGGAGAGGGGGTACCCTGTAGTGCCTTTTATTTTTTTTTTACCTGTCCCAAAACGCCTATGACAATCTTCTATCCCTTTTCTTACCCCTGCAGTGGCGGTAAAATACATGATCCTTTCTAACAAGTAGCATGGAGGTGAAATAAAAACAGTGCTCTAGCTATAGAGTGAAAAGAGAAGCGGAAACCCCAAATGAATCGTTCCATGTACACGCATTTCCCCTCAACAAAAGCCCGGCGGCGTCCGCTGCTGCCCTCTCACATGATGAGGTAAGCGCCAGTGGATTTTTTTTTTCCGCAGAATTATAGAGTCCTAAAACCCCCATATTATAGCCTCTAAAGGTGCTTCAGAAGCAGGGAAAATCAACTCACGCCCGGCTGACATTCCAAGGCAAGGATTTTAACCCCATTTTCCTTTGTCTTATTACTGCCTTTTCCAGCTCACCGCAATGCTCATTTCTTCTGCTGCCACGCCGCGGCTCTTCTGGCGCCCCGGTGCTGGGGCCTTGCTGGCTTGCCCGCCTTCTTCTTGTGCTGCTTCTTACCGATTTTGAGGTCCCGAGGAAGGCCATCCTTGGCAGACGCTCTCCGTCCCTCAAAGATGATACGCTCCGGAGACTTGATCTCATCACCAGCCTCAGCGCCCTTTGCGGCAGATGAAAATGACTTCCTGCCGCCAAATCGCTGTTTTGCAGCTGCAGACCGACCCAGAAGCTTACGAGTTCGCCCAGCGGCGGCCTGTTCCTCTGGAGTTGCCTTGGGCTTGTATTTTGTGCTGCGGCTAGCGCCGTCGGCGTTGTCTGCCTTGGACCTGGCCCGCTCTACAGCCAGTGCCGTCTTGCGCGGATCCTTTGCTCTTGTTACACGAAGAGCTCGGGGAAGCATTGGGGGGAATTTTTTCCCGTCAAGCAGAAGAGCAGCCTCAACATCATTGGCGTCCTGCATAGCTGGTTAGCAAACACCAGAAAAAAGTTTCTAGAAGCGGACCTGCGAAAGGGACATTCCGGCATCTGCCGATGGAAGGACTTACATAAAACTGCACGTAGGCAAAGCCCTTGCCTACTCTGGTCTTTGAGTCTCGTATGACACGGACATTTTCAACCTTTCCTTGGGTGCCAAAGGTTCGCCACAGGCCTTCTTCAATGTCCGACGGCACCTTGTTGCGTTTCTTCTCAACTGTCTCTCCGTCGGCTTTTCTGTTCAAGACCGTCTCATCGTCAACAAAGCCAAGGTTTCCCACGAACACGCAGCTGCGATGGTTCATCGGGCTTGGATGTGCAACACTATCTACTCTGATGTGGCGGCCCAGAATTTCAGTTCCGTTGAGCTCGGCAACCACTTTCCGAGCAGCCGCAGGATCTGAAAACACTGCGTACGCGTTGGTGGATTTTGTGGTGGCATCCATCAGGGCCTTGGTGATATAGGCTGCCCGCTTGGGCATTGAGCCAGTTGAAAAGGCTACAGAGCGGAAACGCAGAGACTCAATCTTTTGTGGCGGTGATGCATCTTTGTCCAGGACAGAAGCAAGATGTTTCATGAGTTCCTTCTTTGCCGACTTGGATGAGATGGCTTCCGTGGCGACATTGCCCAAGAAGACGGTCCGGGCGGCCTTTTCCATCTCGGATTGCTTGCTCTCTTGCGTGAGAGATTCGTGCACAGGGACTTCATCTTCTTCGCTGGCTCCATCCTTGGCATCTTCGCTCTCTCCTTTCTGGCGCTTGCCTGATGGCTCTGATTCGTCATCATCCGCAAGTTTAGCCAGGTATTTTTCTTCTAGATCGTCGTTGTCATTCTTTCTCTTGCGTTTTCTTTCACGCTTCGTCTTGTTCTCTTGAGTGTTGTCCTTGACCTGCTCTGCTGCATCGACCGCCTCTATTGTCACCGACATGGAATCTTCGTCGTTGGCATCGTCGTCTTCACCATCTTTTCCCTCAGCAACATCGCCGTCTGCTTCCTCTTCGTCATCATAATCCAGCTCCTCGCTGATTTCAGAGAGCACTTCGTCGTCGCCACTGTCATTGCCGTCGTCTTCGTTTGGTTTCTCGGTGTTTGAGCTTTTCGGCTTTGGCGGTGCTCCAACTCGAGGTTGCGAGGGAACCTTCACTGGCCCAGCCTTGAAAGGTATGTTAGTTATCTATTCTGTTTCGAATTTTTTTTTGTTATCGCGACCAAAACAGAGATCGGCGAGATGCTTACGCTGGATGCGAACAGTGCATTGAGCGTGGGGTCAATGGCCTTGGAGGCTGCGGCCAACGCACTTTTTCTGCGAGAAAACAAAAATTAGCCAGACATATCGAAATTCCCAATTGCAGAAAACCTTACGATTTCGCCATATTTACGAGTTGTTGGCACGAGATGCAGCTTTCGGCTGGCGCTTCACAAGGTTGCGACGGGCGCACTGAAGGCGACAAAAAAGTTCAAGAGCAGCTCTAAAAATTTTGGGTCCCGCCGCCCGGAACAATGCGTCATTGGCGCTCTCTGACATGCCGCGATTCACCGCCTAGCCTAGGCTCAGAGTTCACAGGGCCTGCTCCCGCTGAGGCGTAGCGCTGGACAGCCAAGGTCACAGAGGCCGAAGTGCGCGAGGCGGCACCTTGTCTTCTTTCCCTCCCCTCCCAGCCGTTTCGTCCACACTGCCACGACCTTGTCCAGGCTTCACCAGGCCAATACAGACGCTGCAGGCACTGCTGGAGCTCCAGCTTGACCAGCGACATTTTACCACGCCATTTTTCGCGCCCAAAACCCACTCGCCGCCGCCGTCTCAGCACGGCGCCGCCCGCTCAAACTCTTCGCCAGACTTTGTGGTGGCCGCGCCGGCCCTGACCAAGTTGTCGACTGACCGAGTTGAAGCCGCCTTTCACTGCTCACGTCCCGCCGCCGACACTCTCCTACAATCTGCAAAGGTGCTTTGCTCTGCGCTATCGGCAGCACAATGGCAGCGACGGCCTCGGCGTCGGCTGCCTTCCCCCCCGTAGCTACGGGCGGCGACCTCGAGGACAGCAACATTTCCAGCCCTCTCAGCGAGGTCGACGATAAGGATGCGAACGACGAAGACATAGAGCACATGCATCTGGACAGAGAACATCTCAGTCTCGGTCCAGAAGAGACCCGGGCCACCGATCACGGCGGGTCCGACTCCGACAGCGCCCTTTCCGACGCAGGGTCTGACGTAAACTCTGAGGCCAACGATACCGAAGCCGAAACCCTGAGGCTTTATGACACGCCGCAGGCCCAGAGGCACCGTGATGTCGGAATTGAACGGTTCAATGATGCAGAGCCATTTGAGCACACTCCGAGCAAGCTCCGCAGGGCACTTGTCAACGGTGACGATTACTCTGGCTCTGGCTCTGGTTCTGACAGCCACAGAGACGAAGACGAAGAAGACGACGAAGACGAAGAGAATGATGACAACGAATCGCCAACAAAACCCGTCATGGCGATTGTGAAGACCGAGGAAGATGCCCGCCGTGATTCGCAGGAGCGGAAGCGGAAGCGATCTGCCGCCGCTGAACAATCCGATCTGGAGCAGCCGGTGAGGAAACGCACAGGATCAATATCAGCCGCCAATGAAGATGGCGACGATCACCTCGCAGCGGGAGAGGTTGACGCGACACCGGCTGCGAATCTTCCAAGCGGAGTCCCGTCTCCTGGAGACGAGGAGGCTTCTGCCACGAACCAAGATACCCCACAGGACGATGAGATTCCCGAAGTATCAAGAAAGACCAAGCGCAGTGGCTCTAAACGGAAGAATGTCATTGCAGATGATGCCGACAGCGAATCTCAAGCCGAGGCTCGTGACGAGCAGAACGACACTGCAGTAGAGGACGAGCCTGAAGCCGATCACGCCGAGGAGGAGGTGGAGCCCGAAGCTGATGAAGAGACTGACGCTGCAGCGAGGAACTTGGAAGAAAGTAAGCTTCACTCTTCCGTGAAATGAACTCTGCGTATTTGATATAAATATAAATGCTAATTGGTAACCAGTGGAGAAGAAGCAAGCCGCCTACCGGGACTGGACCCAGATAGAAGAAATGTTTGGTATTTTTAGAGACCGGTAAGCTCCAGGCTAAAACCCCAATTCTTCATGCATGTTACGGCAGCGCGCTCACATCCTACCAGACTTTACAAGGATAGGCTACAGAGGCTCGAGGAAGAAGAACAATCGTTACATGCCCCAGAGCCTACGCACCCTGAATACCTAAACATGAAGCAATGCCTCGATGATCGACTAGAGCAGAAGCTGCACGCTATCAATACTGAACACGAATATCGTCTCAAAGCCCTCGAACGGCGCGCAGTGGCACAAAGAGCTCAAATATGGGGCCAGTACTTCCAAGCCGTTCGAGAGAAGCGAGAACAAGCTCTCGAGGGTCTGAATAGGCAATGGTATGATGTCCAGAGTGCTCGACGAAGTGCACACAGCTTGCCAGACTATGGCCTGTTGTTTCCAAAAGATCCTGCACAGCGTATCAGGAATGCTATTGCCTACAATACCGAGGTATCGACACTCGCCGGCCTCGCCAAATACGAAGGCTTCCCGGCGGGCCCAGAGCTTCAAGGGGCGTCCGCATCAGAGCTGGAAGCTGATTTAGCCGCCATGGAAGTGAGTGTGAGATTTCTCATAAAGCTGGCCATTCTTTGAAGCTTCGCATTTGTTGACTTGCATTCAGCGAACTCGGCGCGTACGACACAAGCCTTCCATAAGCCATATCCGCGAGGAATATCAACCACCACACCTGACTCGCCTCGACCCAGCAGGAGAGCAGTTCGTTAAGAACACACCTTGGGCAAACCCAAATCACTCTGCCCATAAATTCTATCCGCATCCGGCTTCAGCAGAAGCTCGTCCGGAGGCTGCTGCACCTAATGTTTCTGCTGGCCGAGCGCCTCAGAATGTACACCCTTCTACAGCTGATCCCAAGATAGCCTTTGACGGCCCAGGAGCAGCGCGGTCACCCGCTGCTCTCTCCGCACGACTATCTGAATCCCCAGAAATGACGCGGAATATCTTGAACCCAGCGTCTCACCAAATGAAACGAATGGGCAGCATGCCAGGACTCAGTCGCGGTTCGAAAACAGCGGCGGCTTGACATTTGTCTACTTCTGTTTGAAAATGCATTATTCAAGACTAAATCGCCCAACTGGGCTATGGCATGAGGATTTCTGCGTTCCGATATTAATGATACCCAAGATCAGGGCTTGTCATTGGCTCCTTGTAAGGGAAATGCGGCCTATATTTTCTTCTCTTCTCGTCTCTTCTCTTCTCTTCTCTTACCTTTTTTTTCTTTTCTTTTTTTCTTTTTTTCTCTTCTTTTCTTTTCTTTTCTTTTCTTTTCAACAGGTCATGTCTGTATATGTGTACATGCGTATTTTGCCCTGGAGACTTAAGGTTGGGTAAATGGGTAATAAAGATTTGGCGGCGTTTTCATGACCAGGTTTTAGGAAGCCGGCACCGGCGGTAATGGATTGTTTGTTTTACATGGCAGAGAGGAAGTCTACAACTCTGCAGCAAGGGCGGCTTGTTTTCACATTCTCCTACATATAGATAGGTGACAGGGTATTTATATAGTTGAATGCGATTGCTTGGAATTGTTTCTGTATAGGAGAGTAAAGCCATAAAGTCACTCTTAAATTTTGACAGTAGTAATAGTACACAGCAAGTCTAGCTGACGGATCGTAATTTGCAACACCGAAGCGCCTCTGAATTTTTTTTTTTTTGACATGGAATTTCTCCACTCATTCTTCCATCTTGTCGTAGTTTATCCTATTTTTCTTGTTTATTTTGCCTGGGCTGGCTTTCGTGGCTCGTCGGGCACCTTGACGTCTGCGAAATCGTCCTGGCCAACGGCGTTGATTGTATAATAGTCTATGAAGAGGAGATTAGCGCGAGCGCTCCAGAAGATTGGGTAGGGAAATGGCAAATTGGATAAAGCATACAGATGCCCGAGACAAGCGCAAAGAGGCCAAGTCCCGTGGCGGCATTTTTGAAGAGATATGGTCGTCTGGCTCGGACGAGGGCTGGGCCTTGCCGCAGTCGTCGGTCGTAGTACGTAGTGTGAGACCTAGAATGAAGTATTGAGTTAGCCATGCGCCATCATATATAGGCATGAGTTCGCATGAATGGTAAACGAACGCCATTGTTTGTTTTTCGAGGGTTGTAGCTGGATTTTCTCTGGGAAGATACAGCAGTTATTTGGATCTCTGCGCCGCTTACTCGAGGCCGAAATAGATCGTATCATATCATGCGCCACAGGGTGGGATGAGCGCTGGAGCAGCAAAAGCGGCACTTCCCCGGCTAAACACCTTTAGCAGCCGCGGGCGCCTGGAGCTTGGCGCCCTGGTGAAGTTATAGAGCATGTTTGCGCTCTTCTTTTAACAGGGATCAGCCACTTTAGACCCGCGTCACGTTCCGTCGCCAAAACCTTCGCAAGCTCGCCCAGGTACTTAGCGAAGGCCAGTCAACCTGCAACTGGCTGCCTACCCAGCATCTCCTCAACCTCAACAGACGACAACGCCTCCCAGCGCCATTATCGACTGGCGCCCCGTTCGATTGTTGCGAATCCGTCCGACGAGCTGCGGTTGGCTGGAAGTGGGAGATTGGCGCAGGGCATGGCGATACAATACGACTAGAGAAGAAAAGATATATTATGCCAGTAGCCTAGCCTTTTTGTCGCGCGACCTCAATGCTGCATCGCTATTCCGCATTCTTTCCCATCTGATGTTGTCCGCTTCTCTGTGTCCACCATTCACCCCGATTGCTCATTGAGAGATTCACGACTGCCCAGCCGCCATCTCGAAGAGAGCTCGACGTCATGGCTGCTGCCGCATCCTCCACCCTCTCAGTGCCAGACCAGATCCGCCAGCTCAACGATGCCCGCAAGCTCGTCCTAGGAGATGTCAAGTACTATCCCAGCGTGGTTAGGGGAATCCTGCCCATCATTGGGCCCAAGGCACCCATAGAGCTGCGACGATGGGTCACGGATTTCCTGGCGGAAGCCTTTGCTACGCCCGCACTGCCAAATTCAGAGAAGGAGACTATACAGCCTTACGTGTTGACGACGCTAGAGTCGCTGATTGAACAGGAGGCTGATGCGCAAGTGCTGAGGAATGTGATACAGACGGCAGCGAGCATTTATCCGCTGGCCATGAGGTGGATGTTGGTGGCCTCTCTTCCCTTGCTACTGATGTGGAATTGCTATTGATTACTGACTATTCTTGCCGCAGCATTAACAACAGCTACGATACGGTGACGTGGGAGCGGATGGTGAGTATCAAGCAGAAAATCCTGCAGATGTGGGATAACGTCCCACCAACTGTGAGGATATGCTGCATAAAGTTTGCCCAGCGAGTAGTGTTGGCGCAGAGCATTGCCTCGGGGGCTGAACATAGGGTAAGATACAAAGGGCCCCATCCCAAAGTAAAGCAACCAAAGTATTCTTATCGTTCAATCTCATTCTAGTATGGCGGCGGCTTGGACGTCTCTCTAGACAAAGTCCCGCCCAACCACCAGACGCTCGATCCTAGAAATCTCGAGGCTGAGGCGAGCGGGTTGTTAGACCGCATGCTGAGCATTCTCCAAGGGAACAAGTAAGCCTCTTCTCTCTCTCCTCTCTCCCCTCTCTTCCTCGTATCTGTATTATATGCCTATATATACTTTCACGCCAGGAACTTGGCAAGTGCGGTGCTCACCTAGTTTAGTGATGGCCTTTTAGTAGACGCAACCTTGAATTGCTTGTCCATCATGGTGCGGACTCGTCCCACTACATCAAATCGAATTCTCAATGCATTGCTCAGTTTCAACCCTCTACAAGCCGCCAACTCGCCATTGACCCCTAAGACCAAGGTGATGATCAAATCCATGGAAAAAACGGCCCGGCTGCTATTGATTCACCTGAGTAAGCGAGACCCCCATAACCCAATCGTGCCTAGAATACAGCAGCACGTCGAAGGCACAATGCGTATGGTGGCCGAGCTCTTTGACGGTGCCGGGCGAAAAAGACCACTGGAACCCAAGCCGCAAGATGGATATGATGTCAAGCGCCCGCGGATTGAAGCCTCCCAAATCCAGATCCCCCCCTTGGGCCCAGGTCCCCATAGCCTGGCTGATGTCTTTACCCTTATTGGCAACGATGGACTCAAGTTCTTCGACGCCTCTCAGGTTCCCCACAGCCTCGTAGCCAGAATCGCTGTGAATACTTTGTCTAGGCTGGATCCCCAGGTCCTGGCAAAGGCTGTAGATGGTGTTCGCGGTCGACTGGAGATGCTGAACAACAACCCTCCTCCGGAGCTGAACCCAAACACCGCTCCTCTCGGCGTTGAGGAAGACGAAGACGACTATGAGCCAGACTTTTATCAAGCCGAAGATACGGAGCAGATCTTGAACAAATTGGACAATGCCCCGGCACCCGCTACGGCTGAACCTATAATAAGCTTCGATGATACCCTTGGTCTGAAATCTTTCAGCCTTCCCCAGCCACAGCAACTGACGCCGGAGATGGCTCTCAATGCGGGCAGTGGAACGGTGACAAGAGTGCTGGACATGATGAAGTCACTGGAGGAGCCAAGTGCAAAGAAACAAAAGGCTGGATTCAACCGGCTGGCAGCAAGCTCCGAAAGCAGAGACTCCTGGATGACCATCTTGACGCGCTTAGCCACACGATCATCGGCTGGCCTTCAGGAGATATCGGTAAAGGGGGAAGCGGACGAATCGACTCAAGCTCCATCCCTCAACAACAGTATCCGAGAAATACTTTACAACTACATCATGGAAGACTTTCGAACCCACATTGATGTCGCCGTATCATGGCTCTGCGAAGAATGGTATAACGACAAGGTGCAGATGAAAGCTGGCGGCGATCATCCGATGTACTACGAGAAGTGCACGCTCCGACTCATTGATGGGTTTCTCCCTTATCTACGCCCACAGGATAAGGTCTTGACCCGTTTCCTGAGCGAGATCCCCGAGCTGAACCGGGCGATTCTCTCTCGTGTGAAGCACATGTGCCGAGATCCGAGTGTGACCCAGCTGGCATTGACTAGCTTGCTATACTTGGTGATTATGCGACCTCCCATTAAAGAAGCTGCGCTGGACGTTGTTCAAGATATATGGACAGACTGTATGTGACCCCACCCCCCTTTCTTTCTTGTTCTTGCCTCGTTCAACACGCATATACACACCTGTCAGTAGAGAGTTGAAGCTAACATTTGGCACAGTCGAGGATGCTAGGACTATGGCAGCCAAGTACCTCACCAAATATCGGCCGCAATTCATAGAAAATGCGACAAAACGCGAAAGTAACGATAGTCCAGCACCAACATTGGGTGGAGACGCAATCACCACATAGAGAACTGGAATTTACTACTTTGCAGCGCATGTTAGAAAGAAGAGGGCCGAAGGTTATGCGCACAGTTCGAAATATGAGGAGCATAGCAGCTATAAAGCTGCATAGGGCGAGAAGGCGTTGTTTCAACTTTAGACGGAACTATCACAGATTGCATGGCTGAGCCATGGTTGGACAGAATAGAAGTCGCGGGACATGGACAGAGACTTCACCAGTCATTAGTCATAATTGAGGCGTGAAATATTAGTGTATACGTGAAGGAGGCATCAGGCAGGCAGTCATGTTTGTTCACTGCCATGGGAACACGAGAAAAGAGGGCGTGGATATCCGGGACACGAAACAGATGTTTATACAAAGGGCGCGAATTTCACAATGGGACAAATGCTGCCAATATTCAAAGTGTATTGCAAGAAGGCTGGAGATGGATTTTGTATTAGAACAAAAATTGGCGGGCAGATATATACCTAGTCGCTATGAAACTACCATTGTTATATGGGAGAGGATTCCTTTTGCGTTTAGAATATCAGTTGGAAAAAGGCGAGCAGCAATCTCAATATGAGAGAAATTGTTATACATAGTCTTCTATAGTTCTATCCAAACAAACAAGTCTGCTTTAGAAAGACACTAATGCTTTCTTTTTCTCTCTTTTCTCAGCAAGAGCTGTTCCAAGAATAATTGATTGGGTTGTCTGTCAGCGAGCAATTGGACAGGGTGCCCTGCATCTTATTTCTCGCTAGCGAGGCTTATTATTGTGTACTATTGGCCCTGCAAGGAAAACAACGACGGCGTTGGACAGCCATCTATTGATCCAAGACGGCAGCAATACCCCGTATTTCGTATTTTCGTGTAGAGTATACTATTCCCTACCTACCTAGGCCAGTATTACCGGGTAGGTATTGCTAGAAAAGTATACAGTAGTAGGTCGCCTGGTTGACATCATCGCAACGGCCCGTAATAACATCGCCGCGGCATCTTATTGGAGTTGCTGCTCCCGTGTCTATTCAAAGCGCCACCGTTGCCTGGTCAGCGGCTGCATCTTCCAGATCTCTGCCTGCAGCATCTCGCCAGCTAACGGCGCAGTGCATGTGACACGTGAAGCCTTCAAAAGACAGCCGGCAAAAAGCGCTTGCAGCAGTATTTTCTATTGATCCTGGCTAGGTAGTAATTGAGGGAGTGGGCTCAGCGCTGATTGAAGAGAGAAAGACAAAGGCGGCGGAGACAAAGTCTTGGATGAGCGGCAAAACAGAAGGGATTGATTGTTTTCTTTTCTTTTTTCCGTAATTGGAGCGTGGCGCTTCTCTGGTGCAATTTGGGACTTTCCCCTTTGAGAGCCCGTCACGTACCTTTACTAATGATACTTAAAAGAAACAATCGCCACCTTTTTGACTTGATATATGCGCTGAAATTGTTATTATTAGCCAGCAGCTTACGACTGTTTGTTTTGCTCTCAGCTTAATCCTTGCTCGTTCATCTCTCTTTGCGGAGAAGCATACACCATTATTCCTATTGTCAAGCTCGTGCCGAATCCCCAGCTCTGCTCATCTCATTCCATCGCTTCAGCTGGCCCTTTCTCCCTGGAAACTGAACCCCCGGCTCGCCATCCGGGGTCTCCCGCTGGCTCCGCTGACTGACAGCACCAGATTAAGACGACGGATCGGTTTCATTAGTGCTTGCAGCATAAACGAAACACGACTGCCAGATATCGAGCCTCAGATAAAGGAGAGACTGGCATTCGCATCAGATTCAGATACAGTACGTGCCTAAGTATAGGGTCACTTCAGTGACGAAAGAGAAAAAAAAAGATGCCGCAGAAAAAGCCCCTGCATCGCCTTTCGAAGCAATTCTTTGCCATTCATCAGGATCCATCTCCAGGTATGGCTTTGTTTACTCTCTTTCTTTCTTTCAATTCTTTCTTCATGGCTTCCTCTCTTCCCTTCTTCGCCGTGTCTCGCTCGTGTGCCCTTGTTTCGCTGCACGTTGACGCAAGTCCTCGCTGCCAGGTCCAGTTTTTTAATAAGTGACGAGCGCGCTGCGCATTGCCGCTCATTTACGCGAAAACGAGCGAATGCTTGCCGTACCCACCACTCATATTAATTATAGATGAGACTTTGTGCCTACCTAATGCTGCGCTGCACAACAATTGATCCTGTTCCACACATTTGCACTGTACTACACAGATCACATCTGCAGCAGCCTCCACCAAAGTCATCTTTGCCTTTCCCCCATCACCATCACATTCTTTCTATTCCTTACCTACTCAGCCGGGTTCATTCGCTAATCCCGCGCCGCCACAACTCGCAGCCCAATCTCCCTCGCTAGATGATTCACCAGGCAAACGGATCTTAACACCAGCTTCTGCCGGCACCGTCTACAGCATGCCGAGTCGTGCGGCCTCCGTTTCAAAGCAGGCCCTGGCCCGAACGGCTACGATCCGCAGCGTGCCCAGCCTTGAGGGCTCCGAGACGAGCCCCGAGAGCAACCACGCCAGCGGCCTCTCCAGCAGCGTCAACAGCAAGGCCAGCGCCCTGTCCGTCACGGCGTCCAATGGGGCGCAGATTGAGACAACACCGTCGCCTGCGGCCAAGCCTGGTGTCGATAACGCCGCGAACGACTCGCCTGCGCACGCAAACAACGGCAATGGCCCCGTCCCTAGGGTTGTGGAATCGTCGCCGCCCCCAGAAGAGATTAGCGGTTTGGCGGAAGGGGATCACGACAACCACGACAGTGCGCAGTGGGATTCGACAATTGGCAAGGCCGGCTTGGGAAAGACAGGCCGAGTCATCAACAAGCTCGTCAGCGACAATGACGCCCTGAAGCGCGAGATCAAGATTGAGCGATTGCGAGCGGAAGAAGCGAAGCAGGCGGCCAAGCTGGTGGAAGACAAGATGGAGCGCATGATTAGCGACTACGAGAGCCGGTTACTAGAAGCAAACGTCACCAAGACGCTGCTGGCAAGAAAAGAACGACAGGTCGAAACGCTCATGGCAACGGTCGATACAGAGAAGAAGAAGACGGTAGCGGCTCAGGAGCTGGAGCGAAACTGGAGGGACGAGATGGAAAAAGTCAAACGCGACGCCAAGACACAAGTTGACGATGCAACAAGCTATGCGCAGCTGATGGAGGGCCGGTACAACGCCATCTCCTCCCATTGGCGCGACCAGGGCGACGAGGTCAACAAGGCCATATCCACGATCAAAACCGAGATCAACACCATCGTTGACGAGCGCAAGTCGGACGACGATAAGATCCAGACCCTACGAGACTTGTGCGAGCAGCAGGACAGCAACATCCAGAAGCTACGGCGCGAAAAAGAAGACATTGCGCGGTTGTTTGAAGAGTACAAGAAGACACAAGAAAGCGACCTGAAGGATATGAAGGAGAACGCCAGGCAGACAGAAGAAGAGCAGCAGAAGCTATTAGAGGAAGCTCGAGAGACGCTTCACAAGCTAAGATGGGCTCTCAATGTTAAAGAGAACGTCCAGGGCGCCCAATGAAGCATTTAAACCAACACCACTTCCTCTTCGTCCACGCTCCTCTGCTGTTCTCCTGCATTCTTCCCTTGTCTTATTCTTCACGGCCACATCCTTCCCTCGAGGAATCTTGTTTTCTTGGCGTTCTTACTCTGTATTTTTCAAACTTATCGGTCGGTGCATTCTCATGGAGGCTCTAATGCTAAATGGCTTTTTCTTACTTGCTCGACGTTTACCTTTTTTTTTTTTTTTTCCTTTTCTACTTCACACCACTTCTATACAATACAGCGACTTTATATAATGATACCACATCTTCTCCGTCTCCCTTCCATCGGCTCCTCTATTCTCTCTCTCTGACCTTCTTTTTTTTTTTTTTTTCACTAATGTCCTTATCTTCTGATTCTGTCTTTTCTACACTCATTGCCTTCTATGCTAGTTTTTCATTCGTTGCTATTAGTTGGTTAAAGAGAGCGACAAAGTTGGTTGTGGACAGGATATGATGTTCCTCTTCCCCTCTTTTTATTTTCTTCTTATTCTTTTTTTTTTCTTTCTCCCCCATTTGCATGTTAGGAAGCCTTTGCTATTATGATGTATTTGGCGTTGGACTCATTTTTAACAAAGAACAAAGACAAAAAAAAAAAAAAGAAAGAAATTTACACCGTATAATCTCCAATGCTGCGCTATCCTTGGTCTTTTTGACTTGCAGCTTTCTATAGCCAGATACTGCATTCTAGACGCTAGAACAAGAGAGATTTACATACGAGAGAAGCACGCATCAGATTTAGACGGATAAATAAACAAAGGGTCAGATATAGGCATTAAGAGAATGGCAAGATATGGAATACGAAAGCAAACTCAATATACTTATATAATATCAGATTTGTTTGCTAAATATTTCACTTCCCGTCAATCTTTCAAGTCTACCGGATGCCGTGGGCTTTGCATGTATGACTTGATGCTATTTTAATAGATAAATACATCGCCAATCCTGCTACTCTAAATAGGACATTGAAACACGTCCATTTACATCAGTGTTGGATCTACTGGATTAGGCGAGATGGACCAACAAAGTGCCTCATCACCGTGCGTTTAGAGATTGCATCGTGCTGGACTTTGAATACCTGTCGTGTCACGAAAGAGATTTTGCTTGTGTTACAATTTTACTCTTCTAATACTAGATACCTACCTTTTCAAGGCACAACTCACACGACCAATGCTCAACTCGCCATCTCAAGCATTTTATACCTCGTACTGGGCAGTGAACACGCAGCAGTAGTGCATATTGGGGCAAGATGCGACGGACCTCCCAACCGCCCAAATCGCGCCCTCATCTTACAAAAATCCCATGATCATATGCTCTAGAATCAGCACGATGGGTAATCTTCCTTATCTCTAATGGCGTATTCGCACTGACGCTGTGAATCGTCCTACAACGGCAAAAAGCGTTGCGGTGAGCGGAACACGTGCCTGACGCCGCACCTGCCAATCCGGCTGCCACTCATTCTGGCAGCTGTTCACAGAGATGCAATTGAAATATAATTTCTGAATCTGTTTATTTACTTTCTTCCTTTTTTCCTCCTCCTCCCCCTCCACTTCTCCCCCTCCTCATCAGCACGCTCTGCTTTGTTTATCCGCGGCACGAGCACCCTCCTCCTTTGTTCTCTGCTAGCGCAGCATAATTTCGTCTTTTGAAGCTTGCCCGGTGTTCTTTGTTTCGGTGCCCTTTGCGGTCGTGTATTTATTACGCAGCTGTTTACGGGTTTTGCGTCAGGCGTCAGTGTCTGGCTTCTCTGATATTCTTTATCATCGCCCTGTATACCGAGACAATCTTCAAGGCCATCTTGCATATCTACCTGTTTAATTATTCAATCGTGACGGAGCTTTATCTATTCTTGGGCGGATGTTACATAGCTATTAAGGAACTTGGTGAGTGTGTGTGTTTAAAATCTTCTCCCTTTCAAGTAGATACACACTCCAAGCTTCTGGTCTCCCTGTGGCTAGTCCAGCAACTTGCCGTGGAGATGTATGAAATGCAAAAAACACTAATTATTCTTTAGCCTGTTGATGTTTCTGAAGCGCCCCTGCTGTCTCGCCTCCATTCATTGATATTCTTGCTCCGTCATGGATGAACAGGATGGTTTTGCGGAGTTTTACATTGCATGTAATCCTCCACTGTTGTCACGGGGTGTTGAGTACATTGTTCAATCAGTCAAGTCAGCCTGTCCGAATGTATGTGTTGCAATATTTTGATTGAATTACTACCTGGCTGATTCATTTTCAAGGGCGAGCTTGCTGAGATTTTATACGAGCCGGATATCCCATGGTTCAAGTGTATCACGATGGGAAAGCACAAAGAGTCTGTTACTCGTATTATAAAAGACCTTTTGATTGACTTGGTGACTCTGGAGGTTGAGCCTCTTGGTTTTGACGCCGAAAAAGATGTCATCGACACCAACGTCCTTCAAGCCGATGTTGCAATGAAAGCGGCCGAACCGCGTTTGATTTCATGGATGGTATACCAATCGCTCGGAAGCGATATACACGACACGTTCGTCAAATACCAATATCCTGAAGCTATGGCTTCTCTTCCATATAAAGCAATCTGGAGAGGACTTGAGAATTCGAGTGGCACTTTCGAGGATTTCCTATCCGAATTCCGCCGTCTCATCAAATCCGAAAATGCGCCAGCCACCGCCGCCGACTTTGCTCTTCGCAACGAATGTCATATCTCTTACAATATGCGAGAGAATTTGGTATACATTGGATCTTCTACTTCTGCAGCAGCCCTCGAGAAAGTTGTTAAAAAGCTCGAAACGGTGCTAAATCTCCTGGTAGGTATAATATTCGTATTCACACCGAGACTTACGGTATCTAATACAATATAGGCAAGTAAGATCAAAACAACAACGCACTCCATTCTACCCGAAGGACCAGAAGAGCTGCGACTTGCATATAGATGGCTGCACCGGATTGGATTGCATCAGGCAACATTTGCTGTCCCTTGTGGCAACTTAACCGTGGCAGATGAGTACAAGCTGCTTTTGAATGCGGCCGCCATCAGAACGGAGAAAAAAGACAAGTATGGGCGTTGGATCTCTGACGACACTGTTTACCCCCTAATAAATGCATCGAGACCCGACGTGGGACAGAAGTTTAAAGCCTTCAAGACTTATTTCCCCCATCCTAAACCAAGATTTGCGGATATCCGCGCAATACCATATGGACTACAACCTGAAACGGAAGAAGTCTCTTCGTCAGCTGAAGCACAGGGACCCATACGGGCACCAAACAATTTGGAGCCAGCTTTACTCGAACAAGGAGCAGAAAGTTGTCACGAAGGCTCAGGCCCAGAGCTTTACGACAGAGAAGAACCTCCTTTTTACCATCAACGTTCTATATTAGATCAAAAGGCATACATATCCCCGGGCGAGGAAGAAGGTCTAGCAGAATTTGTGCAGAGATTACGATTTGCTGAGACATTAACTCTGAACCCTCCTCAACAGTCAAATGGCGGAAGCCTCCTTATAGACTGGGTAGAAGGCATAGAAAGCGCGACTCAATCTGAGTCTGCGATGAATGACTTTAACCAAGAGGAGGCTCTCATCTCTTTTGAGTTAAGCAACGAGTCTCAATGTGGTAGCGAAACTTTCGATATTATGGAACCAAACCCAATGGCCGAGCTTCGAAGTCTTCAGAGTGGAATCAAGCAACTTGAACAATTTGAACAATCTGATGATCTGATATTTCTGGACAACGAACCTGAGGTCCCAAGAGCAAATATCATGCAGGATTCGGGTAACTACCTAGCCGATATGTGTCTTCTGAGTAGCGGAATCCCGCAGGCAGAGGACATATTTTCCCCGGTGTTGAACGAAAGCACCGTTACGTTGGACGAAAATAACCCTCTTGAAGCTCGGGAGATTAATTCATATTCTGATAGCTTGGTCCGCTTTGGATTAATGGAAGAGAAACCGAGAGAAATCTACCGAACAATGAACCAAAGAGCAAGCCGTCCGAAGAACAAATCAACAAAGGGGTCTCAATCTCCGACTAAAAATCGTGCTGCTGCAAAAGGAGAGCGCCAGAGCACTAAAACGCCGGGAAAAGGAGGATCAAGTCTAGTGGTAAGTCCATAATGTGCCCTGATAAGCAGTCATACGCTGATAGAAACACTGCTCTAGTCCGAAGATAAATTCCCACCACTTGGAGGAGGCCCGTCGTCGTCAAAGAAGCCAGCAAAAATACCACTGTCGTATTCCGATGCCGCTAAGCTGCCAAAATCTCAAACTTTGCAAGAACGGCGAAAAGTTGCTAATTTGAAAATTACCAATGAGCAACCCCGACCCCTTTCAACTGAGGCATTCCCACCGACAAGTGATGTGGGTACAAAACAGTCCAAAGAGCCGAGAGACAGTGTTCCCGATAAGACATGCGACTACACTGTGCCACAAAAGAGTGACATTTTGCGACATTCAGAAGACCGGCTAAAAAGAATGTCACAAATCCTTGAGCTGGCTCCGGGCTACGTTTCTCTGGAAGTCGTGTTCGGACGCATCTATATCAAAAAGCTAGCTCCCAGTATTGTGAAAGACAGCGCTTCTGATTATTCATATCAATCAGTCACTGAAGCAGTAAATTTTCTGAACCGCGCTCAATTTCCACAGGATTGTGTCGGCTTCTCGCCGATTCTATCGACTATGGGAGGTGATGCCGATGTACTCGTCGATATTACGCCACCGGGCGAATTACCATGGCACCTATCTGAGAAAGAAATTTGGTACGATTTCCAGTGCAAATTTCCTGATTCTCGAGGTGAATCTTTTGTCTTGGAATTGAACGCCAAGACGTTCCAATATCGATGCAGAGGCCCACGTCAGGAGCTTTTCGCCATGTATATGCATTGCCCTGAGAGAGCATGGGATATGAAGGCTTACGGAGCTCGATCTACAGCTCTGGGAAGCGAAGCCAGATTCGTATGTTTCGCTGCGTCTCTGTTTGAACATATGGACATATAGTGAGATAATGACAAGCACATGCATAAAGTATACTCAGGCTAATATATAAGTTTGCAGTGTCGCTGACAGCAACGGCGATGTAACAATCGAGTTTTCCGAGAATACAGCTTTCCAAACCGCAGTGCAGAGCATCACTATGCGACAGGTTGCCAAATACCGCCACCAAAAGAAAGCCGATAGTTCTATCCTCTGCATTACAATGAAGCATTTACTAGAAGAAGGCATTTCTCCCGTCATGTGTGACCGCGGACAGGTAAAAATAGGAGAAAGGAGACATTTTGACACTCCTGACGGTGCGTCGAACAGTGCTTTGCCTCATCAATACTTGGAAGCTAGTATAACATCTTCTCGTCTTTCTTCTTTCTTTGAGGAGAATGTCCAGCTCGAGAGTGGTAACAAGGCTGCTTGGGATATAAAGCAACTCGAAAGTGAAGGCGTTTTTGAAGATATACTGAGACCGGCGTTTGGCATGATCACGCACATGGATCATATAGGGGCATCAAACAATACCATGAGATATGTCAGTAACCATGACGCATTTCACGAGGCATTAGTTGTTTCGGCTGGCAAAAAGAAGAAATTGGAGTTTTGGTGAGGCTGGAAGAGACATGATTTGCCAGGGGGCCTAGTTTATAGGAGTTAAGCTATATGTATGTACGAGTAGTGGCTAATCAATGAGATTGATCTGATTTACTCAAGGAATTTTAGGATGTATGATTAGTCCGTGAAAATTCGTTTTAAGATCTATCGGTTATCTACACAAAATGCTAGGGCGCCCGCAAAGATTGTATCAGGCAAATTGATTCTCCTAAAAGAGCACCCAAGAAGCTAGCAGCGTTTTTAGTGGCAGACGCTGTAATTCGTTTCATTCAGGCACTATTCTGGAGTGTTACTGCTCTATAGCAGGTATCAGCACTAGCGCTCAGCTGGCTTATATTGTCAATTTCCCTACCTCCATATTTCTTCCTCCTACGTCTCAATCAATCACACTTGTTACGCAGACCAGCCAGTTTCATCTGGCCAACTGCTCCAATGGGTGAAGTCCTCCTCGCACTCGGAGGGGGCATCATTTGCCTGGTGCTTTACTTGCTCAAGCTCAACTGGGTGCTTTCGCACACGCCTCAAGAGGTGGTTGACAGGGCAGGAGAGCCACTAACGCGAGAGTATATCAAAGATGTGTTTGAGCGCGTGAAGAAGGAAGGGATTGATTGGGAGGGGAAGCTGCCGCCTCGGAAGGACAGACGATACATCGTAGTGGGAGGATCCGGTGGGTTTTCCGAGATATTTCTGGGGGAGAGAAGTAATGCTAACGGCGGGCTGTGGCTTAAGGATTTCTTGGAGGCCAGATCATTCTGCATCTTTTGGCCATGGGGACGCCGCCTGAGGCCATCCGTATCTTGGATGCGCGCCGGCCGTTTACCTTTAGCAAAGAGTTTTCCCAGGGAGCGCCGTCAAAGGTAGCATACATTCAGACTGACATTACCAACGAGGCCGCAACAACCAAGTCATACAGTGCCTCTTGGCCTGAAGCAGTGGCTGGCCTGCCGCTGACCGTCTTCCATACGGCCGCTGTGATTCGGCCATTTGATCGGTACAAGATGCTCTACGAGCGCACGTCTCGGGTTAACGTCACCGGCACGGTGCATTCTCTTCAGGCAGCAAAGAAGGCTGGTGCCAGCGTCTTTATCTACACCTCTAGCTCGAACGCGGCCTTGAAGCAGGTCAAGTGGCTTTTCGCGCCCTGGGGAGCCACACAGCAGCCCAAGGGGTTCATACAGAATCTGAGCAACGAAGACTTTTTTGAGCCACTACAACAGCCGCATGAATTCCCAACCAACTACGCACAAAGCAAGGCTGAAGCCGAGAGGCTGGTTTGTGGTGCGGACGCAGCAGATGCCGGCGCCGGAGTGCCAGCACTGCGCACGGGCGTAATTCGTCCTGGCAACCCCGTCTATGGACACAAGGACGACAATGTCTCGGGCAGAATGCTGCAAATTGGATGGTTCCCTTCATGGGTGCCCGCCAATGTACAAAACTGGATCAACGTGAAGAATGCATCGCTTGCACATTTGCAGTATGAAGACGCGCTGCTTGGGGAGCACGGGGCAAAAGTTGCCGGCCGGCCGTTTATTGTTACAGACAAGGGAAAACCCATCCGCTTCCAGGACATCTATACGATACTTAATAGTGTTAGTGTGTCAGGCTTCAAGGTCAGCTACCCGCCACCGCTGCTGATGCTGATACTTTCGTACGTGGTGGAGTGGTATGCCCTGCTGATAAACGCGGTGCCGCTGCTTGCCAAGTTTTTGAGCGAGCCAGGCGAGGATCTGAAGTGGCTTCAGCCAGGAGTCCATGCGACGAGCCTGCACTACTTTATCGATGATTCAGAAGCGAAGAAGAAGCCGGTGGATGGCGGGATTGGGTACACGCCGTGCTGCACCACTGTTGAGGGAGTGTGTAGCCAGGTCGTGGATTGGAACGCGTGGGTTGAAGAGGAAGGGAAGATGAAGAAGTAGCGGTAGGTGAAGTAGGAGAGGATCATGGACGACGTCTCATTGATATCTGTGTTCGGGATCTTGATGCTGGCGTCTCGGAGTAGTATCGACTGTGCAGCATTTTGTGCGAGGAGTCTTGGATAGATGGGTACAGATCTGCATACAAGTATGGAATGCTAGAGTAGCAAGTAGGGACTGTTAAAGCGCGAAATGGGTGTCACTCTTTTGTTAGATAAGTTTACTAAGTCTGGTGGGGCCATAATGTGGCTCATGTGGCTAGTGCGAGAGGGACTGGTACTGCTCCGGTACTGAAAGTAGTACTTCATATCTGCTAAAATAAGCTCTTCAACTACTCATTAGAATATGCTAATTAAAGTAAATTTACTTTAAAATAACTACAGAGCAAAACACTATTAAATAGTACTTGCCTTGTTTTCTATATAAAGTGGTTGTTACTATAAAACTTTAAATCATTTTACTGCATTTCAACTTTCGAGGCTCATAGTTAACACCAAAACTACTTTTTAGGCATATATTTCCAAAGTTCTTCCAGAACGTCTTCTTGGTGTCGTCCATTCTTAGAGCATATCTTGCAGCACTATCTTGACATGGTATAGCCCCTATCATCTACACTAAAACTCAGCTAAAGGGTAGCACTTTCCCAGCCTTTATTTATCTTATAGCCCTCAGTGGGAGGGTAAAGAGACGTTAGTCAAACATAATATACTGTAAGATCAATGGAGTCAGTTTGAAGCTACCCCATTACCCCTCCGTCCCTGCTATCCGTCCGATTGTACAAAGTATTTGTTCCTAGGTGCTTCAAACCACAGTCAAGAAACGGCTTCGAAGAGCATGTTAATGATACGCCAACTAACCAGTATTGCGCTGAGTAAATATATTCATACATGGCTTTTTCGCCGGAAATCGACGCGTGTCGAGTGCAGCGAGAGCATAAGTTCCAAGAAGATAGCAGTGCGGATATGTTATTTTTGGATTCAAAATTTAACTGCTATTGCGGAGTATTAATAAAATAGAGGTAATATAGTATTTTTATAAATCTTGTCCTTGATAATAAATCTTGTCCTTGATATATTTCAATTTTAAAAATTAATTTTCGCCCCTCATTTGCCATTCTGTGTAAGTCCCGTCACTAATGAACAAGCAGTTAAGCGCAGATTTACCTATGAGTTTAACTTGGCCTCAATAAAGGCAATCGCTTTCTGTCCATAGACATTCACATACGCCCCATGAGCGCTTGCATTATTGCCTTGGCAGCAATAAGGATCGGGAGAGTCACAGTACGACTGAATTTTAGATCCATTACTGCACGAGAAGCCCTTTGGACGCGCAGCAAACTATTGCAGATAAAGTCAGTCAACAAGCCTCGTAAAAAGTCATGTTTCAGGTGTACACATACGCCTCCAAGCCTACAAGTCCCAATCTCATAAGGGAATCCGTACTGAAATCGCGGATCTCCCATGAAAATAGCTGCCTTAACCATTTGTGCTGCGCTTGCGGAAATGGGTATAGACGGGTCGGTGATTCCCGCGTTAGGATCAGGTCCTCCACATAAGGCGTTATCTATAATTTGTCCGCCCTGCAGTTATTTGAGGAAGTGTAAGTCATCCAGCGATAATGGTAATAAGAAGAAAAAGGCTTCTTCAAGGCAAAAGCCAGCGTACCTGCGAGTAACCCATTAATACCAACTTGGTATTCGGACAGTTTTTATGAAAATTATTAACAGCCGTCGCTACGGCAGCGGTTCCCTGTTTTGCCGAGTCGCCATATGAAACTCCTCCGCAGGAACTTGCTCCGCCGCAAGCTGGATAAACAATTGCCTCGGATGTGGCGCCAGCATACGTGGACTTTAGCTGATTTACTAAAGGGAGGAGAAGGTCATAGCCTGGGGGAACGCCGGTGCCTCGTGCACCAAAGATGTGGACGGAGGGACAGGATTGTGCAGTGACCAGAGCGGCCAGTGCCGCAAAGAGAAGCACGAGGCTCAAGCGTGACTGCATTTAATACTTTTGCTTAGTTGTGGTGTAAGTGCTGTAAGGTGAAAAACTATGGCGCTGTGACAAGTGATCAGACGGCTCTATGCTGCGTCCTCTGTTTATAACCACATAAGCAATCATGCAGTCGACCCAAAGCCTTTAACTTGCTTACAACCTTTAGGTACTGAACAAGCTGCGGAGCCAAACCACTGGGGTAAAAAAAGTATGGTAGTAACACTTGCTATTTAGCCTGAAACATAAGCTTACCGCCTTGCATTTATTGAATATTATTACAAGGCAACTTCAGTTTAAGACTGGCCTACATAATTCAAGGTTAAAGAGGATAATCAAGGCACTGGAAACCTCCCTAACTAATGCTCGGTACCTAGAAAGAGTAGCAACTGGATTTTGCCATTTTCCCAATTGATTTAGCCTTCGGTAGTTCCTAAAATCTTATCTATATTAGGTTCGAGTTGCTAAAAAGCCAGAAGGTAATTTAAACACCCAATAACACGACCTGGTTTTCTTCAAAATTTACCCTGCTGAAACCACAATCCCACTATTATTAAGCGTTATATAATCTGCAATTATAACTGGAGGACCCAAATACTCGTCCGGATACACTTCTTAGCTGGAAAAGGTATGCTTGCATATTTCCAAGATACAGCTCGAAGCCAGGGCTTTTAATAGTAGGTACAAGATATTAAAAGGGATATTACTCTAGTTAGCTCTGTCAGACCGCTTTACATCTAAGGTTAAACAATTAAGTGCTTTTTATTTTTTTTTTCTTTTGTGTAAATAATATTATTTATTTTCATTAACAAAAAATAAATTATATTAGTTTTCTTTTACCTACTAATAAGCCTTATATGTTTTATATTCAGCAACTACCTAGTTAACAATTTATAACCCTGCCGGTACTTATGCTATTGACCGGCATTTGTGATGTAGTCTTCCCTGCATGTGGCCCACCGGGCTTGGCACCGACAGGCACTGACAGGGCACCGCTGAGGCTAAACGAGACAAAGTTAACCGCGATCGTGACAAGCGGGATTTTGGATAGGGCGAATTAGTTTGCTCAACGTGGCATTAGTTCAACCACCCCTTTTACACGGCTAATAGCTTATCCAGGGAATTATATTCCATAATAACTATATATGTAGTAACAATAAAAGACGTCGGAGAACAGGATGAAGATGACAACTAGGGATGGCAGAAGTTCTTCTTCTGATTGGGCCGCATAAGCCAAACTACCAAATAGCCGGGCCGTCTACCTTGAACTGCACCGGAGTTTGTTATTGAGAACCTGATCCGCCCCAATTGGGAGAATGCGCCTATGGTTGTAATGTATAGGAAACAGCGCGCTTTTAGCCTATTTCTCTCTCTTTAATAATTATGCATATTATGCCTAATTTATTTTCTATTTCTCGGGCATCCAAGGCTCTGTAGTATCGCTATTATCTGCAGTGCCCTTTGTTAATCGGGGTGCGCTTCCTGGGTGGGGAATAAACGATCAAGGTTGAAAGAATAGTATATATTTTATAATTTATATTTTATAGTAGTAATCAAAATCCTTTATATTTTCTTAAAAATTAATAATATCTTTTTTATTTGGTAATATAGAAAAAAAGTAGCCTTACTAAAAATTAACTGCCAACTTTGACAGATCCCTGGCTCTAATGTTCCCCTTTATATAAACAGAATGCTACGGGAGAACGGTTATTGTTGGATTAAGACAACGGATATATTACATGAATTTTCAGATTCAGGAGTTCAGGAGTAGATTCATTTATCCTACTACAACATATATAAACTGGTCTTTATCTGCATTTTAACAAACAGTTTAACTATCAACTATCCTGTAAATCAATATTTGTTTGTTCTTATACTTGACCTTTCTGTAAGAGATTCCATTCAGCCATGTTGTATACAACGCTGCTTTCCGTGGTTTTTATTATTAGCAATGCTGTTGCCTCTCCTATCGAGGAGAGACAGTCTACATCTCTGAACTCCAAGCTTAAGGCTCATGGCAAGAAGTACTGGGGCACTTGCACTGATCAAGGTACTCTATCCAAGAGTGGCATGTCGTCATTCTTGCCAACACAGTTTGGTCAAGTTACTCCAGAAAACAGCATGAAATGGGATGCCACTGAGCCTCAACGCGGCCAATTTAACTTTGCTGGCGCAGACTACCTGGTTAATTACGCCCAGCAACACGGCCTGTTAATTCGCGGGCATAACCTCCTATGGCACTCCCAGCTACCATCATGGGTGTCGAGTATCAGCGATAAAGCTACCTTAACATCGGTCTTACAGAATCACATTAGCACTGTTGCTGGCCGTTATAAGGGAAAGCTTTATGCTTGGGTAAGGACTTGGCGTACTAAATTGCCTGATATTGTAGTAACGTTAACATATTGTCTGCAATAGGACGTTGTCAATGAGATTTTCAACGAAGATGGAACCCTGCGCCGGTCTGTCTTTTATAACGTTCTCGGTGAGGACTTTGTTCGTATTGCTTTCCAGGCAGCGAAAAGTGCTGTAAGCGCCCCCCTTCCACCTAGGCAACTATAAAGAGAAATAGGGTTCTAACGGTAATCTTAGGACCCTACCGCAAAGCTCTACATCAATGACTACAATCTTGACGACCCAAATTATGCCAAAACCAAAGGCATGATCTCATATGTCCAGAAATGGCGCTCTCAAGGCATTCCCATTGATGGAATCGGCAGCCAGTCGCATATTGGCCCTGGTGGAGGGCCTAAGAACGCAGCTGCTCTTAAGGCGCTGAGTGCTGCGGCTCCGGAGGTTGCTATTACTGAACTCGATATCACCAATGCTCCCTCCTCTGATTACGTCGCCGTCACTCAGGGATGCCTTGCAGTGTCGAATTGCGTGGGTATTACAAGCTGGGGTGTTCGCGACGTTGATAGCTGGAAAGCTTCTTCAAACCCCCTCCTTTTTGATGCAAATTACCAGCCAAAAGCTGCATATAACGCTGTTATAAGTGCATTGTAGATGCTGAATGGCTTAAGGGCTGTTATTTTTAGCCTAGGGTCCTGACTTGTTAAGGAAGGTTAGGTTCCTTATAATAGCTTTTTCCCTCTACTTCTGCCTCCGGAGGTAGATTAATTCTACCTCTACTGCTAAATATAAACTAACTTTACTTCTACCTCTGAAGGTAAAATATTTCTACCTCTGAGTGTGTGAACAGGACGCCCATTTCGCTCCTAACTGTAGCAGTTAAGAAGTAGCTCTAAGGGAGGATTACAATATTTCCGGGTCATCTGGGAATAATATCTAATCAAGACTTACGTTTTGGAACACTTTATTAATCAGTTTGTGAGCCGATTCCTGCACCATAACGGACCCCGCTGCAGGGAGTTTATAGAGCTAAGCATTGCTACTGTAGCACATATTCCCATGCCTGAATGCTTTAAGCCCATTAATCCATACGCCATTGAGGGTGCTATATGGGTCCTAGCTAGCTGAGACTAGTTTATGCCAATGCTGAATTCCAAACAGAATCCCAAAGATTGCTTTTAAACCAGTTTTCCAGGATCTGCTATAACGATATGTGTGCTAAAAGTCGATTTATAGCTGTAGATATTATAATGCGTATGCATATACTAGGATTAGAGGGTGGACGTGCAGTTTTATAACGTCCAGAAATGGCTTTTGTTATTCTGTTACAATATAACTGTACTGGTACCTTGTACGGTACTTCCCTAGTACATGACTACTTTATGCACAGCCACAGTCCTGTCCAAAATTGGCTACTCACTATTATCCTTATTTAACAAAAGAGGGGACACCCATTTCGTTTTTGAAAGTAGTACTACTAAACTCGTAACCATCGCTAATGGTGCGAAGCCATAGCGCAAATCTCAACCAACCTCAGCGCCACAGAGGCCAATCGAATAGCAGTAGATGCGCGTATAAACGCACAAGCCACAGCCACAGGGGCCCTGCGATCCACCACAGCCACAACGGGCCCCCAGTTTTCTCCAGCTTTGGTGATCGTCACTCTCGATAGCGTGTTGGCTACGAAGCATAGTGGGCTCCCAGGGGTCTAAGCTCTCTAACATCCTCCTTCAGGCGGCGCGCAGTGTAAGTAGCACCCGCCAGCCCGTCTCGGCTCTTCTCCCTTGTCCCGCCGAAAGACACACCATTGTCGTATTCGGCTTTTCGCTGTGGTACGACGCCAACTTTCCAGCTCCTACGCGCAACCCCACGGCGCTTCTTAAAATTTCCCGGTTTCACTGCATCTGCCGGGCCATTGGTCACTCTCCGGCCGCTCTCTGCGCTGCTTCCAGCCAAACTGTTGTTGTTGCGCCCTTGTATTTCGCCGTTTTTCTGGACTGTAAACAAACGACGTCGTTGATACTGGAAGAGGCCCCGTCAAGATGGCGTTTGGCATCCTCGAGCCAAGCTCGGGGGAAAAAGTTCCAGGTAGGAAAACCCGTGAGGAACGGCAAGGAAAAGGGAAATCCAGAATAGCTCTTGGCGCGGCGCGAGATTGGCTCGATTGATGCGTGGCTGATGGCGACTAACGGTGGTATTTCCAGGCACAACGCATTTCTACGATGACCCTTCGCAGCCCCAGACGGCAACAGAGCAAGATACCGCGAGACTGAAATGCGACACCAGCGGAAAGATTCCCATCATCCTCGTGCGTGCTCTGTTTAGCCTCAGCTGCGGATATGGCCGTGTGACGAACGTACTGACATGCTTCATGGCGCGCAGGTCCCTCAGCCCTCGGATGACCCCAACGATCCTCTCAACTGGCCCTTATGGAAGCGCGATCTCGTCACCTTTACTCTCTGCTGGGCTGGCGTCCTCGCCACCTCACTGGGTCCCATCTTGGCCGCAAACACCGTCACTCTCTCTCGCATCTTCTCCAAGACTTTTACCAGGGTCGCCCTTTTAACCGGCTACTTCCTTCTCGGCGCCGGCGCCGCCGCCATCTTCTTCGTCCCCTCTGGTCGAGTCTGGGGCAAGCGACATCTTTTCCTGCTGGGCATCCTGATTATCATCGCATCAAGCGCATGGGCCGGATCCGTGGGGAAAAACTATGGCAGCTTGCTGGGCGCTCGAGTTCTTCAGGGCGTTGGTACTGCTCCGTATGAAAGCCTGCTCAACGCAGCTGTAGGCGACCTGTACTTTGTTCATCAGCGAGGAGTGCGCATGGCATTCACCAACTTGGCCATCTTTGGCGGAGCCTTTTTCACCCCCATTGTCGTCGGAAAGATTACGGCGGCGATGGGTTGGAAGTGGAGCTTCTACTTCGTGTCCATCTTTATGGCTGCGACGCTGCCTGCCGTTTTCCTCCTTTGCCCCGAGACCGCATATCGCAGAGATGTCAGGCTCAACACCGACACAAATGCCGAAGGCGAAGAGGAGATTAAGCTTCAGCCCCGGATCGCGACAGTCAGTAACCCGCCCTCCGATGAGGAAGAGACGTCAAAGACACGCACCGGCTTCGTTCTCTTTCCAACTTCAGCGGCACTTCAGCCAATCGGAAATGCCAGGACCCCAAAGAAGAGCTTTGTCGAATCTCTATCCCTCTTCGACGGCGCCAAGACGGATGAGCGCTACTGGGTCCTGCTGCTTCGGCCATTCCCCCTCATCTTCAACCCGGCCTTTATCTGGGGCTGTTTGATTCAAGGAACCATGATCGGGTGGACCATCTTCATCGGCGTTCTTGTCGCTGCCATCTTCCTCGGGCCGCCATACTTTTGGGGCGAAGTCAAGGCCGGTTACGCCTACACAGGTGCCTTTGTCGGCGCTCTCTGCGGCTTCGCCATCTGCGGTCTCCTCGCCGACTCCAGCGTCAAGTACCTTACCCGAAAGAATCGCGGCGTCTACGAGCCCGAGTTTCGAATTCTGCTCGTCATCCCCATGCTCATCATTGGCGGCATCGGCTTGTTTGGCTTTGCGCTGACTGCTGGCAATGTTATTTCTGGCCAATACAGCTACCTTGTGCCTCTTGTGTTCTTTGGATTCGAGGTCGCCGGCATGGTTATTGGTGCAGTCGCAAGTTCGTTATACATTGTCGATGCTTACAGTAAGATAATGACCCCTTTGCGATGATGTCACGAACATTATTGTTTTAAGGTTTCTTTGTCATCCAGACCGCTTACACTTGCTACAGGAGATCTCACGATTGAAGGCTTCACTCTGATGATTATTTTCAAGAACATCTTCAGTTTCATTCTCACTTTCTATGCCTATGACTGGCTCATCAAGGGTGGTATCCAGCACACGATGATTGCCATTTCCATCGTTCAGGTCGTCGTATGCGTGCTTAGCATCCCTATGTGTATGTATCCCTTTGAAATGTCGTGCTCACTTTTCCGAATGTCCTATTTACTGACAGATGGATGATGTAGATGTGTTTGGTAAACGCTGCCGAGCATTTTACCACCGTCATGATTTGCTGGCCCTTACCGGCTTACAATGAATGTGTGTCGTTTATTCCTTTTCGAACTACGTGCGAGCGTTGAAATTTACGACTGCGGCGAGACGCCTTCTAATACCCAAATGAGAGTCTCATCTTTTACTAATATTGTAATGGGAATAATGTATGGAATGATACCAAAGATAATGGACGGTGATGGGCGATATGCGGGACTTGAGTACTAGCTCTTAATAATGCAAGAGTGTATTCTATATAATTGTAATTGTATCGTGGAGCTTTATAGAACACAGATTGTTTCTCACTTACATACCTATGTAGGCGCTCACCACGTTCAAGTATGAGGTGGACGAGATTATATATTTGCATACAGCAAGGACAAGGACACCTTTCTTGCATAGAACGACAGCGTTAAATTAAGGCGATAGTCGAGATATAAGAGAAGCGCGACCTGCCCTCACTCCACGGTCACTGGGCCGTATTTATACTGCACAATCGCCAAAAAGCATCAGGGCATGCTCAGGGTAGATCTAAATCTGGACAGTCTTTTGGATTCTCAAAAAAGACTCCTCCTAACTGCTCAATCGCCTTGCACCGTTCTTCCATATTAAAAGCATTGTGAATGATGGCGGCACCTCTTACTCTAGCTTTCGTATCTGATGTCTTGAAAACCCATACTCCGCCTCCCGCTGGCCAGCCAGCAATCACTTCCATGTAGTGTGGCTGATACCTATATGCTCTATAGTCGGCCTCAGTCTTCCACCACTGGGCACCCAGCTGCCGCACTATAATATCTGCATTAGCACCTCGTTTACTAAAGAAACTATAAATACCGATACCGTCTAACAGCAGGTACTTACTCTTATCGCAGTGTGCGTCTTCTTCAGCGGTGGCATTGGGCTCAGATAGAGATGGCCGAGGTATACTGCGAAATCGGTCCAGTCCTAGGAAGCTGAGTTCAAAGCCGAGGCAAGGGTAAAGGATATAAATGCCGCCTTTTGATGGCCAGCCTTTCACCTTGGCTCCAGGTCTCATGCCATACTCGCTCCTGAAATCGGGGGGCCCCTTATCGAGATAATGTAGATACTGTCGATATTCTGCCTCGAATCCTGGCTCCAATGTTGGGATAGCCCATTCTCCCTCGAAATAAGGACTTTTATTCTCATCCACCTTGGTCGCTTGTGCCTTTGATTGAGAGAAAATGAATCGAAGAGTAATAAAAGCGGTCGTGAAAGCGATTAGATGCGGAAAGAGGAGTCTTGCCATTGTAAATGCTGTCCCTTGGGTTTGGGAGCGTAGGGGAGGATGAGGGCACAACAGATTTCTGCAGCAAATCAGCACTATAAGTACTTTGCGAAAATTGGAAGTGTACACGCAATCGGTGCGGAGAGTCTCGCATGCACGCAACTTCAAACAGATTTTAATTCTGGGGGAGGGGCTGCGCCTCACCACCAATATGCAGTTCACCACCAACGTGCATGGTATAGCCAAGTATCATTATGGAAAAGGTACCTATGTCGCTCTATAACGGTGTCATGTCATGTATATGTACCAGTAAAGATATGAAAAATCCGGCTCTCACAGTTTCCAACAGAATCCGTCCTGTGTTGGATATCGTCTTGGAAAGCCACTGCGATCAACCGGTGTATCGAGAAGAGAATTCATTGCGACTCTTTAAGATGGTAATTGAGAAGCGAGGAGGGGCAGCAAACTATATGCTTTTTCAGCTCTCAACGTTTCCCCCACCCTGTCGTGAGGCCGGCGAATAAGCAGCGCCCAATGGATCAGCTGAAGCCCAAGAGAGCCTGATTTGTTTTCTTGTTACAGGCTGCGCTCACCAGTCTTGAGGCGTCTCTTCCCTTTTCCTAAACCTACAATACAATCATCTGTAAAAATGGAGGTGGAGCGGTTTCAGACGCACACTCGCAGCATCACGGGCAACCAGCTTGGCGATTATGTGACCATCCACCAAGGCGACGTGCATTACTATCACGCAGCGGCGCCTTCACAGCCCCGGACGCCAATCCAGTCCATCCCGTATCTCCGGAACAAAGAATTCGTGAATCGACCAGGCGTCGTCGACAAGCTCCAAGATCTCTTGGTGCATGATTCCGAGTCTTTCAACGATGCCGTCCTCTGGGGGCTGGGCGGGTCTGGGTATGAATGACATGCTACTGTATTTATTGTATCGTCACTGCTGAGCAAAAGCTGACAGTATGCCGATGCAGAAAGACTCAGATTGCGATCGAGTACGCTTACCGCCGATGTGAAAATCCCCAGTGCTCGGTGTTTTGGGTGCACGCAGATACCAGAGCCGCATTTATACACGGCTACAGGCAGATTGCGGAACTGTTTGGGCTGCAAGGAATCCTCGACGGCCAGGAATTGGACTTGCTCAGGGCCGTCAGCAACAGGATCCAGTCCGAACCCCAGTGGCTTCTTGTGCTCGATAACGCCGATGATCTCTCTCTATTTGGCGTTGGGGGGATTCAAGAGGGATCGACCAATCTCTTTGACTTTGTCCCAAAGACAACAGCCGTGGGAACTACGGGAAGTGTCCTGTGGACGAGTCGCGACGGACAGGTTGCCGGCTCGCTGGTGCGGCCATTACGCAAGGCAGTCCAAATCCCGCATATGACATCCATGGAAGCGAGAGAGCTGCTTGCCATGGCGCGGGGCAGAGATTTTGAAGATGGTAGCAACGACGATATCAAGGATGAAGATCAAGATACCGAGAAGCTCCTTGAAGAGCTCCAGTGGCTTCCCCTTGGAATCTCGCAGGCCGGAGCTTACATGAGAAGGACGGAGACGACTGTCCGAGAGTATCTGGCTCTGCTGTCCAATAATGAGGAACGATGGCCGCTCCTGAAGAACGAGCAGGTCGACATCTATCGAGAGACCAGCGTCTCTAACAGCGTTCTCAAGATCTGGAGCATTTCAGTTGCTCGCGTCGAGCAAGAGAACTTTCTAGCTTCGGAGCTGCTTCGCGTAATGGCATATTTTGACAATCGAGATATCCCTTACGACATGGTTGAGGATGCCGCCCGATACGTCAGCACCTCCAAACTGAGGAGCGTAGACGTGAAAAGAGCCATCGTCCGGCTCAAGGAGTTTTCCTTCATCAAGCTTCGCGAGGGAGAAAATGGCGGCCAGAGTTACGAGATGCACAAACTAGTCCAAGAAGCCACCCAGTACGCTGTTTCTGCGGGGCAGCAGATGGATCAGGATGATTGTTCAAAACGGAGCACTACCAACTTCGCCAGGATCGCTATCCAGGTTGTTGATAACCTATTTCCGGATCCACAAAAGGAACATGCAATGCATGGGGGAATAGGAATGATGGAAGAAGCCGAAAAAGTTCCAGATTTACTGAAGCGCTGCGAGAAATACTTTGCTCATGTGGTCAAAGTTGCAGACTGGACCGAGATATCCAACGAGGAGAAGACGCTGTGTGTTCTTCTCAGCCGAGTGTCACGTTACTTGAACTCTCTGAGGAGATGGAAAGATAAGGAGTTGGTGGATATTCGAATCTTGGCCCTTCGTTCGCGTCTCTTCGGCCCCGATCATGTCGATACAATACGCAGCGAGAAAATGATGTCGAAAAATTACTACAAACAAAATCGGTTCTCAGAAGCTTTAGAAATCGAGAAGAGGGTGTTCACGAAGCTCAAAAGCGCTCTTGGTGAGCGCAACTGGTACACTGTGGAATCAATGCATAACATGGCCAATATCATGTGTAGACTCAGTCAATTCGAAGAAGCCGAAAAGATGCAAGTAGATGCAATAGAGCTTCTTGGTAATGTAATGGACGGGCGTGCCGGGATGCTCATGGTCGACTGCCTGCATTGTCTTGCGCGTGCATACTATGGCCAGCAGAAATTCGACAAGGTCGAGGAAGCCTGCGTCAGGTCTCTACAGTACTGTCGAGACAACCTCGGAGGAGTCAGCTGCCACTGGTATGTCTCGGCGGCGACACGTACACTCCAATTCAGGGGCCAAGCCCTGGTCATACAAGGCTACCTCCGACCTCAAGCAACTACCATGATGGAGGGCATAGCGGAGGAAATCTGCAAGAGAATCCAGAGACAGACGCACCTTCACGAGGTGCCTCGCACGGAATTGCTGGTGAGCATGAAGGCCGCGGTGTACAAGTACGCGGAGGTCATAGATATGCAAGAGAGGGTGGTGGAGTTTTATCGCAAGACGTTTGGTGAAAACTATCACCTCACAATGGCGGCAATGCGGCTTCTTGCGAGACTTCTTCACAACCTGTGTCGATATGACGAGGCCGCACCCATTCAAATCAAAGTCGTCAAGTTCTTCCGGGACGCGGTTGGGGAGGAGCACCCCCTGACGCTGGACAACATGGTAGGTCTCGCGACGATATACCGTGGCCAAGGCCGCTTCAGCGAGTCAGAGGATATCGAGAAGAAAGTGCGGCTTCTCTATTCAAAGATGCTGGGTAGGTCTTTTGCGCTGCGCTTTCTTCCTGGTAACAGCAACTTCCCTCCAAAGGCTCTTGTCGATGCAGATAATGAAGTTGGGAAGATGCAATTAGAGTATTACGAGTGTCTACTGCATCCAACACATGCTTCAAAGTCTTTGCCAGCTACAGCCGCTAGAAAGCCCTGGATGGGCCAATTGATAACCAAGTCGACGATGAGCAGCAAATATCGGTTATTATATATATTTAGTTTCTCTTTTTCTTTCATTGCTCTTGTCCTGTCATGTGGGTTTTATTTTGGAGTTGCATAGAATATGGCTTGTGTTTAGTGCTAAGACGAGAGAGAAATGAGAGAGAACAGGAACAAGAGAAGAATAAACCATATAGTAGTAATATATATTGAAGATGAATTAAGTAAGGTAGTTGACCAGTATTTCCTCTCATAATGGGCATTGAATTTTATAGTAACTCCTAAGATCAAGAGTGACTGGTTCAAGCCCAGACTCTTCCAATGAATAACCACCTATCAATAACAAAATAACATTTACCGGGGTTGAGAAAATAGAAAGAAAAAAAGAAAAAAGAAAGAAAAGAGCAAAAACATACAACAGCCGGTGTTCGCCAGTGGTCACCCACCTGACTACTAATCTGCCGGTTAGTGGGTTGTCTAGGGGGGAGCGGACGGGACCCCGAATTCTCCACTACCTATGGTCGTATGTGAACGAGCTTGGAAGCAAACCAGTCTATAGAAGAGGTTACAGTCCTAATCAACCAAGCGTTTGCAATACGTGTCGGACGCCATCGTCAATAACATCAATGTTGCTTTCCGCATACTCGCACAACTCGCCATGATTCTTAGCCTCATGGACCCTCAGTGGATTGACCTTCTTAAACAACTGCTCGTAAAACTGCCTCAAAGCCAATCTTGTTCCCGCGTTGAGCTGCGATGTAAATCCGTATTCCTGCGCGGCTGCTTCCACCTTGGGAAAGTTGCTCAGTGGAGTGTTGGGATCGAGGGCCAGGAAGTGTTTCAACCTCCAAACTGATGGGCGCAGTTCTCGTTGAGCCAGCGGGAAAGACAGGAACTCCTCCAGACCCAAGTCACGATCTAGCATTCTTCCTAAACCGTATCGGCGAAAGAGATTTGCAAGGCTGCCCTTTTCATAGGCTAGCCAGAACTCGTTGAATGAGCATGTAGGCTTCTCGGGATAGTTTCTTATTGTAGTCCCTAGACTTTGGTCGTAATCTGTCAAGAATTTATTACCACCTACAAGCTGACTGTAGAGGCTCCCAAGGCCTTGTTCCCCCCATTCATCACGACAGACTACGAAGCCAAAATCGTACCATAAATCAAACTCGGCCCCATCATATGGGTTTGGGTGGGAGCTATCCAAGGCCAAAGCATAAACTAGAAAGCTGTGCCGTTTTGATGGGGGCTCCAGCTGTTGAAAAGGTTTGACGCGATCCTCTGGGTCGAGGTAAGGTCTCGCGGCGTTTACAGCTCTAACGACGGGGTTGTCCTTGCCATTGAGCTGAAGAGGTGGGTTTGAGTTATCAAGGATGTGTTGGTTTCGAAAAAACCATCGGAAGTAATCCCCACGATTTTTTTCAGGCAGTTTGGAAAATGTCTTTATGATCTCGCTCACAAGGATATTTTTCTCTCGCCATTCGTTTAGCTGGATAGCCTCAACATGTAAGTAAAGTACGAGGCCCTGGTAAAGGCCAAGGAGGTAAGATTGCTCTCTCCAGTCACGGCACCTGGCGAGCCCAAAATGCTCACGTGTCTCGGGGTCGTCTGGAAATTGATCTCTGATAACATCATCACAGAGTCTATCCGCAGTGGTTATCGAGCGAGCCGAACACTTGGTGAGGTGAGACAATCGCATCTTATCTTGGCATTCCCGGCTACAGAACCAATCCAGGTTGCAGAATTCGCAGCGGCGACTAGTCTCTCGTTCACAAGTGTAACATTCGCCTTGGAGCTGTTCAGGTTTCGGTATTATTCTCGCGGACTGATTTTGGGTTTGACCAGGCAAGGTATCAAGATTGGCTTCACATTCAGCTCCACTTGGCAAAGGTTGACTTAATCCTTTGTTAGAACATATCAAGATGTCAATGGAAAGTGGTAGCTCACTTGGGGCTTGTATAATCTTCTTCATTGACATGACTGTGTCTCGCCCCTTGGCGCTGCGATCTAAGATACTCTGAGACGAGGGATCGTACATAAGGATCTTGGCCAGATTGCTGTCTCCTAGTCACAACTGAAGACCCTCCGATTGTGGACTCACGAGCATGGGCAAGCCTGTCGGTCTTTCTACCATGTATAGCTTCCATCATGGCTTTCTCAACATTCTTGAGAGCTTGAACGAAAATTGAGCGTTCTTCCTCAGCTAGCCATGAAATTTCGGGCACAGTCCAGAGATTGTAGAGCTTGCCATGGCATCCCCTTGTCGTATAGGACCCATAGCTCTGAACAAACCTGTCGCAAAGGAAACAGCTGCGCTTACTGCAGCCCACGTATTTGAAAATGGCCGCGCTGGTACAGTCGTGTTTTGCCGCCGCTAGGATGACTCGTATTTCTGCGTGTACTTCGGAGGCCGATGACTTCAACTTTTCAAACCTTTCGAGCAGTCTTCTCTTTGCCGAACCTTTATTTTTGCTGGTTCCAAAGATAGATTCTACTGTCTTGTCGTCGAGTTCAAGACCTAGGGATTCAAATGTCCTCTTCAACGACCAGGCGTTGTTTCGATCCGTCCTTTTCGGTTTGTCTGTACCATTCGGTGAATCCATCACCGGGAGGATCCGGAGATTTTGGAAGCCAGAGAGTCTCTCTGCGCTTCTAATCAGAGTGTTGAAGCATGTCTGTAACTTACCGAGGAAGCCCAGCGCGTCTCTCAGCGACCTAGTATTAGTATTGTTGCTAGTGATCTCATCAAAATCATGCTCTTTATACAGAGAGAACATGTCATGGGCGCTCTTTACAACTTGCTCAAGGCCCTCCTGCGTTGGCCAACTTATCACGTCATTTATAAGGGCGCGAAACTCCTCGAGGTGCGAAAGAAGAGATGCTATGCGACCGTTCAAGGATAGAACCTCCTTCTGCCGTGTTTCAGGTGGAATGGTCCCTTTCAAAGCCTTTTTGACCTGACTCATGTAATTGTTTAACCTGGCCGTGTGCAATTGTATCAATGATGTCCAAAGATTCTGCTTGGTGGAAGCGGCGACCGGATCTAAATAGTAGTCCAATGTTAGCTCGCACGTGTAAATCGGCAAAGACTTATCAGACCTGAGGAATCAAGCGCAGAGATATCTCGCAGACTAGAGGCTATAGTTTCCAGCATGCAGATAGTTCCGTCCCCTTTTCTGAAGCCATTATTTTTTGCTACAAGAACGTCGACTCGATCTGGCCATTCGATCATCAGAGACGAGGAAACATGATGACCCCCTTTCTCATTCGCAACAAGCTCAGATAACCTATCAAGAAAGGCCCTCTTTAGCTTCCTCTTGTCGAATAACAGGAATTCGTTCACGTTAACGGAATCAGTGTCGTCTGGCTTATCCAATTCTGTCTCTTCGTCGGGCATTTCCGAAAAGTTCGAAGCTTCCTTAATCTGGCCGCCATTTTTTAGCCGCAATAGTTTGGCGTAGGCTTCAAATCGAGACTTGTCCAGTCCCTTTACGCCCCAGGGAAACAATAGGCTCATCTTTCGCTATTATTTTATGGAATGCGAGTAAAGATACTAAAATGTTAATTCAGTCCATCTGGGCTTGGAATCAGGCCTCGATGCCGCCAAATACGGTGCGGGGTCACAACTGTTATGATTTGCTTGTTTTGTTTTATTGGCAGAGGGCAGCGATTTGACCCATCACTTTGGCTGTTTGGCACACCACTGTTTGATAGGCAGGCTGCATGGTAAGGAAGCCTTGGTGTATAGAAGCACCTGAATTCTCCACTACCTATGGGTTGTAAGTAGTGAAGTACTTACTGCTGCTTTTACTGCTTCTATTGCTTCTACAATCAGTATATATAATTGAAACAGAAATTAACACAATTTGATACGCTCTCACTGTTTGAATCATTTGAATCATGAGGTATGCTTGTAGTTAAAGTTGATCATGTCAAACGTTACTATTTCATTGGGTATAGGTATATATCTCATTATCCCACCATTCCCCATCCATCAGTACCTACATCGTAGTATTTACTACTAGTAGCAACCCCTGCCATCAAATTATGCTTTGTCAGCTCCAGGAGAGGCGGCTCCTGATCGGGCATTAGCCAGAGTCGACTTCTTGACGAGGCGCAGGCCACCAAGCAGAATGATGAGGGCCTCAACGCCAAGGATGACACCCAGAGTGACGAGAGCACCGATGACACCGGCAACGGGCTTGGTGATGTTGCTGTTGTCAGAAGACTTGGCAGACGAAGCGCTGGCGGTAGAGTTGGAGGCGCAGGTTCCGTCAGTGTTGCCGCAGGTAGTGCACCAGTCGGAGGTGTTGGCGACAGCAAACTTGTTCATGCCAGCCTTGAAGTCGTTCCAGCTAATGGTAGTCTTGCTCTGGCCAAACAGAGGGTAGGTCTTGAGGCCGTTCTCGGCAGCAGTGCCGTTGGACCAGAGGAAGCGAACGGTGAGATCATCCTCGGAGAGCTGAGTGGCGCTGGGGGCGACAAGCTCGAGCACCATGGAGGAGGCATAGTTGCAAATGCCGTAGAAATCGCTATTGACAGCGGGCAGCTGAGCAAGTCCGAAGAAGGACATGAAGGCACCGTAGGCACCAAACTGGATGTTGAACTTGGGGACGGCGTTGCCGCTGGCGATGCCCTGGAGAGCAGTCATAATCTGGCCAGCGAGGACGGAACCAGCAATGGCGCGGACGGGATCGCTGCTGTTGTAAGCGAGGTTCCACTCATGAATAGAGGCATAGTCATAGAGGCTAGAAAGGGTGGATTTGGTCAGGAGGTTGTCAGAGGGGATGGAAGAGTTGTGAATTGTGGCGACATTGATGTAGTCAAAGACTTGAGGAAGAGCAAATGTTAGTCAATTGCAACATACTGAGGACGGCAGTCCATGAGGATCTCAAACATACTTGTGTAGCCATTCTTGAAGGTGGCCGTGCTAGAGTTGAAGGTGGTGTTGATAACAGGCAGCAGGCCCTGGTAAAAGTCCTTGGTATCACTAAAGGTGCTCTGATATTCAGGGCTCAGGAAATAGTTGTTCGAGCTGACGACGGCACCGCTGCAGCCACTGCTGCCTTGAAGCCAGGCGCTGCTCTCCGAGTTGGATGAGCTGGCAGAGGCCACGGTATTGACTGGGATATATTGATATCCGTCAAGAGGAGCTACAACGGTGGTGCCGTTGGCAAGCTTGGTGGAACCGGCAGCCTTGTTGGGGGGATACAGCCACTGCGCAAAGACGCCAGCCGAGTTCTGCAGCACATTGTCCACCGGGGCCGTGATGGCGAGCTGGGAGAGGACGGCCTTGTCGACGCTGATGCCGGCAATTTGCAGAGAGGCGCCGTCGTCGATGTAGCGGTTACGGAAGAAGTCGGCTGAGCTCTTGACCTGGTCGGCACCAAGAGGAGTCAGGTTGACGGGGCTCCATGACTTGGCCGTGCGGTCTCCGTGGCGGTGGAAGATGTACACGCCGAGCACCTGCTCAGCGGCGGCTGGTGCGACGGCAGCGGCCGAGAGGGCGAAGAGGAGCTTGGACTGCATGTTGGTGATGATGGCGGCGGTGGTGTTGGTGGTGAAGCTGGATCTCTAGCTAGAGCAGCTCAGCCCTACAATCTCTCAGAGGATGCCTGCAAGCTCCAGAACAGAAGCGCTGAGAGACAATGGGGCGCGCGGGGGAGGGACATGGCTTGAGATATATAGATTAGCAGGCAGGCTGATAAGAGGCCTGGAGCTCCATCTTGCACGCACGGCATCACACGAACGGCACGGCCTGCTCCGTCCGAGCGAACCTGTTTGCAGAAACAAGCTCTGCTGGGCCCAATTAGCCCGGGAACTTTGCTCACAGGCCTGCAGCTTCGGGATCTGTTGCGGAGACCAGGCAGGGTGGAGAGCTGGGCGGGAGCGAATCGAAGCAAAATGGGCGTTCGAGATGCCCCGCCCAGCGCAAAAGAAGGTTGCCGCATGGATGAAAAGGGCATCGGCTGGCTCGCGTAGCAGATGGTCGAGAGGGGCTGCTTGGCAAGTTCGAAGGATCGACGCTCGAGGCACTGAAGCTTTTTCGCCAGCACAGCTGAAGGCGCTGCTTTTGGAATGTCCAGTTGGCAAGCTGCACTGAACTCAATTCGCACGGATACGTGTATACGGTTGATTCTGCCTGGCATGAGGCAAGGACAAAGACAAACAACGCCTCCATGTCACAGCAATGTCAGAATGAATCCGGGCCCGTGCCATATCAAGTGCCCGCCGACTGGCACCGCGGGTTCGATTAGCATCTGCCTCGTGCTGGAGTGTAGTCCTCGTCCTTCAGTAATCCTCGTCTTGGCCGCCATCCCACCACTGCACCAGCCTAATCCCATTCAGACCGTCCTCCGCTCTCTCGCCTCCAGAGCTTCTTCGCCGACGACGAAAATGACGAAAATGCAACCCAGCCCAACCTATTCGCGTGCCGCCACCACCACCACCATCACCACCATCACAGCACCGCAGAGCAGAGCATAACCAAGAAATCTCCCCCGCCGGAGATGCAATCGCGGCACTATTGGGCAGCCATGCGCCGTAAGTCGCTCTCGGCTTAGCCATCGCGGGCATCGTGCCGACAACCGCGAGCGTGCGCCGAGGTGGGGTTTCTGGCCGATGATAGGAACAGGCCGTTTCTGGCCCAGCTTCGCCAACGCGCAATTGGCCTGAAGAGAACGACCGGTTCACAGCGTGGCTGACAGCAAGAAAAGGCTATTTGGCGCCATGGCGCAGGAATATTGGCGCAAGCCCAGAATGCCTGCCCTTTTCTGGGCATCGGCGATGAAGCAATACTTGAAGTAGATAGAATTATCCATCTTAGATTGCTCGGCCCAGATCCGTCGCCACCGGAAGCGACACCAGCAGCAGCCTTCTCTGCGCCCTCTTCATGCCGGCCCCATCTCATTCGATCGCTGCGAGTTGCCCTTTTCAGCTCCTGCCTGTCCCTGGTTTTGCGCTCATGGCTCGGTTCAAACACGAGATTGTAAGCGGCGCTAAGTTATCTGCTATATCCCAGTCATTGCCGCTTGGCGATGTTTAAACGGGCGTTTAATATCCAGCTGAGCAGCACACCAAGTTGCGTTAGTCCAGAAGACTGCTCAGCTCGCCTATGCATGCTGCTGTCGGCAGATAAGAAAAATGCTACGTATTAGGTAGTAGTATGTAGTAGTATCTCTCCGAGGCCGCCGCCCACATTCCGAAGCGATGCACGGCACCTCAAATGTTGGCTGTGATGGCCCGCCCATATGCCTATGACCTGGCTTTGAGATGGAGTCAGCTCCATGTGCACCCAAACGTGCGACTACAGAGCCGAGGCTGGTCTAGTGACTTGTACCGTAGGAGTGGTGATCTATAGAGAATCCATGGACATGAAAGTGCGCCTCAAACACCCTCTTACATAGAGTGAAACCACAGAAATAGACTTGATGTATTCGTCTAACATGTGTGTATATGCCATTAAACATTGTGCTCCGGAAATACCAATACTAGCTTGATTGCTGCGCCTTCTTCAACTCCAGTGCTAAAACACGAGCCATATACCAGCATCTTCAAAATGAGGGCTCCTTCTTGCCCAATCTCATCCTCTCTTCCTCCTCTTCTAGGGATGTCATCATTCTCTCTTGCCTTGCCAGGAGCTTCTCACAGCTTAGACTTATCCTTCTTTCCTCCCTTTAGGCCTTCAGACATTTGGCCCGTCTTGAGGAAATCAGGATATTGTACATTCATATCCACACCCACGGTATAGGCACCCTGCCGTCTCCATGATCCACCGTCAACAGGAATGATCTGGCCGTTGACGTAGCTGCCGGCATCACTAAACAGGAACACCGTCGCATCTGCAATATCCTTTACGGTGCCGAAGCGACCAGAAGGAACCGTCTTTGTAAACGCTTCAATCTCCTCGGGCTTGCTGCTCGCCAGACGAGCCATACCCTCGGTATCGGCAATGGGGCCGGGGGCGATGACATTGGCGATGATGCCGCGGGGGCCGTACTCGAGCGCGACGCTGGCTACTAGCGAATCCACGGAGGCTTTGGCGGCCGCAACGTGGGCTTGGTAAGGCATGCCGGTGTAGTGGAAGGTCGCGGAGACGGCCAAGAAGCGAGGGGTCGAGCTGCGGAGGAGGTGAGGAATGGTGGCCTTAATGGTGTTGTAGGTGCCGAGGACGTCAATGTCCATGACCGTCTTGAAAGCGTTGGAGCTGATGCCGTCGATCGGGGCGACAAAGTTACCTGCTGCGCCAGCACTGCAGGCACCGTCAGTATCAATACGACGCACAACGAATAGCGACAACTCACATCACATAGTCAATGCCTCCGAGTTCCTTGACGCATTGCGCCGCCGCGGCTTCGAGACTCTCAATCTGCAAAAAAAAAAACGGTCAACGTCAGCGCTGATGGCTCATTCTGCCAATCACGAGCTCCATTTTTACCTTGCGCACGTCGCATCCTCCAAGGCCAATGACCTTGGCGCCCGACCGAGCCGTCGCAATATCTTTGGCTGCGGCCTCTGTCTTCTGAACATTTCGGCCCAAGATGAAGGCATTCGCGCCGAGTCGAACCAAGGCTCTGGTCTGCATGCTGCAAATGGTTCCCGCGCCGCCGGTGACGAATACGACCTTGCCCTCTGCCAACAATCAGCCGTTAGCCATGCTTCTCTAGCCATCTCCCGAGCAGGAGAGTCTCTAAAAAGGGGGCAGGGGTGCTCACTGAAGATGTCGTCTCGCCATACGGCGCTCAGGTATTTGGATTCGGGGACGGACATGATTGCGACGCGATTGTTGCTGACAGAGGTAGTAGAAGACAAAGACAAGACAGAAGGAGTCTGGGCAGAAGGATCTGAATAGAAGGATCAGTGGCAGAAGAACTGCTATTTGTCTATTCGTGTCCTGTCGGCTCTACCGGATACCATTCAACGTGAATCGAGGAGTAAATTGGTTGTGCTATGTCCCAACAAGAAGTGATGGAGGATTGGGATTGTTACATGTTGCCTAAATCAGCACTTGAGCCTCGGCATGACTGTGGGGTGTACCCTCAACGGTCGGTTAGGAAATGTCCGCGGGAATCGATTTGTAGTACGCGGTAGAATCTGGGGTAACCCCAAGAAATTCCACGGGGAAAAAGAGACTTATTTTCCATTGCTACCGAGTGGTTGATGTTCATTAGTGTTGAGTAGCATTTGCTTGCTGTAATATGTTATCGCATGCATGTGATGGCGATGATTAGTAATCATAAGAGTGGATGCTCGGATGCCTTTATTCATGAAGTTAATCTGAACTGAGTCTCTAAATATTTCATATTGCTCTTCTTGGGGCTAGTATTTCCCGATGGAAAAGATAAACTGATTTACAACATTTAAATCTTACTTTTTTAAAAGAAAAAAAAAATACAAAGAGCGGCGATTGTGGCCAGAGTACCTGTCTCGCTGCTGTACTCTGAGCAGCTACTGGGTATGTATACCGACATTACAGTTGTCTCCACGGCCGCTTAAGAGACACTGCTCCATATTGCACCAACGATAAATCAATTCACCACAGTGACTGGTGCCTAGACAAAATTGAAGTTGCTTCAAATGTAGAACCTAAGAGCTGGGCGTCATATAGAAGCGACTCCAATAGCACATTGCTGGCTTCTTTTACAAATTCATGCACATCTACGCTAGGTTGTCACTCACATCTTTCACTCCTATTGCCAACACATGCCTCACCTGATCTTAATCGCATGCTGTGTAACGACCCATGTGTTCAAGCATGAGGACCCTGGAAGCCTCTGTTTGGCCGGTTGACATTAGTTATAGCGAAATCTCTACCCATGGAGGATCGCCCAGCGTCTGTTTCAAGCTCGCTGATCTATAGGTACCTAAGTAGATCTTTGTTGCTAGGTACAGCAATAGGTAAGGAGACTTGACCTTTGCCACTCAACCATTTACGTGCAAATTGACACGTATGTATTGGGGGTGCCTAGACATTGGTGCAATTGACCTACTTGCTCACAGCCCAGGTAAAAGGGTGTGAATACCAATCGAATACCTGGCTCCTTGCAGCTTAATTGGGGCAGCGTGAAGAGAGAAGAGGGAACGAGAATGGAAGAGAAAGGATCAGGGCCAACAAAAAGCTTCAGCATCTCACAGCCCGCTGTCACAGCCATCACAGCGAAGCACAGGCCACCTCAGCAGTCCACTACAGCGCCGACTCGGCGTGCTATTCGCTAGCGGATAGCGGGCCCCAGCTCCGCGTCTCCGCAGTCAACGAAACACCAAGCCTTACCTCGTCACCAATTAATTTCACCACCAACAGTCCCCTCTGCCGACGCCCATCAAGCATCGCAACTCGCATAAGAGCCAGCGCATCGCGTTTTGCACATTTCCACGTCAGGTCGAACAGCTGTCACCGCTAACTCGCCTTGCTCTGACGAATTTAGTCGACGCCAAGCTTGCGCCGCCCGCGCTGGGGCCCGCCTCGCAGCAGGAAAACTTTAAGGAGCCCTCGCCACGAGCCCTCACGCGGGAGGACATCTGAGAGAACAAGATCAACTGTGCAGCGAATTGATCGCTGCCAGTATCCGAACGATGCCAAACTCCTCGGACCGTGCTGTGCGATTCTCGGGTGGCAGCGACGATGAAGCAGCCAACATAGCCGCCATCCAGGACTCGAAGCAGCACGCCTTGGTCCAAGACGAAGACTCGTCCCCCGAAACCAACGGCGTCGACCTGCACGCCGTCGAACGTCAAGACGAACTGGGGTCGCTCAGCAGATATGCAAACGCCCCCAACAGCCTCACCGGATCGCTGAGTTCATTGCCACCCGGAACGCACATCAATGGCGGCCCTCCTCCCAGGACTCAACGACCCAGTGGAGGGGAGGCGGACGCGTTGCAGGCTCAGCGCCCCAAGGGGCCCATGAGAACTCCTTCCAATACATACAACCCCTCAAGCTCGCGAAAACCTGCCGCCGCACAGACGCAGCCGTCATTCTCCGAGGCAGGCCGCTCGTCATCGAAAACGCGACTACGGGGTGGCGACAGTCGATTTAAGGCGCAAGAACGAGCATATGTCCAGACACTGCGGCAGGGAGGCTATACGGGAGAATATTTTAGCCAGTATCAACAACCAAACGGAAATGATTCGGATTCGGATGGCGGTGGTGAGGGAGAGACGCCTTCATCTGAGGGCCCATTCGAAGACCGCCTCGATCAAGAGACCATCATGTTTTACGGCAACGACGACATACAGCCAACAGATGAAGATATCGCAGTGCCCGAAAATCGGGAGCGGCTAGAGTGGCATGGCATGCTGGAGGCTGTCTTGACGGGAGATGTCGTCAAACAGGAAAAGAAGCGTCTAATCAATTCCACCGACACCACTGCCACCAAGGCTGCCTACAAATCGGAACTGTGGTTTGAGCTCCGCTCTGAAGCCTGCGGGAGGCGTGTTCCAGTCCAGAGGCGCATCATAGACGAGGGTCGAACGGCAATAGACCGCGTCCTGGACGAAGTTACTAATTTTCAAGTCAAGGGGACCAACGAAGCAGGAAAGCCCCCTCATGAGCAAGTCAAGGACATTGTCAAAAAGATTGAGAAATGCGAGACCCTGTATCCTTCTTGGTCTGCTCTGGTGGATGCGCATAGCACTGCCGAGTCCCCCAAGTTTCTTGAAGCGTACGATGCCATCATGTCCTGGTACAACACCAACGAAATGATCAACACCGAGCTCTCGATCCTGAAGAAGTGGGTTGGAAACGAAGATTTGGACTTTTCTCGTACCAAGCAGCGATCGCCCGCCGTTGATGGCATTACCAGCGACGAGGCGTCTTTTCTCGACAAGCTCATGAAAGAGGATGGCCTGCAGTCGCTGTACAACGACAATGCCAAGGTGACGCTCAAGGGCGAATTAGTCCAGAGAGGAATGCTGCAGCCTATATCTACAGTCATTGAGAAAGCAAAGCAGACGCTGATCCTCAATTCGATACCGTTCCAAAAGCGACACTTGCCTCCGTACCTTGACGAACTGCTGACCCTCATCAGTTTTCCGTCACGGCTGATTGAAGAGATTATAAGGACGCGCTTAGAGTATACCAAAAAGGTCAACGAGACGGCCCAGCAAAACCCGTTGATGCAAAGCCAGATGATCTCCCAGTTTCAGCTCTTGTTGCAATTTGCGATTAGGATAAAGAATGAGTACCTCAGCATCGAGAATCCAGAAGAAGGATGGGACCTGCCTCCATGCATTGACGATTCGTTTGATCAGGTAGTGCTGGAGGCTTTACAGTTTTACTTCAAGATGCTCAACTTGAAACTCAGTGGGAACAAAAACACGTTCAAGGAAGCCGAGCTGTTGTTTCAGGAGTGGGATTTTGCCAACGAGATTGGCACGTCCCTCAACCGCGGCAATATCAAGGTTGCAGAGCAGTTTAGTTCACTAACTCTCAAGGCATTCAACCGCCTGAGCTCGACGTTTGACAAGGAGCTCCAAGTCAAGCCCGAAGAGAGCGCAGCGGATATGAGCAAGCGATACAAGGCGGCTTTGGACTCTGTGCGTGTCCGCCAAAGAATGCTTCAGCGCTTCTCCAGGATGCTAAGCGAAAACTACGAACATGTCTGCGACTTCAACACCTCTCTAGAGCCGGCGACGACGCAGATGCTCTATGATCACCTCGTAGCGTCGGGCCACTTCCAAGTGGACACGCGTGGCGTGTTGGAGTCTACTGGCATCTACTTGCTGGCAAGTCCGGCTCTTAGGGATAGGCTGTATGACATCCAAGCAATGATGGCCATCACGGCCCAAGATCGATTCCCTGCCGATACTGGCGATGTGTACATTCTCCTGATCAGGCCAGAGGGAACCTTTATGTGGATCGGCGATACGGTATCTATCCTGCTCAAAGAGCAGACTGTCGATCTAAAGCGCGGTCAACTTCGTCTGTGTGCCACAGGCAGCCATTCCCTCACCCAAGCGCGCAAGATATTCCTCGAGGCCGCCGACATGCATCTTGACCTCGTGGGAGAGTCACGGTCGAATATTCACAAGGTGAACACGAGGCTGACTGAAATTCGCCGCGTGGCCTACAAGCTCTCTGAAACGTTCATGGACAGCGTTGAGATCATCAGAGACCAGACACAAGGCAAAGATTGCCAAGAGCTCATCCAAACCTGCTTCATATTTGCCACGGAATTCGGTCAGCGCTCGCTCCTCTACATGGACAGCAACCGCAGACAGATGAACAATATCAAACTGACCAAACTTGCCTTGGACTGGGTCGGTTTCATCTGCGATGACTGCATAGCATCGGATCGAAGAACCTTTCGATGGGCGGTGACTGCTCTGGAATTTGCCATGTTCATGACCCGCGGGCGCCACATCTTGGGCCTTGGCGAGGAAGAGTACGAAAGAGTGCGTGCCAAGGTTGGCGGGTGCATGGCTGTCCTGATCTCACACTTTGATATCATGGGGGCCAGATCCAACTTGGCTGCTCAGGCCGAGAGGGAGCGAATTGAGAATTTGGTGATTCAGTTCAAGAAGGATAAGAACAAGAATATGGATGACGATGAGGCCACTTGGGGCGTCATTCAGCAGCGAGTGGCAAAACTTGACCTGGTGGACGAGCTTCGGCAGGAAAAGGAATCTGAAAGACGGGCATTGGGCCGCGTGCTCGAGACCAACAACGAGGCTGATCGCTCGCTGGCATACCTATCAGCGTCGGCCACAAACGTCACAGTGCGATGGCAGCAGGGCCAGTTTGTTGGCGGAGGCACTTTTGGCAATGTCTACGCCGCCATGAATCTAGACACGGGCCATCTCATGGCAGTCAAGGAGATTCGTCTCCAGGATCCCAAACTGATTCCAACAATTGCAGAGTCGATTCGCGAGGAGATGCGAGTTCTGGAAGTCTTGGATCATCCCAACGTTGTGTCATACCACGGCATCGAAGTCCATCGAGACCGCGTTTACATCTTTATGGAGTTTTGCTCTGGAGGATCGCTCGCTAGTCTGCTCGAACACGGCCGTATTGAGGAAGAGGAGGTCATCATGGTATATGCACTCCAGCTACTGGAGGGCCTTGCTTACTTGCACGAGAGTGGTATCGCTCATAGAGATATTAAACCAGAGAGTAGGTTTCCCTTTTATCTACTCAGAAAGGAAACATGCATGCTAACCGGTGACAGATATTCTTCTCGATCACAATGGAATCATCAAGTATGTAGATTTTGGCGCCGCCAAGCTCATCGCTCGACAGGGCCGCACCATGGCAGCTGATCTGCACGCTACAAAGCCAAACAAGTCCATGACTGGAACACCGATGTACATGTCGCCAGAAGTTATCAAGGGCGAGAATCCTGGTAAGGCCGGGTCGGTGGACATCTGGTCACTGGGATGCGTGATTCTCGAGATGGCAACGGGACGACGGCCATGGGCCAACTTGGACAACGAATGGGCCATCATGTATAACATTGCCCAAGGAAACCCGCCGCAACTCCCTTCGCCGGAGCAACTTAGCCCCCAGGGCATCGATTTTCTCACCAAATGCTTTGCACGAGATCCTAAGCAGAGATCGTCGGCAATTGAGCTGCTACAGCACGAGTGGATCATGACTATTAGAAACCAGGTGGTTGAGCCGGCGACACCGAGCGACACTAGCGGATCGTCTCAGTCGCCGTTTGTGTCGACCACTTCTACCAGAACGAGTATTGGGCCGGATAGCTATTATTAGCCATTTTCTTTCTTTTTTTTTTTTTCTTTTTTTTTTCTTCCTTTTCTTTTCCTTTTGGTTCGTCCTTGGTGGGAATTTTGGGTTGGCTTTCTCTTCTTCTTTATCTTTCACATGACGGGATGCAATGCACGAACCCACGGAACAAATCAAGTACACAAGCGAGCATGGATAATACGGAGGGCTCGAATGGATCTTTTACGATATTTATATGCTTTTTCTGCTATTTTTAATTCTTTCACAGTAGTCTTGCAATACGGGAGGGAAGATTGATATTCTGCTTTTACGATACCTTATACACAAAGATTGCATCAGGACGAGAGTCTGGAGTTGGCAAGTCATGTTTGATATATTTTTCACATGCAAGCGAAGTAGTGTCAGGTGATTACTGGTATTTGATGCTGGAAATGAGAGGATTGACAGTTTTGAAAAGACGATGAATGAGAGGAAATTTGAGCAATGTTTGAGCTATAATGTCTTTGGCTGAAAGAGACTTGACTACTGTCTTCTTAACTACGCGGACACATGTTACAAACGTCAATATGAGGGTATATCAGGGCCAAACAGATAAGCCTAGAATTGAATAATGTTGCTCTACTGTGTTTCGGCTAGTAAAGGCATCTATCAGAGCTGAGCTAAGACTGGTGGGAACTGATTTGCTAAAGTGTGCTGAGCGGGAATACAGAGTACGTAATATATAATATGGACCCCGAGGCTTACTTGCCGGAACCTGCTAGAGACTTGTATAGACGATTACTGCCAGTATATACCCTCCATCAGTTTGAACGTATCACGTAGTGCTAGGTATCCAGTAGACCTCATCGCGTATAATCAAGTATACACTTGATGAGTAAGAAATTGTAAGAAATTGTACATATCAAGTCCCTGGCAAGTCGTTGATAAGTCCCCCATGCAAGACGCACGTTCGGCGAGCCGCATTCGGAACCGGCGCCTACCGTCGCTGCCAGCGCTCTTTCCCCCGCCAACAGCCCCGCATCGACGGCGTGTTCCGGTGTGGGTAAGAGCGGATCTGCAGACGTGGAAAGAGCGACTCGGGGCCAATATAAATCCCGGCTTCTCAAGGGCGAATTTCTTCTTCTCCCTTCTTTTTTTTCTCTTTTTCTCCCCCGGGCGCTGCTTCCCCCCTTCTGAGTGCTGCGAAGAAGGATAATATTTGAATTTACTACTGGATACCCTTGTGCTATATTTGCTATTTTGCTATTTGTGTCTAATTCTATCATCTCAATTGAGTGACCGTGTCAGTAAAGCAACATCAGCTCTATCGTCAAACCTCGCCATGTCCGCCAGCCCGCCCATCCACTCCGGCTCTGACGCCGCCCAGATCGCATCCACCTGCGCGTCGCTCAGCATCACCACCACCGAGTTCGCCGAGCTGCAGAAGCGCGCCACCGCCGCAAAGGCCACCGCCTACTGCCGCTACAGCCGCTTCCGCGTCGGCGCCACGCTGCTGTGCGCCGACGAGGCTGGCGACGTGGTCTACGTGCCGGGCGCCAACGTGGAGAATGCGTCGTACCCGGTGGGCACGTGTGCCGAGCGCGTGGCCTTTGGCACGGCGGTGACGAGCGGCATCAAGAAGTTTAGGGCCATTGCCGTGGCGACGGATATCAGCCCGCCGGCTAGTCCCTGCGGCATGTGCAGGCAGTTGTGAGTAGTATTTCTGATTTGGCTTTTGTGGTGTTGGTGGTGTTGGCGGCGGTGATATATATGCAAGGGAGAGCACGGGAGAGATGGAGAGACAGGGGTGGGAAGACCAGGGGAGAGAGTGAGAGAGAGGCTGAATAGTAGTTTTGAGAGCGGCTGAGATAACTAAACTGACCCGATTGGCTGCAGCATCCGCGAGTTTTGCACCCAGCAGACGCCCGTCATCATGTTTGACAAGAACTCGGACTATGTGGTCCTGACGGTGGACCAAGTAAGCCAAGCATCCCTTCAGAGCCCCTGAGCTACCGCACGCGGCAACTCAGACAAGCGTCCTCTGCCTTGTTTTTTTTAGTCGTACAACCCATAAGCTAACACATCCCTTACAGCTTCTCCCAATGTCTTTTGGTCCAGACGCTCTGCCGCCTCCTGGCGCCCCTGGATACTAAGATTTGATGTCTTGGCTGTGCTTCACACTATTGACGCCGTACGGCTGCGACACCCGTGCGGCTACTGCAAGGAGTACCGGGGAAGGGCGGGAGGAGATTGGTGCCACTAAGCTGGTACCTGACAGATGATTCATGGTTGTTTTTTTGTTTATCAATCTATTTTGTTCTTTTCCTAATAATGACAGAGTAATTTGAGTTAATGCATGTCTTGAATGACAATTTCCACAATGCGGTGACCACATGCAAGGGAAATCCCGTGGGACTCTTGCTATTATCTTGATACAGATCATTTGTATTTGATTCAACTAATGAAGTGGAGGAAACAAAATAAGGCATCCCTATCAGGATATCACAAATTAGTCACTGTTGGGCTCTATCCAAGAGAGGTGGCAGCATGCGGAACTAGTATGAATGGATCAAAAATAAAGGTCAATAAAGAATAATTAGAAAATGGATATCCTCCGTATTTGGCTCGTCCTATCCGTAATATTCACCCACCATGCTCCCTCCATTCATCCTCAAGCATTTCTCATATCTCTATCCCGCAAACCTTCTTCCCAAGTCCCCCTATACCCATGCTGTACTGTATGTAAAATAAAACGTAATGTATCTATGTATTCGTAAGAAAAATAAGGTGGCTTCTACACAACATCAGACGACTTGTCTCACTCATTTCTCGCTTCAGCAGTCATCGTCGCCACCGTCGCCAGGAGGCCCGTACGGAACAGTGATAGGCGGCCGAGCAAGGGTTGTGAATGTTGTGGGGACGCTGCGAGTGGAGGTGGTGGTCTGGGGATTGGCAGGGACAGTGGCAGAGGTGCTGCTGGTGGTGGTGGATGAGACATGATCATTGAAGGCTCCTCCAGGGATTGTGAAGGACGTGGTGGAGGTGGCGGTGGTGGAGCTGCTGTCCGTGGGTTCGCAGTCATCGCCAGTGGGCGTAGCGGTAGCGGTGCTGGGAGTATTGGTACTTGACGTGAGGGGATTTGACGTGGTTGAAGCTGTGTTTGAGGAGGTAGAGCTTGATGTTGCGGTAGTGGACGATGTCAGGAACTGACCGCCTGGTGGTCCAGAGGAAGTGGTGGAAGCAGTGTTTGATGTGCTGCTTGAACCATCTGTCGGTTCGCAGTCATCCGGACCAGGATACGCAGTTGTGGAGGTAACTCCGGTGGTGGAAGACGTCAAGAACTGGCCTCCTGGTGGTCCAGAGGAAGTGGTTGACGCAGTGGTGGATGAAATGCCACCAGTTGAGGTGGACGACGTCAAGAACTCACCACCTGGCGGCCCAGAAGAAGTAGTCGAAGCAGTGTTAGTCGAGGTGGAGCTCACAGTGTTTGATGTGGTGCTTGATCCATCTGTCGGTTCGCAGTCATCCGGACCAGGAGTCGCAGTCGTGGAAGAGACCCCAGTGGTGGAGGTGGACGACGTCGAAAACTGACCTCCTGGAGGTCCAGAAGAAGTGGTGGAAGCGGTGGTGGATGAGATACCACCGGTCGAGGTGGAAGTAGTGGACGACATGCTATCGGTAGTAGATGTTGTTGAGAACTGACCGCCTGGGGGTCCAGAAGAAGTAGTGGAAGCAGTGTTTGTTGTGCTGCTTGAACTATCTGTCGGTTCGCAGTCATCTGTATCGGGAGGGGCAGTCGTGGAAGAGACCCCGGTGGTGGATGACGTTATGAACTCGCCTCCCGGAGGTCCAGAAGTGGTGGAAGTGATAGATGAAGTTCCACTAGGAGTGGTGGAAGCCGTGGTGGACGACATGCTACCGGTAGTAGACGTAGTTGAGAACTGACCGCCTGGGGGTCCAGATGAAGTAGTGGAAGCAGTGTTTGTTGTGCTACTTGAGCTATCTGTCGGTTCGCAGTCATCAGGAGGCGC